TTTTGGATTGTGATATTTTTAATTCTAAAAACTAATTAAAAACAATAAAGCTCTTTTTTCTGTTTCTTTTTATTGTGCTTGCTTTTTTTTGTTCTTTCTTTGTTAATTTAGCTCATCATTTTATTTTCAACTTTTGCTTTTATTATTTATTTCTTATTATTTCATATTTTTTCTTCATTTTTTCCTTCTAATTAACTATTTAATGATATATTTTTTCTTCAATATTTAAAAAGTGAAAATTAAATTGGTGATGAAGGTGCATCAGGCTTAGGTTCTGCTTTAGCAAATTGCATTAATCTCTCAAATTTGACACTTTTCCTTTAGTAAAAACAGTTTATTTGTTTTGGATTGTGATATTTTTAATTCTAAAAACTAATTAAAAACAATAAAGCTCTTTTTTCTGTTTCTTTTTATTGTGCTTGCTTTTTTTTGTTCATTCTTTGTTAATTTAGCTCATCATTTTATTTTCAACTTTTGCTTTTATTATTTATTTCTTATTATTTCATATTTTTTCTTCATTTTTTCCTTCTAATTAACTATTTAATGATATATTTTTTCTTCACTATTAAAAAAGGTCTAATTAAATTGGTGATGAAGGTGCATCAGGCTTAGGTTCTGCTTTTGCAAATAGCATTAATCTCTCAAATTTGAGACTTTCCCTTGAGTAAAAACAGTTTATTTGTTTTGGATTGTGATATTTTTAATTCTAAAAACTAATTAAAAACAATAAAGCTCTTTTTTCTGTTTCTTTTTATTGTGCTTGCTTTTTTTTGTTCATTCTTTGTTAATTTAGCTCATCATTTTATTTTCAACTTTTGCTTTTATTATTTATTTCTTATTATTTCATATTTTTTCTTCATTTTTTCCTTCTAATTAACTATTTAATGATATATTTTTTCTTCAATATTTAAAAAGGTCTAATTAAATTGGTGATGAAGGTGCATCAGGCTTAGGTTCTGCTTTAGCAAATTGCATTAATCTCTCAAATTTGACACTTGAGCTTATGTAAAAACAGTTTATTTGTTTTGAATTGTGATATTTTTAATTATAAAAACTAATTAAAAACAATAAAGCTCTTTTTTCTGTTTCTTTTTATTGTGCTTGCTTTTTTTTGTTCATTCTTTGTTAATTTAGCTCATCATTTTATTTTCAACTTTTGCTTTTATTATTTATTTCTTATTATTTCATATTTTTTCTTCATTTTTTCCTTCTAATTAACTATTTAATGATATATTTTTTCTTCAATATTTAAAAAGTGAAAATTAAATTGGTGATACATACATACATACATACTCGCACATGGTTACATGCACTCGGGATAGGGGCCCTATATATAATTACTTATACATTATTATTATACGTATACCAATTTATTTATATATAATTGTGGGTAATATACTAGAAGGGAAGGGTCACCTACACCCTAATGGCATTTCTACTAATCTTCCATGATTTGACTACGCATTATGCTCGCTTCCCATTTGTATTCCAGATCTTCTGTTCAGAATGGGGCCTCCTCTTTACCACCTATCAGATTTGGCCCTTCCCTCCTACCAAGGAGACCGCTGGTAACATTCACATTTTTACATGGAATTTTTCGAAATAAAGGGGGCGGTATAGGATTCGAACCCCCGATATCACTGCTAAGACCCTCCGACTCGCCCACTCGAGTCGCTTAGCCCTTCTTAAATTGGTGATGAAGGTGCATCAGGCTTAGGTTCTGCTTTAGCAAATTGCATTAATCTCTCAAATTTGACACTTTTCCTTGAGTAAAAACAGTTTATTTGTTTTGGATTGTGATATTTTTAATTCTAAAAACTAATTAAAAACAATAAAGCTCTTTTTTCTGTTTCTTTTTATTGTGCTTGCTTTTTTTTGTTCATTCTTTGTTAATTTAGCTCATCATTTTATTTTCAACTTTTGCTTTTATTATTTATTTCTTATTATTTCATATTTTTTCTTCATTTTTTCCTTCTAATTAACTATTTAATGATATATTTTTTCTTCACTATTAAAAAAGGCATAATTAAATTGGTGCAATTGGTGCATCAGGCTTAGGTTCTGCTTTAGCAAATTGCATTAATCTCTCAAATTTGACACTTTTCCTTGAGTAAAAACAGTTTATTTGTTTTGGATTGTGATATTTTCAACAATTAAAAATGAATATAAAACAAAAAAGCTCTTTGAATTTATTTGATAGCTTTATTTATTTTATTTTTTTATCTTTTTTATTCCACTAATATAATTTTATTAATTAATTTTAAAGAATAATTTTTCATTTAAAAGTTTATTATATTTTGATATTTATATTAAAATTTACACAAATTTATTATAAAATGTTTAGCTCAATGAATGAATCATAAGAACTCAAGTTAAAAAGCAAGTGTCTTAAATCAAAAAGATTAGTTATATTTAAAAAACAATTCTACTGATAAATAATTGGTGAAAAAAGGATGAATAAATATAAAATGTTTGAATAGTATTATATATTTTATTAAATAATATTTTGAAAAAGTGTTTTTAACCTAAAATATAAATAGATAGATAGATTTTATTATTGATTTTATATAATTAAATATCATTCATATTTTTATAAGTAAATAAATTATTTATATTAAAAAATAAAAAATTAAATTTACTTAAATAAATTAAATCCTCATAAGCAAACTCTCTCGTTTCTCCAAAAATGATCAAATAATTTGAAACTTTTAGTGTTATTTTAAATCTAATTAAATTATATAATGTCAAACTTTTATATGCCAGTTATATTTTAATCTTAAACATTATCCATCAATCATATTTTTATCCTTTTTTTATTTATCATGATCCATTAGATGCCATGATTTAAATAAAACCTCAGGGAGAAATCAAGTTTTACTTTTTATTTTAACTTTAGTGGTTTTAATTTTTTTTTTTTCTCAAATTTTTAATTTATCTTATGATCATTTTTTTCATTTTATATCATTTAATATTAACACAGAGACCTAAAAAATTTAATAAGAGTAAAATTTATTTAGATATGGTAAATTCAAGGTAAAAAGTTATCAAGAACTAATTTTGAAAAAAAATTAAATAATTCAAAGAGATAATTTCAAAGAATACATTTTTGATTAATCTTAAAATAGTAAACTTAATTTTTAATAAATTATAAACAAAAAGATGAAAAATAAAGGATATATCTTGTAATTCATACTATTAAATAGACTGATATCTTCTTATCAACCTATTTAGAATTTGTAAATTTACTAAACAAGTTAATAATTTACCTATTAGCCATGCTAATAATTATCAGAATAGTAGACTAAAATTGTTAGCTTTAAAGATTTATTTCCAAGCATTACGAAAGCTTAAAGAATAGTAATTAGTATATGGTACACACCTTACGGATACATATTAGATAAATACACACCGATTATACAAAATCTGACTCTTGCTTTGTTTACATAAATCTAAAATTTATTAGATTTTTATACTTAAAAGATATTATTTGTACTATAATAATTAAATAATAACAAAGTAATAATGCAATTAATAATTTCTTAATACAGTATATACACCCTACATCATTTAAAAAGATTACACTTGTAATATAAAAGTACCTCAAAACTATGAAGAATATTTATGCGGATTAATAGAATATATAAATGGTTAACCATTTTGTACAGTTTGCAAAGATGAAAATGCTGATCCATTAAAGAAGTGTTTATAATGCAAATAACATTTCTTTTTTAATAAATAGTCTTCAAGATACTAAAAATGTGATTTATAATGTTTAGAATGTGTAAATCAAAGTAATAATTGTATTAGTTGCTAGTTTTCAAATAGAATTTTACCAACTTGCAATTGCATTTACTAAAAAAAAATTTTTTAAATATTTGCTAATGTGATAAAAATATTTAAATTAAAAACATTAATCTACAAATTAAATAATTCAAAAAATTAATTTTATTTATTAAAAAAAGTAGTTTAAAATTAGGAAATAAGTTATTATATTTTTTATATCTTTATAAATTTTATATATTTATTTTGTTTGTTTATTAAAACTTGGAGTAATTTATAATAATAAATGCTTAAGTTAAACATCATTATTGTTATTTAATTAGTAAAAAATGACTGGGTATAAAATTTGATAAAATATAAAGAAATTTATTTATTTCATACAATAGCCTATATTAATTCTTTATTAATAAGAATAATTAATAATTTTTTTACATTTCTTATGTAAATTAGATATTATAATTTTAAAATCAATAAATATAATTTACAAAATTGCGTTTTAGAATAAAAATTAACATAATATATTTTAATTCTTTAATTTTAAGATCATATAATTTAAACATAAAATAGATTAGAAATTAGATAATAAAATTGAAATCCAACCAAATAAATTTATTACCTACGTACTATTAATTTGAAATCAAGCAAACAAAGGTTCAATAATATATTAAATACTGTAATCCATCAAAAATACTTGTAAAAAAATTCTCGTATTAAAGTATTTTTTTTCTTGTGGCATGAATTATTAGTACAGAGACCTAATAAATTTAATAAGAGTATAATTTACTTAGATATGGTAAATTCAAGATAAAAAGCTAGTTTTTACTAATTTTACAAAATAATTTAATAATTCAAAAAATTAATTATTAATTGACCTTTAAAATAAATTTAACTTTAAATAAATTATTAACAAAAAGATGAAAAATAAAAGATATCTATTGTTATTCATACTATTCAATAGAATGATATCTTCTTACCTAATTATTTAAAATTTATCAATATACTAAATAAGTTAATAATATACTTATTAACCATGCTAATAAATACTAGAATAATAAACAAAAATTCTTAACTTTAAAGACCTATTTCCAAGTATTATGAAAGCTTAAAGAATAGTAATTAGTATATAGTTCATACCATATGGATACATCTTAGATAGATATACAATAATTTCAATTCATTAACTTAATAATTGTCTAGTATCTCTAAGTTATAATCTAAATAAACATCTTCTGTATTTAGATTTATAGGATTAAGTGTTATAAATAGAAAATTTATTAATATCTTATAGTTAATGGGTATAGGTAAGTTTAGATATTTAATAATAAATTGATAGTCTTTAAGTTTAGATATTAATTTAAAGTTAAAATGGTTAGAATTACCCTTTTGGCTCATTTTTAAAAATATATAATAAAGAGCTTAATTTAAGTGATTTAGAGCTTAATTATGGTAATCCTCCACAAAAATTAAATTTAAAACCTTCATGCTCAGTAATTTTTCTCCTAAGCGTTGGCATTTTAAGTCAACCTACGTCTTATACTTTTTAAGAAATAGTAAGGTATCTAAGCTCATACTATACCTAAATTAGTTAAAAATATGATTATTTTAATTCTTTTAACAATCCAGGAAAGCTCATAAGTGATGTATAAGCATTTCAGTAAGCGCTTTTAATAGCAAACAATAATGGCATTAATCCATAAAACTCTTTATTCACTATTGCTTTGGATTCACCTTTTAATTAACTAACAATATCTTTTTTCTTGAAATTTTTATAAATACCACCCACTACTAATTAATATTTTTGTATTAATTTTGACCCAGATTTATTTTGTGTGTAATTTTCTAATAACTAGATTTTATTTGGAGGGTAATAAGCCACTTATAATTCATTAGAGTGGAATAATATCATACTCATAAGGAATCATAATATTATGGAAGGAAAAATTATACTAATTATTAATAACTCTTAATAGTTGGAGATTCCAAATAGTAAAAAATATTATAGATACCAACTAATGTTTTTTTCTAATGATGTAAGTTATTAATTAGATCTCATAAGAATATATTCTGGTTCTATATTATATTCGCAAAATAATTGTTATTTAGAAAGTACAGATGGATCATGCTTAGTTTGTATGGATAATTATTTACTTGATTTTTAAAATAAAATGTAATGCGTTCTCAAAAATACAACAAACACTGATAATTTCATTAAAGGGGTTAAAGATTGGAATCCTCCTAGAAAATTATGTCCTTAAAATATGATAAATGATAGTTCTTCTTAAAATGGTTGCAAATGTTTAATAGGATTTTATTTAGCAGGAGATAATTGCGTAAAATGCCCTACATACTGCAGAAATTGTAATAGTCCTAATGACTGCTCAAAAATCAGAGATTCATTAGGTAATTGCTTAGATAAAAATGCTTTTGATGATGGGTAGAATTGCATAACACCCTTTTTCATTTTAAAAGAGAGGTAAAATATAAGAATATCAAATTAACCAGACTATGGGTAGTTGTGCAGTAATATGGATGCAGATATCAACAAATATATTTTATCGAGTAGCTAATTAAATATAAAAACTTCTGATAGTTTTTTTTTTTCATTTTCAATCTTAGTTAAATAATTTAATTTAGGACCGAATTAAGAAATAAAAATTGCTTATATTGAAGAAAACTTAAGTATTATATAACATATTACTTTAAGCTTTTAAAAAATAAAATATCAATAAATTTTTTTTATAAAGCTTTATTTAAATAATATCTTTTCTTCATAATTTACTTTTGAATCTTAAGACTTAGCCTGGATTGCTTTTTGGACAGACAACTTAAACTGTATATTTATGGTTAGAACAAAGGTATATAATTACTATGATTAAAGCATTAACTGCCCATAGTTATATAGAACCTCTAATTTGAAAATCTGTAGAGGTAAATGCGATTCTATTATAAGTGGCTTTTGCTTAGTATTAAACAATAAGCAAATAACATTTATAAAGAATATACCAAACCCTACTTTAAATGGAGTCGATTTATTTTTTTCTATCTATCAAAATGATTCTGAATTATTTGGAAGATATAAACTAGATTTAAGTTAAATTAACTATAATTAATATATTAATGATTCTAGTGGAAATTAAATATCATAACCAAGTCTTAATTTTTCTAAATCTTTACAAAATTTTAATTAATTTTAAGGCTTTTAGCTAAATTAGGATATTTATGCTAGTTTAGTATACCCTAGTAATAATTATGGAGATTTATTTAGCATTTCTTTTACTATAGAGTTTAATTTATCTGACAAATTTGAGTAGTTCATTTTGCTAGAAATTACGAATTAATAAACTTTTTTAAGAATATATGTAATACCTGATTAGATTTAATAAATTTTATATGTTTAGTTATGCTATTGGAGCTTATGCTAAACTTTTAAAAATGCAGTATTATTTTTTAACTAATCTAATTTCTTATTTTTTCATGCAAAAGTAGAAGAATTGTTTTAGTTAGTAACACAAACTTTTTACAAAATAGATTTTATTTGTAATCATATTAAAGAAACCTTTCAAGCAAACTACTATTTATCAAGCCAGATATATAAATTACAAATTGGAAATCCTTCAAACCATTATTAGTTTTTTATTGATAACATAAATATATACCAAAGAAATGTTTTTGTCTATTACGATTATACAAAATTTGACTCTTGCTTTGTTTACATAAATCTAAAAGTTATGAAATGTTTATACTTAAAGAGAGATTATTTGTACTATAAAAATCAAATAATAACAAAGTAGCAATGCATTTAATAATTTCTTAATACAGTATATACACCCTATATCATTTAAAAAGATTAAACTTGTAATATAAAAGTACCTCAAAACTATGAAGAATATTTATGTGGATTAATAGAATATATAAATGGTTAACCATTTTGTACAGTTTGCAAAGATGAAAATGCTGATCCATTAAAGAAGTGTTTATAGTGCAAATAATATTTCTTTTTTAATAAATAGACTTCTAGATGCTAAAAATGTGATTTATAATGTTTAGAATGTGAAAATCAAAGTAATAATTGTACTAGTTGCAAGTTTTCAAATCAAATTACACCAACTTGCAATTGCATTTAGTAAAAAAATAAAACAAATATTTGCTAATGTAATTATAAATGCGGTTCTTGTAGTAGCATTGACAATAATATTTGCATTACATGCTCTTCTGAAAGGAGAGTTTTACCTAACTGCTAATGCGATAAACAGTACCAAGAAGTTTAATAAGAATGTGTTGAAATAAAAGTATTGTGTTCTGACAAATGTTTAAGTTGCATCGATTTTAGTGATAATTGTACTAAATGCTCGTTAAATAGAGTAAATCCTCCATCATGCTAATGTATTTATGGCTATTAAGAGTTAATAGATGGATCTTGCTAAATATGCTAGTAAGGTACTTTTTATGATCCTTAGCTAAAGATTTGCAAAAAATGCTCCACTGGGTGCCTCTCTTGCAGTTATTAGCAGTGCTTATTGTGTATGCCTGGATTTTAAAAGGAAGGATTTTTTTGTAATTGTACTGATTAATTATACTAATAAGAAAATTAATAGATGAAATGCCTAAAAAGCTTTGATGTTTAAATAAGTAGTTTTTATTAGAATAAAACATGGTTTATCAGTTTAAATTTTAATTAAGTTTTGAAATAATTTAATATTTCTGATAGCTAACTAAACGAAATTATAACATTTTACATCCCCGAAATATCTTAAGAATCATATTCCTTTGTTAATGCTAAGTATATTGGAAATGAATTCTTGGTAAGCTTAAATATCAAAGCAAACTTTTAGGTATCAAAAGTTTTTGTTATTCTGAATACAAATTATTACTTTTAGAGTTCAGATGAAAGTAGTATTTTGAATAAAAGCTACTTGAAATAAGGAATGTCAGTCAATATAGGACCTCTTTTTCTTAAAGATGAAAATTAAAAATCTGAGACTTTAGATCACTTTTAAAGTTAATTGAACCAATTTATAATTCAAAATAAAAGTGCATTCAAAGCTATAAATTAACTTTAATTAATTTTTTACTTTTTAAATACAATATAGCCTATTACAGCATTCTTATTACTTAATGCTTCTTTCCCACCACAATTATACAAATTTTATTAAATCGCTGGTACTTTTATTTTCCCAAGAGTTCCTGATTATTAAGATAAAAATCCTTAGATGGAATTTAGTGTATTTGGGTATAATATAGATAGATATTTTTGTGAAATACCGGATTATGGCAAATTAAAATCATTAGGCTTTTGTTAAAGTATTCTAGTAAATATATCAATATTATTGATAAAACAAGCTATTATGATCTTAATATTAACTATAGTTTTTATATTTTAATACTCTCTAAATATTAAAAAACCTATCCTATAAAAAATTAAAACTTTTATGATTCAAAGATTTAATAGCGATTTAGAGATTAATTTAACGATGATATTTGTATGTGTATTCATTTAGATTTTAGAAATTAGGCAATCTTCCTATAGCTACAGAATGAGTTTTTACATTAGCCTTATATAAATTTTAGTTTAACTGACTTTCTTTCTTTTTAATTTAAGGAACGTAAGGAGTTTATATCAAAAATAAAGGGAATATTCAATATTGTATACAGAGAGAATCCAAACCAAATTAATCAACTCATATAAGGTCTACTATTTCTAAATTTAAACATTAAAAAAGTACTTATACTTGACAATATTATGCTTTTTTTACAATATTCCAATTTTAGTTTGCATATTTTGTGGTATCTTATTTTTGATGTCAGCTATTTTGACAATTTTAATGGAAGCCTATACTTCTAAAATAAGTAGAGCAATAAAATGTTTAGGAGAACTCTTATTTTCTATAACTTGGTTTATTCATATTTAGATACTACTTTATGAACAGCAATTTAGATAAAACTAGGAGATTGAAGATGCTTCTCTTTAAAAATATATTCAACTTGGAGATATAGTAATGTGGCTACTACTCTCTTATAACATATTATTTTTCGGTTAATTTTTACTTAACATTTATCAAATTATAAAAAATTTAATCTTTTAATAGAAAACTATTAAAGGTTAAATAAGTTTATGATTTGTTTAAATACATTTATTTTAAAATGCATGTAAATAATATATATCTTAAATTAAATATTATTTGAGAAAGAATAAATAATTTAAATTGAAAATTTAGCCAACATTGTTTAATATAATTAATTATTTTTAGTTTATTCAAATAACTTACTTTTTATTGAAAAAACAAGAAATAAGTAAGTTGTAAAATTAGCAATTGAAATTATGTAAATAAAAAATTTTCTTGATGCAATTCAGTATTTTTTATGATATTTTTTGATGGATTTAAATTTATGGTTTAGATTTTTATTGTAAGTTAAATTAATTTAAAGATAATAAAATCTTTTTTATTTTACTAAATTTTAACTAAAAGGGCATAAATGAATATTTTTACAATGAATTATTAATTTGAAAGGAGTAATAATTTTAATTGTTCTTTTTAACATGGAATCAAAATAATTAGCTAAGAAAATAGAGAAAAGTTTAGTTTGAATTTTATTCATCAACTAATCATTATCCATTTATCTTCTGAATCATAGTACAATTTAAATTTAAATTGTTGCTTATTTTATAGGTCTTCAAATTAAAAGACCTAGTCAAGATATTAAGGATGTAATCTGCATGAATCATATATAAGTATTATAAAATTTATGTATTTTATGCTATTACAAAACTACTAAAGTTTATATTTATGGGGATGTAGTTATTATTTTATAATTATCAAAATAAAAAGAAAACTATTAAAATGATGAAAATTAGCTAAATAAATTGTTTTGATTACTTCAAAATAATTAAAGGGGTTTGCTTTTAGGTTTTAGTAGCCAAAAAAATTACACATTTATAATAAAAAATCATAAAATAAATATTTTACAATAAAAAGTAAAATAAAATTATGTAATTAAGTAATCTAATGTGTAGCAAATCCAGGAATTAAAATCTTACTTTTCTATATCCTAATTTAATACCTGGAAGTGCTATATTTTATAATTTCAAAAGTAAACTCAATAATAGTTTAAATATATAAGGAATTAAAATTTAATAAGCATAAGTAAATTTTAAAAATTAGAAATCAAAAATATTATTATATTCTTTCTAATTTAAAGAAAGCATTTAAATAAATAATTAATTTTGAAATTAGCAAATTAAAAACTCCTAAAATAAATATTATTTTTGAAAAAAAATTTTTTAAATTAATTATAAATTATATATAATATATCCAGTTTTTTACAATAAAAAGGTTAATATTTAAAATTTATGAAATAAAAAACTACTATTTAAGCAATGTAAAATTATAAAAAACAGAAAATGCTATTTACTAAATTATATCAATATATATTTTTAAAATTCAAAAATAAACTTAATAATTATTTGATAATACATTTTCTAATATTTAATTAATTTGATTTATAGTATTTTTTATTATATCATCATATTTATCATCCCATATACTATGTAAATCTATTAAAGCATCTTTTTTATTTTAAATTTTTCTTCTTTTATTATAATTTTAAATACCTATTTTATTAAATTTCATATATTCTCAATGGAATTTAAGTTAGGTGAAGAAGATGGATGAGGAATTAATTATATTTTAATATTTTCAATTAATTCTAATGTTTTCTTTGATATATTAGAACATTTATTATTTATATTAAATATTTTTATTGATTAAGGTAAAATCTCTTTTCTAAATATCATATTTATAAATTAGAGTTAATATTCACTTCAAGAATATATTAATAGATTTACTTTTTAGTTGAAATATTTCCCAAAAAATGTAAAGAACCTTATTTATTGCTATCTTTTTTTAGATTTTTGTATTACTATCATTCAAACTAAAATCGGAAAAGGATACATAGTAAAAATCCTATTCTTATAATTATAAGATTTTGCATACTTCAGCATTTTACTCTATAAAAATTATTTTTTGTAAAATTTATCATTAATTTAGGTTTTTTTTGAGTGTTATTAATTTTTAGCAAAGAAGACAATTTCTAGATACTATAGTATATTTAAGAATTTAATTCAAAATTATTGCATTTCTAAAAGAAATTTAGTTATAATAAGGTATTAATTTATGATCATTTAGGATAAAATACAAACTTGTAAAAAAATTTTTCATTTTGAATAAATAATTTAAATTGAAAATTTAGAATATAATAAAAATTTTAATTTTCTTTGATATATTAAAATAAATAATTTTTTATTGAAAAATCAATAAATAAATAAAAAAATTTTGTTGATGCAAATCATTATTTTTTATGAAATATTTCAATATGGGTTTTTAAAATTGTTAAAATGTAGATTGGAAGTTAAATTAATATAAAGATAAAAAAATCTTAATTTTATTTAACTAAATGTTAACTACAAAGGCATAAATGAATATTTTTACTAAGAGTTATTAATTTGAAAGGGGTTATAATTGTAATTGTTCTTTTTAACATTGAATTATGAAATAATTAGAGAAGTATATAGTTATCTAGTAGTATTTCAGGATCAATTCTTTATAGCAGAGAAAAGTTTAGTTTGAATTTTATTCATTAACTAATCAATATCCATTTTATCGTCTTCATCATAGTACAATTTGAAGTTAAACTGTTGCTTATTTTTTAGGTCTTCAAATTAAAAGACCTAATCAAGACGAAGGCAATCAAGGATACGATCTGCATGAATCATAAGAGGACGATATGGTTCAGGATCTTTGCTATCTTTAATTGAAGTTAGGATCTGCTAAACTAGTTCATGGCAATAGTCTTAAAGCATACTTTTAAGAACAGCATCAATGTTTTAGTTAATGTTAGAGGATATTGCAGCCTTGACTTATGGATCTATAGCAGAATTAATAATTTTTGGGGAATTTTGGATTTTGTCTAACATAGAGTTAAAATAAAGACGGAAAACTTCATGTTCTTTTTCAATATACATGAAAATATCATTAAAATCTTTAGTATCAACAAACATATCCCAAAGTTCAAGCTTAAATACATTTTCTTTCTTTCTCATTTTACCAGCTAAAAATTCTACAAGTTAAAGTAACTTCTTGACCAATAAGAATCCTACTAATTCTGAGCTCTTGAGTGTAGTGTTATTCATAGCATCTTCAGCAACTGATGCAAGGAAAACATAAATATTACGCTCGTGGAGAATACGGTTGGCATTACGCTTCTTGATACGGATTTAAGCTTCACGGACAGATTCTTTAGTTTACATTTCATCTTCTTCTGTTTATTTGCTTTCTTCTTGAGCCTAATTATTTTAAACAGCTGGTTAAACTTCCTCAACACGCTCTGTTTAACGCTTAATTATTGCACCCTAATAATTGTTTTAATTTTTGCCTGCTTTTGCTACGTTAATTGCATAATTATTAATTTCTTGTTTCTTTTCAATTTCACTTGGATGTTAAATAACTTTATTATTTTTAATGTAGAAACGAGACATATTCATGGAGAGTAATCCTTCATCTTTCAAAGTTGCTTCTAAATCATTCTTAATCTTATCTTCAAGGAAATTGTTGATTTTATGACTGAACAATTAGTCCCATTCGATTCTCTTACGAGGATCTACAACAAGCATTTTACGAATTATATCTTCAGTGACATCTGAAATTTTATTTATCTTTTTAGGAATTTCTAATGGCTTATTACGGATATTTTTAATTAAATCAATCATGTTGCCAGCTGTGTAAGGAGGTCTACCAAACAAAAGCTCATAGAAAACAGTACCAATTGACCAGATATCAGCTTTATTGTTGTAATCTTATCCATCTAAAACTATTTATTGATAAATTATATGTTAAATTTTTCTTTTTATTTTAAAAAAATTTGCTATTTTATCGCTAAATTTGATGATTTGTATTTAAAACTGAATTAAATCTTTATTTCAGGCTAACTCTTACTTTATTTACTTAAAAATTTTAAATACAAAAGCTGTTAGCAACTTAAAATATAACTGAGTGCCCTCTAAAAAATGTATAGAAAAGCTTTAAAAGTATTAAAAATTGACTTTAAAAAGATTTTTGTGTGTTTATAGTGAGTTTTTTATAAATTTTATGAAATTTATATATTATTTGCTATTGTAAAACTACTAAAGTTTATAAATTTTATGGAGATATAGTTATAGATTTTAAAATTATCAAAAACAATAAGAAAACTAATTAAATGATGAGAATTAGCAAAATAAAACTTATTGATCGCTTTAGAATAATTAAAGGGGTTTTCTTTTAGCTTTAATAACCATTTGCATTCATTTTATCCCAAAAAAGAAACCATTTACTGAAAAAGCCAATAAAATAAAAAATAAGAAATTTTTTTACCTTCTGGAGCCATATTAAGAGGTGAACCTAACATTGTTGAGGTAAGGTTATCATTACCTAGCAACTTGGCGAAACCAAAATCTGCAATTTTGATATTACCATTGTGCTTTAAAATATTAGCTAATTTAAAATCTCTATGCATAATTTTATTCTTAACAAGAGTTTTGAAAGCATTTAAAATTTAGATTAAAAATTCAATTGCTTCGTCTTCTGTGAGATACTTTTTTTCTTTTTGGTATTGCATCAAATCACCTTCATTGCAATATTCTAGCATCAGATAGAAATTGTTAGCTGTCTTCTTAATGTCGTAGAGCTTGATAATATTTTCATTATTGCAAGTACGAAGAACTCTAATTTCGTTTTCAAGTAATTCGTTAAATTTTCCTTTGAGTAACTCTCTCTTGACTACCTTGATGGCAATATCTTGGTTGTTAACCTTATTATATCCCTTGAATACATCACCAAATTAACCTGATCCGATCTTTCTTTCGAGTACGTAGTTATCAACAATCTTGGGCATTTTATCTCTTTCTTTAACTTAACAATTGAATGTCTGTGAATAACTATATCTTTGCTTTTTATTTATTTATTTTTTTGTTCTCTTTACTATCAATATATTTAATTATTATTATTTATCAATAAATTACTTTATTTGACGAGTTATCTAAAGCAACCTCTTTTCCTGTATTCATCAAGCAATACATTTCCATTCTTGATAGCTTTTAAACTCAAATCATCAGTTTTCACATTTCATCTTATTTGTTAAAAGGGAGAAAAATAAATAAATAAAATATGTTCATTAGCTCTCAAAATGTTTGTAATCCTTTTTAAATTTATTTAATAGAAAATTTAATTTTCAAAAGAAATTGCCTTTTTCATAAAAAGAAGATCTCTCAGCTTCATTAACTCAGTTAATGAAATAATTATTTGTGGTTCAAGATGATTTTTAACTACTTTTAGAAATTGATTTATTTGATTATGAAGTTACTTTTAATACCATAGATGCAAATAAATTATAAATAAAAAATGAGTGATAATTTATTTATATGGCTATTAAAAAGTTTTGCTTGATTCACAAAATTGTTAAAATAGATTGTTTAAAATTTGTAACAAAATATCATTTTTATAGATCATGAAAAGACTATAAATAAATAAATGTATGTGTAACTGATAAAAAACAAAAAACACTCAATAAGAAAATTTATAAACAAATATAACAAATTTAGAAAAACTCTAAAACTGATATGATATGATTGGATTTGCGAATTTTATAATTAATGTATCACATTTTAAGAAAAAAATGTGATTCGTAGATTTGAAATTGCTACTAAAACTTCTTTCTATTGATTGCTATTTTTAGGATTCAAGAATAAAATCAGTATATTTTATAATACTTCTCTTTTAAATGATATTTAGAGCCAGTGATTTATTCTGTAATCTCTTCAATTTATTTCTATTTACTTTAAATTAAAATATCATTATAACTATATGAGATTGATAAATTTTATCTAATGAATTTTAGTTACACTCATTGCTAGTATTAAAGCTATCCATAAGGTTAAGATATCAATTAAACTCCAGGAGTCAACTATTGTTGTTGTTAATAAAGAGATCCTTACTGCATACCAAAGCCTTATTAAGGTAATACCTATTAATTTACGTATTAAACTTAAGGACTGTATGCATATTAAACTTATTGTTACTAAGGTTGGTATGATATTATTTACTATTATTGTTATTAAGCAGCTTAGATTTGTTAAGCTTAATTTAAGGGAATAATTCTAATTTATGAGTTGCTTAATGGTTGTCCAGGTATTTGCATTGAAACTTGATTAACTTATTGTTAGATAGGTTACTACTATACTTGCTATTGTTAAGAGATATTTTAGCGTCCTAGTAAAGTAATTCCTTAAACTGGTTATGCTTATTATTATAGCTATTGTTGTTATTATTATTAATGCTATACTTGTGAAATTGGTACAAGTCTCAATTATGAATTACTTAATGTTTAGAATTAAGGTTGCTATATTTCTTAGATAAGAGGCTGTCCAGAAATATGAACTACTTGCTATGATGGTGATTGCTATAACTGTTCCTAGTATTAAGAACTTGGAACTAATCTAACTACAGATTGCATAAGAGGCTATTAAGATATATAATCTGTTTATTGCTAAGGTAGACCAATAACTGCAGGAGGATTATGAATTACTAACTAGTTATCAAAGGCATTCACTAACCCTTACATATCATCTACTTATACTTATTGCTATTAAACCTAATCATAAGGAAGAAGACGTAATTGAGAAGATGATTATCTTTCTACACCAGAAAATTGTTAACGTGGCTAGAGAGTAGATAATGAATTGACTCTATACTTGTTTTGTTATTATTACTACTATTAAGCCTAGTAAGGAGCATATTATTATTGTTGTTGTTGTTGTTGTTATACCTGATAGCCACCAACTATTTGCTACTAAGCTTAAATATTTTAAGGCTACTAAACATATTATACCTGCTATCCTAGTTGATTTTAACCTACTTAAATCACCTGAGGTTGTTAAGATGCTTTCTACAATTAAAGTTACTGGAATTATTGAATTGTGAGTGGTTAAGGAGGAGGCTATTAGACATATTATAATTATTGCTACTATTATTATTAGGGAAATTAAACAACTTAACGAGGAGGATATTGAGATTAAGGAACTTAGTGTTGTTAAAAACGATTTTAAATTTATTATATGATCTATTCCTAAGTTGGTAATCCAGATCCTTAAATATTTTACACATAAATTTAATGCTGAGATTATGGAGAAACTAAATTTTAGCCCTATTCTTGAGCAGGAGATCCTTAATAAACTTAATACCCTTATGGTAAGCCAGTAGTTTAGCTCTAAACTACCTATTATTATGGTTGTTATTACATCTAAACAGATTATGAGTATTATGAAAACCCAGATCCTGCAGGAACTTAATTATTAGAAGAGGCGAATGTTGGAGATTGAGTTTAGTATTAAGAATATTGAGTTCTCTACTCAGAACGTTGCATGCCAGCTAAAGCATGAGAAGGAGTACCTAAATTTATTTATTAGTCACCTAGATATTGAATCTTTGCATAGACCTTACCAGCTTCTTACTCTTTAATTATCAAAGGAAACCAATCTTAAATAACGCTTGATGATTAGATTTAAGAGAATGGAATTTTAGCAACACCCAATAGTTATCCTGAAGAGCTTTGAGGTGTTTCTAAAGCACTCAATCTGATTTCTAAAGAATCCTCTGTACTTCTATTTAATCTAATATCATCACTCCATTAACCTTAAAATTTATCGCCAGACCATACTTGAGTTCTTCTTACTTAACTACCAAGACGAACCAAGATAATAAGATGCTGATGTGCTTGTATGTTTTCGATTGTTTAGTTCAACTAAACTTATAATTAATTAATAACTAAGTTGCTCATTTTATGACTTACTTACTTAATTGTTCCCTAAAATATCGCTTTAATTGTTTTCAAAATAATTTGATAAATTTTTTATATTTTTGAAATTATTAATTGTTAGATTATTCAAGATAATTAGATATATTAGTTATCTTTATTCAAAATCTATTAAAATTAATTTTGAAATTTTATTTCAATCTTATGACTTTTTATTTAGAAAGATATTCATTTAATAAAATCCATCTATCTATCATAAGGTTATCAGCTTTGTTAGTATATTTTGATAAATTTTATCCATGAAATTTGTTTTGAATTTAATGAAAAAATAAATTAAATTTTCTAAAAATGTAAAATATTTTTTATAAATTTAAATAATTTTAATCTAATTAATTTAACTAATTCTTTATTTTTATTCATTAATTTTTCTTTTTAGGATTGATATAAAAAAATTTTTTCTCATTTAATCTTTATATTTCAGTTAAGAAATATAAATTCTATAAATTATCAAAAACTAAATAAAAAATAATAATTTAAAATATATGATAATTTATATATTTAAACTAAAAATTTTATTGTAAAATGATTTTTGGCGTAGATAATAATATTATTTAATTTTACTTTTTAATTTCTTAAAAAATCAATTTTATTAAAGCCTCTTTTCTTTTTAATTTTGGTATTTAAAATATTTAGAAAAAAAAATGTTTTAACTAATTGGGAGTAAAGTTAGGAAAAGTTGAATTTGAAATTCATAAATGATCATCTGCAGTAGTAAATATTTTTAAAAGATTATAAAATAATGTTTTTTCTAAATTCTATTCACTTACTTAAAATATTTAAATAGTTTGCATTAACCTCAAAATCAATGTTCGCATAAAGTTTCAGTGTTGAATATTTTATTTATTTATTTTCATCTTATTTTATGTGTTAAAATTTGATTTTAATAATATTTTTTGAGATAAAAGAATTAAAAAAATAAAAGTAGCATTTTTTATGATAAAACATATGATAATGATTTTATTAAAAATTAATTATTTCAGTTTAAAATAACTTTTAAAATAAAGATTTTTGGCTTGCACCTTTAAATACTCCCTCGCAAATTTCTAATATTTTTTAGAATTATTAATAATTTGATTAAATTAGACAGCTTATTATAATTTACATAGAAATGTCTGACGAAGAGAGCTAAATTAATTTCGATGATGAGGAAGACAATAGCGGAGACGCTTCTTAAGAAAAATCAAATTCTCAAGATATGGAAAACGAGGATGAAGATGAAGAGGATAATTCCTAAGAGGATGAAGAAGATAATGATGATGATGAGGATGATGATGAAAATGATGATGACGAAGATGATAATTAGGATGATGATGAAGAAGATGATGAAGATGAAGATGACGAAGAAGAAGATGATAAAAGTAAATCTTAAGAAGAAGATGAAGATGAAGAAGATGAAGATAAAGAAGAGGAAGAATAGGAAGAAGAAAAAGAAGAGGAAGAAGAAGAAGAGATAGAAGTCTAACAAAAAAAAAAGAGAGGTCGTAAATCAAAAGCTGATTTAGAAAAAATGCAAAAAGCCAAAACAGCTGCAGAAAAATAGACATAATCTAAAAAGGCTGCAGCTGAATAACCTAAAAAACCAGGAAAGAAAGGAAGGAAGAAATAAATAGAAGAAGAAATAGATGAAGAAGCAGAATAAGATGATTAAGATGAAGACAAAAGTGATTAAGATGAAGATAAAGATAGTAGAAGTGAATAAGAAAGCATGGAAGAAGAAGACGAAGAAAATGAGGAAGATGATGAAAATAATAATTAAGAAGAAGATGGTTATGATGAGGATGATGGTGATGATAGCGATAAAGATGATTAAGATAAAGAGGATGAGGAAGACGAAGATAAAGATGAAGATGAAGAAGATGATATGGATGACGATGATGATAATTTATCAGCAGGCTCTGACAAGAGTAATAGAGAGATTGAAGAAGAAATGGAAGAAGAAGAGGATGATTAAGATGGATATTATTTATAAACAGATCCAAATGCCTTTTAAGTAATTAATAAAGTAGGAAGTTATAGTGTTAATATTTATAGGCTTACAGATTTTTATAGATATTCTTCTAAGAAAGTGTAAAAACTAATCCTAAAAGAATTAAAAATGCATACTAATATGAGAAATCGTGTCTAGAAAGATAATAGGGAATATATTGAAAAGTAGTAAAATTTTGCTGATCGTCTTTTAGAAGAATGGCGTACTCATAACTAAATTTAATAATTTGATGATTTAGTTCCAGATGAGGCTAACGAAGAGGGTAACTTAGGATAGCAGGCATCTATTTAAAAATCAGCTTCTTAGAATCATCCTTAAATTTAACAAGGTTTGCATGGACATCCAAGCTTTTAAGGAAAGTTGAACTAAAATTAAAAAATTAGTCACCACACTATACTTAAAAAGAGTGATTTAAATATTACTTAACTTGAATCGGCGATTTATGAAGATGCAAAAGCAAGTAAATCAGATTATTTCCTTCACTTTAATAATATAAAGCAAAGCTTTCAAATAGTACCTTAAATGATATAACGTATTTACAATCCAATCTCTTCAAATGAGTACTTCACTTAGCTAAGAGATGAAATGATTAAAAAAATTATAAGTGGAGAGAATAAATTTGTACCAGAAGAGGAAGAAGAAGATATTATTGAAGATCTTTATGAAAAAGAATATATGAGATTATATAATGGTATGAGAAAAGATGCTAAGGCAAAAAGTTCTAGCAGCTAATAAAAAAAAGAAAAGAAGTCTAAGATGGAAGAATTTTAAAATTAATCTGATTTTATAAACGAAGATGAGGATAACGATTCTTACAAAATGAAAGATGAATCTGATAACAATTTCTTGATAAACGATGATAGCTAAGGAGAAAATGAATAAAGAAAAGGTAATAAAAGTAAGAAAGAAAAAAATAGTAAAAAGAAATAAAATGATGAAGATGATGATGACGATTAAGACTCTGGTAAAAAGAAAAAGAAGTCTAAGAAATCTAAAAAAAGTAAGAATAAAGTGAAAAAGGAAGAAAAAAGAAGAAAGAAAGACAGTAATGATAGTAGTATAAGTTTAGGTGATGATTCATATAAATTAACTCCAAGTAGAAGTGAAAGCTTTTCTTAAAGTAATAGTTCCTCTAATGAAGACAATAGTAATGCTAGCAGTAGCAGTGGAGATGATAATTCTTCAGGTTATGGTGGAAGTGATAATGATTCAGCATCTGGCAAAAAATATAAAAATTCCAAGAAAGGCAATAACAGAAAAGATTCAGAATCAATGGAAATTGGTAGCGAAAATGAGGGAAAATATAAGAGGAAATAAAAGAATGAGAATAACGATAATGTAAATAGTTAAGAAAAGAGTGATTCTGTGATTTTGAATGCTATGAGTATCGAAGAAAGAGAAATATCGAGAGAAAGAAATAAAAATTCTGACATTTAAAGTATAAATCTTCTATAAATTAAGCAAAAGAAGTACAAAGAGAATTGCATGGATTTAGAAGATAAAAATTTTTTAGAAAATTTCTTTAAATTTGACTACAATAACAAAAAGCTGATTTAAAGTAAAATTCATTCTGAGCCTAAAAATCAATCCTTTTAGTTTAAAATTGGTGATGAAATTGAAAAAAAGTAGAATTTGTTTGGAGAACCTATTGACATGGAATAGCCACCACCTTTCGCTCCCAACTCAAAAATGTTCCGTATAACTTAACAAGAAAAAGATTTTATTCACATAGAGGAACCAAAATAAGGAAATTATATCAACATTTAAATATCAAGCAACACAGATAAGAATAAATAAAAAACATAAGCTGAAAAAGATAAATAGAAAGAGTTAAATTAGATGTAATAATAATAGTTTTAATAATAATAGCAGGCATTGTAAAAGGATGGCAATCCTGCTTTTATTAACTAATAGAAAAAGAATTTGTTAGCTAAAACAGAAAAACTACCTAAAGAAACTTTTGTTGTAAAGAGACATTTGATTTCTAAATAATTTGATTACTATAACTCTGAACTACTAAATTGTGGTTGGAATTAACCAAAAGAGCACTATAATAATATTCTAATTGATTTAAATGATCCTCAATTTTTCTTAGAAAAAGTAAACACCTTTTTCTCTACTTAAAAAAAAGAACGTAAAGATGCTTTTTACAAATGGGATTAGTTGTAAAAGAAACTACACGTCGAAGAACGTGGAGATACTACATCAGTAATTCCTAAATCAATATTTTCTGGTTTACCAGATTAAGTTAATCAAGGGGTGTCTGAGGATTAACCTTCTCAATTCATCGCTTCTTTGTAACAACAGTAACAATAATATCCTGTTAATCTAAAAACCTTCATTGAATAAAAGAAAAGAGATTAAAAAGAAATACCTTAAAAATATGATCATTCAAGAGTGGCTAAATAGTTTGAATTCAATTATCTAACACAAGATGAAAATGTATTTAAAGACTACCACTACTGGGACTTATTTTAAAAAATCCGTATTGCACAGCGACAATTTGATAAATAATATTAAGATTATATTTAATATTTAAACACTATGTAGTCTTAATAACCTGGAATGCCTTTATTATAGTAGTAATAATCGTAATCATCTAATACAATTAGCATATCAACACCTAAATTAGGTCCTTAGTAACCTTTAGGAATGCCATCAGCTACTGCTTTAGGAGGAAGTGGACTTATACAAATGTAGCTTCCACCTATTCATCTAAATTCTTAATAATCATAAGGCGGATAACCTACTACACCTACTTCCACTCCTTCGAATACTCGCCCTATTGTCTAGCCAACTTAGAGTTTAAATAAGATATCAATAAAAATGGCACCAACAACTAAAGATACAATAGTGAGCATCCCTTTCATGAATTAAAATGCTAATTAGTAAGCACCTGGCGCTTAATAAAATCCTTCAAATCCTACCCTTATAACAATATAAAATCCATTAGCAGGAAAAAATTAGTCATCTTCAATTATATCTTTGACTACAAACGCTTCCTCAGATAAAAGTTCTTCTCTGTAAAAGGATAGAAAAGATAAAAATAACTTAGATAAAATAATGGCTCCTCAAATAATAGATTAAAATAAATAATCTATGCCTCTTTAGAGATAACCACCTATAAAAAATCCTATGCTAAACGAATGGAAGTCTATTCCTATTGGAATGTAACCAACTGATTATTGTCTAAAAACAATAAATCCTGATATGAAATGCTTAGAAATTTCAGAAGAAAAAGTAGAAAGTTATAACCACTTCAAGAGTAAGCGTAACTTAAGTCTAAAAAAAGACGTTGTTATCATGATGGAATACATAGAAGAAGATCCACTTGTGCTACAAAATATAGGTATGAACAGTAAAATCTTCCGTTATGCTTACCATAATAGAATATTTAAAAAAATTGAAAATGACTCTAAGAAATAAGAAACATTAAATCAAATAAACTAACAAAGCTAATTACAATAGCAAGCTAATGAGAGTATGGATTTTGATAAAAATTACAAAACTATTGGCTAATTCTAGAGCTACATGCATAGAAAGTAGTAAGAAGGATAGCTTGTAGATTTCGAAAAAGAATTGTAAAAGTTTAAATAGTATATTCAAGATTATCTTGGAGAGCTTGGTAGAGTTGTATTTTATGACGACAATGATAAAACTAACTTATTCGGTTAACTGGATGATCAAGAAGAAGGAAAAGAGTCTCTAGGTATAACTGTGCTTGAAAATCATTTATTTAAAGCTCCGATTTTCAAATAAAGGTTACCTGAAACGGACTTTTTACTTGTTAGATAGTAAGAAAATGATAAATGTAATTATTACTTAAGACCTATTGAATATGTCTATGTAGTAGGATAAATAGAACCTTCGAAATCAATTTATCGTCCTCGTTCAAGAGATATCACTCCTTACATGAAGAACTGTATGAATACTTTTATTATGATAAAAATTTAGAAAGAAAAGAAAGTACATTTCCAAGATCTTTTAAATAATTTCAGTAAAAATCTCACAGAAACATAAATCCGTTAATAAATTAAGAAGAAAAATCTTAAACCTGAGTTAAATAATAAGAATACCTTTGTTCCAAAAGACAATGATTAAGACTCGGATAATGAAAATGCACATGATCCTGAATTGACACCTGAACAAGCATGCATGTTTGAAAAAATGCTTTCACATGTATATCACCTATCAAATGAAATAGGATTAAAAGAGTTAAGAACAACTGAAAAATTAAAAAACGTTCTTGCTAAATTCTAAAGAGATTACCCAGAGGATATTAAAAATTATACAATTGCAAAGCTGATAACAGACAAACTCTCCCTCACTCCATGGTCACTTTCAAACAACTTTGCACATGATAAATAAAAGCTTTACCTTGAAGGTCTCGGTGATCCAACAAATGGTCATGGTGGTTATTCATTCATTAAGAGACCCTTAAAGAAGAGGTATTACTTAAATTAAAATGTATTTAATAATTAATTTATTTATTTGTTTTTATAGATCAGAAAAGGATGATAAATAAAATAATAAAGAAGATGAAAAACAAAAAGAAGATCTGCGTAAATTAAACATCAGTGAAATAAATAATATTTTATCGAAACTTGGAATTGTAAAAAATATTTTTCTTTCTTATAATTTACATATTTTTACCCTTATATTTTACAAAAAAAATTCATGATGTAAATAAAAATTTATTATTTGAACAATTAGAATTTGGATACAAAAATTGGAGAGACTAAAAAATAAAGATGGGCAAAAATTGAGTTAATTAAGAAAAAATTAGATGAGATCGATCTTACTGAGAGAGAAGATTTGTTGGAATTAGCTAAGTTTAAAAGAAAAGATCGTAAAACTGTAAAGGAAGCTGAATAGCATTACTAAAAAAAAATAAACTCTTTATTCCATATATTAATTTAACATTTGAGCGAACAAGATCCACCTGAAATTCCATAAGAAGTAAAAGAAGATGATGTAGAATACTTACCTTTAGATCACTACATGGAAGAAGAAAAAAAGATAAGAGAAAAGAAGAAGAAATAATTAAAAATGCAAAAATCTGCAACACCTGGAGAGGGCAACATTGGAGATCAAATGGATCAGAGCGAAGAAGATGGTGATGAAGATGAAGACGAGGAGGACGAAGAAGATGAAGAAGAAGAGGAACAAGGTGATGAAAGCATGTCTGATCAAGGTTGAGAGTCTTGTTACAAAAAGATAAATTATTCTAAACATTAATAAAAAATTATATTTTAAAATAGAATTGCTACTTAATTTGATTTTGATAGTTTGATTAAATTAATTTTAATAATATTGTTTATATTGATTATAATGTTGTTAATATAAATTTTAATTATTTGCTTAATTAAATAAATTATTTTTAATTATAAAAACTAAAATTTCTATTAGAGAATAGAACAAAAAATTAATTAAGTAATTGAAAGATTTTATCGTAATCCTTCAGGTTGTTTTTAAATAGTGAAGCATATCTATTTTTGTGATATAGAGATGCTTTTATTGATTTAATAAAGATAATATTTAGTTATGTTGTTTGTAATATTTAATTTTTTTAATTATTAGTTAAAATAATTATAGAAAAAAAATAATTTAAAGGATAGATTTATAGTAAGTGCGCATTACTTTAATTTAAAAAATTAGAATAATGTTCATATTTTTAATATTTAATTAACTGTTTTGAATAAGCTTACTTGGTTATAATTAAATACAATTCAGATATAAAAATATTTAGTTGTACTGCTCATTAAGAAGATTCTACAAAATAATGTGAAAATACTAAAATTCAAAGAAAAATTATAAATAGTTCGCATTTTTAATTTAAGACGTATTGTAGTTTTTAGATCAATATAATTAATGTGGAATAATTTTAGATATTTAATAAAGAAAAAAAAGAGTATATTTCTGACGTCAAAGAGATTATTGATATCCAGCTAATAATAATAATTATTGCATTACTTATATCAAAGACTTAATTAAATATTTTTTAAATATAAGCAAGCTACATCTATTTTTTTTAAATGAAAAAATAAATAAAAGTAAAATCAAAATAAAAAAAACGAACCATCGCTGCGAATATTCACATTTTTACATATCTTGATGGACTATTCTAGATGAAATACTATGAATTTATTGATACAAAATATTTAGATAAGCGAATAAATAGATTATAAATATATTTAAAGGTTTATAGTGTTATAATGGATAGATACATTTTATCTAACTTTGCATGCATGCTTTATTTATTAAATACAGCTTTTCTCTAATTATTTTCATTATATAGTATCTAATATTCTATTGATCTCCTTTCTTTTATTTTTTCATCTTGGTATACATGCATATATACTTGATTTTTTAATATCTTGATGAGGTACTAAAGAGTATAATTATTCCTTGCTCAAATCAAAAGAAAGGAAAGAAAGAAAGAAGAAAAGAAAGAAAAAAAATAAAAATAAAATACAAATAAATAAAATAATCATCAAAAAGCTAAACTAATGATATCTAAGTTCTTCAATCCTGTTGCTGGTAAGACCTTCAACAGACTTAACAAGTATGCCTTCTCTTCAGTCACTATTAACCTTGTAATTCAATTATTTATTTAATCTTTTGCTAAGAATATAAATTTAGATAGAAATAGTTTATATTTTTCATTTTTTGACAGAATAACTAACTAACTCTCCAATGTTCGAATATTTGATTATATGGCGATAACTACTAAAATATTTCAAATTCTTGCAAACATTCAACAAAAAAGCTTATAAACTTTAATTTAAATTTACAAAATATTTAAGAAAAATAACTTAAATATGATACCAAGCATTTCTTTAGTTAAATATTGCAGTATCCCACGAATATCCTTATTGTCTAATTTCTGTTTTAAGAAATCTATTTCTACCTAATTATTTAGCAATCCTAAAACAAAAAAATAGAAAAAAATGATTGCAACTAGAATTTAAATGAAATAAATAGTGCTTAACAACCCTTACTTAATCTGATTTTTTTATGAATGATATATGATAGGAAGGATACTAGACTAAGATGTTAGACGGATTCAAATTGCCCACCTAATCAACTGCTACCAAGGAAGAATTATTGAAGCTCTACAAAGATATGAACGTTATGAGAAAGATCGAACTTGCATGCGATAAGCTTTATAAGCAAAGAGAAATTAGAGGTTTCTGCCATCTCTACGACGGTTAAGTAAATATCATATCATCAATTTTCTTATTATATAGCAAGTTTTTTACATTGACAAGATAACATAATGAGATCAATAGTATGACTTTTTAAATTTATAATAAAATATCTTTTAAAAATAATAGGAAGCTGTTATCTCAGGTATTGAAGCTGCTTGCAATCTTGAGGATGCAATAATCACTGCCTATAGATGCCATTGTCACGCTTACACAAGAGGTGACACTCCCCATTAAATTATTGCTGAACTTATGGGAAGAAAGACTGGTTCTACAGGTGGTAAGGGTGGTTCTATGCACTTCTACAGAAAGAAAACTCACTTCTATGGTGGTCACGGTATTGTCGGTGCTCAAGTAAAAATAATTTTCTAATTTATTATTTATTTTTCAGATATCATTTTTTCAGTTGTTAATTTAATTGAATAAAGGGACATGGTTTTTTTTTTAAAAAAGTAAGTATCTTTATTCAAAAAATAAAAAATTAATTAAAAAAAATAAAATTATATCAAAGACCTAGCTTTAATTAATATTCTTAATTTAACAATTTTTTTAAAAAAAGGTTCCCATGGGTGCTGGATTAGCCTTTGCTTTGAAATATGAAAAGAAGCCCAACGTTTCTATCACTATGTACGGTGACGGTGCTGCCAATCAAGGTTAAATTGCTGAAGCTGCCAACATGGCTGGTTTATGGAATTTACCATGCTTGTTTGTTTGTGAAAACAATCTTTACGGTATGGGTACCTCTACTGCAAGAGCTTCTCACAATACTGATTTCTACACCAGAGGTGACAAGATTCCTGGTATCAGAGTAATCAAAATCAAATAAAAATATAAAAGTTGTGTCTAAATAATTTTTTAAATCAATAAAAGATGGACGGTAATAACTATTTCCATGTTAAGGAAGGTTTCAAGTTTGCTAAGCAATATGCCTTAGAACATGGTCCTCTCTTCATTGAATTGAGAACTTACAGATATCACGGTCACTCTATGTCTGACTCCGGTACTACTTATAGAACTCAAGAAGAAATCAAAGAATTCAGATAAAAGAAGGATTGCATATAATTTATTGCTAATACCATTTTATAAAATAACTTTGCTACTCAAGAATAACTCGAAGTGATAATTTTAAATTACATTTTTAATAGAAATTAAAACTTTATTTTTCTCAAAATTAGGCTATCCAAGATGAAACTAGAGAAATTGTTGATAAAGCCGTTGAACAAGCTCTTAAAGACCCATTACCTGATGATCACGAATTGTGCACCGATGTTTACATTAACAACGATAAATGTAAATTGAAAAATTTCCAAAAAAAAATTTATTTAATTTAATTTTAACAAATAAAGACTACATCAGAGGTATTGAATACGAATAAGGTTACTTCCCTGAAGGCAAGCCCTACTGATTGCATTTATATCAAAAACAGTTTTTTTAACAGTGAATATTTTATATAAAAAATTATAATAGAAGTTTAAGTTGCTATTTTCCTTTTTACTTGTTTTTTAAATATTAACATTATAGCGTATTTATTCAATCAATTTATATCCATGTTGGTATTTTTTATTCGTTTACCTGATTTCTATTATATTCAAATTCCTTTATTTCATTAAAACCATTTTATTTTTTTTAACCAAGCATTTAATACTGGAAAGATAAAAAGATCATCTTCTTTTTATAGATTCAATTAATAATTTATTAGTTAATCTACCTAATTTTTTTTTCTTTTTAAAATTTTAAATAAATTTTCTAAAAACTCCAAATAAAAACATGATAAACTCTTCTAAATAAACCAAATATAAATATTTTTCAATTGACATACTATACTCTTATTGAGTTTTAAAAATTAAATATTTTAACATATAAATAAATATACACATTCAAAAAATAATATCTCATTTTATCATTTTCATTAATTTTCTATAATCTCCAAAAATAACTCTCATTAAATGTCTCTTTTCTACCAAAAGTACTGTATTTGACTCTAATTTACTAATAACTTTAGTTGACTCCTTAACTAATTTTAAAAATGAAAGTTAAATAAGTTAAAAAAATTAAATTTTTACTTTAATCCTTATCTAAGTTATTGTTCACTAAACCTAACTTTAATTATTTAATACACCATTAAAGTTCTTACTCAAAAGAGTCCTGTTTTTAATCACTTTTATTATTTTCATCTTAAACTTCCTATTATTTTTCTTCCTATTCCTACTTTTCCTATTCTTTTTTCTGAGCCTTTTTCTATTTTTACTTTAGTTTCTTCAACTAGTTAGGTGTTAGCTTAGTCTATTGTTCAGAGTTTTATTATTCTTCTTACTTGTCCTCAATTTCGAGGTTTTAAATCTTTTCTTGTACTTCCTCCATGGCTTTATTAATTAAATTTAGTTAGTAGTTTTTCCAGTAATCAAATAATACTTTTGTAGGATTTTGATCGCAAATTTAGTTTTTAATATTGATAAAATTTAACAAAAATTTTTCAAATTTATACTCTATCAAAAAAAAATAAAAAATTCTAACTTTATTCTTTGAATGCAATTTAATTAGCTTTAAATTTATAGAATCTTCATAAATATTTTTGTTTAACTATTTATTTTTTTCTAAAAAATTATTCTAGATTAAAAATTAAGAAAATTAAATATAGAAAAAATTGAATTTTTTGTTAAAAATAATTTTCTTTTATCTAATTATTAAATATTAAAAGTAAATTGTAATAGTTTAAATAAAAATTTTATATTAAGTAGGATTTTAGTTTTCAAATAAGAATAAGTTACTTTTATTATTCCTTCAAATTTATTAAATAAGATCTAACCATTTATCTTTAATAATAAATTTAATGGAGTTTTTTATATAAAAATAAAAAAATGGAATATCTTTTAAATAAATTTTAACTAGCTTGATTAAAACCTTTCTATATAAATTATATGAGCAAGAAACGTTAAATTAGGTTTTAATGAACTAAATTAACTCATATCAGGATAAAAAATATTAATTTGACTTCAGTATATCTATGAGATAATATTTATATTTTCTCTAACATATTTATCTAATTATGTCTGCCACTAATTTCAATATTTTTGATTTTTTTTAAGTTACTATGCAAAACTATTAGTCTTATATATGCGTTAGAAGTATAATTGATTACTTCTTATTTATGAATTTTCTACAAAATTTTTTTAGCAATAAAGAATTGAATGGCAAGCAAATAAAGAAAAATAAAATAAAAGAATCAAATGATCAATTATTATTTTATATTTACATAATATAGTCTTATGATTTAATTAAAGATAGATCAAAATCATTGCAGAATTTTATATTTAAGGATTTGTGGATAATTTAATAAATTTTATCAAAAATAGAAATATAGTAGAAACTAGTTGATATGAAAAATCTTCATATTAAGACTATTTAGGAGGAAAACAGGGGTTTAGAGGATAGTTTCTTAACTTAATCAGATTCAGGATACAAAGCCTCCTCAAACCCTTTTGGTAAAAAGCGCTCCTCGTTAAGTAAAAACGAATTTTATGCAAAATATCTCAAAAAGAATTTTGACTTTTCTCAAGATGATGATCTGCAAGTATTAACTTAACAAATTCCTTTGTATTATTATTATAACATAGTGATAAACTTTATATTTTCAATAGGTTATTTATGATATAATTCAAAAATAAAATAATTCAAAATCCAATCTGGATTTGATGATCCTCTAGAATGCCTTTAAAAACATAAGATTATTTTAGGAGTTAGAGAATGAAATACCATAAAAATAAATGTTTAATTTGTATCGAGAGTTGCTTCATTATGAATACTAGCCAAGATAAGTTGTTTTTAACTAAGGAGAAATAGGTAGAGAGTTTTACATAATCTTGAAAGGATCAGTCTATATTATAGGAAATGAAGATAAAAAATAATAAGATAATCCCAAAAAAGAAGAGAAGGGAACTGAGAACTAATAAAATATTCAAGAAGAAATGGAAAATGAAAATGAGTAAAAGCATAATTAAAAATAATAGCCTTTAGTTTAAACAAATACATCTAAGTTAGCTAGGAGGTTATCTAAGAAATCTAGTTTTGTTATGTATTCTTAAATACTTGATCCAAATAATTAAACCTTGCAAAGAAAATCGACCTTAGAGCGTCCTCCTACTTTTGTTTAATAAGGAAAGTTTTTATATAATAGCTTAAAAAGAACAACTTCATTAATATATGACATCGATGAGGACATTACAGATGAAGAGTATATAAAATTAAATTACCCAGATTTTGATATATTAGCAAAGCTAGAACAAGGAGCTTCTTTTGGAGAAGTAGCACTAAGAGATTCAGTTCCAAGGTAATCTTTATAGCTTACATTAAATTATATTAAAAATTTATAGTTTTAGTTTATTGAATCTTTAATATGAGTAAATTTAATTTATTTATTTATATAAAAATTTACTATATTAGAACAGCTACAGCCATTTGTTCAGGAGAAACTCATTTTATTACACTCAAAAGGGATGCCTTCAAAAGATTTTTAGGTAAAGTAAAATCATTTGAAGTTTATTTGTAATTTTAAAATTACATACAATGATAATTAATTTTTATGATTGATAAATAAATAACATTTAAAAAGCATTTAATTTAAAAAATTGTATTATTAAAAGCATAAATTAATTTTAAAGCATCAAATTTCATCAAATTATTTTATGGCAATTTCTTTCTAAAAATTCTCATTTTTTTGTTGAAAATATCTCCTCTTTAAAATAGCTTTAATTAATGAAATGGAATTGTTATGACATTAATAAAACTAAAATTAATATAATAATATTATTTATTTAATAGAGTAATATTACAGTGTAGTACAACAGTAAAACATAAACTTCGTTAAATAGATTGCACTCTTCTCTAACTGGACAGATTAGATGATTAACTAAATGTTTTATTATTTGGAAAAGAAAACTTTTAGAATGAACTAGACTATTTACAAAGAAGGTTCAGATTCTTTAGGGATCTACTTAATAAGGGAAGGCGAAGTTAAAGTATATTTTTAAGTTTTATTTATTTTTATTTGATTTATAATCTTAATTTTAAAGTTGTATCAAGAAATGCAGTTGCCAAAAAATGAATAGGATAAGCTAAAAAATGTTAGACATTTTATGAGAAAATTAGATTTTGCTAAGCAATAACATATATTTTATGCTCCAGTAAATAATTACTTTAATATAAATATTTTTTATACTAATATTATGATTATTAATTTAATAAAGGTTAGTCATCTTGCTCAAGGATAAATGTTTGGACATGAGGATATAGTGAATTCTTCTCAAAGAAAATATACTGCCATTTGTTCTTCTTCAAATTGCTAAATTTTATTTTTAAATAAAGAAGTAAGAATTGAGCTTTTTTTATATTTAGAATTAATAATTGTTTTATTTTTATAAAAAGAAATTCTTGCAATTAAGTAAAAGAAGAAACACTATAGAGAACGCTTTTGAAGAGTCTGCGATGAAACAAGAATGGCATAGCTAATTGATATCTAAACTTGAATCTTTTACTAAAAATTAGAATGAATTTATCAAAAGACAAGAATCTCAAAAATATAAATTGCTATTAAGAAACAACATTTAAGAAGGAAAAAGAAATTCTCAAATTTTTGAGAACAAAAATTAAAAAACTCAAAGAAGAAGCAACTAATCTTTGCCTTCTTCTCTTTTAACTTAATAAAGTTGTTAAATTGGTGATTTTACCAACTAATAAAATAATCATCTGAAAGTTGAAATTAGCTAATTTGACCCTACTAATTTAAATAATTAAGAAAAGTTACTTAAAAATTTATAACCACTAAAAGAAAATAAGAATCTTTAACAAATTATTTTATTGAAATAAAATTGTTAGCTTAAATCTTTAAAAAATGATTTGAAGTGCAAGTAAGATATTTCAGATGCATTTATGAGCTTTGCCACTGCTGAAAATACCCCTCTTTAATCTGAAAAACTAATTAAGCACTCAAGTGCTAAAAATTTATTTTTAAAAAATTAAGACATATCAACAATTATAGAAGACTAAAGATTAAAAACAGATTCTTCTAAATAGAGAAGACCTCTTTCAGGTTTATCACTTGATATTTAGAGAAATAGTGAATCTAAATAAGTTTGTTAGACCATAAATTCTATGGCAAATATTGATTTACCAAACTAAAAAGCCTAAGTTTCTTAAAGCTAAATTGATATAAATGAATAACAAATAAATGATTTTTAATTCTTTAGTGATCAAAAACACAAGAGTATATCATCAGATTAGCAAAAAAAACTGAGAAGGATATTAGATAGTAATAATAAAGTAAATAAAAATGAGAGTCCAATTAGAAAATAAAGTATAAATTAAGATTTCTTAAGACAACTGATTGACAACTCTTTGCATGTACCTAAAAGAATTTAACAATCCTTGCTTAGTTGCTAAGAAGACAGCTAAATTAATTTAGAATCATAATGTATTTCAAAATTAGATATTGATAACTAGATAATACCTACTTGTTAATCTATGCATTTATTCAAAAAAAGAATTATGAGCAAATACCCAAAGCTTGCTACTGAATAAAAAGAAAGCAATTAGATTTCTTTAAAATAGTAAATAAATGATTTAGAAAGGCAACAAAGAATTCTTAAGTCTTTGAAATTGCCAAAAATCAGAAAAAATTCCTCTAATTTTATTGATATCTTTATGCCAATCGAACCTTAGAGTTAAAAAAACTTAGATTAAAAGCCAGCGTTGAAAGAATTAAACAATAGTTTTGATTTAGGCAACTAAAAGATGATATAATCCAACTTGAGTGAAATTAAAACTCCTATTAAAAGAAATAAATCTCAAAATAGTATCAGCATTATTGAAACACTAAAAAATTTGAAACAAGAGCTCATCGAAAAGAAGATAAAAAGCGATATTCAAACTAAAGATAAATAAGACTTGTTTAGAAGGAAAAATGTATCCTAATCAAGTTTATTAGAAGAAAATCACGTTTTTGATCTTAAAAAATTAGCATAACAAAACTACAACTTTTAAAATAAATTTATTGACATAAGTCATAATCCTAATATACTACAACAAATATTCACTAAACCAAACAAAATAGAAGAACCTAAAAAGTGAATTTACTAAATTTTTGAAATCCCTTTAAAATTACTACAAATCAATAAATAATAAATGTTCACTAAATGATGTATAATTTAATTTAAAAATATTAAATAATAATTTTATATAAAAAAATAATAATTAAAATTTTGTGTTTTATTTAAAATAAAACTCCTTCCTTTTGTACCAAACTTAATTAAAATTTTGACATTTATGAGTAAAAAATATTAATTTTATATGAAATTAAATGTTTAAAGAAAAATAAAGTTGAACATTTTACTTAATAAAATGATAGAATAAAGACAAATATAAACTATTGAGATAAGTAGATAGATAGAAAAATATAAAATGGTCGATTAAATATTAATATAAGTTTGTTTAAAATTTAGTTTGATATGAAAAATTTAATGAATGAATCATTGACTAAATTTTATATCTCATTAAATTTTTGTTTTATTTTTTATTAATTAAAAGAGTTATATATTTATATTTTATAACTATATTTTTTTAGGTTCGTTATCATTTACCTGCATTTTCTAATAATTTATTCTGCATAAGAGTAGGTCTTACAGGTAGTCTAGACTTTACTTACAGATCTTTAAATTATTGTTAAATATTAAATTGTTGATCTGATTACAAATTTTTTGTTTCGTTTTAAGCTTATGAAGAAGTAGTTCTTAATTTTACTTATGGTCTTTTAAACATAACTTTGACTTTTTAAACATTTGAATCTGCAACTACTTCGTTTTGATTTTAGTTGATTGCATCTCCTAAAGACTTCTTTTTTTGTAAGTTAATTTATTACTCAACCATAAAGTCATAAAATTTAAGTTCTTCTTTAAGTTTATTCATACCCTCATCATTAGTTTCTTGTTTGAACTAATCTAAAAGATTTACTATATTTTTAGGTATTGCCATCTATGTAACGGTTTCTTAGTCTATATTATCATTCTTTTTTGTTGTTAGAAATTCATTTTTTCTTTTATGTTTTAAAGCTTTTAGAGGATTACCATAAAATGCTTGGTCAGTACCTTCGACTAAACTGCTTAATGAGTCAGGTAAAGTTTATCTAATTTAATAAAGATCAAATTTAAAAATCATTTAAAAATAATCATAAATGTTGATAAATAATCAAAATTGAGAAAAAATATTTTTGAAAAAACAATCCAAAAATCATTCCAAAATATTTTTTTTCAATTAATTAAAATTTAAAATTTTATTTTATTTTTTTTTACTTTGCTGCAAATGGATTGGTGGAATTTGTATTAGAATTTTTCGAAGGAATTGAAGCAGTTTATGGTCTTCTAAAATTAGAAGAGGTGGAATTAAAATCGTTATTGATGGTTTAACCAAAAATGTTGCTATTTTTCATAGATACATACTGATTATTTTCATCTATAGTTAATTTTTTATTTCCTTTAGTCATAGTTTTTTTAACTGAGTAGATTAGAAGCTCTTCTTCAGGAAGCTCCTATTTTAATTCTTGATCTAACTCTTTTATAACATCATCAGATAAAAATTTTTCTCCATTCCAGTTCAGCTTCTTTAATGCTTCATATAAATCTTCTTCTTCCTCCTCTTCATTTTTTTACTAAGCTTTTGAAGAAGGGAGAAGGCGTCTTCTAAGACCTGTTTTAGAAGTTGATTATTCAGCCACGTTTTATTCAATAGGTATATCATCTAAAATCTACAATTAAGGTAATTTTTAGCGAATAAGCTGTCTATAATCCTCCTTCTTACTTATAGGATTTTATATTAAATTAAGAATTTTCACCTTAGACATAGTCTCAATTACTTCAATTGAATCATTGTCAGTAATTTCATTTCCCTCAAGGTCTAAAACTTCTATATTCTCATTAAAATACAAATCATTTAAATTTTTAATTTAGTTGTAAGAAGCATAAAGTTCCTAAAGAAGTGGAAATGCATTTAAACCGGAAAGATCTTGCAAACGAACTCGAGAGACCATTAATATTTTAAGATTTCTCATGCTCGTTCCAATATCTCTCAAAGTGTTAGCAATTGAATCGTTTATATTTAATTCGCTAATATTTGGACACATTTCACCTAAAACCTAAAGTGAGTCCTATTCACAATCATGACGAATTGCTATGCGCCTAATTTTATCAAAGTCTTCTTATTTTGCACCAGTTATTTTTTCAATCAGTTCGGCTGTAATAGTTTCTGAAATGAATTATTATTACACTTAAATCATTAACTCATCATCAAAAGAATTTGCTTCCGAATTATTATCATCATTATTCTTTCTATCATATTCCTAAAGTAATTCATCTAATTTTTACTAGCTGTCGAACTACTCCTCAGAGTTATCTCTACTGTTTTATATTTTCGTTGATGACATTTTCTTCAGTTTTTCTTCTTTACTGTCTTTACTCCTCCCCCTTTCCTTATTGAAGCTAATCATTTAATTGTCATTTTCATATTCCTATTCACTCGCGTCAATGCTCTTTTTTTGTGAAGATGTCTTTTTAAGCAATTGATTTGGTTGATCTTCATAAATTAAATTATCTTCATCATCCTAAACGAAATCGCTTAGTTGTTCACTTCCGCTGTAATTTAAAAGCTATTCCCTAATTCTATTCTATTCACTATCTTTATATATACTAACTCTCATCGGCTCTGCACTACCTTATCTATCTCTTATTGAGCTTTATCTCAGTAAACTTGATTCATTATTAGCAGGAAGAGGTGGTTTATATTACTATGTTTCTTTTGTTCCGTTATCTTTCTTAGGATCAGGTTTCGTGCTTTTATAAAATGATTAAGTCATAGTTTTAACCATTATATTATTCCCATTCTGGCTATTTGCTTAATTTTTTAATTAACTTTAACTATCATTTCCTTTTAACCTATTAGTCTGACTTGCAGAACTTCTGCTGCTTTGACTTGACTATTAGTTTAACCTCATTTCTATTAATTGCTGATACTAAGAATTATTAGACAATATTTGTTTTTTACTGTCTTTTTTAACGAAGGTGCTTTAAGTCTTTGAAAACCCCATCTAACTCTATGCTAAAATATCACCACTTTCTTCTCTTTTAGCGCTTATGGGCCTAATTCTAATGTTAGAATTTAAAGCAGCTGCTCCAGGAGTAATATTAATTGATTGCATCATAAAGGAAGAGTCCATGGAATCTACTTCTGAGCTAGAAACTTGTGTCGGGGCATTGCTTTAAGTTCTTAGCTACTTTGAAAATTTGTCAATATCTAAATTAATATTTTTTTCCTTTAGCTTTTGGAGTAAATTCCTGTTAACCTTCATGAGGTCCTAATGCTTAATAGATAGAGATTTATAACTAAAGTTTATCCTTGCTTTTTGTTACGAAAAAAATTGCTATGTTCTTCAAATATGATTTTTAATTTTTTGCAATCAATTTATTAAATAATTAATTAACAAAGCAAAGCAGATAGATCTAAGAATTAGTCTATATTTAATTGGAAAATATTAAATTTCATAATTATTTAATAAATTAAACAATAAACGAATGAATAGAAAACAATCTAAATTGAAGTCAATTCAATTGCAAGTAAGGATATTTAATTTATATTAATTTTTTAAATCAAAAATTTTAAAAAAAACCTTAACATTCTTTTCATCAAATTATTAGAATACTGATAAAAGAGATTGTTTTTCTAAACTTTTCTATATGATTTAGCTCAAAATTTATTTATTTATTTATTTAATTATTTTAAAATTTAGTTTAATTTAAACAAACGAGCAAACACATGTATGCTGCTAAATTGTAAACAGAAAAATAAGATTTTATTTATTTTCAAAACCACAATATATTTTTTATAAAAAATATTTAAAAATTAAAAAATAAACATAAAAAATAAATACATAAACTAATTCACTGACTGACTAATTAATTGATTGATTAATAGACTTATTGAGATTTATAAATATTTAAAAAACAATAAAACAAAAGCGTATATTTTTAGTTGAAGATTAAGATTTTTTGAGAGAAGTTATTTATTTTTAGAAATTTATTTAAAATATATTATCTTTTTTTAATGTTAAGGGATTCTATATTATTTATTTATTTAGTATTAGTTTTTTGGCTGGATAGATAGATAAATAGGTTAATTGATTGATTTACTTTGAAATTAATTCAATATCGCTTGTTTATTTATTATACATTGATTTGCCTATGTTTCAAAGACTTATCTATATTTCATGGGTGTTTTTTTTGTTGTTGATTTTATTTTTTGAGAATTATTTTTTAAAATCTGATTAGATCTTTAAAATATTTAATGCAATTTGAGTATTAAAATGATACTTTTAATTGATCTTTAAAACCTATTTTTTTCTTTTTAATTTACTAATTTAAAGTTTTTCGTAATCTAATTAATTAATCACGCTACTTTAGAATTGCTATGTATAAATCCTGTGATTAGGTATGGGGAAATAGAAATTATTTGACCATCCAGTAATTAAACGTCTTCACTTTCCTTACCCTAATGGGATAAGCGAATCCAAGTGCCTGATGCAGATGTAAGATCTGTCAAATAAACAGAACCTTTCTTGAAGCTGAGAGAAGCATGAAATTTTTCCATAATATTATCAATTGCACTAATTTCGCATTGTATGTTAGTTCCTATTACACAAGTTTTTGATTGCTTTATTGAAACATCAAAATCAAAAACTGTGTTTTTTTTATTTCCCATAATAATTTAAATTTAAACTTTTGCCATATCCTCTTCAAGAATCATTCTTGTAATTTTAAATTCAGTAATTCCACACCTAAATATAGAACTTGGAACTACTTGATACTACTAATCTGCCTTCAGTTTTACATATGTACCTGAAGAGCTTCCTAGGTCTTTAACATAATACTTATCATCTATAGCATGTATAATTGCATGGTTACGGGAAACCTAATCAGAATTCAATACTATGTCGCTTTATGAATGTCTTCCTATTTTAATTTGATCTCCAAAGTACAGGATTCTACTGTATTTGGTAATATACTTTTCAGGGTTTGACTTTTCGCTTATCCTCAAAAACATGTGAGATTTTAAGATGTTATTTTTAAAAGAAATGTCATCAATAAACATTGTATTATTTTTGTAGATTACATCTGCAATTTAATTTAATTTATTGAGGACGGCATTCGCCATGGAAGGGTTTATTTTAGAGTTTGAAGAAGTATGCATAAAATCTCTTTAAGGAGAAGAAGTAATAGAAGATGTTATGTATGTGGTGGTGCTAAATTCGAAAGGGTTGTAAGGTAGCTGCTTTACATTATAAAATTTAGTCTATGATAAATTAGCAACACTTTGAGGTAATGCTAAACTTTAATCTCTTTAGTTGTTGTGGTTGTTGTTATTATTACTATTTACAGGTTCAAATTAATATTGCGAATACTCGTTAAAATTACCTAAATTATTTAACCCATTTAAGAGTGAGCTTTGCTTTATATTATAGCTTCCATTTTTTATGTTGTTGCTTGAGCTTTTGAGCTGCTAATTAAAATTAAATTACCCAAATTACTAATACATATTAAAGTTATTACTATAGTTTTAGCTATGATCATCATCGATTCCAGAATTACTCACTGAGATGACTCTCTCCATCTCACAGCTCTCGGGAAGTGTTTCGCTTTTTAGTTTTATAAATATTTCTTCTAACTTCTCAAGCTCCTCTTTATTTTCAGGAAAGAATTTTTAAGCGAACTCCTCCTCGGAGAGCTTTTCAAAATCATCATATTTATAATTGTTGGCAATCAGAATATCAATATATTTTTGATTAGCGTTAAGTTTTTTAAATAAATACAATAAATCATGTTTATTTTAACCTGGAGTACTATTCGTAATTGAAAAAGATTCGTAACCAGTTGAAGAAAATCCTTAAGAACTTTCATTCTTCCGAGTTACTACTTTCATTTGATATGCTATATAGATTACTACTCAGTATAATTGAAATTAAAAAAAGCTAATAAATTAATTTGAGTTCCTTTTTTGCTATCAATCTTATACTTATATTTTTTTTGAGAATTGATTATTTTTTATTAACAAATTAAAAATTATTTGATATTTTAGATTATCTAAAAAAACATTTAAATTAAGGATATTCAATTATTACATTAAATTACAAGCATACAAGCAAACATAAACATATTCAAATTCTTTATACTTTTTCATCAATTTTTATTATTACTAGCTAACTAATACAACATTTTCCTTTTAAAGCAAAGAAGAAAATATACAATTATATTTTTTTCTGCTTTTTTTGATAAATATTTTATTAAATTTTACCATAAACTAACTACTATTAAAATTATAACAAGTTAATTTCTTGATTTAATCTCTAATTTCCTAAACTCTAAAAAATTAATGTAGGAATATAAATAAAAAGCTGAGTAAGTATTTTTGGTTTATTAATAAAATTATTTAATATTTTCATCAGTATTGGGAATGTAAATACTTTATAATTATATAATTATAGTTAGTTTTGGTAATATTAAATAATTATGAAATATAATTAAATCGCTGTCCGATATTTTGGTTATTGGCAATAACTTTCCTTAAAATACAATTATATCATTTAAATATATAATTAATTATTAATTCTGTTAAATGATTAAATACTTCTAACAATAATAAGTTATAAAATCAATTAAGATGATCTAAATCTAATAATTTTTTTTTAATTTAAGAACAGTTATTTAAATATTTAAATAGATGTTTTTCTTGCAAAAGTTAACATTAGTACTAACGAAATGTAATGAAAAATAATGGCTAATTTTAAAATCTTTATACTCTATATAATTTAAAATAGGTATATTAAATAAAATGTGTAAAATTATGTGTTAGGTTAGGTCTATGCAAAAGAAATATTTAATTTCTATCTTTAAATTTAATACATATTTATTTCATTTGATCTTAAAATATTCTTTTTTCTAGAATTATAAATTTTCTAACTTTATTAATAAATTATTCCAATTAAATTTCTCTATTAACTAATATTTATCCTCATTAAAAATACTAAATTATGATTAATGCACACCGTTATTTCCATATTTTTAAAGAATGTTTTATAAAATAAAAAATATTAATAAATTAAACATTTGTTAGAATTTATAATTGTTAATGATTTTAATTGGTATTAATTTCTACAAGATATTTACTTCCATATTGTTTTAAATTATATACTATATAGATTACTATTATTTTTATTTAGTATTATTAAGACACTCTATAATGTAAATTTTTTAACTTTAATAGATTGAGAAAATCCCATTATATTTTATTTTCTTTCAAAACTATTCAACAGGATAATATTAAGTTAAGATTAATAATATTTTTAGATATGAAATGACATAATTTTATTTCTAAATTAGATAAAATTTAGTTAAAAAACTTATTTAAAAACCTAAAATAAATAAATAAATCATATCACAGTTAAATAATAATTAGTAATATCTCTAATATTATTATTAATTATAAGTTGTAAGTTGAATGAGTCAAGGTTAATGAAATTGATATAAATTATAAAAATATATTAATTTTCTCTATAATTTTGTTTTATTTTCTGAAAATTTAGATTGTAATCTTTATGCTTCAAAAAAACAAGTAAACATATATGAAAAAATATATTTTTAGCAAAGAATTAATCAATTTGTCCTTTTTATATTTTATTTTTAAAATTGAATCATTAATTCTTTTGTATTTAAAATTGTGAGTTTTAAAATATTTTGTTTTGCTGTTTCAGTAATTTTTGGCTACACATAACTTATTATTTCATTTAGCTTTCCTATATTTATTTCATCTTTGTGGTTTGGTTTGAAAATAATATTTATTTAATTTGATCCTAATCTCTCAACTTATACTTATATATACTCAAGAAATATTTAAGAATTTCTTTAGTCTAAGCCAAAAACTTTTTGTAAATTTTTTTCATAATCCACATCTATATACTATGTTTTAGAATCAAAACTTAATGCAAACATTAGAAGTAATAGATCATCCTCTCCAGAGAATTAGTATACAAAAGAATAAAGAACTAATATTTCTAATTGAATGCCTTGATAGAACTTACCTAATTTTTAAATTAGATCTTCTAAAGTCTCAGTTAATGTTTTTTGTTTTTTTTAAGTCATTTCTAAGCTTGATATTTACTTTTTTAAATCTTCGCATTCCTAAATTATCTTCTTTAATTGATCTTAATAGGAAGATATATATTTTTTCTATTCCTCAGTTTTAAGCATGTTCTCCAAAGTTGCCTAATTTTTATTTTAAGTACTTAAATCATTTTATTTCAAAGTTAAGGTACTCTGTAAATTATTTAATTCCATTTAATTATTTAAAACTTATTACCCTAATTCATTTATCTTTTATTAATTGTTTTTTTATTTTTAAATAAATACTTACTGCTCATTCTCTTTTTTAATAAGCTACTTTTGTAACATACTTATTTAAGGATCTTATAACTTTGATTATTCTTGAGAACTGGTTAATAATTTCTCTAAATTATTATTTAGTTAAATTATTTGGGATTTCTACTTTTTTTCAACATCATATTGCTAATGATCACTCTCTAAGCCTTCTTTATTTGTGCAAGTTATTAAATTTTAATAAATCACATTAGCAACTTTTTCTAATTAGGTATATAAATGGTAGAAGCAAATCTAATCTCCGCAATTCTTATCAAAGATGTGTATCTTTAATTCATATCCAGATCTTATTATTTAGGTAACTTTTTCTATTAATAGATTTATTTTTTATTCGTAATTTTAATAACTTTAGTATTGTTGTGAATTTACAATAAGTTTAATTTAAATTTTGGAATTATTTTATTTTTAACTTGTATAAATTAATTATAATTATTCTGTAATTGTTTCTAAACATTTTGTGAAAGAGTATACAGTAAAAAATCCTTTATTTGAACTTGAACTGTAATAAAGAATATTTGATTTGATTTTAGCTTATTAACAATAATTTTTATAGTTTGTTTCTAAAATACTCATATCATTTTAATCAAAAAGAAAATAAACAGAAGTAGGTTTATTAGAATTTTATATTTCACTTTCTAAATATTTTATTTATTATTATAGTTACCCAATCTAATTTTAATTTTAAGCTGAGCATTAAATTTTTTATTATTTCAACTCATAAAGATTCTTGCTAATATCCTATTTTTACAAAAATGATTTAAGTAATAATTTAATAAAATAAAAACATGGTTAAAATGAATGACATTAACAAATTATATTTATTTATTAATAAATAACAAATAATTTAAATATTTAAAAATAATTTTATGATTAATTAAATATTTAAAATTTTTTAAAGTAAAAAGGAAAGTAAATAAACAAATAAATCTACATACATCTTTTTCTGAATCAAATTCTTTTATCTTCCTAGCTGTTTCTTCTTTTTCAATATTTAAAATTTCTAAATTTCTATATTTATTTAGAATATTCGTGCTAGCTTATTAAATATTTTGAATTACTTTTTAAATTTATTCATTTAAATCTGCTATTAAATTTTAGATTTTTACATAGTCTTAATCCTTTTTATATTAGCAACATTATTTCTCAACAAATTATTTTTGCTGTTCAAATTATTAATGAGCTAACTCATAATTTGATTGTGAACTTTTCAGCTAATTTTAGAGTTAATTTAAATTAGAATTAAGAATTGTATTAATATTTGTGTAATAATTTAAGTATTTTTTAGCTTATTCATAAATTTAAAGTATAGTTATCAGTTTTCTTTTATTATCATTAATTTATCAAAAAGAATGTTATTTTAATTTCTCAATTAATAAGGATCATATAAATTATGTTATTACTGATCTTAAATTTTTAATTCTAATTACTTGAAAATTAAGTTTATTTAAGGCTTATATAATTGTTAAAAGCCATTCCAAATATCAGTGTACTGTTTATTAAGTTAATTAATACCATCTTCTGGGTATTAAATAGTAAAAGATGTATTTGAGATATTATGAGTTTGATTAGGCATAATTTTTGATATTTATTTATTTTTCTTTTTTAGTAATTAATTCTTATTTTTACCAAAGTCTAACTTTTTAATTTTAAATTAGAAGTATATCAAATTTAGATCGAAATCAAAGATAAATAAAGTATTTATTTATAAAGATTTAAATAGTTAATTATCTTTCTTAAATATATATCTATTCTTTGGTTATTTAATTGAATAAGATAAATAAAAGCTTTTCAAATATTCTAATAATATTCTTTTATTATTTGTACTTTAAAGTTTTATCTAATTTATTATTTGAAGTACCAATAGAGGTAGATATTTGCTTTTACTTAATTAATTTTAAAAAAATTTACAATTACAGCCCTTTCTCATATTCATTAACAGCAAGAAAAATGAACTCGAAATAGTAATTTCAATTGCATGCAAAAGTTTGATATGATTTTATAGATTTAAATAAAATAATTATTTTTTATGTCAGTGTTATAAAAACTGAAATCGAAGAGATGACTTTTATAATTTTATTAATGAAAATATTTATCATCTTAGTGTAATATTATTTAAAGTTAAATAAGTCATCTAAAATTTAAATATTTTATGAAGGAGATATTGTGTAAGAGTTTAGATATTGTCTTTTTTGTTACAATCACATAATATTCTAACAATCTAATATTCTAATATCAAAAAAAATATCTAAATTTTTACATTAATTGAAAATTGACTGAATTTATTATATGACTGATTAATAAAGAAAAATTTATTAATACACCTCTCTTTCATATTCACTTATAGCAAGATAAATGAACTTCAAGTATTAAATTCTATTATATGTATAAGTTTTATATAAATGTATAGGATTATTACAATTTTATTTATGAAAAAATGAATGATCTAAGTGTAATATTATTTAAAACTAAATTAAATAAATAAGGCATCTAAAATTCAATATTTTTATTTATTTTACGTAGGAAATACTGCATAAGAATTTACATATTTTCTTATTTATTACAATCCTAATATTCTAAATAATCAATTATTCTAATATCAAAAATCTTTTATAAATTCTTACATTAATTAAAACTTGATCTAATTCATTAATTGACAGATTAATATAGGGTAGACCTAACAAAATGAGTAGATACTTATTTTTTGAGAATCGTTTGATAAATTTAAAACAAAGAACTATATTTTAAAAATAATTAATTTTACTACAGTATTATCAAAAATTATGGGGTAGATATTAAAGAAATTTTTATTTTAAAAAAAGATTTATTATTATCTAAATAACAAATAAATATTATTAAAATAACTAAAAACAAAAAAAGAAGAAGAAGAAAAAAAATGGAAATGGGTGATTAATTAATTAGCTAACCAAACTTAAAGGATGAGGCTCCTTATGTAAACTGTATTCAATATGATGTCTCTACTAGTTTATTTACAGAATCTTAAAAATAAGCTTTAATGATTAATTATGAAATAATAATACATAAAAGTAGAGTCAATTATAAGTTCAATAGTAAATAAATATGACGATTTTTTGGGATATCAAGATACACTTAATAATATTTTGAAGTTTATCCCCCAACCTACAGCCACTGATTAAGATGACCATAATTAATAAAAGTATGTAGACGATATTAAGAAATTAAAACATATTGTTTACGAACTTTTAGACTTCCCTTAGAAGTATAATTGTCTGTAAAATTCTATTTAAGATATTATAGATGACTACAATAAAGTACATATGGATTTAAATAACCATATTAATAATTTAATCTAGCTCACTTATAATATCGAATAAGAAAACCTTGGAGATAATTTCTAAAAATTGAATGAAATTTCAAATAATTTAGAATAATGTAAATTTGATGGCTAAAACTTACAATAAACTTTATTTAATATGGATAAAGTTAGCGATTTCATTAAAGAATATTTTTCTACATGTTATGGTTAATAATTAAGTAATTTAAAAAGCAAATTAGAAGATTACAAAGAAGAATTAGAATATGAAATTCAACAAAGTGACTTAGAAGTAATTTTTTTTTTATTATTTCTTATCTAAAATTTTTATTTTTTATTAACAGCAAAAATAGGTTTTAAAACATTATTAAGAAGCCAGTTTGTAAATCACCTAGAAAAATGCAATTATTTAGACACATTTGACACAATAATAGCTTTTTAAAAAAGATATTTATGAAATTCAATTAAAAATAAAAAAACTTGAAGAAAATATGCAGAAAAAAATCAATGGAGTTGGTGATTCAAATACTTAATAACTATAGCAAACCTTTTAATAAGAAGTATAAAATTAAAAGATATAAATAAATGATTTGATAATAAAAAAAGAGTCTTAAAATTCTAAAATAGAAGAATTAAGAACACAAATAGGATTTATAAAGCTTGATTTCTTAAATAAAATTATACAATTGACTTGGAGACTTGAATAAACAGATATAGAAGAAGAGCTTTCCAAAAAGTTAAAGTCTATACAAGATGCTTACTAAACGAATATTAATGAAATTTAATAAAAAATTAAGGAAGCAAATAAAAAAATCTAAGATCAACAACTAAAACAGGAAAAAACTTATATCTAACTTGGTTTTTAAAATTATCAACATTTTAAAAAATTTAATTGTTTTTATGATACTGTCAAAGACATATATTTTTATTACATTAATCTTATTTAAGATATATTAAGTTTAATTAAATAGTTATCATTCCAAAACTAAGCTTTTCAAGAATCATAAAAAAATTTTGAAATGTATCGAGAGGAATCAAACAATTTATTATACTAGCATGATGTGTTTACACGATTCAAATAAATAGATCAAAGCATAAATCAAGTAGATTCTTTTAGTTCCATCAAAAAGATTTTATTCATAATAAATAGTTCTATTGAATAAAAGTGTAAAGAGGAAAAATAAGAAGCTTTTTATGATCATGTAATCAGATCTATTTCTTTTTATAAAATAATTAAAAATTTCGTTGATTTAAGCAAGAAAGAATAAGATTAATATTTTGTGAATGATATTATCCCTGAAATTATAAGAGTACCTAATAATTTAAGAAAACTTGAAAATAGAAATAAAATTTTTCTTGAAAAAATAAGAAAAAAACAAAAGATTATTACAAATTTAAATGATGATTTGAAGGAGGAAGTAGATAGTTAAAAAAAATAGGAAATTCAAGAAGAAATCAAAGAATGTGAAAATGATTTGAAAGAAATGAATACAGACTTTGAAGAAATTTAAGAAGAATTAGAAGATATCAAACATGAATTTGAAACAGATAATTCAGATTAAATAAATATTATTAAAGATGTTGTGTTTGCTTTGAAAAATGCAAATAATTTTGCTTTATTGGAAAAAAAAAAATATGCAATTTAAGCCTCATTTAATTAATTGTTGAAAAGAGATTAGAGTTTCATAAAAGCACTTAAATAATACAAAACTCTTGCAATAGAATGCGGATCTAAAAATTGATTAAAACATTTATAAATTAGATTGAACACATACTCAAAAATAGACTTATTTATATTTAGTATTTGTGGTTTATAAACAATAAATAATAAAATATTTTATTTTTTAAATTATTATCCTTATTTTATGTAATTAAGTTTGAGTTATTATTTATTATTTTTAATAAAAACTATTTAGTATTTGAAATATTTATAATTGCAGATTTTTTCTTTTGTAATAGAGAGATAAATAGTGATAGTTTACACCTATAATTAACTAACTATTTATCTTTCTAATAGAAATTAATATAATATTAAATAAATTTATATAATAGTATTTTATAGATATTCATGTAATTTGTTTCTATTTTATAATAATTTAAATAAATTTAAAATATTAAAAGTTTTTAAGAATTTTTAATCATTAGTGATTAATTGGTATTAATTTCTATAAGATATATATTCCTATTATTTTGAATTTCATGCTAAATTACTATTTGCTTTATTTAATATTATTAAAACACATATAATTAAAATTTTTAAACTTTGATAGCAAAAATTAATAAAATACAATTTTATATTTTAAAATGCAAATAAAAGGCATAAATATTAGTAAAAAAATCGATAATAGTTTACTATAGTAAATTATAAAAAGTTTTTTTTAAGATTTTTAAAACAAAATGTATAATACTTCTATGAAATTTATATCTAAGCTTTGTCTAATTTTACCTATAACTTTTCTTTATTTAATAGATTCATAAAGGATCAGCTTACTTGAAGAAAAATAATTATACCTTTTAAATATGAAATAGATGGATAGCTTATACATAATTTTTTTAATCAATTAATCTAATATGTAAAATGCTATAAAAAAAGGGAAATATGAAAAATAGAAAAATAAAATTAAGAATCTTTATTTTTATGTTTTGAAAATCTTTTCTAATTAAGTTATTAATAGAATCTATGAATGTTTATTTGATTTTTATAAATTTATTTTTATATTAGAATTTATTAAATTTCATAATAGAATTACTGATGATTCAATATAAATACATATATACATACATAAAAATTGATATGACATATTTTTATAACCTTTATGCACCAAATAAGCAATTAGCAAAGAAGAAAAAATATATTTTTAGCAAATAATTTATCAATTTGTTCTTCTTATATTTTTTTCTAAGGATTGAATCATTAATTCTTTTGTATTTAAAATTGCAACTTTTAAAATAATTTCTTTTGCTCTTTCAGTAATTTTATTCTACACTAAATTAATTATGTCATTTAGCTTCTCTAATTTTATTTCTTCTTTGTGGTTTGGAATTAAAATAATATCTATTTTATTTGATTCTAATCTCTCAACTTTTACTTAAATATACTCAAGAAGTGTTTTTGCCGTTTACTCGGTTAGGCCAAAAACTTTTTGTATACTTTTCTCTTAATCCTCATCTATAAATAGGATTTAACAGTCAAAACTTAATGCAAACATTAGAAGTAATAGATCATTCTCTCCAGAGAATTAGTATACAAAAGAATAAAGAACTAATATTTCTTATTGAATGCCTTGATAGAAATTATCTAATTTTTTAATTAGATCTTTAAAATTTTCAGTTTATTTTTCATTATTCTTTTAAGCCATTTCTAAGCTTGATATTTAACTTTTTAAATCTTCACATTCATTAAAAGCCTTGTCTAATTGATCTTAATAGGAAGATATATATCTTTTCTATTCGAATGTTTTAAGTGTGCTCTCCAAAGTTGTCAAATTTTTAGTTTATGTAGTTATGTCTCTTTATTTCAAAGACAAGATAGTCTGCTTATTTTCTAATTCAATTTAATTTTAAAAAACTTATTACTCTAATTCGCTTATCCTTTATTAATTGTTTTTTAATTTTTATTGAATTTCTAACTGCTAATTGTCTTTTTCAAAAAGCTACTGATTTAGCATACTTATTTAAGCATCTAATTACTTTGACTACTCTTGAGAATCGGTTACTAATTATTCTAGTTTCAAATTAAGATTCATTATTTGAAATTTCTTCTTTCTGTCAACATCATATGGATAACGATTACTCTCTAAGCCTTCTTAATTTGTGCAAGTTAGTAAATTTTAATAAATCACATTAGTAATTTTTTCTAATTTTGTATATAAGTAGTAGAAGCACATCTTATCTACACAATTCTTATCAAAGATGTGTATCTTTAATTCGTATCCAGATTTTATTATTTAGGTAACTTTTTCTATTAATAGATTTATTTTTTATTCGTGACTTTAATAACTTTAGTATGTTACTGAATTTACAATAAGTTTAATTAAAATCTAGGCATTATTTTATGTTTAACTTACTTTAATTTTTTCTAATTGTTCTGTTATTGTTTCTAAACATTTTGTGAAAGAATAACTACCAAACAATTTACCTTTACCTGAGCTGTAATTAAAATTATTTGATTTGATCCTAGCCTAATTACAATATTTCATATAATTATCTTCTAAAGGACTCAGATCATTTTCATCAAAAAGATAATAAACTAAAGTTGGTTTATTAAATTCTTATTTGTTACTTTCTAAATCTTTTATTTATTCTTAAAGAAACTTAATCTAACTTTCTTTTTATTTTTAACCATTAATTTTTAATTGTTTGAGTTCATTAATCTTGTTATTAATCTCCTATTTTACAAAAATTACTTAAGTAAGAATTTAATAAATAAAAAATGGTTAAATTTCTTTATCAAAATACATTACTTAATAAGTAATAAATAGTTTAAATATTTAAAAATAATTTTTGTGATTAATAAAAATTCTTTAAAGTAAAAAGAAAATAAAATAAATGTACTTCTTTTTCTAAATCAAGTTCTTTTCTCATCCTTACTGTTTCTTCTTTTTCAATTTTTAAATTTTCTATGTTTTAATTTCCATTTCGAATGTATGTGTTAGCTAATTCACAGTCTCGAGCTGCTATTTAACTTTATTCATTTAATTTGGTTATTAAATTTTAGATTCTTACATACTCTTCATCCCTCTTATATGAGCAACATTATTCCTCAATAGATTTTTTTTGCTTTTCAAATAATTAATTAGCTGACTGATGATTGTATTACGCTCTTTGCAGCTAATTTTAGAGTTCCTACAATTTAGAATTAAGCATTTAATTAGTTTTTGTGCAATCATTTAGATATTTTTTAGCTCTTTCTTATATTTAAAGTACAGTATTCATTTTTGTTTTGTTCTTATTAATTTTATCAAAAAGAACGATATTTTAATTTCTCAATGCATAAGGATCATAGATTTAATATTATTACTGATCTTTTATTTTTGACTCTAATTATTTGAAAGTTTAGTTTATTTAAGGTTTGTAATTTATTTAAAAATCATTCCTAATATCAGCATATTCTTTATTAAGTTAGTTAATACCATCTTCTAGCTATTAAATAGTAAAAGATGTGTTTGAGATATTCAGAGTTTGATTAGATATCATTTTTGATATTTATTTATTTTTCTTTTTTTATAATTTATTATATTAATTGAACACTTTTCTCTGGTATTTATTTTAGCTTTTTTTACTAATTATTTCAAGTCTAATTTTTTAATTTTAAATAGGAAGTATATCAAATTTATATTGTAATCAAAGATAAAAATATTTTTTAACTTTTAACGATTTAAGGAGTTAGTTATCTCTCTTAAATATCTCTATCCTTTGAGTATTTAACTGAAGAATATAAATGTTTTTAAAAGATATAACTTATTGCTAATAGTATAGATAGTTAGTTACCTTGAATATTTAAGAAGATGAAATAGAAGACTCGTATATAGAAGACAAAAGATATTTGTTTTTATTAAATCCCCCCAATCGAAAAATATGATATCTCCCAATCAAAAAATATTAAATAACTATTTAAAATTTATGGTAAAAGTTAGTACTTTTTATTTTCAAATATTTAATTAAATAAAACAATCTAATATTCTTGCAAATAAAATTCATTGATAGCTAGAAATCCATAAGCAATTCTCAAAAAGCACACTTTGTCTATAACTTACCAAACGTGGTGTTTAAGAAAATAATTTATTTTTCTATTGAGATAGTATTTTTTAAATCCAAAAAGATTTACTTGTTAGGTTTACTTAAAAATTTCTATACATATTTAAAACTTCCCAAATTTAGTTTTAAGCTAATCCATCCAAGCAATTTATAAAATACATTATGTTGATTTCATATAAAAAAGTAAAAATGAATATACATTTTTTATCTTTTTCATGTTTAATATATTACTATTATAAAATACATACAACTCTTAATCAAATTATTTTATAAAACTAAAAATGTATTTAAAATCTTCATGAGATACGATTTAAAACATATTGATAAGACCTCTAAAATTTAAATAATTGTGAGATAGAATGTAAGAATAAATATGCAATCACTTCACTTCTAATTACCTAATATTCTAATAAAACCAAATTTTCTAATAAAATCAAATATTCTAATAAAATCAAAAATTCTAATAAAACAAAATATTTTAATAAAATCAAATATTCTAATAAAACCAAATATACTAAAAAAATCAAATATTCTAATATTAAAAAATATCTATAATTCGTTTATTATTTGAAGTATTAATAGAGTTTAATATTTGCTTTTACTTACTTAAAGAAAAAATTACAATTTTCCCCCTTTTTCATATTGCCTAATAGCAAGACAAGTGAACTAAATCAAAGAAATGTATTATAATTTTATTAATGAAAATATGAATGATCTAAATGTAATATTATTTAAAACTAAATTATTCATCTAAAATTTAAATATTTTCCTTATGAGATAGAATGCAAGAATGAATATTCATGCAATTTATTTTATTAAAAATAGCCTAATATTCTAATAAAATCAAATATTAAAAAATATCTTTTATTCTTTTATTATTTTAAGGATTAATAGAGTTTAATATTTGCTTTTACTTAATTAATTAAAGAAAAAAATACACCCCTTTTTAATACCACCTAATAGCAAGACATATGAACTAAATCGAAGCGATGCCTATTATAAATATATTAATGAAAATATGTATGACCTAAATTTAATATTATTTAAAACTAAACTAATTAAATTAGTCATAGAAAATTTAAATATTTTTTTTATGAGATAAAATGTAAGAATGAATATTCATGCAATTTATTTTATTAAAAATAGCCTAATATTCTAATAAAATCAAATATTAAAAAATATCTTTTATTCTTTTATTATTTTAAGGATTAATAGAGTTTAATATTTGCTTTTGCTTACTTAATTAAAGAAAAAAATACACCACTTTTTAATACTGCCTAATAGCAAGACAAATGAACTAAATCGAAGCGATGCCTATTATAAATATATTAATGAAAATATGAATGACCTAAATTTAATATTATTTAAAACTTAACTAATTAAATTAGTCATCGAAAATTTAAATATTTTTTTTGTGAGATAGAATGTAAGAATGAATATGCATGCAATTTATTTTATTAAAAATAGCCTAATATTCTAATATTAAAAAATGTTTAATAATTAATACTTTAAAGCTTGATCTAATTTATTATTTTACTTATTAATAGAGTTTAATATTTGATTTTACTTGATTAATTTAAGAAAAAATTAGAATTACACCCCTTTTTCATACTGCTTAATAGCAAGAAAAATGAACTAAATCGAAGCGATACCTATTGTAAATATATTAATGAAAATATGAATGACCTAAATATAATATTATTTAAAATTAAACTAATTAAATTAGTCATCTAAAATTTAAATATTTTTTTTGTGAGATAGAATGTAAGAATGAATATGCATGCAATTTATTTTATTAAAAATAGCCTAATATTCTAATAAAATTAAATATTCTAATGTTAAATAATGTTTAATAATTAGTATTTTAAAGCTTAATCTAATTTATTATTTGATGCAAAAATACAGTTTAATATTTGATTTTACTTAATTAATTAAAGAAAAAAATTACTATTACAATGTAATAGATATTGGTAACGTGACGTTAGTGAACAAAAAATTATTTGTCAAATTTTATTGATAATTCGGGCTGTTTTTAATAATAAAATAATTAACTTTGCTACTGTATTGTCAAAGATTATAGGGTAGGGTTAAAAAATTGTATTTGATTCAAAAAAGAACTACTAATATCTAAAAAACAAATAAATATTATAAAAAAAACTAAAAACTAAAAACAGAAAACAGAAAACAAAAAAAAAAAAATGGACTTTGATAAGTTGTCTGAAGAAGATTAAACAAACTCAGGTGTTGTGGCTCCTAATTTAAACGATACTGCATCTACTATCCCTAGTTAATCCACAGAACCTTAACATTAAGCTTTACACGATGGTGGAATAGGAGGAATTCAGTAGCCTTTAAACGCAAAGGTCTCTTAAGCTACCTCTCAAGTTGGTGATATAGCATAAGGTGATACTCAAAAAACCCCTTCCTCTTCTCAATAATAAAATTCAGATCCAAATAATTTGAAAAACGAATAAGAAAATAAATAAGAAAACAGTGAAAAAGCTAAATTGGAACCGAGCTAGTTAGTTGTTTAAATCTAAAATAATCAAAATTAATAATAAACACAAATAATGAGGCATGGTGAATTAACAATTCAAAATTAACTTGAAGTATAGTCAGTTATAAGTGCAATAGTAAATAAATATGACAAGTTTTCAGTATACCAGGATCAGCTTAATACCATTTTGAAGTTTAGCCCTAAACCTTCTGCCACTGATGAAGACTAAGATAGCTAAAAAAAGTATGTAGAGAATGTTAAGAAATTAAAACAAATTGTTTGCAACCTTTTGGACTTCCCTTTGTAGTATAATAAACTTCAAAATTCTTTTACAGATACTACAAAAGACTTCAATAAAATACATTCGCATTTATGTAGCCATATTAATAATTTAATCAAACTCACTTATAATATCAATCAAGATAATCTTGGAAGTAATTACAAACAATTGGAGGTAATTTAATAAAAGTTAGATGCTTGTAAGTCTGATGGCGAAAACCTACAATAAACTTTGTATAAATTGGAAAAAGTTAACGATTCCATTTTAGAACATTTTTCTACATTCTTTGGTTAATAAATGAGTGATTCTTAAGACAACTTATTTTCTTTAAAAGAAGATTTAAAGAAGGAAATTCAAAAAAGAGACAAAGAAGTAATTTTTATATTTTATTCCTTAACTAAAATTTTTATTTTTTTATTTCTAGCAATATGATGCATCATAAAAGTTTTAAGAAGCCAGTTTGCTAATTACCTAGAAAAATTCTATGATTTCGACACATTAGACAAGATAGAAGCTTTTGAATTCAGATATTTAGTAAATTGAATCTAAAATAAAAAAACTAGAAGCTGATAAAAACAAATAAGTTGAGGACTTAGAGGCTCGAAAAGATAAATACCTGAAATAACTTGAAGAAGAAAAAGCTAAATTGATCAGAGAAAAATCGGCTTTCTGGGATAAAAAAAATAGCAGTTAAGAAGCTAGATTAAGTTAATATTCCCAATCAATCAATAGCTTGAATTCAAAATATCCACTTGGTAAGATGTGCTCTATTGTAGAAAAGAAATACTTTCATTATTACTTCATCTAAGATGAAAGTGGTAGCTTTTCAAATGATCACTAGTATGCTATTTAGGGAGTCGCTTAACTATTTAATAGAATAAAACCTAACGACTATATCACTTATATTAAGTTTGATAGTTCATCTCATGTCGATATACCAAAAACCCTAAAAAGTAGTTTATCTTAAGGGGATTTTATAAGCAAAATTTAGAAGTGCAGAGGCGGAGGAACTAACTTTTAGTCAGCATTCCAAACTCTGCTATAATAAATCTAATCTAAATATGATTAATAAGAATACCCAGTAGTTATATTTATCACAGATGGACAAGATAACACAGATTTGGATTCTATTATATCATAAATTACTAGCTTATGTTAAGATATTGTATTTTACACTATAGGATATGGTAGTGTTAATGAAAAATATTTAAAGAATATTACAAATAAATTTAATAATACTGTTGGCGAAAAAAAAGAAATTAATGGTAAACCAGTGGACCTGTTTTATGTAAAAAATACTCCTAATGATCTAGTTTAAAGTTTGTCTTCAATATCATAGTAGCAATCCTCAATATCAATAGAAGACATAAAGAAAGCACAATAGTTTTTAAAAGAATCTTTTGAATAAATGACGAAAACGGCTGAGGAATACTACTCAAAAACAGAAGATTCATATGATAAAAAGATAGGTTTAATCACAAGTTAAATTTATGAATTATAAAACAAAGATATAAGTTCAGCGTAATAACTAACAGAATCCGTGTAAAAAGATATTTTAAAACAAAATTAACTTAAGAATTAGTAGATAGAATAAGTCAGCAATGAAAATACTCAAATAGAAAATTTGAGATAAGAAATTAGATGCGCAAAGCAAACTTTCCTAAGAAATATTGGGTAATAAGATACTGGGAAAATTGATGATACAGATATAGAAGAAGAGCTCAACAAAAATTTAAAGCTTATCTAAGATAAGTATTAAAAGGAAATTCATGCTATTGAAGAAAAAATTAAAAATGCAATTAAAAAAATCGAAGAAGATTAATAAAAACAGGAAAATACTATAATCGGATTTGGTTTTTAAAATTATCCACATTTTAAAAAATTTAATGATTCTTAAAATGCTGTCAAAGAAGCATAGATTTATTACATTAATCTTATTTAAGATTTAATGAGTTTAGTCAAGTAGTTATAATTCCAAAACAATTCTTTTAACGAAGCGATAGAGAATTCTCAAACTTATTTAGAAGAATCAAATAAATTCGATAATTAGTATCATGTGTTTACATAATTCAAATAAATAGATGAAACCATAGACCCTGAAGATTCTTTTAATTCTACTAAAAAGGTTATATTTATAATAAATAATTCTATCCAATAAAAGTGTTAAGATGATAAAGAATTATTAGCTTTTTACGATCATGTAATCAGATCTATTAGATTTAATTACATCATTTAAAACTATGTTGATAAAAAGAAAGAAGAATAAGCTTAATACATAAAAAATGAAGTTATCCCTGATATTATAAAAACAGTACCTAAACAGCTAAGCAAGCTTGAGACTAGAAAAAAAGGTTTTGACCTAAAAATATCTAAAAAAGAAAAGGAGATTAGAAATTTAAGATCAGATTTGAAGGATGAAGTAGACAGTTAAAAAAAAAAGGAAATTCAAGAAGAAATCAAGACTTGTGAAGAAGTTTTGAAGGAATTAAATAAAGATTTAAATGAACTTTTAACGGAATTAGAAGAACTCTAATCAGAATTTGAAACAGAAAATTTAGAAAAAATAAATATTATTAAAGATGTTGTGTTTGCCTTGATACAAGCCGTTACTTTTGCTTTATTCAAAAAGAAATTTTAAATGGCTTAAGCCCCTTTTTATTAGTTGTTGAATGGAGGTTAGAGTTTTATTAAAGCACTTAGTTAGTACTAACCTCTTGCAATATCAAATTGATTTAAATATTAATAAATAGAATTAGCACAAACTTAAATATAAATTTATTTATATTTAGTTTTTGTGGCTTATTAACACTATATAATAAAATATATTATTCTGTTTGTTTTTATGCTTATTATATGTGATTAAGCTTGAATATTTTTACAATTTTTCATTTTTACTGTTTAGCATTTGAAATAAATAACTGTTTAAATTTTTCATGTTTTCTTTATATTCATTTTTAGTTTACTAAAATTAATTAAAATAAACAAAAATTTTTTTTTTTAATAAATTTGATTTTAATTTACACCTTAATATTTTTGAGGATATGGAAGTTGAAACATCTTAATATATTTAAAAATTAGTTCTTTTTATTTTAGAATATTTAAATAAAACAATCTAATATTCTTGTAAATACAGTTGTTAATATATAATCAGAAATATAAAAGCAATTCTAAATAAGCACAATTTGTCTATAAGTTAGCTAATGTGGGTTTTAAAAAAGTAATTTATATTTCTATCAAGAGAATATTTTAAATCTAAAAAGATTTATTTGTTAATTTCCTAACATATGAGATAGTATGTAAGAATAAACATACAGTCTCTTTTTTTATAATCACCTAATATTCTAATAAATTCAAATATTCTAATATTAAAAAATCTTTTATGATTTGTGCTTTAAAGCTTGATCTAATTTATTATTTGACAAATTAATAGAGTTTAATTAATATTTACTCTTACTTAATTAACTAAAGAAAAATTTACAATTACACCCCTTTTTCATATTCACTAATAAAAAGATAAGTGAACTCGAAATAATAAATTCAATTTCATAATTTCATGCATAAGATTTATATAAGTTTTAAGCTTTCAATTAAATTATTATTTATTATGTTAGTGATGTAAAAATAAAAATCGAAGCAATGGCAATCGTAATTTTATTATGAAAATATGAGTGATCTTACCAAGTGTAATATTATTTAAAACAAAATTAATTTAATAAGCCATCTAAAATTTAAATATTTTTATTATGTAGGAGATATTGCGTAAGAATTTAATATTGTCTTTTTTATTACAATTACATAATATTCTAACAATCTAATATTCTAATATCAAAAAATCTATATAAATTTTTACTTTAATTAAAATTTGATAGAATCTACACAAATAGATAATAAAACTTCAATATTTTTTTTTTTAAATTAAAAAATTCATTTTGGATTTGTGATTATAATTTAATATATTTATTTTTAAATAATGGTTTTAATTGAATCTTATTATAAATTAATACCATACATTTCAAAATACATACAGTACCCACCTTTTTAAAATATAAATCAAAATATCCACTTAAATAATTTTTAAAATCTTTACAAATAAACAAAAAATATATTTCTATATAGCAAATTCATTATCTTATACTTAATATATATTTATATAAAAATATATAAATAAATGCCAAAATAGGTGGTATTTTATGTTTATATTTTTTTTTCTGTGTCATAACTTCTCAAACAATATGCTCAGAAATAAATTAGTTGAGACAATAAAAGTTTTCAATAATAATCACTAGAAAATCTTCCTAAAGTTGAATCTAGCTAAAGAAATAGTAGATAGAAGTTATGGTATCATATCATCTATATCACCAGCCAATACAGAGCCATAAGTGGCAAGATTAGGAGCAACAGTCGTGATCATTACTACAGGGATGGAAGTTATCTATGCATTTAAGGTTAGCAGATTCAGGTTATTCAGGTATTTAGACTTCGTTTATAAGGTTACTGTCCTCTATTTTTGCTTATTATTTTGTTAGAAGCAAGAAAAATGTTGACAATAAAAGCAAAAGAGCAATAAGGTAAGCACTAGTTTTCATTTTATTTATTATTTATTTTTTTTAATTTTTAATTTTTATTTTATTTAATTATTATATTTCTAATCCTACATTTCTACTTATTTATAACTAAGCTCATCAGAATTAGTAGGTTTGAAATAATAATAATAATATATCTATAAGTTAAGTATTTTAGGGGTTTGTTATTAACACAGAATATTTTATTATTAAAGAAAAAGTATAATAAAATTAAGCAAGTATCTTAATTTTATAATTTATGGTTTTTAATAATATTATTGTTTAACAACAATTTTTGGAAAGAATTCTATACTGATTACTTATACAAGTAAATTTTATGTACAAAAAATATTTTATGTAAAAATCTTAAAATGTTTCATTCACTATTTAATGTAAAAAAATAAGTAAAGATTTATTATTATACACAAAAATAATTAATTTAATCTAAAGTGTTGATTTTAATTTTTTCCAAAATTAAATTTCCAAATTATTTATTGACTCTAAAGATTTTTTTTTATTGAGTAAAACTTTAAAAAAGATTAGTACTCAGTAAGTATATGAAGGAATATAAATCAAATGTTTAGTCATTAAAATCATACTTTATCTTTTCTTATAAAAATGTAATAAATAAAATTATTTTGATTTTAAAAAAATACAATAAAAAAATAGTTACAACTTTTATACGAGAAAAAGTATTATAATTATTATAAAAATATACTTAACTTGATTAATTAAGGTTAGGAATATAAATAAAGCAGCATTTAAGTATTATCATAATCAATCAATCAGTCAATTTTTTATTTTCTTATTCATAGATCAATAAATAAAATAATAATTGTTGTAAACCAAATTAATCTAATCAGAGAAAGAAAGCAAAAATTAGATTGATGATTCATTATATTTAAAAATAATTATTCTTTAAAATAAATCTAATACTCAATGATTATACATGAAACCTGATATATCTATATGATCTAATAAGAGCTTCATTAACTTTTACTTTTATATATCATCAGTACTCGTTTACTCATTCGCTTTCAAAGGTATTTTTACATTTTTCTCTTCAAAATAAAAGATATGGGATTTGTAGTAAAATTATAAGAGAAAGTGTTGACTTATGAAAATTTATAATGTATTTTGAGAGCCACAGAAACTTAATATTTATTAATTAAATAATATTAATATTTACAATTTTAAAAAGGGTAAAAAAGAAAATAATAAAAAACTCTAACTCAACTTATTTATAAATAAATCATGAATCTATTAATCAAAAGATAAAATTAGTTTTGTAATTATAAATGTAAATGAAATTAATATTTTCAAGAAATACAAATCTAACTAAAAATAGTAAATAGATAAAATAAATATATCACTTTAAATAAAATCCATGATTTCAAGCTTAAAAAAAAAATTGTATTTAAATACTATTTATTATAAAGCAATTTTTCTGAAATATAAGTCAAATCAAATTATTATTGATGTTTATCCATATTTTAATTTGATTTGTATTTATAAAAAATAAACAAACTTTAATTTTTAGTTAAAGAATATGTTTGTTTACATATAATAACTCTATTTTTTATAAAAAAATAACTATTTACAAAGTTTAAAAAAGATGTCATCATCCAAGTTTTTGTTTTTCATTTGATCAATTAATTGTTGTTTTTTAGTAAAAAGAAATAAGTTGTACTATCATTCAATTAAAATAAAGTTAATTTTTTATATGAAAAAGATATATTACGTTCTTGTGTGGATTATTGAATAGATTTATGTTTGATAAATTATTTAATATTAAAAAAATTGTAATAATTAATCAAAAATATTATGGAAAGTCATAATAGGATTATTTTTGTTTCAGAATTTTTTAAAATATTTGTGAAAAATATAATGTATTGTGATCACTTTAATCACAGTATAATTATTTTATTAAGAAATAACAAAAGTTTTTTTTTAAAAAAATTATAAAGTGACAGACAGTTGTTTTTAAAAGTATTTGGACATAGATTAAAGTAATATAAAAAAATTAGAGGGCAATTAATATCATTATAATTACTATACAGTTGAAAAATCTTGAAGATCAATAAGGATTTTAAAAATCAAACGTTATATAAGGGCTCAACTGATTTAATTGGAGTGTTGCAATCAGAACGAAGACAGACTTTAAAACTTAATTTTTAATAGCAGGCTTTGCAGCATATAACATGTTGGCATGGGTTTGCTTAGATATTGGCTTTAACAGCTTTACAGTTTAAACACATCCCATTACTGTACTGCTAACTTTAATTAACAACAACATCGCCCATTTAATTTATTTTTACTATTAACAGAAACGGGTTTATTTTAATTTCACTTTCATTTTAAATTTAATATTTAGGACTCTCTTCTTTTTATGGAGAAAGACGTAGCCAGGTTCCCTTTTACGAATCAAGGTCCATAATTGATAAGACATTATCTTTTATAGAGAGCTTAGCATGATAAGAACTAAGGTCCTTATCATCAGAGAATTGAGAACCAAAATGGCAGCGGATATCACGACCTATTAAAAAGCGGTTCTAAATGTTAAGATCAAATTGTTTTCCTTTGTGTTGCTCAATGCCATCGTAGATAGTTAATTTTACTTTTGCTGAATCGCCTTCTGCTTAGATTTTATTAATTTAAAATTCTTAAAAACCGCATTCGAAAATAGATCCTTCTTTGAGAGGTATTTAATGGTTTTTGATTCTGATAAAAGTGCCACAGGAGCTTCCTAAATCTCTAATGCTACATACGCCATTAATATTTTCTATTAAGACATGCTTTCTAGAAACAGCATTGTCTTTTAGAATTATATCACAATATTTAGTACCTAATGTTACTGATTAATTTTCTTTAATTGCAAATTTTTCGACAGATTAGGAGCCAGGCTCATTCTATCCCTATGTTCTCTTGATTTCAAGGATTAATTAGGTTTCTATTTTACGATTAATACTTCTTTTTGATTTGTAATCTTAATACTAATGGTATAGAGGGCATTTTCTTAAATAGCTTTCATAATCATTTTTTGCTTGATCGTATTGCATAGGAGTATCGAAATCAAATGGATCATAAGGTAAATCGTAATACTTGATTATCATCTCATTTGCTTTTTCTATGTCCGTATTTAAACTGTCAGAGTACTCTAATTTCTTCGATGCCTGCCTAGAATCGAAAATATCATTATCGTTTGTAACTATAAGCTGAACTGAATCTTAAATAATATCAAAATCATCGATGTTTTAACTTTTATAAGTATTGTGCTTTTATATTATTTGATTTTTCACCTCTCGCAATTGATTTTTTTCTTCTGGGGTAGAGGCCTTAAAGAAAGCAAATATCTAAACTTCTTCATTCATGATAAAATCAGAACCTCTATACTTTGCTAGGTTTTGTTGGTTATCTAAAAGCTTTTTTAAACATTTCATATTATTCATAAAATTAAGAACTTGATTTTAGTCCCAATCAAAGGGATCACTATCATACATGCTGTTCATTTTACGCTTTCTTTTTAACTATATAAATCAAAGTTTCCTTCTTTAATATGAAATTGAGCCTTCTTAACGCTATGCTATAAAATTTATTATGTATTAATAGCTTTCTTCTATTTTTTTATTTTTTTCTCCCTTTTTGATAATTTATTTTATAAAAAAAAGAATGTATTTTTTGTATTTGTTTTGTTTGTTTGTTTGTTTGACAATCTAAATTTTATTAAATTATAAATTGTAATTAAAGTAAATTTTCATTAATTCTTAAAAAGCACACAGATATTAGATCTTATGTATGTATGATGCATAAATATATAAATAATGTATGCAAATCTGAGTTTATTTTATAAATAATTAACACATATATGATATTTTATAATAGTTTACAAAAACAAACAGATAAATTTACATTAAAAATAAATAAACTTGGTTAGTTACCTAGCTAGTTGGTAAGTTGTTTATTTATTGTTTTGACTTAATTTATACAATAGTGTTATAAATTATGTTAAGGCATAATAATTCATTAAAGTAAATACATATATTAAATTCATTTATTTTGAGTAGATAGCCTTTATGTTGAAAGCTAAGTTTCGTTTCTAGACATATCTGCATCTAATTAAGTCTTATTCTAAAATTCTTGTATTGTGGTGTTCATTTGGCTCTGATTTGGCTTGCTATTCATTGATTTTAATATCATCTATAAGTCGTTATCATCTTCATCTTAGTAGGTGAATAAATCTTCATCATCGTCATCATCATCTTCTTCATTTTCAGCTCCTTTTTTACCCTCCTCTATAAGTCTTTACAGCTCATCATTTAGCAATTTATGAGCAATCAATATAGGACGCAAATTCTCTTCTTAGATTTCCTCGTCTAAAATTCTGTGTTCTAATACCTTTAAAACTTCAACCCAATTTTTATACGATTCAGGTACAACAAATGGTTTTAAAACTTCTATTTTTTCTTTTATTTTTTATTGTTCGTCGTTCCAGCTTTCTTGTAGCTATTGCATTTTTTGTAAGATGTCTTCCTTGTTCTATACATTAATATATTTATCTTATATCTGTGTTGTAAACAGATTATAATCTATGCAGATGGCAGTGAACTTTTCAAAAGAAAGGTTTTTTTCTTCTTCTGTAATGATATCAGCTTTTTCTTCAAACATTTTAATGCATCTCATTAGATTGAACCTATTAGACATTATGTGTCTGTAGAGAGTGAGGAATTCATTGAGATTAATTCTTCCATTACCATCTAAATCAGCAGCAAAGAAAGCATTTTTCACGAAAAGTTGAGTCTTATTCATCAATATTCTGTACTTTTGTAAAACCTTACTCATAAATATATCGAAATCAACCACATGAATTTTATTAGTGTGTTTTAGATCTACTTCTTTCATATTATCTAATTACTAACGAAGATCTACCAAGTCTTCAAAAGGCATTATCTTTTCTAATATAACTTTAATGTAATCTAAAGCCTTCAGATGAGGTACCTAAAGAATAATTTTTGCATTCATATGTAAAGTATTAAAATTAAATTCGATAAAAATTACCATAAAAGTAGAATCTGTTTCTGAGTGTGAAGGATTAAGCACACCCATTGTGGAAAGATTTACAATAAATTCATATGCTTAAAAGTATTTTTCCATTTCATCAATACTGTAATTCATTTTTTTATCTGAATTAACTGTGAGCAGTCTAGTAAACATGTTGACTCTAAAAATAGACTAATATTAAATAACACTCATCAAAAATTAAGTATATTTATTTTCAGCAACTTTTTTAAAACCGAATATCTGCAAAAACTTATTAAACGAGAAAATGGGCATTTCTTAATCTTTTGGAAGTCTTTTAATATTTTTAAAAATGAATTTAGCAAAAAAATATTTTTAAAGTTTTTAATTTTAATGAAAAATGAATGAATTGCTATTTATCAATTACCTCTGCTCTCTAATCATTCTCACCCTTTCATCAACTAAGTTTTAAATGTATTTTAATGTGTTTTTAAGAGGTAAAAAGGTAGTAAACTTCTTAGGAATTCCTTATTCCCTAATTTTATTTACAAGGATAAAACCAAAATGAGTATTTTTATCTACTTAAGTCATCTTGTTAAAGGCCTACGTTCTCTAAACATGAGCCAGGAATTTAATAGTTGATTTTTTATTTGAAAATTTAAGTCTAAGGAGTTTTTTTTTTTCGTCCTCCTTATCTTCTTTTAGCACCTCTTTTTCAAAGTTTGTGTCAAAATCTTTGGGAAGTTTCCACTTAATTGAAGTGAATTGCTAAATAAATCCTTCTATGATAGATTTATGAGTGTGTTTTTAAGTTTTTTTGATATGAATAAAGAGCATCTTAAGGAATTAATACATTTCTCTTAAAAGCTTTATCAGTTCTTCTAGCGATTCTCGAAGATTACAATTCTTCTCTATTTCCATGTTGTACAGATGAATTAAACTCATTACTTGCTTCTTTATTTCAGAGTCATTACCATTGAGACTTTTGAGATCTATATTCATTCAAATTTTTTAAATAAAAATTTAAATTTAATTAAAAATTAACCTGCAGGAATTATGTTTTAATCCTAGAATATGAGAGAATTATTTGTTTCCTCTCTTTCATCAAACCTATGAATCGATAAGCTAGTGTTTTGGCGATTTTCAGTGTTACTTTTACCTAGATATTCTTCACTTTCTTCAATTAAATTAATAGCCTTAAACTGAACTCCTTTTAAATTGGATGTAGACATTAATTATATCTTATTAACAGCACTTTAATTTGCTAATTGAGAATTATTTTCACTCACTAAGAACGGGCTTTTATTTACTTAAGGAGATGAATTAATGGGAGTCATAAAACTCTACTTTTAGTTGGGGGAAAAATTAATTTATGTTTAATCCTAGAAAGAACCTTGAATGCTAGTTTTCTTTCCTATATTAGTTTTGCTTTAGGGACTAGAGCTAGAGGTATTTGCTTTTTTGTTGAATGATTAATCTAAGCTAGGTTCTCCAAAAGCGTATGGAGTCATCTATTCAATAAGCTGTTATTGCTTTTTAATTTAATCTATCAACTGCTAATTTGTTAGATTCTAATAAAAATTAATTTCAAATTATTATTTTATTTGATCTCTTAATAAATTCTTTTCTGCTAAGCTGGAGGCTTCAATCAATTTCTACTATTTTTTCATTTGATTTAATGTCATCGATCTTTAATTATTTCTTTAAAACTCATTAGTCCTACCTTGCTGCACTTAAGATGGCGGTGCTACAGAACTGGGGATATTTGTTTAAGAAGCCGTTTTAGGGAAATCATTTTATTATACTTCTGGTTTAACTATTGTGGTTTTCTTCGATTTCTATTTTTGAAATGTAAAACAAATAAACTTACATGAATAAATTAAGATTTCATAGACAAGTTAATAATATCAATAAAAAATACATCTTTTCTTTTTTTAGGCTCTCTCTCTTATTACTCATCTTCTTCTTTGATTTCTTTCATTGAAATTAAACCATGTAATTCTTCTTTCTTAATGTTTTATTAAATCATATTTTTGAGATTTTCTGTTCTGTCTTTCTCTATGTTTGTATCAGGTTCTCTGACGTAGCTATACAGCACACCCATGTTTTCAATAAATCTTTCAAGTTAATTTTTTGGAATTTTTTTTTTTAACTTTTTTATTGGAAGACCTTAGAATAAATTTGATAAAATAGGTTTATCTGGGTTTCTTGAAGAAGGAGGTCCACTTTCTTAGTCCATTAAGGAATTATCATTCTCATATTCTTCCTCAAGTGCCAGCAAATCTGCTTTAATTTATTATTCTCTTACAAAGTCATCTACTTTTTGTTTGCTTGCAAACACTTTATCATATTTCTTATCCATCAAATCTAAATCAGTTTAAACTTTTATGGATTTAGTGTACGTCAAAGTCATCATAGGATCTGTCTGACATTCTTAGCAAACAAGGGCATTTGTCTTTTCTTCAAATACTTATTTAATAATAACATCCTAAAATAAAATAAATAATTAATTAATTATTTTTCAAGCTAAAATCTAAAATTCACATTTTAAAGGTTGTTTGCGTCATTTTCTGCTTCCTTGATAAGCTCAGTAAAAGAGAGGTCTATTTTATCATTTATATCATCTATTGTTGTTTTACTTGCTAGTTTTTTTTACTAAGGAATTTAAAGCAAACTTTAAATCAATTGTTAATCTGACTCTTCTAGTTTCTCCTATGAGCGAACTGAATAATAAGAGGTACTTGCTTATCTTTTAATATTTGATTTATAATCCAATAAAACTTTTTCTAGCTTTTTTTATTGGAAGAGTTCTTTGCTTTAAAGACGAGTCCTTAAGTCATCTATTTCCCTTTTCATTTTTATAAGCTAAACCTTAGCAAAATCATTAAGCTTTTTTAGCTTATCATTTTTAAAGATATTTTCTCTTTCCCTAATCTCTTATTATTTGATATCTTCCTTTAACTGAGCATTCTTATCTTTTTCTAATTAAAGTAACTCCTAAAGCGCTTTTATTTAATTATTTTTGCTATCTAAATCATCATCCGAGTTTTTTTATAGTATCAACTTCTCATAGTAGTTCTAAATTGTAGCTTTTCTCTTTTCTTCTTATTCGTATTAACTAACTTTCTTAATCAAACTAAAATAGCAGCTAAATACAGTTATTAAAAGCATTCCTCTTTCTTTGCATTAATATGAAACTTATCTAACCATCTCATTAAATGTCAAAATTAGAGAATCATCTATCTTTTAAAATTTTTCTTTAACATCGATTACATTATCATTTTAGATTTATTCAAAAGTTCCCTCTAACCAATTTTTTATAATTTGAACTTCAGCTCTGCCCTATAAAATCAATTTAAATTATATTTATTATTTTTTTAATAACAATTTTTATTTTAGCCAAATAAAAATTTAAATTTATTTTAAATAGAAATTTTGAACTTTCTTTGAATTTAATAATTTAATTGAATGAAACATTTTTCTATATAAAATTTAATAAAATAAATTTATTTATTTACGGATGGCTAGCCAGTGTATAAATTGGGTAGTTATTTCTTCAAAGATTTTGCAAGGTCAACTAATGATGAAGGGATATTTTCTTGAATAGGCTTTATTGTTTAGTTAGTTAGAATATTTTAAATTTCTTAGTGGATTTATTTCAAAACTTTAGTGCTAGATTAAGACCCACTACTGTTTTTTTAATTTCTTATTGGGCTTTATAGGTTAGATTATATGATTTAGGAGTTATTTTCAGAAATATTAGTTTCTTTAACAATTTAAATAAACTCATCTATAAAACTATTAGGCAGATATGGTAATAAATGAAATTGGATATCACTCCCCTACTTTGAAAGTTCGTTTTAAGTGCTAAAATTTTAGTTTTACCTCTTCATACTATTTGAAATTGGTGTTGATTAAAAATTAGAACCCAGGCTATTTAAATTAACTTGTGATTTAGAAGAGAAGTTGCTATTAGTAGTTTTTAAATCATTAAAAGAAGATTTTCTACTGCTAAAAATCAACTTTTTGGAGTCAGAAAGCACAGACTTTGGGCTAATTAACATATTCATGTTCTATTCTGTTTTTATTTTAATTCTATTCTCTGTTTACTTACTTAAGTTCTATCTTGGCTCTTAAATGTATGATATGTCTCTTGAGCTAATTATCTACTGAATGCTGGTGTTCTTATTATTTTAATTATCTAATTTAGTGAACTTATTAATGTTTTTCATGATATCTCTTTGAGATTAACTTGATTTAAGATAAGTATTATCAGGACTAGAAAAATTGTCTTTCATTTAATATCTCATCAATTTATCTAATTAATACAAATTACTTTGAGTTTAAGTGAAAATTTAGCTAGGTTGCTATTTATTCAGTAACCTGCTAAAATCATTTTAAGAACCTAAGGAGTTTTAAGATTAAATTTGCACTTAGAGATTTTAAGAACTGTTAATTGTATTCTATTGTCCAGTTTCACTTAGTAGAAGAGTGTGTGAAAATCTTTTTCCATTAAAAATTGGAGAATTCTACTTTTTAGAAGACTGTGTTTTATTAACTTAAATAACTGATGGAACACTCAGCTTATGCTAGAGTATGTTTGAATTTTATAATGCACTAGATAAATTTATTTAGTCTTCATCTTCTTTAAATAAATAACCCGATTTTTATAACTTTTTCAAATGACTTTAATCCATTATTTAAACATTATTTTCTAAAATTTGAGGGAATTTAGGATCTAATCCATTATTAGCACTGGCTTTTAAATTTATATGACTATTCGTTAAATTAAATTATTCTTGGAATAGTGACTCTTTCGCTTTTTATGGTGACTATAATTTTCTGTAGCTTCCGTGACTTGAACTAGATAAACCATTAAGTTTGACTTATATTATTTTTTTTTAACTATCGCTTGTAATTTAATCTGAAGATTTGATTCTCTCAGAGTTGATAATATTACTTATCAAAGACGCATTTTTAGCTATAATTGATTCTTTTTTATCAATATTATCTTAAGAGGCACCAGATGAAGATTTTGATACTCTTTAGATATTACTATTTTTACTGTTTTGCTTTTCTTATAACTTCAAAGAACTCGGTGTAGAGTTTTAACTCTCCTAATTCATTTATAAAATGCTTGTTCTAATTAAGTTATTTTCTTTTTATTTGTTTATAATAGCACAGTATCTTTAATATATAGTTTGATATTATTAAAAATTAAAATATTCGCTTTTTTTTTGCAAACATACAAAAATAGATTAGTTATAAATCGATATTAGAAACCACATTTTTCATTATAATATTTGTAGATCTTATTGATAAATAACGCAGTTAGTCAGTCAATCAATATATCGATCAATCAACTAGCTTTATATTCAGTCAGTCAGTCATCTTACTTTTTTTATTTGCTATAAATTTTACAATTTATCATATTAAGCTATCTTCAGCTAAAATTTGATTAACAATAGACAGAATATTAAAAAGCTTTTGCTGAAATTGCGTTAAGTGTAATTAAAACATTCAATTAAATTTCTGCAGTGTAACAAATAAAAATAAACCACTTATTTTGATAATTTATAATTTTTAAAATTAAAATATATTACACACATATGATTTATTTATTTAACTAAAATACTTCTTTTTTAAATTTTATTTAAATTAACTAAAATTGATTTATTTAAATATTATTGAAATTTTTATGTTTATTTTTATAATTTATTCATTAAAGCTTAGATTTCCATGAGGATGTGCAAAGAGCTATTGCAAAGGCTTAAATAAAGCTAAAAGGATGTCTATAATCAACAATGTAGTTGCAAGATGATGTTTTTCCCATTTGGAAAATAGGGAAATAATCTTTATCTTCGTATTGCTGCTAATTTAAATTCGTTTCAGATTAAAAGTTAACTTAATCAAACAAAAGCTGAAAGTTTCTTTTTGAAGGAGATTTTATTCTACCATATGAGTCTATAACCCAAGATTTAAGGTTTTGGCTCCAACTAGGAAATTTAGTTCTTATGTAATAACATTCATCTGGTAGAGTGGTGTCTTTAGATTAGAATTCAAAGTAAGAGAATTCCTTATCGCTATAATTATATTTGCAGTGCTTTTTGTCCATTGTTTTTGGACATATTACTTCTTGTCTTAGATCATCGTCTGACCTTGGAATAAGAATTTACAATACATGGACTGCATTTTCAGCTTCCTTTTAAATATCATGCATTATAAACATCAACCACTATCTACGATTAGTGTATGGCTAACATTGCTTTTTCTAATAACATAATTCGCAACTATTGCTCCATAAAACCCATTCTTTCTTATTCTATCTAATTTAAAGATAAAACTAGGGATCTTATTCATTAAATTCTTCGTTTTTAGGATCTAACATATAAATAAGCCATTAATTGTTTTTAACATCTAATTTTGCATAAAGCATTTAATTTTTATTAACATCTGAAGTCATTTTAAACTCAATATTCTTTTTTTATACTAATTTAACGAAGCTATTATATAAAAACTATATTGAATCTGAATTTTTTTCATCATCATCGTCATCATCATCTATACTATTATCTTATTCGCTATCTGAACTATCGTACGAATATTTATTTTATTTTTTTTTCTACTTTTCTTCGCTAGACTGCTAGTCCATAATTTAAGGTGGAGCAGGCTATAATATTCTGTAAAGAGTCTGAGTAACTTCTATTCCTTTTTCTGTAAAATCATATATGTCTATCATTTCGACCTTTTAAAAAAATATGCTTTTTAATTAAGTTCTCTTTAGTCCACAAATTTTTCACTTTTATTTAATAAACATAAAATATTTATGTTTTAAAATTTTAGTAAATAAAAACTCAAATAAATTGCAAACTTAAAAAAATAATCAAATTAGAACTAATAGATTCTATTTATTTTTTTAATTAGTCTAATTTTTAAATTTTTGCTTCACACAGTTATTGATAGACTGACTATTGTTTTATTAAAGTACTGGATAAAATAAAAAATAAATTTTTTACACGCGTTTTTGTATAACTAACTCATATAAACAATTATTTATTTGCATTTCAATTTAAAAATTTTATAGTTTAAGTATAAAAAAAAGTACTGAAATAATATTAATTAAGCACGGATGTAAAATAATAATTAGAATTTCAGGTATTATTAAAGGTGTTAAAAAATTTGAAAAACACTACCTTTAAAAAAATATATATATAATTTATAAATAGCCCCTGACTAATGAGTAAATATAAAATTTTTTGTTTTTAATAAGATTATTTATGGACAGTTAGTTAATCAATAAATTTATATTTTTTTCTTAAAAAAACTTTTGTTTAAGTAAAATTTTTTATTAATACAACAAGGATTAATTAATAGTAAGTATTTGATGATAATTTAATATATTTTTAACAAAGTTAGCAAACATATTTAATTAATTAATTATTACTTAATAAATTCAAGATTAAATAAAATATTTAAAAGAAAAATAGTTTTTAAGATTTTAGATTTATATAAAATTTTATTAAAATTTATTTTATTTTATACATTTTAATTTTTAATTGATTTGTCATTTAATTATTTCATGAAGGTGAGTAAAAATTAGCAATTTTTTAATAGCAATTTATAAAATTGCAAGTAGAGGGTTTTTAATTTTTGTAGCATAATAAACACATCATTTTGTGCTTACATGGATAATAAATTATTTTTAATTTATTTGTTTTGCAATATTAGCAATGGCTTATATCTATATCTCCTAGAATTTTATCGAGCTTTTTAGTCTTTTAGTTGTTATATTATACATTTATAAATACTTAAATAACTTAATCCCCAATCATTAAACAATCAATATTCTTAAGACTCTGGTAATGGCTCTAAACACTTTCTTTTGAAAGTCGTATCCATGTATCTCTTCTATCATAATTTTTAAGATATATCTAGGTACCATCATTGTATATATATTCCTTAAACCGAATATTTTTATCTTAACTTATCTTTTCATCTAAATTCAAACTTTTACTACTTAATATTAGTTTCTCATATTTATAAATATTAAAATCAAAATATTCTCCTTTTGTGCGTTTTTTTGAAGCATCTTTTATAGTTATTTTTACTTTTTCTTAGTCATAGCAAACTTAATTGAGCTCGAATTCGCAGTCTCCTATCCTTAAAATAGAATCAACAAATAAAGGAATTTAGAAATCTTCCTTGAATTTAACATAAATTGGCTAAATACCTCCTTTATCCTATATGTAATACATTTAATCAGTATCAACAAACTCGATTAATACTTAATTATTGGATACCTCTGCCAGTTTTTATATAAACTTTACTTAATTTGTAGTATTGTCTATTTCTAAGCTCTCACTAGAATTTTAATTTAACTACAATTTTAGCTAAACAGATGTATTTTTTTATATATAATCATTACTTTGTTCTTATAATTGTAAGAAAAGATCGTTTTTTACTATTTTTTCAAACATATCCGCAGCTTCTTTAACACTTGGATAACTGTCATAATCATACACATTAATAAATCTAGTAGAGCTTGCAGAATGCTGGGTATAAGTTTATGGCAAATTAATATTAGTAAGCTAATTTGTTTTTTGCTAAAACTCTTGGTCTTATTTGTCATCTGTCATTGAATCTTAAGTATTAAAATCATAAGTTTCATTCAATTCCTCTGTTTAAACCATTTCAACAATCGTATCTATTGTCTAAGGTTTTTTCAGGTAAATTATAATTTCATGCATAAGTTAGCTGGTTTTTGAAAATATCCTATCAATTTCTTCTTGCCTCGAATTCATTAAATCATTGATTTACAATTTATTTTCCTTAATAGTTTAAATGATATATTTTATTTCATCTCTTTAAATACTGTCTAAAAAAGTTAAAAGTTTTTATTGTGTCCAATAGATTGGATCTTCTTTGTATTTTAGATTTGTTAAAAAAAATGTCTAAGAAGAAGCTTATTCCATTTGAGATTTGCTCATTTGTTTCTCTCAATTTTTATATGGCTAATTACTTCTTAAATGATTCAATAAATTTTGATAAATATATTTATATAGAATAAAAAAGCTAAAGCAAATTTGATTAATTGATCTATAGATAGATAAATAGATATATACAAACAGACAGAAAAAGTTGTGTTAACATACTTAGAATTTAGAAATTTAAAATTTAATTTTCCAATAAAAATAAATAAAATATAAATATTATAAACACAAACAAAATTCAACTTTAAATAAAATCATATTTATTTATGAGTTTCAAATTTTATTTAAACAAAATCATTTTTATAAATCTTATTTTTCCATTAGGATCATGGTTACATCATTTATCGTCCCTATTGGGCTATCAATAAACATAGCATGTCCATGCTCTGCAATCTATTGATAAAAATTGAAAATATGTTTAAAAAGATGAAAAATAAAATATTTATTACTTTTTGATAACGATGCTTTTCTAGTATCTTTGCTACATTTTAGTCTCTAGTAAAATGGTTCAATATAATTATATGAGAAGGATTTTGACTTTCAATTATATTTTTGATAAATTCCTATGGATATTTGAATAGCTTACTAGAATCTGATCCTTTTATTCTATTTTCAGGCTTGCAATCAGGGAAGTCCATATAAATATTCCTAAAATTTTATTAAAATAAATTTAAATAAATTAAATTTTAATTAATTTTTTGTGACAATACTTGTGAACAAATGAGTAGTAAGGTGTCTGATGACATTCAGTAAAAAAATATACAGATTTTACTCTATCTCCTTATTATCTCAAAGAATCAACAACTGAAAAGGCACCTCTTTGGTGATGTATTCCCATAAAAGCAAACAAGCCAATATTTGATATTATTGAAATAAAAAGTAGATATTTCAGGTATCTGCTTGATTTTAACTAAACACACCCATAGCAAGTAAAAAGCATAAATAATGGCCACAGAGGTAATAAAAAACGATCCTCCTTATGTGCAGAAAGAGAAAGCACCAAAATAAAGTAAATCATGAAAATAATTAAATCCAAACCTGCTCTCTTATTTAACTAATCAGAAACATACTTTACTAAACCAATAGCAAAAAAAACAACAGAACCTAAAAGCAAGTAAGGTATGCATTCAGTAACATACCAAAATTTATGATGTGTTCCATAAAGGCTTGAACCAGCTTCCAAAAAGTTAAATTCAAAGAAGTTGTATACAGTCCATGTGAATCTTTTATAGTATAGTACATCAACTAAGAGAGAGCTAACTATCATCACTAAAACAGTAAAAACGTTTAAGAAGAAGTATTCAATCTTATCTTTGATTTTTCCAGGCATAGTAAATAATCTATAAGGCTATTTAATTCATTAAAATATATTAAATATATTTAAAATTTTTATTAAATACAAAAGTATTATGAAAATCCTTATCTTAATTGTAGAGAAAAAATAGTATTTTGTAATATTATTAGCAGATTTAAGTGATGTTATTAATCAATTTTAGCATTTAAAAAATAAACTAATTAATTAATAATTACCCATATTAGTGTCAAAGGAATTATGGATGTAGGCTTAGCAATAAAATTTATAGTAGCTACAATTCTTGAAATATAATCAAAGGTCCTAAATTGTTTGTTTATTTAATTTATTTAAAATATAAAATATTTATTTGTTTATCAATAAAAATATTTCTTTTTTTGTAAATTATGCAAAATATTATTAATTTTCATTTAATATCAAATCTTCATACTTGAAATTTTTTGAAATAGATAGCTTATAAAAGTATAGTGTGATTGCAAATAGTGTCATTTCTAATACATTAAATATTAACCTAGGGATAGCAAAAAGAGAATACCAGTTAGTAAGATGAAGAATCATCTATTTTATATTTTGTAGATTTAACATTTAATTTCAAATGAAATCAATTTACTTACTGCTGGTAAAACATGAGTTTATCCAAAATAAACATAGACAATCTTTAATAAAAAGTAATCAAAAGTGGCAGCTTATGTTGCAGCTATAAGCTTAGGTAAGTATGCAACTAAAATTGGAAAGTCTAGGCTAGTATATTTTAATATATTATACATAGTGCTAAAAATAAAAACATATAAAGGACTTCTCAAAGGAGCTTCTCTTGTCCATTCCCAAGACTTATATCCATATCTAAATTTTTTATTTAAAAGATTTAATATGAACTTTTTATCAATATATTTCAGAATACCCAAAAACATCATTATGAGCTATTTCTGTAGATTACCAATACTCATCAGCTGCGTAATACGTTCTTAATAAATACTATTATATAAAAGAGTATGTTGTAAAATTTAATATTAAATAATAATATCTATTATCATATTAAATAATCATTAAAAAAGTCATTTAGTAGGAATAAAAAATATTTATTTTACAGCATTTATTATTCTGAATATAAGCAAATATATGAATTGCTTCTTTGAAGGCCTTTCAAAACCTTTTAAAAATGACATCATGTAGTGAACTTTCAAAAATAAAAATATGTATCTATCTATCTTTTAAATTGCTTATTTTATGATTGATGATATTAGTTGGAATATTTTTTATCAAAAATATATTTAAAATTAAAATATCCAAAACAGAATTTGCACACTCAACTTTTGATAATAGCAATAAATAGATTTTTAATATTTTTTGTCTTGCATAGCAGAATTAAATATTAAATTTTAATTGCAAAGAGTTTAAGTCTAATACAAATATTTTTACAAAAATTGTAATAGTTTATCAAGTATTTTTAATTTTTTAATAAAATATTTAATTTATTTATCAAACATTATTTTTTCTTAATCATTTATTTTACAAAATAAATATAAAGTAAATCAATTAAAAAATATGATATTAATATCATTTTATTTTTTGAGGTTTTTAAAATTTATAGGGTAGCTATTTAGAATAAAGATTTTTTTAGAATAAAAATTTTTTTTAAGCTGATAAGAAAATAATCAAATAAATATTTTTAGTAATTATAGTACCCTAATTAAAAAAATTTAATGAAATTAATCAATAAATTTAAGTTAAGAAATATTTCTAGATTAATAAAAAAATAAAAAAAATATTATTAATAATCAAATCATTATAATTTATTCATGAATTTGGGAGATAAAAATTGTTCTGCTCTCTTTTATTACACCTGAAATTTAATTTGATTTAAGTTATTGTTCTAAATAATTTAGCTTTTGAATTTTAAATATTAGACACTTTCTAAATTATAATATTTTTATGCCAATAACTTGATTTATAATAATTTATTTGCATAAATAAATAAATTTCAAAAGAAGAATTATGTTAAAATAGTTTAATAAATATAAGAAGTCTATTGATTAGATATTTAATTATATAAAAAACGTGTTTTGGAATAAATAAATTTTAAAATTTAAATAGTCTTTGCCTAATTTTGAAAATAAATTTAAGCAAAATTGATTTATTTAATTTATATTCATCAAATATTTTCAAATATTAAATTTTATAAAATTAAAATGACTTTGTTATTTTGGTAAATTTAGATAAAGAAATAACAATTCTTGATAGATAATTTATAAAATTACTTAATAAACTAGTTTCAATATGGTAAATTGAATATAAATAATACACTAGATAATAGTATATTAAGGTAGAGGGTAAAAATTTAGGATTTTTTAATTATTCATTTAATTTCTAAAAATTTATATTATTTTTAATATGCATTAATATAATATTTATTTATATATTAGAACCAATTAAAAACTTGTAGAGTTGAATCTTTAAAGAAAAACAATACAAGAAAAGAAACACCTAGCATACCAATTTAGTATAAAGTACTGTACCTATTTATAGAGTCTTTTAGATAAAATAGCAAATTAGTATATAATATAGTTGGATTGCTATCACTATTATTTTAGCAATAAATAAATAATTAGGATTCGGACTGGTTTAAAGAAATGAGCATGTTTGATAAAGAATATGATAAAAAAGGATTTGATATAAAATAGATTTAAAGTCCAATATTGAAATTATATCAAAATGCCAAGTAGGAAATTAATAATAAAAGCGATAATATATTTTCTCCAAGCCTCAACTCGTAAAATATCCAATCATCTAAGAAAAGTAAGCATAGTATTTATTATAATTCAAGTTGCACATTTAATTTAATAATTTAATCCAACATAATCAATTGTTCTCATCAAAAAATTAATTTTGCAAGAAAGAAAGGGAAAATTTTTAAAAAGCAATAAAGTCAACTAACATTAACTCTTTTTTTGCAGTATATTAACATTAGCTATAACCGCTTTAATTGGTTTAGAAAGATGATTAAAAGGAACACAAAAAGAAGCCTCAATCAATTTAGTCAAGTAAGCTTTAAACTTAAAAAAAATAATATTTTCAAAATTGTTTTCACTTTTGATTCTATTAATATATGAATGATTATGCGGTTCATATAATTTCTAAAATTAGCAATTAATTATTTTAAATTATAAAATTTGATAAAAAGGTGATCGAATCCTTTCAAAGGACTACTCTAAAGGGAAAATTTTTTAAATTTAAAAAGATGAAATGAGTGGGTTTGCTATTAACAACTTTAACAATAACAATAAATTAAGTGCCTTCCAAAGCTATCCATAATCACCCACTTACAAAGACTAATTTAATTGTAAATTGTAGAGTAAACAAAGTGAAGAGACTCCGACTTAAAAATCTTAAAATTAACCTTTATATAGATTACCTAATAATGAAGCTAATCCTTTTAAGGATGGAAATTAATTGTAAATTTAGAATGATAATATAAAAGCTATAAAATTAGAAAGCGATTAGAAATCCATTTCTTAGCTTTAAAGTCCTAGAGTAAGGATTAAAACAATATAAAAAAATATGAAATCCCCCACATATTAAAATCTAAACAAAGAAAAATTAAGTTAAAATGATTTAGCTGACTTTGAAAATTAGCAAAATTAAAATGGAGAGAAAATAAAAACAGAATAAAACAAAATAGATAACGAAGGTCAATTTTAAGTCTAAAATGAGGAAGAACAAATATCACCAATAAAAAACAAAATTAATAAAATTTAATCCATAAATGCTATTATACCAGAAAAATACCTCCCTAAGACACCATCGGGAGAAAAATTTCATTAGAAATAGGAAAGTTCACGCCCAAGTTCAGGGAGAAATTAAAATTTTATTATAAAAATGGTCAATAATCACAATTATTCAGATGTCAATCATATACATAATAACAATTTAAATAATGCAAATAATGGATCAAATACTGTTATAAGACTTTAGTCAAAAGAAATAAGTGATACACCCAAAAGCTAAAATAGAGAAGAAAAGTATTAAGAATCTTATAATGAAATTAAGGATAGAATCGACACCCAAAATTCATAATAAATAGGTGATTCTTTGTAAAATTTAGATGAAGAATAAAAAAACGAAAAGCAAATTAGTGAACAAAAATAAAATAAACCTAATTCTAATTAGAATATATCTTCAAAAATATAATCCCTTAATTATATAAATGAAGAGAGAGAATTAGATTCATCTCCCATAGAATAAGGTTAAAATAGTAAACTGAAAGATAAAAATAATGATAAATAAAATATTATCAAAGAGTAATCATAAAATTAAAGATAAGAATCATCCATGATGTTACAAACAGCTTCTGAAAAAAAAGAAATTAACAATTTAAAATATATTATTGAATCAAACAATTTAAATTAGAATAATAACAATAGCAGCAGCAATGATTATTTGGACGCATAAGTTGGGGAGTTAATTGGATAAGGTAAAATAGTAAATCAGATTTATTTAATTTTGGACAAATAAATTATTCAAAAGGTGCATATGGTCGAGTTTATAAAGGATTTGTCAAGAGTACTGGAAAATTTATTGCAATAAAAGAAATGAAAGAAGAAATGATGTTAGGAGAAGATGCTCACTCTTTATTAGAAAGCATTTGCAAAGAGATTTAATTGCTGAAGTAGCTTTCTCATAAAAATATAGTAAACTACATTGGATCAAAAAAGCAAGAAGGTAGTGTGTATATTTACATGGAATATATGCCAGGAGGATCAATATCTGAAATGCTGAAAAAGTATGGAGGATTTGATGAAGAAGTTATTTAAAAATTTGTTAAACAGTTACTTGAAGGTTTAATTTATCTACATTCAAAAGGAGTTATTCATCGAGATTTAAAAGTAAATATTACATTTAAACTTAAACAAATTTCAAATATTTATCTATTTATTTTAGGGAGCAAATATTTTATCTGATGGTTAAGGCAATGTGAAGTTAGCAGATTTTGGAGCTGCTAGAAATATAGAAAATATTTTGTAGCATTCTCTATCATAGTCAGAATTTTGCAATTCTATAAAAGGGTAAAATAAATTTTATAAATTATTCTTTATCTTCAATTTAAACTAAAAAACTAAGAAATAATCATTTTACTGTTCTGAATTAAGTTTAAAACAAAATAATAAATAAAAAATGAAATATGATGTTATGAATTATTTGATAAAATATATTTATAATTCAAATTTAATGATAATAAAATTTTTAATTTAGATCCCTTTATTGGATGGCTCCAGAATTAATTAAAAATGAAAAACATGGAAGAAGAATAGATGTTTGGAGCTTGGGCTGTACTGTAATTGAAATGGCATCTGCTTAGCATCCATGGTAAATAAATTAATGTTAATAACTTAAATTGAAAATACATTGTTTATTAAATTAAATAAAGGGAAAACATTAAAAAATTCTCAGATTTAGCAAATGCTGTGATAGAATAATAACCCATACCAATACCTTAGCATTTGAGTGAAGAATGCAAAGATTTTATCTCGAAATGCTGCACTTATGATAAAAAAATGAGACCAAAATCTCAATAACTTTTTAATCACCCTTTTCTATAAAAAAAATACTCCTGAAATGTTTTAAATATTAATAAAAATAAAAAATATCATAACACCTCCTCTAATTTTTCAATTAAAAACTAATGAAAAGAAAAAGTCAGAATAAAATTTTAATTTAATTTATTCAATCATCCATCAAATCATCCATTTATTTATTTATTTATATTATTAATAATCAAATTTTAATAAAAAATTTAAACATTATTTCTGATTATTCTTAAAAAAATTTAATTGTTTTAATTGCATAATTATTTCTTTTAAATGTATCTCATTTTAAATAATTATAAATTAATTGAATTCTTCAAATTATTTCTATAAAATATTCTTTAAAACAAGCTATATTTTGCTTTTAAAAAATCATCTTTTTTTCACCCTTTAATGATGATTCTTTAGAGTATCTATTTATTTATTTTTTGAGTTGCTCAGTAAATATTTTCATATTAAAAGAAAAGTGTTTGAATAGTTTTTAAGTGACATTAATATTATGTAATTTATACATTTTGTTAAATCAATTCATAAAGAATAGTATTTTTTCATATAAAAAATATTAAATTTTGAAAAATATGTAGTAATAAAAGAAGTAAATATTCTTTAGAAAAAGATTTATCACTTTTGTTAACATAATTATGATGAGGAATCAAAAAATTTATGATATGAGCATTGAAGTGTAATATATTAGAAGAAAAGTGACGATATTAAGATAAAATATAGGAATTTACCTTGTATAGAAGCCTAAATAGAATTGGAAAATAAAATAAGAATGAATTTTATATGCAAATAGAAAGATATCTTTCAGATCTTTATCAAACTATTTGCAAAAAACTACAAAGGGCAAACTTTTAAATAAATAAATAAACAAAGAATCATCAAAACTTAAAAATAAATAAATAAATAATTATTATAAAATACATAAATTAAATTCGTACTAACAAATATTTATCAATAAAACGCTTTCATTATAATAGTTAAATAAAATGATTGTTGGAAGAGCTTTCAAGTAAACATGCAAGCTATTTAATTAGTAGTAAGCAAGAATAGTATTTGCTACTTAGGGATTAAACTAAGGAATAAAAGAAGCAGATCCATAATTAAATGAAATTATTTAAAAAGAAATCTAGCGTTAAAAGAGCACCATTAATTTAATTCCATCCGAAAATTACACTTCATTGTCTGCAAAATAAGCAGTAGGCTCTATCATGAACTCAAAATATTCTGAAGGTTTACCTCTTAATAGATATTATGGAGGTAATTAGTTCATTGATAAGATGGAAATTCTTTGTTAAAATAGAGCTTTAGAATTATTCGGATTGAATCCTAGTGAATGGGGTATTAATGTTTAGGCTCATAGCTTGACTCCTGCCAACTTCCATGTATTAACTGGTCTTTTATAAAATCACGATCGCGTTATGAGTTTATCAATTGAACACGGAGGTCATCTTTCTCACGGCTAAAACTTTAAAAGAGAGAAATTATCTGCTGGCTCTGTTTATTTTGAGATTCTTAACTATGGAATTAACGAGGTAAAAACTCATTTCAAAATAAATATATTTCTTTATGGGATTTATTCGTAGCAGTTAAGAAGATGAGATAAGAATCTTAATGGAGTCTTAATAATAAAAAATTAATTAACAATTATTTGATCTTCTTTTTTTAATTTATTTCTTAAAAACTAGAAATCTGGACTTATTGATTATGATAAATTAGAAGAATAATCTAAGTATTTCCTTCCTAAAGTTATTTTTGGTGGAGCTGACTTATATTCCAGAAAGATTGATTATGAAAGATTGAGAAAAATCTGTGACTCTATTGGAGCAACATTAGTTGTTGATCTTGGTTAAGTTAGTGGCTTAGTTGCTACTAAGATTCTCCCTGATCCATTTAAATATGCTGATATCGTAACTTCTGCTACTCATAAGAGGTAAAAATAAATACTCTTTAAAAGTTATTTTAAAATTAAAATATGTAGAATATAAATAATATCATAAAATTTAATGTAGAAATTCTAAATGTATTTTATTATTATTAATATAGTTTAAGAGGACCTCGTGGTGCATTAGTTTTTTACAAGTAAGGTGTGAAAGGTGTAGATAAAAAGGGAAATGAAATTAAATATGACTTCAAAAATAAAATTGAGAATGCTATTTTCCCAGGTAGTTAAGGTGGACCTCACAATCACACTATTGCAGGTATTGCAGTTGCCCTTAAAGAAGCCTAGCAATAAAATTTTAAGGAATATTAATAGTAAGTTGTAAAGAATGCTTAAGCTCTTTTCTAATCTTTCTCATAAAAGTAATATAACATTCTCACAAACGGAACTGAAAACCACTTAGTTTTAGTTGATTTCAAGTCCAAAGGTATTAATACCTTATAATTGATCCATTTGCTTGAATAAGTCCATATTGATACCTATAGATCTACTCTTCCTAATGGCAAAGAAACATTTATTAGCTCATTCCTTGCTCTCGGAACTCATCCTATGACTACAAGAGGATGTACTGAAAACGATTTCAAAACTATTGCTGAGTTTATTGATAGAGGTGCTTTACTTCTTAAAGAATTATCTACAAAGTAGCCTGCTCCAACTTCAGCTCAAGAAATTTAAAAGTGGGCTGAATAGAATGTCCAATCTAATTCCTCTCTTCAAAAATTGTAATAAGAAGCTGCTTCATTTGTTAAATAATTCGAAGTTCCAAGCATTTGAAACAAAAAAACAAACAAACATAAATAAATAAAATTATAATAATTTTTTAATGAATTAAATTATATTTATGTAAATTAATTTAATAATTAAATGCTAAATAATTTTATTCCAACAAAATCCAATTAATTTTTAAACTATATCAAAAACATTAATTAATTATCTATTATTAATAATAAACAATCACTTCAAAATTTAATTATATTTTCTATCGATTATTCTTTAATCAATAAAAATTTTTATTCTTCAATTTGCTAATCTGCTTGTTGTTTTAACGAAATACTAAGTATTTCATTCTAACAAAAATAAATAATCTATGAGTAAATAATATATAATTATTTCTAAATTTAATTAGAATTTCTATCAATATTACTTTTGATAACTAGAAATATTTGATCTTTAACTTACTATTTATGTTTAATTAAGTGCTAGCTTAACAAAAACTAATTAATTTTTAATCTTTATCAAAAACATAAATTGTTTTTTAGTAAATAATCAATATTCACTTCTAAGCTTAATTAGAAATTCTATCCATTATATTTTGTAAAATAAAAGTATTAAATATTGAATTTGCATATTTAATTTCAAGAAAACGTTAAATTCTCACTAAAAAACATTAAAAAAATATTTAAATAAACTTTTTCAAACAGAAAAAGGTTTATATTTAAGATGAAAATTATAATGAAAGCTTTAAATTGACATATATATTTCAAACAAGTTATTTTAGAAGATTCAATTAAAAATTTTTGATAATCATAAAAATAAATAATTTGATGGTATTGAAAAGTGTTTGACAAGTAATGAATTATGTATTTATATTTTTTTTTTTTGAGATTGTATATATATTAATTTAATTAATTAGAATAGTAAATTTTTAAAACAATAATTTAAACTAGTTTTTATAGTAAATTCCTAAATAAGTTGATACATTTTTTTTTTGGTTGAAGTTTTAGTGTTTTTAATAATTTTTAAATTTGTATTTTAGGTTTAAGATTTGCATTTAACTTATTTAAGGAAATCTATCAGTACTGCAATTCATTCCAACTTGGAGTTGGGATAATAATTTATCAATAACGACAGAAATGGCATGCCCACCTGTCAGTTGGAACTCTGTTGGAATTTATTTTTTCATCGCAGAAAGTATGACAGTAATTTTCGTCACAAACATCGCAAATAAGTAGCAAATTTTCTTTATCTGACTTGGTACATATGTAGCAATAGCTTGGTTCTTAATTTACTGGTTCTTCTTCCGCTGCTTCTCCAAGGGCAGCCATGTCTTCTTAATCTTACAAGGCTTAAGCTTCTTAAATGTAGTCTTCTTCATTAACTTTTTATTTTTTTCTGTGAACTTTTATGGGTTTTGCATTATTGACTGTACCATCAAAATTTCTCTTTAAAATTTAGTTAAACTCTTGTCTGCACTCAGGGCAATTATTAGCTACTTTAGACCAATTTTCTATGCATTCAAAGCAAAATCTATGAAAACAATTGATCTCACCAAAGAAAGTCTATTAAGGATAATCTTAGCATACTGAACATTTAAAATGATCTATTTATCCAAGGTTAGCTCCTTTGACAAGTTTCTTCTTTTTTCTGTTTGCCTTTTGGTCTGCTATGCTCAAAAATATCTTCTCAGACTGAGCATTTTCTTCACCTTCTTCGTTGCTAGGTGAATGTAAATTTATTTGATCTTCATCTTCATATTAGTCGCCTTCATAGCTGTCGTCATTAATAAACGAATCAGCCTCATAATCATCATTCTCATCTACAGCTCCTTCAGATTCTGAAAAATCAAATTTCTTATTTCTATTCTACTTCCTTGATGAGGATCTTCTATCTTTTTTATCCGAAGAAGAGATAGCTCTCTCAGATTCAGATTAATCCGAATCAACGACTCTCTTCTTATTTTCTTTATTAGCTTTTTATTTATATTCTTCCTTTGATTTCTTTTTAGCCTCAGTCAAATAAATAGATTTTTCTTTTCTTCCTTGGAAACCATCATCAAAGTCGTTTTCATCATAATCTTCTAAACATATTTTTTTTCTCAGCTATTTTCTACATCCATTTCGATTATTACTTCTGTCTTAAGCATCAAAATCATCATACTCAGATTCCTCATCGTCATCATCAAAATCTTTCATTTCGTTTTTCTTTTTATTTTTATAGATTTTTTTTCTATTATCTATAAAATCATCTTCTTCATCATAATCATCTTCTCCAATACCATCTGATTTTGCTTCTTCTTCAAAGAATTAATTTACACTATCGTACTCATCATCATCGTCACTATAATCTTCTTCCTCTTAAATTAAGCGACGTCTTTTTGAATTTAAGTTATTGTTCTTCTTCTTTTACTCTTTTTATTTTTTAGAATTTTAAGAAAAGAGCTTTTTTTGAGATTTCTTTTATGTTTTAGGCTTATCAAATTCTTCTGAGTCTTCACTATCATCAAATATTTTAGATAAATTAGTTTTTTCAGATACATTTTTTTATTAATTGTTGTAGTTCGATGAAGATTATTTGAGAATTTAAAGTTAATGCTCTTTATTGCATTTAAATTTGTTAAGGATATTTGTCAAACTAGAAGATCTTTATGGGGAAGGAGTTGATTTTGATTTGAATAAAGTAAGTCCTTCTATTTGTTTATTGAGAGCCTACTATGATGAATTTCCAAGCAAATTTTTTTATTATGAATTCTAAGCAATTTTTTTGAGGTATTCAATGTCTTCGTCAGAATCATCATCATCTTGATCATTCCAATTCTTATTATCATTTGAATTGCTTTTTTATTGAAAATAACTGTTGCTTATAGGTTATGTTGAGAATTTTTATATTGGTGAGATTTTTTTGAGAGTGAATTTTTTAGATTACTGATTTTCACTGAATAAAGAGTTACTTTCTTCAATTTAATTAGAATTTTATTTATTTTAGCTTGAGTAAAGAGACTCATATTTTTTAAATTGTTCCTTTTCAGATGAAAAAAATTTATCTTAATCTAAAAATAATTAATTATTTTGAGAATTTGAACCAAAATTAATTTGATTCTATCTATTTTATGTTAAGTTATTGTTATTATTAAAATAATTGCTACTTTCGAATCCAAAAGATTCGTTTTAATTAATTGCTAAGTGTTTAGTTTAATTTTAATTAAAGATATTTTTTGGCTGTAAGAGAGATTGATTTTAATTCTTAATCTACTAACTCTTACTTATACTTACTGACGCGCTGTTTTTTAGGCGCTATTCATATGGATGAAAATCATATTCACTTTAATGGCTTTAGCAGTTTTCATCTTCATGAGTTTAATCTTCTTAAATCTTTGATAAACTTGATTTATTTGATCTATCTCCTAATGTTGTTAAGCTGCTTGCCTAGAAGACATCATTTCTCATACTCCCTTAGCTTTCAGAACGGTACTTATTTAGCAATTGATTCATTGATTAAACATGATTGGAGCTACTACGCTACAAATTTGCTGATAGTTTATAATTTTCATTTTAATTTTTAATTTATTTTTCTTAAAATGAGTTAATATAAGTCAAACCTTTCTTTTTTGATGAGTCAGACCAACACCCCTTCTCAACTGAGTCTTTGCCAACTGTAGTTTTATCTTGGCTATCTTTTTGATTATTCCCGCAAATAGAGGATGATATTAAATTATTTTTGCTAGATTTGGATTATTATAATTCGCAAGAATTATGGGAGTTCAGTTATTAAGAGTTTTATCTTTAAAATGTATTTATTTATGGGTTATTATGAAGTGAATTTTAGCGAGAATTAAATTATTAAAGGTGTAAATCATCTACTTGGCTATTTAAATTACTCGAAGCGCTTCTGATATCGTTTAAAATAGGAGTGTTAGAATCTTATGATTAAGTGCATAATACATTGTTTTTATTTTTAAAATTGTTAGTATGGGCAAAAGAATTTGGGGCTACGTTAGGAGTTACTTTTTGTTTGTAAAAAGCAGCTGAATATGGCTTGAACTACTCTATTATATTTTCGTCATCGCTTGATGAATCAAAGTAATTTTGGGTTTATTTTGTATTTAAAGAGGCAACAGTTCTCTCTGAAGATTTTAAATCTTTTTGAGATGATGTGAAGTTTGGCTACTTAGAAATTCCCTAAGTATATTAGCTTTATGAAGACACATCGGATTTTTCAAAAGATTTTGTTTTTAATTTATCGAGGTGTGGCTACGTACCATGGAAATTAGGTCTTTTAGCTGCTTAAAATTTATTAGCCTGGAAAAAATTATCAAGAATCTCATCGAGCTAAGAAGCGTTGCTGCTTGCGGTTGAAGTCTTAGAAGAATCCTTATTGCTTTAAGTTTTCATTTCTTATTGTTTTCTCTAATTATAATGAACAAGTATTTGCTCCTTTTTTGAATTATAAAAAACCGCAATACCCTTTATTTTATTATTTCTTCTTATGTTTTCTCTTTGTATTATCTTATATAATCAAGAGAATTTAATTTTTAATATTTCTTATTTTTTTATAAAATTTATATTTCCAAGCTATTCCTCTTTATATATCAAATTTCTTATTTTGTTGCTTTCTCTCCTTTCCCCTCTATTATCAATTAATTAAAGCTAAATTTGAATTAATTAGCTATTTATTTATTCATTCATTTATATGATAATTAATGCAAAATATGAGACTACATAGGTAATCCCATTTTTTATAATTTCCCACCTTAATGAATTTCAAAACAAAACACATACTTTTAAAATAAAATTGGAGCAACACAAGCCTTATCATAAAAAATGGAGGGATTTTCATATTTAAATTTTCGATCTTTAACAGTAATTAATTAGATATCATAAGATCAAAATTTTTTAAAATAAAAAAGTTATCAATATCAAAAATGCATTTTTATTTCAACTACTTTATGTTATCATCGCTATATCCTAATTTGATAAATAGATTCTCCATTGCTAATTGTAAATTATTTTGTGTTCCTTTATTCAAATATTCTTAAATATAATTAATTATTATTTGAATTATATTTTAAAACATTATATTTTTAAACAAAAAAAACATCGGAATATTTATTTTTATATTTAAAAAAAAAGAAAAATAAATTTGTTTGATTTTTAAAAAAAAAATAATTTGCTCAAAGAGAAAAAAGATGTTTATTATATGATGATTTCAATATTGATAATTAAAATAAAGAGAAAGCAATAATTTACTCATTCTACTAAAAGATAAAAAATGAATTAAAGTTTAACGAATTATAAGTACAATAAATACATAGTAATTTACACTGTAGAAGTAATTATATTTTATAGAAGTGACTATATTAAAAAAGTTGCTTAATGCATTTATTTATATAAAAATTATCAAATATGTTTTTAATCAGTATTTTATATATATAATTTATATGTGCGTTTTGTTTGGTTGATAGATAGATAGTTAGTTAGATAATAGCTATTCAATTAAGAATGTTAACTGTTTATTTTTTGAATTTATTAAAAATATCTAAAATATTTCATTTGAAACAAACTAATATGCCAGAACTCTTTTCACCTTAAGTCTATGCAAGATGGGAAAAGAGAACTAGTTCCTAATAAGTTTGATTTATTTTTTACAGATGGGAATATATTCCAGAAGCGAAGTGTTTCATCACCAGCTCCTGTCACTACATTCTATCCACAAGGACTCATAGCTAAATAAAGAACTCTTTATGTGTGTCCTGTCAAAGTTTAAATTTTTTTCATTGAAGGATATTTCCAAACTATAATCTAATTTAGACTATAGCCATGTGTTGATACTATTTCATTAACATTTTTTGAAAACATCAGATTGCAAACTTGAGAACCTGTATCTAAACAGTCAATTTACTAAAGTGTCTATGTGTTCCAAAATCTAATGCATCTGTCTGCTGTACCTCCTCCACTAGCCAAAATATTGTGTTGATGTGGAGAAAAACCTAAAGCTTTAACAGCTGCTGTATGTTGTGAAAACTTAGCTAGCTCGTCTTTTGTTTTCAAAGTCCATAAAAATAGCTTATTGTCATTACCTCCTGAAGCTAAGATATTTTCATCAAACGACCATTTTAGTCCACATATTTCCTAAAATAAATAAAAATTAATTAATAAAAAAAAATATATTTTTTTAACATTTAAAATATTGAACATACTCTAAATTTATCAATATGTTGGAATAAAATTAATTATTAACATTTAAAATTTTTATAAAATTAAAATTAGATATTAAATTTTATAAATTTGATATTCTGGTCAATTAATATTGAAATCTTACAGTTTATTGCGTTTTTAAGAAATAATTAATTGTAAATTAGTTCTACTTGAATTGAAGTTTTGTTGAAAATTTGTATCAAATTTTATTGATCAAATAAAAAATAAATAAATTAAATTGTGTTAGTTTTGTTTTATTATTGAGTAATAAATTTAATACTAATTTTAAATTAAAAAGTAGAAAAGAAGAACAACAATTAATTTATTATTCATCATATTATATTCTAATTGAAGAATTTTGATTGTATAAAAATTTGTTCATTTTTTTTGTAAAAAAAAATATTTTACTTATTTATGCCCTGAGTATTTCTATATATATTTCTAAGGAGCTCTCAAATCTCTTACTAAGATGTTTTTATCTTTAGATCCTGATGCAATCAGTGATCCGTTCCAAGCTATACTGCCGATTCTATCGGAGTGACCGTCTATTTTTAATAGTGGTTGCTCTTTATGATGAATGTCATAAATAAGTATATTTCCAATTGAATCACCAACTGCTATATGGTTACTGCGCTAGCTACAAGAAACTGAACTAACACCAACATCTCCAAGACCACAGAGTCTTGAAATAGTTGAGTTACAACCTGACCATATTGCAACTTAATTTTTCAATCCAACTGCTAGATAATTAAGAGGAGACCAATCCAGTAGATTCAAATAAAAGTCATCTTGTAAATTTCTTGATTCTAAAATTTTATAGGGTTGTTTAGGTATTTTTCTGATATTTTATTCATGTGACAGAATAATTTAATTATGTGCAGCAATTTTAAGTTCATTTTCATAATTTTATATTTACTGCTTAGTGCTGTAAGTTAATATCTTTTTTTATTTGTATGTTTAATATGCATTTATTTAGCCATAATTTATCATTTGGGAGTCTTTAAGAATATAATCTGCATTAGATGAGCCCCAGTGACGGCTCTATTGAAGAAGTTCAGGCGATTCTCCTAAAATTGAAGACTAGAGGAGGTTGGAATACAACTTTGAATTTTGCTAAACTCTTGGATTATCTGATTATCTCCTCATGGTTCCATCATCAATCTCATCTCCATTTGGTTATTAACTGCTATTTGAATTTTATTAGGAAGAGGAAGAAGAGAGTTGAGTTGGATTTATCAAATTATATAAATTTGTTGAAACTCTATTAGGAATGTACCTATCATTGTATTTTTTACCACTACTTTTCTACTTTTATCCGCTTGCATTACTTTTTATTTCTAGCTAACTGCTATTCTCATTATTTATGATTTACAGGCTAGATTATTATGAATGACTAGGTGTGCTTTCATTATTTGATAAATTCTCATATGTTTGAAAGTAAATCTAAGTCTTATCGCTATCTATTTACTGGGATTAATTTTTATCCATATTCAATGCATTTTCATTAAAAATGTGTCCTATACTGCTATCAGAACTTACTAGTTCTTGGCTTAAGTAAATTGATGGTGCTTTATTTAATTCTGTTTTAGTTTGGCATAAACTCTCACTTGCTTCGCTCTGCAACTTTTTATTTACTTTCCAAACCTAATTTTCTTCCTCCTAGTAATTATAGCTGCTTTGGTCAAAAATAATGGGTTTTACCTAAAATAAATATGGCTATTTAAGGCATTCTTCACCAACCTTACTATTTTAGTTAAAATTAGTTTGTTAATGGACAGATTGCTAATTTTCTATATGATTATTTGGAAATTTGGAGTTATTTTAAGATTATTATAATGTATTTGAAACACTTTGGTTGTCATTAATACTGTTAAAATACATTTAGGTATTGTTGCTTGAATAGAAATTTGGGTAATTATTTGAAGCGGAGACATTAAAGTTATTATGAACCCTGTTGTATTCATCTGAATTAGTTTTATCTGAAAGATAACCTCTTATCTTCTTAGTATCTGGATCATAAAACTTCAAACTTTCCTAGAGCTAATCTGCTTCTTTCTAGTAGACTTATTCTTCCATATACTCTAATTATTGTTTTTGCTTTTTTATTTATCAATTAAGTTAATGAAAAAAATTAAGTAATTTTATTATTATTTTTTAACTTGTTTAGTGTAAAATATTTATAAGCTACAAAAATGCGAACTTAGCTTCGCTTTATATTTGCATATATAATAAATACATGAATGAAATACATGCATGTAGGATTAATGAATTGAAATTTTTTACTAGAAATCAATTCTACTAATTTTTATTGATATTTTATGTCAATTTTTAGAATGTGCGCAAAATTTTGTTTATTAATCATTCATTGTTTCATTTCTTTATTTCTTTTTTTTGCTTGCCTTTTTTTATTAGATTTGATTATCAGAAATGGTATTTTAATGCTCAGTAGATTGATTGTTTATATATTAACAAAAATCATATATAATTAATTTCTTCTATAAATTTATTAGGTAAAAAATTTTTCTGTTGAGATTAACATAATAAACTATAATAAAAAAGAAAATTTTCAATAGCTTCAATTATCAAATCACTGACTCAAATAAATTGTTAATGATAAAATTTATATTTACTAATATTAAAATTTATTAATTAATTATTAACATCTTTAAATATTGAATATATTTTGTATATTTTTTAAGTATTTAATTATCAATAACAAATTAAAGTTAATTACTTCATAAAATAAATTCAATTATTAAAAAATTTATGATTAAAATTATACTTTTGGTATTTGTTGAACAATTTTAAGGAGATATTTTGTATCTTTTTGTATTAAAATTAAATTTTCATTACAATAATTTTAATGAAAAATTCAATATTAATATTTAAAAATTAAAACTAACAGAAATCTAATAAACATAAATATTTATTAAAAATATCATTAAAATTATTAAAATAGTAAATTAAATATAAATATATTATATAAGTGATTGATCAAATTAATTATGAAACTCTAGATAATTAAACTATTATTTTAAATTCTTTTATCTAAAATTTCAGTATATAGCCTTGAAAAAGGCAGTACCCTTGGGTACTATACATATATATATATTTTATTTTCAAGTATTTTAAGTTTTAAACAAAAAGTTAAACTAAATAAAATAAGACATAAAATTATTTATATTAAAAAGTTAGAAAAAATTCAATCAAGATCATTAAAAAATTTTAAAACTGTTTAAAAATGATTATTTAAAAATTTTGATTGAATAAAATAATAAAGCTCATTTATTCACAACTCATTTTATATATGACCAAAATTTTTAAATGCTTTCTTATCGTTCTAAATTAATTTTTTATCATAAACATTTTGATTTCTATTAGAATCTTAAACAAACGCCACATAGGTATCTTTTGTTACAGGATTTTCAATATCATAGTCCTTTTTTTAAATTTTATTCAATTTAAATACTTTTTAAAAAATATCATTAAATTATTTTACAGTTTCAAATTTATCTTTGATTTCTTAGTAAAGAGGTTTTTTAATATAGAACTCATTCATACTATTGTCTAATACCATATCTTTTAACTTATCCATAGGAAGTACGGCATTTAGAATACCGATAACAACACCAATAATTGCAAATGTCGAAGTTATATTATCTTAAGAAAGCATGTGCTCAAAAATTAAATTTGAAAACTAAAATTATTATTTATTTTAATACAAGAATTAATAAAAGTGTAATAAATGATACGCAGTATATAGGTACAATCAATTCTAACATCTCAGTCATTTCAACACAAAGCTCTGATCCAACATTATTTAACAAGCTTCTATGTTTAGCTAATTTGAACTTTTAAAAACAAAAATTATTTTTAAATATAAAAAATGAGTTAAATTTACTTTATGTATTAGATAAAATAAAACTAAAGTAAATAGAGTAGTTGCAGAGCCCATTGGAATCAAAGGTGAATAAAAAGCCATAAAATACATCTAGCTGATAATTAATGCATAGTCATATACTAAATCAGAAGCTGGGTCAGAATAAATACTAAGTTTAGATTAGATTTAAATATTAATTTAGTTTAGTGAAAAATTTGTAACATTACTCATTTAATTGTTTTTAAGTAAAATTGGATCTGGCGTAATCTTTAAGTTTTTTATCAGTCTACCATTAATAGTAAAGCTAAAAAATTCTAGAGACATCAATTAGCTGCATAAGAGGAATAATAATAGCATTCATAACAAAAATGTATTACATATTATATATTAGACCACCTTTATTTATTTAAATATTATTAATTTTTATAATTTTACTCATCGCAATTAAGCTAATCAATATACCTGTTCTATAAATTGCAACTCTGGCTGCTTAGATTCCATTTTCTTTAGTAAACCTTGGTACAATAACATCTATTATAAAAGACATAATTCCTGAATTCAAAAAATAAGCAATTGCCAATTTTCCTGCCATGTTAGTAGAAGCATCTGTTCTCAATGTAAAGTATGTTTTTCTATTTAAATTATTAAAAAATAAAGCAAATAAATTGATTTTAATTTTTTATAAAATTTTTAAATCCTATTGAATTATTCAACAACTAATTCTAATTAATTAAAAATAAAAAATGATTTATTAAAATAGTGAATTTACTAGTTGAAATAAGAAAGGAGATATCTTAAAATTGTATTTAGAACATAAACAACAAGTGAAACTAAAATAGCAAATGATTATACCCATAAACCATTATGCAAAAGACCAAGTTTTGATGTTTAAAACATTCTTTATAATTACAGCATACCACCAATTGAGCTATAACAAACTAGCATACATAATACGCTTACAAACCAAAATATAATTTTTCTCTTTTGAACAAAAGAGTGACTGTATTAAGTATTTTCCCAAATAATTTCATTTGGAGGAACAGCTTTAGTTATTTTAACTCCCTTATTTTATTTTTATTCATTGTTTTTATATAAAGCTGGAGGATCAACGCTATTGTCATAGTAATCTCCTAAAAATACTAAAAATTATTGCATTTTATGAATTTGAAATAAATATAAAAAAATTAAATTACATTTATTTTCTGATTAGTTTATTTCAGCAAATTTTTATATGACTAAATCTCTTTCTATTAATTAAAATTAACAAAATAAGAAAGTATTAAAAAATTAATAACAAAAGATAATTTTGATAATTTAATTAATTTTTAAAAACGGTCAAATTTAGGATTTTCTTTAAAGAAAAGTGTAAATTGATATAGCAAATAAAAAATTTAATTAGATATAATTAAAACAAAATAGTATAGTTTGATTACCCTCAACTCTACTAAAAACAACGAACACTTTTCCTGTAAAATATTTTATTAAATTTTCTTCAGTAAGATTCAAAGAAAGCCTCTTTTTTATCAAGAATCCCTATTAGCCAAAAATATTTAGTTAAATTTCTTCTATCAATAATAATAATAATAATTTACTTATTAAAATTTTTCTTCTTTTAGCTTCTATATCTCTTCACGAAGTTATCTTACTTTATATAATTCGTTTTCTGGAAGATTATCTATTATTTGCTGAAGCTAGAATATCTATTTATCTTTCTCACTTTCTATTTCTTAAATCTCTTTTAAATTCCAGCATACATTCACTGAAATAGGCTAAACTCCAAAAACCTATTATATTACATCTGCTGTATATCTTTCTATAGATTTTCCTTATAATCCCTCTAAATCGTTAGGAATGTTTTGAATAAAAATGGTGTAGGCAGAAGGACAAAATAAGGTTGAAACATTTTAAGTTAGTAGATAGAATTTTATTCTTGCCTTGAAAAGCAGTATTATTATGGTAAAAATTGTAAAAAAGTTTAAAACCTATTATAAACTCATGATCTAAGGAAGATTCCTTTTATTTGCCATACTAAAATACGTACTCCACGAGAGCTGGCATACTTCCGCTGCTTCAGGATCATATTCATCTATCATATCATCTGGTAAACAATCACATCCAAGTAAAGCATTTGACAAAATGTTAAAGGAAGATGAAGAAATGATGATAGCAAATACAATGTATATTTGATATTTGAGGAAAGTGTAAAATTATGGATAACCAACTCCTAAGAACCCGATATCCTCTGGCTCAAAATTCCAATTTAAAGGTTCATCAATCTTCCTTAAACAGCATGGGCATAACTCTGGAACAGTAAGAGATGGTCTACCGACCTTAATTGCAAGCTTTTCAATTGTAAAAATAATTATTTTTATATGAATACATAATTAACATATTATCAGTCTAAATAGAATTTAAAATTGATATCATTTTTTAAAATTAAACTAATAAATAATAAAATATCAAAGCGAGATTACTGAATGCTTTATAGCTATGTCATGTGATCCTACATAATCATCGCTGAGAATTCTTTTTTTGCTTTGTACATTTTGTTTCTTTTCCTATTGTTTAAGAGCATCTTCAATTCTTATTCTATTGCTTTTTATATTCGAAAGATCTAATTCAATCACATCATGGCTTGGCTTTGATAAATCCTTTTTATTATATGACTAAGTGAATTCAATATCACCTTTTGATCCATACTTATCCTTGAAAAGGTTATAACTTTTTTGCATTATTTTATATTGATGAGCTAGAATTTATTAAAATTACTTATTTAAAAGCTTTTATAAAAAATATCTTTAATTCAAACCATCAATAAATAAATAAATATTTATTAGTAATATCCCATAGCAAAAGTAAAAGTTAATAGGATTTATTAAATTTTTAGTGTTTTGTTTAGATCAAAGAAGTAATCAATATAAAGAAGAAATCTTTTATAAATTAAATTGAAAATATAAATTTATTAATTTTGGAATTATTTTAATAAAGTATTTATTTAAGTTATTTCAATGATAGAAATAATATTTTTGAAAATTTTACTGTCTCATATGTCTCATAGACTTCTTAGGAATTTCATCTAAACAATTATAAATATTTCTTTAAAAATTAAATAAATTTTTCAATTAAATCGTTTTCTAATGAGAAAATAAATCTCTCTATTTTTAAGAAAATTAGTACTTAAATTTTTTAACTTCCTTAAATTTGTTTGCAAATTGTTAATTTTTAAAAAAAATAACACAAATATAGCTGACTAATTCGTTGATTGATGTATTTATATAATTTCAAAAAGTTTAAAAAATAAATATTTGAGATATTTAATATAGTTTGATAGAAAATAAAATATAAGAATAAATATATATACTTTTACAAATTTATATAATAAAAATGGAATAATAATGAATGATAATTCTTAGTGGAAAAATGAAATATTATGGTTTAATGAATGAATAGTATACTAGAGATTATTTATTAGTTTTCAGATTATATTTGCTTAGCTTTTTTTAATGATATGTATGTAGGTAAGTGTTTGCTTATTTGTTTGAGTGTCGTTTTTAATTAAATACAACGGTAGATTATTTTACTATTAATTACAGATTTCTATTAAGGAACGAGTGTTTGTTTACATTTATAACTATCTCAACATATTTACTTTAAGTTGGTATCATTAGGCAATTTCAGTAATAAATAGCTAAGCACTCATTAAAATAATTAATTATCATTTTTATATTTGGAAAATAGGAAAGGTAGTTAGTTGTTAGTGTGTGAGTATTTGGTTTAGTTATATTTGAAAGAAAATGTATGAATAAAAAATGTGAATATTTTCTTTCTTAGCACCTTTTTTGAGTAAATGTACCTATTTCAGCATATCTACTTTATTGTTAAAAAATTGCTTTAAATGCGATTGATTGAGTTGGAATTGACTTACATAAACTATTATTATTATTACTATTATTATTTCTATGGATTTACTAATTATTTTTAGTTTAGATAGTTAATTATTTATTTATTATTATTAATATTATTTTTATAATCTTACATATAAGTTGGTTGGTTATTTCTATATTATTATTATTACTATTATTATAATATATTATGCATGTATATAACACTGGAGTTTAGGAAAATTATTAATCGAAAAATTATTAAGAAATTTGAAATAGATAAATTTTCATCCTTTCTTTCTTTAATGAATAGTTGAGATAAATAAATTTATTTATTTATTTATTTGATCTAGCTTAAAGCATTAATTATATAATACCAGTTTGATGTTAGTATTGTAATTAATATAATATTGTTAAATTATTAATTAGTTTATTTTGATTTTTTATTAATTTACTTGAATTAAGATTTGTTTGTTTATTTGTTTGTATCTTTTTGTAGTTGTTAATTATTCAAATGCAATTAAGAATTAACTAATTTTTCTAATTTCTTTTTATTTTATGCTATTTTTCTATAAAAGAAACATATGACTTAATCTCCACAATTAAAAATGAAATAGCCTCTTTTTTAAAGCTTTGTTTGGGAGCAATAAAATAAATTTAAGGAGCAATTAATGATTACCATTACTTTTACTTACTTAGTTACTTACAGATTGATAGATTTATTTAATTATTATTAATTAAATGTTTTGGCATCTTCTTTAAAAAGAAAAATAAAAACTAGCGCTTGCATCATCTATAATTTCTGCTATTTTTGGTTTCAGATTTTGATCTTTTCTAAATCTTATTGGGACTTAATATTTTTATTTTAAATTATTTACATTAAATTTTTCTATAAAAATTTACTTTGAATATAGATTATTTTTTTTGATTTCACTTTTAGGACAAAGCTGATGATCTACCATTTTGCATTCTAGCATATCTTCAAATTAATCGCTTATGATGCTTAAAGTTTTTTTGTTGTTTTTTTAGTTACTTCCTTATGAAGGAGTATTTTTTCTTCTGAGCTCATATCTATTGTTACAGCTAGATCTAATTTAATTTGGTTTTTCAAAAAGAATCAAATCAGGCATTTTATTATTAGCAGATGGGTGAGTATTATTAAATTAATTTTTCGAGTATATGTGCTATTCTGATAAATATTCTTGGTAATCTTTTTAATTGCAAGTGCTTTCAAAATTAGCTTTAATATTATTATCGCTATTCTACTACTTATTTCCAGACTCATCATCTATCAGCTTTGTTGTGTCGTGACTTGAGGAAATCTCTTTAGCTATAAAAGCCTTACTATATTGCTTTCCGTTTTTAGGATATGGAAAATGACTTGCAATATAATTTCCATTTATGTGATTTTCATTTCCACATTAATCATAAAAACTCTTTTGATCTGCGCTTGTCAATATGGCTTCATCTGAAGAGCTCTTGTTATTTGGATTAATACTCACGTTCTAATCATCTGTAGTATCAGTCTACTTTTATAAATTTTTTAAAATGAATTGTCTAAAAATTAAAAATTAGATTTAATAAAATTTGTTGGAAATAATTCTAAAAATACATACTTAATAATCCTCAAAGCAATTTTCAAAAAAGGAAAATTTCATTTAAAATTAATCAAAAGATTCAATTAATAAACAAATATTTTTGAATATTATTAGCTCTTTTTTCAAAAAAAATATAGTAAAATTTTTGAATAGCTTTTGCTGGAAAAAAAGTTCAATACTAATCTTATAAATTAAGTGGATTTGGAGTAGATCTTTGAATAATCTAACAAATTAATTAATTAATTCAGCTTTGAGTTGTAATTAATTTATTTTTTTAAAAGATTCTCATAACCTTAATAAAGTAAGAATATTTCTAAAATTTTGGTAAACTTTAACCAGTAAAGAAAATCATTATTTAAAATATATTTAATAAATTGATAAAATCGAGTTAGAATATTAGCAAATCGAAATAAGATCAAAAGAATGCTTACAGTACGCTATTCGAGGTAGTATTTCATATCCTTTTACTACTTTTAAATGAGCTGCTTTATGTAATCGAATGTTTACTATTTTATAATAAAAATAATTATAAAATCCAGATTTCTTTATTATATTCTATCTATATAGTTTGAGCAGAATTATTAATTTTATGGGAGACTCTTAACAAAAAATAATAATAATTATTATTATTATAATTCATGGAAAGCTGATTTTCAAATTTTATAAAGCTCAAACTCAATTAAAAATTGCAAATTTGCTAATGTGCGCTTTTCATGAACAAATCAAACAAACTAACAAAAAGAACAATCCCTATTTATATTTCTTATCGAAAAATAGATATTCTTTATAATAAATATTTTCTTTTTTCTCTAATTCTATTTGTTTGTTTGTTTATTTATCTCCATTACTGCTGCTTATATACTTGTCAACCAAATTGACTTCCCCCAGTTTATTTATTTATTTAGTTTGTTTGTTTTTCACTTGTTTATCTATTTGTTTTTTTTTTTTTTTGCTTTTTAGTTGGTTAGTTAGTTATTTATATAAACTAAATGCTAAGTATATTAATGAAATCACCTTTTAATAATTAATGTTTTTAGCTTAGGGTTTTCTATATTAAGTGCGTGCATGCTAGTTTATTGAGAGGATGTAACCTTCTTCTTCATTCATATACTCATTTCTTTCATTTGTATTTGGAACTGTATATTCAAATTCTTCTTGATAGTGCGTTGAGTTTTCCATCTAATTGGCTAATGATTCTTAAATTTAAAGATCTCTTCCTTACTCTCTATTATACTCATCTCTAAGCTTTTCTATTTTTAATGAGTGCTGATTGTCATTGTTTATTAAATTGTAATTCATATTAAAAGCAGTCTAGCATTAAACTTATCTCTTGATTTTATCATTTATCGAATGTTGATTTACACCTCTTGGGTGATTCCTATATTAATCCAAATTATTATGATTATTATTTTGATGCAAATCAGTATTTTCTATGAAGCAATTTTTATCCCAATAACACACCTCTTATCTCCTCTTATCTAGAGATGAAGACCTTTATGCTGAATGAGAGCGAATTTACTTTGCTTGCTTACTTGTTTGTTGAAGTTTATGTTAATTCTAACTTTATGCTGCATTGAAAGTATTAATATTTTCTTTTAATTTAAATTAATGAGGCTTTTAAATCTGCTCAAGTCTTTAATGATGCTAAAATGAATTAAGTTAAGAGTTTGGCTAAATATGATGCCAACTTTCATGCTCTTCTTTATCCTTTTCATATTTTTCAGTAACTGTTTAGCCAGAGTTTTTTAGCATAGGGGTTACTCTTGATAGTTACTCATAAAGGGAACCCTTCCTCTTGTTCATCGGTTCTGTTTTTTCAAACTACACCTTATTTATTAAATTGTCAACTCTGAAATATCTTTCTTCTTTATTTCTCTCTAAAATCACAGATACAACCTTTTGAATAGTAATTATTAAACTAAAATTGCTTTTTGCCTTGTTTCTTCCACTTTTTCTTTATCTAAAATTCTTTACTTCCTCTATAATTTACTTAGGTTCTCTCTCTCTTTCACTCTTAATAATCAAACAAAAACTAATCAACCTAATCCTATCCAATCCAATCCAATAATTATTTATTTATTTATTTACTTCAATTAATCAATATCTCATCTAGTCCCTTTAATTTTTTCTTTATCATTCATCTTCCGTCAATTTTACTCCAAAGCACTTTTTCACTTAATATCACTCAAAAATATTATAATATCAATTCACTTTTAGTTATATAAAAACATAAAAGTATTGTATGCCTGTATATATGTATATATGTATGGAATTTTAGTTTGCCAAATTATATAATTTAATTTTCATTTTTATCACTTTTAGACATTTTATACAAATTTCGTATTAAAGTATGTTATTCAAACGAAATGTGATAAAATTACTTTTATAAAATTATTTCTATTTTATATACTCAGAGTTCTTTAGTATAAAAAGCTTTTTATTTAAAAAATATGGTTAGAATCGTTTTTCTAAAATTTCACACATAAAAATTCTATCATCTCATTAAAGCTTTTATTTGAAAATATTAGAAATAGTTCAATTAAATTTATTAAAAACTTAGTTTAATATCTTGATATACTTTTCTTATTTGTTTCTTGGTATTCCTTTTCAAATTTATTTTAAATAAAAGTAGCTAATTTGGCGTAAAATAAATTTCATTTTTTTTTTTCTAAATTAAGATAAAATATTTTAAAGAAAAAATAAAATAATTCTTTAAATAAATATTCAAAGGATATTTATTTAATTAAAAAATTAAGCTTTAGATTACATTCTTATATTATTGGCTATTCAATATTTTATTCCAATTAATAAAATTCTTAACTCTCGCATTACACATGACTTAAAGTAAATTTACAAAACAAAAAATATTCAGCTTGCTTGTTTGTTTATTAACTTTTCACAAATATTAATACATAGATAGATATGCAATCAATGAAAATTGTCATTGTTAAACATAGTTTTTTTATAAATATATCAAGAAATTTATGTAATCATATCACACAAGGTTAAAATCTTTTAGAATTAAAATAATCTTAAATTCATGTAAATTATTTAACAAAAAATAGGTACATATTTTACCACTATCTTGTTGCTGTAATTATGAATAAATTGTAAAATATAAACTCTTAAATTTTTGGTTAATTAAATAACGAATAAATAAATAAATATATTTTGAATATAATATTTAGTACATATAAATAATAATTGTAATAAAAAACACCATAAACAATAAATTTTGATTGCTTTATTATGGTTCCTATAACAAGCTTTATATTTCAAGAGGGAAATAAGTCTCTTAGGAGTGATTTGGTGTAAGATTCTAAAATTAGCCGAGTATTTTCTCCTAAGAAAACTAGTAGATAATTAAATGATAACTACAATATGTACGATTAAAATGGACATAAAAAATAATTTGCAGTCAATGAATAAAGATAAAATTTTCAAGCTGGTAAAAGTCTTGATCGAAATCTAAAACCTTTAGGTTAATCAAATAGAAAAAACAATAACTCTCAAAATTAAAATGGCTAAAATTAGTAAACAGTTTTGAGACAGTATGAGTTAAATTATTAAAGACTTTTGAAATACAAGTAATGTAATCAATTAATTTTTAAAAGCTTAGTTAATGCATGAGCTAAATAAACTTTATATATTATTATAAAAAAATAGTCTTGGAAGAAAAAGCTAGAGAAGAAATCGAAAGATAAAATGGTAAAGTTATGTTGAAATATAGAAGCTTATTTTGATGTTTTTTGAATTAAAACAGATGTATAAAATGTAATCGTTGTCAATAAAAAAAATCCTGAAGAAAGATTTGAAATACCACCAAGATATATATAGTAAAGCTTTAACAATTTCTAAATTCTACTTTAGACTAATAAAAAGAAAACCTGTTAAACTTAAATAATTAAAATACATTTCTAATTATTATGTAATTTATTAAATTATAAACTTTTAATAAAATCTACAGAATTTCAAGAGAAAGGTCTGAAGATAGAAGGTATAACTAAATGAATGACTCTTAGTATATGAATTCTTCCTTAAAATAATCTAAATATTAAAATTAATACACGTCACCTAGAATTTAATCACCTAAAAGCCCATATAAAGTATTATTAAGTTTGGTTTAAGCAATATTTTTTCATTCGTCTTTCCTTTAAATAAAGAGACATTTAGAATTAAGTTAGCAGATGCCAACTCAGAGAGGCTTATCTTCTCTTGATAATAGAAAGACGCCTCCTTATACTTATAGATAAAATGTTTAAAAAGTTATGGTATAAGCATAGTAAAGTAAAACATTGGAAGAAGATGTAAATGTTGTACAAAGTAATTATAGTACCAAGCTAAATTAACTGATGCCCAAAATAGCTCCAAAAAAGATGATTGAAGAATTAAGTTCCAGTTCTCCAAGCAATAATAACAATTAATTTAGATAAACAAACAGTTCAAAAAAATATTATTAAACTCAAAATTTTGAATTTGTTATGGAAGAATCGCTAAACACAACAACTATTCATGGGACTAAATAAATTAATAAAATAAATATATTCAATAATCAAATATCTAAAACATTTTACAAACCTAAACAATAAATCTAATTGGATAATTTTATGAAAGATATGCAAGAGCAGTCACTAGGGTTAAAAAAAACAGATTTATTATTTGACAACAACAATTAAAGTAGTAAAAACAAGTCTCTAATTTAAAATAGGACTCCTTCTAATTAATACCAAAATGAATCAAAAGGTAAATTATTAAATCTATTATAAAACTTTTTAAATTTGAAATTTTTTTTAGGGGAAGTTATAAAGTCATTCAAAAGTGCCACTCCTAATAATCTTGAAGCGTCCAATAGATAAAACATAAGGGTCTCTCAAATAAATAGAGTTGGTCTTAGGGAATTAGTTAGACCCTATGCACGCCCTCCTAATATTGTTTATGATCAAAGTGAATTATTATCTCTGAGCAGGAACTAAAGTCCTGATGATTTTTCATAGCAACAATATCAAAAAATTAATGGATAAAATAATTAATTTAATATGAAAAACGAAAAGGCTATTGAAGAAAGCAAAATAGTTTAATAAAATTAAAATGGTGAATTATAAAATGATAAGTTAATAAGTTAAAATATCTAAAATTAAATAACAAACAACACTAACAATTATCCTCTTGAAAGCCATCAAAAAGTCAACACTAATTCAAACAATAATAATTAAAACAACAATAACTAAAGTAGTTTGCAAACAAGTGGTCATGTATTTTCAGAAAAGTAGTTCAATCTTTAGATAAGAGAATCTAAAATTCCTTTACTAAAGAATTTACTTAATAGTGATGGAGCATTTATATAAACACCCGTAACTCCGTTTGGAAATAATGAAGTTTATGATGCTTAGTACCATGAAAAAAAAATGGAATATAATTTAAAATAAAACTTAATTATTAATTAAGACTAAAAAAATGGCCTTATCATTTCAAACATGTAAGATGGTGAAAGAAAAATAAATAATCTAAAAATAAAATCAAAAGAAAATAGATTTAATTATGGTATATTAGAAATAGGTTCTTTGTCTACAAACTTTGATATAGCAATTTAAAATGTTAAAATGGAAAGTTTGTTTATGGTCGAAGAATACACTTTCGATGTACTAAAAGTAATTATATTGTAGTTTCTGTATTTATAAGAAATTTATTTTATTTTTTTAATAGTTCATCAAAGAAAACTTTAAAGTAAGAAAAATATGTAAACTTTACTTAAAGAATACAAATGATAATAATTACAAGATAATAGAAGGTATTTTTAAAGATAAAAAGATCTTATTGAACTATAAACGAATGATCATCTTTGAAAGAATTGTCATTTTAACTCTAATTTTGTTTAGCTATACTCCATAGTAGCCTATGCCTTTGGATATTTAAGTTCTCCTAAAAAACTTATGCTATTATATACATAACAATGCTACTTTACTTATAGAATTGCTATTAGATATTTTTACATAGACTAAAAATCTTCATGTAAAATTTTTCTTTAAAACAAACTTTAAGCCATATTTTAAAGCTTAAAAAGACATAAATTAATTAATATTTTAAAATTTTATGTCATAAAATAAATATTTTTTTTATAAAAAGCCAAATTGGGAAAAACTCACTGAAATTTTTCACTTAAGACTGAAAAAATAAAATACAGCTGATAAGAATGAAATTGTTGATTTGATTATATAGAATAACTCTTAAATTGAGACGCTATTTACTTAGTTAAAGCAAAAATACAATTATGAATTTATGCTTCATATATCTAAATACAAGGACGAGGCTCTTTAAGTAGATAATCTAGCAGACTCCTTAAATATGCTTTAGGTTAAATCTCAAGAAATAGTAAAAAATCTTTAAATTTTATTTTAATTCTTAAAATATTTAAATTAAAAGCTAACTACTGTTAACGAAACTAAAAAGTCTCAATAAAAAACTGATTATATTAAGTAAGACGATGAAGAGAACTAAAATAATTTTAATAACATTGAAGATTATATTAAATATGAATAAAAAAATAAAATTATCTACTCAAACGATTACCAAATCGATGATGACGAAGAAGGTGAAGAAGAAGATGACAGTGAAGAAGAAGAATAATATTAAAGTTCTATTGCTTCTTAAAGTAGTAGTGGAAAGATAGAAAAAGAAAGGACTGAAAAAGATAGCTAGAATGAACAAAATAGCAAAGAAAAAAAGAAAACAAAATCATAAAGTTAGAGAAAAGGTACTTCTGTTAAAGAGCCTTATCTTCCACCTATTAATACTAAATATAAATACACATTAGTGCTAGATTTAGATGAAACTTTAGTGCACTATCATGAAGTAATTTTATTTTTCAAATTAAATATATTTTTTTTAATTAATTAACTCTTTTATTACATACAGATGGAAGATTAAACTGGTGGAGAATTTTTGATAAGACCTTTTGCAGAATAATTTTTATATGATATGAGTAAATATTATGAAATAGTAATTTTTACAGCAGCTGTTAAAGAATATGCAGATTGGATTTTAGATATTATAGACAAAGATAAAAATATTTCATATAAACTTTATAGGCAACACACTGTTTTTGATGGACAATATAACTTAAAAGACTTAAGTAAATTAGGCAGAAATATAAGTAAAACGATTATCATAGATAATCTTCCAGAAAATTTCTCAAAATAACCAGAAAATGGTATTTTTATTCAGTCATGGTTTGGAGAAAAAGATGATAAGGCTTTGTTCGATTTATCTCCACTTCTTAGATGTATAAATTAAATTAAATGATATAAAGTTTAATCAACGTATTTATTCTAATTTTTAAAACAGAAATAGTAGAAAAAGAGAGTCCAGATGTGAGAATAGCATTAAGAAAGTTCAGTGATTAAATAGAGGAAAATATGAGAAACGGTATTTAATACCCACATCTTAATCTTATTCTATGACATAATTATAATTTTAAAAAGATATTTTAAAAAAGAAAAATGTAAAAAAGAAAATTTCCATAAAAAATAATTTTAAAAAAATTCATAAATATTTTGAAAAATTATATAAAAAATTAATTTAATTATATTAGTTAAAAACACTTATCTGTTTATTTTATATAAAGTATTTAGATTATCTAGTTTAATTAGTAAAATATTTCAACGATCTACATTTTTTCATTTATTTTAGCTTTCTGTATGACTTCTTTGCAAACATGTTTCATTGCTTGCTTAATTGCTTGTTTTATTGGTTGACAGATATTTTTGATTTTGATTGCTAGTTTGTTTTTTTCTTTATTTGTTTGTTTGGCTGCTGACAAATTTTGTTTTTAAGATTTTATAGTTTTAAATGCGTTTTTAGCTCTTATTGAAAAAATAATTAAAAATTGTGTAATTGAATATTTAATATTAAAAGATGATAAAAAATATATAACTCTTAAAGGGATTAGTAGCCATATTAGTATTGCTTGTTGTAGTTAAAGCATAAGAGTAAATTAAACTTAAATTAGAATTTAATGAGAATATAATTTTATAAAATAAGAGTTTATTAAGAACCAAAATGTGATGTAGAATTAGATGGAAGTTTATGCTTATTTAATGGTATAAAACGGAATTTGCACTATGAATTAACATCAACATTACTTTATAATATTTTATATTAAAAAAAGGTGATAAAGTACTAGTACCTAGAGCAAAGCTACCTGGATTGCTTCTTCATTATAGTTTTGATGATTCTTAAGTAGAGCATTTTGTTTTGTATTATTTAATTGCTAATTAATTTAATATTGCATTTAATAGAATTTAGACTTGTCAGGAAATGGATTTCATCCTGCAATAGGAAAACCTATTGTCAAAGGGCAACCATGGGGAGGTTCTGGTAACAGTGCTTACTTTTATGGGCCTAATTTTTTAAAGTTTAATATCCCAAGAGACAAATTCAAAGCATCAGAGTATTCCATCTAATTTTATATATTTCCAATCCAAGAATAGTAGAGTAATAAATATCATACAAAATATTAGATATAAATTAAAAGATTTTTTATAAAGTGAAGGGGAAAGCTGAATGTCCAATTTTGTAAAAGGGCTTTGACAATAAAGTTGATGGCAATTACGAAAGATCTCCAGCTATTTATTTTCATAAAATAAAAAGATCTATTTTGCTATATTTTAGCACATCTGATAAACAAGAATACTAATAAGTAATCACGTTTTTAATTCATTTTAATTGCTTATATGTTTAATTAACTAAATAGGGTGAGTTTTTAGAATCAAATGCTAGACTACCTTACAATAAGTGGGCTCACATTGTTGTTAGTAAAACTGGGTCTAAAATAAAACTTTTTGTTAATGGGCTCCTTGACTCAGTTCAAGTTTTAATGAATTTCGATATTGAAAACGATTCCTCTTTTTATCTAGGTAATGCTCCTTGGTTAAGTGATGAATGTTCCTTAAATGCTTATATTGATGAACTTAAAATTTTAGATGTTGAAACAAAAAGCTATTAGGTTCAAGCTGAAGCCTCTTCTTTCTTAGCTGGTATTGAACCAAATTTTTTGCATCTTGGATGTATAAACTGTCCAATAGAGACAGCTAAATCTGCATGTATAACAGGATATCATTTATGTACTAACTTAGAATTATACTCAGGCGCTTACACAATAGCAAGGTTTATGGGATGGGTAAATTAAATTATTAAGTTTAGTATATTAATTTACTAAATTCATTTTTAATAAAAAAAAGACTGAATTAAATAGGAATATTTGGACATATAATTAATTATTTAGACAAGATAGCGAATAAGAAGAACGTGTAAATTCAGGAATTGGAATTTGCTGTCTAGATTTAGAAGAGCCCAGTTAAATGTGAAAAAAATTAATATTTGGAAATAAATTAAAAAGGTTAATTGCAAATATGTTCATCAAAAGAGAGCAAGATCTGCACTCTGTCAAAGTGAATTACATTAAGTGTTCCAAAAATGATGGCACTGATTCTATTTCATTCCTTCAAAAATTAATATTATTTATTTTAGATATAATTATTAGAATACATTCTACTAATTTAAGTTTTGTATATAAATAAATATAGCTGTTGTTTCTACATCATAATTATTCAATTAATAAATCAATCGATATTCTTTATTTGAATTAAAATTTCTATTTAAAAATCTAAGTACATTCTATTTTAATAGAAATAATTAATTCAACAAAAAAGTTTAACTAAATTTTTACATTTGCGAATATTAATATTTAAACTATTTACTTTTTATTCAGAAATGTATGATGAGAAGATAGAAATATAAAAAATCTTTAATAGGATGAAACCTTTTAAGGTTAAAAAAGTAGATTAAAACAACCTAATTCATCTCTTAAAGCATATGAAGGTTTTGCAGAATATGGTTTTTAGTAAAGATCATACTTTTAAAGTAGACGATAGTGTTATCATAAAAATAGATATTCAGCAAGACGTTGATGTAAAATAGAAAATTCATAATTAAAATAATGAAGATTTTTTATTTCTTGATGATTCAATAATAGTTTATGAAAAAATTTTTATTTTTAATGGAAGTATTGATAGTAAAAGCAGTTAGTTTAATTTAATTTTTATAAATAGTAATCTAAATTGTAGCTTGATTGCATATTTAAATCAATTATTGAGGATAATCCAAAGTCAGAAGTTGCTGAAATTCATAAATAATTAGGTACAGTCTTGCAAAATATTGTAAAAAAAATGGAACAAAGTAAATTTTATATCAATCTTAATTTTTTTCAAATATTTAAAATAAATTTGAAAATATAAATATTAATTTGCATAGTTAAAAAGGAAGAAGAGGAAGAAAGGTTACGAAAAGAAGCGGAGGAAAAGAGGAAGTAAGAGGAAGAAGAAAAGAAGAAGAAGAAAGAGTAGGGAATAGAATCAGAAGATGAAGAAGAAAAAGATTAAGAAAAGGAAGAAGAAGATTAAAAGAATAAAAAGCCTAATCCTAAAGATTTATTTAAAAGGCAATTTGATGAAAAAGGTTACTTTATTACTATTTGAAAACTAAACTTATTTTAAAATAACTTAAAGATCTGACAATAGAGAAAGAATAAGAATATAATATTGAATTAGAATAAAAGCTTTTAGAAAGTGTGGAAGCTATGAAGTGGATAGCAAAAGGAATTTTAATAGATTTAGGAAATGATGAAAAAGTATTTAATTTTATTATATTAATTAATCTAATAAATGTTTTAATAGGTACGTGAGAGTGTTAGAAATAAATAAGATGATTAGATCAACTAAGTTAAAGATGGTAGTCATAAGATAGATTAGTTCTTATCCAATAAAGATTTAAGTTTACTTTAATTAATATTTATGCTTCTAATTAGTATTGGTTTGACTATTTTTACAATTGTTTTTATTCATATTTGGTGATTGGTGTGCTTTAGATAAAATCTGAATTAAATTTACCTTATACTGCTTCGATCAATTAGCAATTTTTTATAAAATAATTTATTCGTATATTTTCCAGCTTACTTTCATTATAATTAGCTAATTCTCTTATAAAAAATTTTGAACAAGTCCAATTATTGCTTAATTTAACCAAGTATTTAATTATGAAATATTTTAATTAATTAAAAAGTTTTTTATATAAATTAATCTGTCCAAAACATGAGGGAATTTTAATCATTGATTATATATAATATGTAAGATAAAAAATAATTAATTTTTTTATTTTTGAATAATTTTTAATGACAATTAAGAATAAATAAATAAAAATTATTCTTTAACCTTTGAAAATGAATTTAATTTTAAATTAGTTAAATGAAAATTAAGAATATACAAATTCATATAAATAAATTATCGAATTGAGTAGTTATATAAAAATATAGATAGTTAGTTAGGCAGCATTAAAGTATTTTTTTATTTATAGAATAATTATTTTATTTTTTTATTGAATAATTAGCTTAATTTTATATATATTTTATAATAATTTTATTCTTAATATCTAGCTTATTTTTTTATATAATAAGTTATTTATTTTTATATTATTTATTATTAAAGTATTATAAAGATCTTAGTTTAATATCAATTGCTTGCAATAATATCTTATACAAATTTCCTCTTAGACTAAGCTATACCATCAAAAATTTGATTTCCTATAATTTGATTAACTTAAATAATCAGCTATTTACAAATAGGTCTAAGTTCAGGTTTATTTTCTTCTAACAATTTATTTATAACAGTTGTAATTTATTTTGTATACAGAGGTCCTTTCTTTTCGTATAACATTTATCCTTAGTCTTTAAAAAATTCAAATTAATATTAAAAAAAAATCAATTATATTTTTACCAATCAAAGTTTTTATAATTAATTATTTTGCTTTTATTGGAGCAAATGATGCTCCATTGCACAGCTGAGAAAAGAGTTAGCTACCATCAACTATTTCTGTCACTTTTGCATATATTTACTCTCCTAATAGTCTATTACTGCTCTGTGTAGATCCGATTGCCTAGCAGACAGAATTAAAAACTATAGGAAGATTTCCTTCAATTCCATTCTACAAAAAACAAAATTTAATATATTAAGGCTCTTTTATTTAATGAATTTACTTTTAATTAGGTCACGACACCTAAGAATGAGGTCAAAGCTTAATTGCTAACCTTTGTATTTGAATCATTTAGCAAACACATGAAATTATCAAAATATTTATTTGAATATTTAGATTTAGCCAACTAATCAGCATATGTCTAAGCCAAATCAGTTAATTTTGAAACTGCTTCTATTCTTTGTTTCCAATCTATAAATTTAAATATTTTAAAATTTAGTAATTTAATTAATTTATTTGTATGATTTACCCTGGTTTTCACAAAGGTTAAAATAAGAAGGAATATTTTCAAATTCTTATGGATCTTTCATTTTCATGCTTTGTGTTTGCTTACTAGTCTACATTCTTATTGTATTCATAGACGTTAGTTTTGGTTCTTTGTCATCTATTTCATTTGCTTGTTTTTCATCGTTTTGAATGCTTGATTAAGACTAAAGTGCCTTTAAAGGCATATTTTATGTATTTTATAATTACCCTGATGGAGCCATTATCTAAGTATTATTAGCAGATACAGCCAAGCTGCTAGAATTTTTTTCTTAGCTTTTTATTGTCTTATTTTGAGTACTTCCTGTAATGTAAAGCTGCTCAGGGTTTTTGTATTCTTTTTCTATGAATTATTTAATCTTTTAATATTATTAGTCAGTCAAGACTTTGACTAAAATTTTATCTATTTCTGATTTGTTTGTTGAATTAAAATTTAGCATCATGCTAAATGTTTTCTTTGAATAAGTTCTTACTTCTAACGCACCATCCATTGTGAAAAGACTAAGAATATAAATAAGTTTTTCTACTTCTTTCATTTATAGAATTTTGCTAGCAAATTTTTCTACTAATGTATTTATCATTAAGGCAATATTTATCTTGAAGCTTATAGCCTTATGTTAATATTTACTAGCAATTATAGAAATTATTTTATATTCTGAGCAATTCTAACTGACAGTTATTAATGCATTTTTAACTTCTTCAAGAATAAATGAATTTGAATCTAAACCTTTTTTAAGTAGCTTAGTTACAATAGACTCGCTTTCAGTATCAAGAGTTCTTTTGAGCTTTTCAGATAGCTCAGTCAAAGTAATCATGGCATTCTTAGCTAAACTGCTTCTTAGATTCTCAACTAACTTTAAAACCTATACCATAATATTTAAAATATGAAATCTATTTTACTCAAAATATAAAAATAATTAATTACTTCAGTGATTACATTATGCAGTGTGTTTTAATTTTATAAAATTTCTGAATGGTGTTGATTAATTCTTCTAAGATTGTTTAATCCATCAAATTATCTAGACCAGTCATCAATTTTTAAATCAGCAATTACATGTTTTAAAGTTTATTCAGGATTCTATAAAGGCTCAAGCTCTTACCTAGTTAAATAAGATTATTTTTATGCATCAAAAGCGCTGTACTTTTGGCTTGGCTATTGTGTTAATTATGTTTCACTTGGTGTAATTTACTTACTAATAGACTAATTTATAAAAATATTTTTTTATGAATGAATTGTTAATTAAAATAAATATGCAAATAAGTAAGTAATTAAGTAAGTTACTTTCTTTTTTAAATTCCTCAAATTAGGCTTCAATATTTTTTTTTCTTCCTCTTCTTCATTTTCCTTAAATCAATTATAATTTATTTTATTTTGAAATATTATTTTTACAATAAATTTACTTAAATTTCATCTTTGTTCGAAATGGATCCAGAATTTCTTTTATGCTTTCTTGCTAAATTTTTTGACAGTTGTTTTGTTGAAAGAGAGTTAGGTGAGTTTTCGTTTGGGTCTTCATTAATTATTGGTGGGTTTTTAAACATGTATTCTCTTGATTCAATAACTAAATTATTGTTATTTAAATCAGAGTTTGAAGTTTATGCTTACTAGGACATGTTTGCTCCTTGATTTTCATTGTTTCCACTTGAAGCTACATTTTAATTGTTATCAACTTGTACTCTTTTAGATTTCTTTATAAGATATGGCTTATATTAATATTAGCTAGGTGTTTTATCTTCTTATTCTTCTTAGATATTATTAATGCTATTAATATTCCCTTTGTAGAGGTTGAGAGGAGGATTGAATTCTTTATTCTTGAGTGCAACTTTGCCAAGAGGGTTATTATTTGGTTTTTAAGGATTTTGAACTTAGCCATTAGTTTGATTTATTTAGTTATTTTCTTTAATCTATTTATCAAAAGTACTCATACTAAACTCATCAAGATTCTTTTAAGTTGAGTAATTTAAAATAATATCAGGATTTTCAAATTAATTAAAGTTTTATTTATTTTCTTTTCCAGATTAAATATTTTAATTTTATTTATTTTTATTTAATTCTGCATTTTAATTATTATTATATTTTGCCTCTGAAGATTTATCTTCAATATCATTAGATAATTCTTTTTATTTATTTTTTATAGAGCTATTTTTATTTTATATATCTTTTTATTATTATTAATCAAATGATAAATCACTTTCTTTTTATTTGCTTAAAGCTTCTTCACTTTCTTCATCTTATTCTTAATCTTCACTATTATTATTTCCATCTTTTTAAGATTCCTCATTATCATCATCATCATCATCATCATCTTCTTCTTCTTCTTCATCTTCGTTTTCAGACTTCTCCTCTTCACTTTCTTCCTCTTCCTCATCTTCTTCTTAATTAGAATCTTAAATCTCTTCATCTTCTTCTGCTTCAACCTCCTCTTTTTCATTACTTTCTACACTTTCATCATTTTCTTCATCTTCCTCTTCTTCTTGATCATCATCTTCTTCTTTTTCACTCATTTCCTCTCCTTTTTAGTCATCATTATCTTCTTCACTTTATTCTTAATCTTCTTTTTCTTCTTCTTCTTCATCTTCTTCTTGTCTATCTTCATTATCTAGAGATTGACTTTTAACATTATTTTTAGTTTTAGATATTTCTTTTTGATCATTTGAACATTCGCTTTGGTTATTTTCCTCCTCATTATCAATTTAAGAATCATTTTCTGATTCTTCTTTTTCTTTATACTAATGAGTTTTATCGGTTGTTTTTTTATTTTTTGATTTTTTATTGGATTTAGGCTTACTTTTCTTTTTTTTATTTAGCACATTTTATATTTTTGGTTTTGATTAATCTTGCTAATCAGCTTCAGTTTTATCATTGTTATTTAATGCAAATGATTAGTTTTAGAATTATTCTTAACTTTTTTATTCTGTTTAACTTATAGTTCTTGAAGGTGGTAAGGGTGGCAAGTTATTTTTTTGCTAATTAGAAACCTCTTCTACATTAGTTTTTAAAGGTGAGTAATCTTTTTATATAATTTACTCAGCTAAACTATTTGTGAAGGAAGCAGAATTACCCCTTTTATTTCCATATGGAGTATTTGATATAGAGCTTTAATTACTACTTTCTTAGTGATTTCCATTTCCAGATATACCTCCTCTTATATTTTATCTAGATAATTTGAGCTATTCAACTCCGCTTAATTAAGATTAACCTAATATAGGATTAAGGTTGTTAGATTAGCTAATTCCAGACTTAACTGCAGACCTAGAACTAGATGATGTAGAAATATCTATTACTCCATGACTATATGCATTATATCCGCTTTTATTTTAATTGCTCATAATTTATGGAAACATAGTATTTGAAGAAGTAGACATAGTATTAGTAGTTCTTTAGGAGAATCTAGAGTCTGGAGCACATCCTATTTCATTCATACTTGACTGTTAGTAAAGTTAATCCTAATTATTATACCCTCTAACTGAAGATGATGAAGAGTAAGGCTATTTATTTGCACTGTTGTAATTAAAATTACTATAAGAATTTGGATTTTATCTATAAACACTATAAGAACTAAAGTCTCTTTACTAATTATTAGATCTTAATTGCATACCATCTTCAGTAATTTAAGACTAAATATATTATAAATTAAACAAAAATTAATTATATTAAAAATAAACAAATTAAAATACTTGAGAAAAAAGGGAAATATCTATCATTTCGTTTTAAGATAGTATTCTATTTTATGTTTGCATAGGAGATATTATACTTCCAAATATGTTTGAAGTTGAGTGTTCAAAAGGATAACCAAATTAGCTCTAGGTATTGGTATAAGAAGTCTATTAAGCAAATCCCTATTAAGTTGGATTGTAGGAAGAAATATTAGTAAATTAATTTTAGTTTGGAATAGAGCTCATTTTATATTTTTCAGGAGTAACTGAAGTCATTTATGTTCTAAAAGAATTAGTGTGTGAAACATCCTAATCAAATTATTTGTAATTGAAATTAAAGCTTCCAACACTGCTTTAAGCGAGATTTCCTTAGCTGTCAATGAAATTAAACTTAAGATCATTCTCCCTTTATTTAAAGCTTTCATTAGTTTTATTATGAATAGAGTAAATCGAATTTTAATTAGAGCTCACATAATTATCTTCTATAAAAATAAAAATTTAAAATTTTAATCAAACATATTTATTTCATTAATAAAAATTACCTTATGCTTTTTCTTAAATTTTTTGTTAGAGTTTTTCAAGAAACATTTCATTATAAACTTTATTTAAAATAGAGGCAATTAGCTTTTTGCAATTTTCTTTATTGTTCTTCATTGTAACAATAACCATACAGTCAACACATTTTATCTTTATCTTAGTTTTTGTGTCTTCTATCAGTGGAGCAACTTCTCTCAACACTTTGTCATAATTGTAATTGCACATAATTGGAATATCTAAATAGAGTTAAGTAATTAAACTTAATACTTCTTCTTTTGTGTTTGAATTTTTGCTCTTTAATCCAGTTAGGCAAGCGTCAAGCCACTTAAATTATCCAAATAGCTATTTTTATTTATTATTTAAATTAGTGTTTGCTAATATTAATTTAAATAATTACTTTGATGTGCTCACGGATTATTTTTATAACTTAAGAACGTATTGCAACTTTTGAATCACCTAGTTTTGAAACGATTTAAGGTGCTATTTTATCAATAACATTGGGGTTATTAAATTGCTCATGTTTTGATATTTTGCTTATAATTTGCAAAGCAGTTAAGCTAATTTTGAAATTAGTGTCGTTAATTAATTTAATCAAGATTGAAAGAAACTCATCTAATCTTTAGAAAAGTATAGTAAACTCCTAGATATTCTCTATTTGACTGTTAATTTCTTCTATTGCTGATGTTCTTGACTTTAATTATACCAAAAATATATTTTTTATTTGATTAGTTTATGTTAAAACAATTTACTCTCCAGTCTTTCTCATTTAATAAATCTTTAAAGATCTGTTCATTAATAAATCCGAAATGAAGATCAGGATTATTTTTTTATTGAAGAGAGGAATTACTTTTGATTAGAACATCTAATGTATGGTTCTGTTTATCAAGAGGACTCATAGGAGTTTTAATAGGAGAAATGTCTTTTACATTACTGCCAATATTATTACCTTAATTTTTGTGTATAATGCTTGATTAGCTCTTTGGAATTATTGTATTATTTTAAAGAATATTTTATCCTAAACTAGCAAATTTATGCTAGAAAGAAGGCAGCTAATCAATATTTTTTTATTGTTAGGAAGAGTTTGCCATATTATTAGAATATTGTAATGATTAAGCAGCACTAAATTGGTTAGTTGAATCAATTTAATAGGAGGATGGGATATTACCTAAAATTTGTTAACCTTCAACGAATTTCTTAAGCTTTTCAGAAATATCCCTTGGCAATTTTTTGACAATAACTGAAAATTATTCACATTTTGTAAATTAAACTAAGAGCTAATTAAATAATAATAATGTTAAGTAGGATTTTATACATTCAGAATATTATGAATAAAAATAATTCATTTGTAAAAATTAATTAGTTAATTACTTATTCTGTAGCTTTTTATACATGAATATTGTCGTCATTTAACAGGTTTACTGAACAAAGAGTTAAATCAACCATATCAGGAGAATTCCAACTTATAAATTTTGATTCAGATACTACAATACTGTGAAAAGAATTAATACTTTTCTATCTTACAACCCACTAAATTTATATTATTTGATAAAAACAATAAATATCTATCTCTAAATCCATACAAACAAACGATTTTGTAAAATCTAAATTTTTAAAAATATTTTTTGTAAGATTTTGCAAAACTTTACATTTTGATTTTGAAATCCTGTGGAAATAAATACTTTAACAACTATTTCTGAATTCTGATAAGTTCTAATGTATTTCAGTAGAAGTGAATGACACTTTCTTCTGATTCCTGCCTGTTTTATAATAATATTTAGATTAAGTTTATATTAAATTTATTTTTTTTCTATTTCAAATGTACTTAATAATTATAAAATTAATATATAATAAGTACCTGCTCATCGCCTATATTTAAAAGAATCAAAGAGATCTCATTGCCTATTAAAAGCTCGCTTTCCTCTACATATTTACTCACTAAAATTTCGTATAAAGTAAATATTTAATTCTTTAACTCAGTTTTTGTACTATTTCCTATTGATTCACGCAGAATTGTTGAGCAATTACTTACAATAGCTTTTAAGTGCAATCTTAAATTGTTATTATCATTTTGAGCCAGTTAGATTATGCTTTTCAATGCCTCTTACTATTAAATTATTGTAGGGTTGCTAAGCTATTTGATAAACTAATCTAAGTTATTTGAATTAACTTCTCTCTACCCTATATTATTGCTGTTAGAAATAATCCCTCCTAATAAGTCATCATAGTCATTCACATAATTTTTTGACTATCCGAAATTCTACAAAGCAGTGCTTTGTAAAAGTAATTTTCCTGCTATATTTTTTTATGGTGAACATTAAGACATCGCTATCACTACTTAAATTACTTGGATTCCTACTTCCAATTGAGTTTGTTTTGAAATGCAATCTACTAATTGAATGAATATATCGCCTCTAAAAATTATATAGCTTATAGCTTTGAATGTATTTTTTAATTAGCTTTTGCTATAAACTTTTTGATATTAAGATTTTGGTATAGAAATGTATTAGTTGAAAAAATTATTATATAACTTAACAACTTTGTTTTACTTGTTTTTTAACTAATTTATATTGTTTAATCTTATATTCTTCAAAACAAACTTGATGCATTTTGCTTAGAAAACAAGAAATAATATTCTTGTTTTATAAAGAAACACAACACATACACACATGCATATATATATTAATTTATTTATCATCTCTATCTGTTTAAAATCATAACTAAATAAAAATTGTTTACGAATATAATATATCAAATTCTAATTATAGCTTGTATCAGTTTTTTCTTTAGAGTGCTAAATTATTATTAATATTGCATTATTACTTTTATTTTTTCATAAATTTCTAGAAATTTTTATTTGTTTATCATATTTGTAAAAATAAATTAATTTCTAAATGAAATTAACTAACTTACTTACTTACTCATTTAATTATTATTATTAGAGATTTTCAAAAGTTAGCAGATAAAAAAAACAAAATATATTTTTTCAAATATCTAAATAAATAAATAATAATTTATTAAAATATTGTTAGATGAGATATATTTAACTTTTTGTAAATTAAATGCTTACTTTTTTATATATTTAAATAGAATCTACCTTTTTAAAAACTAAGCAAAACTTAAAAACTAATCGATATCATTTACATATTTGTAATTTCTATCTAATAAAGGGTATTGGACAAAAAAAATATTTCTTTGAGTTAATTAATATTTATTTATTATATACTAGATAAAATCAATAAATTGACCAAATATTCTGGTCCTAAGGTAAATGAATAATAGTAGTTAGATTTTTTCATAAAAAAGAAACAAAAACCTTATTAAAATTTTTATTTTTATCAGTTATATTATATATTTATTATAAAACACTACAATTAATAAATAAAATAATAACTTTTACCTAAAATATCAATTCTTTATTTTTTTCTTAAATTTCATAAAAAACCAAATATTTAATGTCCTAATATTCAAAATTTAATATTTAATTGAAGATTTTATTCTTTTTCTACATATTAAAAAATGTGTTTGCTAAATAATAACACATAATTTATGTCCAAAATAAGTAGATTTTAATTTATAAATAAGATATTGAAAATAAACTAAAAATTAAATTAAATTTAAAATTATATTTTAATTATGATAAGAATTAAGAAAACTTTATGTAAAAAGATAACTTAATTTATAAATTATATGATTGAGATTGACAATAGGATTAATTTAATTGGAAAAAATAATTACGTTAAAAAAAGTAAGATACTAATTACTAGAAATATTCTATTCATTTTAAGTTGTTTTATAAACAAAAATAAAAGTATATACATGTATCGAATAGCTTCAGTAGGTTTCCATTATTAAATTTAAGAATTTATCATATATTGTTTTAATTTTGTTTTTTTTTTTTAGACTATGAGTTGATTTAATATTTATTTATTTATTTATTTTAATTTTAACTTTTTATTTTAAAGATTTTATTAATTTTTTTTGTTTCTTGATTTTATTTATTTTTTGTTATATTTTCAGATATTTTTCATCTTAATTTTCAACTAATTTTTAGCTTTACATAATGGTAAATAAATGAATATTAAGTGTTTTTAAAAAATTATAAATTAAAAATGATTTTGTGCAATTAAGCCTAGAATTAATTAAATATTGTGCTTTAGAAAGATGCATATAAACTAATTGCATTTAGCAATTTTTTTTATAGAAGATAAATTATGTGTTGTAGTAAATGCGATAAGGCGAATAGTATGAAGTAAAAAAATAAGAAAATCAGCTGGATCTGATTTATTTGGAACCTTATATTTTTATCATACTATTCTTCAAATCGTTATTTAGAAACAGATTTTATTCTAAATTTAAAGATTCTATCTTATGTGAGGATTAAAAACTATCATTACTACAAATAAATATCTTCCATTAAGAATATAAGCCTATTTAATTTTGAAAGATTTGTTAGCAAGCTATTAATTTTATTAGGAGCGACAAGCAGAGAGTAGAGTATGAGCGAGTGAGTAAGCAGGCTATAGCTAGGTTGATAAGGGATAATTTTTTGGAAACAGAAGCCTAAGGAAAAAAAAGCAAAAAGAAACAGAAAGAATCTAAACACATCCCTTAAAAATAGTCAATAAGATAAAATCATACATTTGCTGCTTTAATTATTAATTTTGAAAATTGATTTGAATTATTTTGACAATCCCAAGATATATGCGATATCTTTGCGCTCATTTTAAGCGTCTTTTTGAAAAAATATAACATTTTTAGTGCTATATTTATGTTGGTCTCGATTAGGATAAGGTAATGTGCTGATTTGATTAAAAACTTTGCACAATCGTAACTCTTTTAGAGTTAAATAGCCATGCCTCTTTTCCTCAATAATAATATCAATTTGATATTTTATAATTAGAGCTTAAAGCTACTTAAACTGTTTTGAGTTTAATTTAAAAAATTTATTGAAAAGGATAGATAGCTTGTATCTATGTATCCTTCTTCAAAAACTTGTAAAAAGATTAATATTTTGTAACTATATAATAGATTTTATTAAATAGATACAAATATTTACTTTTACTCTTTTTACCTTTTTACTTCCTTAAGAAATAATCTTTATATTGTTATTTTTTATTAATTAATTTATTCATTCAATTTTTCTCAAAACACATAGAAAAATTTTCAAATTTTAATTATTTATTTATTTGTCAGTTAATAAACACTTTTTAACAAACAATACAGAGGGAAGCAAGAGTGCGTACCAGAAGTCATAATTTATAAAAAATTTTTTTTTGTTAATTTAGATATTATGAATTTACTAAAAAATTATTCATTTTTAAAATAAATTTTTTACTTTCAAAATGAGCAATCTTTATTTGATAAATTTTGAGAATAAAATATATCTAAAAATATCAAAATTTAAAAGTGCATAAATTAAAACAACTAAGAAAAAATAAAAATTTATAAATTACAAAGTGACAATAATAACTAAATTAATAATAAACTTAATAATATCAAACTAAATAAGAATTATCATTTACTCCTAGCAACGAAGATTTGAGTAAACTAAAATCATTCTATTTACCAATTAAATATATTAAGAATGATAGTTATATGTTACAAAACTTAACTAATAATTATAATATCAATCGGTATCTAAATATTATCAAATAATTCAATATATAAAATTATTAAACTTATAAAACTAATTTTAATCATACTATGAATTCCTAATAACAGGAGAACAAATTAGGAAAATTATGTACCAAAAAAATTATTTTCTACATAAGATGTCATATACTTAAATAGAAAATGAGTAAAACCTTTTAGACTGAAGTCATAAAAAATAAAGTGAACAAATCAAATGAAATAGAAACTATTGCTAATTGCGGATTTTTTTTTTTGTAATAGAGAGATAAATAGTGATAGGTTACACCTATAACTATTTATCTTTCTAATAGAAATTAATATAATATTAAATAAATTTATATAATAGTATTTTATATATTTACATGTAATTTGTATTTAATTTAGAATAATTTAAATAAATTTTAAAATTTTACTTTTTATAAAAATTTTACTTTTAATTACATGTTTTTTTTAAATTTTATAATAGAATTAATTTAATTTTCAGTGTTTTTTAATTAATTTTTTTAAGTAAGAAAAATTATTTATTAAAAAAATAATTATTTTGTTTAAATATGAATTATTTAATATTTCTTTTAAATTTTTTTAATTCATTTATTCGTTGATTTTTATATGAAGTAATTTAATTATTTTTAATTTAAATAAGTTATTTTTATTTTATAATTTTTAAAACAATTTATTATAGATAGTAAGTAATTTAAATAAATAATTTATAAAATTAGAAAAAAGGCTTTGATTTTTGCTTTCAATTTAGATATCCACATTTATCATTAAATATTAGTAGAGGCTTTATACTTTGATGCAAATCTTAAAGAAGTAGATAAACAAGTCTGAAGAAATATTTATAAATATAAATAAGAGTTTAAAAGAATCAATTATATAAATAATAATACTAACTTAGCATACTATTTTATTCATTCTAAATTAAAAGATATATATATGATTTTTGTTTATAGTCTAATAGCTGATTTTGCTGATTGCATAAAGGAAAGTGATATTCCTGATAGTGACTGTATTAAGAATTAACTTTTTTATAGAAGCTAACTTGAAAAAGAACTGAGAAGATTTCCATCTGTGGGGTTATACGAAGGAGAAACTAAAGAAGATTGGGATAAATTCGTTTAATATCTTGAAACTGTATATAATGATATTGATGGTGAAAGAAGAGAAGTTATTGATAAAGTTAAAATAGAGTTAAATAAGCGTAAATAGTACTTTGATGATTTACTTTCAGATATTGGATTAAATTCGGATTCTTCTATCAGAAGAATAAATAATAGACTTTCAAATTATATATGTTGTCCAGAATATAAGCAGTATATAGATTTAGAAGCAAATTATCAAAAAGCACTTACGCTTATGAACTAATACTAACTTCCGGATTCAGATATTAGATAAAAGATTTTAGTTGGATTACGAAAGAAATATTCAGAAGACGTGTGTTAAGACAAACTAAAAGAAGTTATAGATAAAAACTAGAAGGTAGTATAAAATGGAAAATAGTAATTAGATGATCTTTTATTATAGCTATAAGGTATTATATAATTTGATAGATAATATTTAATAATTTGAATAGATTATTTTAATTCACTAATTCTACTTAATTAGATAAATATCTTTTTGTTATTTTAATTTTAAATAGCTAACGATAAGTACTAAAGGTACTAGTTGATGTTACAAGAGTTAAAAGCATATAGAGAAGAATGGAAAAAAGTTGATAGTAATATTGGCAAAGAAAATATTTCAAGAGGGAAAAGTTTTGAAGATAAATGTTTAAAAGAAGGAGTTGATTTAATCCTAAGGTAATTAAAGTTAAAAAAAAGAAATGTAAAAGTTCTAACTAACTTGTAATGGGCAGAGTGTCCTGGAGAAATAGATATTGCAATATTTGATAAGTATTAAACTAAAGTGTTATGTCTGGCAGAATGTAAATCTAGATTATTTGATTTAGTCTCTGGTTATAAGTAGAGTGGCCCTGACAGATCTCCTGAAAAACAAAGTATAAAATTATTCTAAAAAAATATACCAGTTCCAAGGGATGTACCTTGCTATGTCCTAACTTGTCTTCCTCCAAATGATTACTTTTTAGGAATAGAATCAAAAGTAAAGTTGGATCTAAATAAATATACTCTAGAAAGCGATTTTGCTGACATAAACTTTGATGAGGTCTATAACACTTTAAGACCCAAATACGAAAAATAGTAATCACCAATAAAGTGGTTTGAAAAATATTCAGAGACAAACTTGATTGTTTTGAATTGAAATAATGTGATTATATAAATATTGATTCAAAAAATTCAGAAATTAAGTATTTTAAATTTATTGAGAAATAATTGATCAATTGGTAAATTCTAAAAATTTACAACCACAAATATCAAGATGAGTTTTTTTAATGGAGAGTATAAGTAAATTTTATACTAATAGCAAATTTAATGAAGTTTATTTTTTATTATTTAATATTGAAATTTTTCATAAAATAATAATTTTTTGTTGTTAATATTGCTTATTTTCTGTTTTAAAATAAATAAAAAATAGTTATGTTTTGTTAATTTTAAATTAAATAAAAATAATGTTAAAAAAGCAACAATTGTTTGTAAATTTTACTTTTAATATAATATTTGTTATTAAATTTAATTGATTCTATTTCACTTGAAATATTATTAATCAAAATTATTTTTTATTTTTATTGAAGGTAAATAAATTATCAATTTATACTAGAAATATTATTTTTGACAAACAAAATAGAAAAATATAAACATTTAATTAATATCATTAAGAAATATTAAGAAAAATAATACTTAATTTATCATTATATGAAGCTAAAAATCATAATTGAATTCAATTTTATTAACTTTTAAACATAAAAAACTCTTTAATTATCTAAGGTCAACAAATTCAATACATAATGTTTTTTTGTTTATAAAAATATATTTAATTGAAATAATTAAATTCTAATTAGTTTGAAATGTTTTAAAAATATATTTTGATCAAGAAAATATTTAATAAGATAAATATTTTGTTATTTATGTGGAGATAATTAAAGATGTGTTTAATAAAAAATATTATTTTAATATAGTTTAAATAAGTATTTTTTAACTGATTAATTAAATCTGTAGATAGATGTAAAGAATTACTTTTTTATCATTAATCCTTATAAGGATTGAAAAATCATATTAAATTCATAACAAAGGTTTTATTAATTCAATTTTAAAATTTAATGAATTATTAAGGAAAGATCTATTAAATAAATTAATTCAAATATTTTAGATTGAATTTTTTCAATTTTATTTGATTGAAAACATTTTATTCAAGACTTTAATTTAGTTTTTATGAAATATAAATAAATAAATAAAAATAAGTAGGTTTGTTATTGAAATATGATTTTAGTATTTAACTAATAATATTTGCATACAATTTAGATAAATATATTTGATTAAATTATTTAATTCAACAACATGCAAAGAAAAAAAAAATCTTATTTCCTCACTATTCATCAACATCAGGATCGAAAAATCCTTTATTTTTCATCATTTATTCTTTAAAGTATTTTTGAATTTATTGTTCATTCTCAGTATTGCTAATTTAATCTGGCTTTTTATCAGCATTTTAAATAAATACATCATAAAACATATTTCTACTTTATAACTTTGGTTAAATTGATCCATTTTCATTTAAAAACTATTAGAAAAAATAAATTAAGAAATTAATAATTAGGTATTTTATTTACTTAGTTAAGTTTTTTACGCTCTTCTAATTTCCCATTTATCCAATTTTAAAATTCTTCATTTGTATCAAATTTATAACAGTTCATACCTTATTTGATTTTAAATTTATTTTAATGCTGATTTCAAAATTTATTTTACTAATTTCATGGAGATTGTAACATTAAATACTGTATTTAGTAGGAGAACTTGATACTATTTCTTAACATTTCTTGAAAGCATCATGATAACCACTGCATGAAATTTCTCCTAGTATAGGATGTTCAATAGTCTTGTCTGGTCTGAAAGTGTTATAAAAATTTAGTAACATAGCTATGTGATTGCGTGAATTTTTAATTTGTAAATTAAGAAATATTATATATAATTAGAATCTATTTTCTGGAAATATCCTTTTAAATTTATTAATGGTTATTTACATAGTATCTTAAGATATAATTTAGGTATTTTGCAAAAAAAAAAAAATGTGTATCAGTTTTCCAATTAAAATATACAGAATACTTTTTTATACAAAACTTTTTGATTGTTTATAAATTTATTTTAAAATGATTTTTAATCAAATTATTTATTCACTAAAAAAAAGATAATCAATAATAAATTTATTATTGTTCACTTATATCAATTAATTATGTTTAATTTTAACAAAATAGAATTTATATATTTTGAATTTTAAAGCAATAAACTAAATTATTTTAAGACTATTTTTGATGGACTATGTAAAAAATTAAATGAAGTATTCACATTACTTATTATTAATAAATTAAATATTAAATATTTTACATAAATTAATTCTAAAAGTAATAAAGCTGATTTATTTGATGATAAAAATCTTTATTAAACTTATAAAATTGTTTCAATAATAAATCAACTATTAATCTGATGTCTGATTTGCTTTTTTTTTTAGTTTTAAAACTAAAATATTTAATTAGATGATATTTTTTAGCTTTTCTAGTGCTTATATTAGATTTAAATTTATCGGTATTTTAAATAATTACAAATAGAGTTTTACGTTTTATTTGATAAAGGTAATTAGTAATATATCTATCTTATTCTAAAGATAGATGCATATAACTAATATAGTGCTTTTAGAATACTGAAACATTTTTAAAAAATAACTATGAAGATTTATGGTAAGATTTTATATTGCATTTAAATAAATAATAAAATCAAAGAGTCATTTATATTTAAAGAAAAAATTCATCAATAATTAATTAAAAGAATCTAGTCAACAAAGTATAAGTAAGTATTATTTTGAAGAATAAGAAAAAGAAGTAGTTTTAAAAATAGAAAGTCAAATATATTAATACTACATTCATTCATTAATACATACATTCATTCTTGACTTTGATAATTAATCAAAATAATTTTTATGTAAAATCAAGAGGATTTATACTAGCAAAAGCAATAGCTTATTTAGCGCTTATATAGGAATAGTAGCTAAAATAGTCTTTCAAATCCTCTCCCTGGTTTGGTAAATATTTTATTAGTTCTCTTCATTTCATATCTAAGCAATTAGATGCTAAAATATTAAAGCATAAAAAAATGAAACAGCTTTCAATTTAGGAGACCTACTTCTACTTTTGTAGAATTTAGATTTTAATAAGCATAAGATATATTAATTAGAATATGATTCTTTTTTAGGGGATTTTTATTATCAACATTTATCAAAAAAAAAACTATTTTTTTAGCAAGTTTTGGTTGAGTTATTCATGTTTATTTTTAAATAAAAAAGAGATTACCTTAAGGAAAGAGCGGAAGTCAAAGAACTTAGAGAAATGAAAGTACAATAATAGGGCAGGGAAAGTCTTTAAATACAACAATGGCAAATAGGTATATGCTATAGGAATCTGAATTGGTACCAAAGATTGTGAAATATAACAAATTGCCACCACTTCAAGACACTTCTAGTTTACCTGTGATATTTAATAAGGGTAAAATATTGGTTAATTCAACCAAAAACTATGGATCATAGAGCTCTCTACTTATTGGAAATATACTAAGCACTCACAATTAGCAAAATTCAAACATAATTAATTTCAATCAGTCATCTGTGATTGATTAGTCTTCTATAAATATTTTAACTAATCCATTTCCTCACAATCGCTCAGTCAAACATCTTGATCAAATTAATAGATCACAATTATCTATAAATGCTCAAAGGATTTTAGATGATGTTAATTTAACTAAAGATTCTATCCCACAATAAGATCAAAAATTAAAGGAACAAGAAGCATAGAAAAATAAAAAAACTCATTTCAGAATTAAAAAGGGATAAAAACAAAAAAAGAATAAAGATGATGATGGTTCTAAGATGTAAGATTATTTAACTCCTATGGATTTTATACATCTAATTCGAACTGATCCTGAAATGGCTGACGAATTTTGCTACTTAAATAAGAATTCTAATCCTTATGATTTTAAGATAGTAGAGTTCGATGCTCGTAATCCAAAAGAATATATGACTATTTCTGCAAGAGTAAATCATTATATTTAATAAAATCATAAATGCACACAAATAAAATACTGATTCAAGATCAATATTGATATCAATTGATTATTTTAAGCACAATTAAATAATTTTCAAATACCTAGCTGATTTTATATTTAGGAAAAATATTTGTAATTACAAGCAAGCAGTCAAGAAATTAATTAAATCAAAAAGCGTTTCATTCACAAAAATAATAAATAAATTAATATATAAATAAAGCTACGTTATTTTAAAATTAATTTTTATTTTATTAGAGAATTTTTATCAAATTGTTTGAATAACATTTTAAAAAATTATATTTTAGGGAATAACTCATTTTATAGACGACTAAGCTGAATTTAAAACTATCGAAGAATGGGAAAGAGAATCGAAAATGTTCCACTAACTACTCGAAATAGAGTTCTTTAAGCAATATAAGAAATGGAAAAATTTCTCATTATGGAAAAAGCTTATGAGAAGAAATATGATGAGAGAATGCTCACATGTTTTAAGCCAGTAATTGTTTTCTGTTGACAGAAATCTTTAACCTGCTCTACTTGAAATTAGAGGCTTGTGTCTTATGAGCTAGGAATTCAGATACATGGAAATGAATATCAATCAACCATTAAAATATGAAGAATTTAAAAAAACATAGGAAAGTTATAGAGTTACAGCTACAGATTATAAGTTAGATAAGTTAGAAAACGGTATTAAAGAATTAGTTATGAGCAACTGTAAAAGAAGTTTATAAGCATTCAAAGAGGAAAATCGTATTCCATCAAATGATGCAAACGATACTGATGAGCTTAAAGAAAAGGCTCCTTTGTTGGTAGGTGATGAGACAGGAAAAGAAATGCCATACACTTAAGAAGCAACCATCCGCACACATTATAAAAGACTTAATAAATTTGTACGTCTCGTTGATTATTTAATAGTTGATTCAAAGATTTAAATGATAAACAATTCCACTTCTTCGATTGTTAGACGTAAGATAATAAATAGTTAAAATGCTTTTATTTATTTTTTATTGAAAAACAGATATTGAAGATTTAAATGATAGTATAGGAGATAAATACCAATCTGTAAATAGCATGATTATGGTGGAAGCCTCTAACATAGGACCTGAGTTAGTGTTTACCCCAAACAGAGATATTTTAAGAAAAATGTTTGAAGAAATAATTAGCAAAAGTGTATAAAGAATATGCAACAAGCATAAAATGCTTGTAAATGTACAAGAACTTAGAGATTATATTAGGATTGAAGATTCAGAAGATAGAAATGGTGAAGATAGTATAGATTTATATCAGATAGTACATAACGATGGCTTGTATAAGCAAAGTCAAGTAGACATAATAAATGTATTAAAAATTAATTTAACTATTTAACTAAATATCTTATTAAAATTATAAACTAATTAAAGGTTTTAAATAAATCTTTTGATTTCGTTGAAGAATACTCTAAGATTCTTATTCCATTTATTTAGATATACATCACCAATAGCAATATTAATTGGAATTAAGTAGAATAAATGGAAAATGAATTCTTTAAAAAAATGATTGAATAATTCCGTGAAGAGGATAACAGATTTTAGTCAATAGAACCTAATAAAGAGCTTGGTTTAATCTTTTTCGATAACATTCATCTCAAAGATAAAATCAAAAATATTTCTATCAATTGCTTGACAGAATTGACCAAAATGATGCCAGATCTGCTTTTTAAAAAGGCTAAAAACTTTTATACAAAGTTGCATGCATTCAATTAAAAGATTGCCCTTGCACCAGTCAATGTAGAATAGTTTGTTTAGTATAATGAATATATCTCCGAAATTAGCAATAATCTTGAAGAAATGACTTCAGAAAATGCAGAAATTACAGAATTATTATTTTTAATAGAAGAATATAAAATTAAATTACCTGAATCCTATAAAGCAAAAGTCAAAGAAGCTTCTCAACAAATTTAAACTCTCAGAACAAAAATAAGTGATGCATAAGCTTCTGCAGATTAAAATTCTAAAAAATTCTAAAAATAACTGGATTAAATGATTCCAGGAATCAAGGAAGATGTAAAAGAGCTCGAAGAATAGCTCATTAAAGTTGATTATGCTAAAGTAGAAGCAAATATAAACTAAACATGTGGCCAAATACAAGAAGTAAATTTGAAAAAAAATAATTTTTGTTAAATATTTTTGATAAAATAAAGATCAGTAACAGATTGGCAGAAATCGTTAAGCAATCTAAGAAAATTAACGATTTCTAAATTGCTATGTAATTGGAATTAACTATATTTGAGAAACTAGACATATTCGTTAGAGAATTTGGTATGATAGAAAAATTATGGATGAGCAGAAAGGAGTGGAAGAGAGAATACGATAGATGGGATATTTAGCCATTTTTCGAAATAGATATAGAAGATGTCAGTAATAAGGTTGAAAAACTAGGAAAAGCTGCTAATCACTGTGCAAAAGAAATGGAAACTAATGAAGTTGCTCGTGTTTTTAAAAATTAAGTTGAAGAATTTAGAAATGTCTTATCCCTATTACAATCCCTCAGAGACCCAGCTTTGTAAGAAAAGTGGGATGATGTAAGGAGCTTAATAAAGGAAAATAGAGCATGGGAAAAGGAGCCATTCCATGACATAAAAGATTCTATGTACACTCTAGGATGGATTAATAAACATAATTTAGTTGAATATAAAGATAAAGTAGCTGAAATTGCATTAAAGGCTGCCAAGGAAGCTGAATTAAATAAGATGTATAAGGGAGTTGAAGCATTCTGGACTATGAGTTAATTGACAGTCAATAGCTATAAAGACAGATAAGATGCTTCTATTTTGGGAAATAACGATGATTTAATTGCTAAATTGGATGATGCTCTGTTAACTGTAAATAACATATTAGCTTCAAGATTCGTTGAATCAATTGCTACTAAAGTTGAAGCTAAACAAAAAAGTTTAAGGTATATTATTTATTAATTTAATTATTTTTAAAAATATTATTTCTATTAGATAATTTTAAGAATTAATGGATGAGTGGATGATGCACTAAAGAAATTGGCTTTATTTAGAGCCTATTCTTACTTCTCCTTATGCTGTTAAGACAATGGCAAAAGAAGTAAAAAGTTTTAATAACGCTGATGCCTAGTGGAAAAGAATCATGAAAGCAGCAAGAGATAATCCTTAGCTAAGAAGATTCAATGATGAATTAATCAAGACAACACTTACAACTTTAAGAAATAACAATGCTGCTTTTGAAATTATACAAAAAGCTTTAGATGAACTGCTTGAGAAAAAGAGAGAAATCTTCTAAAGATTCTTCTTCTTATCAAATGATGAATTATTGGAAATTTTAAGTTAAGCTAAAAATATCAAGTCGGTCATTCCTCACTTACGTAAATGTTTTGAAAATATTGTCAAGTTAGAGTTCGACCATTTGGACACTGCAGTGTAAATATTTATAAAACCATTTAAAATAATAAAATCCTTTTTTTTTATATCTTATTTTTAGTGGAATGATATCTGCTGAAGGTGAAAAGGTTGTCTTAAAAGGTTACTAAGCAAGAGGTGAAGAAGTTGAAAACTGGTTTAAAGATTTGGAAGAAGCTATGAAAAATTCATTGAGATATGTGATGAGATCTGCTCTTCTTAAGTACGATGATGAAGACACCCAAAGATCTCAATGGGTAATATCTTTCCCATCATAAGTCGTCCTTGCTCTTGATGCTATATATTGGACAAAAATCACAGAAGAAAATTATTTAAGTCCAGAATCTGAAGGCGATTTATACGATTGGCTGGAAGGGTAGATGTGTAATAACTTCTAAAATTTTTAATTCTATCAATAAATAAATAATTATTCTTTAAAATTATAAAAATAGCCTAATTAGAAGAATTAACTACTTTAATCCGTGGTGATCTAACTGAATTATAAAGAAAGACCCTATCAGCTTTAGCTGTATAAGATGTTCATTACAGAGATATCATAGAAGAGCTAGCTTAAGAAGGAGTCGAATCAACAACTGAATTCAAATGGCAGTAGTAACTAAGATTCTACATTGAAGATGAATCTATTTGGTGCAAATAAGTAAATGCTAAACTTCCTTATGGCTATGAGTATCTTGGTGCTTCTCCAAGATTGGTTATTACTCCATTAACAGATAGATGTTGGATGACTATAACTGGAGCTCTTGGTATCAAACTTGGAGCAGCTCCTGCTGGCCCAGCTGGAACTGGTAAAACAGAATCTTGCAAGGATTTGGCAAAAGTAAGAAAAAAATTAATATTTAAAAAATCTTTCAATTTATTTTATGAATTAATTTTAGGCACTTGGTAAATATTGTATTGTTTTTAACTGCTCAGAGTAAATTAATGTAAAAATGATGGAAAAATTATTCATGGGTCTTTGCTACACAGGATCATGGACTTGTTTGGATGAATTTAACCGTATTGATATCGAAGTATTATCAGTTATAGCTCAATAAGTACTAACAATTAGAGAGGCTCATTTAAGATTATCGGCCTCTTCTGGAAACGATAGATAATTCAACTTCTTTGGAAAAATGGTAACTTTAGCTTTAACTGCTGACATGGGTATATTCACTACCATGAATCCAGGTTATGCTGGTAGAACAGAACTTCCTGATAACTTAAAAGTACTCTTCAGACCTGTAGCTATGATGGTTCCTGATTATGCACTTATTGCAGAAATTATGTTATTTGCTGAAGGTTTTTCAAATGCAAAGGATTTATCACGTAAAATGACTAAACTATATACTCTAAGTTCTGAATAACTTTCATAGCAGGATCACTATGATTTTGGTATGAGAGCTGTAAAGAGTGTTTTGGTCATGGCTGGTGCATTGAAGAGAGCTGAGCCAAATATTTCTGAAGATATTGTTCTTATTAGAGCCATGAGAGATTCAAATGTGCCTAAATTCTTGAGTCATGATATTCCTCTATTTAATGCAATTGTTTAAGATTTATTCCCTGGATTAGATATTCCTCCTATCTAAAATAAATAATTGGAAGATGTCATTAGACAAAATATATCTGATGAAAACCGTAATTTATTTTTAAACTTAATTTAATCAATTAATTAATTAATATTTAATTTTTAAATTTTATATTAGTTGTGCCTTGTAATACATTCATAGAAAAAGTTTTGCAATTCCATGAAACTCTTAAAGTACGTTTTGGAGTTATGGTTGTAGGACCAACTATGGGAGGTAAATCTAAAGTTATAGATGTTTTGAGATTGTCATACTGTGAGCTTAACAAAAGAATAAGAGGTGATAATGAAAAAACTGTTAATAACCATCCTGACTTTTAAAATATTTAAATGACTGTTCTCAATCCTAAGTCTATTTCTATGGAGGAATTATATGGAGACTTTGATCCTCTTTCATAAAGTTGGACTGATGGTTTGGCCTCAACAATCATGAGGTAATACGTATCTCTTGAATCAACTGACAAAAGATGGGTAATTTACTTTATGATCTTCATATATGTCATTAAGTTTTTTTCTTTTTAAAGGTAATTTTTGATGGCCCTGTCGATGCTCTGTGGATTGAAAATATGAATACAGTGCTTGATGATTCAATGACACTCTGCTTATCAAATGGTGAGAGAATCAAACTTAAGCCATAATTAAGAATGCTCTTTGAAGTATAGGATCTCGCTGTTGCCAGTCCTGCCACAGTAAGTAGATGTGGTATGGTCTATATAGATCAAGATGTTGTTGGCTATGAAGCTATTGTAGAAAGTTACTTTTAGAAAGAAATATTCCCCCTTTTGAAGAAAGAATAGCACAAAGAATAACTGAAGAACAGTTTCAATATTAGTTTCAAAAAGATTCTAAATCATATGAAGAAGAAAAAGATTTAACAAACTATACCAACAGTTGAAGCTAACATTGCGATTTCAGTTTGTAGAAATATAAAACTTATATTAGAACTAGATTAAAAAGATAATCTTGAAAATGAAAACTCTAAGAAAGCTATTGATAAGTTACTTCTCTGGGCTATAGGCTGGGGTATTGGAGCAACTGTTTCTACATTGAACATTAAAGAGTTCTAAGATGGTCTCTCAGAAGCATTCACTGCTGATATTTCTCCTCGTGGATCTCTATTTGAGTATTATTACACTATCGGTAAGGGAGAAGGAGATTTTATTGCTTGGTCAGAAATTATTCCTGAATTTTCATATTCCCCTGAAATGTCTTATTTCTAACTTGTGGTACCTACAACTGACACAGTTTGTTATTCATGGTTCTTAGATAAAAATATATAACTTTTGCATCCTATTTTCTTAACAGGTAAAAGTCATCAATTAATTAATTTATCTAATTTGAATTGTATTTCTATATAGGTTTAACTGGTACAGGTAAGACTATTATCACATCTAGTACTCTTAACACTTTGAAAGATTAAAATTTAGTTGCTACTTGTGAACTTACTTTTTCAGCAAAAACTTCTTCCTTATCAACCTAAGGTTAAATTGAAAATAAGCTACAGACTCAAAGAAAAAATAAAAAGGTAATTTTAATGCCTCCTCCTGGACGTAAGCTTGTTGTATTCATAGATGATATTAACATGCCTTCTGTAGAAATATATGGAGCCTAACCTCCAATTGAATTATTGAGATAATTTATGGATTACAAAGGCCTATATGATAGGAAAACTTTACAATGGAAGTAAATTGATTCAACTGTCTTAATTGCTGCTGCTGCACCTCCTGGAGGTGGTAGAAGTTCTCTCACTGCAAGGTATAGTTTAAACAAATTTAATAGAATAAAATAATAACTTATTTTTGAAATTAGATTCACAAGACATTTTTCAATTATGACAGTACCAGATAGCTAAGCTGCTTCATTAACACACATTTTTAGTAGTATCTTCAATAACTTTTTGAGAGTGAAAAAATTCAGAAAGGAAATTACTGAGCTAGGAGAAAATGAAAGTGTAGTTAATGCTACTTTGAATATTTATAGATACATATCTGAAGAACTTTTACCTACACCTTCAAAGCAGCATTATGTTTTTAATTTAAGAGATGTGTCAAAAGTATTTTAAGGTCTTCTATTAGCAAAACCCCACATTATATTGAATGTAGATTCTCTTGTTAAATTGTGGATTCACGAAATGTCCAGAGTCTTCTGTGATAGATTGATTAACGAATAAGACAGAAACTGGTTTATGGATACAATTTAAAAATAACTTTTTATCAACTTTAAACTAGACTGGAAAAAAGTAAATAAAATCTTTTAGAGAAGCATTTAAATTAAAAATTTTTTTATTACATAAAAAAGGAGGATGTATTTAACGAGGTACCTCTTATTTTCTCTGATTTTTTGAAGCGTAATATCGAATTTGAAGACAGGGTTTATGAAGAAGCTAAGGATTTCTAAAGACTAACTAAGATTATTGAAGAATATATGAATGAAGATACTAAGCTGCAATTAATTCTTTTCAAAGATGCTGTCGAGCATATGTCTAGAATAGCCAGAGTTCTTAGTTTACAGAGAGGACATTTCATGATTGTTGGTGTTGGTGGCTCAGGAAAGAAGAGTATCACAACTCTCGCATCAGCTCTTGCTGGGTGTGAGTTAGATAGTATTGAACCCAAAAAATAATATGGTAAAAAGGAATTCAAAGAGGATTTACTTAGAATGATGAAGAAAGTAGGTATTGAAAATAAGGTAAATTTTTTTATTTATTATTGTGATTAATGAAAAATTAATTAATCTTGCGAAAATAAAAAAAGAGATTAACTTTCTTATTTGCAGACACTCAAATACTTTAAGAAGGATTTTTAGAGGATGTAAATAATTTGCTAAATAGTGGTGAAGTTCCTAATATGCTTCAAAAAGATGAAGTTGAAGATATTATTTAGTAGTTATCTTAAGAAGCTAGGGAGCACAAGATTACAGACATATACTAGTATTTTGTAGAAAAAGTGAGAAGCTAAATGCATATTGTTTTGGCACTTTCTCCTGTAGGTAACGCCCTTAGAGTTCGTATGCGTATGTTCCCTTCTATTGTAAACTGCTGTACTATTGATTGGCTTAATCCCTGGCCTTAAGAAGCACTTATGACAGTGGCAAAGATGTTCTTGGAAAATTTAGAATTCGAAGGACTTACGAAAGAGAGAAAAGAATAACTTTCAGAGTGTTGTGTGTTTGTACATTAATCTGTAGAAGAAATGACTGAAACCTACTTCAAAAATTTAAAGAGAAGAGTTTATATCACCCCTAAAAGTTATATCGATCTTATAGAAAGTTATAAATAATTAATTAAAATGAAATAAGATTAACTTGAGAGCTAAAAAAATAAACTTTCAAATGGTCTTTATAAATTAAAAGAAGCTAATGACACAATTGCCTCATTAAAAGAAAAACTTACTGAGTTGCAACCTGTTTTGTAAAAGAAAACAATTGAGCAGGATGAATTGATTAAAAAATTAGAAGTAGATAGGTAAAATAAGCGTTAATAAATTAAATTTTATTTATAAATAAATATTAACTAAATAAATAGCTATGAAGCAAATAAAGTTAGATCAGTTGTCAAGGAAGAAGAAGCATAAGTAAATGAAAAAGCTTCTGAAATCAGAGAAATGAAAGTTGAAGCAGATAAAGTTCTTTAGGCTGCTCTTCCTATGCTTTAAGCTGCCAATGAAGCACTAAATATTTTGGATAGAAAAGTTATTTCTGAAATTAAAGCTAATAATAACCCTAATGAGCTTGTTCTCTTTACACTTTAATGTGTTTGTTGTTTATTTGATGAAAAGTAAGATTGGGATAGCATTAAGAAGGTATTTATTCTTTTTTTGTATTTATAATATATCCTTCAACTCTTTTTTTTAATCAGCTTCTTGCAGATCCAAATTTGGTATCTCGTATGAAAAACTTAGATGTTTACAATATAAGTCCCAAAGTAGAAAAAAATATTAAGGCAAAAATAGCAACAAATGAAAATTTCAACCCTCAAAAATTAGCAACTATCTAAGCAGCTGCAAAGGCTATTTGTGAATGGGTTATGTAATTCTTTTTGATTTAATTTTTAAACTTAAGTTTTTAATTATGAAATTTTATTTAAAAGTGCCGTTGCCAACTTTACAGATGTCAATAAATAAATTCAATCTAAAAAGAATGTTGTAGATAAAATGAACTAAGAGTTAGATAAGGCTAACAAAGAACTTAGTGTAAAGCAAGCTGAATTACAAAAAGTAGAAGATAAAGTTGCTAAACTTGAAAAAGAATACAACGATAACAAATTAGAAAAAGATAGATTAGACAAAGAAATTCAAACCACTGCAGATAGACTTGTTAGAGCTGAAGAACTTACTTAAGGTTTAGCAGATGAATAAATTAGATGGAAAGAAACAGTGGGAACTTTAGGAGATCAAATTAAACTTTTAGTTGGAGATGTTTTCGTAGCAGGTGCCTCTGTGACTTATTATGGACCTTTCCCTGGTACTTATAGAGAAGATTTAGTTAAATAGTGGCTCTAAAAATGTGAATAAATGGAGATACCCAAAAGTGAAAATTATGTTCTTGAAAACGTACTTGGAGATCCAGTCGAAGTAATTTTTCTCAAAAAAGGAATATTTTATTTAAATAATTTTTAAATTTAGATAAGAAATTGGAATGCAAAAGGATTACCATCAGATAGCGTTTCTATTAATAACGGTATTTTAGTTCATTCATGCAGAAATTATCCTCTTTTAATAGATCCACAACTTTAAGCTTCTAAATGGATTAAAAATTTGAATTCTGAATCTAACATGATGTGCACTAAAATGAGTGATGAAAAGCTTTTCTAGACCTTAGAAGTTTGTATAAGAATGGTATTTATTTTCATTGATTAATTTGTGTTAAAGACAAAAATTGATTTTTTTATTTAATAGGGTTAACCATTGATGATAGAAGATATGGAAGATACTCTTGATACCATACTAGAGCCTCTTTTACTGAAATAGTTTACTATTAATAATAGAAGAAAAATGATAAAAGTTGGTGATGCAGATGTTGAATTTGATAATAATTTCAAGCTTTACATTCAAACAAAGAGTCCTAATCCAAACTTTTTGCCAGAAATATTTATTAGAGTGACTGTAATCAATTTTACTGTTACTGAATTAGGTTTGGAGGAATAATTATTAGGAGATGTTGTAAGGAAGGAAATGCCAGAAGTAGAATTAACCAAAAATGAGCTTATTATCTCTATTGCTCAAGGTAAAACTTAGTTAAAGAAAAATGAAGACAGAATTTTAGAATTACTGACTAGCTCTAAAGGTATGATTCTTGATGATGTTGAATTGATTGAAAATTTGAAGCTATCAAAGAAGACTTCAGAAATTGTGAAAGAAAAGATTACTGAAGCTGAAGAGAAGAAAGTAGAAATAGAAGAAGCTCGTTCATAATACAAGCCTGTTGCTCAAAGAGGCTCTTATCTTTACTTTGTTATTGCTGATTTAGCTTTGATTGATCCTATGTACTAATTCTCATTAGCCTATTTTAGCAGATTATTTAATTTGATTATTGAAAATTCAGAAAAGAGTCCAGAAATTACTCAAAGAGTTGAGATATTAATAAATTCAATAACACAAACTATTTTCTTAAATGTGTGTCGAGGCTTGTTCAACGATCACAAGCGTATATTCTCATTTTTAGTCTCTGCTACCATTTAGTAGAGAAGTGGAATCATCACTAAACAAGAGTGGAATCTCTTTTGTAGAGGTGCTCCAATACTCAAAGAAAAAGCTCCAGCAATTCCTCAGGGACTTTAAATCAACTAAAAAACATGGAATAGTATATTTAGTGCTTCTTAGGTAATTTCTAACTTTGGTACATGGTTCTAGAATTTAAAAGAACATTATAAAGAATGGGATGCATGGATTAATTGTGCTGAACCTTTTACTACTCCATTCCCTAAATAATTTAAGGGTGAAATTACACCATTTTAACGCTTAATTCTTGTAAGACTTTTAAGAGAAGAGAAATCATTGTATGCTATGACTTACTATGTAGAATAGTCATTAGGGTCTAAATTTTCATCAAACAATGCAGCAATAATGGAAGAGGTAATAATTACTTAAAACATATTCAAATTATTTATATATTTATACTGATTTTGATTAATAAATAAATAATAGGTTTACAAAGATACAGATTATAAAACACCTTTGATTTTCATTTTATCTTAGGGTGCTGATCCTCTATTAAATTTACTGAGATTCGCTAAGGATACGAAAATCTCTTCTGAAAAGTTAGTGGTAATATCTTTAGGTTAAGGCTAAGGACCAATAGCTCAAAAAGCTATCGAAAACGGTTTGAAAAATGGTGGATGGGTAATATTACAAAACTGCCATTTAGGTAAATCTTTTATGCCAAAGCTTGAAGAGCTGATAGCAGGATTTAATAATGAAGATTAAGAATTTAATACCGAATTTAGATTATTCTTAACATCTATGCCTTGTGATTATTTCCCTGTATCAATCCTGTAAAACGGAGTTAAGCTTACTAACGAACCGTAAAATCAATTAAATTATTTAAAATTTATATATTAAAATTATTTATTTAATATTAGACCAAAAGGAATAAAATCAAACATCTAAAAGAGCTATGCAGAACTATCAGAAGAAAGATTTGAAAGCTGCACTAAAGAAAAACCATGGAAGAAATTGCTTTATTCTATATCATTCTTCCATGCCATTATTTAAGAAAGAAGAAAGTTTGGTCCTTTGGGATGGAATATTAGATATGAATTTAATGATTCAGATTTGGATACAAGTATCACTATTCTGCGTGATATGTTAGAAGTGAATGAAGAAATTCCTTGGGATGCACTCAGATATGTTATAGGTTAAATTACTTATGGTGGTCGTGTTACAGATGATTGGGACAGAAGAACATTGATGGCTATTCTAAATAGTTTCCTTAATGAAGAAGTGCTTTTAGATACTTATAAATTTTCTGAGTCAGGAATTTATATGTCATCTAAAATAGGAAAGCTGAAAGATTATAGGTAATTTATTATTTTATTTTTATAATATTAAAATTATTTATTTATTTATAACAAAAGATCATTAATTGAAAAATACCCTGCCTTTGAGTCACCTGAAGTGTTTGGTATGCACGAAAATGCTAACATAACATTCTAGCTGAAGGAATCAAAAATAGCTCTTGACACCATCTTAAATATGCAGCCAAGAGAAAATACTGCAAGTGGAGAAGGTTAGAAGACTCCTGACCAAATTATAGAAGAAATGTGCAATATGTTTGAAGAAAGATTGCCTCCTCCTCTTAAGAAAGAAGTATTCACTTCTAAAAAACCTGAATCAATCGATTCTTTGCAAGTTTGCATGGTAAAAATAAATAAATAAATTCATAAAATTTATTCAAATAAAAATTCCTAATTTTATTTATTCGTTTTAAATATTCATGTTTCATAAAAAAATAAAATAGAATCAAGAGTGTGAGAGATTTAACAAATTGCTTTCAGTTATGAAATAGAGTTTGAGTAATTTGAAAAAAGCTATTAAGGGTGAGGTTGTTATGAGCGCCGAACTTGATAAGACATATACAAGTATGATGAATAACACAGTGCCTGAAATGTGGAAGGCTCGCTCTTATCCTTCGCTTAAGCCTTTGCAAAGTTGGTTTGAAGATCTTGTAAAGAGAACTGAATTTTTCCGCTAGTGGCTTAACTTGGATGGAAAGCCCAAAGTGTATTGGCTTCCCGCTTTCTTCTTCCCTCAAGGTTTCTTAACATCAGTTTTGCAAAACTTTGCTCGTTAAAATAAAATTGCAATTGACGTGCTCAATTTCGGATTTAAATTTAGTAAATATACTGAACCTGAATAGGTAATAGAAATGTCTATTACTGGAGCTTACATATACGGTCTATTTATAGAAGGCTGTTAATTTGATGTAAGTAAGGGTATTTTAGAAGATAGTAGTCCTGGTGTAATGTATACTTCAGCTCCTGTAATTGAATTTGTGCCTAACGAAAATTATTAGTCAAAATAAGAAGATTATAGAATGCCTGTATATAAAACAACTTCAAGAGCAGGTACACTTTCAACAACCGGTCATTCAACTAACTTTATTATAGGTATTGATACACCAACTAAAAAGAAGCCAGAATATTGGATTTTAAAGGGAGCTGCTTATACTTGTGCTTTGAATGATTGATAAATTGATTTAAAACGAACGAAAGAAACAAAGAACGAATAAAATTAGTTTGAATAATTTATTAAACCAAATTTAATAAAATTCTATTTATTTGCATTAAAATACTTTATACTGAATTTTTTATATTTTAATTTTGTTTAATCTCAAAATTAGGTAATAAATTAAATTAAATAAAATTGAAATAAATTATTAATTTATTTAATTTGAATTAGCTTTAAATCAATAAAATAGATTTTTGTAAAATAAATTTGCTTTGAATTTCTTTTGTTTTCGAATAAAATAATTTTTGGTAGAATAATTTGGAATAACAATTTAAATCTTTAAATATTTTAATTTTTTTTAGTTTAAATTTATTCATCCCTTATGATGAAGACTCATAAATAAAAAAATAATGTCTTTTAGAGTGTATTTATTAACAGTAAAATTACTATACTACAAAAAAATAAATAAGATCCAAACGCTTCATATAATGAAAATCAGAGTAATCAAAAATACATTAATTAATAGGAAAATTATTTAAGAGATAAAAATTAATAGTAAAATAAAAAACTTAAATGATATACTATATGAAAGTATTTTTATATTTTTTAAATTGGAATATCATGGCTTATATATTTTTGTACTATCTACTACTTTAGTAATATAAGTAAAAATATTTTTAGAGATTGGTTTTAAAATTATAAAATTCGTTAATAAAGAAAGCCAATTAAAAAGAAGTAATAATTTACCAAGAATTAACAATAAGAGCTTAATTATTAATCTTAAGGAGTAAAATACAAATAATTATTAGTATAATATAGATATAGTAATGTCAAGTTAAGGATCTGTTACTATTTAGTTATTTATTTTTTTTATAAATATATGCCTTGCCATTTTTGATAAAGTGACTCATATATTGTATTATTTTAAGCAAACAATTTAAGCCTAGTACCTTTAAGGTTTGATATTATTTTTTCTGTTTGCTTCTCCTATAGTATAGGCTATATCATGGGCTATTATTTTAGGTTAGATTAGTTTAGGAGAAAAGTTTTCAGAGAATGTAAAAGTAAAAAGCGCTAAGACTCAATTTTAGTATTATAGATTAATTGTCTTTGAAGGATTTTTTTACATTTTAAGGCTTATCTTTTGCACTATTAAGCAGATTCCTTTATCAATTTTTATTACCATACTTTAAGAAATAAAGATGTTCCCTATTGCTTTATTTGGATATTCATATTTAAAATACAAAGCTATCATTACAACAACTATAATGAATAATATCGCTCCTCTAATTGAAGAAAAGAGGAAGCTTTAGCTATAGCAGAAGGAAAAAGAAATTAACTATTCATAAACTTTAGAAAAAATTCAATAAACTAGAAGAAGAGGATTAAACCAAATTAATAACTTTTAAGATGCTTTAAATCAGTATGATTAGAGTTCAAATAAAGCTAATTTAAATTAATCAATAGCAGAATAATAAGAAAAGAACTTAGATATGTCAATGCAGCATCGATAACATCTGAGATAAAGCTTGTTAGAAAAAAATTATGAAAAGAAATAAACGAAAAACAGCTAAAAAACTAGCATAAAAAGCAATTTTTTTGAAAATTCTGATTATCATGTTAATTAAAAAGATATTTAATTCAATTAACAAAGTCCTCCAAAATAATTAAATAATCATAATATTCTCCTAAAGCAGTGTAACTAACTTATTTTCATTTTTTTAAAAGAAATAAAATTTTAAAATATCTAAATTAGAAGGTTCAAACGAAAACAGCATAAATATTCCTATGAATATCCTCGATAAATATTCAAATTAGCATTAACAGTAAACATATGAATCAAAAAATTCAGTTGTGAGCTCTTAAGATGAAGAAGATGATAGCAATTATATGTAGGAAGATGACGATAAAGATGAGGAATCTTAAAGAAAAGGATCTCTTTATGTAAATAAATTAAAATAAGGAGGTTCTGAAAAGAAAGGCTTTGCTAGAATTGTACAAATTGTTCAACAAAAGAATATTGAAATGACTGGAAAAAATAGTTAATTTGCTCCAGGAAATAGCAGAAAATCTAATATCAATGGGAAAATTTTTAACTAATAAGAGGATGAAGCAAATAGTTAATTAAAACATAATTTAGATGTGCTTCTAGACGCAAATAGTCAACCTAGTCTTTAAATGCTAGTGTTCGATAAGAATTTAAATAATTTTTTCTTGATAACCAATATCATTTAAACTTTTTTTGAAGCCCTTCCTTTGAGTATTTTACAATACATAAATAACGAATTAGGTCATCTTTGGTATTACAAAGACGGAAGCTACAATTATTTAGTCATACTGTCATTTTTTTCTAGTTGTTTAATGATATTTCAATTTGGTGTTTAGCTTATTTAGTTGCTTTACAGTAAAAATATTTCCATATTTTACTAAACCATGCAGTATCTTAATAACTATAATCTTTAGAATTAAAAAAAAAATTCTTCTTCATACAATCTTGGATCCCTATTTCCAATGACATCTACAGTCAATATTTAGAAAATAAATTAGCTTGAAAAATTAAGTAATTTGTCTTAAAATGCTTTAGACAAGATTACCATTCTAACTATATCATTGCCTGACAATGCAGTTTATTTCGAGTACATTATGCATTTAACAAAAGAATCAATTGTTAAAATAAAAAATGTATAGCAGCTGCATTTAAATTTTAAGTAAAATTAAGTTTAATTATCATGAAATAATTTTCAAACAAAAAAAATTAGAAATAATAGGATAAAAGAATTAACAAAATTGATAGAAATTTTAAATTTAGCATTCAGCTAAAAATTGTTAAGCACAATAAGTTTAAAGCTTTAAGATAATATTTATGATATTAAAAATTCTAATGAGTTGGTAAATAGGGTTCAACTTTGGGAGTACAACAAAATTAAAAAGGAATCTGTGAAAATAAATAAAATAATAATAGAGTAAGTTTATTTAGCTAACTTTTAATATTTATTTTATCATTAAAAAAAAGTGACTATCAAACGATAATTGGGATCAAGAATGATGCTCTTTTGCAAGAAAAATACCGTGTTTATAAAGAGCTTATTCATATTCCTAAGAATCAGCAAAAGAAATATAAATTTTACTTTTAGTCTAAGTAAAATTAAAGCTAATATTGCAAAATATTTATTTATTTTAATATATTATCATTAAAAGTTCTGAATAAATGAGTTATAAAACATTCACTAACATTTTATCTTATGTTTTGAATTACTTATAGAGTCTAAAAAACTTTTAAGTAATCCTCTTTTAAGTCTTAGGTGAATAATCAAAATATTAAAAATTATTACATGAATTTAATAAATGTACTTCATTAAATTAATATGTAATTGGCACTGAGTAAATAATTTTAATTATTATTAAAAAAGCTCATTTAAAATTTAAAAATAATTAGAGATAATGGTATTTTGGGTTCTTATGGCTTTGACTTAGAAGTAAAAAACTAAAAAGTTGTTTTTACCAAGTAGAATTTGTAAGGTTTATTTATTTTATTAGATTTAATATTTATTCATTTTTCTTAATTTAAAGTGACTTATAGCTCGATTCTTAGATTCTTATTTTAGACTATGAACTTCAAAAATATAATTTAAAAAATAATATTGAATAATTTACCCTTAACTACCAGCCTTAGATTATGTACAAAACTGTTGACAAAGAATAAAGCAATGATTGCTTAATCTCAAGAGGCATTGATATTATAACAAAATATACAAAGGTTTCCAGCTTGGAATTTATTTTAAGAGATTGCGTTTTGTAACATAGATTCCTGGTGAGCATGAAAGATATATTTACATTCCTTCCTAAATTATAAGCATTGTGTTTTGACTTTAGGTAATTAATAAAAAAATAATTTATATTTATAAACAAATATATTTATTAAACAGTACCTGCACTTTAGATTCAAGATTTTTGCATACTTTCTTACTTGGATTTTAATTTTCAAGCAATAAATTGTTAAAATTCTCCATAGACCTTTCAGGGTAATTTATAAATTAAAATATCATTTCATTTTAAAAGCATTTAAAATAGGGTTTACTTTGATGAATCAATTTTTTTGCTCTTTAAAAACACTATAAAATAAATGGAAAACTTGGAAGATTTAACTATCAAAATGAAGTAAATAAAATATCTCCTCAAAATAAATAAATAAATTAAAAATTTTATTGGAAATTAGGGGAATACCTTTTGACCACTTTTAAGATAATAAGGCCTTAATTTAAAATTCTGAGAAATTAAGATCTATAGAAATCTAGCTTTGGTAATTATCTATTTTTCTTTGCTAATCCACAAAATATATTTAAGTCGACTATTCAAATTTTATTAGGGAAAATTCAAAAACTGAATAAAAGGAATAACCATCCATAAATTTATTTGATGGAACATTAAGTTATCTTCAAAAAATAAAATTAAGCTTAAGGTAAATCAATAAATTTGTTTTTTAAGTACTTTAAAAATGTATTCTTTAAATAAGGAAAAATCAGATAAAAGATGATAATTTGTAAACTTTAGTGAAAAAAATCAAAACTCCAGAAAGTCTAGAAGAACTTTATCTTGATTATTAAAATAATTTAATTGAGGGTAATAGTCTTTAATAATTTTCATCTGATTTGTAAATAATGTGCAATCTAAATCATCTAACTATTAACTTACAGTAAATGAAATTTTCAATTCAAACCAAAATAAATATTAATAAAAATTAACACATAATAAATAAAATAAAGTTAAAACTAAGTTGGGGATTTTTTCTGCAAGCAAATCTTAAGAGGATGTATTGCTTTACAAAACTGCAAGAAGATGGAATTAGATTTCGGGTATTAATTTTATTTGAAGCTTTGATATTTTGAAATTAAATTATTCCATTTAAAATATAGTTTCAATAATATTACAGACGATTCTGCCATTGATTGGATTAAAAATCTCAATTTACTTCCTTGCACTTAATTTTTTTCATTGAATTTTGAGTAAATAAATAAAATTAGCTAAATTTACATTTTTTTTAAATATAGATTTTTAATATAATTAAAGGAATAATCATTTGACAAATTAATTTATTGATGTTTTTTGTAGCAAGTTGTAAAATTTACAATAATTTGCTTCCTACTGCATATTAATTAAGTAAAATTTATTTGCTTTTAATTTTAGCTAAATTTATTTTTTAAATACTTTTAATTCAGCAATAATAAATACAATGTAGAAAAAGTAAAGGAGTATATTGTTACTTCTTTAATTATTCAAAACTAGAGCAGGTATATTGGTTATCTGTGAGTTGTTCTCTCTCATTTTTTCAAATATTTAACAAATTATTAAACTAAAATTTTATAAATTTATTGTTATTTTAATTATTTTCTATAATATATTTGCTGTAAATATTTTAATAAATGAAGTTTTCTTTTTAGAAAGAGAAGAAAAATTAATAATGTAGATAAAAAACATAGGAAAATTTTTTGATTAATTTACTGCTTATTCGATATGTATTGAAAGATACTTATTAATTTATTAAAATATATTTTGGATTGAAATAATAACAGTGTTTGTATTCTAATTATTAATATTAAGTTAAATTTAATCTTGACCGATCAGAAATAAAGTGTTATCACTAATTTTAGAGGTATTTCTAAATAATTACAAGATTTATAAAAATTCTTTATGAGAGTCAATAAAATTTTAGATTCTCACTTTGAAGATTAGATATATTAATTTATAAATTGTTCCCTAAGATAAATCCACTCACTAAAAACAAAGAAAAATTTGATAAAGCCTTTAAAATATAAATACTTTTTTTGATTTGTGAGTATATTTTGAAAAGGATTACCACTTTTACTAATTATTATAAAATTTTGGAAAAAAAAAAAATTCAAAAAGAAGTATAAAAATAAAAAAATGAATAAATAATTAGTTTTATTTTTGGTTTCAGTCTTGGCTTTAGTCGGTCTTTCCATCTTCATGCTTTAACCTCTTGGTGATCATACTGACTGTTTCTAATACCACGATTCTAATAAATGCACTCATATGGGATGTAAATGGGATGGAAGCATGTGCCATGATTCTGATTCTGAATTCTTCTTAAAATCATCAGGCTAATATAAAAAACATAGCTGCCCAAGCACTAGCAACCCAGAAGAATGTGCAAAATCTGGATGCTAATTTGTTGCACACATTTGTGTTGACATGGATTGAAAAAAATCATTAATGATATGAAAATATTTCAACAATAAATTATACTATTATAAAAAATCTATTTCAAAATATTGTAATGCATTTATATTTTACTTTGCAAGTTTAAGTATCATAATTTTGTTTGACTCATATAATAATTACTTATTCCAAACGTTATTAAATCATTTTTTAGCTAATGTTTTTAAACTTGTTGTCTATATTTTAAAATGTGATTTTTTTTTCAAATTTATGAAGAAATAGCATAAACCAATAGTAAAAATTATTATTAGAAAGACTATATCAAAAACCAAATGTATATTTTTTATAAAAGAAAAAATTGGCTAATCATATAAAAAATCAAATTTCTGAAAAGAATATGAATCATGAGAGAAAGGATAATCTAATTATTTTTTAATCTAAATAATAATTTACTTTTTTAATATTTTAATTTCAAAAAAATAAATTATTTTTATTATGATAATATCAATAATAAATTGATGAAAATTCTAATTTTTGAAGAAAATTTTTATCTTTTATTCAATTAAATTATTTTTTAAATCACTTTTTTGATTAAAACTTGTAAGTCCTTCCTAAGTAATAGTTAAAAAAAATATTTGCTTTTGTTTTAACAAATTAATTTAGATACTTTTTTTATTTTGAATGATGATTTATATGAATAGAATTGAAATTAATGTTTGCTTATTATTTAAAAAAATACTTTATTAAATTTAGGATAGTATTTTGATTAGAAATTAATTTATTAGTTAAATATAAAATTTATCTAGAGTTAAATCTAGTATTGAAAGTATAATTTTTGGAGGGTAAATATGAAAATATATTTGCTAATTTACATGAAATAAATATTTTAAATTAATAAATTGAAACCAAAAATAAGAAGGAAATTAAAGATTTTTAAAAACATAAATCTCTAATTTACACAAAATTTATAATAAATTAAATGATAATGAAATAATAAAGTAAAAATTTGATGTAAGTTTTAACTTGAGGATATGATTTTTATTGTAAAGAAAGAATACTTTTTGGAGGGTAAATATGAAAATATATTTACTAATTTACATAAAATAAATAAATTTTAAATTAATAAATTGTAACCAAGGATAAGAAGAAATTAAAGATTTTTACAAACATAAATCTCTTAATTTACACAAAATTTATAATAAATTAAATGATAGTGAAATAATAAATTTAAAATGTATTAATGAGTGACAGTATAGTTTGTTTAATTTCATTCAAATTAATAATAATTTTCAATAAAATAAGTAAATATTTAGGTGTTTATAAAATTCTTGATGAAAGTTCTATCTTGAGGATATGATTTTTAAATTAGATTTTAGGAAAAGTTCTGGTAGTCTATTTGCTTTTATATTAAAAAAATAAATTAACATTATTCTAATAAAATAAGTAAGATTACATTCGTTTCATGATTAATCATATTTTCTATTTTTTAAGGAAGAATATCAACAAAACACTGCCTTAGACTTTCGTTGAAAATATTTAATATGATTTCTGAAATTTAGTCATCTTATTTTGTACAGAAATATTTTAATTAATATTCTTCTTTATGTTTTTCTGATTCTTTTCTTGATGGGTCACTAAAAATTGATGGCTTTTTTTACAATAAACCTTAAGGATTTATTTGTTAATACACTTTTTCAATCTTATTGTAAATGTTGTTGAGATTAGGCTACTCAGTTTATATTTTTTTTATCAGCTATTTATTGTTGCAGTAAATTTTGTGGCAATCTAGATCAAAGAATATATGATCAGGATATCTGCTATAAACATCTTCTTTTTAAAGATGATGAGTCGAGTTGTTCACTCCCATTATAATAGGGACTGGGGAATCAAAAAGAGTTTACAGAGTCTCTGGAAGAAGGTAAATTATAGGATAAGGCCAGCTAAAGGGATAAATTAGCTACTCAAATGTATGGCTTATTAATTTATTATAATCATTTTAGTATTCATAAAAAAAAAATCATATTGTTTAATTTACATAGTTTGGGTAAGTAAGCATTTGTTTCTGCTATTAAAAATAACTGTGTTTTCTAAGAGTATTGCATGGAAAATAAACATCAAGTTTTATAAGCTTAAGTTAGAAAGAGATAATGCTAAACTCCATTTATGTGTGTGAATTTGTATTATTTTTTAACTTCCAATTACATATTTGTAAGGACCAGCCAGAGTGTCTATAATAATAATTTACTAAAAGTCTGTTATTTATATATCTCTATATGATAAAAACACATCTTGCATATTATCCTTTATTATTTATTAAACACAATCTCCATCTAGTTTGTAAATTATCTTTGGATCAGATGATTCAAACTCGCTAAATGAAGAAGTTCTTGATATTTTAATCTAGTCTTTTCATTAAATATAATATTTATTATTATTTGATTAAAATTTTATTTACTTAAAACATTTATAAGCATTTCTTAAAATAATTCCTAAAACGGATATAGAGTTACAAAGCAATACACTCTTTTGGTTTCCCAGAAGGATCTATTTTTATGATTTTCAACTTGGAAATTAGATTCATCAAAAGTCTTTTATTAATTATAAATTATTATTTTTTATTTCATTTTTAATTTATTTTTATTACGGTTTCTAAATAATCTCTATTTTTGAAGCAATAGCAGTATAATAACCTATGAGGATTTATCTAATTCAAAACACTTTAATCCTTGTAGTTAATGCTGTCATAATGAGTAGAACCTTTCATCGTAAACATATAAAATTTATTCTAAATCATTGTTTTACTATTTGAGAGAATAAACCTTTTATTTAAAAATTTTTTAACTTCTTGCTTATGAAAAAGAAAAATGATTTATTTTTACTGTGTCACTTTTCTAAAAGAAGTCGAAATCTTTATTTTTTTTGACTTAATTCCTTTCGGAAAAGCAAATTCATGAGCTATTTTTAAAACCTAACTATAAATTAAAAAAAATAATACATTTATTTTTCCTAAAGAATCAAATTATTTTTTACTCTGTTGGATCGTCAGGATTAAGCGAGGGATAAGAATATAGAATTTTACCAGGGAGAAGTCCTTGCATTGTTTAGCTATCTTAATCAAATTCTTTCATATCATCTTTGTCACACCCTAAGATGAAAAACTTTTCAAATAATCTAGTGTTTTACTGTGAAACATTAGGATTGCTTGTAGAGAGAGTAAGACCTTCTTCTGGAATTTAATTCAAAGTAGATTAGTTTTAATTCATTATTATATTTAAATTATTTTCACTGCTTTTTCTATTATTGGCATTTGTTTCAATTGATTAAGGAGTTTCAAATTCGAATTCTTTTTTTTAACTTCCCTCATTATTCATAGAAGGAGTTTTTAATTTATTTACAATATCATCAACATCATTATTGGAGCTACTTTTTTTGTTTGTCAGAATGATTGATTTTATTGATTAATTTTAACTTCCTCCTACAGCGCCACAGCTATCTATTTCTTCTAATTATTCTATGGTTGATCTAATAGTAGAATGGGTCTTTGACATTCTTCTTTGGAATTTAATATGGACTTGCTATTTAAACTAACTTGTTTTATTGCTTGAACTTTTCTTATTAAATGTTATTTATGGAAGATCTTAAATTGCATTGTTAATTGAATCATTAACAGAAAATGTATTCTCTTGCAAAATGTCTGCTTCTTTTATTTCACTCTACCCTAATCCCTTTTCTTTATCTTCGCCATTCTAATTGTCGTCAAACCCACTATGGCTGCTCGATACTTATTTTATTTCTTTCCCAAATAATTTAATTCCTTAGCCTTTATAATCTTTGTAAGGACTTTGCAATTAGCTATTATTGACTCCATCTTGATATTCACTTTCGTAATTTCTTGCTACAATAGATTTGCTTATAGCTCTTATATGATCAACTCCTATATTTTATCAATTTTAATAAACTTTCTATTACAAAGCTTACTAAAAATTTTAATAGTTATATAAATATTTTAGCTATTTACCTTTATCATTATTAAACCTCACAGAAATAGTCATAGTTCTCTTTCTATTCCTTTCAAAATGCTAAGGAGGAGACTCTTCGTCTGAAATTTAAGAACTTTAGCTGCTGGCTGATAATTAACTACTGCTACTTTTCCTTTAAAGTGATTTTTCACATTTCATAGCTAATGCAGTATTGTTTCCGTTTTGAGTGTATAAAGATTAAATCATATTAGAACTTAAAGTAGGTGTGATATAGTTTTTATTACTGCTTTGCATTCCCTAAATCAATGGCTGCTGACATTTAGAACATAAAATTATTTCTGGCTTAGAAGAAATTTCTAAAATTAGCTTATCATTTTTTTTAACTTCATTTTCTAGCTATTCTCTTGCTTCTTTAGCCTCTTTTTAGGCTCTAAACAGCTGCTATCTTAAATTATTTACTTCTTGATGTATTTCATCATTTTTTTCTTTCTCAAAGTCTAATTGCTATATTTAAAAATGAAATTTTTTCTATGTTAAAACTATTATAAACAATAGAATCAGATAATTTTTAAGCATTTTAGCTACATTTAAAAATAAATAAAAGTAGATACTTTTTTTATTTAATCGTTTAACGTTTTCAACCTCTCTGCTCTTTTTTCACTCTTATCCAACAGATCTTCTAGCTGCTTATACTTTTCTTTGCTAACCTCACCCATTTTTAATGGAAAACTTGATATTAAATTTAAAAAATGCAGTTTATAACTATTTTTAAATTGAATGAATCTTATTAATTTTTATTTTATAAAAATAGGATATTTAATTATGAGTATTAATTATTAAAAAATAATTGCGTAATTTGTATTAATTCTAACTTTTAGTTCATAAAAATTGAATCTAAATTCGACATAATTTATCATATAAACTTATTATATCAACCATAAATTTTTATGATTGTATATTTGTATTACTTAGTTAAAACTTTATAAAAATTCTAACTCTAAATCATTTTAATTTATTATCTTTTTATTAATTAGCTAAGAAACCTATTTAAAATTGTAAGTGAAATTAGGGCATTTACGAATATCTACAAACAACATTTGCTTATTTATTTATTATTAAGTCTGAAAATAAAATAGCAAGTTTCCTTACATATCCAATAGAAAAAATTGTACTGAATTTCTTTTGATTAAATTAGTTATTTATATATCTTAAATACGCAATCTATGTATCTCATCAAAAAATTAAAATTTATAACGAAATTTAATTGCGAAATTACTATTTTTCTAAAAAATGAAGCTCAACAAAAACAATATATAAAAATTATTTAAGAAAGATGAAGATGACACCATCAATTTTAAAAATTCTCAATTGATTTCAATTAATAACCTTGGTTAGTTTATTGATTTATCATAGATAACTTCACTAAATCTAGATAGTAACCATCTCAAAGAAATTGAAGAAGTATTTAGCTAAATGGTGAACTTGAAATATCTTTCAATGGAGATGAATCACTTAAGATATCTTGCATACTTTGATAATTTGCAATCTCTTTAATAATTAAATCTATCAATGAATAGAATAGTAAGAGTAGATCAACTTAATTCATGCAAAAATTTGAGACTTATTGTAAGGAAATTGTAAAACTTTTTATAATAAGTATCTAATTATAAATCAAATATAATTTTAATAGAATTTAAGTATGAATTATATCGAAGAAGTAGAAGATTTGTAATTACCTTACCTTGAATAATTGTATCTTTAAGGAAATAAATTGACTAGACTCCCTTCCTTTTAATATTTGCCAAGGCTAAGATATCTAAATATTTCCAAAAATGAATTGAGCGATATCAATCCAATATTATCATAAAAGGCTCTCAATTACTTAGAAAAGCTAATATGCTCTTATAATAGAATTCCTAGTTAGTATTTGGAGGATTTTTGCTTTATTCTAAGTAGTTTACCTAATTTACTGGAATTAGATGCATCTGGAAACGAAGTCACTATTAATTCTCTTTACAGATCATCTGTATTAACAGCAAAAAAGTTAAAAATGCTTGACGGATTAGAAATAAATGATAACACTATTGAATAAATACAAGTAATTTTATTAACAATTTTAAGTAAGAATTTTTTTAAAAATATTAGAATTTAAAATAAACAGAAAACTTCGAAAGGGCAATACAAGACACAAATAAAAATTATATTGAGAGATTGTAAAAAGAAAATGAAGCAAAGTTAAGAGCCAAAAAACTTTTGCTTGATTAAATTGATAGAATAGATGACATGTTTGAAAACTTTTAAAGAAAAACAGAAATGTATGCATTTAAATAAGTTAGCTTTTATATAAAAGAATTGACTAGTAGTTTATTATAAATAGGGAGTAGAAATAGTTTTTAGAATATATTGCTATTATGGAAAAGAGGTACAGAAGTGGAGATAAAATATAGTTAGACTAAGATACTGTAAAACTTTGGAGTCAAAGAATTTAGCAACACGAAGCAGAACTCAGGCAAAAAATAGATTATCAGAAATAAGTATAATAACATCAAAGAGATGTCTTTCTTTAAAAAGAGGTCAATGGTCTAACTCTCAGAGTAACTTTTTAAAAAATTATGCATTTTATTTATTTTTTTTAAGGAAAAACTATATGATATTGCTTTAAACGATCCAGATTTGTGGAGAGATTTGAAATCTAAAGAATTATAGTAAGTTTACAAAGAAGAAAAGAGAAATGAATAAAGAGAATATGAAGAACTCTAAAAAAGAATAAGAGATTAAAGTTCTGTTAATTATGGATAGCTAGAGGACGACATCAGAAAAAATATAGCATAAAAAATTTAGAGCAAATTACAAATGATTGAAGATTACTCAAAGGATGACATTAACCAATAAGACAATGAAAGATAATAATTAAATAATTTATCCTAAAATCAGTCGATGAATTTTGACTAAAAAAGCTATTTAAGTGGAAATAATAAATCAAGTTTTTTAGGAAGCAATAGAAATATTTCTCTTTCAAAAAAATGAATTTAAATTCCTAAATAGGTTTTATATTTTAATGTAAAAATAAAATAATATACTTTATAAAGCGTTTTTAGAAGTAGATATTATTTTATTATTTATTTATTGATTTTATTAAAGAATAAATATTAATTTTTTTGAGAATTTAGCTTTTTTATCAAGATTATTATTAATTATATTGTTGTGAGAAAATTGCTTTTGAAGCTCTAAACTAAATATTAATTTAAGACCAATCAATTAAAATTATAATCTTTTCTTAGAATTAACAAGTATTAGTTTTTTTATATTAAAAAATGGTCTTTTAATTTTATAAAAAATTTAAATATTTTTTTTCAATAAATATAATTTTTAGTATTATAAATTATATTGTTCTTTTTAAAATTGATTTCAGTTTATTATTAACCATTTTAAGAAATTTAAAATTAAAATCTATTATTTCAGTTATCAAATACAATTATTTTGTTTACATTAAATATATTAATAATTTTTTTAAACTAAGTATGCTATTTTATCCAACAAAAAGATAATTTTAAATCAAATTATAATAATTATAGAGTGATTTATGAATTAATTATTTTTAGTTCAGTTAAGAAAGTTACGTTTCAACTTTTACATAAAATAGGACTCTTATTGTTAATAAATATAACATAATTTATTAGTCTTTAAATTTTAAAAATTTAATTTTTTAAGTTTAAAAGCTATTGTTTAATATTATGAAGTTGATAACTTTAATTAAAAATGATTTATGCATAAAAATAAGCAATACAATATTAAATTTTAATTAAAATATGAAAATTAGTGCAAATTAATACATTGAGTTGTACTCTAATTAAATTAAAATATGTCTTGCTTTACTAGCAGAGCATAAAATTAAACAATCTATTTAAGAAATTTTTAATAATAAGTTAAAAGAACAATTTAATCTAGCTCAATTAATTTATTAATATTTAAAGTGTACTTGATTTGATTTGAGTTTGAGAACTTAATTATATTTTTATAAAATTTTATTAAATTCTTTTTTAGAATAAATTTTTATGATATTTTTTTATAAATAAATTATAATTTGTTTTAGAATTTAATTTAAATCCTATTTCAATCTATAGTATTATTATTATTAGCTGCATTTGCTGTATTTTATCTCACTGAAGGTAATTTATAACTTTAAATTATTTTTAAATATTTATCTGACATTTCTGTTGGAGCCACTTTTTACCATTGACCTAAGTAAGATGGTGTTTCACCAAATTGTCTCAGCTTTTGTCCACGGAGAATATAATTAAGGTCTCTATTAAGTTGCAACTTTGAGTTATTAGTTGTGTTTATATTACTTTTATTACCTTACTCTTCACGAATACGGCGATCTAATACTTCCAAAAGGCGAAGTCGATCAAATTAAACTGGTGAAACTAAATCTATTGCATCATCAATCATTTACTATTTTATTAAATCATCTATTATAAAATCTCTTGCAAGAGATGGGGAGGAATTAATTTCTAATAAGCAACATTTTAAGGATGAGTCAATAATTATATCATATCCAAATATTTCAAAACAGTTAGGATTATTAGGAATGTCTGCTTGGCATGCTAAAACACTTTTTACTATAATTTCCTACACTTAAATCCATATTTTATCCCAATCTATACCTTTCTAGCGGAATTTCTCTTGAAGCATTTTCAGAGATATTTTTGTTCCACCAATAAAATTGTTATTTGAGGCAGGATCATAATGATGCTTTTGTATACTGAAGTTAGTTAAATGAATCTAATTATTTTTTATTGTTTGAGCATTTAATTAATATTTTTCAGTACTAAGACGAGCAAAACCCTCTTTATATACAAAAGCTTCTAATGGTTTCATATGAGTAATTAATGCATAAATACGCATATCAAATTTATAACCATCAAGAAGCAGTGGGTCTTTCATATATTTTTATACTACAACTGGCTCTGCATATACTACTTATGCTATGTCATTTACTAATGAAATACCTCTGCCCTATGATTTACCAACAGGTTTCATAATCCAAATATTATTTTCGCCTTCTCGCAACATTTCTTCATAAAATCTTTCAGAAAAATTACAATATTCTTTTGGAAGCACAAACGTTAGAGGTAAAATGTTGAATGCTTGAGCTGCTTTTTAGCCTAATTTAGTAATACGTTCAAAGTTCTTTTTTAGTAGATCTTTACGAACTAGGTTTTTGTTGAATGGAAAATGATTTACTTTTTAAAAAAGTAGCAATTTATTAAAATCTATCTATGGCTTGCTCCAAGTCCACAAAAGATTCCATGATGTTCTTAGTTGTAAACCATGAGGTAATTCAAACCAATCTTTCTTTCTCATAAAAGAACGAGTGATAATATCATAAACTTCAGGTTTGCTTTTAACAACACGATAGTAAAACTCTTCATGTGGCAGCAAGTGACCTGCAAAATTCTCTCCATTCATACGCTAGGTAAAAATAATTTGTCTTTCTATAAACTTCTTAATGTCTATATCAACTCTGTTTTAGTAAACTATAACCTTTTATGGATCATTAACATAGTATACTTCTGAAGGAAGCACCTCAAGAGGTGTAACTACTTATTTATATCTAAGTAATCCTTTATCAGCATTATCTACCTTTTCGACATGCTATTAAAATAATGAATAGATATCCCTCATGGCATCTATCAAGCAAAAATTAACTCCTCCACCGCCAGCAATATTTATATTAATAGAGCTTCCTACATTTCCGCCCATCATGGGATTATTCTGACTCCATATCTAATTGTAATATCCTGAAAATAAGTGAAAGAAAGAAGGTATAGTTTATGTATAATCAATTAAATTATCATCACTAATTTCTTTCATCATTTTCATTAATAATTTGCTAGTCATACTTGGAGGTTTAGGTGCAGCTGTAGCAGTTGCTTTTTTCTTCATTATTTGCTTTTGCTCTTTTAGGAATTATTCTTACTCAACTTATAAAGCTTCTAATTCAAGCTCCTCTTTGCTTTTTAATTTTTTTTCTCCTGATTTTGAAACTGCATTTGGATTACCTTTCAGTTAATTTTATTTTTTTTCAGTATTATTTGTTATATCATTTCCAGTCCTTTCTTCCTTGCTCTTTTGCTGATTAGCCTGATCATTTCCTTGGGTTTTAACTTCTTTCTTTCCTTTAGGATCCTAAGTGTTTACTCCTTTATTATATTCATTCTCTTTTTTAGATGCAATTTTATTAGCATTTCCCGTTGTTAAAGGTGACTCAGGTTTTTTTTTAGAGGGTACTCCAAATATCTAGTTCTTATTTTTCTTAACTTCTTCTGAATGCTTTTTATGCTATTCTTCACTTTCATTAAAGCTTTATTCAATTTCTTAAACTTATTTTTCATTTTGCTAAAAGTTATTGAGAAGTTTTTCCATTCTATTTTTTAGCTACTCGTTAATCCCTCTGTTTTCTAATATTTTTTTAGCATTAATAACAATTTATTTGCTATCTTTTTCATATTTTTCAATTAGTTCATATTCTTTACCTTTCTCTTAGTTTTAATTATTTAATAAAAGTTATTCGTCTTCATCTAATTAGTCTTCACCTTAGTAATCCTCCTCTTCTTCTTATTTATCTTCTTTTTCGTCTTATTAATATATGTCAGTTTTAGACTTAGAATGTTTATTGTGATTTATCAGTTACTTTTAATCGAAATTTTTTTAACTTAATTCTTTTATTGATCCTTTTCTACTATTATTTTGTAAAAGTTCCTTTTCCTAGTCTTCTAAGTGGCTCTCTAAAAACTCTCCATCAGAGGTTTAATGTTCTTTTGATTTTTCTTCATTTTTTATTTGAACATTATCATCAGATGGCTACTTATTGTATAAAAGCAACCTCTCTTCTTCGTTAAGATCATCTTCAGAATCAGTTGGATTTTCATCAGCCTCTCTTCTTTATATAACATTGTTATTTTAATTTTCATCTTAATTTAAAATAGTTTTAATTGAAAGAATTCCTTCTTTTTCAGGTGGTATAATTGATGGTATAATAGGATGTGTATTTTGTTTTTATTTGTCATTATTATTATTATTATTTTTGTTGCTGTTAATTATGGCTAAATCATTTGAATTATGCTAATCCTCATTACTTATATAAATATTTTAATCATTATTATTTATTTTTAAATTTTAATCATCGACTTTTCTGTTTATTTCTTAGTCATTCTTTTCTACGATTTAGTTTTTGGTTTAATCTTCAACAATCACAGTATTCTTGAGAGAGTGAAGAGAAGATCTGCTTTTTGTTTTAATTAATTTATCTCTTAGTTCATTATTAGATTCTTAATTACTTATATCTTCCTCTATAAATTGCTATGGATTGTCTGAAAAATCAAATTTAGATGGAGTTACAGATTCACCCATTTAACTGTTACTGCTTTTATCGGAAGTTGCACTTCTTGTACTTTTAATTCTAAATAACTCTCCCTTAGTTATTTTTCTTGGTTATCCAGGTATAATTTTTTGGTGTTACTCAGCATCGCTTTCATTATTGTTCTCATTTATTTCTTCCTATATAATTTCTCCTTATTATTGATTTTAGGTGAAATCGTTGCTAATGCTTTTATCTGAAAAAGGTTTTTTATAGTGTTTATTAGAATCTTGAGAATGATCATCTCCTATTATATTAGATAAATCCACATTTTAAGCTGATATTTTTTCACTAAGGTTGTCAGTAGATGCTGAGGTAGTCACTGAAGCAGCTCTACTGATAAATGGATTGCTCTTTTTATTTTCTCTTTCTGACCCATTCACACTAGAATTGTCAGCACTACCTGATTTAATTGCAGGTTTTTTTTAATTTATAGGAGGTAAGCTGACTGAGGGCAAAGACTTCTTTAAAAAATTTTTAGTCCTATTCTTTTTTTCTTCTTCAGGATCTACTTTCTTTTGCTTTGGAGGTTTATATTTAGGATACGAAGCTTTTCCTGTTGTAAAATAAGGAGTTTCAAGTTTTTTTAACTTTTATTGTTCAAGATCCATTTTAATTCTACTCTAAACTCCAGCATATTCATTAGAGGTCTAAACCTTATCACTTATACTTTACCTTTTAGGTAGCGATGTAGCTGTTACTTAAGCACTACTAACGGATTTAGTTTTTTTCTTAGGGATTGAAATCTCAGTTCCATCACTGGATTCTTCACCCTAAGTTTAAGTGCTAGTTTTATTAAAATACTATTAAGTATAACCAGATGATCCACCAACATACGAACTTTAAGTTATTTTTGTTTTTTCTAGAGTTTAACGAATAAATTCTTGCATCTCTTCTTATTTTGATTTAGTTTTCAATCTTTTATGATGAGCTATATATTTGAGCTATGAGGATGTATGGCTTCCTCCTGATTTTCCACTTATTATGCTATTATTACAAAAGTCATTATTCGCTTGTTTATAGTTTTTTTGGTTTTTTTCATAAGCTGACTTTTGATTTTTCATTACTGACGCAGAGTGTAAATTTTCCTCTTCGTCATAGTTGTTCTAATTTTCGTAAGCATTCTCATCATCATCCTCCTCCTCATCATCTTATAATTTGTGTTGAGAATTAAATTTCCTTTAATCTGTGTTATCATGCTTATTTATTTGCTGAGGTGTAGATTAATAATTTTCATCATCTTCCTCTTCACTTTCCTTGATTTAGTATGGGACAGAATAGTGTTTCTGCTAATTCGTAGCAGATTTTTTTTCTTATTAATTTTATAAATTTGATGCAGATTGTTATGAAATCTACTAATGCAGCTTTATCCATTCATCAATATTTCCAAAGGAATTTTTTTAATTTTACTTATTACTGGTTTGTGCTTAATTATTCTATTATTCCATTTTTTTTACTGAGGAATCAGATATGCCACTTGTATCTTCTACATTTGACATTAAAATGGAGTCATTATTCGAAACACAGTAATTACCAAAATTCTCAATAGCTTTTCTCTCTTCTATTTCCTATAATGCTAATTCTAAATATCGCTTTGCTTTCTTCAACCATAAAATTTAAGCTTATTCTTTTTATTCTATATTATCAATTTTTTAAAGAGTTAATTGCACCTTTTCTGTTACCTCTCTTAGGGTAATTGTGTCAAAATCATAAATATCTTCTATGATAGGAATTTCAGGAAGCTTGATAGCCATTTTTTCTTTATTGTGTAAACTTTCACTGTAAAATTGCTTAGTTTATTTTGGCTAATTATTATATTCCTACTAAAAAATCCCTATAGTTATTCAATAAATTATGAGCAAAAATTCTTAAATCTATATATTTTTAACAACTTAAAAATTTTTAAAAAATTAATCTTATCTTAAGTATTAAAAGATGCAAACAAACAAACAAACAAACTTTAAAAATTTCAAAGTCTATCGTTTAAAAAAATCAATTTTTAACTTGACAATGATTAATCACCAATATTTTTGAAACTCTTTCTAATACTTCACAGAATGTTAAAAAATATCAGATCATGGAATTACAAATTAAAAATTAGCTTTCTGATTATAGCTGATACAGTGAATAAATACATATTATATAATTTTAAAATCCAAAGAACAGTAATATATTTAGATTTTACACAGTTTATTACTAAGCGTCATATATTTATTAATATGAATTTTCAATTTAATTAAAATATTTATAATTAATTTTTAATTTTAATAGAAAAATCAATAAATGATTTAATTTATTTATTTATTGATTGATTCTTCAATTAATTTGGAGCTGCATCTAATCGTAATTACCATCATTTTTATTTTACTAAAAGTGCTAGTTAGATTTAAACTCAGAGTAGAGAGTAAATAATACATGTAATGATTCTATGACGTTTGACTCATTTGGCTAATCGTGAACTGGAATATCCAAAATAGCACAAGCGAGCTTACAGAAATCAGATAAATTAAAATCAAGCTCTTCACTAGGAATTTTTAAATGTTAGAGGATTTCTTCGATTTCTTAAGGCCATTCCTTTTGTTCAAAAATATATTGTTAAGTAAAAGTCCAAGAGAAGTGAAACAGGTGTTGATGGAACAAAAATTTAAATCATTAATTGAATTTTTTCGATTTAAAGTAATTTTAGAAATGATTTTATAAATAAAGCTATGAAAAAAATGAAAAAATAAAAGATTACTTGCATAAGCTCATCTATTTCAGGCATAGGTTTGGTATAGGAAACACTATGGGGTTGTTTAGTTTTACGAATTTCAGCTACGTTATTTATCCACATTTATATTTACTTAGGATTCTTTTCAGCGTTTTAGATGGCATCAATTGCAACTAATTTACCATCAATCTTTTATTTTGATGAATTACCATATTTCAATGTAACGACAGCTTTATTTGATTGGTTTAAGCAAGGTTCATCCTATATTATTAAAATTTCAAAAAAATTATTAAAATTCATTTAATTTTTGAATTATCAAACAAAATCATAATTTAAAGATTCTTTTCTATATTCGATTTTTAATCATTCAGTCAGTATATATCAAATTGAATAAAACCTTTGTTTATTTTATAAAAAACTATGATAATTCAATTCAAATTATATTACAAGAATTTATAAACCAAGTATTTCATCTTTCTTATCTGGTCTAGGCATCTTTATATAAGCATCGACTTCACCGATAGCAGGATAATAATCAGGAATAAAAGGCTTAAGCTTGGCATCTAGTTCTTTAGTTTCAGGTTAATATCTTTAAACGTATCTAAAGAGTTCTTTAATTTCATTGCTAACATCAAGATGAGCATAATCAGCTGGATTATAAGCACCTGGAATATTTGTGTTTTTAGCTTCATAATCTTACTCATCTTCATCAGTGCGATTATAATTTTATCTACCTGCATTCTATGAAACAAAAATAAATTATTATTATGTTAAAAAAAAATAATGATAAATAATATTATCAAACATTATTTATTTTTAAAATACAAATAATTTACCTTTCCTTTATTTTAATTAGAATTTTATAAGGAATCATCTTGTTTATCGTCCTGATGATCTTCTTCCTCTTAAGACTAAATTTCCTCTATTTAACATATAAAATTAGTTAAAAATTTGAAAAATAAACATATTTTAATAAAAGAACGCTATTATAAGTTTTAAGTAGATTATTTTAAAATGTGAAAATTAAATTTTAAAATAAATTACCTGATTAGCCTTCAGAATCTAGTTCGATTCTTTCATCCATATGCTAATTTTCTATTTTTTCTGCTTTAATATCTGCTCCTTTTTTACTATCTTTATTTTGCTTCTATTTATATTCAAAATCATCATCTTCAATCTACTAATATTTAGAGATAAAACAATTTCAAACTTGTTGATTTTATGATATTTTAGTGTGAAATTGCTTTCTTGATATTACAATATTTGTTTATTTGCTTCAAAATTATATCAAGCTCATATTTCTAATATTAAAATATTTTACCCTATCGTCTGAATCGCTCATTTCTACTCAAATAGTCCTTTTATTTATGTTATTCTATTGAATTATCAAAAATTTTTCTAATTTTTAATTTATTATGAATTAAAAAAGTAAAGATTTTGATTTTTGCAACTATTTAGTTTATCATTAATAAATTAAAATATCAAGTTTTAAATTTTCTTTAAATATTTATTAGAAAAATTCAAAAAATTAATTGCCTATTTTAAATAAGATGATAAAATAAACTATTGTTTATTCATTAAATAATAAATTATTTGCTTACTTTTTATACACAAAAACCTCTATTTCGTAAAATATATATTTTATAAATTTAAAAATAATAAATTTAAAATAATTTCTCTATTAAAAATTCTTTTGCAATAAAGAAATATCTAAAATTTATTAAAATAAATAACCTAATTATTAATTAAAACGAAATATGATCTATCCCTAAAAGATATTTAGAAGCCTATTAGTATTTTAACTTTTTGATATCATAAAAAAATAGTTAACATTTAAAAATTATTTTAATTTTCTAAAATTAATAAATCAATTCCAAATTAAAAAATTAAATAGATATTTATCTTTAATTATTTAAATAACTTCTCTCGTTTATTTTTAAAAAGAATAAAAATTTATTTTCACTCTTAAAAAATGACCAAAAAATACCAATCTAAATATTTTTTTGATTTAATTATTGAAGCTAAACATTAATAAGCTTAATAGTGTGACAAATAGTAATTATTTTTGGTCATATTTAAAATATTTTTATTCTCAAACTAAAATATAAGTGCATATTATCAATTATAATTGTTAATTATATATAATTAAAAATTACTCTAAGATTTCTTTTTATATCAGATAATAAAATAATCAACATTTTACACAAATTTTTAATTTCATCGCTCTTGTTTTTAAACTTTGAAGAAACTTAAATCTACGTATTAGCATAATGTGTGGTGAATAAATAAAGTTTTAAAATATGATTATATTATATTAAATTTAAATCCATAAAGTTTAGTTTGTTTATGTTTTAAAAAAACTTAATTTTGAAGGGTTAATTGTAATTTATTTATAAATAAATAAATATTGTTATAGTTTTAACAAAATTAGCAAATGCAATATTTTCCTCTAGATTTAACTTAGCAGTAGACAGTTACTCTATTTAATAATAGACTATACTTTGGAAATAAACATGATTATTTAGTTGTTTTTCCGACTTGGTTTGCCTACATATCATTAAGTATCCTCTTTTTGATGACTATTAATGAAAATATTATCAATGAAATATCATTGGGTTTAGGAATATTTTCATATGTTTTTTCTCTGCCAGGAATTTATTTTGCAATTAAATGCTTTGGTACAGATCCAGGTATTCTTAAAAGAGGTAATTTGCAACCTCCATCTGAATCTGCTGAAAATGATATACATCACCCAATAGCTTAAGATATTGGACTTCTTGAAAGTAATAAAGAAACAGTAGAAGAATTGAAAGAATTTGAAAAGTCTAATGCAGCATAAGGTGAAAAACAATCAAAGCAGAATGAAACAGATGACAGCGAAAATAGCTAGAATTCAAGAAATTAAGCATAAGATTAAGAGAGTAATTAATCAAATAAACAAAAAGATGAATAAATAATGGAAGCAATACGTTAAATAGAATAGCAAAATGTGCAAAATAATAAGGTAAGAGGAAATTTATTTTAATAAAGATATTGTAATACATGCAAAATTATGAGACCTCCTTTGTCCTCTCATTGTGGTCACTGCAACAACTGTGTTAAAAACTTTGATCACCATTGTTATTTTATGGGAAATTGTATCGGTGAGAGAAATCAAAAGTATTTTGTATTATTCTTGTTGAGCACACTAATTTGGTCAATTTATGTAGAAGTCTTCACTATAATTGAAACAATATTTGCTTTTCAGGATAATTCATATATATTTTTGGATATGATTCACAATCCTTATCTTATCTATCCTTTTATTTTCTTTTCAGCTCTTACAGTCGTTACTGCTGTTATTAGATGTCATAATTGTATTAGATAGTGGATTTTTGTAGGGTTTGTATTGCAAATATTAATAATAATAGGAGATAGTTATTACAACAATATGGATGTCCCCTTTGCTGATAATCCTTTAATTTGTTTAGTTATGATAGGCGCATATTTAGGCGTAATACTTTTCGTACTTCCTTAAGCAAGCTTAAATCTCAGTCTTGCATGTAGAAATCTAACTCTTAAGTAGGAATCATATATCGTATCTTACTAAAGTTCTGAACATAATGCTTCAAATCCATCATTTTCTAATTTTTGGAAGTTAATAACTAGGCCTAAAATTAAGAGTGAAATTCTAAATTGAAATTTATTTTAAGTTAATTAATTATTAAAAAATATTTTTTAACTTTGCAAAAATGCATTTTAAATTTGAATTAAAATTGTTGAAATAAAATATTAAATTTTATAACTAAAATAATTTGTTCAATACATTTTTATTCTTTTACATTTCTTAATTTTTCATTTTTTTTAATTGAAAATGATACATAAATTTTATTTTATAATAATTTGTTTGGCTTAAAAAATTCTTTTTTCATGAAAGCTTTTTTAGCTTATATGTTTTGATTTATCACATTTATTATTTCAAATAAAATATGTTATAAATATAAAATATATTTTTGTAATTAATAATACTAAGTATTAATACCTTAAACTATCTATCTTTTGTAGAAATATCAAAACTTCTTAGTCAATAAAATTATAATTTAAGGCCAATTTTTGAGAAAAAACATTTTTTGTCAACTGGCCTTAATTAATGAGAATGCACGGTATTTACATAATTATTTTTATATTTATATTAATGCAAAAAATATCACAACTTTTAAAAATTAATGTGTTAAAATAAGTACATACTAAGGGTATATTTATTTTTATTTTTAAAAATTAAGTAAATTTACTAATGTGTATTATTAAAAAGTAAAACTAAAATTAATAAAAATTATTTTTTTAATAGTAAAATTGAAAATTATCAAAAAAAATAAAATTTAAAAAAAATCTAACAAGAGTATTTTGATAGTTTTAGCAAAATTTTTGAGATTATAATACTTACAATTATTTTTTATTTATTTATTTATTTTAATTAAAAATGATTTTATATTATTTAGAGTAAATTATTTCATAAAAAAATAATAGAACTTAAATATTTTACAATTGTGAATCAAGCAATACAAAAAGATTAAATAATATATATTCGTTAAATTTTAGTTTAATAGTATTAAAAATGCTTTTATGATCACAGATAAAAGTTGATTGAATATCATATTATTTAGGATTATAATAATTTATCGCAATTTTTAGTTTCTTAGTATAGAGTAGTTTATTTTTAACTGAATTTCGACTAATAAATTATATCAAAGTATTAAATAATAGAGCAAAACAACACAAAAGCAAATTTGGAGCAAGCTGTGTTTATAATTTTGTGATAATTAATTTATTAAACAATAAACAAGATTAAATACTATAGCAGTATGAAGTCATCAAGTTTTGGATTTGGCCAGAATAAATTTTCTGTTAATGCAAAGGCAAATGAAAATGAAGGTTTAGAAATTGGGTTTAAAGATTCCAATTTAGATATTGCAAGCAAGTAGCAATAGTAATTTTATGATAAGATAGAATAAGCAAACTAGATAGGAAAATAGTTATCTAACAACGCATCATCTATATAAAAATAAGCAGGTGATTTAGCATCAAATGCAGAAAAGCTCTCAATGAAGGAATTAGTAAAAACCTAACATATTTTTGAATTAAAATACCTCAATAGCTTTATATTTTATAAAATTTATTAAGCATATTAGTCAACAACATTTTTTTAAAAGATTTAGACTTATATCACATAAAAAAAATAGAGATTACAAATTTATTATAAATTAAAAATATTTTAATAAATATAGCGCTATTTTTTTAATGAATAAAATTGCTATTTTACATTTGAAGCTAGTTAGAAATATTAAAATTTATTTTATCTTATAATAAATAATTAGGGAAAAGATATAAATGTTGCTAAGTCAACTGTTAAATAAGCAGAAAACATTTCTTCTTCTATAACTGGATTTGGAAAAAGTATAAAAAATGCTGAGAATGCTTTTGAAAAAAATATATCGACAAATGCATCTGTAAATATTGATGGAGGTTTTAACATTAAAGTGAATGATAATAGTGCATTTGGGTTTTCAGGATTAAAATCTGTCTAAAAACAAGCAGAATCTACAGGCAAATAATTAGGATAGCTAGCTCAAAATGTTGAAAATATAGGCGAAAAAGGATTGTCTTTGAATAACTCTCTCAACTCAAATTTAATTGGAAATCAAAGCATTAAAATAAATGAAAATAAATTAGGGCTGCCAGGATTTAAATAGGCTTCAAACTTATCAGAATCCTCTATAAAATATGCAGATAAAATGATAAAAGATTCAGAAAAAGTATATGACTCTACAAAAAATTAATATTCTGAAGCTGGAGGCTTGTCTTTCGGGAATACCAAAAATTTCTCTAACATAGGCGCGAAAGTAGATTAACTAAATCCTCTTGGACGCTTAGAAGATGAATACAAAAATGATTTAAGCAAAGTAATATTTATAAATAAATTAAATATCAAAACAATATTTGTTAATATCCTACAAATTATATTAATAAAAGGTAAACCAGTTCTCCAGTGATATGAACAAAAATTTTAATTCTTTAAATGAGAGTTATAATGAAGCAAATAGGTAAATTGGTTCTCTGAATCCATTTGTTTAGAAAAATGATTTGGCTAATTTTCATAATATTAACAACGGGTTTGAAAAAACAGTGAATGGTGTGAATTCTTTAGTAAAGTCTACTAATGGTTAATATATTAGCAAAGCTTTAGAATAAGAAACTTAAGATAATTCTGTTGATATTAGCTCTAGAGTAACAAAAATTAAATTTGATTTATAATTTTTATTTAATTAAAAAAATTGATTAAAAAATTTTTTTATGAAAATTAAAAAATAAACTTAATCACTTCTCACTTATACATATTTCGATGCAAAATTAAGAATCACAATTTTCTAATGTAAATGATCGAAAATACTTTTATACGCAAACACATATTTTGAAAATCTTAATTAAGGATAAAAATTTGCTCATTTTAATCCAAAATAAATTTAAAGATATTTATTTTTTTTGAAATAAAAATACATAGAATCCATTTTAATAAAGTCAATTCAACAAATTTAGACCAGATCCTGTAAATACTAATTAAAGTGAAAGTGTTTTAGCAGCAAAACAAGGCAAAAGAATATTTTAGTAAGAACTACCATAAAATAGTTTGCAAGTAATGAACAATGGTAAAAATTTAAACAGCAGCCAAGTTATTTAGGTGTACGATGAAAAAGTATTTAATTTTTGCATTGTTATATATTATATCAATTAAAAAAATACCACATTCATTTAGATTGTTATGTGTTTTCATTCATTTTTAATTTATTAATATTCTAATTTAATTAATTCTAACAAAATTTATCAGAATTTGGTTTATTTAAGTCATATTCCTTTTTATTAATTTACATATAAAAGGAAGAAAAAGTAAAAGCTGGTAAGATGCTTAAAAATATCCCATGGGCCTTGCTAGGTATAATAGGTTTATGGACATTTATATTTATGATATCAGATATTATAGACTATTCTAATTGGAAATTTGTTCAAGAAAACTCTTTAACAAATGTAGCTAGTTGGTATTCTTCGGATTTAAAGATGCAATAAGCTGCTTTAGGGTATAATGGAGGATTAGGAAGGAATTATATTTCACTAATTGATTTTATTCTTTTCTATTATATCACGAAGATTTTCTATAATTTATGGCTTACTAATGAATATTTTGCTGCAAGTACAATAAAAAATTTAGTAACTGTGGTGCTATTTTTGAAAGATATAACTGTTATAATTCTAGCACTTACAGCAGGAAATTACTCATCTTTTTCTGGATGGTCAGGTTTTGGGTTTTTCTGGCTTTCTACTTTTGCAAAAATTAGTATTATCCTAAGTTTTTCTAAAATATTTTTCTTTCGTTTAAATTATTTCAGATAATTTTCATAACAGAAGGATTGTTGTTGTCATATTCTAACTAATTGGGGTAATAGTTTATACAACTGGGCTTCAGCTGGTGGTTAAAGAAATGCTGAGTTAATGTTATCTTTATTAATTTTTGGATTATATATTCCTTTAATCCTCCATTGCATAGTTGGTATAATAGAATCTACTTATGTTCTGATCATTTGGATTTCTATACTTTTCTTCCTTTAATAGTTTATTTAATTATGCTTTGAAATATGTAAACCACGAAGTGAGCAAGGCAATAAGAATTTGGTATAAAGACTTTTGGACAGTTAAAAATAAGGTATATCTGAATTAGCAGGAAAATTCTGGGTTTACTTTACTTTGCTATATGTAATAATACCTGGAGTAGCTAGTGTTAGCTTCGGTGCTAATTTCAAGAATGCTATTTAATTCCACTTTAACGGCTAATAACTTATGTTTAATTTCTTTTCTATTCCTGCTTCTGGTAGTGGATATGAAGATACTATGACTTTTATTTGCAATTTACTTTCACTTATTTGATTGTAAAAAAGATATAGATAGATAGTATTTTTAACTGAATATTGATTGTAAGAAATTAAAAAATTTTCCTTGACACCTTAACATTTAAAAGAAGAAAGAAAAAATTAGTTTTTAAAATATGTTCTATAGATTCATAATATAAACGTTAATTTAATTGAAAAATCAAAATAAATAAAAAGCAAATTTGTATATAAGTATTTGAATTTTAATTATTATTATTATTATTACTATAAGTATTCCTTAACACTATATATTTTGTATAAATATAATATAAGATAATAATTTACTTCAATCTATCTTTATTTCTTTGTTCCTTAATATATATTCACAAACATTTTTTACTCAAATTTGCATTTTATTTTTTGTTTGTTTTTATCAAATATAAAATATTTAGTTAATATTTAACATTAAATGCATTAATAAATTATTCAAACTATTTAAATAAAATTTTATTTAAGATTACAAAGATGAAATAAAGAAATATTTAATTTTTCAAATTTTAGATTCGTTTGATTGTTATGTATTTGTTGTTTCTTATATTGTATTTTTATTTCTTTTATCTAACTTTTCATTCAAAATTTATATTTCTTACTTTCTTAATTTAAGCAACTCATATAATTACTGGTTTTCATTTTAGAGTTTATCATTATTTGAAGAAAAAGCTTGTATTTTTTATTTGAAGTGGTTTAGTTGCATTTGAGAAGCATCCTCTGAGTTTAACAATTATTCTTTTTATTAATATTGTAATAATTTAATTCTCATTTACTCAAATTCCATATTTATTATTTGAATTTCTTTTTCTTTTTCTGAAAGTCTTTGCATTAGAATCTAATTTTATGATTTTTATGTGTCTAATAGAGTCTCTACTCTATCAGCCTAAGGAAGACTGTTAATTTAAGAACGGAAACTCTCGTTTTCTTTCTAAAATTATAGAAGTAATTTCTTTTTGATGTCTATTTCTTCTGTTTTATACTGTAATTGTTTTTCTAACTTTTCATTTACTTTTACTACCCTTTCATTCTCAGATAAAATTAGATTTATTTTACCTATCAATTCAAGTTTTTCTTTATTCAATTCATCAATAGTTTGTTTTGAAGCATCATTTTTTTGAAGCTCTTCGTTAAACATTAATATTTCTTAATTATTTTTTAGAAGATTGTTGTATAAAACTTAATTTTCCTTTATTTATTCTAATTAGCTACTAATTTGTGAGTTTTTTTATTAGATTACCAATTCTAATTGCTGAATTTTTAGTATCTATTCTTAGTACTTGCTTTGAAAATCTTTTACTTTGGCTTGTAATTACTAATTTACCTCCGCAAGTTCTTGCACTTAGCTTTGGAATAACTACTATTTCTGCATTTCTAACTGATAATTGTCTTTTTCTTTTTAAACCTGAACATTTAGAGTTGCTATTTAAAGCTAGTATTTTTATAAAAGCTCTTCCTATTCAGTTATTTTTTTATTCATTTACTAAATTTGAAGTTATTAATCTTTTACTTGTTTATTAAAAGCTTAATTTTCCATTTTAAGTGAGTCAATAGTTAAATTTTTATTTCTATTCTCTTCTTAAAGTTGACTTATTTAATTTGTTAAATCAGATTTAATCTGAAGAAATGTCTCTCTTGTTACATTAAGTTCATTTATAATCACTTCCTTTGAATTTTGCAAATCAAAATTTTTGTCATTTAATTATTCTATTGAAAGTTATAATTCACTATTCGTTTATTAAAGCTACTCTATTTAGTTTCTTCCTTCTAACAGATCTATTCCTAATTTCTCAGTTTCAATAGTTGATTATAAATGCATTATCTCTAATTATTTTGATTATTAATTCATAGATATTTTATCACTCTCAAGTTATTTAATCATTTCATTTCTTTAGCGAATTTCTTTTGTCAAATCTTCTATCTGTTAGAGTTATAAATTTTAACTTAATGTTTTTTTAGCTATTTCCTCTTAAAAATTAAGCTTTTCTTAAAATAAACTATCATTAATTGTTTAAACTCTCTAGTTTTCTTCTAATAATTAATTGATTTTTATTTCATTTTCTAAGTTAATAGTTGCAGCATTTTCTTTTTATTTATTTAATTCTTTTATTTGTAATTGTAAATTTTCTAAAGCGCTATGCAATTCTTTTCGCCTTTATTCACTTTATTCTAAGCTTTGTTATTTCTTTTGAATATCTTACTCAATAGCTTATTAATTTTCAGTCAATTATTTATTATTTTTTTAAAGCAAGTCATTCTTTTCTTGAAGCTGTTTATTGTCTTCTTCGTATTCTATGATCAAATTTTTCAATCTCTCTATTTCTTAGGTAAGAAGTTATACCTTCTCAAATATCTCTTTATTTTTTTCAACAATTTCCAGGACATTAAATAACTTTTAATTATCTATTTACTTTTAATCATTATCTGACTAAGCTTGATTTATATTTGTGTCATTTTAGCTCATTTCATTTTTGTTATCTTCACTTAATTAATTTAAATTTTACACTTTTAAAGGACTTCCTTAACTATAAGCCTTATTTTCTAATATTTTTGTTGCATCTTTTTTAATATCCGTATAGCTATAGTCGCTTGATAAACTTCCTTATTTTGCTTTTTTTATTGTATTTTCATTCATCTAGACTATATTATCATTTTTATGTTTAATTGTTTCAGTTTGATCCTATACCTAGGTCTCCATTTCAAATTTCTTAAGCATATTTATATTCTTTTACATTATATTTTGAAATTATTGAGTATTTTAAATAAACTGAGGCACAATGTTAGTATTGCGTAATACTTACTATTAGATTATTATTTTTTGATTTTAGTTATTAATAGGATTATTATAAATTTAGGATTGAATTGAACCATATTGTGCTAAGTTACTATCTTTAATGAGTTGTTTATTTAATTATTAAATTTAATAATTCGATTATCCTAGTACCTTTATTTGATTTGCATCTTTCAATTAAGTAGTAACATTTTTCTAGTTTATATCATAAGAATTTTACATAACGCACCTAAAATCTCTTTTTTGATAAAAATTAACGATAATCACTATTTAATAAAAATCAATTCATAATAAAAAAAAAAATAAATAAATTACTAAATATTTCTTACTTTATGAATATGTGTGTTCAAACAAAATCTTATCAAAAATTTAAATGATTTTCAATTTTTTAAAATTGATACCATAATTAATATTTAGTTATTCATAAATTCTTATTAAGTAAGGCAAATATAATTAAGATTTTAGAAATTAATTTTCTTTTTATATTTATTAAATAAATAATATTAATAAAGAAATTATAATATATTGAGTTAATATCTATAAAAATAATTAAAGTAATAATTTATTTTATTATTTTTTAAAATAGGTTTATGTATATCTAAAAATTTTATTGAATACTATCGTTTCACTATTTAGAAATTATGCCTATTTATTTATTTTATTAATAAACTTAAAGTAAAAATATTTAAGATATTTTAGATAATTATTTTAGCTTTATATTGTTTTTTATTATTTCAATAGAATAAATATTTGATTTATTTTAACTATTTTTATGAGAGTTATCAATTATCAAAATTATATTTTAATTGAAATATTTTTAATTTTTTTCAAATTAAATCAATTCATTTATCTTTAAATTGTTAATAGAAATAATTTTTATATTAATTTAGTTTGGTGTTTAAAATAAGCAATGGATATTTAAAAATATTAAAAGTTAAATGATCTATAAAATTTTTAGCTTCAAATTATTTCTCACAAAAAATATAATCTTACATTAAAAACCAATAAAACTTATGCAATAAATAAAATTTTGTTTTTAGCTCCTAATTAATTCTTACAATAAAATAATCTTACATCAAATAACCCACAAACATCTGTAATTAGTCTAAAAACAACTTTTCTATATTAAGAGCTCTAACATAAGATGCTACTTAATGTTTACTAAATTGGTTTTAGAACAATAAATATAGGTAGGTATATTAAAATAATTCAATTTTATTTTTAATATAAAAACTAGATAATCATTTTAAATTTATCTAAAAATATGTATATAAATTTAATCATAATAGTTGTCAGCATAATTATTATTTATAAAAATGCCATAAGTTACAAATAAATTTCAATGAAGAAAATAATTCATGAATCTTATTTTACAATAACACTCCTAAAGCTATACCATCCAATATTAAATTTACATTTTCTTATATATTTTTACGATTATTTTAATAATTTTATTAAAAAAAGTGTAAAATAATTGGTCAGCTTTAATTAGAATTAGGATATTAAGAAAAATTAAAGAATAATCTTTAATAGAATTTTATTTTATTTTTTCACTTTAAAATGTTCAGCTTAAAACAACTTGGCTAATCTTAAAATAAATTTAATAAAAAAAAATAAATAAAATTTTATAAAAAAGCTATAAGTAATGAAATCAGTCACTCCTCTCTTAGCTTTATTTCTTGTTTTGAGTTTAATTAATGTTTAAGTATTAAGTGCTCCTACTCCACCTCAAATACCTACTTTTATCACTAACTAGACAAATGGTTAAAATTTTGAAACTTGCATGACCAACCTCTCAACTTCAAACCCTAATCCTTGTTCTAGTAGCTCAAATGCTAATTGTAGTACTATTTTGGGAACTTTTAGTACATGCTGGAATGGTTGTTACTCCTAAACTAGCTTCTCTACTTTTTAAACTTGCACCAATGGCTGTAGTGATACTGCTACTGGAAGCAGTGGAGATTCTTCTCTTAGCTCATTTATTAGCTCGATGAAGACATGTGTAAGTAAACTAAGCAGTCCTTCTTTATACGTATCATTTTATGTTTTTGCCTTATTTGTGGTAGTGTTTATTTTATGAGATTAATATAAAAATAATTAGTATGTAAATATAGAAATGTGTTATTTGAAAATGTTTTGATGTATTTACAATCTAATTTTAAATTTTTATAATACCCTTCTTCTAATCAATTTTTAATCATTTTAGTTGATTAAACTAAATTTTTATTTTTATTTTTAATTATCGTGATATATAAACTGAATATCGAAAATATTGAATGAGGCTACTATTTAGACTCAAAAATTGCAAGTCTAAAGGCAGAGTAACTCAAAAATATAATTGAAAAAGTTAATACTTTATAAAAAAAATAGTGAAGAATATACAAATATATTGATTTTTAATTTTTAAGTATAATTTTTGATTTAAGCAATAACTATAATTCTTTGATAAATATTAGTTGAGTAGGTAATATACATTTAATAAAAAAATAAGTATTATTTAATAAAAAAAAATTTTAAAGAATAAATTTTTATTTAATTTATAAAATAATATTTATTACTAAACTAAATATAAATTTCGAACTCTAGAAATAATTCTTTGAAAATAATAATAGTTTTGTACAAATAAATATGAATTAAATACCATTTGAGAGAGCTTTAAAGGATCTATTATGATCATATAAAATTTTAATAAATTAAATATAAAGAGAAATTTTTTAACTTTTAGTTTTTTTATTCTTGGAAAATTTGATAATTAATTGATCATTATTCATTTTATTTAAAATAAAAATCAAATTTTTTAGTAAAATAATTATTTTTTATTATCTATATATCTTATAGACCTTAATTTCTAATTAAAAAATATATATTTAAAGTTTAGATTTTGCTGATCTAATTTATTTTTAAAATTTTCTTGATTTGAGTGAAATAATTTTCAAAATTTATCTTCATTAATAAGAACCACGGTATTTTGTTTTTAAAATTACTAAATTAGTATTACTTAATAATTATATAAATTAACAAATTTAATGATTTTGATAAATCTTTAAAAAATATATTCCTATTTTTAATTTAAACTATTTCTTATTATAGCTACATTCTCGTTTGTATTTAAAAATAAAATTTAACTTTATTCATTTATTTATAAGTCTTTAATAAATTTTGATAAATAAGTAAAATATTTACTATTTGTAATCCAATAATTGTTTTAAATTATAAACTAATATCCTTTTTTATAATTTTAAATTTTAATTTATTTTTTAGGTTTTTGTAACCTTAACTTAAAACATAATTTTATTTATAGTATATGTCTCTCTTATAATAATCAATTTAGGATAGAGATTCTTAGTTTGTTAGTAGATTTTGTGCGAAAAATTATAACTTTTGGTTATAAGTTTATCATAAAATAAAAAAGTTATAATCTGATACTATATTATTAAATTAATTTTGAGCTAAGTAATTTTTACTTTCGTTTATTGAAATTGTTAGGAGAAGTAAAAAGGGACGGAACTAAAAACAAAAATATTACAAAAAGGGTTAAATAAAATTAAAATAGGAACTACAGATGACTGATACTGAGAATAATTAATAATATGATAATTATGAGGATAATAATAATGATTAGTAAGATGGATATTATGATTAAAATAACGAAGGCTATGAAAATTAATCAGGTAACTATGATGATATGAATTTTGATGATTTAGAAAAAGAAAGGCAAAGACTAGAAAACGAATTAGGAATCACTTAAAAAATTACTTAATCTGAAAGGCTAATTTAAAAGAAAAATTGGGAGCATGTAGATGAGCTTGGAGGATTGGAAATAGATAATAATTTAGTTTGTGATTTAGAAGATCATGATAGAGAAAAGATATTATTTGTTTGTAAAAGTCCTTATTGCGATGCTCCTCGTCGTTTATGTTGCGGTTATTGTAATCCTTTACATGCTACACATCTTAAACATCTCAACAAATTATAAAATTTTCGTGATACAAGTTTAAATTCTAGAGTTAAATTATAAAATACTTTAGCTGATTTCACTTAATTTGAAAGAAAATAGCTTATTGAAGGTAGCTTACTATAACTTATCAAGAAAAGACAAAAAGAAATGCTTGATTAATTCATTAAATTTTAGAATAACCAGTATAACTCTTTGCTCAAATTACTAGATGGTGCCACAGAAAATTATTTGTTTGAAGAGATGAGTCTTCTAAAAAGTATAGGAGGGTTTCATTAGAAGGTAGATGATATATTTGGTAAGGAATGGTAAGAACTTAAATCAGATGATGTGATGTCTCTAATTCGTTTACACGAACATTTAAATGAGTTTGTTGATCCAATTAACAAATTAGATGAGAATAGAGCTAGGTTAGCCAAGGATTTAACTGACACAATTGATAGTTTTTTTAACCATAACGAAGTTCTTGTTTCTACTCTTGAATAACAATCAGAAAATCGTATGCAAGAAATTTTAGATAAAGTGTATAAGGAAAATTTGGAAAACAAGCCAGTAGCTTATCAACTTAGTGAACGCCATAAAGATATAATTGAGAGTTCTGCAATATTTTAGAGAGGCTACAATACAGAAGGATCAACTAACGGATCCCCTACGAAAAAGAATTAGTCTAAAGAGTTTCACTCAGTATTGCTTAAAGATGATCATGCTCCTAAAGCAGGGTGGAAAGAAATACAAAAGCTCCCTCTTTGGGCAAAGTACTTAAGAAATGTTGAGCTTTGTAGTAAGAAATATGGATAATTCAAGAAGCAAAAAGATTTGCCTAATACAATGGACTTCACAACTCTTGGTCCACTTGAAGATAACAAAGGAGATATCTACATAGGATAATGGCGTCAAGGATTACGCTGGGGTCAGGGTACAATGATTTGGAAAAATGGCACGTATTATGAAGGAACATGGTAGAAGTCAAAGATGGAAGGATATGGAAGAAAAGTGTTTAAAAATGGAAATATGTAATTAATTATATTTTTATTATTTTTCTACAATTTTAATCATTCTTTTTCCTGATCAAACAAACAAACAAAAACAAAATAATAAATGCAATTTCATCAAGTTTTATTTAAATAAAATAAAATAAAAACGGTGAATTAAGTTTTTGTTAATTTTAGAATTTAAATTTATCAATTTATTTAATATATTTAATAAACTATTATCAATATATTAAGGTATGAAGGTGAATTTAAAGATGATAAAATGAATGGTAAAGGTGTCTTTTATCATGTAGGAGGCTCTAAATATGAAGGTGAATGGAAAGATGATTTACCTCATGGAAGAGGAGTAGAAGTAATGATAAATAATGATGTTTTTGAAGGAGAATTCAAAAAAGGATTAAAAGAAGGAAGAGGTAGATTAAAAGGAGCAGATGGCTCGTTAATTACTGGTATTTGGCAAGAGGGTAAACTACAGGGAAAAGGTGAGTAGCTTTATGCAGATGGAAGACTTTATCAAGGTGATTTTAAGGATGATAAAAAGGAAGGAGAAGGTGTCTTAACATGGAATGATGGCAGAAAATATGAAGGCCCTTGGGTTAAGGGAAGATAACACGGTATTGGTATTTTTATAAATCCAGATGGTACTAAACTTAAAGGAGAATGGATTAATGGTAATCGTATTAGATGGATAACACCTAGTAGTGTAGGAGGTAGCTAAAATAACTTAAAATGAAAACGATACCTTAGAAAATTTAGAAAATATAAAATTTTGAAATGTGTTATATGATAATTGTAATATATCTCTTTTAAAGAATTCCTCCTTTTAAAATTAATTAAAATTTTATGAGTATTTATTTTTACTTTTTCATCATTTGGTGTTTATTGTAGAAGTTAATTACGTATTATTAATTAGATTGACTATATCAAAATTTTAATTACCTTTATATATTATGAATTTTCTTATTGATTTCTTGATATTTCTTTTCCAAAGTCTTCCTGGCTAAAATAATCAGATCTTTAAATTTATTAACAGACTTGATTGCTTGGTTGGATTAGTAAATATTCGCTTGTAAGCAATCATATCGATTTACATTTCATCAAAGAAGAAGAAAAAACTAATGTATAAATAAATATTGAATGTTTCATTCGTGTAACATAATTACATGCTTCTTAACATGTATTTAAAATCTGCAATGCTTTATATGTGTAATAGATTTTTAATTATTTAAGAATTATTTAAAGAAGTTTCTGGCACCTATTAAAATTTTCTCAATACTAGATGAAAGTAAGTGGATATCTTAAATTTACGCATAGTACGATATATGATGACTTATAAAACGATATCAATTAATTTTTGTATTAAAGGGAACAAATATTAAATATAATCCGTAACATATTCAATTTCTTGTATTAAAGAAAATGTTTCCAAGAAATTTTATCTAAAAATTGCTATTCTATTTCATAAAAAATGGCTGAACTTGACGTTACCTTTTAATTAAGCTTAAAATTTTGCAAAAATTGAAAAAAACTGAATCCCTTCAACTCCATTTTTAATGAGAATTAAAGCAGTAATGTGAAAGTTTAACTAAGAAGTGAGGATTTTTTTTTATCATTCATTAAAATTACAATTAACAAAATCAAGAAAATAATAAAAGTAAATTAAAATTTATAAAAAAGTAATAAGAAAATATAAATTGGCATTGCATAGAATTTTTATTTATTAGAGTATCTATCTATCTATTTATTTATTGATCTTGTCTGTCTTATCTATTTGATTTATACTAATTTAAATGAAATATAAGCAAAAAATAAATAAACAAATAAAATGACCGTCTGTCACAGCCAATACAAAGATCTTTCATAATTAAATGAAATTAATAAGAGCTTCTATCTAAATTATTAAGAATTATTGAATGAAAATTTTGTAAATAAATTTGATGTGCTTAATGTAAATTTTATACCTATGAAATAAAACAAATAGATTATGTCAGTTTACGCATTATTTCAAGCTAATCCTTTGTAATTCTTCATTTAAAGACTTGCATGTGAATCCTTTGTCATAATTTTCTAGCAATAAATAAATAAATTATATTAAGATTTAAAGGAGAGAAATCAAAATAAACAAAAAAATTTTCACTTTTATAAATAATATAAAAAAAATAAGCAATAAAAATGTTGGCATAAAAGACTAGCAAAGCTGTTTCTAAGATGCTCTTCAAGAATAAGAGCTTTTTTAATTTCAGAACCACTAAGAATCTCTTAGTGCAAAAGGAAAATCCAAGCAATTTATATGTAGAACAGATGTTCGATTAGTGGTCAAAGGATCCAAACAGTGTTCATGAAATGTGGAGAGATTATTTTAGTTAAACCTCTCAATAAATTATTGAACCTACTCTTTCTTCTTCATAAGTTTCTCCTTTTGCTATAGAAAACGCTTCTACAGTTGCTTTCTAAGCATACAACCTCATTAGAAACTATTAGGTTATTGGTCACTCACTTGCTGATATTGATCCTTTGGGTAAATAGCCAAGATTTTTAAACAAAAGCTTGTTTTTATAATTATCTATTAACATCAAGATAAAATCAGCTTAATACGTTGATTTCTGTCAAATTCATTTATTTGTTTTAATCTTATTTGATTAATAAACGAAATTCATTCTTTATCTTTATCATCTAGTGATAAAACTTAAATAAATATGCTAAATATCTTTAAATTCTATTTAACAAATTTCAATTTCTTTTTAACCTATTAAATGTAGAGCTCTAAAACTTTAAGGAATTTGGTAAAAAAATTTTAAAATATGACTACCTTGGTACAAATTTGACTGAAGCTCAAAAGAAGGCAACATTCTCCGTTTCTTAGGGTCCTTGGATTAAAGAAATAGCTGTAAGAAATTCATAAATAACTCTAAATTTAATTTAAAATGGCATTATTGAATTGATAGGATAATATAATGAAAGAATAAATGAATAAATAAATAAATCAATCAATAAGTATATTTCCTATGGATTTTCAAAATTTATTTATTTATTTATTTGAGGCAATATCAAAAATTCTAGAAATATTAAATAAATACTGAATAAATTAATTTAACTATGAAAGTTTTATGCAAATTTGTAATGAATTAACTGTAACTATAAATATAAAATAGCATTTCTTAGAAGGAAAAGACACATGGAGCATTGGCGAAATTATTGAAATTTGCAAAAAAATCTACACTGGAAAGATAGGTTTCGAATACTATCACATCGAAAATGTAGATGAAAAGCTTTGGTTATAAAAGAGAATTGAAGATATTGGTCTTAAACCTTAAAATAATGTAGATCGTAAAAAAACTCTTGAAAGACTTTTAAGAAATGAATAATTCAATCTCTTCTTGAAAAACAGATTCTCTACTTCTAAGCGTTTCGGTATTGAAGGTTGTGATTCTTTCATTTCTGGTTTAGGAGCTCTTGTTGACCATGCTTGTGAAAATGGAGTTTAATCTCTCATTTTAGGTAATAACTATAGCTAAAATGAAGCAGTTAAATATAATTCAAATTTAAAATAAATTAATAGGTATGCCACATAGAGGTCGTCTCAATACATTAGCATGCGTTTTCAATAAAAATCCTGAATAAATTTTTGCTGAATTCCAGGAAATTAGAGATAAGAGTTTAGATGATGCTGAATGGGGTAATTCTGGTGATGTCAAGTATCATCTTGGTTGCACAACTGAAAAGGTCAATCCTAGTGGAAAGAAAATCAAAATGGTAATTTAAAATATTTTATTTGAAGCAAGTATTAAAGAATTTAATAATAAAAATAGAGCATTCTTCCTAATCCTTCTCACTTAGAAACTGTTAACCCCGTAACTATGGGTTGCGTTAGAGCCGTTCAAGATTTCAAGGGTGATTCTACTGGTTTAAAGTAAAAAATTGATTAATTTAATATTTTGATTTATTTAATATTTATAATATTGTTAAATAATTGTAGAACTTTAGGTGTTTTGGTTCATGGTGATTCCTCATTTTCTGGTTAAGGTGTCGTTTACGAATCATTGTAAATGTAAGAATTAGTTGGATACTCTCCAAGAGGTATTGTTCATATTATTGTCAACAACTAAATTGGTTTCACTACCACTCCTGCTGAATATAGAACTGGTTTATATTCAACTGATGTTATGAAGTCAGTCGAATCTCCTATTTTCCACGTTAATGCTGACGAACCTGATTTGGTTGATGCAGTTTTTAGACTTGCTGTTGACTATAGAAACACTTTCCATAAGGATGTTATGGTTGATATTATTGGTTACAGACTTTTTGGTCACAATGAATTGGATGAACCCAGGTAATTTTTCATTTTATATTATAAATAAGCGTTTTTAGCTAAATTAATTTTCAAATTTATTAATAAGATTCACTTAACCTATGATGTATTCCAAAATCGAAAAGATGACTCCTGTTTACTAAAAGTACTCTAAGAGATTATTAGATGAAGGAGTTATTACACAAGCTGAAATTGAGGAATTAGAAAAGCACTATACATAAGCTTTAACCAGATCTTACATGACTTCTAAAGAAGAAAGCTTCAACGTTGCTGATTGGAAAGCTAAGCCTTGGGAAGTAGTTGATGTCATGCAAACTGGTAAGAAACTTTAATAAATAAATTTATATTTACAAAAGTGAAAAGCATTCGAGATATTCATTTTTATTTGCATATAAAATTAGGTGGCATGAAGGGAACTGCTTTTGATTTAAATATGTTAAAGGATATTGGAAAGAAGATTTGTGAAATTCCAACTGATTTTAATATTCATCCTTAATTAAAGAAAATTTTCTAAGCTCGTTAATAATCTGTTGAAACTGGTGAACATATTGATATGGCCACTGCTGAAGCTTTAGCTTTTGCTACTCTTTTAACTGAAGGTTTTAATATCCGTATTAGTGGTCAAGATGTTGAAAGAGGTACTTTCTCTCAAAGACACGCTGTCTTAAATGATTAAGTTAGTGTAAAGAAAATCAAACCTATTTTATAATGCTTGCCTGAAAATCAAAGAAACGACCAACGTTTCACCGTTGTTAACTCCCATTTATCTGAATACGGTGTTTTAGGTTTTGAATATGGTTATTCTATCACAAATCCTAACTGTCTCACTATTTGGGAAGGTCAATTTGGTGACTTTGCTAACGGTGCTTAAATTATCATCGATAACTACCTTGCATCTGGTGAAGCTAAGTGGAACGTATAAACTGGTCTTGTAGTTCTTTTACCTCATGGTATGGATGGCCAAGGTCCTGAACACTCTTCAGGAAGAATGGAAAGATTCCTTTAAATGTGTGATGATGATATTTAATCTGCCATTTCTTAACCTAAAACTAGACAAAGAGGTCAAGGAAGAAAGATTAACTGGTCAGTTATTTGCTGTTCTTTCTCTGCAAATTATTTCCACGCCCTTCGTAGATAAATGCACAGAGATTTCAGAAAGCCATTGATTGCTTTCACTTCTAAGAAACTCCTTAGATTTAAACCTGTAAAAAAAACTCATCTAAAATGAATTTATTAATTAAAAAATTTTAATTTAATCAATAAAGGCTTGCTCAAATATCAAGGAATTCACCGAATTCACTGATAACCCTAATCTATTTAAGAACGTTGTCCCCGAAACTGAAAAGATCGTTGAAAGCTCCTAAGTTAAAAAGGTTGTTATTTGTTCTGGTTAAGTTTATTGGGATCTTGTTGAATACAGATAAGAACACAAGAAGAATGTAATTAATTAATTAAATTTAAAACTTATTTAAAAGATTTATTAAAATTAATGTATTTTGAAATTAGGATATTGCTATAGTAAGAATTGAATAGATTGCTCCCTTCCCTTACGAAGATATTAGAAGTGCTATTCAAAACTATAAAAACGCTGAATTTATTTGGTGCTAAGAAGAACATGAAAACAGCGGTGCCTGGACCTACATTGAACCCAGACTTGAAATAGTAAGAAATTAATTAAAAAATCATAAATTTAAAATATTAAAATATCTTTAAATAAAATAGATTTTAGATGAATTGAAATCCGAAGGATCTATTAAGCACAACAAACTTAATTATATTGGCAGAAAGAGATAAGCTTCTACTGCTACCGGCTCAACCAAGGTTCATAAGCTTGAATTAGAATCTATCTTGAAGAAAATATTCAACTGAATAAAAACAAAATAAACATGACAAATAGCTTTATCTAAAAAAATATTTAAAAGTGGATAGAGTACAAAATACTTAATTTAAATCTAAATAAACTCTTTGAAAAGATTTCTGATAAAATATACTAATATATATTAGAAAGTTTATAAAATATATAAAAATATTAACAAATATGTTAGTACATATGATAGTAGTTCATATCTTTACGAATCTATCTAAGTTTTTCTAACTAATTTAATTCTCTTTATCATTTCATAAATACACACTTAAATCCCTACGTATGTATACAAACTAGTTTAATATAGTATATAATATATATAAGTATAGTTTTAAAAAATAAATCGTTTAATTTTTATCTAAGCAAAAATCTTTAATTTATGAAAGTTTATTAGGCCACTAAAAATTTTTTTCAAACTATAAATGATTTTTAATCTTATTAAAAACCAAATATCAATTAAAATATAAATCAACATTAAATAACAAAGTATTTTTTATTGTTTGTTAAGTACTGCCAATCCTCATAAATTAAGTTTTCAATTAATTATTATATAAAAAAAATTTTTTAAAGTTAAAAAATTTTAATTAAATTGAAGAAATGGTCTGAAAAAATAAATGAATTATAATCAAAATACCCTTTTAATAAATATAAATTTGTTTACCATAAATTAATTGTATTCAAAAATGTTTCTTTAAAATTTTTGTGTTTGTTTGTTTTTTGTAATTTAATTTAAATTAAAGAAATCAATGTTTATTTTAACTTTCATTATTTTAAATTTTATCTTTTTTTGGTTCAGAATTCTACTATCTTTCATTCACATTGCTTTATACTTTTTGTGATGGCTCTTATTTATCTGGAGAATTTTAATCTGCCAAAATTACATATTAAGGGATATTATTTTCCTGCATTAGATTTAAAGAATTCTGGGATTGTTTTATATTATATTATTAACTTTCTCTTCTTGAATAGTTTGAATTAGATTTAATGTTTCCAAAATTTTAACTGAATTGTGTTTCTTAGAATTGCATGTCAGTCTTTTCATCTTTTAAGTTTTTATTTTTCTTCGGATCAATTTTTTATTTGCCATTACCATTATAAATATCATACTAAATAGATTACTTAACAGTAGGTTCATCATCAACTCTTTCTGGATTAAGCAAATTTCTATTTTGTTAATCCACCTGTGTATTTTATTTATATTAAGTTTGATTGAATTGTTTGTCAGTATCAATAGATGATTTTGATTTATCAATTTTATTAGAATTATCCTAAAAATTTTATTATTTATTAATTGTGTAGTTTGAAATAACAATACTTTCATATTTTTCTTAATTACACCTCTCTCCACTTCTTTTACTTTACTTATCATCGTTTTCTTTATATCTATTACTAGCTCTTTTTGTATTACTTCCTGTGTTTCTTCCTTAGATTTAAGCTTAACTATAGTCATTTTCACTAACTTCTATCGTAGTTTCTGTTTTAATTGATTTGTGATTTTTTTCTTCTGTGTTTTTTAAAGGCTAAAAATTTTAATTGCTTTGGTTTAGATACCCTTCAAATTACTTCAATTTATCTAGTTTTATAATTTTAGAATGGGTTGAGATATCACCTTCTGCTCTTTTTTGCTGGAGCACAGACACTTTAGGTGTGTTAGAAAAAATATTTTATTAAAATGAATCAGGACTTCCTTATTTTTAATTCTACAGTCTCTTATTCTTTCTTTAAAAGTAAGGTGCTTATTTGTTTATTAAATCTATTTGTTCATCGTTTTTTCTTGGACTATTTTGATTACTTTTATAAATTTTATTAAATCTTGTCTAGACTGTTAAAGACTCGTTAGAAAGAGGATTTAATCTATATTTATCAGGTATTGGTGATTGATTTTAGCTTTAGCGATTAATGAATAATTAATTTTTATTTTTAGATTGTTCTTATTTACTATCTAAAGTCTGAGATGGTGATTGATTTTAATTTTAACAACTGTTTACTTAAATTGTCTTATTTTATGTTTTGCAGCTATCTTCGTTATAAAAATCATAAACTTATTTATTCTAGCTTTTTTAGATTTAGTTACTTTTAGGACTATTATACTATGTTTAGCAAAAACCTATTGTTTTATTTTTTTTATTAGTTGTCGAAATAGGTAGTTAGTTATTTTAGATGCTCTGAGTGTCATTAGAATTATATATACTGCGATTTTATTTAGCTTTACTGAATCCAGATGATTCCTATGAAAAATTAGCATTTTTTGTTGTTTAATTATCATAAAAATTCGAGTCTTCATCAAATCCTTCATACGATGTTATGTTACAAACTGAATTTTCTTAAAGACTTTTTTCTAAACCTAGAGTATCTTTACGTCTGAATGCTCGTAAAGCTTTTTTATATTAATAATTAGCTGATTATTTTTATTTATCTAGAGATCTCTAAATATTTTCCTTGATTCTTTAAAGTTCTTCTTTTTCAAGCAAAAGTTAATTATACTTTTCATCATCCATACTTATTTTTTATCTTATATTTTATAGTTTCTTTGTTTTGAGAGTTTAGATTCTATCAATATTCTCCCTAGCACTCTCTTGCTTTATCTAGGATTTTATTTGCAATTTCATAAGATCTTATTAAATTTTTTATTGTCTAACTTATTCTGCATATTACTCTTTCAAAAGCATATTCTGATGCTCTTGTTTTCTTTTTTGCTACTTTAAATGTTGTAATTACTAAGTCTTTTGCTAAGCAGACTCCTATCGTTTTTCTAGCTCTTCTTGCATTTACCTTACTCTTTCTTCCTCTTCCATTTCTATTTTTTCTAACCTCTTATCAGCTTCTCTACTTTTTGAAGCAAGCTCAGACTGCCTTTTCTTTTTCATCAACTCATGTCTAGTATTCTGGAAAAAAAAAAAAAATCAAATTTAAAAGTAATAACATAATAATAGATTTACAATAGATTAGTAAATAGAGGCTTATCTAAGCTCGGAATTAGCTCTTCTTTCTTAAAGATAATTATATCTTTAATTGTCAATTTGCTTTTTTCTTTTTGACGATGTTTTATCCTTTTCACCTATTTACTTTTAGATATAAAATTAGTTATGTAAATAAATATCTTTAATTATAATCTACTTCATCTAACATCATTAGGTATATTTGTTTTTCAGCTTTTAACTATTAAATTTTTTCTTCTATTTTTTATCTTTCCTCTTCTGCTTACATGATCTTTTGTTATCTTTCAAATTCTATTTACTTTATAAATTTTTTTTTGGTTTTTAATATTTATTTAACTTTAATAATGTGATTTATTTACTTTTCTCTTTTCCATCACCTACTTAAACTCCTGCTTAGATTTTCTGTTGTAATTTTCAGTTTTACACCTTTGATTATTGTACTGGTTTTCAAGTTTATTAACATAAGTTTGTTATCTTTTAATTTCATTTGTCTATTTTATTTCATTTATTTATTTTAATTTTTCACTAGAAAGTGATTTAACTCTAGCATCATCTTTTTCTTACTATGCAATTATTTATTTAGCTACAGCTAATCTTATTTATTAGTCTGTATCTTTTTTTTAATGAATAGATTTTTATCTCTCCTATTCAATTACTTATTTTTGATTCTGTTTAATTTACTAATTAAGTTAGATTTCTTGAAGCCTTTACTCTGCTAGCAGGTTTTTCTATTAATACATAAATTCAATTTTAAATTTATATGGAAAAGCACAAAATTTACTTATTCTAATTCTTCCCAAAGCATTTATTTATCATACAAAAACTCAATATCCTTTTACTAAAAAGAAGATTTTAGCAATACATAAAACGAAATATTTTTACATTTTTGCTTTTAATGTGCCAAAGTTCTTTTGAGCCTCTTTCTAAAAATGATTCTTAAGTCAATGAAATATTATGTGTTTTAGATCCACTATTAATCTAGAAATTAAAATATATTGAATTAATAACATTTTTAATTAAAAAATAACATAAAATTAATAATTAACTTTATTTGTGGTTATATAACAAGCACTAATTTCTTATAAATAATACAGCCTTAAAATTAATAAATAAATATAAAAATACTATAATGTGTTTTACATGGAAGGTTTGAGAATATCTTGACCTATACTCGTTTTCTTTTTCCTCCTATTTAATGATCTTATTCCTTTCCTATATTTTTTAGCAAAATAATTATAATATTTAATAAAAATTTAACTCTACTTGTGAAACTAATCTAATTTTTTCTTGTCTTTTCATTTCATATTATTAATATCTCTCTTTAATGTAAATATCAGGATCTAAATGCTATTAAGCCTTAAAATTAATGGCTTCTTCTTCAAATTCATTTATCTACTTTATCAAGAATTCCTACTACTTATATCCAAGATTATCAATCGCTTTCAAAGAGCGAGGGCTGAAAATATTTTTATAATAAAATAAAGAAATTAACATAGATTGTTGTTAAAATTTTCGAGCAAATAATTTTATGAAAATCATTAATGGAAAATGGTCAACCTGTTAATCTTTTAAAATTTATTTGGGTCTGGATTAAAGTTTTTTATGCTAACAATATCTTAGTTTTCTACTTTTTGTGGTGTTTGCATGAAAAAAGCGATAGCAGCTTAGCTAGAATAGTAAATATTTACTTAATAAAATTTGATGTAAAAATTATTGATTAATATAAAATTTATACTTTTAAACAGTTGAAAATACTGAATACTCAAATCTCTTAATATAAAAACAACTGAATTTTTTAATACTTTAGCTTTACCATTAACTATTACTTCCAGAATTTACATACTCTGTTATTATTGACCATTCCTCTATTGTTATTAAATATTCAAAATAGAGAAACAGAATAACTCGTGTAATTTATTATTGCCAATGATCTGATTATTAACCATATTATTTAAAATAAATGAAAACACTATAACTAACTATATATCAAATGAAACCCATCACTAATAAATATTTTTATTGAATTTGATGAATATAAAATTTATAAAAATTAGGTAAAACCATATCTTAAAAAATAAGTAAATAATATAATTTATTTAACAATTTAAATTAAATATTATAAAGGCAAAATTTTTTTTTTAAATTGAAAAATGGAATCAAACTGAATTGAGTTTTTTTATTTAAAATAATTTATTAATAAAACTTTGAAATAATCAATAATAAATGTTATTTGAGTTAAAATATTAATTTGAATATTTGATAAATAAATGTAGTATGTTGTAGATGTTTAAATGAAATTTTATGAAGTAATTAATTAATTTATTATTTATTTAAGGAGATTCACCTATTAGTTAAATTATTTTTGTTTTAAAATTTATTATATGATTCTTGTTTGATAAGATATATGTTATGATAGAAGAATTATAAGAAATTAATTTATCTAAAATCAATTATAATACCGCATTGTTTGTTTAGATATCCTTTTTTTTTATTTTGGATTGTATTTTGATCAATAAGATTTCATTAAAGATTATTAAAAGCAAATAAAATTATAGGGAGAAAGAATCAATGAAAGAAAGTGCAATAAATTTTTTGGTTTATTTTGTTTATGCCCTTTCCTGAGAATATTATGATGATACGCATAAATAATTTATGATATAAAAGAAAAAGGAAATTAATTAAAATAAAATACAAATAAAAAGAAAGAAAATTAATTTTAATTAAAATGGCAGATTTTATTAATAAACCTCAAGAAAACGTTTAGAAGATCGTTGAAGCCATCAAATCTGAAGCAGAAGAGAAGGCTGAACAAATTAAAAAGAATGCTGAAGAATAATTTAAGATTCAAAAAAATAATATTGTCAATACTGAAAAGGATAAAATCATTGAAGAATATAAAAAGAGATTAGAAAAGCTCATAGTTGACAGAAGAATGTAATAATTTTATTGAAAAAGAATTGAAAATAATTATATTTTTAAGCAGTAAATTTAACAATTAAGCACATTTATTACTAAAAAAATCTAAAATTATTTTCAAATATCTTAAAATAGTCAACGTTCTGCCAAAATCAATGAATAGAGATTAGAAAAAATGAAAGCTCGTTTTGACTTTATTGAAAAGCTAAAGGGTGAAATTTCTAATAAAATCGTTTAATCCGTTTCAGACCCTAATAAATATAAAAATGTCTTCAAGCAACTTATAATCTAGGTAATCCATTCAGCTAATATCCTTCATGTTTTAACTAAAAAATATAATTGCATTTGAAATAAAATAATCAAATGATAAATATAGCAGCAGATAAAATAGTAATCCTATAATTTAGATTAGCATTAACAAAGACCAATAAGGTTGTTCAAAAAATATTAAAATGTTAGCATTGAAATTTAGGTTAAAAATTTAGCATAATTGAATAAAAAATAAAATGATTCTATGGCAAATATTATATATCGAAATAAATATCAAACTTTGCTAAACACAAGATATATTAATTACTGCTTTTAATTAAGTTATTAGCAATAAAAATCGTCATAGTTAGTGCATAAAAGGATTCAACAAATGCAAGTGAATCAAATATTTAAGATCGATTTTTATAGTGATAAAAAAGTAGAATTATATAAATTTTTATTGTATTATTAGGCCTTGATCAAGTTGATGGAACCTAAGGTTGAGTTAAAAGTAATGAAGAAAGATTTGTAGCTTGCTCGTGAAGTAAAGACAGAATGTGAAAATGAATTCAAGGCAATTGCTAAGAGAGAATGTAATAGAGACTTTAACTGTACTATTATTATAAATGAATACCACTCTCTTGAAGAAGAAAATCCTAAAGTGTAAACAAATTCATCCAAAGCATTTACTTTATCAATATTATTACTATTATTTATTTAGTATTGGAGGTATTGTTCTCACTTGCGATGGTGGTAGAATTTAGGTAAACAACACTTTAAATGCAAGAGTTGATCTTGCTTTCTAAGAATTCCTTCCTGACATCAGAAGAATTCTTTTCCCTTCTATGAAATGAAATGAGGTGAGTTTATAAAAAACAAAAATCCAAATAAAAGTAGCAATCTGAGTAGGCAAAGCGATTATTCAATAAGGATTTTTTAACAGCATATAATAAATAATTGGAAGTGTATTTATTTGCACAATAAATAAATTGTTAATTTAATACACATTAAGACTTTATCAATGAATATTATTAATATATCTATTATTATTTTATATTTGTTTTATTTTTTAATTAAGTACATTCAAAATTGAGAATTTATTAAATATATTCATTCAGACTATCTAAAATTATTTCTTTTCTATCTTATTTATTAAATCAAATAATATTTTAAACTATTCAAAGTCTTTCATTATGTTTTTGATAATAAATTGGAAATTTATTACGATCTAAAATTTACTTTATTTAACTTTAAAAAAGATATTTGAATAAAATATATATTTATAATTGAGGAATTATCTTAAATTGATTAGCATTTAAATTTTCAGTAATTTTTTTATAAATAAAAATATCTCTTTTTAACTTTATTTTTGTTGATTTACTTATTTTTTGATTAAAATGAAAACTATTAAAATAATAAGATACTAATTTTATAATTAAAGATATTTTTTTTAGCTTTTAAGAGAGTAGAAATAATTAATTTTATTTATTTATTTATATACTTTGGATGGAAAGCTTTAAAATACTATTTTATTATTTGTTTGAGTGAAGAAATAAATTAAACTTAAATAAATTTTTGATTTCATATATAGTTTTAGTACTAATAAAGCTATTAATCTTATTGTTGTTGGTAACTTTAATTATACTATAGTTAGTTATATGATTGAATTTGAGACTATTACATTTAACTCCTATTCAAATTACTGTTCTTCATTCTCTATCTTAATTTCTGTTAAAAAAAATTAATACTTTCAATAAAAAATATTTATTTTACTTGTTCGTATTCCTTTTTATGTTTAATTCTCTCTGCCATTTCTTATCTTTTCTTTTCTTCTTCCTTCTTTTTTTTTATTTCAGGCAAAAGCTCATAATTTTTCATTGTTAATTTTTTATAATCTTTCTTATCAACCTATTTATTCATATAAAATATTATTAAATCAAAAGTAAAAAATTTTTTTCTTACTTTTGCTTTCAAGCCATAAATCAACCTATTTAATAGCTCAGGTGGAGGATCTTTGATGCTCTTATTTTTTTAATCATTTTTAAGCTCAAAACTCATATCTAAATTATGAGAATTTTATCTTCCTCTACTCATACTTCCTTAATTTTACCTCGTATTATTGTTATTATTATTTGCAGATAAGTCTCTTCTACGAGTCTATTATAGCAGTTCTTTCCTTATTTGAGCTAATTCTTCTTTTGTTTTTGAAGGTTGCTAAGAGTGGTCTCTAACTTTTTTCTTTCTCTGATCTTCTAATTTATCTAATAACTCTTACTTTCTACTTTTAAAAATGTCTGCCAAGGATTACTTTGATTTGGAAACATCATCAATATTATCTCCTATAGTTTAAAATAGATTAATTTATTTTTTATTTTCGATAAAATATTAATAAAAATAAGTAAAAATTACCATCAAAAACAATATTGTAGGCATTAGCTTAATTATTATTTTAATAATTGGTATCTTCAAATTCATCATGGTTTTCTTCTGAAGGTTTAAAACTTTCCTAATGAGAAAATGTGGGTGGTTTATATTGTTAAAACTATTTTTTAATATGTTCTCTATCATCTTTCTAATGAGATGATAAACTTCTTCCCTTTTAATTTTAAGTTTCATTTTTCTATTCAAATATATTGTTTAGTGTTTGCTTAGGTTACAAATTGCTATTATTAGCAAAAGGAGAAGTGCTTGCTTATATTTCCTTTCGAGAATAATTCCTTTTTAAATTGCTTTGTGTTTGTTTTTAAGAATTTTTAGGGTCTTCTTAATTTTCATTATCCCAGTTTATTGTCCATTGTTAAGGAGATTTCTTCTCTTAAGGTTGTTTAGACATCTAATAAGATTCTTAAAATTCATTTTGTTCATTTTTTTAATATTTATTCTATTCTGATTATTTATTTTGAGGTATATCCCATCTTTTAGGGCTTCTAATATTCTATTAAGTTTAGCTGCCATTGCTATAAATAGGTCTTACTTACTCTGCGAAATCAGAATCTCCTTCTTTTTGAAATAATTTTTATTTATTTGATGGAGAATACTCCTTTTTGGAAGGAGGGATATTTTTTTAATTGGATTTTTCTAAGTATTTTTTAAAATCTTATTTAAATCTATGCTTAATATCTTCTATTTCTTCCTATTCTTCGTTTCTGAAATTAATCATTCCTTGAGGAGTTTCCACTTCATTTAAATTTAAATGTTGTTACTTACTAGAATTGTATGTAGAATCATCTCCCCATCTTTTTCTTTATGTATTAGGTTTAGAAATACCTTAAGTAATAACATTATTTGACTCTTACTATGCATGATTTGAGTAAGCTATTTAATTTTTTCCTTTTTACTCTTTTTCAAGTACATCATTCACGTGTTTAACATTTTACATTAAGTCCTTGGTTGATTTGGTTTTTTATTTATTGGAATCAATTTAATTGCATGAATTTTAAAAATTTTTGATATAGTGTTGTATTTCAGAGAGCTCCTTACTAACTATTTCATCAGTAGAAGTTTATTAAATTGAATTCTAAGAATTTTCGTATTGCTCTTTAGCAATTTTGCTAAGTTTTCTTTCTCTCTAAAGGTTTTTTATTGTAACTTCTTGCTTATAGATAATATCATCCATTATTTTAGAAAATTTTTAGAAACTTTATTTATTATGATGATCTTTAATTTCTTAACTTGAGTTATCATACACATTTAATTAGCTTTTACTTCTAGGCAAATTTTTTTATTCATTATGCTATTATTGTTTATTGTTATTAATAAATTGTTCATTATAAGCATTTTAGTTTGTTTCTGCTGCTTAGTTTTAGTTAGGGAGACCGTATGTACTTTATATTTATTTCTAGCTTAATGAGGAGTTAAGTTTTTTTTTAGAATAATCTAATATTTGGTCTAGTCTTCTCGACATAGTATCTTACTTCTCTGAGATATCTTTTAATTTGTCTTCAACTAATTTGGCAGGGCTTTAAATTAAATTATTATCTTAAAGATTTAAAATTTAAGTATTGCTCATAGATCTTGGTAAAGTTCCTTAGAGAATATCTTCAGATAATAACTATGTATTTAATTATTAATTCAATTTGAGACTTTAATTAGTTTGATTAAATTGCTCCTAAGCTTGAAGTAAATTTAAAAGCAATTATTAGTTTATAGGGTTAATTAACTATAATAAATTAGAATCTAAAACATTTTAGGATTTTTATTATTGCATTTACTGCTAAAGCAAGTAGTTAATTTATTACATGTTGGATTATGATCCTTATCCTGTTTAATTTTTCAAATAATCACTCTAAGATAAACCAAAGTTATTTACACCTAGTAAAGATTATTAATTTGCATTGTTCTTGCTTATTGTGTTAACCATTTACTAAGCTTAAACTTATAATAGTTGGGAAATCAGATTTTATATTAATAAATTTTACTAAGAAATAATATTGTTAACATCAGATTAAACAGGCTGCTATTATAATTTGCTATTCTATTGAATTTGCTAAATTTGCTACAAATTATTTTATTAGAACTAATTAATATTGTTTTAGCTTCTATTTTGTTGTCTCATTTTTCTGAGAGTGTTTTCTTCAGAAATTTTCTATAAATCAAGTTCTAAGCTTTAGTGTGCTGAATGGGCGTTTTGAATTAATTAATTTATAAAGAGCTACTACTAATTTTATTGAAACTACTATTATAAATTACTTGAAGGATGTTATGAATCATTCAGTAGCTTTTCTTTATTGTTCCTTTAGCTGGTTTATTCAAATTAAATTTATTTCTAAAAACCTATACTTTAATTAGACTAATCAGTCAAATTGTATTCATGCATTATTTATTAACTTTGCTTGTTAGGCTATTTTTTTATTTACTAACTTTATTCAAATATTTAGCTGTTATCTCTACTTTAAGAACCTTCTTAAAAGTAATTATTTTTTTTTATTTCTCTTTACAGCGATTTTTCTGTACCTTCAAATTGCAATCTTTGCCTGATTGATTTATCTTAATAAGAATAAGAATTAGGGTCAATAGAGTTACTTCTTTCATAATAATTGTATTCTAAATTGTTTTATTTCTAATCTCTTTGAGTTTAAGGATGCTAATAGTCGTGCTAGCTTTGACTTCTGCTCCTATCTTAATTTTGTTATTCAGTGCTATCATCGTAGTCTATATAATTACTCTTTGAAAGAAATCCCTTACCCTTTGTGTCATTATATGAGTTCTATAAATATGAATTATCTTAATTATTGCTTTTCTTAATGTTGCTGTTATCTCTGCTATGCATGTGCTTTCTCATATTCCAAAATTGATTCGCCTGCTATGAATTATTGCCAAAATCCATATTTTTATTAGAACTTCTTTAGCTGTGTCTTCCTTCTTCAAAACTCTAGTTACCTTAATAAAGAATATCTTCATATGAAAGTTCACACTCACTATTGTCTTATTTATTTTAACTATTTTAAGATTTATCATTGTCATAGTATTATCGATCTGAGACTTTAGGATTATATCTCTATGAATAAGGACTTGCATCTAAGTAATTATCTTTCTTTTTATAATATTTTTCATAGATGCCATCTATTGCTTAATCTTAAGTTTATTCAATTAATTTTAATTTTTTTTAAGAGTGCTAATGTAAGTTTTCTTTATGGAAAGCATTAACTTTATTTTGATAGTCTTAAGAGTCATCGTGATAAAGCAGTTGCTATCTTGAACCTTATTTATTCCTAAACTATCCTCTTTCATTCTCGTAAGCATCTGCTCTTTTTTAAAATAAGACATTAATCAAAATAATTTCTTAATTCTTCTTACTTCTAATAATTCCTCTAAGAGCTCTATTCGACATTAGAAACCTACTCTAAATAATTTATTTAAATATTTAAGATATATTTAATTAAAATTCAATTTACTTTTGTATTAATTTTATGGCTTATTTTGATATTGCTATTATAAATAAACATTTTCTGGATAATCCAAATATTTTTCTTAGTATTCACTCTCATTCATTTAATCTTTGTACTCATAATTTTCTCTATTCGTTTAATTCTTTTTTTTAAACTAAGTTAAAATCAAAAAATAAATGATTTATTTATTTATTACAATATTAGATTGCTTCTAATTTTATAGCCAATTTTATTTATCACTTTAGGGACTATATTCTCCATATTCATAGTTTTTTATATCGTAAACATTGTATTACTGACTTTGCTTAGCGCTTTTCTTCTATGAATATTGCTTTTGATAATTTAAAAATATGTATTTCTTAACTTAAAAGTTAGCGTAATTTACATTTTGAGCATAATATTTTTCATTCTTGTGGTTGCTATCTTTTTTTAATTTTTTATGATCTTCCCTAGCTTGCAAGTAGCTTATATTTTTCATTACAGGTTGCCTTAAAAAAATATTAATCTTAAAAATAATACTCTTTTCATATTTAAATTAACTACTCATTTTTATTATAGTTCTTATTGTTAGAATATGCCTTTTCTGATTGATCAATTCTATCAAAATATTGATTAAGCTTTTGCTGAACGACCTTTTTATATAATTCTCCTGGAGTTTGATTATTATTATTATTAGCCTTTGTTGTAAAATAAAGGTTTAGCATTATTAGATTAACATTTGAATTTATAATTTACAATTTAGATATCTCTTGAGTTTTTGTAATCAAAATCATTTTACAAAGTCATAATTTTTTTCTTTTGCTATGGTGAAGCTAATTAAGAAGAATTTTTTTTGTTCATCTTTCTCCCTATTTTATTTTATAAAAGCAATAACACAGCCTTTTAGGCTTCCTTTTTAAATAATAAGAAATTTTTAATCCTTTTAAATTAAAAAATAAACTTTTCAAACTTGATTATCAATCAAAAAATATTTATTTTTTAAAATCACAAATTTACAATTTGAATATATCTTTTATAGTTAATTATTCTAATCAAATAAAATATCATTCATTATTTTATTTGTTTAATTGTATTTAATTTATTTCAGTAAACAAAAAATGTTAAAATTATTTCAACTGATTTATTTTAATATAAAAACAAATAGAATTTCTTTTGAACCAAAGAAATTTTTATTTAATTAAGCAGTGAAAATATTTATCAAGTTAATTATTTTCTAAAATTTTTTGCTTTTAATCCTTATTTTTTAGTAAAAAAACTCATCTTCTTTATGATGTTTGAAGTAAAAAAAACATCTTTTGTTAAAAATACTATTTATTTAATCAAAGAGAATAGAAAAAGTAAATTATTATTTCATTCATATTTTATCAAAATAAAATAAGTGGAGAACCCTCAAGAAACGATTAAGAGGAATTAAAGATAAAAGAAATAATTATCTGTTCATATAATTTCTATCAATCAAGAGAAAAAATACTATTTATATAAAATAGTAAATGATAAATTATTAATATATTTATCCAATTTTTAATAGGAATTTTATTAGAAAAAAAGTAGATGATTATCTTGATTGAGTAAAATAGATATTTAATGAAAATACGAATCAGTTAACTACAAATATTTATTTATTTACACTTTTTAAATTTATAAATTTTAATTATATTTATATTATATTTTATTATAAATAAGTACAGTTAATTTACTCACTCTCTACCAGTTATTAATTTGTCTTTATCAAATAATTCAATTGATTTCATTTATCTTTTATTAATAATTCAAAAGTATTTTTCAGTTATACTCACTCAATACTGATTGACTGAATAATTGAATAAAGTATTATCCTTTCTAATTCTTATAAATATTAATTAAGTATTCATTTTTATAGTTGATAATTTAAAATATAATTTCATCTATTTTCAATCAACTATAAAAAATTTAATTTATCATTAATTTTTTGAACTAATTGCAACTCGGTTTTTTAATTTAAGACTTTGTCTTCCAATATGGATAGAATGTTTTCTATTAATCCCAAATATATCACTAGAATTAAGCTTGCTTACTTAGGGAGATTCACTACTTTCGTTGTAAAAGCTTAAATTGTTATGTGATAAATTCATACTTTTTTACTTTTAAAGAGGTCTTTTTGTCTGAGTTATATCACTCATATTCAAAATATCAATGTTTTCTTCTTAGAACAATTACTTTTAGTGAGGAGGTTTTTAATTTCCGTTTTAATATTTATGATTTCCATATAAATTCTCACTTATATTATCATCTTCATAATCATCGTAATTAGAATTTTCTATTCTACTTAAATCGATATCAGCTAGATTTTGATCTAAAACCTCTGAGAACTTTGAAGAATTGCTCATATAACTTTAATTCCTGTATGAAAAATTTAAATTAATATGTATAAAACAAATTATTAGTTAATTTATTAATTAATTACAATCTATTCGAAGGAGTTATCTCTTATTAATTGAAGTAGCTGTTGTAAGGCTTGAAAATGCTCTATGGAGTTTTTTCGCCATAATAACTTGAATTTAAACCATTTTTATACATTTTCATTTTATCTCTTCTGCTAGATCCTCTGTTCTCGAATGGTAAAATTGAAGAAATTGGACTCCTAATTTCCTCATCATGTTTACTTTAAATTCCTAATTCTTCTATTAAATTAAGAGGAATAATTGTGTCTGACTAGGTTTAGATTTTATAAAAGCTGTCAAAGTCGTTAACATTTTTTTCAACAGCACACCTTTAGTTCATAACCTTAAATTTGTTAAGTTTAGCACTAAATTGCTATATGCTTTCTTATATTTACCTATCTTATCTATATTTATTTTAAAAAAGAAGAAAGTAAATCAAATGAATCAATTTATTTATAATAAATGTGTTACTTTTCAAATTCATTTATTTCTTTGTTGAGATTATTTAAAAACAACTCCTCTTATTATTCATCATAAGACTTCGTAAATAGCTAGTCATCATTATATGATTTATCGTCAATATCTACTAAGCTGTCATGATCTCTTGACATCTAATATTGGCTTTCGTTAAGTATATTAAAGTCATTTACATTAATTCCTTTCAGCCTTTAACTTATCTCTTATAGAATATTTCTGCTTTATTAATTTTCTAAGTAAAGTTTTGAGTACTGCTTTTCAAACTCCACAAATAAATTTTCAAACTTTTTAATTTTAAGCTTGTTGTTAATACATTCAATATAACGACAGCCAGTACTATCTTCACTATTTCTAGCAGCTTCTTCATCTTCTGTAGAAATCTAAAAGTCATTTTAGTTTTTCATCATTGGAGAGGTCTAAGTCTCTGCAAGTACTTTCTATACATCTCTCATTATTTTTTTTTCCTATTCTTTGTAAATTCGTATTTTTAATTAAGAATTAAATTAAATAAAATATATATTACAAATTTCTTATTCTTATTGATAATATTTAGAAGAGAGTTTTTAGATTGTTTGTTCTATTTCTTAAATCATTTGATCACTTGGTTTTGCCAGTTATTAATTAAGAAACTGAATTTCTTTGTTCAGCTTCATTATTTATTCTTCTGAGGAGTTCTTAAGTGAATCATATCTCATTTTGTAGCTCATAAGCTCTTAATATTGCTTAGCTAATATACTTTGATCAATACCCATTGATGTTTATTTGCTTTATTATCCGATATCATTTCTAGATTTTAAATTATTTGACTACCCATTTTTTAGAGTATCTTTGTTATTTTTATTTATTTATTCTATTGTATTTGCAGAAGTAGCTGTTAAATTTTAGCTAATTAAATCTAGATTATTTGCTTAATCTTGGCTATATTATTTTTTTAAATTAAATATCTGGTTGATCAGCATTTCATTTTCCTATTTTAATTTTTATATTTGTTCAAGAAGCTACTCTTCAGTGTAAACTATTTTAACAGCAAGTTCATTTTATATTTTTTTTGCTTCTCTTGCAAATCTTAAGGTTTAAATTGTTTCCTCTTGAAATCTATCTGAAAATCTAGCAGCACATATCAAAGTAGTTTTAGAGTTACCTCCTAAACTTTCTTTTAAAATACGCGTGAGCTTAGATTCTCTAAAAGGAACCTTTTTATTTATTAAAGAGATTTTTAAAATATAATATTATTTGGGTGTTTACATGCTTTTTCTCGTTCTTATCTTGCGCTTTAGAAAGATGAGTTATACATTTAGCTAAAGTAAGTAGACTTGTATTTATATTTTTAGTTTCTTATAGCCTATTCTTATGATTTGATTAAAGTTTTTCACTTCCAGCAAGATCTACTATGCAAAGACGAGATAAAATTTAGGTCTAATCTAACTAAATTTATTCTAGATTCAACATAAAAATAGTATGAGATCTGCTTGATCTACTGTTATCTTGAGTTATACAAACTTTTCTATTGGCTAAGCCTTTTTAAAGGCATTTCATAATCTCTTTGTAAGAATTAACAGGCTCTTCAACCATATTCTAAATGACTATCCCCTTTTTAGGACATTCTTAAATCTTTTGAAAATAAAATAGAATTTATCTCCTATTTAAATTTTTTATTCTAAAATAAATAAATATTTTAAAAGCAAATTTATTTTATTTTTTAGAGAATCACTGATATATATTGACTGATTTTTACTTTCAATCTAATCTCTACTTAATTTTAATCATAAATATTTTACTATTGGCTTTTTACTTGCTTGGTTTTATCCACTCCTACTCAGCATATCAGTTAGTTCTTCATTATAAACTTCTAAGTAACTGCATCTTAATTAATACTTTATTCCTTTCTCATGCGCTTTTTCTAGTTCATCATAAATTGTTTATATACTTCTAGGTAAAATCCCATACTTTTCTTTTTATTCAAAGCTATCTTGAAAGTTGCTTTTTAATATCTTAGATTCTATCGACTCATCACCAACAATTGTGAATGTTTTTCCACTTCCTGTTGATCCATAAGCAAGAATTGTGCTATTATATCCTTTTAAACTTAAATTTTAGTTATTAGAAGTTAGTTTGATAATAAATCTGTTTGTTTTTATATAAAAATCAATAAATTTAGCTTACAATGCTATTACATTATCTTTGGCATAACTTTCATAAAAAAATTTTTGATCTTCTTTGTCAGTAACTGCATCATATGTAAAAAATTTAGTTTTTTATTAAATATTAGGATCTATAGATACTCCCCTTATCGAGCCTCTATGGGTGAGTGTTTAGCTTTTTCTTAAGTTTTCGTTTCTTTTAATTGTGACTGATTTACCATCTTCTTTAATTTAAATGCTCTATTATAGATAAATAGTTTTAATTTCATAAATTTGTTATCCTATATTAGTGCTCATTTAAAAAATTAATTTCAATTAATGTGTGTAGATTTTACATCAATATCCTTGGAGTCATTTGTTCTAAATCTGACGACAACCTTAATTTTTTCATTAGAATCGCTACAATTTATAGGATGGAAATCTATAAATGGTAGCAGTTTTGTTTCCGTTTACATACAAATTTAAGATTTGATTTTTTTAATTTATGAATAAATATATCTTTTGTAAAAAAGCAATATATATTAAAATTCAATATTTTATATTATGAGTCAATACAATTATCAACTCTGTTATTTATTATTAATTCTAATACAAGCAAAATTCTAATGCAAACATAAACACCATTAAAATTTACTATCCAATTTATCATTTTGCTATGTAATTTTAATCTTTCTTCACTGAAAAATTGTAAAAACCTAAATACTAGCCTTTTTGTGAAAGTTTTATGTTAGGTCATTTAATTTTATGAAAATTTAATTTGTAAATATTAATTTAAAAAGTTGTTCATTTTTTTTAAATTAACTCACAAAAGTATACCAGAAATTGTTTTGAATTTCTCGTTCAAAATTACGTTTTAATTTTTAAATATTTAAGCTTGGTTAAAATTAATTACTTAATTAATTAATTGATGATAATAATTGTTTCAAAAGTAAATTATTACGAACTAAAGAATATTCATATTGAAATTTTAAAAAGAGTTATGAAAATATTTTCATAATATAACCATAAACTACTTAAATTGTATTTATGTGTTAAAAAATACATTTTAAACCTTAAATAAAATAAGATTTTATTTAATAATAACTAGGATTTAATATAAAAATCTGTATGAAAGAGAATCTCATATAGATGTATAAGATATTTTAATTCATAAATAAATTAATAAATAGTATTCAAGTTAATTTAACAATTTGTTTTAAATTTAACAAAAAATAAAATTTTTAATGACAAATTTTCTTAATTATCTTATTTACATATTTAAAAATAAAATTTTTAAAATTAACATAAATAATGTTTTAATTTATTTCGCTTATATTTTTAAAAAATGGTAAATTTAACGAACTTTTAATTTCCAGCTTAAATTATATATTTCTTTATTTATTAAAAGATAGATGTTGATTAAAAAATATTAATTTTTTTTATAATTTGCAAACAATAAGTATAGATTATTACATTTCATAGAAAAAACTATACATACATATATGATTTCGCAATATAAAACTTAAGATTAATTTAAAAGCACTGTAATACACGCTTTTATAAAAAACAAACTCAATTCCAAAACAAAAATAAAATGAACTCGCCAAGAAAGAAAGCTAGCAGTGAGTAGGATAAATGCTTAAACAATAAAAAGAATAAGCTAAAAATTTGTTTCTTAATTTTTGTAGGTCTTATCATACTTTCTTTAATTTATGGAGTGTATTCTCTTCTAAATTTATTGTTGCCAGGGGTTATATCAATGCTTGTAATGTTAATTCATAAATTAATTAGTCTATCTTTATAATTTAATCAACATGCAAATAAAATGGAATTTTTTAATTAATAATTATTAAGGTGATTCTGTTGCTTTTTTTTTATGCTTTGAAAGTTTTAATTCGAATAATGCTATTTCCTGGATCTGTGAAGCTTATGCAAAGATCAACTGAATATAATTACATGATTAATAGAGCTAAAATAATGCATTCAAAAATCTAGCTTGTTTTAAGTATAATTGAAAGCATAGAGTCTTAAAACATTTTCTTGCTTATGGATTATAGCGGAAATGACTTATAATCTGTATATGATCGCGTTACTACCATGATAAAATCATATTAAAAACTAGAAGAAAAGAAAATAATAAGTAGTTATTAAGCAGATTTTTATGAAGCTTTGAAAAAACTTCAAGAATAATGCTAAAAGACTATAATTACTACTGACTGTACAAATTTCACGTTTTGGGATTTGATAAGTAATAATGATCATCTAACAAATATTAAAAATTAGGGTAAATTTTTGGTTTTTTTACTCAAAAAATAATTTCTTCCTTTTATTATTTTTAGGGTATGTTGTACACTTCTAAAGTAAATCACAGGTTAGCGATCTAAAAACCATAGTTATGGAAACTATTGTAAATTTTTTAAATTTTGATTCATTAATCTGATAATTAACAATATTTCTAATTCATTATCAGGAAAAATTTGATTCAATTATCTTCAGTGACAAATTAAGTTTTAAATAGAAGTGGAACAAATGGTTTAAAAATGACTCTTTTGGATCTCTAGATTATGTAAGATAATTCAAATAAAATTAAACAAACAAACCATTCAATTTTATGTTAGTATAAAGCAGAATTACAAACTACTTATAAGACAAAAGAAATTATCATAAACACTAAAGATAACTCTAAGCTTGATTGGTAAACTTCAAATTAAAATGTTCAATTTGTAATTCATTTATTTTAATTTACTAATATTTAGTTTACTCATATACGGTGATAAGTAAACAAACGAAAATAATGAAACACAGTAAAAATAGCCTGAAGATTTTCTTTTTCTTTAAGAAGGCACACCAACTATAATATTCTCAAATCCTAATGCAGGCTTTTACGAATTTTCCAAATATTCTGTAAAATTAACCAATTAATTATTTATATTTTATCATAAAAATTATTTTTTCAGAATGAGTGGGTAGATTTTTACTTCAAAAAAGGAATAAATACACTTGTATGGAATTATAGAGGATACGGAAAATCTTAGGGAACACCTTCTCCAGCTGTAAAAAATTTTATTCTAGATTAATTTATTGATTTCATCTTCAATAAAGGCCGCTTTTAGTGATGCTGAAAAAATTGTTGATTACTTGAGAGAACATGAAAAGGTAGGATTATTAGGATCTCATGGATAAAGTCTTGGAGGTATGGTGGCATGTCATATTGCAGCTAAAAAAAATTTGGACTTTCTCTGTGCAGATAGAACTTTTTCTTGTGTATCTGACATTGCTTATTACTCAATGCCCTCATTTTTCAAGCAAATTGTCAGATTGTTGACAAGTTATGATGTTTGGTCACCAATCAATTATTATAAAGCAAACTGCTACAAAATACTTGCTTATGATCCAAAAGATAATATAATCATTTACATGTCATCTTTAAAGAACGGAGTGTCAAAGCAAATTGCACAAAGCATGTTTTTAAAGAATTTTTAAAACTAGCTGTACCACTAAGAGTAAAATGAAAGTCTCCTTAAAAATACTAAAGGTTACTGTATGAAAACTTGGAATGATGACACTACTGTCTCATAGGTTACTAGTATATGGTTGAATGAAAAAGATTAAAAAGATTTATATGGAGCATTCTCTAGAGTGACTAAAGCAATCAAAATCGTTTTGGATAAAAAGAGCATTCAATCAAGCTAAGATAGCAATAATTCAAAATAAAATCAAAAATCAAAAACACAGAATTAAAATACTCCATATAAAACAAGAAATAATATAGGATTTATGCAAAAATAATCTCAAAGCGACCTGAATAGTACTCTTGATTATAGCAACATTTTGAATGGTAGTTTGCTTGTTGATAATATAAAAGATGAAGAGAATAAATCTTCACTTTCCAACTCTAAATAGAACCAATCTCTACATATTTCTAATTCAGAGTATAACTGCTATCCATCTAATATGGAACAACGAGATATCTGTGAGCTCTAAGATTTAGAGAGTCAAAATAAAGGAATTCAACCATCCTCACCAAAAAACAATAATAACGATATTTCTTTAAGCCAACAACCATCTTGCAAAAAATAAATTATTCCTTTTGACGAAGCTAGCAATTCTGGTTACATAAATCTGATTACAAATGAGCATAAATAGAATAAAGAATTTTCTAAATTAATGAAGAGTATATTTACAATTTTAGATTCATTTGACGCCGGAGGTCTTTCATTGCTTGATGTTTTTTACCTATACACAAATAAATATTCATTCTAAATATTCCAAGTAATTAAATTTTAATTTTAAAATATTGAATAAATGAATTATTTATTAAATCTATTAATATAGCTTTTTATACTAAATCTTAATATATGGGGTTCTTATCTTCCATTGACTTAGATCATTAGGAAAAACATGATTGGGATATTACCTAAAAAATATGCAATTGTAAAACATCTTCGTAATATTTATTTAAGTTTAAAAATTATTTTTTCAACTAGGCGAAAGTGAAAGAAATGATAAGAAAATTAGAAACCCTTTCTAAAAATCATTAAGAAATACAAGGAATTAATGAAGAAATTTAATCTAATGTAAAATATTTCAAATTTTAAATAAGAAAAATGGTAATTTAAAACTTTTATTAAAGATAATAGCTGATTTAAACACAATAGTTGCAAAATTAAAAATACTCAAAGAAAAGTTACAATAAAATTAGATTGCATAAAGTAACGATAAACTCTTAGAAGCTATAAATTAAAATAAAGATATTTAAATTATGAATGATGGTGATAGTAGTAAGTCTTAAGAGCCAAGCACAAGCTCAAATCCCTACTCTTTAAGTAGTGGATAAAACACTCCTAAAAAAGTTAAGTAAGACAATGAAGGAGAATCTAAAATTTATTAAAACTTAAAAGAAGAATCATAACCATCATAGTTAATAGAACATTCTGATATAAACAAAATTATTGGTAACTTACTACCACTTTAATGTGGTCATAATGGATTCTACTCTAATTTTGAAGTCTAGTTATTTGAGTTCCATTTAAAAAATGCAGGGTTTTTAAAAAACTGAAATTAAATAGAAATCTAATTTTTGTAAATTTATTTATTTAAATGTAATATTTAAAAATATTATATCTTTATTGTGCTTTTATAACCATCAAAAACTCCATCACCTAAAATCAAATTTATTATTATTTATTCCATATTTTATTTAAAAAGTAATAGTGAATAGCATATTTTATTCTTACTTTTAAAATATTCAAAATATGAATTTTATTTTTTTTAATTATTTATAAATGAATTTTTATTTCTAAACTGAAACAATTTATTTAAATGATTATTTTTTTTAATGTATATAAAAAAACACATAAATAATAGTATAAAGTAAAAATTAGAGAATTTGGATTATATAAATTTAAAAATAATGAACAAATTTTAATTTATTTATTTTTGGAAATAAAAAAATCTTTTGAATTAGCCTTTATATAAAATTTTGATATTTAAAATAATAAAGGAAATTTTGAATTAATAATAAAAGGAAATTTTGAGTTTAGTAAGCATAAATATAATCAATCAATAAAATGTTAAGAAATAAAACTGTTTAGAGTAAAATTAAATTCAATACAAAATAGATTTTATAATACTTATATATACAAAAGAGGATGAGAATTAAATAGAAATATTATCTTTAAAATTATTAATATATTTAAAGAATAAGAAGAAATAAATTCTGCTTTTTATTCCTATTTAATTGTTTATTTTAGATTACTTTATTAAAAATAAAATATTTTTATTTAAATCTTTTTTAATTTTGATTAATTTGTTTTTGCTTAATTATAATGTAATCAAGTGCTATGTTTATTACTTTATTTATTTATTTATTTTTGTTGGTTTGTTTGTTTGATTTTTTGTGTTTGACTAATAGATTTAGAAATCCTAATAAGGTTTTTATTGTTTTATTTAAAAGTGTAATATAATTATTTTTGTTGCTTATTTTAAGTTTATTAAATATTAATTCTAGAAAAAACTTCATCAAAAACAAAATTTTGATATAATGGAATAGTTTAAAATAGTTAGCGATTATCTTCAAAAGATCTTGTCCCAATCGACTACTTTAGATGCATTTGGTAATTTAAGAGCTCCAAATTCTTCTTTGATTTATTATTGAATTTACTTTCCAGGCGCCTTTAAAACTTATTCTGTAGTTAAATAGCTCTAATTTGAAGGCTGATAAGGTGGTTAATAATTCATATCAGATAATTTAATCTATTTTTAGAATGATGAAATTTCAAAATTAAATTTTCAAATAATTATTTATTTATTAATTTACCCAATCAACATTTCTGAAGAATTAATGGCTTTTCAAAGAACTGTAAGAACCTCCTGTTCTCATTTCAGGAACTCTGGATAAAAGCTATTCCATTAAAGATTTAGCCATAGGATCACTTAAATAATTGGGGAAATTAATCTCCTTTTTTATAATTTCCTCATAGATTTCATAAGGGTCTTCAGCTTCTTCACCAAAAGGAACATATCCACACATAAATTCGTAGAGGCAAATACCTTTATTTTATATTATTCTATTTAACTAAAAATTATTTAAAAATATTTAGATATTACCTACTGACCAAAGATCAACTAAATAGCTATAACCTTTACCAGAAATAACTTCAGGTGCCATATAATGAGGAGTTCCGATAATAGTAAATGTACGTGTCATTGTGCCAGCATTAGTTTACATGATCTTTGCAGTACCCATGTCTATTAACTTAAGATATCCCTGTATTTAATAAATAACACTTATATTGCTTAGATTTTAATGAAAATTCTCTTTTTACCTTGTGAGTAATCATGATGTTTTCTGGTTTAATATCTCTATAAATTATCTTTCGAGAATGAAGATATTCGAGTGCTAGAATAATAGAACCAATGTAAAATTGTGAATCCCAAGTACTAAGTAAACCTATTTCTCTGATAACTTCAAAAAGCTCTTAACCTTAAATGAATTCTAGTAAGAAGTAAATATAGTAGTCATCCTTAAATGAGCGGAAAAATCTCATGATGAAAGGATAGTTAACTGTTTGCATGACTTTCTTTTCTTGCTAAAAAGAGTTAAAGAAAATTTATTAATTTAATTATAATTTGAAGAATTATTTACAATTAAATGCTTTTCTAGGCTGGTCTCAACAACGCTTGATTTAGAAACACATTTAAGTGCATAGATTTGTTTTGTGTCTTTATTTTTGACCAAATAAACAGATCCAAATTATCCATTTCCTAATTTTTTTACTACTTCAAGATCGTCTATTGTAAGATTTTCTATATTTTGTCTGATTTAAGATTCTTTGGCTTCAAGCTATTCGCTAACTTTTTAATTTTTCTTCAAAATATCCTATAAAGTTCCACTTAACTTTGCAACAAGGTCAGAAATTTTCACTTAACCAATAACTGAATCTTCTTCTGTGACAATATTTTACTCATACACAGAAGTCTCGTCGGCATTAATAATTTCCTTTGCTCCAAGCAATTAACTTTTCTAGTAAACAATATCTCCATCCTTTTATTTAATTAAATTTTAATTTAAAAACTGCTTTTATCCAAATTCTTAAAAAAATTTAATCAGTCAACTAACTAATTTTACTCTTTAATAATTAATAAGTAAACTAAAAACAATTTAAATACAATATAAAATCCAAAAAATATTTTTTTTTAGATTAAAAATCTATTTAATTTTAATAAATACCTTAACAGATCCTTTAAGAATGATGTATAACTGTTGTGCCTTTTAAGTACCTTTAGGAATAATAACTCTACCTTTAGTAATATGAGAAATTTATATGCTGTCTAATATTTTATCTAGTTAGTTAATAGTTAGCTCTTTGAAACCATCAGATTTTTCTAAGGCCCACTTAGATATGTTTCTATATATGATCATTTCAACTTTGTCTCCGAGTAACTTTGTAAGTACGTCTCTTCCTAGGGCAAGGCATGTAGTGTCTTCTAATGCTTTAATAGTCATAGTTCTAGTTTAATCTCCTTGTAATAGTGCAGTTTCGCCAAAAGATTCACCTTAACCCAAAGTTCTTACTTCTTTATCACCGAGCATTACACTCACTTTACCTTCTTTAATAATGTAAAATGAACTTGCTGGATCATCTTTGTTAACAATATTCTATTCTTTCAAAAAGCGCTGGTCAATTAATACTCCTGCTATTGCGTCTTTCTAATTTGAAGTCAAATTTTCTATTTTTTTTTTTTAAATTAAAGTCAGTAAGATAAATAACAAATTGAAAAATTAAACAAGGCTAAATTATTGATTGATTGATTTATTTATTTATAGCTTTTTATGAAAAATTTAAATTTAAAAATCAAGATTTTCCAAAAATATTCTATGTTCTCCCTAAATATTTTTTCAAAATAATTTTGAATTTTCTTCCAACTAATTATGATGCTAATCAAGCATAAACTTTTGAAAATTTGAAATCTTTTATCAAGCTTAGCTTAAAAAATATTTATTTAATTTGAAATAGAATGAGAAGAGATAATATTAATATTTGAAATTCTTACAGAAAAAAGTTATCTTTTCTATAAATTTCCTATTTTATTGGTATTCCTACGTAATCATTTCTTCAACAGCCTTCCTAAATGTGTTTCTTTCAATCATCCAGAAGTAAGATTTGGATAAAGCAACACAAGTAGCTGAACGAGGGGCATTGTATAGAAGGGCCAATTCGCCAAACCCTTCACCATCTTTTAATTTTCTAACTTTCTATTAATTAACCTGAACTTCTATCTCTCCCTTTTCTATAACCAATTTATAAGGATTAAATTATAAATTTATTAACATTATTTTTAATCTGAAATTAATAATAATAGTAATAATGAATGATACTTAGTTGATTATGAAATTAAATGGAAAAATATATAGGAAATAAATAATTAAAAATTACCCAAAAGGAAAAAGCAAAATGCATCATCTCCTTACTTGATTACTTACTCTCCTTGGTTAACTTCACAATAGCTCATCTCATTTACTAAAGTCTCCCTTTTATATTTTTATTTTTTAATAGGGTGTTTATTTTTATTTAAACATATAGAGAGGATAATAATGCATCATTCTTTAGAGATAATGCTTGCTTATTAACATTCTATAAATTAAGGTATGTATATATATATAATATTTCGCTTTAAAATATTACAGCTACGAGTCTTGTAAGTTGTAAAATACGAAGTGGTTTTTTAAGCATGTAATAATAAATTTAATGTCTTAATATGTCTTTTTCTTCTATACTACAGTATACTTTTCTGGCTTCTCAAGTATCCTTAAATCTATATTATTTTTTGGAATGCCACCAATCACTACTCTCTTATCAGTTCTTTTTTTCTAATTTAAATTATTTGATTATTTTTTTTAATCTTAAAAATAAATCTCAAAATTCCAATAGCTCTGCATGGTTAATCGATTGTTGCTGCTTTAAATTTCAGAGATATATTGTTACAATAATTTATTATCAAAGAAGACTTTGACATTCTAAAACTAAACTAGGTTAATCGCTTAAGAACCCATTCACATTATTGCATTATAAATTAGTATTAACTTAAAAATAATGCTAAAGCTTCTATAAAAATGTATTGGGAGTAAAATATCTCTTCTAGAGACAACGATTAGCTTGCAGAGATCTTGTATGGCCTAAAATATATTTAAATAATGATTACGTCTAAATTTCCTATCATTTTGCTAATATAAATTTTGGTTCTATATCTAATTTTTCAGATATTTTAGTATTGGTTAATACTATGCTTTTGTAATATATCTTAATTGATTTTTTTCTTGATTTTAATTTTTCTTCTTTTTAATTTTTTTTTTTTGCAAAATTAATTGAGTAATATAATATATCTAATAGTAAGAACAGACTTTAGCTTAAAGCGCAAACATTTGATTTTCTTCTACACTTAAAATTCCTTGTTAGCCTTCAGAACTTTTGTTTAATATTTTACCAACCACCACAATTTTTATTTTTGTAAGTAAAAATTGAGCGAGATAATAAATAATTTTCTAAAAATTAAAAATATAACAAAGTAAATTAATAATTATATTATAAGAACCACTATCAATAATATATCTATAGTAGTGTTTTTTAAAAGTAAGCCATACACCTACCTACCTATTTTTTATACTTTTAAAGAATTTAAAATAACATTTATAATTCATGAATACAAAAATTGTATCAAAGACTTACTCAACGTATTTGTGGTCCATAAATCATTTTTAGATATTAAATATTTCAAAATAGATTTTTATATTAAAGAAATCAATTTTGGATAGTGGCGAATTTAATTTTTTAATTCATTAAAATCCATTGTTTTTATCATACATTATTTGGTCAATATTAAAAGAAAAATATCCTAGTATGAATAAATGCTTTTTCATTATAAAATAAAAATAGATCAGGATAAAATCAATAATTTAATTTCTATATTTTTCATAAAGTAACATAAATATAACCTATTTTAATAATATTTTAAATGAAAAAAAATATACCTCAATAGCTCAATTAATGGATTTAGATTCTTAATTTCTTGTATATATATCCAAAATTAATACAAATATTTCCACAAATCAATATTTTTTAGCAAAAAAAAATCAAATAATTGACTTAATATTACTTTGAAATGAAAAATTAATTAAGTTATTAATTAATGATGTAAAGAAAATTATATTTAAAAAAACTAAAAAATTATGTTGTCTTCTCTATTTATTAGAGTAAATTATTTAAGCAATTAGTAATTCTTGTAAATAAAAATTTAATAAAATAAATATCAAATTATTGAAATATTTTATACAAAATATAAAAAATATTAAGTATATTTACCTTTAGCTTACATTTTAATAATTTTGTTATTTAGTATTTTTGTTACAGGATTAAATTTAATTACAAGCAAGAAGAAATTTATTTATAATTTTATTAATATTAAAAGTTAAAAGAAATCAAAAGCTTGCCATGTTTTTAGAGGGTGATTATAAATATTAATATCTCCTATGCATCATTTTATGGCAGAAATTTTTAAACTCTCTAGCTGTGGAATAGTTAGAGTCATATTCAAACCAAGTATATGAATTTTATCTTTAGTATATTATACTTGACTTAAAATCAGTCAATTAATAATAAATTCTGATAAAGTATCTAGTAAGTCCAAATGGTATTAGCAACACACCTAAAGAAATCAGTGTAGCATAATATATTGCATGAACTAAAATCAAAATCACAAGTAAAATACACAAATAAAGAGTTACTAGTAAAAGCATGATAATCAGATTCACAACTTTAACAAACCATAGAAAAATATGCTATAAAATTAAAACAAAACAGCTTTCCTTCTTTTTTATCACCCACGATTTGTTAAAGACATTTATAAAAGGCATAAAAATTACATCCAAAAGCTTCTTTCCTAGGAGAGGGTTATTAATACAAAAGAGTTTCAATTTAATATAAGATATAGCTTAAACACAATTAAGTTAAGAAGGACAACACCCATTCTGCTCATTGTACTCCATAATAAATATTTCTGATATATCCTCGCACTCTACCCCAAGTTCAAATAGGTATCTCTAATAACTATTTAAAGGGTTTTAAGCTTCATCTGAATTATTGATATTTTTTTATTAGCTTGCATTATTAATTCCATAACCATCTACTTCTTTCATTTCAAGAACAATATCATTATTATGATTATAAGATATATCTATCTTATTTTCTTCATTTTCTTTTTTATTGCTAAATTCTATAATTTTAGATTGATTTTAATTTGATTCCGAAACTCTTTTTGTATTTTAAGGTGTTTCTTGAAGATCTACTACTAAGGGTTTATCTTGTTAGTTTTCCTTTTAATTGCTTAAATAAACTACATTAGATGTATTTTTCAAATCAATCTTTTGAGAAACAAAAAGATTAGACTGAGCTGGAGTTTTTTCAAAATCTTCTAAAACAATAACCTTTTCTACTTAGCTCTGATTATTATTTAATTGAATGACTTTTGAGTTATTTTAACTCACAAATTTATAAGATGTTTAAAGATTTTATACAATTTTATTTTAATTAAGATCTTCCATTTCAATCACTTTTTCTTCTTAGTTGATTTATTTGACATCTGCTTCTTTTGCTTTTTCACTATTATTTAAATCATTTTCAGCTTTATCATTTTTTACAAGACTCTAATTTTTTTCAGGTTAATTACTTTAATTATTGTCTAAATTCTGTTATTTCAGAGGTAATTAACAATTAGAAATTGAGCTAATATACTTATTAATGATAACATTTGGGTTGAGAATTTATAATTTTATATTTTTGTTTTGATTTTTATGATTATTGTTGTAAGTATTTATTTCACTTTACTCTATATCATCACCATTATCGTCTTCACTATCATCATAAATATCTTTCTTTTTTTATTCTTTTTTAGATACAGTGTTATCAAACTAAGTCTACTCATAAGTATTATTTTTTTAAAGTAAATTTATTAGCGCCTGTAAATCAATATGGCTTTTAGTATTTAAACTACTTTAATTCATGATTTTTTAATATAATTAATAGTAAATAGTAGATTTATCAACACTCACTAAATTTTCAATTTCCCCTTTTAATATATAATCAGTGAGTGTAAGCTCGTCTATATTATTAATATATTGATTACAGAAATTTTGCCAATTTGATATAAGAAGAATAAATATTCCAACAACCTAAGTATTATTTAATCTTTGATATTAACATTCTATCATAGCTACCAGTCTATTCTTTAAGTTATCATTTAAATTTTATTCAATTTTTTCATCATCTATAATTTTTTCACTTTCTATAACTTTAAGTAATAGCTTAGGCTTGTAATCATTTATCAAATAGTATTGTAAGTTTAATTTTAAATTCACTCCATTAGATATCTTTTCTGATAATTGAATAGTTTGAATTATTTAGATAATTATTTCTGCTTTTTATTATTCTAAAATATTTTAATTTAAAGATATTCCCTCATTCAGAAATTCTATTATATTTTATGGCAAATATTCGATTTCTTAAAATAAAAGCCCGTATTGATCCTATTCTAAACGCCAAAAATCAATAATCTAAACAATGAATTATGGATTTTTATGAGAAAATTGTTTAAGAAACTCCAATTTCTCATAAGTAAAATGGCTATTTTAGTATTTTTTTACTTTAATAAATACAGTTGAGTTAAATGAAATATCAAAGGCTTTAAGAGATACAGAATCCTATTTTACTTTAACGTAAGACACATCCTTGAATCTTTTTTAAGATTTCAGACCTTCAATAATATTGAGGATAAACTCTGGTTCTACTTAAGTCGAATTTAGCGCTAGTGAAAGATGATGAGATTCATTAGATTACGTAGAAAAATCAGCATTTGCGGAAATATCTTCCTGATCGTTTGTATTTTTGTTATCTCCCATAAATCCTTTCTTTAAACAATATTCTTTTTTCTTTCTACTTCTGCTATTTTAACAACTAAAATTTTCTAATGATAAATTAAGAATTGGTTGAAATTTTTTTATAATTTGGATTTTTTTAATTAAAAAATCGAATAACAGATTGAATAAATAAGCTCTCTCAATGAAATGTAGAATATTAAAAATATTTAAATTTAATGAAATAGCATATATTTTACAAATCAATCAAAAAAAATAGAATTATTGCTTTAAAAAAATTATATTTTATAAAATGAAAGTTAAAAACTTTAATGTAATATATATTAATAGATGATCATTCAGAATCTTAAACTGCTATAGCTTATAATACTTTTAATTATCCATCATAAAATAGAACTAGACATACGATTAATTAAATAAATTACCACATTTTTTAATTGTTTTTCACTTTCATATCAAATTTCGCTTTTTGTTAAAGAAAGAAATAAACTTTTTATTAATTAATTATAATAATTTTATAAAGCAAATGTTATATGAATGCTCCTTGAGTTCCAGTTTAATTTGAGCACAAATTAAAAATTATTTAATATTTTGCTTAAACAAGTAATGTTTTACACTTTTCTAAAATATTTAATATATCATTATTTATATTAGGGTTAGTTTTAATTTGTCTCCTTTTTTCTAACGTTGAAGAAGAAAGATAAAATACTAATCATCTCAAAATTTTCTAAATAAGAGTTATAAAAAATTTATATTTTAAATAATTTATAAAAATACTAACTTTAATAATAAATCATCCATCCATTCAAATAATCTATTATTTTTTATTTACTCAAAAAAATATTTTTTTGATTGAATATTCAAACCCATAGTTGTTTTTTAAATATGATAATCATTAATCAGAGTTATAATTTAAATTTTTTAAATTGTTTTTTGATTTTTTTGTGAAAATTCTGTCTTTTAAAATAAATTTTTTATTGTTTTACGTTAAATATTTTTTTAATTAATTAATTATTTATGTAAATTTACAGAAAATAAATTATAATTTTTGTTAATTTAATACTCAAACAATTGATCAGAAGCAATAAAAAATTAGAAATTTTTAAATAGTATATAGAATAATCTGATGTTATGAAAGTTTATTTTTATTGGTTAAAAATACAAAATATTGAATGTTTGATACAAGATAATAATTTTAAAATTAATGTTTGAAACAGTGAAGTATTTTATTATTAAAAATAAATACTATTTATTTTATAGATATTTTCATATGTTTAACTTATTTTTTGGTATTTAAAATAAAGTAGTTGGTATAAATATTATCTAATGAATGATAAAATTATAAATTATTTTATTTATTTATTTACAAAAAGATATTTTAAAATTTATTTATAATTAAGATATTTAAATTATATCTTTGAAGTAATTTTGATAAATCATTAATCGCATTTATTTTGATATGGATAAGACATTCTTACCTTTGAAGGAGATGCAACCAAAGCATGTGTAAAGCTAACAGAATTTTCTTTAGACTCATCAGAGTTCAAATTAGTTTCTTCATAATTTTATAACAATTTTTATTTTTTTATCAAAAGATTTTGATAGTAGTCTTTATCATTTTCATTTTTTACAACTGATTGATACTAATTATCTTAAAACTATCTATTTTTATTTTTACTATTGCTATGTCTGAAAAAGCTGGGATTTTGTGCCTGTTGTTAGTTACTTTTACTATCATGCTTCTTATTTTATTTAGTTAATTAATCAACAGAATTTTAATGAGATTCTGTTTGGACAGACAATTAATTATAAAGCTTTTCTTCAATTATTTACAGATCGTTAGGATCTTGTAACTAATCGACAAATAATCTCCTTCTTTCTTGCATTTTATTATATTCATAATTAGTGCTATCAAAACTTATGGGAGTTTTACTGGCTTAATCTGATTTAGTGTCAACAATAGTGCAAAGATTTTAGCCACTATTTATTGTTAATTATGTTTGATGTTAATTCGTACCTTCTAAATGCTAGTTTAAAGGACTTATTTTGCTAAAGCAACTCAGAAGAGGATTTTATTTTGAAATAGGACTAAATATTTAGCTGTCATCTGTATTGATGTTTTTTATTGAAAATTTTTATTTTATTTTACTTGTATTACCAGCCTTTTTGACATTAGTAGAGTGTATAGAAGAAGCAGAGGAAGAAGTAGTTAATCTTGGCTTTGGTAGATTACAATCTTTTGAATTGACATTTTAATTTTTTCCACCACTATTTGATGAGGAAGAGTTTATTATACTCTAATTAAATTCGTTTTAGGAAAGAGTTTTGAGAATTTTATTATTATTGATAGCTTGAGTCTGATTATTTGGAGAGTGACTGCTAGAATTTTTTTATAGTTTATTATTCAGCTAATTACTAATTTGCTTATCAATTGATGGACATTATTTCTTTTAAATTATTTTCCGTAATAGAGTAACTTCCTTTTGCAGTTAACGTACACTTTCTTCTTTAAGTTTTAATTGATGTTCTTTATCATCTATTTATTACTTGTAAGCTTAATAGTCATGTATTTAATGAAGAGATTCAAACTTTTTGTCTAATATATTACTATGTTTCTCAATATTTTGATGAATATCTCTCAATTATAGGAGAATTTGTTTATTATCTTATTCAACTCTTTTTATCTATTGAGCCTTTTCTATTATTTAATCCCATTCCTTCATCACTGTTTATTTGCTTTGATCTAACAATTATTATTATTTGCTGCAGTTTTCTTGCATTTGCACCTGATAATACTTCTTCTCTTGCAATATATTTTCTTTTTCATTTATCCTTGAACATATTGCCTAAATTTATAAGTTTTTATCATACTCAAGGTGCTCTTACCTCTAAATTTACATATTTTACTTTTAATCAATCTATTGTTTTTCTTACTGAAGCTTGAATTCTTTTTATTTTAAAGCTTTCAGATTTAGGTCTACCTCCTATTTTTCAGCAAAAAGAATCTTTTCTCTCGCCTCTATTTACCTTTCTCTTTCTTAAATCTAAATTTTAATTTATGAAAGCCTTATTTGAGTATCTTCGTTATTTTGAGAACTATTAGACTGTATATTTTTTAATTTTTTAGAATTTTTAAGAAGACATTGCTCTCTCTCAATAAGATTTTATTCCCATTTATCAAATAAATCAAGTAGCTTATTTATTTTTCTATTAAATAACTTGGGATCCTTAGTTTCACTTAACTAGTCTATAACCCTTTGCATGTGAATAAGTTAATCTGATAATATTTATAATTCTAATTTATAAATTAGTACTAGAAACAATCTATTTAGGAAATAAATGGTCTATTTATGATGATCTTTATTTCCAACAATTTAATATCTTGAAGTGCAAAATTAGAAATTAAATTATTGAAATTTAATTTATGTGATCGTTTATTAACCAAACTTTAAAATTAATTTTTATTTTTAAGCTCTGGTCTTTATTGATTATGCATATATTTCAGTTAAAAGCTTTTTAAAGCTAAAATCATATTTTGCAAAAAATAATTTTTATCAGTTTTTACTTTCAAAAAATCATAAAGATGTAATGATGTCTTTAATATTACTAATTAGCATTAAAAATCATAATTTATCTATTATTATATGCAAATTAATTTTATAAATAAATGTTATTTGTTAATTTGTTGAATTTTATATTAAAAAAGATATAAGAATAAATTCATTCATTCTAAAATTGATATAAACTGCATCTATTTATTTTAATCTTAAATCTGTAAATCCTTTAAAACTTTAAAAGATGATTGAAAACAGATATATTATTTAAGAATTTAAGCCAGAATTTGAAAAGAAGCTTTAAATTTTTGAGAATTCTTTTGTGACTAATTCACTTTTATTTGGATTAATCAAAGTAAATAGAAGCTATGACAAAGTCTCTTATGAGCAATATTTTAATCAAAAATATGGAGAAGGGTTTATTTTACTCTTGCTTGATAGAGAAAATAATGATAATTTAGTTGGAAAAGTTTTGTTTGGAATGAAAGAAGTTTTAGTTAATAACAAAACTTTTAAAGCTGCTTTTATACACGAAATTAGATTTGGTAACGTCTGCAATACTAATTTAGCAGTTCAGTAAAAATTAATAGACTATGGCTTGCAAAAAGCTGCCAAGTAGTATTAATGCTAATTAGCATATCTAATTTTTGATTAGGCGAAAAAAGGTGATTTTGAAGATTTATTTGCAAAGGAGCTTAACTTTCAAAAAGTTGGTGAAATAGTTTCTTAAATTTCAATGCAAAACAATATGATAAAGCTATAAGATGAAATAGGAGATAACCTAAAATTCAAAGAATTTCTACCATTAGAAGCATAAGAATTTCATAAGAACTAATTGAATAAAAAAAGTGAAGATTTTTATTGTAAAGAATTATTTAGCAGTGAATAAACTAAAACATTTGTCTTTGCTAACTTAGACAATACAGATGTGTATGGACTTAGTGTTTATTTTGATGATAAAAGATTCTCAAAAAACTTTTCAAGATTTATAATAAGCTCAAATCTCTTATAAAATAAGCTTTTTATAAAAATATTTTATTTACTAGTGAATGTGTTGTTTGCAACTTTGTTGTTTTTATAAAAAAGTGAAGAAGGCTTATTAAATGATGATCTAAAATATTAAACAATAATCTATTTGGGATTGAATATAGGGATATGTCTTGCTTTTTATCAAACTTAAAAGGCATTTTAAAAGTTTTCAGGAACAGTAGGCAGAATATTTTAGCCTATAGAAATTGAAAAATTAGTCCAATCATGTAATATATTTATAAATTTTTTTAAAGGAATTAAATTTATTTTAAATTATTAGAAACAAAAAAGAGAGAAATATATGAAACCCTCATTAGAAATATATAAGGCATTTGCTTTTAGAATAAAACAAGCTAAATAAGGGTGGATATAGATACAAGAGGAGATCATTTGGACTACTTCAACTAAAAAAGTTGTTTCACACCTTATAATGAAAATTAATTTTAATTTTATGCAGCTAGCCTAAGTGGAGAGAATATTAACTTAGTTGATATTAAACTTTTAAGCGTTGATCCAAGAGATTTTTGAAAGAAATAGATATTTTTCTCTATTTAATTTAAAAGATAAAGCCTCTAGTATTTCAATCAAATTAATTAATTAATAAATAAATAATTAATTCATAAATGTATAAATTTTAAATATTTAATATTTTTAAGTCGTAGTTTTAAATTTCTAAAATAATTTTAATTTATTCATTTTTATATCCAATTAATAAGAAACATTTTTTTTTCTACAGAAAATGTCAAAAATACCACAAAATTTGTAAATATAAAATTTGTTTGCTTAAATACTGAGCGCTGCTGCTAAGCGGTGTATGAACTGTTAGCGAACCGAGAACCTTATTTATTATGCATAATATTGAGTTATGGATTGGTATCAAATTTATTGAGAGAAAATTAAAGAGTAATGAAGAAAGCGACGAAAAGAGTCAAATTTAGAAAGATAAGATTAGTTAAAAGAAAAATCAAAAGTACCTTTGTAATAAAACAAAGAAAAATTAAAAAATTGTAAATTAAAGACAAATAAAAAAGATATTAAAATGGCTCAAAGAACTGAAAAGAGAGGTACTTAAATTTAATTCATTTTCCTTCAAAATAAATGGCAAATAGCATCACTGCTCAGCAAATTCAAGGCCATTACCAATACATAACTTTTTATTAAATTTCATTTTTTAATTAAAGGCTTCGGTAACAAGAAGGGACCCAGAGGTGACAGAAGAGGTAGATATTATCAAATCATATTTACACGAGTTTTTTTTCCAAAAATTCATAAATATGCAAGTTTGTTTTGCTTAAAAGAGAAGCTTAGTATTCTAAAAAGTTGTAGATAGATAGATATTCTTAATTGTAAATGAGCGAATCTCTAACAAATTAGGTATTGGACCTAATAAAAGCTTTAATGGCTATTAAAAACAAACAAATTATTAAAAATAGTAATTAGTTGTCTTAACAAATGCTCTACATCCAATATAAGATAAGATATGTTTTTTTAGTCATTTATAATGCTATCTCAGATTAAGTATGATAAATATCTTTCAAGAAACAAAGAATGGTTGATTACGCAATTTTAATCAAAAATGAATGAAAGACAATTCTCTCAAAACATAAACTACTTGTTTATTGTTAAAATTGAGTTCAAAATTAGTAAATAAGCAAGCAAGCATCAATCAATCAATAGAATTAAAATGATAAAACTTGCAGCTCTAATTTTGCAAATTTATAATTTACTTTAAATATGTGCTCCAACAAAATAAAAATGTTATTTAGTGCAAAGATAACGAAATATCTAAATTTCTATGAGTTACAATAATATGCATCTTGCGAAACTTGAATATATCTGATGATTTTAAACTAAAAAAAGATAAATAGGCATCTTGTTGAATAATTCTAAATGTGCAAAAAATCTAAATCTATCTATTTATCTTTAGAATATAAAAGTGTAGCTTCAATTGAATGCAATAATTGATAATAAATCACTAACTAATAACAAAGAAATATTTGTTTATTAACTAACTAACAAACAAACAAACAAACTTGCTTAATTATGAATTTTATGGATATTGACTCATTTTTTATAAGGGTTTTCTAAAATAATTTTGTAAAATAATAGGTGACAAGAACGACTGGTAACCCCAAACCAAGTTGGGTAGACTCGTCAAGTACGGTAAGATTTCTTCTTTGGACGAAATCTTCAAGTACTCCATCCCCATCAAGGAGCCTGAAATCATCGATCACTTCTACCCCAAGAACAAGGATGTTTAAGCTGAACACAAGCTCATGGAAGAAGTCTTATAAATCACCCCCGTCCAAAAGCAAACCTAGGCCGGTCAAAGAACCAGATTCAAAGGTTTCGTCGTCGTCGGTGACAGCAACGGACACATTGGTCTCGGTTGGAAGGTTGCTAAGGAAGTTCAAGGTATAAAATTTTTAAAAAAATTATATTGTAAATATAAATTTTGTAATTTATAATAAAATAGGTGCTATCAAGGGTGCTATTACTCACGCCAAGTTGAACATGGTTCCCGTCAGAAAGGGTTATTGGGGTAACAAGATCGCTAACGCTCACACCATTCCCCAAAAGATCACCGGTAAGTCTGGTTCCGTCAGAATTAGATTAGTCCCTGCCCCCAGAGGTACTGGTATCGTTGCCGCCCCCATCCCCAAGAAGGTCTTACAATTCGCTGGTGTCCAAGATATCTACACCTCCTCTTAAGGTTGCACCAGAACCAGAGGTAACTTCTTGAAGGCTACCTACTACGCTTTGGCCAACACCTACAGATATCTTACTCCTGATTTCTGGGGTAAGCCTGAAGACAACGAACTTCCCTTCGAAACTTTCTCTGAATTCTTACACACCAAGGCCTAAAAGAAGGAACCCAAGCAATACGAAAACAAGAGAGAAAAGAAGCACTTCGACAGACCCAGAAGAGAACACGGTGACAGACAACCCAGAGGTGAAAAGAAGACTGAAGAAGTCCCCGCCACTGAAGCTCAATGATCTTATTTCTAATGAATAATTGATATAACCTAATATAAATACATTTAAATATAAAATATATCAACGACTATTTGTATATCTTAATAAGGTTTTCTATTTAAATTCATTTCACTTAACAAATTCCACAAAAAAAATTTACTATCTTTAAATTCTACAAACTAATTGATTAATTAATATATATCAAATAAATCATTCATTAAAAAAATAAATAACTTATATAAAAACAAATTTAAAGTTTCAAAAGTAAATGAATTTATTTTTATTTAAGATAAAATCTTCTTAAATTCTAAAACAATTTCTAATAAATTGCTTTTTAATTTATTTTACCTTGAAACAATAAATTAAAAAATTAAACTTCAAACAATTATGAATAAAAAATTTCAATTTATTTTAGGTACTTTAATACAAACTGTTCTTTTAGCTTTATCATTAAATAATCTAATACAAATTTACTACAAACAAGGCATTGAGTTTAAGAATAAAAATAAACATATATTTTTTTATAATTAAAAAGCATAAGAGCTTCATTTAATATTTCTGTTTTATTGATTTTAGATATGAATACTACTTTAAAAATTATGTTGTTAAATCCCAAATATAATTATCTCAGTAAAATACAATCTTCTTAATAATGAAAAAAAAAAAATTTTTTAATGAATTAGTTCAAATCATTTTCAAATTTTTTTGTATTTGAATCCTCTCAAAAGATCTCTTTTATTATTATTAATTTTATTATTATTTGTCATCAATAAAATCAAATGAAGTATGGATAAAATTTTTTAAATAATTTTTATTCATTTTTATTTAAACATTAAAAAATTTTTTAACCAAAAAAATTTGAAGTAAAATGTTTTTATTTTAAAGTAAATAAATAAATTATTTTGATAATGTGATTTATGCTTAATAAAATGGATATTTATCTATCTATCTTTAATGTGTTTTAACTTTTTATATCTAAGAATCTTTTTTGGTTTTGTAATAAATGATTAAGACAAACATAATATTACGAATCCTAATAAAATCAATCAAGAATTATTTATGTATTGATTTAACAAAGGAATTCAAGAAAGAGTTAGGAAGAGAAAAGATAAAAAGTACTAATCAAAGAAAATAAGCTTTTATTTTTATTATAAATATTAAGAAAAGTATATTTTTATTAAGAGAAATGGCTTTTGGTGGTTTTAGATAAACTGATAATTCATTAATTATTGACGATAGAAGAAAAATCATTCTCAATACACGTAGTTTGAATGATTTCCAATAAAAAATTTATTTGAGAAATTTCTTCACCAATTATCGTCCTGACTTATCAAGCTATGATTACTTTGCTTTTAAGGAGAAATTGAGAATTGGTGAATTATTCTTGAACGAATACAGAAAGCGTATTAACAATGAAGTTCGTAGAGCTGCTATTCTCACTCCTACATCATCATTACGTGAAAAAATGAATGTACATTCTATTAAAATTTAATCCTGTTTAAAATAGCTCTAAAATCATTTCACTTAGTTAGCAAGATATTTAAATTGCTCATTTTGAATAATAAGTTGTAAATTATCATTAGCAAAATTATTCATTAATGAGTAATCAAAAGTCAAAAGGATAAATAATTTTTAGTGTAAAATTTTTTTAAATGCAAAGCGAATAATATTGAAAGATAAAATAGGAAAATATTTTAATAAACAGGAGAATTATTTTTTATCAAATATGATAACAATATTTCATTTAAATAAAAAATTAGCATAAAATTGCAGATTAAATATTAGATTTATCTAGTCCTCATGTTAGAGGTGCTCACTTCTAGGCTGTTAGATCATGGACTGACGCTTCTAAAATTGTTAACTATGTTGAAGAAAAGCAAACAAAAATTAATAAATATGGTAAATAACTTAGAAAATAGTTTAATATTAAAAAAACGAGTATTTAGTTGGATCTGGGATAGCTTTAGACCTACCACCACATTTAGTTATAATTTCAATTACTAAATAAATGGAAGAATAGAAATAACGTTTTGAAAGAAATATAATAAATGCAATATATTTAAAAATATAATTATGATAAAATAATATAATTTTGAGTTAAAAGTTTACAAATTGTTACTATTGTAAACAAAGATACAAATAAAAAATATTTATGCATTTATAAAAAAGCTATTGAAAGCGAATATTAAATTTGATAATAAACGAATAATTTTCACATTAAAATAATTTTAAAAGTAATTTGTTTAACATGTTAATGAAATAATTTAAAATTAGGTCTCTAATTCCCACTCCTTGGTAATATGACTGAAGAATAGTGTGCTTCTAAGGAAGATGAAGTCTATTAAAGATTACTTAAAGAAATGCAAAAACCTCCTAAAAAGGCTAGCGAACCTGTTGAAGAATCCTCAGATGAATGATTAACCATATTAATAAATTATATGAATAAATCAAAGTAGCCATAATGAATTAAGATAGAAATACATTTTAACACTAATAAATTTAAACTCAGGCAAAGAAATATTTCAACAACTCTTAAATTAGGGTTAGTACATCTTTCTATCAAATCTCATTAGGTGTTAATGCATATTTGTATGCATCTTTAATTCTTAATAATTCTGTTCAAATTTTTTTTCTTTCACTCTCTAAAATATTTTTTATTTATTTAAAAATTAAAAAAATGCTAAAATCTATCTACCCTACTGTTTATCATAATCAATTTAAATTTGTAATTATAATTTATTAATAAAATAGCAGCTCAAACTTTTAATCTTTTTTTGAGTTAAATTACCAAAGACAACAAACAAACAAATAATTTATTTAATTTTTATAAAATAATTCTTTTTTATTTAAAAATAAACAACAACTAATTTGCTAAATTAAACTCGTTGTGTTTTGTTAATATATAAGAATGAATAAAATAAATGTTGGATTTATATGCAAAATAGTTAGATGGTTTGTATTAAACTGAATTTATTTATTTATTTATTGCCTGTTTATTTCATGAATAAGATTTATAAATAAATAAGAAGATGCAAGCAATTTATGAAGCAATCAATCAATCAAGTAGTTTGTTTTGAAAGATTGATTATTGTATGAATAATAAATTATAATTATAATAAGTAAAAAAAAAACTTAATTCAAAAACATAACTTTTATTAAATTATTAGCTAAAAAAGGAAATCAAGTAAATGGCCTCAGTTTTAGCAGCTAGTGGATAAAACATTCGTAAACTCATATTTTTTTTCATTTCCCATAGATAATTTAGCTACTAAATTTGCACTAAAAAACTATTTTGCAACAACTGAAAAAATAATATTCAAATATTTTTAAAAAGTTGGTGCAGGACGCTTTAATATTTCAAAGAATACCATAACTGTGAATACAGATATTGAAAAACTTATTAAAGCAGAAGTCTTCAAGAAGTAAATTAGAATCAGAGAATTTTTCTATGATTTCGATAGATTGCGTAAGGGTGTAGTTACTGAAGACAAGGTACAGAATCCAAAAAATTTAATATTAGGAAAAACTTCAAAAGAAAATAAAAAAATTTTTTACTACTTCCCTATTTTTTGGTTTGTTTCTGTTTGTTAGTTAAAGCTCTTTAGAATCAAAGAGAGATAAAGTTACATTTAATTTCGTTCAGCAATAAATTGTTAAAAATATAAAATATTCTATTATTTTTAATAATCTTTCGTTAAACAAAACAAGCCAAAATATTGGATGTAGAGTAGTAAATGTATTCATTTCACTTGTTAAAATATTTTAAATATTTTAAAATTAGTTTCGTTCAGCTCTTTCAATGTTAGGAATGCATTTGTATGAAAAAGATATTCTTTCATTGATTAATAAATATAAGAGTGGTCCTGATTAGGTTAAATATACAGATTTTTGCGATTAAATTGACGCTTAGTTCTTCGATTATAACTTGGCCAAAGAAAATCTTGAAAGCACAAAGAGTTCTTCCGTAATTACTTTTAAAAGTTTAATCTAGTTTATACAATTTATTAATTTATAATTGCAAAATCAAAACACAATAACAATAAAAAGGCATTCTCATGCGCTTACAAAAAGGATTTCAATAAAATAAGTTTATATCTAAATTTCATTAGCAAAAGAATCCAATTTAAAACAATTATAAAAAAAACAGTTCATCTTAAATAATTTTTTTTTATCATTTTTGATGATTAATTTATAAATAATTAGGCTAAATAAAAAAATCTTATTTGCAATTTTTAAAATATAACTTAATAAATAAATAAAGTTGTTAACCACAGTACAACTAGATATATTGATATATAAATATCTTTGAATTTTTATTTATTTTAATTTATTTTTTAATAATAAAATAGTAAATTTCTTAAAACGAATCAGCAATTATATAATAAATTTTACTCTCAATTAAGTAAGAAATTCGTACAAGAAGAATTCTTTTAAAATAGCCTTTCTAGGATTTTGATAGAACTCGTTGTTCACACATTACTGTTGACTAATTTTCAAGAGTGCTCACTTAATTGAGCATTTTACCTAACGAGCAACTCTTCAATCTTTTGATTAGACGTTATATTGATAATGGAAACCCTAAGGAAGTTAATTATGTTAAATTCTGCGATGATGTCGATAATGTTTCTGAAATGCTTGAAACTGTTATTAAAGGAATCAAGCCTAATGAAAAGGTTTTTGATCCTAATGAGGATATTGTAGAAGATACAAAGGATTTAAAATTAATGAGCACTCTTTTTACTTCCAAAAAACTTAATTTTGGAAACAAATAGCTAAATGATGTTATTGTTAAGATATAAGCAGAAGTCGTAATGAAAAGAATTAGAATTCGTGAATTCTTTAAGGACTACGATAATTTAAGAAAGGGTGTAGTATCTGAATAATAAGTAAGCAAATAAATACTAACTATAATTTATTTTAAAATATATATTTTAAAAATTAGTTCAGAAGAGTTCTTGATGTTAGTAATATAAAATTGAGTGAATAGGACATCAATCTTTTACTTTCAGAATTTAAAGTTGATAACATCCCTAACGGTTAAGTGAGATATTCAGATTTTTGTGAAGTAATAGATGAAATTTTCACAAAGAAGGCTATCGACAAAGATCCTCTTGCAACTGTCACTTAATTCTAACCTGAAACTACTTTGCCAGCTAGAAGATACTACCTTGTAAATATTCTTCTTATTTAAACATGATAACTAAAAATTGTTTTAAATCAAATGAAAAGAATTTAACTGAAGAGGAAAAAGGCCAACTTAGACACTTGCTTAATTTATACCACAAGGAAATATAAAATAAGAGAGTTTTAATTAAACCTCACTTTGAAGATTTCGATAAAACCAAGCAAGGATATATTTCAAAAAATCAGTTCCTCCGTATTCTCAATTAATTCAGTCTTTTCCCAAGCGAAGAGGCTCTTAATTTAATATTGAAGAGATATACTGATAAGGGAACACTTGATGAAGTAAATTACTACGAATTTTGCAGAGATGTTGATATCTATGATGAAGGTGTTCTTGTTAGCAAGACTTATGCTGACTCATTTAAAAACTACCAAAAACCTGAAAAGGAATTCCAACCATTTATTCATAATGACATTCCCAACGATATTGAAGATTTATTAGCCAAGCTCCGTGCAAAAGTAAAAGAACAGCGTCTCCGTATCTCTGAGTTTTTAAGAGATTTCGATAAACTCAGAAGTGGTAACATAACTAAAGAATAATTACGTCTTGGTTTGAGCATGGCAAAACTTCCACTTTCAGATGCAGAGTTCACCCTCGTTATTGAAAACTTTGCTTCCACTACAAAGGAAAATAACGTTCGTTGGAAAGATTTCTGTGATCAAATTGATTCTGTCTTTACATAAAAAAATCTTGAAAAGAAATCAGCTACTCTTCCTGTTTTTAACCCTAGCACTGAATATAAATATGGTCGCAGAGGACTTACTGAATAAGAAAGAAGAATAGCAGAACACATGAAGGCTCGTTTCAGGTAATATTTTACTAATTTTTAACTATCATAATATTGTTTATTTTGTATTTAAGACAATTCTGCTAAGCTACTAGAATTGATATTAAGCAATTCTTCTAAGATTGGGATAGAAATGGAAGAAATAAAGTCACTCCAAAATAATTTAGATAAGTTTTAACTACAGTCAATTTTAATATTTCAGACCCTGAATTCAATGCAATTAGTCGCATGTATTCTTCTGAAGATGAACACGACGTAAGATATGTAGATTTCATTAGAGATACTAAAGTATATGAATAGCATCTCTGGTCTTCAAATCAAACTAAGGACTTTGGAGCTCATGGACTCGATACCAGAAAGCGCCCTGTTGATGCCAATGTTTTATTAGAAGAAATTAAAAATATAATTAAAATTAACCGTCTCAGAGTTGGTGAATACTTTGCTGATTATGATCCCCTTCGTAAAGGTGTGATCCCTACAAACAAATTCCGTGGTGTTATTTCACAAATGAAGTAATTAACAAAACTGATACAATTTATATTTTAAATCTATTTTTTTAATAATAGAATTGACTTAGATGAAGAACAGATCTTAAAGCTTGAAAATATGTACATCTTATAATCTGATCCCACAAAATTAGATTATGCAAGCTTCTTAGAAGACGTTAATATTGTTTTCACAAAAACTGGACTTGAAAAGGATCCTATTGCCAAGCCTGTTCCATTCGAAAAGAAAAATGCCATCGATCCAAGAGATGTGCTTACTCCTCAAGAAGAAGAAGATTTACATGTCTTACTCTTACGTTTGGGTGAAGTTATTTCAAAGCACAGAATCATGTTCAAGACACATTTCTAAGATAAAGTAAATTTAAAAAGTGTAAATCATTTATTTAAAAATAAATATTTTAAATCAGGATATTGCCAAGAGTGGTAAAGTCAGTTTCACAAGATTCAGATCTATCCTTGATCTACACAAGCTTCCTTTAACTGATTAACAATTTAAACTTCTCTGCAAGAGGTAAGCATAGATATTACATAATAAATAAATTAAATTACTTTTAAAAATAATAGATTTGCTCACTAAGGTGTTGAATTTAATTATATTGAGTTTGATGAAGTTGTTAAAAAGTATGAAAATTTATACAGTTGATAGGCTAATTGAAATAAGTTTATAACTTATTGATTAATTTTTTCTGCTTTGGATATTAATTAATAAAATCGTTAAACTCTAGCAACAATATAAATCAATAAAAAATAATGAATATAAAAACACTATATTAATCGAATCGAATATATAAATACATACATACAATACATACGTATACACCCAATCTTTATAGTTTTTTAAGTCATATATAATGTGAATTTCTACTGCATATCCTTTTTTACTTTATAAAAAAATCCTTTTTCAATAAATTTTACTTTTGCTTTCATTTTTATTTAAAAATCAAGTGATTTTTTCTTTAAAAAATTTGAAATTTAAATTTATTTAATTTCAAAAAATAAATCACAAACAACAAAAAAAAGCTATTTATTTTATTTTATTGAAATTGGCATATCAAAATATTAAAAAATTATGATTTTTGTTTATTTTTAAAATTTATTATTTAATATTTTAACTTTTTTTAATATAAATTATTTGTTAAACAATATTTACAAAAATAAATAAATAAATTTAATTTTATATTAATTTGTTACTAATTTTAATCAAATCAAATACTGATTATGACTAAAGGATTTTCATATTTTAGACTAGCTAAAGATCTAAATAAATATCTTTTTAATTTTTCTTCAACTTTGTTACCTCTTAAATCGATTTATAGCTTTTATAGTTGAGGTAATTTATCTAACATGCCTGCAATACATAAAATGCAATCTTCTGTTAGTTCTAAATTACTATTTAATTAAAAATTACTTTGTTTTTGAATAGATAATTTAAGTTACAAATTTATAAATAAAAAAATAAAATAAATTTCTTTTAAATGAATGATTACTTTAAGTATAATTCTAAGTTTACTAATTTGCCTTCTTATAAGCTGATATATTTTGTTAATTATCTTATAGCAGATAATCTATTTTCTGTCGTTTCTTAAAGCATATTTTCTTATATGTCTAAAGAGAAACTTGTGATATTTTTTCTATTGTAAATAATATCTATAAATTTTATCAATCCTTAATGAGTGATTGAACATTTTCTTAAATTCAACTTAATTGATTGAATCATTGTGAGTTACTCTATTGCTTTAGATAGATTTTCTAGCCCTTAATCACCAATTTATTCATTTTACCTACATAAAATAAATTTTTAAGTACTGCTTGTTTAATAAAAATTACCTTAAATCTAATTTCAATTCTTTAAGTTAAAACATTTCTTTTAAATGTTGACTAAGATAATCCATCCCTTTCGAATCTAAATTATTTCCCCTATACAAAATTTAATTTAAAATTATGTACTCTTAAATAATTTTTTACTTTAAGTCCAAAGACAAGCTTTTAAGTTTTTAGAGGGAGGGAAGAGTTTATGATATTTTTTATAAACCTTCAGATTTAATGTTGTTGAATTGAAGGATCAGCTCTAATTACTCTATTGACTCTTTATAGCTAAGTAATTTTGAGAGTGAATTACATGTTTCAATATTCATCGTATTAGCACTTTATTATATTGATTTGTATTAATTAAAAGTTTTGTAAATTTAAAATACCTAAAATCAAGTGTCAAATCCTTTATCTCGCATTAGCTTTTTGTTAATGCTTCTAGAATTATTTATTATCCTTCATTTAAAATTTTATTTTCACTAAATTTAAAATGGTAATTTATTTATTTAAAAAATAAAATAGCATTAAATAAGTAAATAAATAAAAAAAATTAAAATTTATTTTGAACAATAAAACATAATTAAAGTTATGATATTATCTTTTCAAAAGTTTAAGATAATAAAAGAAAAATAATAAAACAGAATTTATAAAAGAGATAAAAATATTACAAGTAAATTAAAAAATAATTTTTACTGAAGGAGCAGCTACAATTTCTTCAATTCGCTTAAAGACTAGATTGATTAACACAATAATTAGCATGAAGTGTTTGTCATTTCATTTTAGCTTATTTCTAAAGTAAAATCTTCTATTTAATTTTAAGACTTTATCAATTATGATAAATTTAAAAATCCTTTTTCGCTAAAGACAGTGTTTCTATTTAAAATAAAACAATTAATTGATTATTAAAAGGTTATTTATCATTATTTTTTTACGCTAATTATAAGCCAAGCTATGATAACTTAATACTCTTAATCGAATCAGTAAGATATTAAACATTATTGTCATTTCCTTTATTTCTATTAAAGTTAAGTATTAAGCTCTTATAATCAGCCTAGTTATGTAGGGTATCAATAATATTACTAATTGCGTATTTGCATAACCTTTAATTACTATAAAAAATAATCTTTAAATTGGGTGATTATTAAAATTTAATTTACTCAAAGTTAAATTTAAAAGAACTATTTTGGTTGATTTACAATAGGTCATTTTACTAGATAACTCTTAGAATATTGTAACTTAAAGGTCTAAAACAACACAAAATTTAATTTTTATAAGACTATTAATATAAATAATTACAATCCTTAGTTTTCCCATATAAATTGTTAACCATACTGAGACTCTTAACATTAGAAATTAGTTCCTTTGGATTTTAAAATTTTCCCACTAAAAAAATTTAATATAATTAGTCAATATAATTTTTATTTAATTATTATTTTACTTAACTGAAAAGAAACAAGTTTAGACTGTATCTCTTATAGAGTTATTTATTTAAGAAAATATGCTATGATGATCTTTGATATTTTCTTATAAGTCACTAACTAATATCAATTCTACATGAATTAACTTTTGAAGATTCTTTAAGCAATTGTTTATCATTAATAGTTCTTAGTCGCTTACAACAGACCTAATTATTTAGGATTAAATTTTTATTAAAATTAAATTAAAAATATTTATTACATTTTATGAATTTCAAAATATATCTTAGCTTAATGTGTTTTTCTTTTCACGATATTATTTAAACATTTTAATAATATCTCATCTTCTTCTTACTCTTCTTTATCTTCAATTGTTTCTTCATCATTGTTCTTATCGCTTACACTTTTTTTTCCATTTTACTTAAAGGAAATATCATTAGTCTCATCAAGGTGAATATTTTATTTCTTGCTAATTTTTTTTTAATAAATTAAATAAAAAATATTAACATTTATATATTTAATTTACTCTCTTTTCTTGAATATCAATACTTCTTCCCTTTATTATTATAAATAAATTTTATTAACTAACTTACTACAATAATTATTTATGTTATTTACGAAATGATAACTTTAGAAATATTTCCCTTTTCTCTATGCTCCCAGCTCAGGATCATTCGCTTCAAAAGATGTATTCCTTCTTTTGTGAGTTGGTTTCCACTTTAGAATTAATATAAAATAAATATGTCATATTTTTTCAAATGATTTTAATTTTTTTACTCCAAAAATAGTCTTAAATTTTTTAATTATTGTAATTTCTGAAATATTCCTCTAAATATAAGCTTACAAAGCTAATCTCCCATTTGATTACCTTCCAAATTTAACTCTAAAGTTTATATATTTATAAATTTTTAAAAACATTAAACTAGATTTTCTTATATTTGCTTTTTTGAAAATATGTTATTAGGTAAGATAACAGTTAGCTTTTTTATATTTTTAGAAGCTATTTCAGTTAATCTGACTAGTTTATCAAGCTATTCTACAGTGTCTATTTCGACATTTTATCTCATAGGGAAAATATCACCAAAATTAGTTTTTTTTTAATTAAGATTCTTCCTTTACTGATTAAGGGTTTACAAATTAGAATTTTCAAGTTGATTTTTGGTAATTTTTTAAGTTTACTGTTGACATAGTTTTATATTTTTTTGTGTTTTATTGGCTTCTTAAATATTTTATTAAGGAGTTGTTGTAGATTCCTCTAAATAATCCAAAACTTTAGTGAAGGTTTAAATATCGTTATCATATAAAATACTTATTAATGATATACAATGTAAAAGCAAGCTTAGGCAAGAAGAAGCAAAAAAAGTGTAGAGAAGCAAATTAACTTTTCCATCACTTTGAGTCCATGAGTTATTTTATGTATTATTTATATACTGTATAATAGCAATAGGAAGAGACTCAAATATAGCTTCTTAGATGTCACTAATTACTTAAAATTTTTGTAAATTTCTATCGAACAGAAGGGTTTGTAGATTAGGGACAATATTAGCATCAATCAATAAATTAATCCCAAAATACAAGCTATTTTCTGTATCCATGGCTTTTTGATCATTTTTATTATTATCGCTTACTTATTGGTTTTTTTATTAATTTTCTTCTATTTTTGATTCAGATTTTTTTATCTTAATCTTTTATAAATTGATTAAATCTCCTGATTCCCTAAAAGATTCTAATTTATTATTATTTTTTAGGTTACTAATATTTTGTTCTAATTCTTTTGAAACTAGTGGCTATTAAAGTTTTTTGTTATCATTTTTTAAATCAATCCCTTCACATTAAGATTTTTTTATATCATGTTTTTCTTAATGATTGCCTTTGCTCAGATTACTATTATTAGGTTATAAAATATTTCTTTAATTATTTGAAAAAGTATTTTGCAACTAATTTTCTATATCAATATTTTCACCAAGGGTGATTATTGGACCCAATTAAATTTAATCTAACGCTTAATTTTTTTAGTTCTTTTGGCTTACACTAGTTTTTTTTTTATGAGACATCTATATTTAAAAATCTTAAATATCTTATACAAGTTAGTTTTCAACTAGATAATTTTCATTTTCTAAAATCTCATCTTATTTGCTTTATTAAAATTTTTCCCCTTCGCTCTTTTTTTCCTAATGGTTTTGGTTAGTATAAAGATTTTTAGATTAAGATGATTATAATTACTATTATTTCTTTTTATAGTATTGATTCATGATTGGTTCTAGAGAGTGCATTAAATCTGTTGTTAAAACAGCTTTATACTTAAAATAAGTATAGCCAAATAATATCATAGGAAATATCTTTATTTTTTAAAATATAGTTATGAATAATATCAATGGAAAATTTATAATCAGACACCAAATTATTTATAGGACAAGCATGAATTTTATTTTCGCAAATATGATCCAAGCTTATATATTACCTTGTGCGTTTAATAGTTCATTTTAATAACGTTATTAATTATATTTAAATCTAACTTTTAGGAGGATATTGCTCCAAGCTATAAGTTATATAAGCACAGATAAAAAAAGAAATAGCATGAAGGTTTATTATAGAGCATTTGTGTTAAAGTTTGTTGAATAATAATAAAGAATGTTAGATATAAAATTCCATATGCCTAATGCTAAAAAACCTGCGAAGCTCAACAACTATAGGACTGTTTAGAAAGTTGTATATGCCATGGATATTAAATTAGATATATTTTTTGTTTTTAATTATTTTTATTAATTATATAAAACCAATTTTGATTTAAATTGTTAAGTTTTATACTTTACAATTTAATTCGTGTGATGAATAATTTATTGTAAGCTAATTAAAAAAGGAAAACGTAATTAAAAATCTTTTTATCAATCCCTCTTTCATAGTGTAAAGTAAAATTCATATATTTGATTGTCTTTTTCTGAATGATGACCAAAAATCCATAATTCATCAAGTGAATTGAAATCCACTTATTTTTTATTGGTACAGGCGTTCTTACATATTCTGGTATTGTTAAATTTTTGTATTCCAAAAATAAATGATCCTAAATTTTTAGCCAAGATTAAAATTAGCAAAAATATTTTGCTTAACTTTACAAAAAAAATTTGGGGAAAAATATTTGATTTACTATTTTAATTCATTTATTTTATAGTTTTTACAAAAAATTTTAAATATTTATTTTAAGAGCAACTAAAAAAAATTAATGTTGTTTGTCATATTACGCAGCTTGATAAAAAAAAATGTAAATGTATAAATATCTAATCTAGGTTTACAATTAATACAAAATTTCACTACAAAATGCTAGCAATTTAATTTTAAATAAATTTTAATTAGTTTTGCAACTTAATAGATTATTAAATTTTAAATAAATCTACTTCTTTTTAATTATCTTTAGTCTATGCATCTTGCTTCTTTCATTCTTGAGCCATTATACTTTATTTTTTTTATATTCAGATAAAAATCAATTACCTCCTACGACTACTATTATTACTATTACAGCTATTATTAATTTTACTCTATCAAATTTCTTTCATTCTTTTCCTTAAAGAATCACTATTAACTAGATAGATGGATGAACGATAATGCAATTTACTCAAATTTAATTTAAATATACAAGATCGTATTAATTCTGTTAGAATATCTTCAAAATTGACTAACTTAAGGTCCTAAATTGCAATAAATTTTATTATAAAAATTTTTCTTATATTCAAATCCACAATCCTTAATTTTCTTAACAAAATTATTATCCAAATAAAAAAGATTTTTAGGTTGTATGATGCTTCAACTTTACATTTTAATATCTTTTAAACAAAAAATATGAATTATTTTTAAATGTTTTCATCAATTTACTTTATCAAAAAATAACATATAATTACAAAATCTCTTATTGAATTGTTAGCACTAATAAAATGATTAATAAAAATCTAAAGAGGAATAAAAAGCCAACGGTAATGGTGCATCATCAAGGTTAACTTGAGAGATTTAATTATGATAATCTTCAAAATTTTATTGAATGATACTTTTTAATATTAGCTAAATATGAGTTAAATTGTTGATATACTTCACATATTTGCTTATCATTATTAGTTCATTGTCTTTAGCATTTTATTTATATTTGGAATTTATAAACTATAAGAATAAAAAGAACCTTTACTACTTTTGTTGAGCTTAAAAAAATGGCTTTTCTTTATGAGCTTATATTTCATAAAATAATTAAGAGATTATATTAATATTTCATCATCTTCTTAACTCTTCTTTTTCTTAAAATATTAATTTTCTTCTTTACTTCTTTAGCTAAAATTCTTACCGTTACTCAAGTCTAATGAAATATCATTAGTTTTATCCAACTGATTAATATCTTCAAATCTATTAATTTCAATATTATTCTTTAGAAATTAGCCACACAAAAAATATAAATTACTCTCTTTTCTTAAATAAAAAAAAATCTCCACTTAAAAAAAAATATATTAGATGATAACTTTATAATTATTTCCTCTTAATTTGTTCTCCCAAGCTTAAAATCATTAGTTTTAAAAATAAAATACTAAATATTCAAATTTTATTTCTACTATTAAATATATATTAAATTTAAATAAAATCTATTAATAAATAAAAATCTCTCCAATTCAAATCTAAAGTTATTGAGAGTTAAGCAAAATTTAAAATTTTCCTATTAAAAAATATTCCAAAATTCAATCTCCCATTTGATTTCCTTCAAGTATTAAATGAAGAAAAGTAATGTTTGACAACTTTTTAAAACGCAGAACTAGATTCTATTGAATTTACTTCTTTTAAAAATTACTATCTGGTAGAATGACAGCTAATTTTATTATTTTTTGTTAGCTTTTTTACTCAATCTCAATAATTTATTAAGCTATTTTATTTAGTCAATTTCTACAGATTACCTTATGGGAAATATATCATTAAAATTTTTATTTGCTCTTTACTTTTGTTATTTTATTGGGTTATTAATTAATTTTATTGGAGTAAGTTATGATATTTGTCCACAAATTCTTTTTATTTTATTTTTAAATCAACTAATTATTTAAATTGAGTTATCTAATTTTTTATGGATTAGATTCGTTCAGGCATAACAAAATTTTAATAAAAATCTAAATGTCAATAAAAAATACATCAATAAATGAAAGGTAAAGAAGGAGTAAGTTTAATCAAAATGAGCAAAAAATTAAGCAATGATGGAAATTAATAGAATCATAGCTATTCTGTATCGAATCATTTTATGAGTTATTAATATACTAAATCATAGCAGCAGGAAGGGATTCGAAATTTATACAACTTATTTTTAAATTTTTTTACAATGATTTATTTAGCTAGTTAATCTCTTTTATAGGAAATTTAATTTTATAATTCCTCAAAATCTTTACTAACTATTTAAGTTAATCACCATTTTTTAGGATTTAATAATTGTTTTATCAAATTCAGCTCTGTATCTTCTCCTTATTTCATTTTTAACAGAATAATCAGAAAAATCTTACTATGCTTATTTTTTCTTCTAATATTATTCCTTTTATAATTGAAGAGTCATTAAATCCTTCGTTATTTATACTTAATACTTGTTGTAAGTATATCCAAATAGCATGAAATATAACACTTTTATTTTTTAAAACACAATTATGAACAAAATTAATGGAAGTTTTATTATTAGATAATATAATACCTATGCAGTTACCACCACTTTATGTTTGATTATAATCATTCATGCCTATAAATTATTTATGTATTGAATAATTATTATGAAAAATATTTTTAATCATGTTTAAATCTAACTTTGAAAAGTATATTGCCTAGGCAATAAGCTAAATACCCAATGAAAAAAAAAAATAAACAAAAAAATAAATGATTATTATATAGCCTTTAAATTGCAAAGAACAAAATAATAATATATAATACTTGATATTAAATTTGAAACACCTAATACTAAAATATTGAAAAAAATAATAACTAATTAACTCAACTAAACCGAGAGAAATAAATGATTCATAAACTTCTTTCAAGATCAAAATATTCTAAGGTAAATTAATCAAATTTCTGGATTATCTTTTCAATTACAAAAAATAATTTATAAAAGTGTTTACTCCATATAATTAGTTAAATTTACCTTAGCTAAATAAGTAATTTTGGCTATAAAAACTTAAATATAATCAAAATTAAAAGTATTTTTATGATATAGATAATAGCTAAAAATTATAAAATATTTTTTTATTAATAAAATACTAAATATATTAAATTTTCGATTTTTTAATTATAAATTTTATCTATCTATCTATCTATCATTTTGTGATTATGGATAATTTATTTTTAATTAATTACATTACTTACTTTAAAATATATTTACTTTTCAAATCTTCTGATTTTTTGTAAGCAGAAAATTTTAAGCTTATAAATGACGATATACATTCATATGAAATAATTTGAAATATAAAAAGTTTTTCATAATGAAATTAATTTAATTCTTAAAGGTTACTGCATTTATAAATATATATTTCACCCATCTTATTCTATTACATAAATCTTTTCTCCAGTCTTTAAAACTTTGTGTTTATTCCTGTTTGGGTTGTTTAAGAATGTACTTGTAGCAACTATTTTAACTGAACCAGTTTTTTTCTTGGGTTTTTTATCTGAGTCATCACTATCATAATTAAGTTCATTATCTCCTCCAACATTTAATTTAGATAAATCTTTTTTCGCTCTTCCATCATAGTTTTAAACTAGGTCAATATAGAATTTATTTTTATCTTATACTAAATCTAAATCTTTAAAGAATTTTAGAGGAGCTAAAGAAGCCTGTTAATAAGTATACTAGTCTGTAGCTATTCTTACTAAGCGACTACCTTCACCTTTGCTATACTTAACATCTTTAACATATGAGATTTTCCTTAATAGTAAAATATAAATTAAAATATAAACCAATATTTTCTAATATACTACATTGAAGAAGATGATGGTCTTATTACTCTGAAATCAAATTTCTTGTAAATATCATTACTCTTTTTTTGTAAAGCATTTGGCTTTACTAAAGAAGTTAGACTTGCAGAAGGAAGAGAGTTGCCTTGCTTTATAATAGAAGATTTTTACTTGGAAATAAAGGCAGATATTTTCTATTCCTAAGCAAAGCTCTTCTTATTTATTTAACTTTAACTTGCAGTATTATTGATATTTATATTTGATTAATTTCCTTTCATGCTCTTATTAATAACTGTTATTTAAATTTGTTTTTTAATGATTGTTTTAAAAAACATATTAAAATATATTATTTATTTATTTCAAATTTTAGCAATTTATTTACAAAAAATGAAATAAATGCAAATAAATTTTTTTTATAAATCAACTAAAAAAATTTTTAAAACAATTTAAAGAAAAAAAATCAATTTTTTTACATCTTGATGAAGACCTATTTTTGTATTGTTATCTAGGTAAATTTTGATATGAATCTCTTTACTCACTTACCATGTTAGAAGCTTTTCTTGATTGCTAATTTTCTTATTTTAATTCGAGAGAAGCTCCAGTCAAACCTTATTCAATCGCTTCTAGCTAGTTTTGCAGTTAAGATACTTGTTAATATGAAGAATTAGGTCTATCATTTGGTATTATTTTATAAAACATCTTTATTGGAGTTAAGTCTTCTTCGATAGGCTTAACTTTCAAAAAAGGCTCGTTTTTCTTTTTTTGGAATCTTGCTTTTTCATCCTCTTCCTGTATTTGAGATCTAAGCTATTGTATAGGATCCACATAAGGTTTTGGTTTTAATCTATAAGTATATAGTTCTTGTTTTTCAATTTATAGCAATTCTTCTTAAGTCAATTATTTAGGAGGATATAATACATTGTATTTTTTAGTTTTTATATCTTCTTGAGTGCCTTCTTAAAAGAATTATGTACTTAAATATTTCATTTTTACTTTCTCTTTTTCTTGATTAGATAGGACTTCATTATCTAACATTTGTATCTAATCAAATACTTCTTCCATATCTTTTAGTTTATTTTCTACCCAATCATATGGGAAGTTCCATACATTTTTATCAAACTTCATTAAAAATATCTATTTAAAAAATATAATATTTTATTATTTCAATTATATTTTTGATATACAAGCTGGAAATTTATTAATGATATAAGTTAAAGATATTTACTTTGCCCCATAAAGCAGCTTACATAGACCATATTTTAATAGTTTTATCTAAGGAGCAAGATGCATAGCACAAAGGCTCTGGAATTCTTAGCATAAAATTGATTGGTCCTTAGTGAGCCTCCCATCTATTAATCAATATTGAATTATACATGTGTACATAGCTAGGGAGTTTTTCACCTTTCCTATCTGGTGCTGATAAATAAGTATCTACAGATTTTTATGCATTTATAAAGTCTTTTCTTCTGAGTTAAAATAATTTCTTTTTCTTTTCATCTTTGAGAGGCTAAATATTTCTTTTTTAAAATACTTCAGTTAAGTTCAAAATTTGCATCATTCCTTTTTAATCACCAAATATAACATAAAATCTTCTCTTTTTTTAGTCCAGTGTTTTGTTATAGCTATCGAAATAAGATTAATAATCATTGAAAGACTCCTAAAATTTGAATTAGCTCATTAATTGTTATTATTAAGAGCTAGATTCATTAGCATTAGTGTCATCTCCTTCTTTAGGATTTGGAGATATAGGAGCTACATATCCTGTTTCAGTTGGAAAAGTTAAAGTATTTCCTGCATTATTGGTGCTAGTCAAAGGTCCATTTGTGTTTGAATTAATAGTTTAGGTGTTTAGTGAAAAGTTGAATAAGTCTTTTTTTCTTTTGTTTTAAGCGTCATCTTTTTTCTCATCCTTCATCACAGGATCGAAGCTACTCCTCTACACAGGTGCTATTTTATCAATAATAAACGGACGTGGTACACCAGATTGGATCGATGTCTCACAAATCATATAGGTTACTGGTACTTTCTAGAATGTATTGTCATTTTCCCAATAACTATTAATATAACGCGCTAATTTTAAAATAAAATATCAAGCTTGTTTTTTTAAAAATTAAAGCTTTTACCTATACTTTTATATTTATATTAAGGTGGGCAGCCTTTGATACCCCAGACATTAATTACTCCAGATGCACCTGAACTTAGAATAACAGGGTAAGGGTCACCAAATTATAAGCATGTTATTTCTCCTTTTTCTCTTGCTATCAGAATATTTTCAAGCTTTCCACTGTCAAAATCCCATATTGCTACTCTTCCATTTGTAGAACCAGTTGCAAATAGTTAGAATTTTTCTGAATAAACTAAGCAAGTTATTTCACTATCTTTATGAGCTCCTGTCATGACTTTTAGTAAAACAGTTTCTTCAGAATCTTCTTCATCATAGATTCTAATTGTTGAGTCATAAAAAGCAGCTATAAGCAGCTTCTCTTCAGTTAAGTAAAGCATTTGAGAAATTTAATTATTTTCTTTTTTCTTTATGTTTGATTATTTCTTTGTAAACTCCTAACTCTCTGTCTCAGTTAAAGTATTACAAGATTTTAAATATTCACCATTTTTCATATTATACTAACGGATAAGCCCAACATTATCAGAAACAAAAAATTTTCTTTGTCTTGCACCTAGACAGAAGTAAGAAAGATCCACTTAAAACTTCTCATCTGTTAAATCATTAAATACTTTTTTGAGTTTACCTGTCATAGCATCATAAATTCTGATATCATTCCTATCAATCAATTAAATTTTAAAAAAACTTAATTTTATTTGAACAAAATATTATTATTTTACTTTGTAAGAACACAAAATTAATTAAAATATGTGTTAAAGTCAATAGATAAAGGATAAACATCTTCTGAAGTATTTTTTGCTTATTCTTTATAAACTACATTTTCATAGTAAGCCAATCTTTTACCAGCTAAAACAAACATATCGTGCTTCTAACTCAGAATAGCAACATCATAGATCACAGAAAATTATCTAATTGATTTAAGAGTTAAAAAAAAAAATTGCATTTCAATTAAAATTACCCATCAGAGTTGATGACTTAAATAGTATTCATTCCTCTAATATCCCATATCCTAACATTGCATTTATCATCAACTGATATTACATTTGGAGACATGTCCATAAATTTGCATATTTAGACTAAGCTACTGTGACCTTCCAATTTTCCTATGAATGCTCTAGTTATTGAAACTTCTGGGCACCACACGTTTATATGGTTTTCGAATCCATAGCTTAATAAATTTGATCCATACTAACAAGAATAAGATAAACCTAAAATACCTCTTGGATTTTGGTTAGGATCACGAAGTTCTGTTATTAAAATCGGAGGATTAGATGGATCAGTTAAATCCCATAATTTTATTTTCCCATCAAGCGATCCACTAGCAATTAAACGTGGAGAAATGAGTTCTTCTATTTAAGTAATTAACTTGAGATGAGCTAACATAAGTTTATCATGATTTATTTTTTATTAATCCTCATAATCATTAAATTTCCAAGTACGGATATTATAATCAGCACCAGCAGAAATCCATAGTTTGTGAATAGGTAGATACCAAATACCTGTTTATAAAACATCTAATTTAAAATTTTTGGTACATTTAGTTGTTAAGTTATTTTCCCAAAAGAAAAACTATCTATCAGAAGTAGTGACAACAATCTAATAATTAAATAAAATTCAATAAATATTTATCATATTAGTTTAATATACAGTATTCAGGGATTCTGCAACAGTAAAATCAAGAATAAAAGGTTATTATTTATCATCAGCAGGAGGTTACAATTACAATTTTTTTTACTGGATCTCAACTTCTTTGCAATCATGAGTGTAAAATTTTAGCTTAGAAGAATTCTATTCAAGACATAAAATAGCATCGACATGAGGTGAGTAAACAGCTTTTCTTATATGATTCATATGAGTCGTATTATCAAAATATTTGCATGGAAAATATCTTTTAGTTTTTTTAGAATATGCTCTATCAAAAACTTCTATTTCTGTCAATTCTCTTTCTCTTTCAAATCTGGCTGTTTCATTTTTAAGAAAAATTTTAATGATTTATTATCACTGATTTAACATTGATCATAATAAATAATACTTTTATATTCTAAATATCAGATGATGTATTAAAAATTATATATTTTAAATTTCAAATCCTTTTTATAATATATTATTTTTAAGCTTATTTTGTACATTCATTTAATACTCGTAAGTTATTAAACATTTTTTGGGTTGTTATTTTAGTATTTATTTTAGTTGATGAAAGAATATAAAATATTTAAAATATATAAGTTAATAGTTTTTTTTGCAAAATTATATTTATTACCATCAAAGAATTTAGCATCTTTTTCGCCAATAACTGCATCAATAATATATTAAGTGAATTCACTCCACTCCATATGATGGTCACCATTAATATCAATATCTTAAAATAATTTAATTAACCCATTTATTAATTCATATTTCTCTTCTTATGAGTGCACAATAGCGCATTTCATTAGCCAAACAAAGTTAGAAAGCTCGATACCATTTGGATGCTCATTGAATTCGTCTTCTAATGCTGCTAACTTGTCATTATCAAGAAGCATCATCAATCTATTATGGAGATGATATATATAAACTAAATTAGATTAAGGTAAAATTAGTCATAGTTTTATAAAATAATTTTATACGTTTCAGCAGTGAATTTGTTCTTATCTTGTAAAAGAAGATGCTTGTTTTCTTACAAATAATTTTTCACGTCCTCTAAAGAAATTTCAATATCATTCCTATTCGAGACAATATCTTTTCTATCTTTTTATTTTTTTTCATACACCTTTTAAAGGGAAGAAGATTTGATCATTCTAGGATAAATTCAAGTAAATTTAGTATTTTATATTAAATCTAGTAGATTTATTGCTGTTTAAATAATGTATTTTATATCTGCTCTATATAAAAATGCTTAATACTAATAACTATTTTGCTATTAAATATTCAATCTATAAATTGTAAATTTGATATTGAAGTACTGATCACAATATTTATTTACAATTAAAAACTTAAGATAATTTATCTAAATTTAAATATATCGAATCAAAAAAGTTTCAAAGTGAAAAGCAACGAAACAAAAGCAGCAGCATACTTAAATTTTATAATATCTATTAAATAGGTATAATTATTTCACTTAAAATGTATCAATTTTTTTTAATACCAAATATTTTCTACACTAAATATGTAAATTTCTTATAATTAATATTATTTTTTTGTATTTTTTATTAATAATTTATTTGATTTTATACACTTGAGTGTGTAATGAAAATTGCCATTAAATATCAAAAATTTTTTATTTAAGTTATGTTTAGTAATTAAAAAAAAATATATTTATTTTTTAAGAGAGTAATACATTTTTTATGAAATTTTATACTAAATACTGATTAGATTTGTCATAACTCTACATTTAATTATTTTTAATAGATTTAAACAGAAAAATTGAAGCTAAAGGAATTATTAAGCTATTTAAGATATAAGGTAGCAAGAAGTGATCATCTAAAGCAGGAGCTAGGGAATCAGTTTATATTATTATTTTCTTATTTTAGATAAAAAGAAGGAAAAATAAAAAGAGTAAAAAAAAAAGTAAAAAAAGATATTTTATTTAAAAGTAGAGTTAGGAGAAATATAAGAAGGTTAAATGTTGAAAATGATAATGTTAGGATGTTTTTGAGTAAAAAATAAATTAGTGCATGACAAAAATACAACTTTATACCCTATTTTTTGATAGTTAGCAAAATTTTTGTTGAATTTGATATATTCCAATTCATTTTGCTCCTAAAATGATCTGATATTTGATCTTAAGAACAAAGATTATTCTGATTTGAAATCATTTTTGAGGAGATAGCAGTCAAATGTACAGAAAAACAAAAAAATGTATTAGAATTCGAAAAATATGATAGATCCGAAGGAGGTTATAATTAAATTAAGAAAGGAGCGAAAGAGGGAAAATTTAAAAATAATATAATCGTGAAGGAAAATTAGAGGGAAGAAAGAAAAAAAGCAAAAATTGAAAGGTAATATAAATCGAAAGAAATTAATAAATTAATCAGATTAGCTGAATTGTTTTAATTAATTAATTAATTAGCTAGTTATTTATTTAATTATTAACTTAATAAATTAATTAGAAGGTTTCTTTGATTGTATTATTTTTTCAATCAAGTCTATCTATCTATGCATATTTTTAATAAATTACTTAGGATTATTTAAATTAATAGCTTGTTAGTTAGTTAATAAGTGAGTGAGTTAATGATAGGATTTTGCATTTTTAATTTAAAAATTTTAACTTAAATATTTTTAATTCTAAAAAAAAATGAAAAGAGGGTTTTGAAGGAGGGGACGAAATAGCAAAATCTTTTTTGTGAATTTTTTAATTTGTTAGAAATATTTTCTAATTTTGTAGTAAATTTACATTCTGATTTTCTTTTTCTTCGATTATATCAATTACCAAACATAGAATTATTTTAGAATTTTAGTTAAACAAACTTTGTATTCAGGAAGCTTTAATAGCATCTTAATGTATCTCCTTGTTTATTTTAATATTCTTATTATTCGCTAAAAAGGATTTTGTTTGTGATATATATAAATATATATAAAAAGTATGGAAATCTATTAATTTTATCAATTGAATAATCAAATTATTTGTTTGCTATTATTTTTTATGATAAAGATAATTAATTAATTATATGGTTAATGCTATAAAAATTCATAGCAATTAGCTTATGCCTTTTCATTAATTAAGTCTTAGATTTTTTATTAAGTATTAGCTGAATTTTCAATCATCATATATAATCAAATTCTCAAGCAATTATAAAGAAATAATTGGAATAAAATTAAAGAGGAAAAGAACAAAAGAAAAAATATATATAAAGAAATAAAAAAAAAGATTAAAAAATAAAGAAAAAATAATTAGATGTCAGGATCTGAGGATTCAATTGAAAATCAAAGTTCATTTGATGATGATAGTTATTCAGACGGACGTCTTCCTCGCTCATCTAAGAGAAAGGGAAGAAAACCAAAGTAATTAAGGCCTCCCATTTTATATCAATTTCTTAAAACAAGCCAAGCCCTTCCTTTCCTTCTCAACCTTCACTCTTACTTCCTAGCTATATAGGAATCTTTGATATATTCTCCCCACTCTATTTTTATCTTGAATTTTACAAAGTTATTTATTCATATTAATTGGTTTTTTTTTTTTTTGATTTAAGTGCTTTTATAATAAGCACCTTTGCATAAAAGCGATGATAAAAAAGTAATACTAGGAGGGAAGTGGCGCGAAAAGAAATAAATTTTTAAATAAATCTAAATAAATATAGATCGTAAGCCATTAAAGAAGAAGATGGAGCAGATGGTGAATTGAATGAAGAAAGGTACATTACATTTATATAGGATTATTTTTTTCAACTTGCAGCTAAATTACTCTTTTAGTGTTGATTTGTTTATTTGCATAGTCAATTAATCATATCAAAAATTACATAGAAGCAATAAAAAAGGAATAAAAATTTGAATACTTCATTTTATGCATAAAAAAGGGATGTCAGAAAAAGGCAAACAAGATAGAAAGTCACTAATGGCATTAAGAGTCTCCTTGAATAGGAAAGAGATGTAGATTAGTAAATTCTGGAAGCAGAATAAGAAGAAGCAGCTGCAGCTGCATAAGCAATGGAAAATGATGAAAATGCTGGAAGCGAACCAGGCGGAATTTTTTATCCAGAGATAGATTAAATACTTTGGAAGCGTTTTAAAAAGGGTTCAGAAAGCGAATATGAGTATCTAGTGAAGTACAAAGAGTACTCTTACCTTCATTGTGAATGGTTAGAAGAAAAAGATGTTATAGGTGATTCAAAGTCTGGAAAAAATAAACTCAACAGATTCAACAAAAATTTTGAAAAAAAGCTTCACGACGGTGTAAGCAGCTTACTCTATTAACTTATATTTAATTTTGGATTTATTTAAAAAATGGCTAACAAATATATTTATTTTTTCAAAACTCAGTCAATTACAATAAATTAGTGAAATGAGATGCCGATTGTTCTATGCAAAAGATAAGACAAAATAAGATTTAAAAAGTGGAATTTCAACTTAGCATTCAAAACACGAAATATCCAGTAACCAAACTGATATTTCGAATATTATCGTTAAAATAAACCTTGCAAAGAAACATAACTCATTTAATAGCAAATTAGCCAAAATATTTTCCAATCCGATTCCAAACAGTAAAATTAAATTATTTTCTTTATAATTAGGATTTCGATGAAGATGCAGAGGAGAATGAAAGATATTTTGATCCTACCTATATAGAAGTAGACCGTATTCTACAATGCGTAGAACTTTTCCCAATAATACATCCTAAAAAGGCTAATGAAATTAAAGGTAAATGGAGCGAATTGCTTGTAGTCATAATACAAAAGCTCTTGAATTTTACAAAGGACGATGTGCATTATGGTATTTATTTTATGGAACCAGTTAATCCTGAACGTGATAATTGCCAAAATTATAAAAAAATTATCACTAACCCTATGGATCTTGGAACTATTAGCAATAGATTGTATTTAGATTATTATAAGAGTTTCTAACACTTCTTTTAAGATTTTGGCTTAATATTTAAGAACTGTAGAAAATACAACAAAGATCCTGAATCAGACATTAGAATTCTTTGTGATACTCTTCGTGAAGTAATTCTGATTAAATATATTAAACAACTACTCAAACCTTTTTGATTTAATTTTAATCTATAATAATATTATTCACATTAATATTTAATAAATCCAATCAATTACTACCATCTTCTTTGACCAAACTATCCAAAAAACTTTTACGTGTTCTTTCTTTAATTTCCTATTTACTTTTTTAATTTATGCTAATTACCTATTATGATATTCAACAGGCAGGTATAATCCTATATGATGAATGGTTCTAAATTCAGAAAAAGATTTATGAATTACTAATTAAAGACTTTAATTAAATGAATGATCCCGAGTATATCAAAAAGAAAGAAGAAGAGAAGAAAATTGAAATTTAAAAGTAAGCTTAGAAAAGAAAAAAGACATTTTAAAAATAAACCATCACCCTCACAAAGAAGCTAATTGAAATATAGCAAAAAATAAAGAAGGCAGAAGAAGATGAATTAGAAGGAAAGCTTAAAAGTGAATAAGAAGAAAAGGATTAAGCCCAAGATAAAATGGATGTTGAAGGAGAAGAAGGCATTCAAGCAAGTGATAAAAAAGTAAGAAGACCTCGCTTTAGCTTGATTGATGAAATGAAGCTTTTTTCTGCAGAACATTAAGAAGAAATAAGCAATAACTTAACTTTAAAAGACATTGATATGAAGGAAGAGCATGAAATTAAAAATGTTATCAATATCTTCATTTAAGCTAATAAATTCTTGCTGGATGTAGAATTCTCAGATGATGAGGATGCTAAATTAGAAAATGATGAAAATAAAATTAAATCAAGCTGTGTAGGAGATGAAAATGAAGAAAACTAGCTCTCAGAAGAATAAAAAGCTGAAAAACGTAAAAAAATTCGTGAAGAAGCTGTAGCAAAATATATCGATGCCATGTTCTAGTCAATAAAAAATCGCCGTAAAAAAGGATCAGTTGTAGACTTGACTCTTGAAGAAATCGAGAAATACAATCCAGGTAAATATAATTATAATTGGTTGGCAGATGAAGGACTTAATTCTGCAAGCGTTGAAGAGGAACTCTCTGTATATATTTCTGCAGAAGAAGCTGATGCATTATCTCTTTCAGTTGAGATAGATACCTTATATCTTGTGAAATGGAAAAATTTATCTTATCTTGAAAGCACTTGGGAACACGAGAGCATTATCGCTAATCAGACTAAGATAAATGACTATCGTATGTATAATCGTGCCCTTGATAAGGAATCTCGTCAAGTTTTAAGTTAATAACTTGAGCGCCACAAAACATTACTTGATCTAGAGTAAAACCCAAAGAAAAAGTAGAAGATTGGTCCATAAGGACTTATTGAATTAAAAAATAAACTCTTTTTCTATGATGTTGCTAATTACAAATAGCCATTTTAATATACATAAAAGACACAACCTATCTATAAATAGAGAAAACTCCTTCGTTATTATTAATTAGAGTCTCTCAACTGGATGATTGAAGCTTGGTATAGTAAAAGAAATGTTATTTTAGCTGATGAAATGGGTCTCGGTAAAACTATTTAATCCACTGCTTTTATTAATCACCTTTACACTTTTGAAAATGTTCGTGGTCCTTTCCTAATTATAGCTCCTCTGAGTACTTTAGAGCACTGGAAGCGTAGTGTAGAAGATTGGACAAATTTAAATGCTGTTCTTTACTATGACCACTCTGGTTAGGAAGGCCGTAATTGTTGTAGATTCTACGAATGGCTATATACTGATATCTCTACTAAAGGTACTGTATTATAATCAAATGAAATCTACAAATTCTAAGTCTTAATCACTTCAAATGAAGTATTCTTGAGTGATACCAATAATTTCCTCATAAATATTCCCTTTTAATTTATTGTTGTCGATGAAGCTCACAGACTTAAAAATCAAAATGCAAAAATTTTAGCAACATTAAAACGCTTACCTTGCAAGCGTACACTCCTTTTAACAGGTACTCCTATTTAAAATAACACAGAAGAACTATGGACTTTGCTTAATTACATTGAACCAAACAAATTTGCAAGTCTTCAAGAATTCAAAGAATAGTTTGGTGAGTTACAAAACAAAGAATAAGTAGATAATTTGCAAGTAAAAATTAAACCATTTTTACTGAGACGTATGAAAGAAGATGTAGAAGACAGGTATGATTTTTCAATTATTATTCCTTATTAAAATTTTATTAAAAATTAATTCTCAAAAAAATGAAAGAAAATAAAAAATTATTTGCTCATTTAAAATTTAAATAAAATTATTTCTAACATTAATTTTTTATTAAGAAAAAAAATTAATTAGTGAATTTAAATTTATTAATTTTCTTACAAATAAATAATTCTCATTTTATAAAAAAAAGTATTCCTCCTCTTTAAGAAACAATTATAGATATTGAAATGACTACTCTCTAAAAAACTCTTTATCGTGCTATCTATGAAAGAAATAAAAGTATGCTCCAAAAGAATTTTTCATCTATGGCTATGAATACTTCACTTAACAATTTAGAAATGCAACTCAGAAAATGTTGCAATCATCCTTTCTTAATTAAAGAAATGGAAATAGAACTCACCCAAAATTTTAAAACTTCTGAAGAGCGCTATAAATGCCTTGTTGATACTTCTGGTAAAATGATTTTACTTGATAAGCTCGTTCAGAAATACAAAATTGAAGGAAAGAAGATTTTGATTTTCTCTTAATTCGTTTATATGCTAAACTTACTTGAAGAATATCTTCGTTATCGTTAACTTAAGTATGAGAAAATTGACGGATCAGTTAAATCTAAAGAGCGTTAGAATGCTATTGATCGCTTCAATGACCCTGATAAAAAGCGTGATGTTTTCTTACTTTCAACTAAAGCTGGTGGTCTTGGTATTAACTTGACATCTGCAAATATTGTAATAATATTTGATTCAGATTGGAATCCTTAAAATGATGTCTAAGCTACTGCTCGTGCTCATCGTATTGGCCAAAAATAAGAAGTTATGGTCTATCGTTTTATCACAAAAAAAACTTACGAGGCTGAAATGTTTGAACGTGCTACTAAAAAGCTAGGATTAGATTAGGCTATATTTATGGGTGGTGAGTTCAAATCAGTCTAAGGTAACAAGGATGAATCTAAGAAGCTTGGTAAAAATGATGTAGAAAGTCTTCTGAAAAAGGGTATTCTTGGTTTGGTAAATGAAGAAGAAGAAAACAAAAAATCTAATGAATTTTAAGAAGAAGATATTGATATGATTTTAAAGAACAATACTCGTATTGCTAAGTATTCGGTCATAAATGGCAGCTATAGTTTCAGCAAAGGTTCATTCATATCCAACAAGGCAGATACTGACCTCAAGATTGATGATCCTAATTTTTGGAATAAAGTATTAAAAGACTAAGAAAGTAAGACTTTATTGGCTCTTAAAGAATATGATGAGCGCTCTAAAATACTTTCTGTTGATGTTGAAGAATAAAAGAAATATTTCTTTAAAGTTTGTGAATTTGTAAATGATCTTATTTCAAGTAAATTGAGCTTAATTGGCTACAATGCTGATGATGAAAAAAATATTACCGATATTTTAAATAAAATTTCTGATAGTAAAGACTTCCATACTAAATATAAAGATCTTGCAATGAATTTTATTTATGAAGTCTCTCGCCCCTCTCGTCGTTTCCGTAAAGTTACCTTGCAAGATTTGGATGTTACTAATCCAGAAAATCAGAAATCTAAAAAGAGTAAATAAATAATTTGAGCTAAAATTTTTTTTTAAAGAATATTAATTTTACATTTATATTAGATATTTCCAATTCTTCTGACGAAAATGATCTCTTTTATGATGGATACTCAGATTTAGAATCAGATGAATTAGGCGTTGGTTCTGTAAATAACTTCCCATCAGAAAAAAAGACTGGAAGTAAAGACAAAGAAAAAAGTTCAGAAAATGGTGGCAGCGGAGTAAGTAAAAAAGAAGACCTCTTCAAGAAATTATGCTATTATTGCGATCGCCCAAAATGCACTGTATTCTGTTAAGGTCATTGTAAGAGATCATTCCATAGTGAATGTAAAGAGAGAGTAGAAGCAGGATGGATTAATGAAAATGGTATGACAAGCGAAACTAGAATCGTACCTACTGAGGATCATTACGATGAAGAACGTCTTAAAAAAATGTTAAATATTAACTATACATGCAAGGATTGTGAAGCAAATACAGCTATCTGCTTTATTTGCAAAAAAAAAGGAAGTTTCTTCCCTCCTGCCGTTTTAAATAAATAAAATAAGCGTATTTAATAATAAAAATAAAAAATTATTGCAGAGAAAGAAAAGCAAAAGGACCCATCTAATGAAATAGTTGAGGAATCTGAGAATGAATTAGATGAAGATTATGACTTGGTTGAAGATGATTCAGTATCATAAAAAACAAGTGATTTGACAAAATGCTCAACTGCTAATTGTAATAAATTTTACCATCCTGTTTGTATTAAGCCTTATGCCTTATTCAAGTACATTGATTCAAATAATAAACGTTTCCGTTGCCCATTACATTATTGTGCTCATTGCTTTATTTCTGGAGATTCTATGGCTATTTCTTAATGTGTTAGATGTCCTAAAGCCTATCATCTTCGCTGCTTTGAAAAAGCTAAGGTCCTGAAACTTACAAAAAAACTTATGCTTTGTGAAGATCACCCTCATTAATATTATAAAAACATACATTCTAGCAGCGGATCTAATTCAAATAATAAAAATAGCTCATCATAATCAAATAACAACAACAATAATAATAATAGCAGATAGTAGAGTTCATAAAATGTATCTGCTAGTAACACTAATACTAGATCCAAATCTGGTGCAACAAATAGCAACGATAACATTGTTGATGATACTTAACAAAAGAAATAAAAATTAAATAATGGTACAGGATAAGTAAGCACAAATAATAAAACTTCTTCAAATAATTCATCCTAATAAAATGGTGTTAATTAAGCAAAGGAAGCTCTGGAAAAAGCCACTTAACCAGCAGCAAATTCTAATCAATCTTAAGCAAATACTTCTGGAAGAGAAGGTAGAATGACTCGTTCTCAAGAAAAAAATATTCAAAATTAACAATCCACAATTAGTTAATTCTTTGGAAAAAAAGACAATAAACTTAAAGAAAAGTAAGACTAAAAAAATGTAAAATTAGAAGATTAAATAAATTAAGAAGGAGATGACTTAAATAACAGTCAAAATAATGGAAACTTAGAAAACGGAGAATAAGAATAGACTGTTGCTCCTAAACCTAAAGCTAAAAAGCCTGCTCCTCCCCCTCCACCACCACCAAAAGAGCGTGAACCTCCTTAATTTTCATATGAAGACTTTAAGATCCCATCACAAAAAGACTTTGACTACCAGAAATATCAAAGGGTAATTGAAAATTAATGATTTGATAAAAATAACCGAGAAAAAAATTTTATTTTATTTACAAAAAACTAAAATATAAAAATTATAATGTTAAGAAAAAAGATTTAGAAAAAAATTAAAATAATTTTTAACCCACCTTACTTTTAAAATAATAAAAGCTAAGATAAAAATTATCAATTTATTTTAAAAATTTAATTAATTAATTTTTTTAAATTAGGATTGGTGCAGATATTGTGGTGCAAGATTCTCAAGCAATTTCACAAAAGGACCATGGGGACCTAGAACACTCTGCACAGTTCATTATATAGCATGGAATCAAAAGAAGAAGTTGGATTTAAGGGCTTATAAAGAACTACCTACTAAACCTATAAATCCTGATGACTAAACTGAGCTACATTTTATGAGTAGACTAAAATAAAAGGATGAGTCTTACAATCCAGAGATTCTTTTGAAGGAGATGATGAATATTAATCTTAATGGCCTCTCATCTTTGAATAGCTAAGAATTGAAAGATGTAAATTAGGATAGTAACTCTGGTAAAGCTTCAAGTTCAGAAAAATAGGAATCAAAAAAAGAAACACCTGCCTCTAACACAAATAAAAATGAAACAAAGACAGAGGAAGAAGATGGCTAAAAAATAAACAAGGTTTGAAAAATGCTGATTTTCTCTCTCTTTCTTTCTCTCTGTAAAATCAGAGAGAATTTTAAAATAATAATTTGAATTTTTCTATAACTTTTCAAAAAATATATTTATTTCAATAAATATGAGTAATATAAATAAAATGCAAAGCAAAGAGCTGAGAAACCTTAAATTTAAAATATGATTTGTTTATCGATCTTATAAAACGGAAATGAGAAATAACATTACTGCCAGAACTACTAGTATCTTTTAATAAAATATTTTGTAAATGTATTATTATTTTAATTTCACCCATAGTTAATAAATAATTATTTAGCTAAAAAGTAATCGACAATTTTTTGTAATTATACTTTTAACTGGCTTCGCTATTAATCTAATAATTACAATATTTAAAATATTGATTACTTGATAAATAATAAACACAATAAATAATTAAGAAAAACTTAAAAAAGTAGAAAAAATCAAATTTAAATTAAACAAACAAACAAATAAATAAATAATCATATTAAAACTTTCATTAATTTATATATTCCTAAAGCCCATCTAAAAACTCTTTGATTAAAATAAAATAATTACTCATTTTAATATAAGTACCAGCTCTATATATTTTATTCATTTTGTAAATTATTGATTTGTCATTATCTTAATTATCCTTGCACTTTAAAATCAATCATATTAATTAAATTCAGATATAAATATCTTATTTTCCTCCTGATTTATGTGTAATTTATTTATTTATATGTTCTTTTTTGCTTAAATTTTTAGATTCTAATCAGCACTTTTACATTAAATCTCAAAGTTTTTAAAATAGATTGCTTTTTCTAAAAATAAAGATTTTATCAAAATTAATAAAAACTTTTTTTTGATAAAATGAAATAAATAAAGGCAAGTGCTTTGTTATAGATTAAATGTGATTAAAAATCAAGTAAATTTTTTAATAAAATAATAATTTGCCTTTCATCAATTGCTAACTTAAACTCTAATTTTTAAGCAAAATGGAATAAATTAATTTTTTTAAGGCAATAATTAACTTTTTCTTGATAAAAATTTTTAATTTAGTGATTCATTATTTTGCTAACTCTCTTTAGTTTTCTGCATTATTTTATATCTTTTTCACTCAATTAAGTCTTTTTGTTATAAAAATATCCTTCATTTATGTGTAATTTAATCTTTTTGTCTATTAATAGTTTTCATTTTATAGTTTAGAGTATTTATTTAGAAAAAACTAATTAAAAATCATAAAAAATTTTTATTAATTAAATCTTTAAATTATAATTATTATTAATTTGCGAAAAAAACTTTCACGAGGAAACTAAAATTATTAAAAAATTAAAATGCAAAATCCGATTCCTCCTCACCTAGTTAAACTCAACCCTCCAATCCTAATCAAACTCAATGATAAATTTCTACAAAAATAATAACTGTAGCCTGAAAAAGATGAAGTGGATTTTAATATGAGTAAAAATTACAATAGCTAGTATTTCTAAAGAAAAGGCTTAAAGAGCAGACCTCCTAGTATTTCATCTCCACTCTCGTTTAGTATGCAGTAGTATGCAACCTCTCCTATCATAAAAAATTCTTCTACACATAGTTAGGGTTAAAAAAAATTAAGAGAACCTATTGATTTTAGCAGCTAATAAAATATTTTATATTATGATACATAATAATTGAATACACAAGCCTACTAGTATGAGACCGATAAATCTGCATTTGAAGAAAAATACAAAATAAATTAAAATTCTAATCACCACCAATTATTATAAAATAAAAATTCTGCTCCTGGATTTTTATAAACACCATAAAAAAGAGGAGTTTTACTCTTATCTAGTGTCTAAAAAAAAAGAGGACTTAATAAAATTGATGAAGAAAGTGATTAATAATATACTGATTATGAATTCGAGAGCGAAAATTATCTTTATCCAATATAAAAAAAACAAGATTATTAAAATTTAGAAGAATAGTTTAAATACCAAATATTCGATGATTAATAAAAGAAAAAGTTTTTAGAATACATAAAAAATCAAGATACTTAGAGTTTAGAAAAACTATTTAAAGAAAGGATGGAGTCCATTTTAAAATGTTATAATTAATAGATAGATTAATTTTAAGAAAACTAACAGCGATATAAAAAATAAAATAACAAGATAAAGAAGTTAGAATAATAAATTCATTAAATGGATTCACTGATTAAAAAATAAAAATTTAAGATAGACATTCTTTAGAATCAATTGTATTAAGAAAGATAATCTTAATTAACTAAGTCTTATTCTTCGTCTACTTTTTATGTGAATAAGATTTAATCAGGAGAATTCATAAAATCGAAAGATAATTTAGAGATACAAAATATATGAATGTGCGAAACAATTAAAATAATAAAAATATATAAAAAATAATAATTAGAAATAATTTTATAATCAAATCCAATGACTTTTAATTATTCTTTATAGGTAAAATAAAAAAACATGAAAGAAAAAGAAAAAAAAAGATAATTTTATGAGAGATAGATTGTGTTTGTAATGAAATAAATAACATACTCCTAAATTTCTTTTTATCAATTTTATTTAATGTTTTATGAATGCTTTAAATTTGCCAAAATAAAATATAATGGATGGCAGGTAGGTATCGATTCAAAGAAATACCCTAAATAAAAACTAATATAATCAAGCTAAAATTTAAGGAAATATATCCAATTATAAATATTTATTATTGCTCATAATTTAATTAAAAGGAAAACATACTTTTAAATTCAATTAAGGACAAATTAAATTTAATTACATTATTAATTATAATAAATTGTTTAGTGATAAAATTTATTTACCTCTAAAATTAGTATTTTTTAAATTGATAAACATTAAATTAAAATAAATCAGTCTTAACTTGAAAACAAATTATATAAATTAGGAAAAATCATTTTAACAAATACAAAAAAAATAATATCTTCCTACATGAATATTTTTTTTTTTTTTCTTAAAATTTACAAAATAAACTTTGTTTTTTTCTATTATTTTAAAATGTTTAAATTTTATTAAAAAATACAGTTCTGCTAATAGATCAAACGAATAAGTGTTTTTATGCCTTCTTTCATATTTTTGTCCAGTCAATAAATACTAATAGAAAAAAAAATAAAAAACATTGATGATTCTATAAAAAATGTTTTCTAAAAACTTAAGTTTTTAAAATTTTTATAAAATTTTTTAGATGATAAAAATATAATCGTAAAATATAAATTGAGTTAACTCATTTGGCTTTCGACATCTTAAATAATATTTAGCTATTTAATCTTAAGATTAAAATAAAATATTATTGAAATATATAGCAAATATTTGAGTTAACTTTCAAAATATAAAATAAAGAATAGAAAATTAAATTTAAGCTCATATATTCTAAATAAAAGCAAAGAAATTTAGCTTACTTTACATTAGAATATTTAAACATATAAATTAAATATTCTGATTATCTATTTAAAATAAATAAGAATTGGTTTGTTTATTGATTGCATCAATAATTAAATCACATTTGTAGAGTCATTTTAATTAACTATTCTAGAATAGATAATTTAATATATCCATTTTTAGATAAATTCTTTCCTCTTAGAATATATGAGGGAAAAAATAAAAATTAGGTATAGTACATTAAATTTATTTCTTAAAAAGCAGGAGTAATTTCATGCGAAATTATATATTAATTTTTATGCGACTAAAAAAGAAAGACTAAAATTCTCTTTGGGAAAAAGAAAGCAAGCAAACTAGTAATGTCGTTTTTTCTTAACTTAAAACCATGTCCTAGTTTAGAAAAGCATTCCTTAGAGTTTTTCCATTAGGTTCCAATATCAGACAGGTCTATCATGTAAGTTTTAACTATTTATCACCATATTTATTTCTTGAATTCTCTTTTGATGTTGGTTGAATTTATTCATTTCTTTTTATTTATTTTAATTCCCCAATAAGGTGTGTTTTTTACCTTTGTTCTATTTACTAAGAATAAGATAAAATTTTACATATAATTTTTTAGAAAAGGTGTAAAATAATAAATAAGCTAACTAATTATTTCACATCTTTCTTTCTTAATTTTTATTTCGTATCCAAAAAATATTTAAATTGTATTCTTTAAGCTCTGAAGTGAGTTATTAATTATTACATTTGACTTAGTGAAATTAAAACAAAAATCAAAAAAATAGCTTTTCATTAAACAAAAATTTATTAGCCTTATCAAAATATCTCTATTATTAAAATTTTTGAATTCAAAGCTAAAAAAACAAAAAAAAACAAAATATTAAAATTATTTTTAATATAAAAAAAGGAGCTGCATAACTCCTTCAAGGATAAAGCAGAAAGTAAATTTAGTATATAAATAGATAGACTCTTTTAGCAAGATAAATAAGAATTAATTGTTTAATTCACTCAGTGAAACAAATAGCATTATGAGCAGCGATTTTGATAAAACAACTCAAGAAAATTATTCAGATTAGAATTATTTTAACAATAATTCTACTCATGACACACATTTCACCTTACCCATTGATTTAGCATTTAATAGGGTGCTCACTAAAGTTTCAGAATAAGGTGTAGAAGAAACTCCTTACAATACTGAAGGTGATCATCAGAATAAGAATCATAGAAGAAGTTATGGATTTAGAAAATAAAACAAAGCACATACTTTTTCAGCATCAGATTCTCCATAAAATTGCAAATTTATATCTCCTTCTAATAAGAATGATTAATTAAATAAGAGCGCTCATTAGGTTATAGAAGAATAAGATTAAAATGATCATTTTTCTGAATAGGAATAAGATGAATATAATGAAAATGGTGATGTTTTAGATTAGGCTAATAATAGTGATGAGGAATAGCAAAACAAAATAAATTATTATTAAGGTACTCAAAATTCATTAAATTAGATTGAAAAAGTAAGAAAGATAGATTAATCTTACCATTTAGCTATAAATAAATCTAAATTTGGAGAGATTCAAGAAGAAATGGAGTCACCTATGAAAGAAGATTTTGGTAGCAATATTTAAAAAGCCATAATAAATAAAAATGATAACTTGAATACAGACTATTTCAATCAAAATGACTAACAAGAAGGCCAATTTAATATAAATTTAGAGAAATAAAAAGAATTAATTTAAGATTTGAATAATTTAGATAAGTTAACTTCTGATTAAATAAAAAAATTATTCAAGAATATTGAAGAGCAGCTACATTGTCTTAAGTTTTGCTACTAACAAAACTAAAGTAAATAGATAATACTAAAAGGATGTGAACAAAAGATTAAATATTTGAATAAGTAGTTACAAGAATCTAAAAAGAAAATTTAAGATTTGAATAATAAGTTGAATAAATAAGAAAAGGATAAAGAAATAAATTCTATCTTAGATCCAAATTAGTATATCTCAGACAAGTAATAAGAAGAGATATAAAAATTGTTATAAGATTCGATGAATGACAAGGAAATCCTAGAAAATATGAAACAGCAACTTAAAAAATGTAAACAAGAAAATGAAATGTTGGAGTAGAGAGACAGAATGAAATAAGAAGATATGTAAAAATTACTTAAACAATTAATGGAATTAAGTGAAGAAAACTCTTAAATGAGAAATGAAAACAAAAATTTAATTTTAGAAATATAAGAATTAAAGCAATAACAGCATGAACAATCTCAAAATGGCGTTAATCTGTAAAGCAATAATTCTTATGAATTGGATTAAAATTAGAATGAGAAAAGTCCTTATTCATAAGATAATGAATAAATTTTAAATGATTAAGCTGGTGAAGATATTATTTCATTTTTAAACCACAAATTTTGTAATTTATTTTACGATATCGTACATTATCATTTATAACTGAATGAGTTATCTATTCCAGATTTCTTATAAAAATTAGCATTAGAGATAAATAGTTTTATTTCATAATTAAAGGAAAAATATTAATTTTTAGATTCTATTTACTGTTTACCAAGTATTTAAGATAAAATAATTGAACAATCTATTCATGAAACAAACGAAAATAACTCTGAATAAATAAATGATTATTAAAATAATAACTAAGATAACTAGCAATTAATTTAATAAATTGCAGGATTACAATAAATAATAGATGAGATAAACTAGAAAAATTTATAATAATTAGATACAATAAATTCATAAAATTAATAATTATAAGAATAATTAACAAAGAATAGTGATTAAGTTGCTTCTCTCGAGCAAAAAACATCAGAAAATAAAGATCTTTAAGAAAAAATTAACCAACTATTGCAAGAAGAAAAGAACTTTGATCTATTAACTTAAGAGAATAAAGAATTAAAATAATAAATTTAAATATTATAACAATAATAGGAATAAATTTAATAAGAATAAATTAAAAATAATGAAAAAATAGACGAGTTAGGATAGAAAGAGTTAAATCTTTAAGAATAAATAAGATAATTATAATAAGAAATTAATGAGCTAAATTAAAAATTTAATAATTAAAAATAACTTAATGAAGAAAGTACGATCTTATAAGAGAATTTATAACAATCATTAAAAAATATTGATGAAATTAAATTAGAAAACAATAATTTGAATGAATAGAATTAGCAATAATAAGAAAAAATTAAGTAAATTTAACAAGAGTTAAATAAAAATATTGAGCTAATAAATTAAAACGAAAAGAGAGAATAAAATCTTTAAGACGAAGTAGATTAATTATAATAAAAAATCAAATAAATAACTGATGCATAAAATTAATAAAATGAACTACATTTGTAATAATCATCATCTGATTAGGAAAAAATAAATAATTTATTAGAAGAACTTGAAAAAGTTAAAGAATTATATGAATAAAAATCTAAAGATAACGAAGAAAAGATAGAGGTTTTATAGCAACAAGTAAAATAAAAATAACTTGAAATAAATTAATTAGAATAATAAATCAATAATAAAAACTAAGAGATTGAAGCTTTAATGCAGTAATCTAAAGAGGAGTAAATTAAAAAATTATAAGCACAATTAGAAGATAATTTATAAAAGGTAAATACTCTATAATCTGAAATAAAAGGTCTCAATTTAGAAACAGATGAGTAAAAGCAATAAATAAACCAATTTAAATAAAAAATGATTGAATTAAATGAAATTTTAGATAAAAAATAAGTGATTATTAATCAATAATAATAAGATTTCAACAATTTAAAAAATAATTTATTAAATTAAGAACAATAAGCAAACAAATTAGAGAAAGAAATAAAAGAAAAAGAAGATAAAATAAATGATTTATTAAACCAGATAAACTAAGCTCAACAAAACTATTAGGAAAAAGAAGAAAATTTGAAATAATAAAATTCTTCAAATTAAGTTTAACTTTAAGAATATAAATAATAAATTGGAATGTTAAATTAAAAGTTGATTTCTCTCGAATAATAATTATCTGATTAAATTGATGAAAATCAAAATAAATAAAAATAAATCGATAGTTAAAAATTATTACATGAATAAAATTTAAAAGAATCAAAGAAACACACTGAAAATTTGGCTAAAGTTTAAAACTTGCTAGATTCTCAAATAAAAGAGTGTAAAAAATTAAAAGAGATGAATAACCAACAAGAAGATTAACTAAAATCCAAATAAAATTAATATGAAAAAGTAAGTGAATAATTAAAAGAATCTGAAAAGAAAAATTTAGATTTATAAAATTAAAATGAATAGCTAATTAGCCAAACAAATATTCTCGCCTAATAAATATAATTATTAAATTTCGCTGAAAACTAAAATTCTGATTTAAATTTAAAAGTCTAACAATTAGAATCACAAATATAGTAATTAATAGCAGAGAATAATGGGCTTAATAACTAAAACATTGAATAATAAAATTAATTATCCTAATTAAATAACAAGTTAAATAAATTTTAGGAGGATAACTAATATTTTTAAAACTAATATACTTATGGTCAGTTAATATAAAAACTGCTCTAAAATAGAAATGGAATATCTCAAGCTATGTTTGAAAACATAAGCTTCTTTATGAGAGAAATACACTAACACATATAACATTAGTAAAATAATTATGTTATAGATTTATACCACAAAGTTTACTAAAACTTAGAAAGTGAATCACTTTAATTTAATCAAAAAAGTGAACAAATCTTTTTATAAATAGAAGAAAACCAATACTCTTTATTCAAAATTTGCAATCTTTATGAATTAATCTTCTAATATTTTTCTGACATGCTCAAGTCTGTGCTTCTATTAAATTCAGAAATTTTAAGATAAAAAATAATTATTGAAAATAAATGAAAATGATATTTTCAATTAAATAAATCGATAAACAAACAACAATAAAAAAATAATTAAACAAATAAAACTTTCAAATATATTAAAAGTATTAAATTTTGTATTTATAATTCAATTAAAAAAACAATTAATTAGCAATTTAAATTTAATGTAAAATAATTCATATAAAATGTATATAATAAATTTTGTACAATATGCATTTTTAACTTTTAAAAATTAATAAATAAACCATTTAAAATTTGTAATTCCTTCTTAAATATAGCATAGTATCATAAATATCACTTCCTCGTTCTCTATAAAAAAAATACTGAAAATGCTAATTATATCAAAACATTCTCCTCCTAATCAAAAAATATCCTTCACCCTTATTTATGAGTACTTCAGTATTTAATTTATAATATTAAATAGTTTAACAAAACAAATAAAATTAAATGTTGCTAAATTAGAAATAATTCTGGAACTTTTTGAAAAAGACTATTTATTTAATAAAAAAGGTTCATTTGTTTATAAAAGTATTTTAGGATAATAATAAGAAATAAAAATAAATACATATAAATAAATAATTGCTGAAATCGAACAGAAATATAGAAACATACAAAAATATAGTTATCAGATATTAATTGGAGATTAAAAGATTTTTAAGCAATTAATAAATTATTTGTTAGATTATATTTTAATAAGAAAATGTAATTAAAAATTTTATCAACTACTTCTTTGATAAAAATTAACAAGCAAAAATAATAGTTAAAAATTATAAATAGGGATTTTAATAACTGTTATAAAAAATTTAACAAATAGTTTACAATTTAAAACAAAAACCTTTGAGAAAATTATGGATTTAAGCACTTTTTCTTTACAGCCTGAAAAGCTGCTTTATTTAGCTCATACGATGTATAAAGATAATCTCATAGACAATAAGTAGAAAGAATAAGCCAAAGGTATTTTTAGCATTTATCATTAAATATATCGTGCTAATATAACAAGCCTCTAAAATTATTTTTTTAAAATAGAGCTAATAGTAAATGATGATTAATAGCTTTACTCTTGGCTGAATAATTACGAAAACTCTCATAAGAATCTTTAATTTCTGCAAGATCAATTCATCTACTTAATCAGTAAATAAATAATTAATTAATGATTTAATATGAATTAGAAGATAGTTATTTTAAAAAGCAATTTTTGAACTTTAGCAGAGAATGGATGAGCTGATACTTATTTTATTTTTATCAAACAAGATTTAAATTTATAGGAGAAACAAAATTAGAGCGAAGAAAAAAAGAATGGTAAGAGAGTTAAAATAATTGATCATAATGATTCTTAGGATCCTTGCCTTTCAAGAAACTCAAACTCTAGTTCTCCTATGAGTAGAGCTGGATGGAAAAGACCTTCTTTTGCAATTTCTAAATAGAGAATGGGAGCGAAGGTGACTAAAATGTTTACAGAAGAAAATATGTCTGACTTAAATACTACTAAAGAGAGTTCACCAGAAAAAAATCACAAGGTCTCACTAACAGCAAACCATACACCAAAGTCAGGTCTATAAAGAAATTAGATAGTTATTCCTTAACTCTTCATAGATGAAGAGGTATTTATCACTTAAATAACTAAAATGCACCCCCAAAAATCCAACAAATATTTTATACAATTGCTTAGCTATTATTTATGGTATATATAATATTTTTTTGAATAATTATTTAAAAGGACTCATCACCGTTAGGCAAGTATTTATTTGAACACAAAGTAGTTCACTAAAATATAAAGCCTTCTGTAAAGTCAAGAATTAGGCCTTTCTTAAATCATATAATAGATGATGAAGTAAATTCAATCTGAAGCAAATTTAAAACTAATTAAAATGTTTTTAAAAAATAGTTTTCTTCTCCTCTTGATACCGTGTTACATTAAAGAAAATAAAGATAATAACATTATTGAATAATATTCTACCTATTAGAAGGTATATTTGCTAATAAAATACCAATAAGTCTTTTAAAAAAGGTAAATTTCTAGTAGGAAAATTGTATAATATAAAAATTAACAATAAATTTATTAGATTATAATTTAATTATCAAATCTGTTTAAATACAATATAACATCAACTAATAACTATAAAACTCAATCAATAAATAATTTAACAAAAATTAATAAATAAACAAACAAGCAAGCAAGAAAGCAAAAAACAAAACAATATATCAAATAAACAAACAAACGGCATTTATGCAAAAAAAAAAATTAATCCTAATCAATAAAATTACTTATTTTCAATTATTATCGTTTAATATTGTAAATATTTCTATATCAAATATGTCTATTTAGTATCATGGCTGGCTTTTAATAGACTACTTCAAGTTTTAATTTCTATATTCTTCTTCTTTTTATTTATTTAAAATAATTTCCCTTCTTAAAAATTGACAATAAGTTAATATCTTAAATTTAGACCATGTTTTTTTTTTGAATATAATTTTAATAGTAAAGTTTTAATAAACTCTGTAAAAAATAAGACTATCTAATCTATAAAAATTTATTTACATACCTAAAAATAAAAAGTTTAATTACAAACTATATTTTGAAAATTAATCAACATAAAATAATTTTAACTTTAAAAGTAAAAATGAATAATGAAATTTTTCTATTTATTTAAAATTATTTTTTCAGAAATTTTTATTTATATGTTAAAATGTTATATCTTAAATTATATAAATTACTTTTAACTCTTATCTAGAAATAAATTTTTTTAAAATCTGCATTTATTTATTGATAATATTTCTCCACCATCGAAGTTAAAAAAATATGTTAGGATTTAAAATAAAGAAATATGAGAGTGATTCAAATAGTACTGCGATTATCAAAAAAACAAAAAAAATAATATTTATTATTTCTCAATAAGTGGTATTTAAAATTTATTCATAGTATTTATGATACATTTTACTTTATTATTATTTTTAACTAATCAAATGAAGCAATATTTAAAATAAAATCTTTGTATTATTTTAGATTTTATTTTCGTATGATTAAAACCTTTTAATATTTTTTGATTAAGTTATTTATGAAATTGTATTTTTCTTTTATTTTGCGTACGCTTTTAAATTAATTAATTTTTGATATCTTATTGAATTAAAACATAAAAAAAAGTAATAATCAATTTCCGTCAATAATACATTTGATTTAAAAGTAATACAAATATTTGTTAATTAATAAAGCTTAGCTATTTATTATGGAATCTGAGAGAAAAGAGATCGAATAGAGCGAGGAAGACCAACTATCTGAATACACAGAAGTATTTATTATTTTAATTATTTAAAAGTATATTTTATGTTATTTAAACTTAGGTTTTCTCTTGGGGATGTAAGATGATTTACTTTGAAAAACATAACCTAAATCATATATAAATTCATTAAAAAATTTAATCTTTGTTTTAAAAAATCTTAAGCTGATGAGGAAGGATAAATGGGTTTAGGAGAAAACAAAAGAAATTCTGTATTTTACTATCCTAGAGTTTGCTCTTTTTAGATAGTTATCCATTAGCTAGCCTGTGGATTAGACCACACTGCATTTGTTGCAAAAAATGGATATTTATATACTATGGGTAAGATAATAAATTATCAGGATATCAATTAAGATAAATTTTGTCAAATAGGAAGCAACGCTTTGGGAAAACTTGGTATAGGACAACAAAGTCTACAAAATTCATTTTAACCTTAACTAGTAAGTGCTCTTTCAAAGTAGATTTAAATTTTTGTAAGTTGTTATTAAAAATAGTTAATAATTATAATTTAAAAGATATAAAGTTATGCAAGTAAGCTGTGGCCACTCTCATACTTGCGCAATAATAGGTAATGTTTATAGTTTAAAATCCTATTTTAAAAGTAAATAAATATATTTTAAAGATTCAGGAGAACTTTTTAGTTGGGGAGACTCAAGTGAGGTAACAAAGAACTAAATATTAACTAATTAGCTAGCTAGATGATATTTTTTTAAAGATTTTTATTCAAATTAAGAATCTACAATTTTTAACGGATATAAAGTAAATTTCTTTTTTAATTAAAGGGTTAATTAGGAATAAATAGCAATGGATCTCATTACAATCCTTAGCTAGTTAATTTTAGTGATCTAAAAGGAATCAATACATTCGTTACTGATGTTTCTTGTGGCTATTACCATACTGTAGCTGTTTTAAGTAAGATTCTATTTTATAAAAATGTTTATATTAATTAATAAGTAATAAATAAGAAAATGGATAAGTTTGCTCTTTTGGAAGTGGCAAAAAGGGTTAGCTTGGAACAGGAAATTAGAATAAATAGTATAAACCATTCTTACTTAATAGTTTAAGTTAGATAATCAAGGTTAAATGTGGTTTCTATCATACTCTATTTTTAGATGAATCTGGAAGAGTTTATAGTTGTGGTTTAAATGATGAAGGATAATTAGGTTAAGGACATAATGAAGGTAATATATCTTCTCCAAGATTAGTTTTAGAATTGGAGCATTCTTTTATTAAAAAAATATTTGCTGGCTCTCACTCTGCTGCTATAACTGATGCTAATGAAATATATTTCTTTGGTAAAAGTTAACTTGGATAGTTCCTTTATCCATAACTCGTTAGGATTTGTCAAGGAGATGTTAATGAAATAAGTATTGGCAACCACTTTGGAGTAGCTGTAACATATGATGGTAAAGTCTATTCATGGGGAATAAACCAGTAAGGTTAATTGGGATAGGGTGATAGCGATGTTCGTATAATTCCATCTTTAGTAGAACCTTTAAATGAAAAAAAAGTTATTTCTGCAACATGCGGAGAAAATTATGTTATTTGTTTAGGATAGGTTATGAATAGTAGATTAGCTAAGCTAGCTTCTCAAAAAAAGATGTTAAAATTTTAATCTCCTGACAATAACAATAACAGTTTAATAAATGTTGATAAAGAAGGTAAAAATGAATATCCTTCTTCAAAAAGTTAGTCGCCTTCAAAGAATGGAATGATTAAATCATAGTCTTAACTTATCCTTGCTAATAAATTAGACTAATAAAATGAAATATCTAAATAATATGATGAATAAGGTAATTTAAATAATAGTTAATTTTATTTTTTAAGTTTTTTTATTTTAGATAAGTTAAATAGTATTTATCTTCCTAGTGGGTTTTAGAAAAAAATGAAGCATTCCAAAAGCTTTTATTCTCCTATTGAGAGTGGAATTTTCAGCAATCAATTTTCACCTGAAAAAAACTAATAGAATGGAAGTCTTCTAATAGCAAGCTAAAAAGACAAAATATTTAATCATCTATGTTTAAAGAACGCCTAAGATAAACTATAAAATAATTCATCTTTCCATACAGGACAAAAGAAGTAAAATCCAAGTGAATCAATAGCAGAATTATCAACTAAAGATGGAATCAAATAATCTCCTTCGATTCAATTTGATGTTAAAAATAACCATGTTTAAGATTTTTCAAAATAATTACCCAATCAACAATTTTTTTAAAATATGGAAAATATTTAAGACTCTATCAACTGGGAAATGTAATTACAGGTAATTAATATTTTATCAAAAATTTAAATTAACTTTACTAAAATATTTTATTTTTTACACTTGCTTTTATCAAGGAGATTAATTTTATTTAAGATTACATATAAATTTATTTTGTTATCTCTTTTAAAATACTTTTGTAATTTTAATATTAAAATAATAAGTATTATTTGAGCTTAAAGAGTTAATTTCTTTTTGAAATACAACTATGTAAAAGTTAAATTTGATATTTTGATTGTTATTTTTATAGAGAATTTAACAATCAAATAGTTTATTTAAAAGTAAAATAAATTGTTCAATGTTAAATAGTTTATTTTAAAATATTAGGATAGGAAAGGGTTGAAGGATTAAATACAAAATTTAGAAAGACAGATTTAAAATAAAAATGAGTTTATAATTAAATTGTAAAAAGAAAACAAAGAATTAAAAGAATAAATACAAAATAAGAACTACTCTGATTCCTAATTAGAAAAAGAACAAAAACTTAAACAAGAAAAATGTGATTTGCTTATTGAAAATGCTAACTTACAAAAGGATAATTCATAGCTTCTAAAAGTTCTTTAACAGCAAGCTGACTAAATAAATGAGTTACTTCAAGAAAACAAAGAGCTAAATGTAAAAATAAAACACTAAATTTAATAGAATGAGATATAAAATAAGTAGGTAAATTAAAAATTAGTTAGTTATACAGAAAAAATACAGGATCTTGAAAGAATTTATTCTGATTATGATAGTTTAAAAAATGAAATACAAATTAAAGATGAAAGAATTTAGATTCTTGAGGACTAGACAATTTACTTAAAAAGATAGATTGAAATGCTATAAAAAAATTAAAATCATTAGCGAGTATTTGCTGACCCTCTTTCTCAGTATTCAAGTCCCAAAAACTAACATCATAATAACTCTCAACCTTTGTAAATAGATATTTCTAATTACGAGACTGTTAGAAATAATTATTTAGATCTTAAAAACGAAAAGAAAGGAATGAATGAAACAAAGAGAAACTTATTAAAAAATGTTAATGAAAACTAAAGTCCATACTTAAATAGAAGCTAGCTATACAATAATAAATATAAAAACCTACAACTTCCGTCAGAAAGAGATCATCTAAGTAAAATCAATAAAAATTCAATAAATTCTAAAAGAGATAGCCTATAGTAATTGAGTATTAATAGTCCAACTCATGCTCTTAATTTATAGATTTAGCCTTAATTTTAGAATTTATAAAGCAATATGAATAAAGAAAAAAATGATCTAAATTAAAATTAATTTATAAATCCTAACTAAAAACGAAGCATTCTCAAAAATTCACCAATTAAATAAGCAAACTCGGGTTTTGATTAGAATGATTAAGACTACAATTGTAAGCCTAGTGTCTCATTTACAGACTTAGAATAAATAAGTAACACTGTGACACCCTCTAGATCTTAACACTATACAGAGAGATAACCTAATTAGAGTTAGCTAAAAAAGGGGAAAAGCTGCAGCTTCTATTAAACAAACGAATTTAATCCAAATAGTGCCTAGTAAAAAGCTAGTTAAAATGTTTCAATTAATGGGGGAAGTGGATTTTTTACTCCCTTAAACACTAAGTTTCAACAATCTCCACAACAATACCCAAAAATAGCTCAAAATAATTTCTGCATAGCACCATAGACAACATAATATTCTTAAGCATCAAAGCAGTTAGATTTTTTGAGCTAATAAAAATAGCCAACATATGCAGCATCTTATGCTGATTAGGAATTCTAAAAATCATTATCTAGAACTAAATAGTAACTAGAATAAAGATTGAATGAATTCAGTAAAAAATAATTAAGTTAAAATTTATTTTGAAACAAATAATTAACAATTAATTAATTAATTTTGAAATTTGGATTTTCTTTCATAAAATATTTATAATTACATAATAATAAAATTCTAATAATTTGTATATATTTCATTCTTGAAAAAGTTTTATTTATTACTATTAATTCAATTTTTTTTTTCTTTAAGCAAAATATTTTCTGATTTTTATGTAAATTATAAGAAAAAAGATCTCATAAATTCTCCAAATTTTATCATTAAATATTTTTAATCTTAGTTTTTATTTAAAGTTTTTTAAATCAATATTTATTAATTTATTTCTAATAAAATTTATTTAAATCAATATTTAATTTTCTCAAATTCTAATTTGAATAGAAAAATTAAAAACCTAAATTTCTTTTATCTATTCACTAAAAAATTTCAAATTAAGAATTTGTTTTTCAAATTATTTTATTCTTTATTTAATAAAAATAGTTTTGAAATAAAAAATTAGAAAAAACATTAAAATTATTTGTTCAAATATTTTTTTGATTTTTACATATCAACACTGATTGATTCAAATATTTTACATTTAAATATTTTTTATTTCTTATGACAGTTTATTAATCAAAACTTTTTAATTAAAATTAAAAAAAGAAATGAATTCAAAAATTCATTAATTAAAATAATTTTTAAATAGATAGCAAATATTCTTCAAAAATATTTTTGAATGAACTAATGAACATTTTTAAATTTAAAAACAATTGAATATGTTTGCTAAGAATTTTTATTTGATAAGATACTGAGTACTTTTTAGTAAAATAAAACAATGATAGCTTAAAAGAAAGAGAGCTCTGTCTGCTACTTAATAAGATATATTTATTTACTAATATAATTATCTTTATTATCAATTAATTAAATCGCGCGTCTATTGAATATTTTTCTTATAAAACAAATCTTATTTAAAATTTCTTTTAATTATAAGCAATAATTAAAGTAAACCTTTCATAAGAAAAGCTAGCAAAAAAGAGAGACATTTTCTAATTTAAAAACAGGAAATATCAAAATAAATATAACAACTCAAAAAGTTTAAAGGTCAATTATTAAGTAAATGGAAGGAATTAAATTAACTCTTACAAACCTCGAAGAATTCAAATGCGAATTTACCCTAGAAAATTGCGATATCTCATTAGCTAATTCATTAAGAAGAATTCTTTTGGCTGAAATTGAAACAATAGCTATCCATAACGTTAAAGTATATGAGAATACATCTTCTCTTCCTGATGAATACATAGCACATAGATTAGGTTTAATTCCTTTAAATTCTGCTAAAGTTGATGATTATAACTATATTTGGAATTGCAATTGCCAAGGTGAATGCGATAGATGTACAATTCATTTTGATTTGAGAGTGAGTAACTTTACAAATGAAGTCTTAGAAGTTACTTCTCTTGATCTTAAATAAAGATAGGACCACACTGATGAAGATGCCGTTCGCCCTATAAAGGTATATTCAATTTTACGTGATGAATATGGAAATAAGAGAGAAGTAGGTATTCCTATTATCAAGCTATCTAAAGGACAATAAATTCACTTTGAATGTGAAGCCTAGAAAGGTATCGGTAAAATGCATTCTAAATGGAATCCAGTATGTATTTCAACTTTCTCAGTTGAACCTGAAATTATTTTCGATCAAGAAATTTAAAATTTAGATATTGAATAGAAGAAAGCTCTAGTAAATGCATGTCCTACTAAAGTATTTGGTATCAATCCTCATACCAATACTTTGGAAGTCTAAGATCACATGAAATGTATGTATTGTGAAGAATGTGTTTACAAGTGTGCTGAAGACTTCTAAAAACCTAAATTAATCAAAATAGACCATAAAAAGGATAAGTTTTTCTTCAAAGTCGAAACTACAGGAGTTATGAAGCCTGTTGAAGTGTTAAGAAGAGGTTTTTCAACCTTGAGATAGAAGCTTGATTTTATGAGAGAATAAATCTAAGAAAATTCTAATAATTAATTTGAATATGGTAACGAGTGAGCTATTTACAGTCAAGTTTCTAGCTTAAAAATAGTTTTTTTTATTTTAAACTGGCTTTATAAAATTATTTATATTAAAAATGTCTTATCTTTGTGGTCAAAAAGTATGCATTTATCAATCTAAATATTTTATAAGTTAATTTTTTAGCTTGATGGATAATTGTTCTTTATAGCTTAAGTAGATTTTTTAAATATTTTATTTCAACTTAAAATGAAGATATTTGAAAAATTATTTTTTTGATTGATTGATTTAATAATTTCAATATATTTTTATAAGAGTTAAAATTTTTCCTTATGATTTATTAATTAGCAATTCTAACTTTTCAGTCTTTGTATTAAAATAATTATATTTAGATGCTTATTTATAATAATGTTTTATTTTGAATCTAAATAAAAACAATATATTAAAATACCTATAATTATTATAACATTAATTTACTCAAAGTTATTTTAGGTTTTTATGCTTTATTCATGGGAAATAGATTTATTTCATCAATAAAAAAAGAATTCAAAATAATTAAAATTATTGAAAGATTTTTGTTGTTTTTTTAAAATATTTTAAATAGATTGAAAAATAACTCTTGTTTTTTTATTTGAAAAATTCATTCAAAGCGCAAAAAACTTACTTAACTTGTTATTTTTAATAAAAATATTTTAGAAAAGGTAATTTTATCAAGAATCGTTTTACTTTTAATTTTCAAGATAAAAAGAAAATGGAATTAAAATTAAAATTTTCAATTTTAAAGAAATAATTGAAAGATTATTTTAAATAAATCAATATTTTAAAGATATAATTGACAAATCTTTCGAGTCGAAGAGAATTAATTAATTAAATTTTCAGATTATAATATTTACGAAACAAGAGAGAATAATTAATAGTCTATATATGTACAATAATTTATTTTGATAACTGATTAACTTTATATAATGTATTAAATATATTTATTTATTTATAGATTCTTTATTTGTTTGTTTATTGAAGCTTTCGTTTTATAATTAATTAATCATATTCTTTTGATAATCAAAATTTATGAGATGTGTGTGAAGGAAAAAGTAAATGAATTAGAAAATTGCATTTTTTGGTTTTAGTTATAACATAAATTGCTTTTATTTATCAAATATTTCATTTGTTTTATCTCGATTAAGGTCTTTTTCCACTCGAGCTATATACATGTCTTGTAGCTGATCCAGTGTGATTTCCTTAGCTGTACAATTGCATCATCATTTATTATGACAAAGTAGAATTACTAATATTATTATTGCTAACATTACTTGACTAGTTTTAGCTATTGCTAACAGCCACTGCTTTGTTTGAGATTTTGTTAAGTGAGTTATTATTTGGATTTACTACAACTTTTAATTAAAGAAATTTAATTGTTAAAAGATTGATTAAATAAATTCAGTTAATTAATTAATTAATTAATTAATTAATTAGTTACCTGTTGGATTTAGTGATGAAATATTCATATCTAGGTATTAATCTTTATTTAAAATATTTATCAAAGAAGAATAATCAGCTGCAGATGTGTTGTGATGGTATGTAGATGAGTTTAGGTTGCGATTTCTTTGATTTAGACTGCTGTTTGCTCTTCCAGCAGAATTTAAATTTTAATTGTTTGTTAAAGGTCCTCCTTTCATTTTACCTCCTTATTAACTTTTTGATCTTTTGTGAGGTTTTAAAGAAGCGCTCATGCCTATAAATGAGTTATTGTTAGAATTTTATATTGATTAAATAGGGCCACTGCTCAAATATGCAACTAAATCTTTTGATTCCATATGCTAGCTTGTATTGTGGGAGTTAACTTTTTATTCCTTTTAACTGTTGATTAATTTAAAATTTAATTAACTACTTTTATGTTTTTATCATTTGAAATAAAGTTTAGTAAATTTAAAAAGAGTAAATAGAATTAATTACTTTGACTTGTTCAAAGATTCTTTATTGACATCTTTAATTTATTTAATAAGCTATTATTTTATTGAGTAATCTTAAAATGTTTTTTGAGCAGAGCTAGCTTATTAAAAGTTTATCTAGTCTTGAATTTCTTGCATAGGATGGCTATTAAGACTCTGAGTATTTGTGCTACTTATTCCTCCCAGATATGCTCCAGTTGCTCCATTACCACTGCTATATTGAGATTAATATATATTATTTACTACAGGATTTCCCCCTCTGCTTGAAACAGACAGTAAATTATTTTAAATAAATCCTATTCCAGTATTTTTACCACGTTCATTTTTATTGGGTGTTCCTATTTTTTAATTTGTATTTGTACAAAGTGTGCTTATACTGCTAGCATTCAATTAATGTTTGTTTCTGCTACTGCTGTTGCTGATTAAAGCATGTTTATTCAAGTCCGGATCTGAACTGTGTTTTATTTCATTGTTTAAGGACTTTTTTAAGTTCAGAGAAATACCCATTGATTTAAAGCTGCCATCTTTCTTAGGTAGAATATTTTAAGAGCTGCCTACTTAATTTTGTTCCTTTAAGAAATATTTTTAAAATTATGATAAAACCAATTCAAGTTAATTATCTGTTTTTTACGTTAACTTTTTGTTAAAGAGTCTTGCATTTTTATTTATAATCATTGAGTTAAGATTCGTACTCTTTGATACTGAACTCTTAATTGCTATTAATTTCTATTTAATCATGGATTTATTTTTTAAGCTTGGCTATTTCTCCATGAAGGTATTGTATTTCTTTATTTTTTTACTATAATATATTTGAAATTTAATTTATTTATTTATTTATTAACTTCACAAATAATTTTTTACTTAAAGATTAGCTTTAGTTGAATTGATCATATCTTATTTTTCTTTTTCAAGTTCTTCTTGCTTTTGTTTAAACCCATCGATCATCAGTTTCATTTACAATTAGGTCTAATTTTAATATATAAAATTTAAATATCTGATTATTATTCTTTGCTATAATATTTAATTTATCATATGCTATATCAAAATGAATGTTTGTTTATAAGGAACAATCGATAATGCTTCAAATAATTAATTTTCAAAATTAATAATTTAGTTTATCTGCGTTTTCATATGAATTAGGAAAAAATCATCTTTATGAAACCATTACAGAAGTCTTTATAATATATATAAAATTACTCTTAAGTAAGTTCTATTCTCAGCCTCATGTTTTTATAGTATTTCTTCTAACTTTTTGTAATCTTCATTATCAGTAATAGAGAAATTATCATCATTATCTTCAAGGTTTTTTTTTATTTTTCTGATTTTAATTAAGACAATTCATTATAAAATATTTTACTATTTAAGCTAATAAAATTTTACTTAATTTTTTCATCAACTTTCTAAGTAAAGAAATCAAAAAAATTAACAATAATATCAGTAAACATAGCTAAATCATCATATTCCTTAAGGAAATGTTCTTCCATATAGGCATTATCCTCATTTTTATCAATAAATTTTTAAAGGTACTCAAACATCTAATTTTATTATTTTTAAAACAAAGTTAATTTAAGTGAGAGTAAATGAATCTCTTTTTAAATTTATAGATAAATTGCTTTATTATTTCATTTGCATGATTTAAAATATTAATGCCATAATCAATAAATAACTTTCCTACGTTCTACATTAACTTTTTTAAGGTATCTTCAATTTTAGCTAAATCCTCGCCTACTTCCTAGCTCATTCTTGAATTAAAATTTTATACTTTTCTTGCAAGCTTATTACAAAACAATACCCTTTATAGGTTTTTAACTTCGCTTATTTACTTATTATTATTATTGTTATATATCTTTCAAAAAATATTAAGCTTTGTTTGGTCTAATTAATCTATTTTTTATGTGAAATAAATGTTAATAATTATGAATCACAGTTAAATTTCTTCTTATCTTGATTTAATTATTTTCATAAAAGCAAATATATACATACATATATAAATACACTATTGGAATTAAGAGATAATAATAATAATTGAAATTTGATACTATTTATATGTTTTATAGCATTATTATTCTTTAATTACCTTCCAACTATCATTAAAATTTATAATCTAAATAATTTCATGATTTTAAGGATAAGATAGATGATCAAATTATTTTGTTCATTCAAAATAATAAATTTTTTCCACCAAATATTTACTTTGATTGAATATCATCCATAGAAAATATTCATATTCGTCAATTAAACATTAATAAAATATATTTTTCAATATCTATATCAAAGGTATTTTTTTAAGTAAAATAAAATTTATTTTAGTAAAATTTTATCTTAAAATTTAAATGAGTTTATCAACAAAAAAATAATTGAATTTAATAAATTTAGCTAAATAGCAACAAAAGTATGTCTTTTTTTTAATAAAAATAGAAAATCTTTTAAAAATAAAATATTTATTAAAAAAAAAGAAATTAAAATAAAAATATACGAATATTTCTAACTTGAAAATATTTTACTATTTCTTAAAACTAAATTAGTTTGTTTTTCATGAGTATTTGATTTTTCCTTTACAAAATTTTTCTTATTTTTCAAATTGAATTTGATATTTAACAAAATTTACCGTTGAAAAAATTGATAATGAATAATTAATTAAAAAAAAATTAAACTGAAAAATTTTCATAAAAAAGGAAAGAAAAAAATGAATTAGATTTAAAATATTTAAAAGTGAGTATATTGAAATTGAAAGAAACGTGCTTGCATGACAAAACTTAGATAAGATTTAAATACAAATTTTTATCCCGAAACACTATACAAAGTTTCCAATCCATCCAACTTATCCATTAGTTTTTCAACCAAACAAAATCTAATCTAAAATAAAAAATGCAAATACTAATCCAATATACAAAGCAGAGTTAGTTAGAACAAACATATCTCAGATAATATTATTTTTAATTTTTTAAATTTGCCCCTATTAAATAAGTTTTTAATCGCATTCGCAGTCATGATAAACTATACAATCGTTAAATAAAATAATATAACTTGAGATTTGCAAAGTTAACTAAAAAGCTCTGAAATTTTAAAATTTTAATCTAATGAAGTAATTAATATTCATCAAAAAACCAATAAAACATTTATTATTTAATCACACTTAATCCTCTTACTACTACATAAAAAACATATTAAATACATTAATCACATTAAAATATAAATAAATCTTAAAAAATCTAAATAGAAAGAATTAATTGAAACTAACAAATAATTAAGAAAGCAACTAAAAATAATTAAAAAATTCATTTAAAGTTAAAAATTAATTAATTCAAATAAAAAATTCCAAAATAAACATAAATAAATAAATAAAAAAGACTATTTATTAACTGCTATTAATATTAATTAATAGATAATTTTTTAATCATTAAAAATATTAATAAATTTTTGTTAACAAACTTTCATAAAATAATTAATTAACAATTTAATCAACAAATAACGTCTAATTTTTTATATTAATTTCTATATATTTGTTCAGATAATTGCTTTAAAAACATTTTTTTTGGCTAGCCAATAATTATTTATGGATGCAGAATATTAATTATTTAAATCGTAATTTACTATTTAAAAAATTTAGCTCTTATTTTCAGTTTCTAATTTCTTTCTAATTGTAAATTATTCTTTCAATATTAATTTCATAATTGCTTTTTAATGCTTTCTAATATAATTTATTCAATTTCTTAAAAATATAAATTTGCTTTAAAATTGTATTGATTGATATCTTATTAAGAAATATTTTTATAAAAATATACATACTGTTATCTATATGAACATAAAATTTTTACAAAAATATTTTTAAAAATAAAGTATAATAATCATTAATTTCCTACTCTATCTCTAGGGATTAATTTTAATTCACTTCCGTGCTTAAGGAAAACATTTCCTATTATTTATTTTATTTTTTATTTTATGAAATAGCTTATTTTTATTTTAAATATTACCTGCTGTTTGCTCAGGGTTAATACCAACACCAGTGCTAGTAATAATGGCTGAAGTTGCGTGATTTACTTTAAACTTTAATTTTATTGAATAAATATTAAACAACTGATCTTCCTTTATTTATAATATCTTACTTGTTCAGCAACATATTTAATGCAAGCTGAAAAAGGAGCTTCTTCTGGAACGCTAATACTAAATTATTATACGAAAGAAAATGTAAATTAAAATTGCGTAAAGTAATCTTTTTCTTTTTTTAAATAATAATGATTAATTAAAAATACGTTCTGAAAGGGAGATTAGGATCAGAAGTCAAAGTGATCTTGAAAGTAACTTTTTGCTTAGTGGCCATTTTTGCTTTGCTTTAAACTTTTGAGTATTTTACTTTTTGTTTTCTATTATTGATATAAATTAATTTTTGGAATTATTTTTAATTAAGTACCGATGATTGAAGGCCGTATAAATTTACTAATTTTAAAGAATCATCAAAATTGAATATGATTCTTCCTAAATTTTGTATCAGTATTGGATGGGTGACGTGTGTTTGATTGAGCACAAAAAGATATTTATTTCAGATAGCAAAAAAGAATTTTTAAAGTATTTATTTTTCGTTTTAGAAATAAATTCAATTATATTGAATATTCTATTCTATAATATTAATAACAGAAACAACATATAATTGTTAATTTGATTTTCTTTTAAATTTATTAAAAAGCGTTTAAAAGCATATTAAGTGTATGTTTTTAATTTTAATAAAATATTAACAAGCAATTATCTAATATTCAGTAGACATATCAAAAACCTTATAATTAAATTTGTGCAATAAGTTATTGATAGAAAATAAATAGAAATTATTTTTAAACCAAATAAAGAGTAAACATTTATAAGGAAACACAATTTTAAAATGGATTAAGGTACTCAATATTATGATTAGATTCTATTTATGATTATTTTAAATTACATTAATTGATCCATAATTGTTTTATACTTTAAAGGAGTAGAAAAAATTCCGATTAAGTAATTTGCTGAATGGTATGATGTAAAATATGATAAAAAATATGAAAAAACTTTATAAGGCCTGAAATTTGCTTTTTATAAATTTTACGCTCTTATCTAAAGTCTGATTTAAAACACTATTGCTATTTAGTTGCTGGTAATAAACTGACAGTTTATGAGAAATTTAAACTCTGTTTCTTATTTTAATTTTCTTTTTTATGTAGTTAATTGATGTCAAACATGATGATAGCATATCAGTAAAAGAACTTTTAGACAGTTAATTGTAAAAAATTTATTTTCAAATGCTTTATGAAGGAATGTTCATATTTTTTAAATAATTAGACATATCTTAAAGGGAATTATATTAGATTATCCAAAATTAATTGATTGGGAATTTTGTGAGTTCTTTTAATCTACAATAGCAGACAAAGTAAACTAAGTGAAAGTATATTTCCATCCTATAACTCACTTCACCGGCATTGATAAATCTTTAAAAGGTAATTTTTTTTTTTTCCTTACTTTTAAAATGAGTTTTTTCAATTTAAAGGAAAGTTTAAATAGCTATTAGAGAACAGTGAGAATGGTTTAAGTATATCTACCTATTTGATTAAAGAGATATATGATCAAATACTCATTTCTTAGCATTAAATTAAAAGCACATAGGAATAAAGAATGGTATTAAAATTATTATTCAAATATAATTTTAACTTATTTAATTAACTATTTAGTTTATTAGACAAACAATCAAAAGCATTATAGATGAAATAAAAGAAATGAAATAAAATAAAGCTTTCCATGATTATTTTGAATTGTTTACTGCCTTTATGACAAACAGTTTATAAGAAAATAAAGAGCTCTCACAAAACAGAGAATATTTAATTTTAATGATGAACCTCTTGAAAGAATTAATTGAAAATTAAAAGAATGTTGAATCTTGTCTTGCTAACATTATCAACATGTGTCATATCATTAAAAATAAAGGAAAGAAGGTTTTAAGAGAAGATATTACAATAGAGGAATAACAAATATTATCGAAGTAAGCTATTTATTAGTATTTAATAAAATCTTTAATATAATTTTTTCTAAAAAGATTCGTAAAACTTATCGTTAAGCCTGACTTCCTTGATAACTTTTTACTCTAAAGTGACTAAAGTGAGTATATGCAAGCCGTTAAGATACTTGAAAAACAAAACACTCTTATCAAAGAAATGTATTTATTATTAATGAATTAACAATTAAATTAAATTTTTTTACAGGAAATAAAATAGAAAGCTGTTGGATGAGGGAATAATTTTCAATGAAAAAAAGTTTAAGGCAAAATTAGAAAAATGGATATAATGCAAAAAAGCTATTGAATAGTTAAACAGTAGTGAAAATTATTAATTGTAGTTTCTAGCATACGAATGTAACTTAACTAACTTAATAAAAATAAATAAATGTATTTTAATAAAAATTATTTTAAGTACAACTTAAGACTTCTTCTCAACAGTTATAAGATAAATTTGAGCAAAAACAAAGAGACTTTAGCAATACTTTTATTTAATATCATCAAATCTATACATTCTAAACAGATTCTATCAAATCAGTAAATTATTCAATATTATATAAATTTATTTAAGCTGTTTAATATCAAATAGTTATAAAAAATTGTTCAAAAAGAGTTTGGAATTAAGGTAGAAATAGAAATAGGAAATTTCATTTTTGCAAAAATTTGAAAATAAATTTAAAATAAAATAAGGAAGTAAGAAAGAAAGAATTAAGCATTTTTTAATTGTAAATATATTTAATACTATGTAAAAATATTCCATTTAAAGCAACTTAAAAATATTCATTATATATATATATACTTTGATTAAAATTCAAACTTGAAAATTTTCATAGTTAAATATTTATTGAGAAAGAGTTAACTATAATTTATAGTTGTAAAAATTATAATTTACTTCCAATAAAATCTAAATATTATCTTAAAGATTGTGTATCTCTTTGTAGTAAAAGAAAATTTATAGAAAATAAAATATCTTTTCAAATTAACATCAAAAAAGATAGTTAAACATTATTCTATATTATTAATTTATAAATTATCTAATAATTTAATATTATCATCTTTGTTTTACAGATTACTTTGCATATAATTTATCTGTTTAAAATAGTATATATTTATATATATATATATATATTATAATTTAGTGAAAAAATTAGAAGTTTAAAGTTTTTTAAAAATTTAAATGAAAAAAGATTTAGGTATCTATTTATCATTTTATATTTATTCTGATTAAATACTGATAGAAACAATCTTTCAAAAATCTAGTTTGTGATTTAGATAAGCGATTTTTTCTGATGTAAATTGATTAATTATTGAAAAATTAAAAATTTATATCAAAAAGAAAGAATCATACATATCTTTACAAAATGAAATCTTAGGTAATTTTTTTATTCTTTAAATGCAATTTTATAACGATTTTAATCAATATAAAGGACAAATTCAAGGGAAAATCAATTAGTGCAGAGCAGAAATATATTGGAATATAAAATATTGGTATTTGCTTTTATACTTAAAATAATTTTTTTATTATTGTTTCAAATTTTAATAGGTGCAACATGCTATATGAATAGTGTAATTTAAACACTATTCATGACTTAAGAATTCAGATACAATATATTCTCTCAAAAGTTGATTTTTATATTGCAATTAAAAGAGTAATTAAAGTTAAATTATAAACAGTATAGATGTCGATAAGGTTAAACAAATAGAGAAATCAATTCCTATTTAAATTTAGAAACTTTTTGCACTGCTACAAATTAAAAAAGACAAGAAGATTAGCACTTAAGATTTAATTAAAAGTTTTGGTTGGACTAGTGGAGAGGCTTTCTAACAGCATGACAGTTAAGAGTTTATAAGAATTTTATTTGAAGCTATTGATAATACTTTTAAAATAAAATTTATAAACGAGCTGTATTAGGGAAATATGGTGAACTATGTTAAGTGTCTAAACTGTTAAAATGAAAGTCTAAGAGAAGAATAATTTTTAGATATTCAGCTAACTATTAAAAATGACTTTGAAAATATTAAAAATGAGTCTATTGATGAAGCATTCGTAAATTTAATGAGACCTGAATAACTAGTTAATGATAATAAATATTTTTGTGAAACTTGTAACTCGAAAGTAATTAATTACTTTATTTAATAATAGTTAAAATACATATTTAATTTTTAAAGTAAGATGCATTAAGGGGTTGTAGAATTGAAAAGATACCCGAAATTTTAACTATTTAACTGAATAGATTTACTTATGATTACATGATGGACCGTAGAGTTAAATTAAATAATCTATTTAAATTTCCCTATATTCTCAATATGAATTAATTTGATTCGTAATTATTTTCATTTTATTTTCTATCTACTATTTAAAATGATTCATTTTAATATTTAGTGGATATCAAGGAATACCATAAGAGATAAAAAACAGATTCGAAGATAAAAAAACTTAGACATAAAAGGAGTAAGAAGAATTATAAAAGTAAAAAGAAGAAGCAAATAAATAGAAAGATTTAACAAAACCATCTAACTAAACAAATAACATGATTTCTAATGATTAAAAAAAAAAAATTGTCTCTAAAGAAGATACCAAGCAAAAAGGACAAAACTTGAGAGACTTTTTAAAAAATGAAAGGTTAAAAAATAAAAAAGATAAAAGCTAAAAAGAAGAAGTTGAAATCGAACTATTTACAGATGATGTAAAAGGAGAAAAATATGTTTTAGAAGTAAACGAAATTTAAGATGAATAAGTATAACAGAATTTGCCACCTCCTCCTCCAGCTCCTATTTTACTTAATTTAGATAACACAAAGAATGATATACCACCTCCTCCTCCTATAAACATTCTTAATACAAACTTAGGCCTTGAAGATAATAAAAATAATGCCATTCCATAAGCACCTCCAATGTTTTAAAGTAGTAATACCTAGCATAGCTAGAATTTGAATTCGGAATAAGAAAAATAGGCAAGAGAATAGCAATTAAAAGAATATTTAGAATATTTAAATAGTAGTTATTAATAGTACTGGACAGAGACAGAATAGTAGATTTAAGAATATTTAAAGGATGGAGATAATGTTTATGAGCTTTTTTCTATTTGCATGCATAGTGGTGGTGCGTACGGAGGACATTATTATGCCTTTATTAAATCATTTGAAGATAAGTATTGGTATAAATTTAATGATTCTTCCGTTACTTATATGGAATTAGAAGATGTTATAAAAAAAGCTTACGGAGGGTCTGATTTCAATAATGCTTATATGCTTTTTTATAGGAAATACAGCCCTAATTCGAGCATCACTTTTAATGATGAAAGCATTCCAATTTATTTATAAAAAATATTAGAAGAAGAAGAAAAACTTAAGTAAGAGGCTAATAAAGTTATAACTTTGAAATATGATGTTGATATGAAGCTTAAATAACAAAAGGGAGAAAATTTGAACTAAAATAATATCAAATCTGATATGGAAATAGAACAAAGCTCAAACAATAGCTTTGTTTAAATATGTTTAGCAAATTAGCATAATTTAGGTCTTGAAGATTTAAATTCGAATTTAGAAGTAATTAAAATTGAGGATGTCAACTAGTCTTTGTCTATTGAAGGATTGCAAAAGTTAATTTGTATTAAGTTTAATGCTTAGGATTATAAAAGAGTTCTCATATTTAGGAAAATAATAACAGAGGATTAAGTTTTAGGATAATAATTAAATATTTTTAGCAATAAATCTCTTAAAGAGCTTGAAGTAACTTAAGAAGAAGTTCTTTTTGTTGAGATTCAAGAAGAAGAAATAGCTTAGCAGTATAAATGGGTTGATAAATTTGAGGAGATTTCTAGTACGATTTATATTCGCTACAATATCCCTAGTTAAGAAGAAGAGCTTCAAACACAATTCAGTCAAAAAATAAAAATAGACTCTAGAAGATAAGAGTAATACCTTAAACAAGTTTTATGTGAAACGCTTAAGTAATCCAAAATGATTAAATTAAATTTTAATTAAATGTATTTATATTTTATTAGGATAGAATAGAATCAAGTTATTTTAAGGTTTGATGGTCCCATGGGGAAAGAAATTAAAAACATGAATTCGTTAATCAAAGAAAATCATGCTTTTAACAGAAAAGTCTATATCTAATATGGAATCCCTTGCAACTAAAATGAATACAGGAATAAATTATATATTGCCTAACCATAAAGCTTATTTGAGGCTAATATATTCTTCTTATTTGAAGAAGTAGGAGAAATAATAACTGATAGAAAGTAATTTTTTTAAATGAAAGTTATTTAGCAATAAGAAAAAATTTATTTCATAAAAGTTGGAACTTAGATGAGTTAAAAGAGGCAATCAGAAAAAATCTAAGAAATAAAAATATTCCATAGTACACCTAACTTTGCTAAGATTTTGAAGTCAGGGAAAAATATCAATTCAAGTTGAGGAGGTTGTATAAGCAAGGACTTTTGAGTGAATAATTTGTGAGTGAAAAAACCGAGTTTGCAGTAGAATTTAAAGAAACCACAGTTCAAAATTTAAGTTTAGATTAGTATAAACTTTATGTAAGAATACTGGATTCATAAAATAATACCCTCAAAGACAGGTTTGAAATTATAGTAAAGCAAGAAGACACTTTACACGATTTAGCAAACAATATTTTCTCATATGATAAAACTGTAAACGTAGATAAAAATTAATTTTTAGTAATCTCTAACTTAATTTAAATTAATATTTATCAGGTTAGCAATATGTGTGTAATTTTAGTCAAAGATGTAGAGAATTTCTAGTTGAATGACTTGATTTCCGAGGAGGTAAAAGAACATAAGAAATACATTTTTACATAATTTATTTTTTTAAATTTAAAGTGGATATGTTTAAATAATAACAGTGAAAGCATAATCAAAGCTCCACTGAAGGTCAGTAATGATGGATAACTCTTAATGTAAATGATTTAAACAAAGATAAAATAAGTCTAATTTAAATTTTAATTGAAAATAGAGTAAAAGATTAAGATTTGAACTTAGCACAATTTAACCTACAGAACTTGAAAGATATGAGAATTTAAAATTAAAGGCAAGAAAAAGCTTAAAAGACTAGAGTAAACAAAATATATCATCCCAAAGAGAAAGCCTTAAAAATTAACTATTAGCAAGATAATGTAGATGAATAAGAATAAGATATCAATGCTCAAGAAAAAGGAAACCAACAAATGACTGAATGAAAATTTATTTATTAATTGAAATATAAAAATGTATTTATTTTTTATTTGTTAATATTCTTGTAATCAATTTACATACTTTATTTTAAAATTTAATTGAATTAAAAAAATCTATCAAAACCTATTTTTAATTGCTTTTTTTCTAAACTTTAGCATCAAAAAGAAAAACAAACAAGTACATATCTGAAAAAAATGATTGATTGATGTTTGGATTTATAAATATGAAATATTATTTATTAATTCATTATTTGAATGGAATATAAATAAAAATAAATTAGTTTTTTTGAATATATCTATCTTCATATTTATTAGTACTAATAGAATACTATAAAGTTAATTTCAAAAAATATATAATTTTTTATTAAATTAAAAATAGATTGAAGGAAAGGAGTAATAAATAGCTTCCTGTTATATAGCAACTAATAAAACTCAACCTATTTGAATAAAATTAGATTAATTTTTTCAGAGATTTTATAAATCAAATAGAAATTTAATAAAAACAATATAATAAAAACGAAATCAAAAAATTTTTAATAATCAAAAACTATCTTATTATTAGTAGTATTAATTAAATGGACTTTTAACAAGACAATCATTAACCATAAGGGTTATATGGATCAGATGTATATAAATGAATAACTAAATTTGTTTAGAAAATTTAGAAGTTAAAAAGAAATGGTGTTATTTATTTTGAATTATATAAAACTAGGATAATTACTAAAATTCATTTGGATCAGCAAACGTAAAACCATCAGCTGATGTCGAATCATAACCAGGTAGCGCATAAAAAGAACCTCAATAATAGCCTTAAGAAAACCAATAAGTAAATACAATTTAAAAATAGACTAATAACATTAGAAGAAATACAATTTATTAATTTATTGAGCATTTTTTTTAAATTCAACAAATAGAAAGCTACTGGATGCTGTGGAATTTTTTCAATTGAGTAAATTAAATCATACATACACGTGTGCTAATGAGTTAAATTTAATAAAATATTTTCTTATTAAACAGATATTATCAACCTTTCTTCAACGTCACAAGCGCTGAAGTAAAGAAGAAATTAATAAATGTTTTAATTCCAAACAAGCCCGAATTTTAGAGTAAAAAAACCCCTGATTTGTAAATTAATTAAATGCAATTAAAAAAAAAGCTAATAAAATCGTTAAATTTATTTAAAAAGATGGGGCCCTTTCTGGGTGTTGACAACAGTTATTTTCTTATTGTGCGTTTGTGGTAACCTTTCAAGTTATATTTCAGTAAATGATTTTTTTTTATCAAAAATAAAAATTTTTCTAAAAATATTAACTTAATTTATTTAAAGAATCAAGAAAAGTATGAAGTTGACTTTAAATATGCTCCTCTAGCTGCTGCTTTGGTAATTATTTTATTTACTTAAATTGCAATTTGTTCTATAGTCATATTCCTTGTCTATTTTATACGAATAATTAATTTATAAAATTTAATATAAAATAAGATTTATGGTATTGGTATATGTTTCCCTGTCTTACTATCTATATTGATTAAGTGCTTCGGTGGTGAAACTACTCCTTTTGAAGTAAGAACATATTTTAATTTAAACAAAAGTTAATATTTTTAAATTATCTTTAGGCTATCTGCTTATATGGATACTCCATGGCTTGTTTTGCTATAGTTGCAGCTTTAAACACTATTCCTTTCTCAGTATAACTTAATATCAATTTTATATCATCATAACTTAAAAATATTTAATTATAATAGTGGTTATAATGGATTTTAACTGTTTACGGATTCATTAATTCTACAATCTTCATCTTCGTTAACATCTATGGGTAAAATTCTATTTAAAGAAAAATTAGAAATCAAAAATATATCCTTTTTAATTTATATTTAAAGTGACATTAGAAACCTCCCAAGTTAAAAGAAATACATTATTTTAGGTGTTATTGGATGCTTCTAAATTGCATTTATGCTTTCTTTCAAGCTTTTCTTCTTCGACGTTTTCTCATGAGCAAGTTAGTTTCTCAAATAAACAAAATAAATTATGCAATTAAACCATTTATATATTAAGAATATAATATTGAAAATGATAAATTCTTAAAGTATTATTTGTAAATCTATAAAATCTTCTGATTTATTATTTGAATTTTAAATAGATAAATAAATAAAATTTAAATTTATTTTTAGTTTTCAAATTATTTTAAATTTAAAGTTAAAGTAATAAATCTATCACTCACTCACTCTTATTATCAAAAAATAGATTTTATTTCACATAAAAGATTTAATTTTATTAATTTATAGAAATAATTATTTATAATAAGCTAGTTTTTAATTCATTATAACAATTAATATTTAAGCAGAAATATTTTTTTAATTTGGTAAAATTTTTATGTAAAATAAAGTAAAAAATATTTGGTTTTTAGGAATTAAAATCATAATTTTTTAAGATATTCTTACAATAAGAATATAAGAATGGTTAATTTTACTTTTTGTAGATGAATAAAATTTCCAAAATTTCAACACTTATTTGTTTGTTATTTTATTATTTTTGTGTTAGACTTATGAAATCTTAGCAGCAAGTTTTTAAATTTTAAATTTTAAAAGCATTTTAGTTAGAATTTAGTATTTACTATTAAACTTGATAAATATAAAAATATGTAAACAAAAAAATAGATTTTAATAATTTTATAATATTCAAAGTTGTCTTGCTAAAATATTAATATAATTAGTCATTTATATATCTATCTATCACAAAAATGTGATACATAAGTCATCATTTTCCTTAGAAACAATTACTGGTATTCTACTTTTAAATTCATCTATTTATTTATAAGTAGACAAATTAAGTAAAGATAAATAAATTAAAATTAAAAATTGTTATTCTTTAAAAAAAATGAAATATTTTACTAACTTAAACTACACCAAAGTTATTCATAATTTATTTTTGTGTTGAAGTTGCTTCTACTAAGTAAGTAAAATCCAGCTTTAAAAATAAAATAATATGTTAAATATAGTATTTGAATAGACCAAATTTACTTTTAACTAGATTGATTTATATTATTATTGTTCTATTTCCTCTTCAATGGCTGAATTTTCATCAACAGTATACTTTACTTCTAAATATTTTATATTAAAATTAATGTTTGATATTATTTTTAAAATTAAATGGATGTAACTAGTTCCATATATAAATTATAGATATTACCATATTGTAGAGGATTTAAAACAACATCAGTGTAGTGCTTTTAATTATGATATTATTAAAAATTTATTAACAAAAAAAGTGATAAAATGTAAAGAATTACCTTGACTATAAATTGTGGTAATCCATTCTCCAACTTATATTTTAATGTTGCTAATACAGGTTCAATAACTTTGAATGTTCCTTTAGAAAATGATATCATGTATTCTGTGTTATAATTTTATAAATTATTAAGTTTGTTTAATTATTCTTAATTAATGTATACTAAAAGATGTATTTTATATCTTAAATTTTTCAATTATATTAAGTATTTGCTGATCATTTTACAAAAAATATTTTTCTTTTAGACCTTCATAATTATTTTAATAACTAATCTTATTAATATATTAAATGTAAAATTAGTTATTTTTTAAATGTATGCTTTATAAAAATATATTTTTATTTTAGTATAAATAAAATCTAATAAAAATTGAAAGAAAAAATAGAATTTTTGAATTTTTAAAATGAATTAAACAAATAGAGATTAAGCATTCGATTTTATATATTAATTAATTATTAAATTTACTAAATTAGCGTTAAATTATAATTGATGAAAATCTATTTTTTAATAAGATAAAATCTAACATTTTATTTTTTTTTATTTGAATCTTATCAATATTTCTAAACTATCCAATAATAATTTCAATAAAAAAAAATTGAATTAGTATAACTGTACAATTTTATGTATTTTTATAAATTATATAAATAAACCCTCTCAGTTTCAATTTTTTTTAAATTAAAAAGCAGTAATAAATTTATTTTCACTATGAAAAAATAAAAAATATTTCTTAAAACAATAAATTAAATATTAATTAACTTGATAATTATGCTTTTATTTTATTTCGATACTTTCAAAATTAATAAAATTAAGATATCCCTTGGAAAATGTTAATTTGTTTTATAGTTATTATAGATTTTAACAAAAATTTTTACAAATAAATAAAAAATATATGTTATTTTATTTTAATTTAACCTATTTTAATGAGTTATTTTTTTTTGATTTTTTTTTTTGCTTTGATATTTCTAAAAAATTGTAAGATTTAAATAAAGTATTATCCACAGATAATAAAAATAAACAGTCTCTTGTTTAAATTCTATTTATTCAAAAACTACTGAAAATAAATTTCGATTTAAATCAAAGTAAAAATTAAAATATAAAAATTGTATCCTAAAAAAGTTTCAAGTTTTTGAATTTTATGTAAAATGAAATAATATTTTTTATTTAACAATCATGAATTTGAATTAATGGCAATTGCCATGCTAAAATAAAAAAAATAAATTTTTAAAATATGAATTAGCTATAATTTTAAAACTATTATTTAAAACGAGTGATTGATTATTAGTTAATTTATTCATTAATTTTTAAGAAAAAGATTTAAAATATCTAATTTGAAGTAATTAAAACAGATACATATATATTAATTATTTGATTGATTGATCTGAAATCAAATTATTTATTTTCTTTTATCATTCACTATTATTATAAAAAATGCTAAAAAAAAGTAATAGTAGACCAAGCTATTCAGCAAAATCTAGATAAAATTTACTTGAAGATTAAAAAATATCTTCAAGCAAAGAGCATAGTATTAACACTAGTAATAAAAGTAGTAGTAATTTAAGCAAAAATGTTAAGAGAATGCAATCTGCAAAATTACCTAGTCTAAATTTAGGTTCACAACCATAGTCGCAATTAGAATCAATTATTAGCAAAAATGCTGAGAATAATAATTCAGCTAATCTGTTACCTAGGAGAACAAAAATTCCATAATATTTAAAAGAGATGAACATTTTGGAAAAGAAATAAAATGAAAAAATAATAAAAAATATGAATAAACGTATAAATTTTAAGAGGAATCCTAGATATGAGATTATTAGACCTCCAATATAATTTACTGATATCGAATCTAAAAAGGTATTATATCAAAACAAAAAATTTAGAAAATGAGCTTTTAAATGATCTTTTTAATATTATTGCATTTAAAGAAAAACAACATGTGACTGTTTTTATCTGAAATATTTTAAAATTATCGAAAAGGACTTATTGATAGATGTGGATAGTAGCAGTAGCTTATTTAGGGCAATACCATCTTATATTTTATTTTAAAATTATCTCATTAACGAAGTGTATGAAATAAATTTAAAAATTGTTAATGTTAGCAAAATATCTAGGAGAATCAAATTTCTGCCACCTCAAAGGTAATTAATTATATTTTAAATTATTTTAATTTTTGATAAAACAAGTTGCTTTTATTTATCTTTACAATTTCAATTACAAATAATAAAAGAAACCGCTTTTTATTTTTAATTTTTAATTATTTTTTAATCAGTGATCAATTCACTATCAGCAAAGTTGTTTATCCTGGAGAACTAGCTTCTAAATATGATTTGTTAAGGACAAATGGTTTTTAAGAAGATATCAGTAGAGAAAAGGGCATGATTGCACCAGGAATGTCACTTAGTCTTAATATTAAATTTTTTGCGTCTTCTTTTTCCGAATTTAGAGATGAAATCACATTCATTTCAGAAGAAAATATTTTCAAGGTATAAGTTATTCACAAACAAAATATTAAAATTTAAACAGGTTTAAAATAAATTTTATAAAGATTCCTATCATAGCATAGAAAGAAGCACCACTAATTAATTTACCTGAAATTCTTGATTGTTAAAGTTGCTGGCTAGGAGATTAGACAGATATGGTTTTTAAAATTGTTAACAAGGGTGGAGAGGCTGGGTTTAAATTTTTTTGTGAAGACTCATCCCGAGATGCTAAATAAATTGGAGATACTTTACAAACAGAATGCTTTACTATTTATCCCTCTGAATTTTATATTTAAAAAAATGAAATTATTGATATATATGTTACTTTTACACCTAAGAAAGAGGGAGTTACTATGGAAAAAGTTATTCTTGCTTGTGACAATTTAACCTCAGCTGTGTACACACTGAAAGGTACAGGAAATATGGCAGAATTAGGAATACATGGAATAGATCATGTTATACTCAGTGAGATACCTGAGGTTAACTAGCTAGATCCCTAAACTGTTGTTAAAAAAATATTCTTCAACGATGCCTACCCAGGTACTGTAGTTTCAAGATATATCAGCATTTAAAATAAAGCATAAGTAATAAAAATAACATAAATTGAATCAAATAAAATTATTTTTATATATAAAATAAATATTAGGTTAGAGTTAAATATCATTGGTCTGTAAGTAAAACAGATGTCCGCTAATCAAGACTAAGCATCGATAAACCTGAAGATTACTGTTTTAGTATTGAACCTTTTTAAGGATATTTTGAACCAAATGAGATAAAAAGATTTAAAGTGTCATTTTCATCTCGTGATCCAACACCAATATTTGAATTTGCAAATCTTATTATAGATGACATATCCATATAATGTATCAGAAATCCACCAGAATCAATTATAAGATCTAATCAGATTCCTTAAATTTTACAATTTGAAGAGTAAAAGCAAGGTGATTTGACAAACAGGGAGTTAGTTTTTAATGATGATGGAATTGTTTCATCTGGAGATTAATTGCATATTGGAAAGTAAATTGTTAAACCAGGTTTTTTAGGTAGTAATACAGATAGGTCTAGTTTAACATATTTTGAATTTGAGCTAATCGGTCTTTCTACTTATTCTTAAGTAAGTATAGATCCTCCTTTTTATGTTTTTCCTGGCTAGCTTTTTGTTAACAAGCTCTATTATAAAGAATTTAATCTCATCAATCATTCTGATTCAGAAATTTAATTTAATATTTCAGTATGTGAAGCTTATAATCATTAAGCAAGCATAGTAGGTGATATCAAAGATTAGAGTGTAAATTTAGTTCAATATTTATTTTTAAATAAATTTAATATCGTTAAATGAAGGGAGTCATAGGACCAAAGTAAGTAAAAGCCGTAACAGTCGGTTTTATATCGAAAGAAGTAAAAAATAACAAATCTATAACTTTCAGAGTCGATTTTGATAAAGCACATTCTCAAATGATGGAAGTAAACAAAAAATAATTTATTTAAAATCAATTTTTTAATTCTGGTTTATAAAATTAAGCTCATAGGAGATTTTATTGGACCAAGTGTTAGTTTTAATGTGCCTATGATTAATTTTGGATTATTTAAGGCAGGCGATGTTGCAAAATATAAACTTGAATTAAAAAATAGCAGTGATGTAGAGGCAGAAGTACTTTTTAAAGAAAGCAAGTAGTAGGATAGATCTTTTGATGGTAAAAATTTTTAAAGTCTTCATTTTACTTAAACCAATTTTTTTTTTTTTGATGAAAAGATCATAAAGAAATCATTTTAAGAAGATTAGAAAATGAAAAAGCTAATTCTGATCAAAGTTTTCTATATATAAGAGATGAAAATGAGAAATTTTACAAAAAAGCTATTGAAAGGGTTTGCTTTTACCCACCAATAGCAACCATCCCACCAAAAGGTAAAATTGAAGTTGAAGTTAAGTGTGGTTGTGAAGATGCGTGCTAAATTAATTAAATAATTGAATTAATGGTAAAATCTGGGAAGAGTATTTTCATAGAATTAACAGCAGAAATTTAAAAAATACATGTCACTTTGAATAGGTAAAAACTCTTTAAGTTATTGATAATATTTATTTTTCTATATGATAAATTAATTAAGGTTTTTTATGTAATCTGAAACTCTTTATGCTTGCAACTAATACAGCTTTGTAAAAGGCAAGACTCCATTATACATAGAGTTGTAAAACTTAGGCAATATACCTTGTCCATTTGAATGGGAAACTGAGGCAAATGAATAAGTTTAAAAAAGAGATCACATTAAATATAATTTTATACCTGTGAAAGGAGTCATTCCACCAAAATCTAAACTTCCAATAAAATTTGAATTGCAGCCATTAGAAGGCGGATAATTAAATGAAATATTTGTTTTAAATTGCTAGGGAATTTAACATCCTTTAGGGTTTGAGTTTAAAGCAGATGTTTTTGGGCTTAGCGTTGAATATGAGCTTTTAGATAGTAATGTTTAAAATATTCATCATAATTAAAACCCTCTAGAAGCTAGTGTTAATGCTATAGTAGGAAAAAGTCACATAAAATCTATGATTTCAGATGCTAAAACTTAAACATAAAATAAGAATTAAAAATTAGAAGCTCTTGAATTTTATGATTGCAAAATAAATAAGCCAAAGACAATAAAAATTTGCATAAAAAATACATCAGGAGTAAACACAACATTTGAACTATTCACTTCAAAATATGAACCTTTTATGAACGATGAAGTAAAATCTCCAACTTCAGCCCTATATCTAAACTCAATAGCTGAAGACCTTAGTCTAATTTCTGGTCTTCAAAGCTAAAATTTAACTGGAAAATTTTCTCCAATGAATTTCGAGGATATTAATAATAATAATTAAAATAAGGCTATAAGATTTTCATAAAGTATTAACTCTGTTCCCTCACAAATAGTAAAAAGAGAATCTATGATAAGGATAAATAAAAAATCTCTTAAACCTTTACCTCCAAGGCCTGTAGTATTACTGACAGATGATATAGAGAAAAAGAATAACTTTACATCTAATTCAGGATAAGCGCTAAATCAAACCAAGCGTTTAGAAAAAGATTAAAGAATATATTTAGCTAATAATAAAGGAATTGCAATATGTAATAATTTTTTAATTTAAAATTTTATTTGTAATATTTTTTAGTTTAAAATTTAATTTATAATAATTTTTAATTTAAAATTTAATTAAAAATCATTTCTCACTTTAAAATTTATTTTGCAATAATTTATTTTATTTTTAAAGTGTGTGAACCAAATAAAGGAAAACTAAAACCTCATAGCGAAGTAGTAATAAAAATAACTTGCTTCAATGATATATGTGGTAGTTTTAAAGATGAACTTTCTATCGATGTCAAAGGATTACCTATTTAAAAATTCCCTCTTGTTGTTGAAGTTAAAGGGTCGCCTGTAATAGTTTTACCAAGTTAATTAGGTATGAATTATAAAGGCGATTGGCCTTGCTTTAACTTTGGAACATATATGAAAAATATTTCAGTTATGAAGAGAGAGTTTAAAATATAAAATTCAGGTCCTAAAGATATAACTATGGACTGGAAGCTCTTCAATCTCGATGAACAAAAAGAAGTAAATGACTTCTTCAAAATTAAAGTTGAAGATCCTCATTTAGGAACTGATAATGTTTGCTAATTGAAATTCGAACCCATAGAACCCAAAGAGGCTGAATAAAGTCCATTTAAAATAATTGAAAGGTAACTTAGACTATAAATTTTAATATACCATATCAATAATATCAAAATATTTTAAAAGGTCAGTTCTAATTGATGGAAGATAAGACAAGTCTATTCAAATAGAGTATGAGTCTTAATAAGAAGCTAATTACAATTATGTAATGGTTGGAAAACCAAGATTAGTCAATCCTAGAGAAAGTCAAACATTTATAGAGTAAGATGGCATGAATCTCGAAGACCACCCTCTGCTAAATATGGGAACAATAGCAGTTTATCTTAAAGCATAATCTCTGTATCCCCAGTTATACTTTGATAAATTGGTAAATTCTTTTAAAAATAAAAATTTTACTCAATTTATTTATTAAAATCTTCAAGAAAAATGTTGAGGGTTCTCATAAGCTCAAATTTTAGAAGTGGGCTTTATAAGAAACTAAGAAATAAACAAAAGAAATATGCCTTGTTAATTTGCTTTAGTGTAATTTATTATTTAGCATATCGATTGTTGGTCCATTTAAGTTGGTTTAAAGTGCAACAAATTCTCCTGCTAAATTTGATCAGCAAAAGACAACCAAGCTTGTTATTAAAGATAAAAATGAAATAGAAACAAAATTCAATTTAGTTTAGAATAGCAATATCAAGCTAAAAATTAACTTCTCAGGTGCAGACATTAATGATACTGAAGAATGGCCTCTCACCTATAAAGTATATAAGTATGGTGTCCTGCAATTTAATTACATAAATGGAGACTCATAAACAATAGAACTTGAGGGATAATTACTAAGACCTTAATTACAACTAAATACTTCAGGTACTGAAGATGTTTAAGGAGTTGATATTTAGGACTTTGGAACAGTACACATAAATAATTTCAAAACTGTTGTTATTTTCTTAAGCAATGTCTCTAAAGTTCCTGCTATTTGGAAACTAAACCATCTTAAAACTACAGTAAGAAGGGGAGGTTCAGCTATACCATAAAACACAATGACTAAATTAGAATTAGAAGACTCTCTAAGAACAGATGATCCTAGTGTGTTTGAATTTTAAATGACAGAAGTAATATTATAATTAAATATTTATGAAAATGCTAATATATGTTTTATTCTATAAAGGGAACTTTAAATGGTCCTTCAATTCCAGTAAAAAGCTTCCCAGATACATTAGCTCTTCCCACAAAAAAGATAAATGCGATTCTTCATTAATAATAGTTATATCCCTAAAAAATCTACATAAACTTTAGAGTAAATTAGCTTTTAATTATTAAAAATATTAATTATTTTTTAATTTAGCCAAAGACAAATATCCTGTATAAAAGTAAATTCAGAATAACTGTTTAAGAAGGTCCATGCTTAGACTTTACATTAAAAGGATTAGGATCATATGAAGAAAATAAATTTAAATGAAAAGCACATTACTTATTTGAACATTTAAGTGATACAATTATATTAATTTTTATATATTTAACAGAAGAATACTTAAGTAATTAGTTAGCAAATAATTTATTAGAGAATATAGGAACAAAAAATAAATAGAAAATAATAAATACAACTGAAATTATCATTGAATGTTTATACAAATTATATTTATTTTATAAACGAATAATTACTGACAAAAGTAATTCATTAAATTAATGAATAAGTAAGTAAATAAACAATTAAAAAAATAACATCAAGCAACATTATGTAAAGACTAATGGAATGTTTATTATATGAGTTATCCAATATATTTATTTATATTTAAAATGTATTTATTTATGATTTATTGTAAATATTTATTTTATTTGGTCAAAATTAAAATTTATTTTAATTAATTGGGACTTTAAAAACATAACTTTTATTAATAATTATTTTATATTTTTAGAAATTAGATTTCAATAAAAAATTAATTTATTGTAATAAATTGTTTAAATTTTATTCAATTATTGAAGTAAAATAGAAATTTTTAGAATTTAAAAATTAATTCTTTAAATATTAGTTGGCTTTGATAGATCTCAATACTTTTAAGAGAATGTAGAATAAGATATAATCATATATATAAATGAATGAAAGTTTATATGTATGCATGCTGACATACAAAGATCCTTTTAATTAATATAGGAGCTATTAGGAGTGTGTTTTACTAACTAACTAAATAACTAAAAATGAAGAGAATAAGATTAAGTAAATAAAAATAATAAAAAGGAAGGAAGAAAGCTTTAGAAAAATATATACAAAAGAAAAGATTTAAGATTGGATTGTATTGTATTGTTTGTATTAGGCCTTTTTGATTGAGATAAATCAAAATATAAATAAAGAAAGAAAAATAAAAACATAAATAGTAGATTGATTATTATATCTTCTTATCGTATCAATGTTATCAAAGATTTTCAAGACTACAGTTATTGCCAATAAGAAGTTTTTGAATAGCAAGAACCTCTCCATGGTTATTTCTTATAATAGAAGTTATGGTAACCTCAAGGATTAGGATAGAATTTTCACCAACCTTTATCGTGATGGCGATCCTTTCGTTAAGGGTGCTTTAAAGAGAGTGAGCATATTCATTAAAAATTTAAGCAAAAATATTAATTTCTCATTTCTTAAGCATTATTCTTCTTTTTCTTACTCAAATTCAAGCTACGAATGGCAATTGGATAAAATATATTAAAATTAAATACAAATGTGCTAAAATAAAAGTATGGCATACACTTAAGCAATGATATTTAGAATAATAGAGAAGGTTGATTAAGAATGTGGAGATTACTATTTTTCTAATTTTGAAAATATACAGAGTTAAAAAATAAATATTAAAACTTTATTTTAAATTATAATAAAGGGTGACTGGCATTAAACTAAAGAAATTCTTAGCAACGGCCCTGAATGGATTATTGATGAAATTAAAAAATCAGGTCTTAGAGGAAGAGGTGGTGCTGGTTTCTTATCTGGTTTGAAATACTCCTTCATGCCTAAAGTTAATCCTGATGGCAGGTAACAAAATATAAAAAGAAATTACTTACTTACAAATAGAAAAGGAAAAGGGAAATAAATATAAGCAATTTAATATAAATATCAATATTTAGTCTAAATGCAATTAATATGATATACTGAGCTCCTTAAAATGAATAATATATGACATTCATTTCCATAAATTCACTTTGATTCAAAAAATATTTTAATATATCAAAATAAAAAGCTAGCAATTAAAGAATCAAAAGATATTGAGAAACAAATACTAAATACATATATATAAATAATTAAAACTTTTTGCAGAGCAATATGAATAATTTATTTCAATTTTATATAAAGACCCTCCTATTTAGTTATTAATTCTGATGAGTCTGAACCTGGTACTTGCAAGGACAGAGAAATCTTACGTAATGACCCTCACAAGTTAGTCGAAGGTGCTTTGGTTGTTGGTTTTTCTATGCGTGCTAGAGCTGCCTACATTTACATTCGTGGTGAATTCTGGGTTGAGGCCAACATTCTCTAACAAGCTATTGACGAAGTAAACTAATAAAAAACTTTAATATTTCTTATTTTTATTGAAAAATAATAAAATTTTTATTTTTAAAATAGGCTTATGCTAAAGGATTTATTGGTAAGAATGCTTGTGGATCTGGATATGATTTCGATGTTTACATTCACAGAGGTGCAGGTGCTTACATCTGTGGTGAAGAAACCGTAAATTGCTTTTACTAATTGCAGATATCATTAACTTATAATATTAATAAAACTTACTATTTGAAAAAATTAAAATATTTAAAAGAAGAACCATTTATTTTTTATCATTTTTAGTTAAAATTTAAAAAATTATTTTGTAAGTAAAAATAATTTTACTCAAAGTTTAATTTATTTTCAAGTTTATTTTTAGTATTTTAAAATTAAAATTTTAAACAAAATTAATAAATTTTAACGTAAAGGGTCTTATTGAATCTATTGAAGGTAAGGCAGGTTAACCTAGAGTTAAGCCTCCATTCCCTGCTAATGCTGGTCTCTATGGTTGCCCTACTACAGTTACTAACGTCGAAACTGTTGCAGTTTGCCCCACTATCATGAGAAGAGGTGCTTCCTGGTTCGCTAGCTTCGGTAGACCTAATAATGCTGGTACCAAGCTTTATTGCATTAGTGGTCATGTTAATAATCCTTGCACTGTTGAAGAAGAAATGAGTATTCCTCTTAGAGAATTACTTGAAAAGCATTGTGGTGGTGTTAGAGGTGGTTGGGACAATCTCTTGGCCGTCATTCCTGGTGGTTCTTCAGTTCCTATGATGCCCAAGAATGTTTGTGATGATGTTCTTATGGACTTCGATGCCCTTAAAGCTGTTGGTTCTGGTTTAGGTACTGCTGCCGTTATCGTTATGGATAAATCCACTGATCCTATTGATGCTATTCTTCGTCTCTCAAAGTTCTACAAACACGAATCTTGTGGTCAATGTACACCTTGCAGGTATAAAAACTTAAATAATTAAAAGCATAATTTAATTTTTTAAAATATTAAACAGAGAAGGTACTGGCTGGATTGTTGATGTTATGGAAAGATTGCTCGTTGGTAATGCTGATTACGCTGAAATTGATATGCTCTAAGTAAATAAATCAATATTTAAAAATAAATTAAAATTAATTAAATTTTATAAATAAATTAGCAAGTAACTCAATAAATCGAAATGCACACTATTTGTGCCTTGGGTGATGCTGCTGCCTGGCCCGTTCAAGGTAATTACTTATAAAGAAGATAATAAATCAAATGATTTAATTAACTGTTATTATTATTAGGTTTAATTAAAAATTTCAGAGAAGAAATAGAAGATAGAATCGATTCTTATCATGCTAAGCACCCTCAACTTAAAAAATCAAGAAAATCCAATCCTTAAATAGGACACCATTGAATGTAATGATAGAAATACTTAATGTGATTTAATTGCATTCCTTGGATTGTTTTTTCAAAAGCTTTAAAATCTAAAAAATAAATCTATGAAAAAATCTTGGATTGGAGATTATTATCACATAATTAATAAACCTATCTCATCAATTAAAAAAAAATATGAAGTTCATAAATATGTTTTAATTTTATGTTATCTTCATCTTTTCAAAATTCTTACCACATCATCTCATTATTTATTCTTTTGCAATTTCATCTTCTTTTATAACTAAATATATTTTTTATTTGCAGGAAAATTTTATAAAAAAATATCTTTTCAATTATTTGATAATAAGAAAAAATGCAACACTTTAAAATTAAATAATTAACTTTTATGAAAATAATAACAATTTTTTATTAAAATAATATTTTATTTATCAAATAAATATTTTCACAAATTTTTTAATTATTTACTTTTTTATTAAATTTAACTTTAAAAATTTTTTTATAAAGTGATTAAATATTTATTTTAGATTTTAATTAGATGATTACTATGAATATTTTTAAAGTTTTAAACACTATTTTTATTGGAGGATAGCTAAAATATCTTCAACACAAATATAATATTTGTAAATCACAATCAAAAAAAATTATTTTGAAAATTTTAATTAATATTAAAATAATTTATTAAAAAAATCCTTTAAAATATATTTAAACTTCATTAAAAATAATACCAAATTTCCTAAAATTCTTTTTTGCTTTTCACTTAATTTTTATCTTTAAATTTTTATACCTACGTCATTAAAATAAATAATTTGCGAACTTTTTAAACCTGATTTGTTAATACAAAGTATTGTTTTTAAAATGAATAAATGAAATCAACTTTCTTCTAGTATTTTTAAAAATTTTAAATCAAAGTAAAGCCTATAATTAAACGATAAGAAAAATGTGTAAATCAATGTTTAATTTTTCGAAAATAGTTATTAAAATAGATAACTTTGCATTGATTTTTTGATTTAATTAATGTTTTACAAATATTTATGTAAAAGAATATTTACTCAAAATTTAAATTTTATTAATAAAAATCAAATTTACAAATAAAGGTAAATTTTAATTTGAATAAGATAGTAAGTAATTGTGCTCATGAATTATTTTTTCTGAAGATATTTTTTATTTAGAACGTACGATATCTTATTTTAATTTTATAAATGTATAAATTTGATATAAAATAATTGGTTAATAAATATTTTTATTGTTACGAATTTAGTTAATTTTCAAACATAATTTTAGGAATCTATTGATTCTTTATTTTTAGACTCTAAAAAAGGTGTTTTTTTTGTTAAATTATTTTGAAGAGTACACTCGTTATCATTATCTTCACTTGAAGTTACCAAACACTTCTTTTCGACTCTTTGAGATAGATATTACTTTTTTACTTTTTTGAATAGATAAAATCCAATAAAATAATGGATCATTGTTGATACTGCTCCTAAAAGTAATTCAATGTAGCTATATAAAGTGACCCAGTTTAATCCAGGGTAAATTTCTTTATTTGCAGTTAAAACATAAGTGAAATTAACACAGCTATAAGAAATAGCATAAACTACAAAAGGAAGTAAATGACTTTTTCTAAACTAAATACAATTAAACATGTTATCAATCCATAAAGCAATTAGCATACCACCATGGAAATTTGAAGTATTAAATAGTTACCATGCACCAAGAGATTTTGTAGGAAATACAAGAGCCCAGAATAAAACTGTTATTGTAAGCTCTATAGAAAAGGCAATTTCAAATAAGATATTAATCAGTTTAGGTAAAAAGTTAAAAGATGGCTCAAATTATTAATCGTTCTTTTTTTTTAAGTAAACGTAAAAACCATAAATTAAACTTAGCAAGAAGTAAGTGAATGTTGTGTAAAATCCCCATATTGTTAAATACACAAACTATAGAAAATAACCTTATCCAAAGTAGTTATATTAATTTAAGACAAAACAGAACATCAAATATATCATCAGAATCATCTTAACAATTAAGAATTTGTTGTCACTGATATTATAGCTCATATAAACTGTATTACCATAAGATCCATACCAAAGAAAGGAATTTAGCTTTTTCATTTGTTAAACTTTATCAATTTTGATTTATTCACTTTAAGAGTTTAGATGTTTGTTTGTTTTCCTTTTTTTGCTCTTTCTTAATTTTTTAGAATCTAATTTTTTTTATATTTTAATTATACTTTTAAGGTTTTATTTGCATTCTTATAAAAGAATGGGAAAATTTCAAACAAAATTTCTAATATTTTTAGAGCTTTTTCATAAAAATATAGTATTGTGCTAATCAATGTATAGCAATAGTAAAGGGGTAAATGTAAATTAGGCAAAAATTTGTTTTCAGTAATAAATCAAGTATTTACTAATTTTTTAGATCTAGTTATTGCGTATTATCTTTGTAAAATTTTGTAAACTTTTTTTTCTATTCACCAACTTTTATTTAAACATAAAGATAATACAATATGTTGTTTGACATCCATTAAAAAATATACCTCAAAAAAATATATAAATCATTACTATGAATTTGTCAAAAAACTCAGAAGTATTATTAAAATATAGTGACTTTTAAGCCAAAAAGCTACTGTTCTCATCCCAATTTCACTAAAATTTATCAGTATCAAGCATCATTATTTTAAAATATTTCCCTCTTGTCTAACTATTTCGTCATTTGCTAGAATTTTTGCTTATATTACTTCGATTAATACGTTATCAACCCAAAAATATAAATTTTTGAAATATAAAATATAAAAAAAATAATGGTTAAAAAAAATATTTTTTTATAGATCATTCATTCATTTTAATTGACTTATTTATTCTTATATAATATCTAATTGAAAATAAAAACAAAATTAATTTCATTTTTATTTTTGAATATATTTATTTGTTCTAGTTACTTATTAACAAATATTAAGGTAAATACATTGATATATTTATAGGTTGATAGAAAGATAATTAATTATACATACATATTCATTTTTTCATAATATTTTTGCTTACAAGTTAAAAATCAAATATTTTTCCCTTTGTCAATTCAGTATTACCTTTTTGATTGATTTCAATTATTTTAAGCGACAATTTTTTAATATTTTTGTTAAACTCAAAATCGTTAAAAAAAAATAACAAAACTATGTAAAATATATTTTTATCCTTGCTATTTTTAATGAGTGATAAAATTAATCTAATATTAATATCTATTCATTAATAGAATTAAATTAATTAATAATCAAGTAATCTAATTGCGAAATATTTTTTGAAACAAGTATTCATATATTTCAAATCAAATAATCTAATTACGATAAATTTTTGTTACATGTATTAATTTATTTTAATTAAAGACTTTAATATTCATTTCTTGTTATAAATTTTTTCTTACAAATTAGCAATCTAACGTTTTTACTCCCCTTCAATTATTTATTCACTTTTTGATTGATTTCAAATTTTTTAGAAATAATTTTTCCTATTTATTTCCAGAATATCGTCAAAAACAATAAAATTAAAATAAATAAAACTATGCAAAATATATTTTTTTTATTAAGAATGATAGAAGAATTAATCTAATAAAGATTTTTGAATAGAGTTTAACTAAATTAAAAGCTAATAATCTAATTTTGATATATATTTTGTTACAAAAATATTAATGTACATTTTCTTTTTGATAAAATTCACTCTAATTTTATACTTGTTAATTATATTAACCTACCTGATCACCGATCTACCTACATACTATTATATTACACCCAGTCAATTTATTAACATATTACTACAGGATTTTAGTGTTATTACTTATTTTTATCAATTTAAATATACTTTCTTTCAGCTTGAATGTGTGTGAATTTAAAATTTTTTATACATTTTTAATAGATTAATTTTTTATGATTTGGTTGTAAATTTGTTTTTTAATTAAAAAGTCAAAATTATAATATACAAATATCTTAAATGATTTGATTCCATTTTGTTGTTGGGCCAAATTGAAGAGTTTGGCTTTCTCCTAATGGAGTAAGGAAGATGAATTCCTTATTGCAGAAACACTTGTCAATCATATCAAAATTTAAAATAAGGCAAGGTGGTTTTCCAAACCAAACTCCATTATCGAAATAAATAATTTTATTATCTTCAACTGGATAAAAGTTAATATCATTCCCTTACATAGAAAAGAGTCCACAGTGATTGTCATCTATAAATTTATCTTTTTATGACCTTAAAGATGCGTAATGATAACCACCAAATATAAACCCACTTTTTAGGATTACTAAATATAGTATTTACTTTTTCTTATCTAATTTTTCATGGAATTTTTGGCTTGAAAAGCTTTTACGATTTTCGAGCAGAGACATAACAGCTTTTTTCTAAGCATAGCTTTATCCTTTCAATAATATATCTTTTAATATGCCTTCTATTTTAGAATCTTTGAATATTATCTATGGAGCAGTAGGGACGGGTATATATGATTTCGGAGATGTTTACATATCTAAATTGCTAGAATTTATTACTTCCTTACTAAAGTTTTAGCTCCTTTCTAGTTGGGGTTCTGTGTGATTATTTTTTTTATGACTAGGTGTATTGTTTTAAGAATTACTATCTGTTCTTTGCTATTCATTTTGTTTGTTTTAAAATAATAGTTGATTTAAGCATTTAGAATAATAATAATAATAAATATTACGTCTAAGTGTAAATTAAAGCATATTTAAGATACACTATCCTAATGTTAAATAGGGAATTACTAAGTATAATGAGCACTCTAAATTAAATTGCTATCTATTCCTTAAGCATCTAAAATGTTATTTTATTTTAAAATACAAATAAAAATATTTTACATTTAAATATTTTACCAAAATTTTTATTTATAATCATTTCACTTTAGTGTTTTTAATGGTTAGATGAAAATTTTGAAGGAAAGAAACCTCCTTTAGACATCTAATTGCTGGAGCTTTTTGTTGAGTTAGGAAACTAAAGCAACTATGGAGGTTTATTAAGTTAATTTTATAATAATGATTAAGATTAAGTCGAAGTAGAAGGAACTGAATAGTATTACCCGCTTTCTTATTTTCTTGTTACTATTGTTCTTTGTTTTCCATCAGGAGCAGCAATATAATTAACTATGTTTGATTGCTTGCACTAAAGACAGCAAGCTTTACCTTTGTAAAGCAAAACTGCTTGATTACACACCTAATTAGACTTCAGGCAATAATAACATTCAGTTTCTTCTTCTTTTTCTTCTTCATACTTTTGTTTTGATGAAGTAATATTTGAATTCATATTAGGAAAATCATACTTACTAGTGCATTTTTTACACAAAAATCCTTCCTAATGGCACATTACTTCATTAATATTATCTTAAGTATTTTATTTCGTTATTTTCATTTATTTGGTAAATTATAGAGTTAACTTTAAGTCTAAATATAGTATAAAATTCTAAATAGCTTATTTGTTGATATTTGTAATCTATTTCACTTACACCAAATTATTTGATATAATATCTTAATTAAATATACTATAAGCTTTTGTATGAATAATATAGTGAAAAATCTTTTAAAATTTATCAAAATCTAATTAAAACCAATCAAAAATTTTATATAGCTTTATCACTAGACTATCCAAATATTTAGAAATTTAGGAGTTAGTATAGATTATCAAAGATATATGATATAAAAACTATAGCACATGAAAGATACATTTAAACTAATATAAAGTTATTTGATAATTTTATTGCTTAGTTAATTAATTACTTGAGTTAGAATTTACTTAAAGTAAAAAGTTTAATGATAATTTGCAGATAAGCTGCATATAAAAATTAAAGAATGAAACAACATTGAATATAATAATAATTTTATGCTTTTAATATAGTAAAAGTATTTATTTATTTATAAATTAATTACACTCTAATTAGATATATTTGAATATATAATTAAAATTTAGTTTTAAATGTTTTTCATTGTTCTAAAATTATGGCAATAAATCAAATAATCAGTTATATCATTCCATTCATTCATTTATTTATTCTTTTTTTTTCAATTTATTGAAAACAAGTCTTTTTTTAAACTTACTTATGGTGAAAAATAATGATTAGATTTAGTTATAGGACTATGCTAATCTTAAGATTATTATGACTGTTGTTATTATGATATATGTAGTATCAATTAACTACTATGCTATTTTTTTAGTGTTTCAAAATTTTTACAGTATTCAGAAAATCTTTTTTATTTTTATAAAAATGTAACTAAGTTAATAAGAATATTTATATTTACTTTTCTATGTCATCTGGATTGTTCAGAGAACTATAGATCTACTCTTCAGTGAGATCGTAAATATACTTAGCTGCTGATTAAAACTAAGCAAATACGTAACCAATTTCATCTGATACCGTCTTGTTCTTTCTTGTCATTAATTCAATGAAGCTTTTTGTTTATAAATTTAGATTTAAACTTTATTTTAAATTTTAAATTTACTTTATGTTAGTAAATATTTTATCTATTTATGCTTTTAGTAATATGTAAACCCAGATAGGAAAGCAATCATCAGCTCCGTTCCCTTCTCCGGGGACCATGTTCATCACTTAGGTAATATTATTAAAGCATTCGTAAATTAAATTAAGTTTATCAAGATGAGACTCTACATTGTTTATTTTAGTCAAATCTAATTAAAAGAAAATTTTAGAATACAAAAATGAGTATTTATTTTAAATGCTTACCATGAGCAATACTCTCCCACATACTTTCTTCGAGAAAAAATTTTTCTATGTTTTAATGCTATATGCTCATATAACTATATTTTTTGGCTTACATTATGAATTAATTATCTTTCTCTGAATTGTATAAAGGCATGCACCTGAGTAAATTAATTAAAATTTGCTTAATAAATTAAAAAATATAAAGAAAGAATGAACATTTACTCATTAAATATTTTCTTGGCTATGTGTTTTTCTATTAAATCAAAAAACATTTTTTTACACTCTTCTTTCATATTTTAATAAAATGGCAGCTCTTCAACTTTCTTCTCTAACAGATCAAAATATTATCCTATTAGCTAGTTAAAGCTATAAAGCAAATATTAATCACATAATTTTTTGCATTTTAATTTTAAAAAGTTACCTTGTTAAATTAGATCTGTCTTCGATGCATTTCATAAGTTCTGGAGTGTAAATTAAGTAATTTATAAAGCTTATTCAGAGAAAAAATTATTTTTATTGAGATTAATTTCTAATTAATTTACTGTTAAATTGAAAAACACATGGCTGGTTCTTCTGGACACAAACCATTCTAATTATAAAAAGTAAATATTAATATAAATTTAGAGTACTTTAATAGAATTACCTTGAATTCATCCAACATGTCCTCCTTTTTACGAGCTATTGACTCTGTGTCTTTAACTGTAAGTTATTCATTTTATATAATTTAGAAATTAAGGTAATTATGTTCCCTGTTTTGAGGTGTTACTGGTATTTTTGTAGTTATTATTTTTATATTTATGTATGAGTTTCTTATAAAAAAATAAGCATTTTATTTGATATTTTTTTTTATTATAGATTCTTATTGTTCTTTGACATATAAAATTACATTTTTTATAATATTTTTTTTTTACAAGTACAGCTGTTTGTATGCCAATATTTGTTGGGTTAAAAATGAAAACTTTCTATCCAGGGTTAGACAGATATCTTTTAAAATGCATTCATACTCGTTTTACTAAAGATTTTCTGGAAGTCCATGAAGCAAGAGCTAGAGATACTCTAAATATATATCCATTTACACTTTTGGTTAATTTAATCTGATACTTATTATGTGATCTATTTATTTTATCTTGTACTCATCTAAAATTTGTTGCAAAGTGATCTCTTATCCTCTTTTAAGCTACATTAAATATAATATGCTATCTATACTTAGCAAAAATAGAATCAACATTTCTTTTATTTTGAATAAATTTAGCTGCTACTAATTTAATTCTTTTTTTTCCTTCTTCGATAGTCCATAATCAATTTAAAATAATTTTTCAATGTAACCAGTAGATTGATTTGTACCTGCTTCCCAAATAAAATAATAACTGTTTCTGCTTGTCAAATTATCTTTGAAAACATCTTTTAATTTATCTTACAATTTTTATGCTTCTTTAAATAAAATATTTCTTGAATCAAATTTTTCTAGCTTATCGGGCATTTTGGATATCAACAAAGTTATAATTCTTAAATCCTCTAACGAAAAAGCTAAAGAAGTTACATCTTACACGCTTTGTTAATTTAACTAAAATATAGGAATTCCTTTGGAATTCTGAGATGAATTATGAGTATTTTAAAAAGTTAGCTAGCCAGAGCGTGTAAAAGTAGCATTTTCGAGATTACTTTTATCTAAAATTAGATCTATAAGTGTGTTTTCTGCAGTAGAGATGATTTCATAAAATTTATCTAGATCTGGCTTATAAGATAATATTAGCTGATTCAATTTAGACAAAAAGGGATACTATTATTCATCAAATAACATTTATTTTACTATTTGTTGGGCTATACGATTGACAAGATGGAAATTCTTTGTTAATGTTTCTTATTCTTTTTTAGTCATAATATTACGCTGATTAATAAGTTAAATATCCTGAAATATCCATTTGTTAAAAACAAACTATCTGATCTAAATATTTATTTCTTCTGTGCTAATAAGAGGAAAATGTCTCAATAAAGATCTTTTCAAAATACAGCACATAATATTAATTTCCTTTGGAAAATTTCTTACATTTGTTAAAATTTAGTTCATAAAATTTTTTACAAGCTACGATAGAGTAGTCAACGAAACGTTAGCCTAATATTATACATCTAATGCTATTTACAGATCTATGTCTTCAATATTCTTTTTTAAATAACTAACGATTTCAGCTTCTATTGTGAAATTTTCAGCTTCTTTTAGCTAGCTTTGTGAAATAACATTTCCATTAATTTAATTAAGCTTGCGTCTTCTCTCTCTTCTGCCTGAATAACCAAAGTTCTATGATGAATTTCTCTCAGAAGATAATGAGTTTTAAAATACAAAAGTACTTGCCGATCTATCAGTTTCTCTAATTTCGTTAGACTTTATTTTCATTGGTTCTTAAGTTGATTTTTATTTTTTCATCGGTAAGTATGTTTTTATGAAATCTTTTTTAAAGATTAAAAATTATCTATTCAAATATCTTTTAAAGCGAAATATTAGAAAATAAAATTGAATGAGTAATCAATTGAAATTTAGATTTTAATGTTAATTCTTACTTTTAAATTGTGTTATAGGATTTTTACTTGACGAAGGATTATTCGCTGAAGCTGTGCTTTTACTAGATGCTTCCAAACTGTTAAAAGATTCAGTAAAATTATTTTTTTCTTTATTGTAAGGGCTATCATTATGCTACTACCTTAATTATATGTTAATTGAAGGTCTATTAGATATATTCATAGCATCTCTTCTATTTCTAGGAGATTTTTTCAACTAATCATATAGTCTATTTTTAAGATTATTATATATTGTTAAAACAATTTTAAATATGTTATTTCTATTCAGATTTTAATAAAAGAATTTAATTTACTTAATCAAGTTTACTTCTAGCAGATAAGAATGACCTAAAATCTGCTTTAAAGGTTTGTATAATATTTTTTCTAAAAAAACAACGCAGTTTATGTTTTTAGAAAACGCATAAATTGTTTTAATAGATAAGTTGCTTATTTTAAATGCTTCATCAGGTGACTATGCTTTTGATAATTCTCTCTTTTAATATTAACCAAAATAATTTATTAGCTCAATTTTTATTGCAGTTTGATGAAATTAGAATATTAAATTCTATGTTTTATATTTTTGTATATTATTTATAAATATTATTTTATTTGAAACCTTTATCTTATAAAAATGCTAATAAATGCAATACAAAAATAATTATTTTGATAGATTTATGTCAAATTTCAATCTTAGTAAAAGAAATTACATCAATTAAATATGCTTGTAAAATATAGATTGGATTGTGGTATTAGTTATCAACAAGAACTCTTTCATAGAACAGTGAATTCACATCATCTAAAAATTAATCTAAGTTGTTATCATATTAGTTATTTTATTCAATAATATATGCCAATAGAAGAGGATTTTAAGCTATTTTTAACATCATTGACTTTAGCAAATCCTAATTTTTATTAATTGTATCAACTAAGCTCTTCTCATTTGTATCAAAATTTTAAATGTTAATTTTCATCTTTGGTCTTATATCCTAAAATTTATCGTATACCATGCTATATCTTGACCTCTCCTTCAACAAGAATTTGTATTTTAAATTGTTTTTAATCATTTTAAGCTAATAGAGCTTTAAATCTTCAATCATTTAATTCTTAATTTCGTTTTCTATTATTAAAAATATTGAAAGCTTAGGTTGCATGCATGTTTTTTAACTTAATATAATTAACTCTAAAGAATTATTTTATGTTCTCACAACAAATAATTGCAAAAACAATATTACATTTTAAAGTAGAAATATAGCTAATAATTTATTTTACCTTATTTTAAAAATAGATATTAAGATTTTATATTATCCTGAAGGCGGCCCCATTATGCTATATGTGGGTTTATCTCAAATAAATGCTAAGGATACTAGTTTTCACTCTTAAAAAACTGCTATTTTAAATCATAAGTATTGAGTCTTGATTATAATCTACCGTTTTAGCTATCTTCTATGTCATTAATTTTAATTGTATATGTCTATTGTTTATTGCTATTTGCTTCATCTGGATGCTAACTTGGCGTATTTTTATGAGAATCCTAGCTTTGGCTATTATTTAAATCGTCACTTTTAATTTTGATATTCTCTCCATTTAATTACTATATCATATTTTGCATCTTTTTTTCTCTATCTTATTTTGAAGGAGTATACTCCACGCTTGATACACTTTACTTCTATGTTCTGATATCTGCCTATGGCGAATCTAATAAATTAAGTGACTCCTTTCTAATTTCCTAATTCCCATTAATCATTCTTATAATTTATGTAAATTTGAATAAATATTATTATTTTTTAAAGCTCAATCAAACACTACAACTATTTTGTGATTTATTTCTAATCGACAAAATAAATAAATAGATAGTAGTAAGCCTCAAAAGTTTTAATCGATAATTTGACTTTCTCTAAAGATTATTTATTGATTATTGATTTTTATAATTACAGTTGAGAATATATATATAATTCTTATTTTATACTTGTAAAAGGAAATCTGAATTTAATGCTATTTTTTTGGTAAGATTTCTTGGCGAAATCATATAAATTTAACTTATATAACATATAATTAAAAGATATGCCAATCATTTACGTCAGAAATTTTTTATCTTAAAATTCTATTAATAAAAAATATAATAGAAAAGTTTAGAAATCAATTAATGGACTCAATAAATTTATTCTATCTATCAATGTTCATCTGTTATATCTATGCAGAGTATGAATAATAAGTTAAAAAATTATCTCTTTTAACTAAATTTTTTAAAGTAATAAATTTAGTTTTCAATAAAAAATTTAAAATATTGATAACTTCATCGATACCCTAAATTAATTATGTGAAGTTAAATGACAAAACTGAATATTATTCTTAGATGGTTAATAACTTTTAATACATAATTAAATTTTGAGGCAAATTAATCCTTGAAAAGTAATAATTATAGTAAATATTAACAAATAATATCATCAAGAATTATAAAAGTAATTTACTCTAATTGATTAAAATCTATTAAATTTATAAACGACAAATTCTATTTTGAGTTTAAAAAATAAATTCAAATAGCTTTTTATTAACTTTAAAAGATTCGTGCATACAGCTACTATAGTGAAGATATTTTATAAGAAAATTTGGCAGATTCAGATTTACAATTCGAAAGAAACAAATGTAAATGAGATAATAATAATCAGTATAAATATAATTGTTTGATTTTGAGTGATTATAAGATAAGAATAGTTGAGCAAATACAACAAATGACATATATTTTATGAATTAAACATACCTAATGTTATATAAGTCTGCTTCACTTAAAAAGATTGTAAAAGCAATTTAATATGTAGATATTCTAATTATATTATCATTTGCTTATCGATTTAATTACTTGATTGAAATATACTCTTTTCAAATAATACGAAGAGAGTCAAACCAAGCCTTTTCGTTATAGAGCTTAGAAATGTCTAATTCAGGATGATTAATACCTTCTTCATTCCATTTAGCATTTTTATCAAAGACGTAGAATTCGTTTTAGAAAGTGTTAAAGTAGATCATTTCAGTATCTAAAAACAAAGGAGCATTAAATAACTTTCTACGGCAGAATTGAACGTAGTCTTCATAAGGGACAGGAATTAAATTTTCTAAGTTGACGGTTTTTTTCAAAACACCTTGATGAGTTAAGCAATCCAAAGACAAAACTTTGTTTTAGGGATGGAATTCCATCTTAATAACGAATTACTTAGGGTGATCATAAAGATTCTATTATTATTTGAATAGGATTGTTAGATAAATAAATAAATAAATTTATTGTTTATATTTCACTAAAATATTTTAATCAATCATCTGCTTTGATTATAAATTAATAACAAAATTGATTGATTGTTTCTTTCTGTATTTCAATTTTATTTTAATTATTTAGGATATCTTTTCTAAGAAGCTATTATTAATAAATAAATAATATCCTTCATACTTTCTTAATATAAGCTAAATCAAAATTTGATTACAAAAATCATTTTTGTTTACTCTTGAATAATAAATCAACTATTCCATATATTATAATTAAAGCTTTTTTATATTTAACTATTTAATCTATTATAAAAAACCTACTTTTTCTAAGAAGAAAGGAACTAATTTTAAATACTTAGTAAGAGCATCAGCATTTTCATAAAATTCCTAAAGACCATTTCCTATTTATTACAAAATTATTTTAAAATAAGATCATAGATTGTGAAGCTCAATTAGCAGAAAATATTTTTTATGTTTTAGAATGATAATATTGCATTAATTCTACTTTATTGCTTATAAACTTAGCAAGTTTAATCTTTTTAAATATAAATAATATTAGCAATTACCTGTAAATGTACTGGATTGATAGAGAACAATAGGGTTAGAATCAAGAGATACTTATCTCATGATGTTGTAATAGTTGTTAACAGACTATTTTTACAAAAATACATTTTATATTAAATAAATATTGTTTTTATTCGCTGCTTTTCATCTATCTTTTAGCTTTATTGAATCATCATTTCTCGCAAATGTATAATGTGATTAAGATATAAATTTAAACTATGTCTTTTATTCATTTTTATATGCTAGGTTTTACAATTTTATACAGAATTACTTCAATTTGCTCTTGACTTTGCAGCTTATTAAACTGAAATAATTACTTTATTGGTGATAGATCTGAATGAAAGTTAGGCACCCTTTAAAATATTAAACATTTACTTTACTTTCTTTTATTAATTGTCTTTAATAATTTTATTAACAAAACCTTGTTTTTCTTTTTCTGAATTCACCTATCTATCTATCTAATTTATTTATATTATCTAAATCAAAATTCAATAAGAATGATTTAATCTATAAAGAAAGATAAATACATAGATTGGTAGATGGATACATACATACATATATATATTCATTCAAAAATACAATAAAACAATATTTTTTCATTGATTTAATATAGAGATTTTATTTCAATTTATTTATTTTTGATTGATTGATTTATTAATTAATTAATAAATAAATAAATAATTATTTTTAAAGTATTTTCCTACAAAAGAAAGTATATTTAACTAATATAATAGCAAATTAAAAGTAAAAAGTTCTAATATTTTAAAAAGATCAAACATACTTTTTAAGGTTTTAACTATTTAAAATAGAATGATAAATGTTTAAAATGTTTGTTTTTTTTGAATCTAATTTTTTGAGATGAAGCTTCTTTGTGTCAAAAATTAAATGCTAAGGCCTTCAAATAAATTTATTATATCTCAGAGTTATATAAAACTACATATATTTTAATTTATTTTCTACGTCAATTTTGATAATATTCATTAAAAAGGCGATAAATATAAGCTGGAGTATGCTCTCCATAGTTTGTTATGTATAGATTTATGTATTCAGGAGCAACGTAGTCGAATCTAGTAACAATAATTGTTTCATTATTATTGTAAGAAACAGTGTTAGGAAGCATTTCTTGAGGATTGAGAGTTTCATTGAAAGTATTTTATTCAAAGGGGAAATGAGGAGTTAATTTTATAGCTGAAGCAAGCACAATAACAGGAACTGAGTAAGCTTTAGCAGCTGTGGTGAGCATTAATATACCGTTTCTACCTAGGACACCACCGTTTTTCATAATGGCATGAGCACCTAAAAAACATACAATTATAAGTAATCTTAATAAAACAAAATTTAAGTTACCTATGAAAACTTTATTGACCCTGGACATGAATGCATAAGCAGAAGAGAATGGAATAAGAGAAGTAGTAATTCCTTCATCGGCAAGGTCTTAAGCCATTTTTTAACCTGATTACTTACATTCTCCATCTAAAACAATAACTTCAAAGTTTCTAAAATTTATTAAACAATTAAATTATTTAAAATATTTAAATCTATTATAAATTCAATTAAAACCTTTGTTTTTTAGCATCTATTAAAAAGAGCTTAATAGTTTCAGAGTACCCGTAAGTTAAAATAACTTCTCCTGAGTTAATATGATTAGCAGCCTAACAAAATCAATAAAAAAAATGTTTTTTTATTTTAAAAGCATTTAAATGAATGTAAAAATGACAAAATATATTTAAATATGATACAAATTATAAACTTAAGTCTCAAACAAATTACATAATCGTTTATTGTATCTGACAAATCATCTAACTCTTGTAATAATCCTTAAATTGCATCTATAAATTTGGTGCGCTTAGCTTTGAATTCTTCCTTATCTTCTACATTTGCTGGAGTTAGATCTTCATTTGCATCTTCTTTTTCGAATAATTTTTTAAGATTAGAAAAACCCTTGTTCTTCTTTTTATCATTTTATTCGTTAATATCTTTGATAATGCTTATAATCTTTCTAATAACATTTTCAATTGAAAACTCAAGTGGATTTTCTTCCAAAATCATTTTGCCAGCTTTGTTGATTGTCTTAGTTAATTCTTAAACGCTTTAGTATTTAGAGGATTAGGCAATATCTAAAATAATTTGAGCTGTTTCTTTAGCCATTTAATAAGAGCCTGTTATTATAAAAATATTTAAATTAGAAAGTCTTTGCTTTGATTATATGAATCATTTATTTATTTGCATTATTAAATCTATTTAAATAAGTCAAATAGTCATATAAAAATGTAAGGCATATGAGGCTTTTCATAATTAATCTTTGAAAAGACATGTTTAACATTGCATAAATCAAACTATTTTCTACTTTTATCTTCTCTTAAGGGGTCAATTAATCTTTTCATTTTTGCTTGAGGGACTTTTGCTTGCTTTATTTGTTATATAGATATCTTTTAAACTTTTAGTATATTATTTGATCAAAAGTATATGTAAATTTAGATATGTTTTGTATCTTATTTAACCAATATTTAACTATTAAAAGAAATAAATATTCTTGTATTTATAATATTTAACAATTAAACATTTAAATCATTTCCATGTCCTTTAATATATCGTAGTAGATCTTATACTTGTAGAATAGATATTTTCATATAAAATATACATACATTTACAATTACTCAAAAACTATGGTATGCAGGCAGCTTCATTTTAATTGTAATTAATATTATTTATTTCGATAAATCGATAACCAATAAATATTTTTATAGATAAATTGTAGTATATTTTAAAACTGCTTATAAGATTGCAGTATATCAATCGATTGAATAATTTTTAGTTACCATAAAATCATTTTTAAAGATAAATCTCTAATAAGTAGAGAGGATTTTTTCCATTTCGTATTGGCAACAGCTAAAAAGTAATTATTGCAGTGTAGTCGTAGAAGTCCTTTTCTTCTTTTTCTATATTTAAGCAATCAAGGTAAACTATTTTCTGGGGGTGTGAAAAATAAATTTTCAAGGTAGATTTGATTCTATATAAAATAAATTCACTATTGAATAATTAAAACTTTTAAGTTAAAATTTTAATATTTCTTCCCTCCCACAATATTATACACTATACTATATATAAATTGAATAATTAATCAAACAATTCATTCTAATAATTAGCATTTTTTAAGATTGATAGTTTATATAATGCAATCTTCTCAAAAATGAATTATAATAATTTTAATACAAAAAAACATATAAATTTCAGAAAATAAAAAAATTAAAGAAAGAAATGAATCAAATTTCAGATCTCAAGAATTAACTGTAAAAGCTTATTGCAAAGAGGCAAGATCTTTAGCACTAAATATTTAATTTACAGATACAATCAGAATCCTTTAATCAGAAACAGCAGTAGATAGAATAAGAATTAATTAAAATGACCAAGGCTTAAACTTTAAATGAAATTCACAATAGCTTCTCTGTTTCCAAAAATGATAGATCATCTGATCAAGTTTAACATTCCTTCGTTTCTACTAAACCTAGTACTTCTTTTATGTAAAATAATGATGGAAGCAGTATACTATCATCTTTAAAATTATCAAACTAATAGTATTTCAATTAGTAAAAGGAAGGTCTTAATTTAAGTTAAATTTCCCAAAGTTTAAACTAAACTTCTCTTTCTTAGCTAAATAAAAAAGATTTGTAATAAATCAATAACCCTCAAGATGATGTGTCTTTTTTAAACTAACAGCTAATAAATAGTGATGAAGACGAAAGATTTGAGCAGATGGATGATGAGTCATAAAATGGCAACCTTAATGAACTTATGTATAATCCAGCAGATAAATCTTCTAATATTCTTAATTCAAAAAATTAAAAATACTTAGAAACACTTAAAATGTTTTAATTGGAAGGTAAAGGATAAAAGCACACTGAGTAAGTCCTTAATAAAATGATTGAGAATTGGGTTCCAAAGAATTAATATAAAACTTATCACACTCTAAGTAATGGAAAGGTAATAGATCATTCTCATATCAAGTCAATCCCTAAGGCTGTTGTGCGTCTGAGCGATGAAGTAACTGGAAATAAAAAATAAATAGTGCATGATTTTAGAGGCTTAGAAATTTTGGGCACAGATGATCCTGAAACAGTGGTAAAGAAGAAATATATCAAACAGAGATATGAGTAATTCATCAAAATGTTTAAATAAATTTAACCTAAATACATTTAAGAGAGTGGATATTGTAAATATACTGATGGCATTAGAAAAATGTTTGTTTTCTTTACTCAAATTATGTCAAGAAATAAAATTAACCGTGATAGTGGTGTCAAACCAGATACTCTGAAAGCATGGGCTAAAAAGTACGGTTATGTAGATGAGTCAATCTTAGAAGTGAAAGACTTAGATTAGGAAATTTGATTAAAAAATTTTTTAAATATTTATTATAAAGGAATCATATTCTATTTGTAAGCTGCTTTTTTAAACATCAAAAATTGTTTTATTTTTGTTTGTTATCTTTTATAAAAGTATTCTTGATAATTTAATAATAAATATTTTAATTTTATTTGTGATTTATTTTTTAATTTAAATTATTTTTCAAATAATTATTTTGAGATCTATATATTATTTATTCTTTTATTTTTAACAAAATCTGAGTAAATTATTTGATTTAAAAAATATTTTTACTTGAATTTCTTTTTTAAATTATAAAAATGTAATTTTGTAAGAACAAATCTAATGATTGAAAAGAGAGTAATTTATATCCAATAAAATTTACATTAAGTTTTAAATAATTATGTTACACTAACAAATTTTAATTAAATGTGGATTTTACTAAAGAGCGATATTGACGTAAGGTGAATAAATAAATAAACAATTATTATTTCAGATATCAAATTAAAAAAAAGAAAACAAAAAAAGATTTAATTTTTTAGAATCAGCAAATAATATGAACAAAATTTTAATTTTTGCTCTTGTTTATTGTTTTCTAATTGGTATTTCAGAGTCCAAAAGAGCATCATAAATACCAAATACGTATGATCCTGATTTCTCATTGAAGATGGCTCACTATGCTTGGGCAGCTAGGTGTTAATAAGATACAATATAATCGTGGACTTGCGGTACTCCATGTTAGTTAAACCCTAATATCACAGATGTTTAAGTCTTCTATAATTCAACTCACCACTCACTAGGATTTATTGGATATGATTATTTTAATTAAATGATAGTTTTGAGCTTTAGACCAACTATGGACAATTTAAATTGGCTTTATGATTTCGATTACTTTAAAATCAACTATTCATATTGCTAAGGCTGCTAAGTTCACAGAGGCTTTTTATTTACTTGGAATGATTTAAGATAAAACGTGTTAGCTTACACTCAATTTTTAGTTAGCAAGTACCCAAATGCTCCCTTAATCATAACAGGTCACTCTTTAGGAGCAGCAGTTTCTATGCTTGCAGCAGTTGAAATCAACCATTATATTAAAAAGGTTGATTACATTTACAACTATGGACAACCAAGAGTTGGAAATAAATAATTTGCAGATTTCTGTGAATCTATTATTCCTGTTATTTACAGAATAATTCATAATAGAGACCCTGTACCTCATGTTCCACTTTAGAAGATGGGCTTTTAGCACACAAGAACAGAAGTTTGGTACAATAAAAATAACACCTCTTATTAGGTTTGCAAAGGAAGCGAAGACCCTCAGTGCAGCGACAAAATAAAAGAATATCTACCATTTGATCATGCATGGTATATGGGGTTCAATATTGGAACTGACTGCCCATGATCAAATTTTTTTATAATAAATAACAAAATGATTTAAAAAATTGTATAATTTTATTTTAGATTTATATAAAGAATTTATTAAATTTATTGAGCAAATTTGACATGAAATTTATTAAATACATAAAATGTAGTAAAAGTAGTAAAATTAAATATTTTTTAATTTAAATTAAGTTTAATAATTGAAATTTTTCATTAAATAATTGAGTAATTTGTAGCTTCATTGTAAAGAATTTAGAATTTGCCCATATCTTCTAAGAATTGAGGCGAAGAAAAGTAATAGTGAGGTATTTTATGATATTTCATATGATTTTATTCAATTTAAAGCATAGATTTAACTACTTACTTGAAAATTACATCAAGATCTGGGATATGATACTATCCAAGATAGACTTCTTCATTAAATTCTATTACGTAAGGAGTGTATTTATCATCAAAACTAACATCTGCTCCAAATAACTAAAATTTATTTATATGAAGCTACCTTTTCCCAGTAGTGACGAATTCTTTTTAGCCTAATGCACTATAAGCTAATCTCTTTTTCATATTTTCCTCAATTTAAAGGGGATTTTAATTATTTTATTTTAACCAGTTTTCAAAATGTTCATAAGTCCATATTGTTTCCAGCTTTCTTTGTTAGTAATTCTTATGTTTCATTTGAACTGATTAATTAACACAATGTATAAACTTATTAGATAGATCCTAAAGTGAAAATTGTTCTAAGCTTCTCCTAACGTAACCAGGGTGATATAATAAAACATATGGATCAAAAGAAGCAACTAAAACAAAGCAACGAACATCAAACTTTCTACCTTCTATTAAGAGAGAGTTTTCTATATATTTTTATACAATCCAAGATTTTTTATCTTAAGGATAGTTTTACTTTTTAAAAGGTTTATTTTTTCCAACCTTTAATTAAAATTATTTTAAATCATCAAAAACTTCTATTCCCTTACATCTATGATCTTCTACTGGCTATTTTTTATATTTATTAAAATTAATAAATTTCAAATATTATTTTTCTAATTTTATGATAAATCTTTTTTTATCTTTAATAAACAATATGATTAAATTATAAAAAATATTTTGTATTTTATTGTGGAAAATTCTATCAAATAATTCAAAAATTTATACAACAAAAGTTAGCAGTTTTGAATTTTTAAAAAGTATTCAGATAAAATTGTTTTTAACAATCCTTTTGAATATAGCAAAACTTTATATTATAACTATTTAATTAAATTTAAGAACAGTTACTTTTAAACTATTTTCCTCGATCAAATATTATTTATAATTCAAATTCTAAATTTTAAAAGATTATCTAAATGTCTGTGATTAGTTTATCTTAGAATTAATTTATTTAATTTATACTAAATTAAATCATTTTTATTGCGTTGAGCTATTTGAAGCTAGAAAAATTAAAAAATTATATTAAATCTATAGTGCATTATTGCAAAAATAAAGTGTTAGTATTTTAGCTTAATATTTGAGTTATTGATTAATTGAAATTTAAGAGATTTAGGATGTGTGTACTTAAATAATTAAAGAATTAATTAAAATATCTACATACCTTTTTAATCCAAACTCCGCTTTTATGAACTCTAAAGAATTCTTTTTCTTCATCTGAAAATTTTGGTAAGTTCATATCAATAAAATAAGTTAGAGGCATGACATCGTTAATAGATAATTCTCCTATTTTTCCAGATCTATGAAGTTTTTCTGCATTTTTATAAAAATTAGCTTTATTGTAGAATTAGTTTGAGAGAGGCCAAACACTAATTATAACATGGTCGTTAACTATTTTCCAATCAATATTTTCGTTTATTATAACCAAATCTAAAGAAGAGCTTTATGTAGATTTTTTTATGATGTTCCATGTTTGCTAATTCTACTCAAAATATTATCTTATAAAGTAATTGTTTGATGATTCTATTACAAAAACTTCATATTTATCTTTATGGTGCATCATTCCCTAAATACTGCATGAATTCATGTTATTTGAATTTTACTCTTCTCCGCAATCGTATTTATAGTTCATTTCATCATCATCATCTTCTTCACATACTACGATGCTTGCTAAAATAAAAATTGCTACATACTTGCTAATATAATTTGCAAATTTCATAATGGATGGAAGTGTTTCTAGTTTGTGCTTGTTAAATTAAGTATTTTTGATTATATAAATATATCTTTAATCAGATCCCCACTAATCTTTTTGTTTTAATGAGCTTACCTTCTTTATTGAATATTATGTGAATAAGCACTAACCTATAATAACTCAATTTATTACAAATGGAACAAAAATAGCTATATTTAATTAAGTTGCTCTCACCATTTAAATGATTAATTTTTTTATTTGTGAGTATCACCTTTCAAAAATAAATCCATCTAATAAATTCTATTAATTAAAAATACGATAATAAGCTATGCTACTTTTCAACAAATAATATTTTAATTTTTTAGCCAGACATTACAAAGTGATAAAGTTTTAAATTTATTTGAAACGAATCTTAGTGACATGTTGATTCAAACCTATTAATTGTAATTAAAAAAGACAAATAGCCAAAGAAAAAGCAGAATATATTTGATCTATGAAATGGAAAGATTAATACAATTATTTAAAAACATAGATTTTATTATTGCACAATTTTATCATCTTTTGATTAATAATTAAAGACTAGACTATTTTCAAATAATAAGTTAAGCAAAAAAATTACTAAACAATTAAAGAGGCTTAATTATTGAATATAATTTGTAATATTAGTTTCCTTAAAATTGACAAAAATTGTGAATATTGAGTAAGAAGAAAAAATTTTACCTTAGTTTTAACTCAAATTAATTCATATATTTTTAAGTTCTATAAATTTATAATTGCTCTTTCTAAATATAACGAAATACTTATTTTTACAACCACAACATTTTAATAAAGAGCAAAGTATTTATTTTGTATTATATTAATCAAAACTAGTGAAAATTTTAGTTTTTAATTCATATATTTTTAAGTTCTATAAATTTATAATTGCTCTTTCTAAATATAACCAAATACTTATTTTTATAACCACAACATTTTAATAAAGAGCAAAGTGTTTATTTTGTATTATATTAATCAAAACTAGTGAAAACTTTAATTTTTAACAATTTAAAATAAATTAAATATTTTGTAATAAAATAATTTTTATATCTAAATATTTATTTACATAAACTTCTTTTTTATTTTATTTCTAATTTATTTGCATTAAAATTAAATTATCAAATTAGTAAAGAATTACAAAAATAATTAAAGCAGATTCTAAAATTAGAATGAAATAAGAATGAATGGTTGTTTTTATCATTTTAAGTTTTAATAGAATAGAAGTAAAAATGTATATATTATTTACATTATTGTGGAAAAGTGTTAATTACTATAAAGTAAAGTAGAATAATTAATTATGTATTATTTATTGTTTCAGTTTTATGACACAGAATTAACTTGCTGTGTCATTTAATCACTTCTTTCATGCATAGATGCATATTTTAAGAACTCACGAGAGCACATTCCTTTGATTGAAGTATCTTTCTTAAAGAGCTTTAACTTAATTTAATCAATTTTTTAACAGTACTACTCGTAAAAAAGGTTTAATTTTTATTTTATTTGAGTTTCAATATGTTAAGAGTGTATTTAATTATCTTCAGTATTTAATTGATTCAATTCTTAATTATTTTGTTTATTAGAATTAGTAGATTTATCAGTAGGATTTTCTTGGATATTTTGCTAATATTATTCAGGTTTTGTTTACATATTGACTAACTCATTGCCAACATTAAGCTAGTTTGTTTCATGTTAAAAATTTTATTCATTGTTTTTTATTTTTTATTTCATAATCTTCAACTGCTTGTCTGAGCTAAAAAACTCATTTTACTTTTTTTAGAAAGGATGAATAGAGTTTTCTTTAGATTTTAAACAGAAATCAACTTTTTTTTACGAATTTCTTCTTTCTGGGCTCTTTATTAAAATACTATGTGGCATAAATTTTAATTATTACAATTAAATGCTATTCTGCTAACTAGAATATTCTTTTCCTTGTTACAGCACATCTTAAAACTAATATTAGTTATCAAAATCTGGTGTATCAGGACTATTGGCCAAACATTCACTAAAAACTAATTTTTTTTTAATAATCTTTTTAGACGAAGATTCATACTCATAACCATCACTACTTTTATCTTCTTCACTATCTAGAGCATAATAATTATCTATGCTATCATAACTTTTAACAAAATTTCTTCTGCCTGCTAGACCTTCATGAAAACTATTCCTCAGTTAGCTCATATTATTTGAAATTCTTTTGATGTTATTTAAATATTGATTGTTATTATTATTTAATTAGAGTCTTTAGATTTATTTTTTAATATTTATATTAAATAAGCAATTTTCAATATCTGCCAAAATCATAAAAATTATTATTGATAAATAAATCAAATAAACACATAATTATCTAAATGAATGGAGGTAAATGTAATAAGGAGATACATTTCCTAAAAATATCAGGTTTGTAAAATTCTATTATTTTATGTTACGATATTTATCCGTAACAGCTTGAAAGAAACATTTACCAAAAATTAATTCGATAGAACTATAGGACGCTAATATGAATAAGAATTTCATTTATTTTATGCTTCTTACATTTAAAAAATACTTATGCTTAATTCCAAGTTATCTGCTAATAAAAATAACCACAAATATATAAATTAACAAAATATTTCCTTTAAATTTGTCCTAATAGAATTTTTTTAACCACAAATGCTCTCTTTAAATACTTACCAAATTTATTTACTCGATTAATCTATTCAATCTTTTAAAAAATAAAAGAATTAAAACTTTACATCAAAAGTCTTTACTTTTAAATACATTCAAGTTCCTTCTTGATGTTAAATATTAAAAATTATTCTATTTTGAGATTAAGGTATTAGATATTCATGTTCTGAAGTCTAATAAACTAAATTAAATACAAAAAGTAATTCTTCATGCTTGAAAAATTAATTTGTATCATTTTAAATTTAAAAAGTATAAATAAATATACCACTAACTAACTATTTTGTAAATTCCAATAGATTATTTTTTGATTCTAAATACATAACTAGTTATATTTTTCTTTATTCACTGGACTTCTTTTTATACTTGAAATTTAAATACATATTAATCATAACTTTGATGAGATAATATTTTGTTAGAGATAAATTCATTTTTACTCAAATCTAATATAGAGAAAAAATATTTTTAATTTTTAAATAACTAAATACAAATTTAATTTAATAAATAAAAAATATTGATATTTCTACTTTAATTTTATTACAGATACTGCTTCAAAAATAAAAAAATATATTCGATAATTTATAAATAGCTTTCTGGGGTTTTATTTAGGATAAATATAATTTCTTTAAAAATTATGTTTACTTCCATCTCGAAAAATTATTTCAATTTTTTTTAATTTTATGATAGAAATTTATTAAAAAAAGAAAAAAAATTTTTAAAAATATTTTAACAAATTATTTTAATTATTTGCTTACAAAAAATTAAATCAAAGAATGATGTTTAAATTTTTTTAAAGCAAATATTATTAACAAAAGGTTTTTAATAAATTAAAATCTATTTCTGAATACTGCTAGCAATTTTTGTATTTCTAAAAGAAATTAATTTGTATTTTTAAAAATGACTTAAATTAAAGAATCATCTTAAATAGCTTTATCTATAATTTAGCTTTATAAAGTGCAAAACAATTAATTATATATTAATAATTTGTAAAAAAAAGTCATAAAAGAAAAAAAATATGAATAACAAAAAAGAAAAAAAGATATTACTGAAAAACAAAATATTAGGTATTATTATTTTTTTAAAATGAATACAAATTATTCATAAAAAATATCTTAAATGATAAAAAAATTAAAATCTTTTTAATATTAATAAATAAATAAAAAAAATATTTTAAGTTTAATGTTCTTATTTACTTATTCCATTCTAATCTTATTCAACATATGCATACTCGTACCCATAGCATAAGTGATTTTGAAGCCTAACATAAATAATCTAAAGAATGCTTTATTATTTACTATCACTTGGATTCTAGTGTATATTCTAATGTTCAATGTGTATTACTATTTCAAATCTTTTTTTTCAAACTGGTATGAATATTTACTATAACTTGCAAACAGAAGAAATAGATCTGATTGTATTTTGATTTACTTTATTACTTATTTTGGGAATGCAATAATTATACTTGTTTCATTAAATAGTATTTTTGAAAGAATTAGAAGATTATTGATAACTTTAGTAAATTTAGAATATTCTGACTAGAAGTTTTCCAATGTTATAATTTTTAAAGAAATAATACAAATATTATGTGATCTTATTATGATACAAATGTATTTTGGCAATATTGAATTTTATAATCTGCCAAATATATTTATAATAGTAATAATAATAGAGTTTTTTTATGGATTTAAAATAAATTTAGTTACTGACAAGTATACTTAGATTATCTTCGCATGTTTAAATATAATAACATTATACATTTTCTTTGAATTAAATTGGATGACATTTAAATTATTTATTCTATATTAAATACTAAAAATAAACTAAATTGTTTATTTCTAAGGCGAGGAAAAAAAACATTAAATTAATAAATAAAATATGGGATAAATTGTTGAAGAGCTGAATCAAATTTTGGAGATAGATAACTAATAGTGGAATGCATTTAAAATTTAATTTATTTTAACTTAGATTAATATTTAAAATGAAGAAGTATCCTAACAAAGTTAGTTAATAATATTAAAAAATTTAGCTTATGCTTAAGGCTAATTAAAAACAATATAATTTAGAATAAACAATAAAGATCTTTCATTATTCGATTAAATTGAAAAGATTGAAAGCATAATTGGATTTATTTCAAAAAAAACAATTATACAATATTTAGCTGAATCTCAATTTCTAATTTAAAATAATTTTTAATCATGGGTTCACACTTATTCATTTGATGAGAAAGAAATCGATTTAATCTCAACTACTAGAGTAATTAATCATCCTGTTGGTTAGCCTTTTATTTACAAAAATAAGAATTATGGTCTTAACATTTAAATATTAACAATTATTGCTTTTTAAAAAAATTGCTAAGTTTTTTAATTACTATCTGCCTCTTTAATATTATATGATTTATATAGTTTGTGAAAGTTAAAATTTTTTAGATTTATAAAATGTTAAAAATAATAATTTTAAATTTTTAATAAAAATAATAATTTTAAATTTTTAATAAAAATAATAATTTTATATTTTTAATAAAAATAATATTTTCAAATTAATTTAGGCTATGAATTTTTATTTGAATACATTTTTTTCTGATATGATAATTGAATAAAACAATTAATAAATTAAAAAAAAAAATGATAGTTGAATTTTTTTAGTACATATTTTAATACTTCTCTTCCTATTTAACAATAATATAAAAAATAAAGATAATTTTCTTTTTAGCCTTTCAAAAAGTTTAACGCAGTTCTCAAAAACAATTGCCCGTACTTTATTTTGTTCCAAAAAATTATAATGTTCAGTTCTAAACGATTGAAGCTAAATAGAACTTTGATATAATTTAAGCTGATAACAAAATTTTTGTTTTTCAAATAACCATAAGTTATGTACTTTGGATTAATATATATAAATTAATTTTAAATAATATAATAAATTAAATTCTCTTAAAATCATTATTATATATTTATTTACTTCTTATTGACTAAATTAATATTTATACCTATCTATTTTATACTTTCATTCTAAAAAATAAAATAGTACTTATCTTAAGAAAATTAAGATTAGTTGAAGTTAAGCCTAAATTAATAATTGTTGTTTTGAGTAACATTTAAAAAAATTGAGTAAATACTAATCATAATTTTTACAATTCTATCCTATGGGATAAATATTAAAAATGCTTGAATTAAATAATGTAATAAATTAAATTCTCTTAAAATCATTATTATATATTTATTTACTTCCTATTGACTAAATGAATATTTATAACTATTTATTTATACTTTCATTCTCAAAAATAAAATAGTATTTATCTTCAAAAAATAAAGATTAGTTGAAGTTAAGCCTAAATTAATAATTTTTGTTGTGAGTAAAATTATAAAAAATAGAGTAAATACTAATCATAATTTTTACAATTCTATCCTATGGGATTAATATTAAAAACGCTTGAAAGAATTTGTAATAAATATCAAATTAACCAAACATTTTTGATTATATTCTCTTATTAAAAAATGATTATGTAATTAAAAAAGTAGCAAAGGATTAAATTTGTACTCAAAATATGTTTATGCATTTTATAAGGTACAAAACACAAAACACAAAACAAAAAATAAATTAAAAAAATTTACAAAAAAAAAATAGAAAGATAAAAATTAGAAAAAAAGATTATTAAAATGGGAAATTGTTGTTGTAAAGATTAAGAAGATAAAAATATTAAGAAGCCTACTTATTTAAACAATGAATTTGTTCGTCTTTAACGCTAACAATACTATTAAAATATTTTTGAAGATAGTAATTATAATTAAATTGAATTTATTTAAATGAATTTTTAAAATAATTTAAAGATAAAACAAATGATTAGAATCAAAATAATCAAGAATTTTAAAATAAATCAGAGTTTAACAATTAGACAGAAAGTCTAAATTTATAAAAAACAAACATAACAAGTAAATTGCATTTTTTAAAGATAAGTTAAATTTTATTTCTTTTTTTAATATATATATTGTTAAGATGATTAGGATTAAAATATATCATTTACCAAAAAAAATCAACCACCTGTATTTGATAAAACACAAAAGAACCAATTAAATTAGAATAGCAAAAGTTTTCATAAAAATTCTAATATTTTTGAATAAAAAAATGAAATTTCTACTTCAATACATTAAAGCAATCAATCACAAAATTAAGAAGAACTTTAAATATCTAATTCAAAAAAATTAGAATGTCAAAAATTTATAAAAGATTTACTGAATCCTTAAATGTACTTCATCAATTTAGTAAATCATTTTTTTATTATATTAAATGACTTACTATTAATTATTATTATTATAAACAAGATAATTCCAACAAAATTAACAGATCAATCTATTGAGGTAATTAATATATATTTTTTTATTTTTCATTGTAAAATGTATATTTAAATAAAATATAGATCATAAGCGACCTTTCTTAAAATGATTCTTACTTAATAAAAAAACTTTAGTAGAGTTTTGATGAATAAAAAGTCTATAGAACAGAATTCAATTATTCTCATATCATTTAATGTTTTATTTAAAAATATTATTTGATCTTTTAAAATCAACCGAGGCGGTAAGAGGGCTAGGAATATTCTTTTAATTTGTGCCAGTTTAAGTTTGAAAATGAAACAATCTTTTATTCAAGATATTTTGATAAGGAAAGCTAAGCTTTTCTTAATGTCTATCAGTTTTTAAATCGAAATGATTTTTAGAATTCTAAAGTAAATGCATTAGCTGTAAAGTCTTCTTCAAGTTTAATAGATTAAATATTTTGTGAGACTATTTTATTTGATACATAATAAGAGTTAATATTTGAAGAACCCTTTGATTTCAACTTTTATCAATTTAAAACATTAATGAAAGATAGTTTAGAAGAACATAATTTAGTTTGTATTCTACTCTAACTAATAGATGTATGCTTAGTTTTTGATGAGTTAGATGTCTATTACAACCAATTTGATCAAAATAATGTTGGGTTTATTTATCAGAATTAAAAAATGTTTGTAAAGCTGAGAAAAATTTTTACATTAAAAAAAGATTATTAGAAATATTTACTTACAAGTAAATTTATAAACGAATTTACTTTTGCTTATGATAAATAGAACGTCCTTTATTATGAAATATGCAAAGTGCTTGAATTAGTTTAGTAGTTAATAATAGATGAAAATACAATAATTGAAAATATTATCACTAAGTTTGTTTTTAACAAAGAATTTAAAAAAAATGGAGTATGTTAGAAATAAGTTGTTGAGTTTTTTTAAAGTTTTTTTGGGGAAAATGTTCTCATGCATTACCCAGCTATTAATATGTATAAGTTAGAACTCTACATGAAAGATCTTAAATATAAGTGCGCCAAAAATTATATGTTATGTTTCATAAAGTTTGGAGAAAGAATTGACGATTATTAATTATGTTTGTCAAATATGCTCGTAATTTGGATAATAGGCGCTAAAGAAGACAACTTAACATAGCTTGAATTATGCTTTCCTAGTTTTTGCTAAAAATATGAATAATATACACAAATATTGTTATTTAATTTAACATTTTTTATGCTTACTGACTATAAACCTAAAATCATTGAGTAGATTTTAAAATTAATCCTGGAATACACTTTAAAATATGATTAAATCAATATTATTGGCTATTTAGTAGACTATTTGAGTTATTTTTATCTTAAAAGAAATCAAATCAATGAATTAATTGAAATTTTAGAAAAAATTGCTAGTCATGTTAAATAGGATCCTAATAGATACTAAAAAGATATTAAAAAATAAATCATTTTATTTAGATTTCTGGTTTACTTAATTTAGAAAAAGGATGAAGAGACTATATAAAAGTAATACTAAAAATACAACAAATTTATGAGTTAAGAAAAAGAGGAAGAAATACAATTAATTGATTAATTGTTTTACTTCATCCCTACATATTACTTAGAAATTCTTATTTTTCTCATACAGAAAGATTACTATAAATGCTATAAAATGTAATTCTTTTTTTAAATTAATTTTTACTTTTACTTTATTGCCTCCTTAATAGGGATTTTAAAATAAATAATTTTATAAGATTTTTTACTATTATTTCTTTTGAATTAATACTATCTAATTAATGCTCAAAAAAGAAAAAATTTTAAAAGACTTTTATTTACATTCAAAACTGGAGTTTTATGTAAGGTTATTTTTTTGAGGAATATTTATAAAAGTAAATTTCATCAAATATTTTATTAGTCTTCGTCTAAAGCTTTATATAAAGCAGTACACCTTTAATTTATTTTTATAATAAATTTAAATTAATTTCTATATTTTTTCAAATCAAATTTTTTATTCATTCAAGTCATTATAATTTATTAATTTTTCACATTTATTTTTTAAATAATTTTGCAGTTTTAACAAAAAAAAATATTACGAAAGGTTAAAATAAAAATTTTAATAAAAACATTTTTTTGATTTTAGATTAATTTTTTTTTTCTTAAAAACCGTCAACACTAAATTAATCAAAGAATAAAATGACCAGATTAAACATAATTTAAATTATAAAATTTTATTTTAGTAAAGTAATCTAAGTCAAGATATTTAATTTAAATATAGTTATTTAAATAAATTAAAAGTCATTCAAAAAAAAAGTACCAAAAATATTCAAATAAATTTGTTTACCAATGGATAGATATTAGTTCAAACTTTAATTGAGAGGTAGGGCAGTTGAAAAAAAATGAAAAATAAGTATATATTTATGGAAATATGGCAAATTTTATGAAATTGGAGAAATTCTAACTTCTTGATATTATTAAAAAATAAAATAATATTTAATTTTTTAACTGAAAAATTTGTTTGAAAAAATTTTAGTTACTCAAAAAAATATTTTAATTTCGAAAAAAAATCAATAACAAAAATTGGGATTATAAACTTAATTTATGATTTTATAATAATTAATAATTAAATAAAATTAATTTTAAAAAAATAGAATTGATAAAATTTATGAGAAAAAAAATAAGCCTAAAAATCAATTAGAGTTTAGTTAATTGGAAAATACAAGCCATTTTCTCTTGTTTGCTTAACAGGTTTGTTCTCTTTTTAACTAAACTAATAGTAAATATTCAGATAAATTTAATTAAGAAAGACTAGATGTTTTAAATAAAATAAATTGTTCATGTAATCAAAGTGTTTGCCAGCTGTTTCTCCAATTGAGATTGTTAGATAATGACATGAACTACAAATTAGTTGAAGATGAAGAAAACTATAAAATTCTTAGCTATCTTAAACAAAAGTATTAAACTTGTTAAGTAGATATCTATTAATAAAAACTTTTTCCTGATTTTTACGATTTAATTAGTAGATATGCTAATGAAGAATTAGTTGATTTATGCGAAAAATTAAAAGATTAAATTGAAGTTAAGCAATCAAGCATGTTAGTTATTGATAAAAAAATAGAAGGAATCCTAATTGAAAAAAATTAATAAGAAAGAGAAAAATATAAATTAGCTGTGGAAAATGTTTCTAAGTTACTTTACATTGATATTGTACCATTATTACTAGATGTAATCAAAATTTTTAAATATTAATTACATATATCCAAATTTTTCATATTAAATAGGATTTAGGCTTTACTAAAGAAAATATTATTTAGCCATTTAGCAAAAACTTTTAGTTAAACATAAATTTTGAAAATTTAGATTAAACTTTAGTTAGAAATAACTCAGAAATATACTATGAAAATGAAATTAATTTAAATGAGCTTCAAGATTTATTATAAAGAACTTAAAGTCTTATTGAAAAAATAATCAAAAATCTTACAGATGATTATGTAAATTAGTTTTTAGAAAAAATAAATATTTTAATAAATATGGATAAATAAATAGATAAAAATGAGATATAAATATATTTTAATAATTACTTCATTAATAAAATTAATTCTTATCATTAAGTATCTATTTCTAGAATTATATAAAAAGATATATATATTAATAAAATTTATGTAGAATAGATTATGAAATATTATGTGATAGATTTAAAATATAAGAGTCATTACTTGCTTTTTGCTTTTCTTTCTATTTAGTAATTTTATGAAATATTGAATTTTGTGCTATCTATTAATTCATGTAGATATGTTGAGAGATACTTAAATAAACCTATACATATAGATTTCTAAAACCTGATAGTTTATAGTACATATAGTTAATCAACTCTATTTAAACTAGATTACCTGTATGCTAAAAATAAAATTCAAATTCCAGAACAAAAAGTAAAAGAAATTTTGAGTTAAATATTGAAAATCACTCTCATGCTTTTTGAGAATAAATATTATATCTACAAATTTGATTTTGATTGTTTTAGTTTTTATGAGGCAAAGTCATATAAAACTAAATTTTACTTGAAGTACAATGATATTCGTTTTATCACTAATAACCTAGCTCACTCTATATCAGAACTTGCTAAAAATGATAATATTACTCACATGAAATATTATGATATGGAGTTTTAAATTTCTGAATTATTTTATCTTAAATTATCAATTCTTTAAATATGTTAATAAATGGTAGAAATGATGTTAAATTAATATGAAAGGATTAATTAAGTTGAGATTGACTATTAAAAAAAAATAGATTAATTGAGGAATATGTATTCTTTTGATTTAATTGAATTCTTTGAGAAATGCAAAAATAGAACTGATGATTTTACAAAATAATAACTCTATGAAGAGATAAAGAATCTATTACCAAATTGGAATTTCAGTGAAAAAAAATAATTAATAACTTTATCAGAAATGGAATAAAGCATTTTAAATGAAGAAAATGATGAAATTGAAGAAGCATATTTACATACTTATATGAGTAGATAGCATATAGAGGATGTTCTTAAAAAAATTAAAAAGGTGGAATCATCAATATCATAATAGCAGAAACCCTATTAATTGATTAAATAATAATGTCTTATTTATCTTTAAAATTAACTTTTACTTACGATTATAAGAATCCTTTACCTGAACAATACATTAATCGATGAGAGTTTACTTTAAAATTTATATTCTTATAACTCTTCATAACTAACTGAAAAAAAAGATCTTTATATTTCTTATTATATTGAATAATATTTTTTGAGAAACAAAAAAATAGATCATTATTTTTAATATTAATACTTTAGTTTTTAAAACTCGTAGTAATAGCAACTAGATTAAAATTCAATCGAAAAAGAAAACCATCTTTTCTACTTGAATTTAATTTAAGAGCTATATAAATAAGAAAAATAAGAATGTGTAAAATCAAATATGAATTATTAGTAATATTTGATTAACGAAGCACTACTATTTATAAATCTTCTAAGTTATGAAAATTTAAATTCTAAATAAATTTTAAATTGCAATTATTTTTACAATTCATTAATTAGACTTTCACTTCCTAGTTTTGTAAACTATAATTTTTTAAGTTTTTTTTTTTAAATATAAAAATAAAATATCTAAATATCTTATAATTACAAAGAAAATGAATAGGTCAAAAGGAGTTTGAATAAAAATTAATTTTTTAATTAACATAATTTGGATATTTTAGCATTATGTAAGCTTGATGAAAATATAAAACTTTTTAGATGGTGTGATTCAGAGCTGCCTTATAAAAATTTTAGCTGCTTACTATTCAAATAACAATTAATATGTATGAATAAGATATTGAAAGAATAAGATGCTGAATAAAATCTTAAAAATCTTGAAAATTTATACAAATATAAAATTTAGCTTGAAGTTAATGATTTTTGTCCAGTCAAAGAACCTTAAATTTATTTAAAATTCTATGCAATAAATATAGCAGAATTTTTATTAAGCAAACATAAAAAATTAATAGAATACTATTCGTCAATTAATTTAACACCAAGTGTGCAAAAGTTTCAATAATTTAATGAAGAAGGACAGTACTTTACAGAATTTTAAAAATGTATTTTTTTTTATCTCACTAATTTATTTTTAATTAAATATTTTTTTTTAAATTTAGATTAAAATAAAAATAAATTAAATTTTGATTAATTTTAATGTACAGAATAAAATTTAGAAAGTAGATAAAATAAATAACTTATATATTAAAAATTACAATAAACAGAAGGGTAGGATATTCCTATTACTTCAAAAAAATTTCAGGAAAATTTAAGTTTATAAAACAATTAATTAGTAGAAACTTAAAATTATAAACAAGAAATTCCTCAAATTGAATAACATACACTAAAACAACAAGAAACTCAACAATTTTTGAAGTATATTTAGGAAGAATAAGAAACTTAACTGTATAAATTAATGTTTAAAAATAGATATTCAGCAAACTATAGTGATTAATTAAACGAGTAAACTGTTATAATTTAAGCTTTTAAGGATCTAATAAAATCTTAAGATTCAAGTTTTAATAATTTATTTTCAAATAAAAATGCTAACTTAAAAAATTAAGATGAATAAACCATAAGCTATAAAATTGAAAATATGTAAGAAAAAGTCTTAAATAAATAAAAAATATTAAGTTAAGAATAAAAATATAATTTTGAATTAGAAGATTAATAGATAAGAACAAGTTTTTATACATAAAAATAAAATAATTTAGATATCTAAAATGCTACCGTTGACTTTTAATTAAAAATTAAATTAAATCAGAATGATAAATAAGAAGAAGAATAAAAAATTGTAAATTATAGTTAAGCCTAATCTTCTATTTAAAATAATTCATTAAATGAATAGGCTTCAATTAAGGAAAACAATTTCCCATAAATATAAAGCTTAATATTTAAAAAATCTAATGATTTGCATAAAATAGGCCATTTAGGAAAAGGTGGTCAGGCAGGTGTCGAATTCTATTATGATTTTAAACAAAAGAAAAGATATGCTCTCAAAAATTTCAAAAATTAATTTGAGTATTTAAAAGAAAAGAATACTCATATCAACTATCTTTTAGAAGATAAAAATCCAAAATTATCTTCATATGTATGCCAACTTGTATCTTTTGATGATCAAAATTGTCAGATCTTATTAGAAATTGGTCTTTGCAGCTTATAAGATGCATTTAAAATTTAAAAAAAAAATAATTTATAAATTAGCATAAATTATTTTGTGAATATTTTGATTAAAATAATATCTTTTAATATCTAAATGAACAAAATTGGTCTGTATCATAGTGATATTAAACCATCAAATATGGTCTTATACCTAGATCAAAATGAGTTATCTTCTCAGTATTAATTTGGATTCAAGTTAGTAGACTTTGAGAATATTTAATTAAAGTTTATTGATTTTGCAAGCTGCTCAAATGATCCTGATTATTATTATGAATATTAAACTCCTAAATATAAATACTATGGATATTAGAACTAAAATATGAATTTTAAAAAAATATTATTTGCAGAAACATATAGCGCATGTAAATCTATTTACTTCTTGCTTGATGAATAATTATAGAAAAAGATGGGAACTATTTCTTATGATAATTAATTAGAAAATATTTTATTATAAGAAGAATTAGAAGAAAATAAGTTGTTATTTTTCTTACAAATGTTCTTATGCGATAATGAAGCATAAATCAAGATGTCTTAAGTAGGGGTATCAGTAGATGAACTTATTTATTTGACAGAAAAGTATTTAGGGAAAATAAGTGAATTTAATAAAAGTTTCAAATGTAATTTTATAAATGCGTATTAAGTAGGATAATGGTAAAAAATTTCTGAAATAAAAAGTGCATCAATTAATGACTCAGTAGAATATTAAATTTTTAATGCCTTTGCTTTTATAAACAAACTTGATGAAATATTTAGTTAAGAGAAATCTCAAAATGAAATTTATGAAATAGCAAACATAAGTACTTTATTTAAATGTGTAGATATAATAGTTTTATATTAAAATTTTACTGAGGAGTAGCTAAGTTTAATTCTAAAAATAGTTGAACAAGCGTTTTCTGTTTTATCAAAAGAGTAATATTTATTATTTATTTAGTGTGCTTGCTTCCTTTACTGCAATAGTGAAAGAGATTATTATCAACAACTTATTTAAACAATAATAGAAACTAAAAATGTTAGAAATTTTAATTAGGAAAACGATTAAATATTATAGATTGCATTAGATATCTTTCAATCAATTACTGATGAAGTAAGCGTCAATCCAATAGAACTTATTGAGAGAATTTATTTATTAGATATAGAAATATAATAACAACACAGCTTAATTTATGAGTTTTTAATAACTATTATTTTAGAGAAATAAAAAGATTTTGATGAATAAACTGCATTCATGTAATTATTTTTTACTTTTATTTACATTTTTTTAATTGCTTTATAAATAAATAGACTGTTTAACATTTTAGAAAAACTCTAAAATAGCTAAAACTTAAATATATTTTAGCTGAAATTATTTAATCATGTTTATCTTTATTTTTTGCACCTGACAAAAAAAGACGAACATAAAGAATTTTGTAAAAAATTTCATGACTACAAAAAAATATGCAGAGAGTTAAACTTAATTTTAGAATAAGATACTATCATTTTTTATAATTATCATATAGCAAATTTAAAATTTAATGAGTTAGAATATGCTGCAATAGATATAAAAAAACTTTAATCAATATCAAATACCAATAGAAAATTAAATAAAATATTAAAATCAATTGCTTAAAATGTAGGCTTATAAGATGTACATAAATTTAAATTAATGATTGCGGCTAGAATGAATTATAAATATTTTTATCAAAATTTTGTTATATGATTTAAGGTAAATTTATTCTTTTTAAGAATGTTAAAATATGAAATTAATTAAAATTGATTGTTTAAGAATTATTAAATTCATTTATTTTTTTTGCCTCTACTTAAGAAATAGATTTTGGAGAAAATAGTTAACTGGTGAGAATTATTAAATTTATTGTTACAGTCTTAATCCTTCAAGCTGTAAAAATCAATCAAGAGATAGTTGGTATAGATAATTGACTTTGCTCAAAGAGTTAAATTGGTAATTATTATTCTAGATATGATATTAGTAGTCCTACTCATATAACTTACTGAGTACTGTTATTATTAGGGCTTTTCTACATTTTTTTAATAATATTAACTATTTCTTTAATTTTAATTCATAGATTAAGAAATTATAATATTATAGAATTTTCAGGAGATTATTTTAATATTTTCCAAAATAACTTTAATAATTTAAGACTAAAATGAAAAATCGTATTCATATTTGTATTATATAAATAAACAATAACTAATTCACACCTTTTAATTTTACCATTTTCCTGAATTTTTTGATAAAATTTCACCTTTTAAAAAATGAAATTGAGCATTAAATATAAAAAACTACTGCATTTATTAATTTTTAAAAAAAGCTAAGTTATCAATTTTCATAGATACTTTATAAGTAAATTAATATGATACTTGATATATATGAGATGAAAGTAATTGTAAATATAATTTAGAGAACAATAAATATTTTTTAATGGTTAAATAAATATAATTTAAAATAATCTTATTTTATGTGTTAATAAGTTATTTAGTTTGTTATTAATACAAAAATATCAACAACAATTAAGTATAAAATGAATAACATTACTAAAATATAAATTTAATAATAATTATAAAAATATAATATTAATTATAAATTATTTTTTAAAGGAGATAAATAGGAATAAATTTTAATTTTGTTACTAATTAATAAATCCTAAATATCTTTTACATGATATTTGTAGAAGAAATTATTGGTATAAAGGGTTTAGCACTTTTTAAATAAATTTATCAGCCATAAAGAGTTCTTAAGCCTGGATGAGCTGATTGAATTCTGGCATGTTTGTAAGGATCCTCTCTAACTTTAGGTTGAGAAAGTCTTTATGTAGTTCTCATTTAACTATCCATTAATTAGCGATTGCTAACTTAACCTGATTAGGGTCTTGAAAATTATAATTTTGTGAAGAAGTCTTCACTTGTAGAATAGTTAATTTTATCATAACCTCTAAGATTTCTAATAAAATTATGTCTCTTCCAGCTGTATTAGCTCAAACCTCCTTCATCGACGCTAATTTATTTAATTTATCAAATTCATTATATCAATTATATTTTTATTATGAATTACTTTATATAGCTATCACGACCAGTTCCGTCAGTACGATAGTGTATATGTTTAGCTGGTAAATAATTATTTGGTTATTTATAATGTCTTTTTCCATTAAAAGTTCCTTTTTATTATGTTAGTCATGTTAAATTTTTAAATCAAAGCTTTAATTAAATTACCTATTTCAAATCCTTTAGGATCTTCTAACTTTTCTTTAAACAGACCACCATTTACTTTCCATATATAGCTATCTCTACCTAAATTTATAATTAACGATAAATTAATATTCATTTTCCTGCATATTTAGAGGTTAATAGCAAAATATACAAAACATGAAATGCTTGCTTAAATTTACCTGATCCGTTACTAACATAATGAATAACTTTTCCTTCTATTCTAGGGTATGGCAATTTAGAAGACATTTTATAAACTTTTATGAGATTGATGAATCTTTTTCTATCGAGTTTTTTATTTATCTAGTAATTTGTAACTTGGTAATAATTATTATTTTGATTAAAAAACACGCTTAAGAAATAAATATACAATTCTTTTTATTTATATTAATAAAAATAATTGCTTTTTTCTCTTCCATTGGTTTAAGAGCCTTTTTTAAATTTCTACCATTAACAACAAAGTATTTTCATTAAATTTAATAATAGTTAATACTGAATAAAAAATTTTAATTTTAATTTATTTTTTTAGTGAAATATTTTAAATTCTTAAAAATTCTTTTTGTTGAATTTTTGATAATTCTATTTGAAATAGAAGATAGATAAATTGCTTGTTTTTTTATCTATAAATTAATTCTAAACCTATATTATAATTTTTAATTATTAATTTCATTGCTAAATAATTAATTGTTAAAAGGAGAATTTAGACAAAAACTTGTGTCTACATAATAAGGTTTATAAAAATTAAGTAAAAAATGGGAAATGATGGTGGAAGTTTCTAAAGTAATAAATAATATTTTGCTTTTTATTTATTTGTCTTCTTTTAGCTTATTTTAATTAAAAATATTTTATTAAATTGCCAATTATATAAACAAATTTCTTTATAATAAAGCCAGAACTGATTTAGTGAAAGAAAAACCAAAAGAGGTTAAAATCGATAATACAATATTAGCAAAATTTAGGTAATTTTAATGATAATTTCATTCGAAGATAGTGAATATAGTTAAATCATTTTGAAATATTTTAATTAGAGCGAGACTATGTACATTGTCAAAGCAGAGATTGAAAAAGCCTATTGTAATGTGTAGGTTAGGAAATTTTTACAATTTTGAAGAAATATTGAAGAATTTGATGGAAAAATCAATGCCCTCTTCATTTGCACATATTAAAAAAGCTAAAGATGTAAAAGAAGTTAAATTAGAACCTAATCCAGATTAAAAATCTGAATATCCATATATTTGTCCTCTTAGTTAAATTGAATTTAATGGATTAAATAAATTTGTTGGTTTATGGGATTGTGGATGCGTTTTCAGTGAAAAGTTAATTTAAAATTTAAAAGGAGACAGTAAAAAATGCCCTGTTTGCTCCAAATCCTATTCATCTAAAGATGTCGTATAATTAAATATGAGCGTAGAAGAGTAAGAGAAAAAAAAAATAGAAATACTTTCTGAATCTTCTAAAAAAGTAAATATTTGATAAAGAAGTTTTTTGTGATATTAATCCCTAAAAATTTTTTTCTATTACTAATTTTTATTATATTATAAATATTTATAATAGGATAAGAAAAGTTCTCAAAAAGACGAGAAGAAAAATCATGCTTCAGGAGAAAAGGTTGAAAAGAAAGTTAAAACAGAGAAGAATTCATCTTTGACAAGTTCAGGTGTTTCTACCCTTGGATCACACAAGGCAGCCTTGATTGAATAATTAACTGAAACCTAAAAAGAGTAGTCTTAAGGTATATAAAATTCATTTTTAAATTAATTAGTAATGAAATAATTATCTCTATATTAAGAAGCAAAGACAAAAATAAATTCAATTTTTTAATTAATTAAAATAGTATTTAAGAGCTTGTTCCACACAGACAAAGACTTGAAAAAAGACGATAATTTATTTACTCGTAATGTTAGATTTGGAATTAGATGAATAAAATAAAATAAATTTAATTTTATAATATGTAAGAAATAAATATGTGTTGGTGTTTTGTGTAATCAATTACAAAAATATTATTTTACTCGAATTTAAAATTAAAAATAAAGCATGAAATTTTGAGAAACAAACAAAACAATATTTATTTCATAAAATAATTTAGTTAAAATATTGGTAATTTATTTATAATACCAGCTTGCGGACAATAAATTGTCTTGCTAAAAATTAAATTTTGATATTACTTATTTTAAAGCTAATCTCTTGTAATATCAGAATTAATTAAATAGTTGTTAAATAGTAAGTAAAAGTATTTAAACCTAGAAGAGATACTTAAGTAGAAGGAGATGCTAGATATAAATACTACATGGATGATTCCGGACAGTGAGTGCTGGATTTAAGTAGGAGAAGAAGATGCATAAACATAAACAATGTTTGTGAAAGCTAAAATAAAATAAAAACCCAGTCTTTCAAACATTAATAAGAATAATGTTTAACAATGTTTTGCTGACATAAAAGATGTAGAAGATAATCGATATGCTAATATAACAAAAGTTAAAATAAATTCAGTTTATTAAGTAAACTAAGAAGTACCTTAAGGTTATAATGATATGGTAGAAATGGATCACTTGAATTAAGCAGAAATTCTTATTAATTTATAAAGAAGATACGATTAAGATTTAATATTTACATTTATAGGTCCTACACTTGTAGTGATGAATCCTTACAAGTTAATTCCAAAGCATTTTTCAAATGAAACTCGTAATATTTTTTCATAATAAGCAAAACACCAAGGCTACATCGATTATAAAAAAAATGATCCACATACTTATGCTGTAGCTGCTTAATCATATTGTAAGCTTTTTGAGTAAAATAAAAATCAAGCCATAGTAATATCAGGTGAGTCAGGTGCAGGAAAGACTGAAAATGCCAAAATATGCATGTGTTTTCTTACAGGATTAAGCGGATAAGATGCTGAAAGAAGACCTAGTATATAAAATAGTACTTCTCCAGCTAATAAAAATAAAAATAATATTGAAGATAGAATTTTGGGATGCAACCCTATATTAGAGGCGTTTGGAAATGCAAAAACTGTTAGAAATGATAACAGCTCTCGTTTTGGAAAATTTGTATCGATTTAAGTAGGGAAAAAATCAAGAAAAATTAAAGGTGCTACAATTTAGAACTATTTACTAGAAAAGAGTCGTGTTACCACTCCTGGTCCTGGAGAGCGCGGTTACCACATATTTTATCACTTACTCTACTGCGGATAAAACTAACTTTTAGAAAATTTATAATTGGTAGGTTAATATTCAAAACCACAAAATCTAAATTACTTAAAAGTTAGTAATTGTTATGAAGTATCAACTATAAATGACAATGCTCTGTTTAAAGAAGTTGTTGAGGCCTTTCATACTATGGGTATTAATTAAGAAGAATAGGATACTATTTTTAGGATTATAAGTTCAATCCTATTGTTGGGTAATGTCTAATTTGACTAATCCACTTTAACTGACACACAACCATGTACTGTTAAGGATGAAAAGCTTCTCAAAACAATTTCAGATCTGTTAAAGCTGGATTTTTCATCTCTCTTGAGAACAATTAACACTGTTACAAGAAAAATAGGATCCTCTGTAATATATTCACCCAAAAAAATAGATGAAGTAATTTCCTCAAGGGATTCTATTGCTCGTAATATGTATGATAGAATGTTTTCGTGGATAGTTACTCGTTTGAATAATTCAATTAATATAAAAGGAGAAAATGGCAAAGAAAATGAAAATGAAGCTTAACTCTGCATAGGTTTACTTGATATTTTTGGCTTCGAGGTATTCGAAGAAAACTCTTTTGAGTAATTCTGTATTAATTATACCAACGAAAAACTATAATAATTGTACATACAATACGTATTTAAATCTGAAGAATAGGAATTTATTATTGAAGGACTAGAAAAATACATAAATTAACTAGGGTACAAAGATAATTAAAATATCATTGAAGTACTTGATAATCATCCTATTGGTATATTTTAGCTTATCGATGAGTCGTCAGCTCTCGCACAGTCTGATGATAAAAAGCTATATGAAAGCATCTATAGAATAAATAATGGAAAACCTGAAGTGAAGTTTGTAAATAAAGGAAATAAAAAAATTTTTTAGATTGTCCACACAGCAAAACCTGTAGATTATTCAATAGAAGGATTTAGAGATAAAAATAAAGCTGAAATAAGCTAAGAGCTTTAGTTGACTATAGCTTAAAGTGATGATCCTATAGTTTCCTCAATATTTTTAGGTATTTAATTAAATTCGAATATTTATATAAAATAGATAATAAGCTGATGATGTGAATTATAATTTTCAAATTTATTAAAAAGATTTAGATTTACTTTTTTCTCAATTTTTTTTTAGATTACAATCATCAGAAATCAATTTTCTCAAATTTAATTAAAAATTTGATTTTGATCATCAATCTTTTATTTAAGCTAATTCATATTCAAAAAGGAATTTAGGATATCAAAACTAGTAAGAATGATAAAATTGCAGCCATTAATTAGTAGTAGTATTAGACTAAAAGTACAAAGGAGAACAAATTTTTAGGAAGTAAGTTTAGAGCCTAAATGAAGTAGCTCATGGATGAATTAATCTAATCAGACTGCCATTTTATAAGATGTATAAAACCAAATGAGACAAAAAGAGCAAATAATTTGATTCAAGGATATGTATTGATTCAAATAAAATATTTAGGAGTTTTGTAAGCCATTTTAGCTAGAAAAGAAGGATTTCCTTATAGGTAAATATATACTTGACTAATTAAAAAATAATTCAAAATTTAATTTTAACCAATTTACAGAAAAGACTTCAAAGTACTATTTTAGCAATTTAGTGGCATGATTGAAAAGTATAGAACTTTAAGCCTTTAAAAGATTGAGAGCCAGAATTTGGATTTAAAAAATATATCCCAAGATATCCTCTAAGAGCTTTTCAAGAATAATAAAGATGTTTTAAAACATGTTTTAGTTGGAAAAACAAAAATATTTGCAAAGGATGATTTTGGTAAAATCTTAGATGAGATGCTGTTTAAATGGTATGAATAGAAGAAATCATTAATATTCAAAATAATTAAACAATTTTAAGTTTACTAATTTAAAAAAAATCTAAAAGCTAATATGAAAATTCTAATGAAAGCTATCAAAACTTTTCAAAAAATTTCTGCTGTATTTAAAATGAAATGTCAAAGAAAGAGATTTTTACAAGTTAAAAAATCAACAGCATTAATTTATAGCTTAATGTGTAAGAACTTTAAAAAACAATTTATAAAATAGTGGAATATTAAAACAAAATAAATTATAGTCGCATAAAAATAGAAAGAAAGAGAATAAGCTGAATTATTAGCAAAATAAAAGCTGGAAGTAAAATAATAATAAAATGAGATGAATAAAGATGAAATAGATCAATAAATTGATTAAAATTCTATTTTATGTAACACAATAGATAGAAAAGATAACTACAATACAAATTTATCATAAGAGTATGCTACTATAAGTAATTACAATACATTTAATGCTGTCAACAATAACTAGAATAATATAGAAATGAAGCAAAACTATAAAGATTTGTAAGAAAATTACTTATCATCAAAAGGAGAAGCTGACATGAATGAGAAGATGAAATAAGAATTTGAATAAATTTAGTAAAAGAACAAGGAAATTCTTTAAGATGCCCAATTAGAAGATGGACTGCCTTAAAAAATAAAGTTGAAATCAAAGGTCGAATCATTTTTAAATTTAGATAATCCTAATATGATCCGCCCAGGTCCTAATGAAAAGAGCAAAGATTGCTTAATTGATTTCAATGAATGCAATCAAGAAATGATCTAAAAAATTGAATAAAGTAATTATTTTGAAATAATTAGTACTATTGTGGTTATTAGAAAATATAATTCTACTGATCAAAATCCATTACAAAAAATGCTTTCTTATTAAAAGAGGCAATTAAAAAAACCTCTCACAAGTATCGATAAGCATTATGAACCTATAGCAACGAAAGCTTTTTCTTATATGTTAAAGTAATCATTTAGCTTAAATTAAATAAATTTATAATTTTTTAATTAATTTTATATAGATATGCTGGAGATAAACCTTGCGAAGAAATTCATCCCAGAATCATTGCTTGGAAGCTTGCTCAACTAATTCTTGATTAGGATGTACAAGAAGTTACTGATGAAATATTCTTGTAGGTTATAAAATAGCTAACTAATAATTCAGAAGAAAACATAGAGTAATATTTTAAAATTGCAGCTTTGATAGCTAGTTGCGTTGTTTTATCTTGTCGCATAGTATTTCCATCAATGAATTTTTTCTTGGAATAAGCAAGGCATTATGAAAAAAGTGGTAAAGAGAAATTGATGGAATGGTGCAAATTTATATTGTCCAGGATCGGAAATAGCTATAACTTTGATGAAAATATGTAATTTCCATGCTATATATTTAAAAGAGAAGAGATGCCATTAAAAGAAGAGTTTATTGCCTTAGAGAATATGTTTTCTATTCAAATTCCAATTCACTTTTATGGAGACCGCTAAAAATACTTTAAGGTAGAATCATATACCAAAATTTGTAACATGGTGAGCCAAATTGGCTTAGATTTAGAAATTCTTTATGATAAAAACAGTTATGGATTAGTCGAATACATAACTGTTGATGCAGTTACTAAAGTTTAAATTTTAGATTTTGGAATGAGAATACTTGATTGGAAAGCCAAGAGGTATCGTGATAGATAACAATATTTACAAAAAAATCCAGGTAAGACTTTTGAAATAAAACTATATTACCAATGTATCATTTTTCACAGCCCAAAATCTTAAAATATTGACACTAATCTTATGACATATCTAACATATGTAAACGAGTATTTGCATGGATTGTATTTCTTTGATTTTAACACAAACAAAGATTAAATATAAAATAAATTAATTGACTACCCAAAAGAAATTACAGAAATTGATTTTATTGTTGAGATGTCTGCAGCTAAGGTGCTAGCTGATTATAAAATCTATAAAAAGGAAAATATTATCTTACAAAATTGCATCCCAAATTCAAAAATTATTTTCATAAGACATGAAGTGTGGAAGGTCAAAATCGAAGATTAAATATGTAAGTTATAACAAATTATAAAAACTTAAAGACAAGCAAGGACTTATTTCTTGAATAGGATGAAAGAGTACTAAGGGAAGTACTACTTTTCTTAAAAATTTTTCTGTAAATTTAGTTAGCACCCAAACTTTTTAGAATAAAAGGAAGCTATTTGCTTGACTAAATTAGGCTATGTGTACATTATTGAATAGCAAACATACAAGTAATTGTTAGAAATTTCTTATAGAGATATAAAAGATTTTAGCATTAATTTTTATTCCTAATCACTTGTTTTGTATACAGAATAAAATATTTATCAAATATTTTCTTAGTATGCTTTGAATATATACTACAACATTAAATCGTATTGCTAAACTCTTGAAGAATTAGATAATGATAATATCTAAGAAGATAGAAATTGCTTTTAAACTAATGAAAATTTGCTAAATAATTCAAATGAAAAAACTGTTTATGATTCGAAAAATTCTAATCAAGATCAAAAATCAGATAATTCATAAGTACCAATAAATATGATTGATAAAGTTAACGATGATACTATTGTAATCGAAATGCAATAATACTCATCTAATGATTGTAAAAAATAATAATCACAAAAGACTTAAAAAAATGTGAGAAATGGAAATTTAATCACTCCTGTTAAAAATTAAAGCACATACTAAAATGAACCTTAAATACCAAATTATTCAGCTAATATTAATAGAGGAAGTGAAGAATATTTTGATAACTCTCCTAACTCATAATATTCAAGTGGCCAAAATAAATTAATTAATAACATTTAAAAGAATGATTAAAAATTATTTTAAGAATCAAAGATAAATCTAAATAAATAGTTACAAGAAGCTTAAAATGACACAAGTAATATAGACCAAACTAACAGGTCATGCAATTTATATGAAAATCTGCTATGAAATAATTAATTAAAATTTTAAATAAATGAATTAATTTAATTAAAAATTACTTTAATATCATTTGATTAGATTATTTTTCATAAATGAATGATGGATGGATCACTTTTTAATTAAATTATTAATTATATTTTATAAAAATTAATTCATTCATATTTATTTACAAAAATAATTAATATATTATAATTCAAATTAACAATTTATACTTCAAATAAAATAAATACCATAATGTTAATTAACAAACTTTTTTAAATAAATATTTTAATTGCAAAATTCATTTTTAATAAAAATTAGAATTTAAAATTTTCGAAAAAATTTTAATTAATTGTTGAAAAAGTTAACTTAAGGTCTATAAAAATTAAAAAGTTTTATATTACTTCTTTTTATTTTACTTTAGAAAATTGTTAAATAATTTATTTTGATAACAAATTCAATTTATCTTAGAAAAAATTGAAAGAAAATATTGAAGTTTGATTATAATATTTGAAAAAGGTCTTTTTGATTTTTATAATATGTTGAACAATAATTTAAATTGCTTATTTACATCTATAAACTAACCTTTAATATTAAAATATAAAAATATTGAGTAAAATTAATGAATTTATAATCCATTTACTAATAAGAAAATATAAAAATATTAAAGTACTCTATCTACAAAAATTAATAATAATTGGTGTATTTTCTTTTTTATTTATTTATTTAGATATATTAATTACAAAATTTTCAAAAAATATTACAATTTTAGTCTTATTTTATATGTTCTTAACCGTTTTGTCCATTTAGTAAAATATTGTATTCATAATCACCTTGTGATCTAAAATGATGTGTATTATTCTTTATAATAAGATAAATTATCAATATTAAGTATTTTTAATATATAAATAATTTACGCTGGGTAATGTGGAGTAGGAAGAGTTATATTTTTCGCTATTTTATTTTATATCATCACTTTACTAAGTATTAATTTTACATTTTTCAAAATTATTTTATATTTAATTGTTTTAAGAATTTGTTATGTTGATGCTCTTTGATCTTTATGGAATAATGCTGTGAGAACGATCTGTGCTAACAAAGTTTGATATATTTCCTGAAGTATGACCTGCTATAGTACTTGTATTGCTTTGTATGGAGGAATATTCTGAACGTTCTGAGAATATTTTCTTTTATGGGATTTTAGGAGGTTTAGGATTGTTTTCTAGCACTTTAATATTTTAAGACTGCTAGGATTACATATTATTCTATAAGACACTTGCAGTAGTAGTTTAATTTCCTCTAAATGTTTCAACACCATCTATAAAGCAATTAAAATTTAATTCTTGAGTATTTCCTTATACATTTTTATTTCTACATGTTTCTTTAATACTTTGCCTCACTTAACCTTCTTCGTTCTCATCCATAATTCTACTTTAATCAAACATTGAAGACTTTAGCAAACTCTACATATCCGTTTATTTATATCCTGCTGATTACTCCTTTTATTAAATTAAACATTAAAAATGGTAAAAATAATTAATTAAATAATTAATTTACTTATACAGCAAGATTTGTTTGGTTTATATTTTTCAAAAAAAATTAAGGAGTTTGTTTACTAAACTAAACATCTTTACTCATTTATTATATTTGATCCTAACCAAAAGTTGATATCATGTTTACATTTTGATTCTATAGATTATTGCTTGTTAAAATTTTATATTTTTGAGTGTTTACTTGATTAATATCCATAGGATTTGAGCTGTATTTTGTTACATTTTAACTTTTGAAAGTATTTAGACTTACATCAAATTGACTGTGACTTTCATCTGTTTAAAGATTTAAAATTTCAGTAATATTGTTAATAGTTTTACACTCATCATCCTTATCTGATTGTAATTTATTTGAGAAAAAATTTTGACTCATATTTTATTTTTAGTTAAATTATCTAAAATCTGTGTCTGTAAAATTAAATTGGCCTAATTTGTTGTTTTACTCATACTGTTTGTTGTTAAATCTACTTAGTCTCTAGTTACTTTATAGATCTTGTTAGATTTATTAAAGCATTTATTGCTTCATTTCTTACTTTTCAAAAGAATTTTGTTAATTAATTTAATTTTCAAGATGCTTTATCTTCATTTATTATTGCACAAGCAACTCCTATATGGCCTCTTATTTTAGTAACAATCTATTAAAGTCTTCATTCTTGAAAATAATGTACTCAGTTTACTAATAAACACCAGTGTTTCCTATAAACACTTTCTCATCAAATATGATTGTATTTTCTCCATTTAACTTTCTAGAATTAGCTATTAAAAATCAAAAAAATATAAGCCTAAAAAAATAAATAAAAAGAATTCTTACTAATTTAATTATGATTTGTCTCTCCTAATAGCTCACTAGTTTCAATCTATATTTTAAATAAATCTTGCTTTTCTTGCATATGCTTATCAAAAACTCTAATTAGATTGTTAGAATCTTCATTTTCAGTGCTATTAAAGCAAACTGTGCTCTACTCAAAAAACGCACTCAAATTATTATTATTGTTGTTGTTATTATTAAGATTTAAATTATTGTTTGTAAAATTAAATGCATTTGTGCTAGAAAGAATATTTTGAATATTACTAACTTAGTTTGATTAATAGTTTGAAAATAGTTCATGCTAGTCTAAATTATTTCTATTAACGGCAGCATGCGGACTCTTCTTAATACCAGATTCGTCAGTGACATCACATTAGTTTTCAAATATTTAGATATTATTTTTTACTTTAAAGTCATCCTACTTTAACAAATTCCCAGTGCTATTATAATTTTTATATGATTTTGACTAAATAGAATTATCAAAAAAGCTTGGTGATTATTTATTTGCTTAAATCTACTGAGGGATATTTATATGAAAATTGCTTGACTATATATTTTTGAATTTATTAAAATTTAAATCTTAAGCTTTTACACTTTAATTCTCAATACTATTAGCGCATTATTAGTTTTAAATTTTTGTGATTGGAAGAATATGTAAATCCTTTTTAAGTTTGCTGTTTGAGTTTTATATTTAGGTTATTTTATTGCTTAAGTTACTTAGAATATTTTAAGATATTTCTGTATCAACTTAGTTATTAATCAGCTTTTCCTGCATATTTTTTTATTAGCTACTGCAAGGATTAGAGACATAATTATGGCAATAATCTTAAGAAGTTAATTTATTTTATTTCTATTCAGTAGCATACTACTCAAGGTCATTCCCTGAAAATTTTATTCCTTATTGTACACTTTAATGCTACTAGAAAGCAGCCTCTATATTTTACATGTTATTTTTAATTAAATTATCTAACCTTCCTTTTTATATTTTTAGAAATGGATTATTTGACTATCCAGGAGTGGTTAAATTAGAAGGTGTAGAGCCAACATTTTTTATATCTTTTCTTTCAATATTAGAATGAGATCTTTTAAAAGTACTGATTGGCTTAGGTATAATTATGTGATGAACTGAGGAGTAATTTTCTTTATTTGAAAGGTCTATCATTCTATTTATTTATTTATAAGTTGTTTTTGTATTTTAATTAACTAAATCTTTTGATTTGAAAGCAAATTCTATTGACTATAAGATATTGATTTGATTTGTATGTAATAACTTTTAAATTAATTTGTTTGCCATTAAAATTCAAAATTAATTAGAAACCTTTTACAGGTATTTTTGAAAATAACGAGAAAAAATCTTATTATATTTGTAGAAAATAAAAGAATCAACTTCTTTAGAGAAATTTAAAATAATCAAATTTCACAATAACAAACAAATAAAATTTAAACAATCAAAAAACTTGCAAAATTTTTATTACTTAAATTAAATTCATTTTTTAATAATTTAGAAATATTTACATTAAAAATGTTATTCTATTTAAAAAATTAAATTTATTAATTAAGAAATATTAAATGTAATTTAAGTTAATAAATCATTTTTAAATTAATTTTCTTTTCAATTAATAATTAAGAAATTTGTATTTATTTATTAATTAATTTGAAATAAATTAGATTAATATATATACATATATTACAATATATAAGTTTTTCAAATAATTTTCTTTCTTTTTTGTATGTAGTAAAGAAATTTATCTTTAGGTTTCATTTGATTTTACTAATTAGATTACTCGTTTCCTAATAATAAACTTTAATCTCTTGGTGTGAAGTTTTCTTGAAATTATTTTGTAACTTGTTCGTCAACATATACTTATGATTATGATATCCTAACATTATATTTAGAATCAAATTCAAGCTCATTCTAGTTAGTTTTGCGTTTAGAGTAGTCTACTAAAGAGCTATCTAATGTATTTTCATCTATTCTTTATTATTTTTAAAGGCTTAGATCTCCAGCATGCATATTCGATATGTTAATAGTACTTCTATTCTAAAAATCTTTTTAATGAGTGGATTTAACTCTTCTTTTTATATGGTCTCCAATTTAAAGAGATTTACTCTCCTTTTATAAATTTTCATGAAGTGTGACTTTTTTATTATCTACTATCTAAATTTTAGACTAATCATTTAAATTTTCACTTAAATCTATTGCAATCTTTTTCCTTTGTTTTTTTATATCAGTGGCACTTATATTAGAGCTATCTGTCTTATACACATCTTTATTAGCTTTTGAAAACTATATATCTTACTTTGATTTTTAGGCAGTAGGTGATAATTTTTTAGATTAATTTTTCATTGGAGGCTGTTGCACTAAATTTTAATTCTCAATTTCAGTAAAGTTATTATTATTAGCAACTGTTGAATTTAGACTGATTGCATTCATTCTTTTTTTATCCTCTTATTATTATTTTCATTTAATCAAAAGTATAAAATAAATTAAAAAATATAATTACAATAAATGTTGGGTTGTTTTAGAGGACTTATTGGAATACTACTCTATTGGATATTTTCTAAAGATGTCTTATTGGTGTTACCATAATTCTAAAGGGAATTTTGCTTTTAGCTCAAAGCATTTTTTAAAATTAAAACTAATTGAGATGTTGAATGCTTTTTTTCTTTTTCGTATTCTATCTTACTAACTTCAAGAACCTTTTATATAGTATTCAGTAAGTAAGACAATAATTAAATTAATAATATTACCTCTATCAAATTAGGTCTAGGTGTATAAGTCTATCTGTAAATTTAATTGTCAGCTTATATGCTTTGAATTTCTGTCTATAATAATTAAATTTTATTTTCATTTAGAGCATTTCTTTCTTTGAACATCTTTAAATCATTAAGAGTTTTTCTATAAGTGTCATATATATTAGTATATTAAGTTTTTAATTCGTTGAAATCTTTGTTTTACAGCTCGAACCTCTTTTTAAAATAAAAAATATTAATAAAACAATAAAGAAATTATATGCATAAAATTATTTTGATGCTATCAAAGCTGATTAAAATATAATCCTTTTTTGTAAATACTATTGTTTTATTCAAAAAATTCTCATAAATAAATATTTCAATAAAATATTCATTAATACTTTTATAATTATTAAGAATAAGCTATTTGCTTAATAAATTCATTTATTATTTATACTTAATATATGTTGTATCTAATTAGCAAATATTACTTTATCCCATTAAAACTTATTTTTAATTTGAACAATTTTTGAAAATTTAAATATTTTATTAATTTTATTTTGTTTAAAACAAGAAAGACACTATCATTTTATTAAATTGATCATTTATTTTTAAAAGGATGAAATATGATTTTACAATACCTTTTCAATTGCTTTATACTCATTTAATGTTTAATCGTAATTAGAATACTTCTCATAAAATACTTTATCATAATTTTCATGTATCCTTGTGAGTTAATCAGTATGTTTTTCCTTCTCTGACTTTAGAATTTCATTCTACTTTTCTAGGTCATCCATCTAAATTTTAATTCGTGGTTATAATAAAGTGAGAGCGATAAAAATATACATTTAATGAGTTCAAGGAAATTATTTTTTCTATCTGCTGAAAAATGTATTTTTACTTTTTATTTGTACTAGTTGATTTGAGAATTCAACTGATTGAAAAAGTTCTCTTTAAGCTTTTCGTATTTTTGTTCTAGGTTCATATATTCTGTCTCTTTTTTTTCTTGCTTCATTCTAAATTCTTCCAATTATTCATTGTTTTGGTATGTCAGCTAATCTATCTTTTCGCTTAGAACAAAAGAAAGGTCAATAACTCTGTTAAGTAGCTAAGGATATGTAAAAAAATCTTTATCGAAGCAAACTAATTTAATTAAGAGTAAATAAGTAAGTTCACAGTATTTCAGATTTGCAATTATTTTTTATGGTTAAATAACCAACCATCCATAAAAACAAACTCAATTAAAAGTGAGATAAATTGATATTAAAAATTGAATACATTCTTACTTTATTGTTTGAAGTAAGATTCAAAGTTTCTTAGTTTATCTATCAAAGCATTATCAGAGCAAATAAGGTATCTTTTAATAACTTTGTTGAGACATCCGATAACATCTTAAAATTAAGTGCATTCTCTATATGATCGTTAAAAAATCTATTATAAAATCATTTATTTACATAATTTAAAAACTACTTTTCAATTAAGTCCATAAGCTTTTAACACAAATATGATTTTTTTTTGGTTATATTTTCTCCTAATAACTCTTGCTCCTTAAGCTAAGTAAAATATTTCGAAATTTTTATCTAATTAAAATTAATAAAAATCCATTGAATGTTATTTATTGCGAATATATGAAATCAATTTACTAAATTATCTTTATCACCTATATTAGAATTTTATGTGTTTGGAGATTATTCATTATACTTTGGAGTTTTGTTTTATCTTTCTTTGCTTAATTTAGGCTACTTTTATATTTAATAGAGCTCAATAGAGTTATTGAGTTTATTGTTAAGCAACCTTCGTGATGACTTGTTATCACTATACAATAATTTTGATTACTCCGTATTAATTTAAGTCTGAATCTAACTAAAATTCTTTTCAATAGCTACATTATATTACTAAGCTATGATGGGTTCTTTTATCTAAAATTTTGAATAATCTATTATTGAGCTTACGTTACTGTTACCCTTTCTATTTAATGCCTTTAACGGCTGATTTACATCTATAGAAATTTTAGGAAATAAATCAGTCATATAATAATAGTATTAGTTGAATTACTAATTATCAGTAAATAAATTAATTAATTATTTATATTAAATATTAATTTTAACAATTTTAATATAACTAAAATGCTTTCAATTTATTTCAATTATTCTCAAATGTAAATCTTATAAAATTTGAAAAAGTTTAAAAATTTCTTTAAAACAACAAACGAAATTTAATTTTTTACTATGTAATAGATTAATTTTAAGAAAAACAAAAAATCATAAAAATAATTTAATTTAATATGTATTTAAAATAATTTACATAAAAAATGAATTGTGTAAATAATTATTTTGCTTTTACCAAAAATACTCTTTGTTAGATTTACAGTTATATTCAATGATAAACTTAATACATCAAATTAAAATTCAAAAAAATATTAAAAATTAATTAATTTATGAAAATTTTTTTGCGTGATGCTGTTCTGCAATATTAATTTTATTTTTATATTATTTGATTTTGTTTTTCTTTTATTTTATTTTGTTTTGTTTTTTTATCTCTTTTGTTTTGTTTTTGTTTTTTTGTTTGTTGTATTTTTATTTGTTTTATTTATTTGCTGTTTGTTTAATTTTATTTATTTATTTATTTTTATTTTTTATTTGTTTGTTTTTTTTATTTAATTTTATTTTTTTAATGTTATTTGTATTTATTTAATGTTATTTGATTTTATGATGTTGTTTGATTTTATTTTAGAGGGAGAAAGCATTTGTTTCGGGAGAGATAATTAGGCATTTTTATTAAAAATTTGATTTATTTATCTTAAAAATCTATTTATCTATGAATCTATCTATTAATGTTTCATCTATCATCTTCATCGTAGAGCTAATTACCTAAGGGAATAAAACTATAAGCGATGTTTCTTTCCATGTAGAATATAATTTAATAGTGACTGTCCATCTCGGAGTAGGCCGAGGTCCTTGAAACAAATTTAAATTTGATTATTAGATTGATAACTTTATCTTTGAAGATATTCGACGGGGATTGATGTGAATACGTTTTGTTGTAAATGGTTTAAAAACTTGTTTAAAAAACTTAAGTTATCAATCTTTTAATCAAATGTGGGGAAAAGAATGGGTATTCTACAGTACTTACATCTTATTTTTTATTTATTTTAAATCATATAATAGCAAGTCTTAACATAGGTATCCACTAAGAAGTTCATAAAGTTGTTTAGCATTTATCTTAATTGTTACTTTGTTTTTTTATACTCAGATTTCAATTAATCTTAGATCTTAAAGCATTTTATCTTATATTATTTAGCAAGCATCATTTAATTTTAATAGCTAATCTCTAGTTCAGAATTTATCAGGTCGTATTTATAAGTAATGACTTTCATAGCAATTTTTCAATTTTTTTTATTTAATTTTTTTTCATATTTTTTAATTTTATTTTTAGTTTTATTTTTCATTTTTCATAATTTTTCATATTTTTAAATCTTTTTTTATTTTTTAAGTCATTTTTTTATTTTTTTTATCATTTTTTGATTTTTTTATTTTGAAAGTTTTTTCATAGCATTGTATAAAATTTAAAATACTACAAGTTTCGATGATTTTCCCTTTTTTAAAAACTGTTGGTGGGATTTCGATGTGGTGTGTGGTGTCGCGATTTAAAAATTTAAGAAACTTATGTTCATATTTTAATAATATACAATCTATAGCAATTGAGAGGATTTCGGAAAGAAGGAAGCTTCTAAATATGTTTACTATGGCCGATGTGGTGTGTGGTGATTAAAGTTGGGTTTAAAAACTTTGCCTTCATAATTAAGATAGTTTTATTCTATCAAACATATTTTATAACTTCCTTAGAAACAAAAACTCCATCTCAAATTTTTGTGTTCTAAGCTTCATTGCCAACGAGGGTAAGAACTACATTTCTCTGAAAGTTTTCTTCTTCAAGTTAAAAGGTGTCTGGTAGTTCTTAAGATGATAGGAAGGTATTAGGATTTATATATAATTAGATGAATAAGGCTTTGGTTCTCTTATAATGTACAGCTATTACAGAAGGCCCTCCAACTAACGCAGCGGTTGTAAACGATGTGGTGTGAATTTGTTCGGGTTGGTAAAAAATTTATGAAGTTGGATTTTTAAAAACTAACAACCATATTGCTGCAAAAGTGGTGCCCCTTGTGATGCCGCATTGATCATAAGAGTGTAGGCGATATTATCTTCCTTCAACCATAACCTATTTAACCCTCAGCTTGATCACTCATTCTTTTGAGCTCAGAAATTAGGAATACTCAGATTATCCTTAAGTCCAGTATGTGTATCTGTAAGTGTCGTTTTCATTGAATTAGAAACCTTTATGTGCAATCCCAGAGTCGACTCTTTTGAGGAAGTAAGAGTCCTTTTCTCTTTTTGAGAACCTTTTTTAATCACATTCGGGACTATGCTACCATGTTTGACGTGAGGCTATTGAATGAAACTCATTTTTAATTTCTTCCTTTTTGGACTGTAGAAGAAAATTAAGATTTGATGAGTTCATTTTATATGGTAGCATATTTAGATGGGACGATAACTAACCAATTTACGGGACTCTTTTCCTACAATACTACCAAGCATCAATTTAGAAAAGTACTTTCTTGAAATGCTAATTCTTCGTTTCAAGCAACATTACATCCTTGAAAAAGAATGCTTGTCTAGCGAAGTTAGCTATTACAATATTATACTTATTCTTATGAATAATTCTTTTCAACCATCCTCAGCAATCAATTGTGGGAAAGAAAACTGAGTAGTAACTGGCAGATCTAATACTTTTATGAATGTATTTATGAGTTAACATTCTTATTCTTAGATAGAATTATTCATTTGATGCTTTATCGGGGCGCTACTACATGAGGTACAGTAGTAGAGTACTTAACGCTAGAGTTCAATTAGGTATAATCGTTAAGTCTTCAACATCATTAGATCTCTCTCCACTTTTCTGTCATTGATAATAGCTATTGAGGAGGAGGAAGATGTTGGAATCGATTTACTTTGAAAAAGTTGAAGTTGAAGCGATCTTTGGATCTTGGTAGTAAACAGTGATAAAAAGCAGTGTGCTGTAAAGAGTGTCCATTTTTTTTTATTGCATTAATCCTTTCTGCTTAGCCCATTTGTGTCTCTGAAAAGACTTCAGTCTATTTCCTCTTACGAAAAAATAAAAAGAAATCTTTCCTTAATAAAAAATTGTTAATTTTCTTATGTTATTAGATTCTTGTCAACGAAAAAAATTTTTCCCACCCTTTGTAAAGTAAATATTTGAAAAATTTAATTTTGAAATTGATTTGATTTTCGATAGATAGATAGTAAATATCTGATTGATATTAATTAAAATAAAATAATTGCTTTGTCTTTGATTTATTTATTGATTCAATTTTCCCAACCAAATACATATCTTTCAAGCAGACATAAATAGAATTTATTTCATGTGTTTTATAAAGTCAACAAAATAAATTTATTTTTTTAATTTCTTTTATGAGAAATGATTTTCAATTTTTTACAATAATAAAAATTATTTATTTTAAAATAAAATATTTTTCTCAATAAAAAAATAAAAAGAATAAATAAAAAACTATAATAAACAATTTTTTCTAAAATGAAAAAGAGCTTTGATTTTATTAATTCATAATAATTTGAAGTGCATATTCAAATACCATCTTAGTTATTTTTTGAATTTAATTTATTTAAAAATCAAAATACTTGTTTCTTCTTTTACACTTTTTATAATATTAAAATAATTTTGATTTTGAAAAACAGGCAAATCCATTAAAGCATATTCTAAAAAAAATAATTTTTTATTTTTAAAATAAATAAAATTTTATTTTTATCTTATTGCTTGGTATCTTTTTACCTTTTATTTGAAAAATATTTCTTGATTTATTTTTTATTTTTTGTTGTTTGATTTAAATAAGAAAAACAATAAGTGTGATTATTTATTAGGTTAGCAGGTTAGTTAGTATTTGCTATTTTATCAATATTTGATATTACTTTTATTTTAGCGTAATTAATTAAAATGATAATTTAATTGAGAGAAAAATATTAGTTTAACTTTTATTTTGAATTTTCACAACTATCTAATAAAGGAAGCTAATCATAATATTAGTTTGAAATAAAATTATTAATAATTATTTATTAGATTTGGAAAGTAATGTAATAAAATTGAATTGTAACTAAAATCTATCATTCAAATAAATAATACTTTGTTAAATCAAAAATCTATTTTTATTTATTTATTTAATTTTGTTTCTAAAAATATTACTATTTGGTTTTACTTAATAGCCAATTATTATATAGATTCAGTAACTCTTAAGATTAAAGAATTGTTTTTGCACTTTAAGAATTATTTAGTTCAATTGCTTCCGATTAGTTAGCTATTATTACTTTATTAATAACAGCTTATTTAGATGTTCCTACTGTATTGATTATTAAGAATTATTAGACAATTATTACTATGAGAAGGTATTTTTCAACCAAAATGAAAGCTGATAGTAGTTAATATGTATAGATATTTTATTAATTATTTTTAATAGCAAAAGTAGTGAATATCAGTAAAGAAATCAAAATACAATAGTAATTTAATTTTATAAAAAGTAAACCAATAATTACTCACAAACAAAAAAGCAAACAAAATTTACTATCACTTCACTTTCACAAAAAGCACAAAACAAAACAAAAACACAAAAATATTTAAAGCTTTGTAAGTCCTAGTAAAATGACAGGATCTTAAGTTAATAGTGGAGATGACATTACTAAAAGTCCCTCTACATTATTTACATCTAACAAGGCAGTTAATTTTTCTGATAGGAACACAGTTCCAAGCGAATCAGATTTAATGTTTAATAGTTCTTAAGCTTTAATGAATGAAGGTTTTAAGAGGAAGGCTATTTTAGAATGGGAAATATCTCCTATAAAGTTACCTCCATAAAAAAATTAACAAGTTACTAATTTAACCACAAGCCATTAATTCAGTAGCTAATAAACATACGATTCGAACCAAAATTTAGATAAAATTAACTTAAAATAAATAAATTAAATGATAAAACCCACCACTCTGACAACTGAAGAAGACTTACATCATGAAAATAACTTGATAAATGGAAACAAAGGATAGCATGTAAAAAAGAAAAGTATTTCAATTTAAAATAAAATTCTGTCAAATATACTTAAAAAGTCAACTTCTAATCATATAAACGAGTTTAATAAATAAATATAAAGTAATGCCACCGTTTAGATAACTCAAAAATAGATTAAACAATAACTACAAGCAACTTTACAAAACCCAGAAGCAACTGATAAATAAATTAATTAAGAATATCTTAGACATCGAACTAACACTCAAGATCTTTTTTATTTTAAGAATAATAGCAACTATAAAAACATAGTCATGTCACTTCTATAAAGCTAGCAAATGGATTAAAACAAAGAATTAGCACTCTCTATTTCTAATAATGGAATTCATTATTTACCTAACTAGAATAATCTCACAAAAAGTGCCAACAACCCTTTCTTAACAACAAAAAGTAGCTCTGAATTTTAACCTTCTTCTTTCAGTAAAAGCAAAATTCATCAAAGATCGTAAAACTCCTTTTATAATCTGCTAAGCAAGATATAAAATAATATTGAATAAAATGTTAATACCAAACGTGAGCCAAGACAATCTATAAAGCCTTCCTTTTTTTAAGCACAAGATTAAAATAATCCTTAATAGAATAAGTAAAAAAATAACTAAGAAAATATACAGCCTATGAGTTGCAAATTTTCAACATTGATTAAAGAAGAATGTGAAGATTCATAAAATATTTTATTTAAAGCGAATAACAAGGCTAAAAATTTTAACTAAAGAAAAAATTCTCTTAATATTCCTGTCTGCCATTTAGATTTAAATTAAAAATCGAAAAATTCAAAATACTTCTTCCCAAGTGAAACTGACCATGATTCAACACCATTTAGCATACCAAAGAATTAGTTTTAATATCATTACCGTGACAATTCCTACCAACTTATATAAAACGATGAATATGTAAAAGCTAATTAACTTACTTCAAATGCATTTTCAAATGAAAGCACAAAAAATACTGACACAGAAAGAAGTATAGGTAGATAAAGATCTAATGCTTATTCCTCCTTAGCTGGTAATCTTGATGATATATATAAAAAACTATAAACTATGAAGTCTTTACAGAACGTTGAGCACATTTAAAATAAATAAATAAATTAAAAAAGCTAATGAAGTCTTTCTTAATAGTTAAATAAAGTAAATATTAAGTTGAATTTTTCTTAATTTATTTGGCAATTCATTCGAAATAATTTGAGTTAATTAGTCGCTTGAATACAAATATGCTCAAAATAAAAATACGTAGAAAAATAACACAAGTTATAACCAAGAAAAAAAATAAACACTAATTAATTAATTTAATTAAATATTTATCAAATATAGTCCAAACAAACAAGCAAAAAAAACAAATAAATAATTAAGAAAATCTAATTTTTTTAGTTTACTATGATCTAAATAATAATCCTACAATAAATATTTAATAATTCATAAAAAAATAAGTAACAAATAAAAATAATGATAAATATAATAAAAACTAATTATTGATCTATTTCTTAAACCTTTGACAAAAACAAAAGTAATAATAATCTTACTATAATATCATATAAGCAAAAGTTTATAAAAATAAAGTAACATTCCTACACGCATTTTACTTTCAGATCTAAAATTAACTTAGGTAGCTTATTAATTGAAACAAACAAAATATATTCTCATTATTATCCAAAAACAAAAAAATTTTCCAAATACTTTTTCCTAAGAAAATAAATTTTGCTCATATTTTCATGATAAAAAAATTTATCTTAATCTCTCTCTATATTCCAAAAAACAAAATATATAAATAAATGTGTTTTCTAGAGTTTTTAATTCAAAAATAATACAAAGTTAATCAAATATATTTAAAAGAGTAATTATTATTTAATCATAAGCTAGTATCGTCATGTTATTTATGTATGTTTATATTTTACAAGTTTAATTTGAATATAATTTTATATTCCTTACTTCTAAAATATTATTTCTCTTTATTTTTCTAATTAAATATTTTTGTTTTCTTTTAATTTAAAAAATTAATAAATGTAAAAAAAAATATAATAATTATTTCTTTATCATAAATTTAAGTAATTATTTCTTTCGAAAAGCATAAATAAATAATACAATTTTATTTTTATAAGTTCTTTAATTATTTTTAATATCAACTGCAAAATTTTAAGTCATATTAGAATACACTTATTCATAGTGTATTGTAATTATAAAAACAACTAATTGGTAGCCAATTAGCTAATAAAATCACAAATAAACAATTTCAATCTTCATAATTTTCAACTTTATTTTAATTTCAAAATAAAACTATAGATTAAACCTATCACATGCAAAAAAATATTTTAATATTATATATATTCCATTTATCAAGTAGTAATTTTACCATAAATTTACTTTAAAACAACAAATTTATTTTGATTATAATTAAAAATTTTTAATTTTGATTTTTTAATAATATATTATTGAGAATTATTCTGTATTAGAAAGAGTTAAAAATGAACTCATACATTGTTAATTTACAAAATTAATCATAAAAAATAAATGAATATTTTTTTGAATACATAATACTATTTGATATTAGGATTACACTATATATAATAGCCAAACAAAGAGTAATACTTAGAGAGTAAAATAATAATTTTAATTAAAAAATAAATCTGAATTTGATAAAATTTTATATTTTATGAATCATTAAATATCATATCTAAATTATTTTCATGTATTAAAGCTAGATTAGATAATTTATTTACTATCTGTTTTACTTATTTTTTTATATAATTTAAAATGGAAATATTATTTTTCATTAATTTATAAGATCATTTGGATCGTCGTTAGAAAATATATTAAATATTTTTTTAGAAATAACTTTTCCTAAACTTTTTTCACTTTTACCTTTTTCTCCTTTATATTGTATAGATTGCAAAGCTAATTCTCTTTATTTTAAGCTTTCTATAATTTTAATAAATATAATTAATTCATAATAAGAATAAACTAAAATTAATTTAATTTTTACCTTATTATTTGTATATTTTAATAAGTTAAGTTATAGTTCTGTATTCTTTGGCAACTGCCACTGCTTTCTTTTCACTGATTTGATTTATTGACATTAAAATTTATACCCATTACTAATCGTAGTATCCCGTTAGTCCTATATTTGTATGTATAATAGATAAATGTAGAAATTTTTATATGATATATTGATTTACCTTCGGCTGTAGCTAATTCAGAAGTAGTTTTATTCTTTTGATCAAACAAACCAATATCTTTTTTATATTTTGATTTTATTGCTGTCAGTAAACAATTAGTCAAATATTCATTCGTTTCTTTTGGACTGAATGTGAATCTATAGTCAATATCGTATTTTATACCTATTTCGCACAGCCAATCTTATATAGCAGCATCACTACCCTGAATAGATTTCTTTTTGTTTTATTAACTGCAGAATTTATTACCTTAATATTGAGGAGCATTTTCATCATCACTTGTTGAAAAACCAGTTTTTTTTTCCTTAATACTTTTATTTTAATCTCTTTTTTAAAATAAATCTTCAAAGTCCAACCCTTATTCTCCTTCATCTGAACTTAGATTTCTTTTAGGAGCATTTTAAGTCATTTATATCTCTTTTCTTATCTATCTTGAAACAAATATATCTTTTATATCTTCTAAAACTAATACATTTTTAGTGCCTTGCACTTTTTTATTTAAAATGAACTGTGTAATTTCATCTAAATTCGAGAACATATTGAACATTTATCTGTTAAAGTAAAATAAATTAGCTTGTATTTACTTATCAATTATTTCTCCATATTTATTGCTATTTACTTAACCATCTTCTAGATGGTTGTCATCAGACAACTCTCCTTCTATAGAAAAGTTTTAATTATATTTGGTTACAATATCATAAACATTAAAATCTTTATTTTTAAATGTTTTTTTTTTCGGTTTCTTAGATTCTTTTTTGCGATCAACAGTGTAAATCTAAATTTGATTCTACTCAAGAGTTTGTTAAACTTCCAACTAAAAAGAAGAACATTCACAATTTGTCAAAAATTCTTCTATTTCTTCGATTTCAGAGTAATCTTTACCAAAAATCAGAAGAGCATCTTCAATTTTACCTTTAGTAACTTATATCCTCATCTCTGTAAATGTAAATAAATATCAGAATCTTAAAAGATTTAAAAATTTTTGAACCTTTAAAGAATTATCTAAATTATAATTAATTACTTAATAATTCTAAAATTATATATATTTGGCGGTATGTAAGAAACTATAAGTAGGATTTGATAATACCTAAAATCTAATTGAAATTTTGATCAAAAATTTATCACATTAAATTGCATAATAAAAATAAATTGATTTGATAATAGATATCTAAAACTTATAAAAATATTTTGCAAAATTTTTTTCTTTGGATTAATTTGATTGACTAAAATATAATTTCATATTTATTTTATTAGTGATATAATATGATAAATAAATTTAATCAAATGCTCTTTAAAAGTACAGAAACATTTTCATCAAGGACATATTTAAAGAAATTTATATTGATAATTATTTTTTTTTTCTATTAATTTGATTTACTAAAATATTATTGTTATTGCATATTTATTTTTTTAGTGGTATAATATGATAAATAAATTTAATCAAATGCTTTACAAAAATACTGAAAGATTTTAATCAAGGACATGTATAAAAAAAATTTTATTGATAATTATTATTTTTTTTCAATTAATTTGATTTACTAAAATATTATTGTTATTGCATATTTATTTTTTTAGTGGTATAATATGATAAATAAATTTAATCAAATGCTTTACAAAAATACTGAAAGATTTTAATCAAGGACATGTATAAAAAAAATTTTATTGATAATTATTATTTTTTTTCAATTAATTTGATTTACTAAAATATTATTGAATATTTATTTTATTAGTGATATAATATGATAAATCAATTTAATCAAATGCTTTTTAAAAGTACAGAAACATTTTCATCAAGGACATATATAAAAAAATTTTATTGATAATTATTTTTTTTTTCTATTAATTTGATTAACTAAAATATTATTGCATATTTATTTTATTAGTGATATAATATGATAAATCAATTTAATCAAATGCTTTTTAAAAGTACAGAAACATTTTAATCATGGACATAAATAAAAAAATTTTATTGATATTTAATTAAATTATTTTTCATATAAAATTTTTGGAATTTAAAATAAATTAAATTTTAAATTAAATAGTTATTATATTAGAATATTTTAGTTTTTTTATATATTTTATTGACTTGTTAATAAATATTTTGAATTTATTTAAAAAAATAATAATTAGTATGAAGGATAAAAGTAATTTTATTTTTAAAATAATATCTTATTTTTTAAATATCTTTATTATTTAAAATGAAATATTATTTAAAAAGTATTAAAAATTTTGTATTAAATTGGTAGATAATAGAAAATAAAAATCTTTAATGGAATATTGTGGTCGCTTAATTATTTGAAAACAATATATTTTAAGTTCAAAATTTTTGGAATTTTTGAAGATTTTAATTTGAAAAAATGATTGATTGATTAATTTACTAATTAATAAATTAGAATTGTGTATTAATGAATGAATTATAAACTGAAGTGATTGTTAATTTTAATATCTTAAAATAATAGTTGTTTATTAATCAAAAAAACCTACTTATTTTAAATAAGATATATAAATCCAATAAAATATTAAATTTATCAAACAAATCGTTTATACAATGAGTAGATCTTCACAAAGAAGTATTGTAAGAGATTAATTTTAGAATGAGGAAGAGGAAGAAGATGATTTACTAGGAGAAAAAGATGTTGAAAGATTAAACAATCTTTGGAAGAATATGAAAGAAGTATGATTAAATTGCATTACTTTAAAATAAAAATCATAATTATTTATAAATCCAAATAAGACAAAACTTAATAAGGCCTTTCTATTTTATTAAAAAAGGAAAAGAAATTGATGAATTTGTCTACAAGCAGTATGAATTTTAAAGATAAAGGCAGATAAAGGCTTAATTACAATTTAAGCTAAGAAAGAGAAGATTAGTGGCATCCAGAATAGACTGCAGATTATCAAAAAAAATTATATTAGCAGAGCTAAAAGGAAGATTAGCCTAACGAAGATGAATTTCTTAGTCCTCAATTTGACCCAGTTTTCATGGAATAAAAATTACAAGAATCTTATAATTTGTTAACTAAGGCTTAAGAAAAAAATTCAACATTAGTAAAAAAGCTAGCTGAAGCAGAAGACGAGTTAGATAAGTGCCACCAAAAGATAGCAAAAATATCATAAATGGAATAAATGAAAAACTCTTAACTATCAAATGCTAAATATTAAGAATAAGTAATAAAAAAATAGTAATTTGTAGATTTATTTTCATATGTTTAAAAAAATAGTATACAGTAAATCTTCTTTAAGGAGATCTTGATGAAAAAGATAAATTAATCAAACAACTAAGACTTTCTCTTGAAGAATATTAAGAAAAATGTAACCTGCTTCTTGCTGAGAATAATATGATTAAAGAGAAGAATGCAAACTTATGTTAGGAACTTGATAGTAAGATTTCAGAAAATAATAGAATAAAATCTAAATTAGGCGAAGTAAACATTTTTATTTTTAATTGAAAGAATGATAGCAAAAGATTTTATTTATTAAAGGTTGAAAAAATTATAGATGAAATGATTTTAGAGAAAAATTCTAAAGGTGTGGTAATGCTCGAAATAGACTATCTAAAGAATGATATTGAGAAGTTACTTTAGCTACTTGGCTAAACAGCAGAAGTAAAGTTTTAAAAATTGAGAAGCTTAATTTAAATTATTTTTTATACAGTTTAAAGACTTCTTTAAGTTTGCTAAGGACAGCAGAGACATTACTAACTTAAAATTTATTCCTAAACTTGCCAATGTAAAATAAGATATTGATGATAAGGTCATTAAGGTTCCTATAAATTAAAAAATGTTATGGGTTCCTAGAGATGCTTTTTCATTTGCTTTACATTTAAAGTAAAAATATAATGGCAAGTTGGATGAAAAATGCATAGAAGAATTTCTTTTTGGATACAATAAAATATTCAGCGAAAGAGAAGAAAAGCAAATGGAAAGATATAAGAAGATCTATACTACCTAAATAACAAGTCTTAAACTACAACTTGAAAAAAAAACATCTTACAAATAAGCTACTTCATAAACTAAAAAGGCAACATCTACAATAAGAAAAAGTACTAACAGTGTTGTTTCTAAATCGAATGCTAATATTGAAAAGTAACTAGATGACTTGTAAGTAGTTTTTATTTTATTTAAAATAGTTTTTAATTTTTTACATTAAAGAACAAGAATGACTGAATAGAATAAAGAAAACTAACTATTCTTGACTGATGCCATTAAGTTATAAGAAGAGTACGAAAGGCAATTGCAAGAAAAATAAATATAAATCGAGGAACTTAATTTAAAAGTTTAGGAGTTGCAAGTGCAAGGAATGAAGTATGATAAATTAAACTATATGGAAGGTTCTGTCTGGATGCTTGATAAAATATTAAAAGAAGTTTTGAGATTTAGAGAGAATATAATTTAGATGACTAAGTAAATAAATAATAATGCCTTTAAAAACTAGAATCAAAAAGAAATTTTGTAAAATTATAAATGGTTTGTTGATAATGTAGAGTTAAATGGAGAATAGCTAATAGAGAAAATAAATTACATGAAGGAGAGTACATAAAAATCAATCTCAAATGTAAAAAAATAATAGGGCAATGACCTCTAGGAATCGTTCCATTAATTTGAATAACAATAGAATTAAAAGTAGCAAGAATACTCAAAAAACAATTAATAAAATGAATATAGCAATTTTAATAATAATCCATATTTAAATGAAATGGACTTCTAAAGAACTCTTTCAACTTAGTCTCCTCAATTATACTAAAATTATACTTCAACTTATAGAAACGAAAGAGATTTCCATGATAATCCCTAAACTTAATTCAATTATTGAAATTAATTAATAAAGAGATTTTTAATTTGTTTTTAGTTGTTATTTATTTATTTTTGTTATTAGATTATTCTTGATGAATTTATTCATTATTCTTTCTCTTAATTTTGCTATTATAATAATTCTTACATTATTTCTTCCAAATTTTTGTCTATATCCCCACCTATAAAAAGTGAGCAATCACTCACTACATTCTCACTATTTAAAACAACTAATGGAGTAGATTTTGACTTGTAGGAAAGGAGACTTGCGAAAGGCTATACTTTCAAAGATGTACCCATTACAATAATTAAATCAGCAAATCTCATTTATAGAGGTATTTTGTAAAAGTAAAATGGTAATTTCTCTCCAAAGAAAGTAACCGAAGGTTTTAATTTTCCTTAACAATTCTTAGTCTTTCTGCAATTAACTGCATCATCAGATTTTAGCACTCCCTCTTTGAAATATTCTATGGTGTCTTCTTTATGGCACTCAATGCAGTGACTTTTTTCCAGATTACCATGTGCTTAAATCAAATATTTTTTATCAAGTCCTGCCTTCAGCTCTAATCCATCAATATTTTAAGTGATATTTAAGTAAAGAAGATTTTATTTAGCAAGTTCAGTTATAAATTTATGGGATTATTAAGGTTCATACTCTTTTTAAACAAACTCTCTGCATATTTCATAAAAAGGCTTGTGGTTCTATTGATAGTAATCGATAGTAAAAATCTATTCTGGATAAGAAAACTAACCAGATTTTTTTAATCTTGCATAAAGGCCAGTATCTTTACTACGAAAATCTGGAATTCCAGCATTTGTACTAATACCAGCTCCTGTCAAAACAATGATTTTTTTAAATCTTCTTTCCTTTAAGAAATTTACAAATTCTTCTTTTGTAAATGAATTGGTAGGTGGATTTGATTTAAAAATATTTAGTTATCCCATTTTCAATATTTTCTTTTTCCTAATTTTCTAATTTTTAATTTTCTGATGATAAATTATTCTAACTTAGTTCAAAAAATTCTTAATAAATTCTAATAATTCTTATTTTATGTAAAAATTATCCTCAGTTTAAGATATTCTAAATTCAAAATAAAAACTATTTTTAGAGGAAAATTATTTTAAAAAATATTTTCTTTTGGGTTTCCCTAATTTTACATAAAATAATAGAAATCAGAGATATTTAATTAATATTCACTAAATATAATTCTTTTGTTTATGCTTATAAAATAGTATAAGGAAAGATGTTAATAATTAAATTAGCAAATTTCATTTAAAGAGGTATTTTGTAAAAATTATATAAAAGGTAATTTTAATTATCATTTAAAAATATTTATTTTCTCTATCTATCAATTATTTTAAAAAAATTATAATTATAATTAATTTAAGAATTTGTAAATATAATTTTTTTAAGATAATAATATTAAAAAGAAAATCTAATTAAAATATTCTTCATAGTAAATAAATAAACTATTTTCAAAAGATTTTTTAATTTTAAAAAATAAATTTAGAAAAAAATAAATTTAATTCAATTTTTAATTATTTATTTTCTCGATACAGTAAAATTTATTAAGCATAAAAATATAGAAAAAAATATTAAATTCTTTAATAATATTCTTATAAATAATCATTGCTATTTTTTTTCTAAAACATTTCATTTTATTTAATTCAATTTTGACATTAGATAAAATACTTTGATTAACTTGAATATTTTTATTAAAATGATTTATGAATATTCTATTATTTTAATTATTGTTTTAGTTTTGTTTTTTCAATTTGTAATGATATCTATCAATTCTTATTTTGTAGCATTCTAGCAAATAAATAAAAATTTTGATTTCCTCTGTTGGGTTTCTGGCCACATTACATCTGTTTTTTTGATTTCAAATATGTCTTCTACACTATTAAGTCAAAAAAATAAATTATAGTGATCAATACATACATATAAAATAAAAATATTTTAAAATTTCTGAATGAATAAAAACAGCTAAAAATATCTAATTACCCTTAGAGAGAATACATAAAATCATCGTCTTTAATGTGAATCAAACCTTTCATTCTTAAAACTTTTATTTTTTCATTCTCCCAAAGTAATTCACCTAACTTGATTTCTAATTCCTTTTCATCAAAAGGGTTTGCAGCATATTCAAAAAATTGATATTAAATATCTCCATCTGCATGAGCATGATCATGCTCATGTTCCTAGCTAATTTTATTTAATATTTCGATTGCCTCTGATTTACTCTTTCTCAAGTTAAACCCATCAATTTCAAAAATTCTATTTAAGTCTATTTTGCAATAAGAAGACCTAAGAATTATTTTTTAGATTAAATTTTTAGTTATTATATTATCTATAATTATAACCTTTCAAATTTGGCAATTGGATTGAGTTGACGAATTTACTTTTCCACATTCTAGATTTCTTCTTCATTAGATTTATCCTTTAATAGTAAGTTTAACTTTATAATTGCTAATTGAATAAATAGTAATTACTATCTAATTTAACAGTATATTATCAGCATATAAAATTTATCTTTAGAAAATTTAATCGCTTTTAAGTTACTCATATCTATGCACAGGTACAACTGTATGAATAGCCCTTAATTCTGCAGGAAAATCTATATTTTCATCAACCCAAAAGCTTTTTATGGTCTATTTTATATAAATATTTTATAAATTATTAAAAATAAAAATATATTTACAGAAGAAGGATCAGCTAATCCATTTGTTTCGACTAAAATAAAATCTAGTTTAGACTTTTCATTCTAAATCAAATACTCTACAGCAGTAAGTAAATCATCTCTATAAATGATGAAAATTGTTAATTGTTAATTTTAATATCTTTATTAGTAAAGTAAGTTTAAAATACTTTGCAGTACAGCATATACAACCATTAGGAAGTTCGTAGAATTTATCAAAGGGCTTACCTTCTGAATCTTGCATTAATGGTGCTTCTATACCCATTTCTATTATATTTATGTTTAATTTCTTACAAAGTCTAAAATTCAAAAAGACATCTTAAGAAAAAGATGGATTTGAATAATAAATTCTACTCATTTTTTTTTGTAATTTAGTAATTAAATAAATAAATAATTACCGTCAGCGAATTCATTTTAAACAACAGCAACTTTATATGTGTTTTATTCTTTTAAAATATATGATATCAGAGTAGTCTTACCAGAACCTAAATATCCTGTAAGTAATACCATAGCTGTTTTTTGGTTTTGCTTTTCCATTTATTATAAATTTATGTATTGTTTTTAACAAATATCTAGATAGTTAATTTTTCTAAAAATAGAAATATCTAATTTTTGATATTAAGGCTAACTAGTTTCTTTATCAAATAAAATTAAGTAAGTAGACTTAAAACTTTTAAAATTAATTTGCTATTTTAGCTAAAACTTGAGATTATTTATAAATAAATAAATAATTTTAGAAAAAGAATAAAATGAAAAATATTTTTTAATAATTATTTTAATTTTTCAATATTATTTCTGTAAAAATAAATTGAGAAATTAATTATTTGTATTTTTCTTTTTTAAATACTTATGATCAGGGCTATGGTTTTCATCTAACATTTAGTTATTAATTTATAAAGTATTAGATAGATTAAAAATGAAACATTATTTTAATCTAAGGAATTAATTTTTGGATAGACTTTAAACTTTATATTATATTTTTAATTAATAAAATAATTACTATTATTAAATAATACTTTAAAGAATTAATGCAAATAATTTTTAATCAAACTTAAAAGAAAGAGAAACTGTTTAGATTAAAACTCATTTTTCAAAAAACAAAAATAATTTATGGATATTTATTTTTATATATATCTTTGTGTACCAGTGATGATTTTGCTTGCTTTTTATTATTAGTTAAAAAAAAATGTGATTTTATTTAAACATAAATAATTATTATTGGAGTATGTAAAGTCATTAATAATTTTTGAAATTTAAAAAAAAAAAATCTAATTATATTATTTTTGCATAAACAATATCCAAGAATAACTTACTTAATTACAAGTTAACAAACAAAATAAATAAATAAAAATTTAAAAGAAAATGGCTACAAGATCAAATAATTCTGTAGGTCCTATGATAGAAGCATTAAAAGGTTAGACAAGAATTAACCTAGCTGATTAGTATATTGGTAATGAAGGTTCTAGAATATTAGCTAACTTTTTGATGCAAAATTAGTAAGTTTAGGTTTTGGAATTGAAAGGAAATAATATTGGTGTTGATGGATTGATTGATATTATTGAAGCCTTAAGAAGCAACGATGTTATTAAAATTTTAAGTTTAGAATGGAATAATATTGGTTAAGATATTAGGGGATTAGAGTCATTAGGAGCATTTTTATTATAAAATAAGTCTCTTTAACACTTGTCCCTTGCTTAAAATAAAATTGTTGGAGATGATATTGAAATGATAGCTAATGCTCTAAGAAATAATAAGACTCTCCTTTCATTAGATTTAAGATGGAATTAATTAGGTCCTCGTGGTGCTAATCTACTTAAATCTGCTATAATGAATAACCAAACTCTGATATATTTAGATATTGGTGGAAATAATATAAATGAAGACCTATAAGATGCTCTTGACAAAATTATCTTAGAAAATCGTCGTAAAAATCCTCTCACCAGAGACCGTATCCTAGGAGGGCCATCTGTTTAGGCTGGAGACTAAAATATTTAGTAATAATAACAATAGAATAATCCATAATTTACACAATCAGGATTTAAATTCTAAGGTATTTATTTCTTTATTTGCTTATTTAGAAAGCATTAATCTGAAATTTCATTAATAAAATTTAAAATAAATTATTTTTTTATTAAAAAATTTAGCTCCTTAGCAAGACAAAGAAGGTTTACCAATGCTTGCACACTTGGAAAACATTTTAGAGCAAGAAAAAGCTCATACATTCTAGATAAAATAGCGCTTAGAAGTAGAACTAGAGGAATTATAAAGAAAAGATAGAAATGATTTGAGGACTATTTAAGAATTAGAAAGTAAATGCAACGATGTTTAAAATTAGAATAGGATGCTCAAGTTTGATATTGACAGACTTAGGGAAGAATTTTAAATCATTGAAAGAAATAATATCGAACATATAAGAACTCACGAAGAACGAATTCGTAACAATGAGTTCATCATTAATGAAATGGAAAAAAAGCATGCCACTAATACAGATAGAATACTTTAAGAAAATAACTTTAGAGTTAAAGTAAATAAAGTACATTTTATATTGTTTGATTTAAAGTCTATTTTTAAAAAAAGGAAATGGCTAGGGATTGGGAAAGTCGTTGCAGGCTTTTAGAAGAAAGAGTGAGATTGGTTGAGAATGAAGGAATCGAACTCGAAACTGAACTTAAGAAAATTTCAGATAAAAAAATAGAAATGTAAATAAAACAAGAAGAAGAACTTAGAGATTTAGCTTCAAGAGTCGAAGAAGAAGAATATAATAAAGCTCAATCAAATCTGAGCACATTAGAAGCTAAATTAAAAGCCATTGAAAACAGTAAGGAACTTCTTATCAAAAGAAATCACGAATTGATTAGGTAATTTTTTTTTTTTGAGTTAGTAACTCACTTATTTTATATCAACAAATTTTAACAAAAAGAGAGTATGAAGAGAGGGACATTAAAGCTTCTAATGAACTTAGAGTTTTGGAAGAAGAGTTGTAAAATTTGAAGGCATAAAATTAAGAATTTACTTAGAAGAATAGTGAGTTCAAAATTTTAAGTGAGAAATTGAAAAACGATTTAGACTTGAAAGATACTATTGTTGAAAAACTATAAAAGGAAATAAATACAGTTAATGAATAAATAGAAATGAAAAAGTAATTTGCAAGAGAATAAATAGAAAAAACAATCAAAGAATAAAGAGAAGAAAAATTGCATTGGGATGCTGAAAGAGATGCATAAATTCGTCATATTTAGGAGCTTGAGCGCGCCCTCAGAGCTAGCCACACTGAAAACTCTCGCTTAAGAGGAGAATACCAAAGATTAGCTGAAACTGTGCAATCAAATCTAAATAAAGCAGTTTATGATACTTTTACAACAAATAAATACTTTTGATATAATCTTATAAATTTTGTATATTTTTCTTGTATAAACCAATTTATTAATTAATTATAAAAAATTAAAAATTTTATAATGGATTATATATTAATCACATAACATTAATTTGTTTTAATTGATTTTTGATTAAAACCATTTGTTCCTATCTTCAATTTATGTGGCTAGAATCCATGTTTATTGTAATCATTTATAAAATAATTAAAATTAATAAATATCTTTTGTTATTAATCATTAAATTAAATTTTTTTTTTAATTTTAACGGTATTATAAATTGTTAAATAAATAAAAATACATTTATTTGATTTTAACATAGATAATTTGCAATATGAAAATTAACCCAAACAGCTTTTTAAATTAACTATTTAGCTATAATGCTCACCACGATAGAGATTTAGATGTGCATTTTATCGAAGACGATGACATAATTATGTTTTATAAGTAAAAATCTAATAAATTAGGTGCATTTTTTGATCAAGATAAAATTCTGAATTTTACTGATGACCAAAGCGGGCTAATAACTAAGTAATTTGTAAATAAGAAAAATCTATGATAATTTATGCCTTGAATAAAAGGGAGTCTTTTGAAAAAGGAATTTATAATGAAGTAGAAAGCATTCACAATGAATTACAGGAGATTCAAGAAAAAAGAGAGTAAGCATAGAGAATAATTGAAGAAAAAAAAACCTGGTAATAATCTATTAGTATAAAGCCAAAGAATTGCAAATATTTTGTTTTTATTAGGTGGCAATTAAGGACGTAGCTGATGCCTTAATAACAGAAGCATAATTTTGAAGATGAAAATTACATCATGCCAGAAGCTAGATTTTTCGTTAAAGTTGTTTGTGTTGAGAAAAACAATCCAAATACAAATAATTCTACTTTATCTAATAAAAATGAATTACTTAGAATATAAATTGATATTGATGACGCTTCCTATTCAACAGAAGAGAGGGTCTTCGATCAGGGAATTTGCTAATTTTAAAATAATATTTTTACTTTGTAATAATCTTTAAAAAAATTTTGAAAATTAGTGTGAAATTTATTTAATAATTAAATAAAAAGACCAATTACTACAGGATATGAAAGAATATACTTAAAAGTTGTTGAGCATGAGTAAATATATTATTTTGCAATCATTAGTTTGTTAATAAATCTTAAAATTTGAAATATCTCAAGGTATTCAGAGGTAAAAGCTGCAATGCAATTAAAACTTAATGACTTCAAAGATTAGAAAATACATAAAAGAATTTATCACTTAAAACCTCAGAAGAAATTCAAAGAATTGCAATACGATATACATACAAGAATATTTTACTAATATAATTCAGTAAATAAAATTAATAATTATGGAAATTAAAATTTCTATTTCAAATAAAATATTCTGTATTGTTTTAAAAATTTCTAAAATTTATTTAAAGTACACATTCAATGAGGAGAAGCTAGCATTAAGATAGGAAACTTATCAAAATATAATCAAGAAATTAGAAAAAAGAGAGATCAGATTAAGGGAAAGATTGAGAGGTTTAGAAAGTAAATTTAATAAATATTATAAAGTTTCAAATAATAATTGTTTATTTTTTGAATAAAAGATAGCTCAAACTATTTATTACTTGAGTATTTAGATATAATTTGCTTTGAAAATTAAGAAGAAGGTTAATGTAATCAAGACATTGTTATCAAAGTTTCTAAAGATTTTGATTCTGAAACAGCATCTATATATAATGAATAAACTTAAGCTGAAAGTAATCTAAAATATTTTTAAATAGCTTATAAAATAATAATTTATCAATATAGTCTTTTTTTAGAATGAGGAAGAAGAAACAAGAGAATTTTAAAGGTTGAAATTATACTCTGATGCACCTACACCAGAAAGAGAGTAAGGAAACTTTTCTTTTGATAATATGTCAGAAGAAGGCGGTGTTGCAACTCATTTAAATTAGTAAATGCTAAATCATATACTAGATTCAAGAAGAGGTTCTTAATACACAGGCGATGGTGGTACAAATACAAGTTCTCCTTTTAAACTGAATTTATCTTAGGTAAAATCATATTGAAAGCTTTCAAATTTATTTTTATTTAATAATATAATTAAGAATAATGGGAATGAAATAGGACAGTTTATAAGTCCAAGATTTAATGAAGCTTCTACTAATAGATAATCTTTAAAGAATCCTTTACTAATGGAGTAATTAAATAAAATATTTATAAAATAATTTAAAAATTCCTAATTAATATTTAAAAGTGATAACAAACCAGCTGCCAGCAAAACACTACTTGAATTAATTGCATTGAGTTAAGAAACAAAAAATTTAAACAACAATATAGAAACTAAAAAGAATAAATTTTAGTAAGAAATAAACATTAAAAATTCTATTTACTAATAACTATCTAAAATGAATAATCAAGAATTATTGCAATTTAGAATATTTGCTAAGGGTTTGTATTAGTTAAATAGACTAAATAAAATTTAATAATAGGAACAAGAAAACTTAAATAACAAAAACTAATATATTAAATAAAATAATACTAAAAAAAGATGATTTTCTTACCTGTTTATATAAAGATTTCTTTTTATTAACTTTAAAATTAAATTTTTAAATCAAAAAATTTTAATCTGATTTGTCTAAATTAAATCATTGCAAAATTATTATTTGAATTTTTACTATTTATCAATAAACTAAATATTTTAAAGTTCTTCTCTTTTTTTTTATTTATTATAATCAACATTTTTAATTTAATGTGAATAGTTTTTTGATTTTAAAATAAATAAATAATTTTAAAATAAGCAAATTACATAAAATTTAAATGTTAATAAATAAATAATTAATTAAAATATATTTTTTTTATAAAATTTAGTGAAGAAATTACAGGTTTTTATAGTTTCTTTATTAAAGTTGAGTTGATTTTTAAAAAACTGATAAAATTATTATTTTCCACAAAATCAAATCAAAAATGAATTTTTCTTTTTTAAATTTTTTAGTTGTTTAATAGGAAGACATTTTTGGATGAAATAAATACTTAATTTTTAGTATAGAATAATTAACAGTATGCATGTAATGTAATATACATCAAAATTAAAAGTTTTTTTAAATAATTTATTAATTAAATTAATGTAAATTCTTTTTTGATCATTAATCGGTATTGTTTTCAAATTTAGTTTTTCCTAATTCTGCGCTTTTTGAAATAAATTTTTAAAAATCTGCATTTAGATTTGGGTGAAGGAAATTGGAATTAGCTTTTGGGGTCAGTAAGTTCATTTAATCTTCTAATTGATTTTCATCAGTAATTTTTTCAAATTTGTCAGTGAAAAATATACTTTTTCTTTGTGCATTTTTTTAAGATAAAAGATTTTTTTCAGAGTTAAATATAGGAAGTTGGTTTTCAGATTGAGGAGCTAATTCTATTCTGGGTATTGTTTATTAAGCTTTTTATTCATTTTGGTTAGTTGAGTGAGTGTCATAGTTTTAGCTCATTTTTAGATCACTTACAGGAGAAGAGTATATTATTTAATAAGTAGGATTCAGCTTTGAATTATTTTGATTTGAGTTCCTATTCATGTTGTTTGCCATATTTAAATTATCTGTGACAGCTCCACTTCTCTTCAAATTTAGTTTACTGACAGCCATTAATGTTTTCTTTTTACGGATGTTTGATTAATGTATTCTCTACACTATCGCTTTTGATTTTCGCTTTTTGTTAATTTAATTAATAACTACATTTAGGTTATTATACACAAAATAGTTTTTAAATAATTTAAACTTATCAAAATCTTCCACAGACTCTCTGATTGCTTTTATATGGAAGTAATCTTTTTCTATAATATCAATAGGAGCAGAGTTTAGATCATGTTAGTTTCCATTTTAGCTTGGATTTTGAATGTTTTAATGAGTAATAAAGTGATTACTACCAGGAGCAGCAGGAATGCTTTCTTAAGATTTTCTATGATTTTCTAAGAGTATCTTGACTGGCATTCCAGGCGAGTTATTAGTCGTTATTGTGTCAGTTCTTTTTAGCTTGATAAGTTATTTACCTATCTGTTATCTTACAGACAATTCCATATTATTTCTACTGTTTTATCTAAACAAATTAACCTAATTTAATGTACCAGTTGGAGCATTATAGAATTGCTACTAAGGTTGCTGTTAAATCAATTAGTTTTAAGCTATTTAATTTTAGTTTTAGTTATTATATTCAGGTAGAATACATGGAGAAGATTTTAATTAATCAAGTTTTAGGTTTGTGAGAGAGGGATTATTTGATCTTTAACCATAACTTGAAGCCGGTTTTTTAGGGCTATTTTAAAAGGAATTCATATTAATATTTTAGTGTGGATATTTAAATGGGCTATTTTAATCTTAATAGGATCTATTAATTCTCTTTTCTTCTGATTGGCTGATAGATGCTATGCTAGATAGTTGCAAATGAATGTTCTTATGAAATTTGTTTATTTACATTTCAGATTACAAATTTTCATTATCTTCTTTATTTATGTTATGAATGCTAGCTTGTGATTTATTTATGTTTAAAGAACTTTATCCGCTGTTTTTAGGGGTTTGCAAGTTGAATATATCTTTTGATTTTTATTGAAGATTTTTTTTAAATTATCTATAATCAGTTATGATTTCTTCATCATCTCTTATAATGTTTATTTAAGGCTTTATATCGGAGACTTTAGCTTTTATATTTTGTTCATCTTAAAGTATATTCTCATTTTTATTATTACATTAAACTTATTGATCATAGCTTTTTTAACAATTTGAAGATATAGAAGAGTTGCCATCTGAGGAATCCTATGATTCGCTTATATCAACATCACTATTTTACATATCATGCTTACCTTATTGCTTTATTTTATTAATTACAGTAGAATTAATTTAAAAATGACTAGGCCTCTTCGCTCTAAATGTGTTAGTTTAATCTTGAATATGACTTTCATTAAAATTTGTTGTCCCATTTTAAGAATTATTATCATAAGGTAATCCATATTTATCTGAAGTCATTTAAGTTGTTTGGTTTTCAGGATAATTTGTCATCTAGCTATTATTAGTGTTGCAATCTTAGCTAAAAACTGGAACTTTAAGTAATCTAAGAGCAGGAGCAGCTACTTATCCATTAAAATCAGAAGATATTTGTTTTTATCTCATATGGTTTTCTTGTGCTGGAGGTGGGGATTCTGGAGCTTTGATGTCTATTTTAAGATTATTGTATGGTTGATCAACAAAAGAAGATTATTGAGATTGCTAAGATTATAATTTGAACTATTAATTAATGTCACTTGAAATAATATTTCCTTCTTCTTAAATTTATCTTAGTTACTATTATTATTCAGCAATAAAACTTAGTTGAGGTTTAACATATTCTTTTGAATCTTCATCACATTACTTATTAAAAAAGATTTAGTCTTTTTTATTTTAAACTGAGTCTTTATTATAGTCTAAGTTATAAGTCTACTGGTCTTTTGCACAAATAATTTAAGAGTAGTTAAACTTTTAAGGTGAGTTTGCTAATGATAAAATCTCCTCAATAGAAGTGATGTTTTCTTTTTAGCTATAGTCATCTAAAACATTCTTAAACTAATTGTCATAATAGTTTTGTTTTTTCTTTAAGAGCTAATAATTGTTTTAAAGCATTTCTTTAATATGTTATGAATTACCTCTTTCTGGACTTTCAAATATATCATTTTTTTATTTATTTGCATTATTCTTCTACTGTTGCAAGATATACATCTTCTGCATATTCAAAACATTTGGTTTTATCTTTTAAAAGTTTACATTTTTGATGTTTCTCCATGAACCCTGTGACTGAATTTAACTCAACGATTTTACTGCGTCTAACTTTTCATCTGTATCTTGGAATGAATTCAAGTTATCTTTAATTTGGTTGGTGTTCAAGTATTTTTATGAATTTTAAAAATAATTTGTTTCTTGTTTAAAATTGTAATCTGAATCTTTAATACTTGATTTGTTTTCTTCCTTAAATGAATTTTAATAAGATTCAACATTTAGTTTTCTTTAATCTCTTTGAATTTATCTATGAGATTTTTGAGTAATATCATTTATATCTTCACTACTTAAATTTTATTTATGAAAATTTTCATTAAATTAGTTACTCAATATATTCATTTAAGGATTAAGATTGTTGTAATCATCATTTTGAAATTCTTCTTTCATAGATTTATTGTGTATATTGCTGATTGGAGGAGATGCAATAAATGGCATTTCCGTTTTTGTCATAACATACTCATTTTTTTGAGATTAATGATTTTCCTTTTAATCATTTTGTAGCTTTATTGATTTTTATTAAGGGGATTAATTAAATTAGTAATCATCAGAGTTAACTTTTGTATTGAAATTTGTCTATTTGTAAAATTTAGACTTACTATCTTATTTTAAACAAGCATGAGTACCATTACTGTTATGCTCATTCTAAGACCAGGAAATTCCAGCTTTATTAGTACTACTTCTGCTAAAATGCTTGCTTGCCCCTCTCAATAAAAGAGTGTTTAATTTAGATAGTCTTTGTTGGTGCTTTGGTGTTTCTGCTGCAATAAAGCTGTTATTTAAAATAAATCCCTTCTCAATAGCTGTACTTTTTTATTTTTAAACAACTTATTGAGAATTTTATTGATAGACACTAGGATAAGAATCGATCGAGTTTTCATCGGAATAACCCTCAAAATCAAATTCTATTAAATATAATAAATTTATTATATGAAAGGTTAATTTAGTATATTTCAATCTATTTTACGTGAATTTTCAAATTCATTTTACAATTGTTCATTATACAATTTAAAATGCAATCTCATAACACATTATTTTAAGTATTGAGCTTGCTTTAAAGTTTTATGAGATCTAAAGTCCTTTCTTTGCTGTTAGTTACTCCTTTCCTAATAGTGATCTAGGTTAAAGTTGTGTAAAATCTTGACTTTATTTGGTATAAAATTGACAAGAGGACATTATTTTAATCTATGATCGTAGCTAGAGCAACTAAAGCATTTATGATCTAAACCCTTAGATTTTTGATACAAATTAAGATTATCTTTAGTTTATAAAACCTATTCATAATCTTCTGGGAATAGTTTAACGGTTTCAATAAAATCATCATATTCTACATAAACCAAATCTGTAACATTAACAGCTCGAGCACAATTTTCCCTTGTTTAACCACTGAAAAACTCAATTTCTCCAAAAATTTAACCTTCCTAAATAAAAAAATATTAATTTTACATAAACTAAAATATAATAACTAATTACCTTTAAATTACAAAGATTATGATAACTTTGGCTCTCTTACTTCATGTTAAGCATCATTTAAACTAATTTATTAATATATAATTAAATAAATTAATACTTATTATTTAAAATTTACCTTCTCCTTTTAAAATGAAATACATTTTATTTCCTGGATCACTTTCTCTAAAAATTATTTCTTCAGGACCGAATCTCATCTCTTTCATTTTTAAAGCTAGTTGGTTTAAAAATCTTTAGCTGAAGTGCAGGTCGAAGAGTTTTTTTGATTTTAGCAATCTTCCGTACATGTCAATAAACACTTCTTCTTTTAAAGAAGAGGCTAATTTCTACAGCAATTAAACTCCTTCATTAGTGTCTTCTTGTTATTCTTTATTTAAATACCCAAAATATTTTCTTACTTTAACTTTGAGTTTTTAATTAAGCTTTCTCTTATTTAAATAAGTTTCAATTTTTCCCATTTACGATCTGAATTCGCTACTTCTTTTAGAAATGTCTTTTAGAATTTCACCTATTAAACTTACTGAAAACGCAAATATTACTGTACTAAGGAGACCAACTGAAGTAGCAAAAACTTATTCAACTAATTTTAAAACAAATTATTAATATTATCAAAACAAAATAATATTTGATTAATTACTCTCTGTTTTGGGTGTAATATCACCATACCCTAGAGTAGTCATAGTAACTATTGTCCAATAAATACATTTAATATATTATTTAAGTGCCTATAAATTTTATCCTTCTTCAACATTACCAATCCATGTAGTTTAATATCCAACGCTATATTCAAAAATAGCTATTTTATTCCATGCACATGCAATTAAATGAGCCAAGCACATAATAAAGGCCATTAACTTAAAGAGTTAAAACAAACCTCTTTAGAGATTTTTAAATTAAATTCTATCTTCAATATCTTAAATTAATTGAAGAATGTCAAAAAACCTTAAGATTACAAAGAGTTTTAGTAATGCAATCTAAAAGTATATTCCAGCCATAAAAGGTATTATAATAAATAAGTCCTACCTAATTAGTTTAATTTAAATAAAATTAAATCAAATTAAAAAATGCTTTTAAATTTACCAAAATAGTTTTTAGAGATAATTTTTTGTGATTTCTTTTCTATCATTAATAATTAGTCCATTTATATAAATTGCTGTTTATTTTTTAACAGTTAAATATTATACTAAAAATTAATTAATTAATTAAGTCAATACCTGTATTCATACGCAGCAATATTTCAAAAGTAAATACAAGAAGTGAAAAGTGATAGGTAAATAGATAAAGAGGAAGATACTTTTAGCTATTTATTTAGAAGGACAGCTCGATAGGAATATAAAGAAGGTTTAAAATTATAAAAAATAACAAAGCAACATCAATACAGATCTTAATGAGAGAATTCTATTATTTAAAATATAAAAAAATTAGAAAAGAAAAATTCTGTTAAGATTGATTTGTTAATTAATTAATTAATATATTTGTTTGTTTATTTATTTACTGGCTATATTAATAAATTCACTCTAAAGAGATTTAACAACTTTTTTCTAAAAAAGGAATTTCCTTTATTGAATACTTTTGACACTTATCCTTTTAAATAAATAATTAATAAATTATTTTTTAAGAAGTAGAATTTTTCAGAATGATTTAATTGTATATTTTGTATGTTTAATAATCAAATTTATTTATTACTGTTTAGTTTATTCGTTGATCTCTAAAATATTGATGGCTATGTTTTATTATTTAAAAAACATTAATACAAAAAACTAAAATACTGCGAAATTTTTATTTTATAAATTTAACACTAATCTAACGTGTTTGTTTATAAAATGTAATTTAGTAACATTTATTTCAAAAATTTCTGATGCAAAATTGTATGTAAAAAGAAAGTACTTAGGCATTTAAGCAGTCTTAAAAATAATAATAATAGTAATCTGAAGCTTGATCTGAAATGATATTGAACTACTGCAATTCCATTTGTTTAAATCTCAGCAAAGAGCTGCTTTGCTTAAGAATGTTTACAAATTTTTTTGTATAGATTGAAATGAAAAACCCTTTCAGTTTAAAGTAAATAGAACTCGATGAAAAGTTTTATGAGGCAAAATTATGAGTTTAAGAGTGTTTTAATATTCCAGAAATAGGTTCCTTTACTTACAAAAAAGAAAGTTCTCTTTATTTTGTTTATTGCCTCTAATAAGGGTGATCTCTTATATTTTTTGGACTTATGTCATTTTACTTTTGAAGCTAATTTACTCTAACTTATAAATTCTACTCATTATTTGATTTATTAGCTGATCCATTCGAACCCACATTTTAACTTAAATTTTAGCTCACACTTTAATTTATAATCGGGTTCATACTAAACAGAGAAGTTTATACAAACTTTTACTAGCCTTTAAAATCTGGGTTACTACTTAAGTAGTTCTCTTCTGCCATATTTTTATTTCAAACTAATTTAAAACTTTATATTATATTTAATGTTTCTTCTTCTTTTTACTTGATATAATAGGAATATATATGTTAATTTATTAATTTTCAAATTCTAAAATTTGTCAATCAATGAAAACTTTTATAACGCAAATATTTTTCTTTATCTATACTATATCAAATAAACACATTTGATATCTTGACTTTTTTAAGTGTATTAATCACATTAGTTAATTAAGATAAGCTTTTTTAAAATCTTATTTTCTACTAAGTAAATAATTAATCTAATAATAATTTTGTTTTGAAGAACATCAAAAACTATTTCTATAATTTAAAAAAATGAAAATTTACAATTTACTTACATTTATTTTATCTACAAACTTATTTTTCTTTTAGGGTATTATTTAAATTCTAAATATTATGAATATCAGATTTTTGCTCATAATATTTATAAATTAATCTTAATATAAAATTTGATTAAAGTATTGTTTTGATTGAATTTCTTGTTAAGCTTGAATTAAAAAAGATCTAGCCTATAAAAGAGAAAATATAAAACACAAAATCAAATAAATTATCAATCAATTCTACTTAATTTAAATGAATAATTGCAAATTATAAAAATTTAAAAATATCATAAAATAAATTTGATGCAACAAAAATATAAAGAATTAATAATTCTAATTATAAAAAACAATTTATATTTATAATTTTTAAAACGTGTTACAAATACACTATGATAGTTATGATTTATATTTAGCTTGATTCCTTTGTTAAAAATTTAGTTTTTAAATCTAAATATCAAATTTACAGAAAATAAATATATACTTACTTTTTATTTATTCTTATTTTTACATCTACAAAATTTAAATAACAAATGTTTTATTATTTTATTAAATTATATATACATATTTATATTTATATAATGGTTGTCAAAATCTTTGGAAAATTTATATCATTAATCATATTTTATCAAAAATGAAGCTTATTAAATATAGCTAATTTTTTCTTTACTTGAGCTTTTTTCCTTATGATCATATTTTTGTATCCTAGTGTTTTTCTTCTGAAGAGATTATATTTATTGATAGATACACTGTAATTATTTGAAGGAAAATAAATTTCGAAAAGTTTCATTTTATCAAAGCTAGAAATAAACAGATCTCTTTCGTTTAAATCTAATTCAGTGTTAAATTTAATGTAATCTTAGTTATCATACATTTGTTATTTTTTTGAATTTTACTCGCTATCTGAAGAATTCTTAGAGTTATTAGAATTACTATTTGCCTTATGAATTGATTCTTCATCACTAATTTATCCATTTCGCTCTTTATTAGGTGATTTACTAACATTATTTTGACTTGATTCATATTGCTCTTCTTAAATCTACACTACTTTAAAGGTTCTCAAGTGCTTTTTCAAAGAATTAGATGGATTTAACTTATTCCACACTTTTGGTTTATTTTAAATATTTTTTCCTGAACTAAATCCTTCTGACAATTGATAAAAAGAAGTTTAACTTTTATCTTATGTATGAGGTATTGGACTCAAGTATCCAGCCAAATCGTTATCACTTACGATAGCACTTTCATTATTTTTTGTTTAATTTTATTATATAGGAGATATTTTTAAATTATTTCCATTTTAATTATCAGAATTGTATTAATTTATTTAAGAAATATTTATTTTAGGAATATCTTACAAACTTAACTTCTTTTTACCAGAAGTTAGTGTAGAATTTTTTTCATCACTCATTATTAAATTTTGATGAGTTCTATTTGGAGGAGTTAAATTCCCATTTTTTAATTTTTGCATCGATGCTTGGTGGAGTTACTATGTGAATATTTTAAATGCCTTCCCTTTTTTATTTTATTTTTTATCATCACTGTTTATCGGTGTTTCATTGGTAATATTTAATTCATATGAATCTTATAAGGATTCCTAAATACTATTTCCGTTTTTAATTTGTGCTTAAGGTTTATCTGTATCGCTTTTAGGAGATTTAATTTCGTTTATAAAGTCTAATTCATGACTTTTTTATAAAAATTTAGTAATAATTTTTTCCTTTTTCTTTTCAAATCGAATATCTCTTGGTCTTTTTAAATCTAAAAACATTGCCTTTGGTGAAATAATAAAATTTTTATAATTAGAAGTAGGAGAAATTAAGTTATCTTCAGTTGAAAGGATACCTTAGTGAGCATAATTTGATTTATTATATTGTAGAGACTATTCATCATTAAAATCTTTGTCAGTAAATTAAGTTATTTGATATTAGTTATCTGAAATGTTAAAATCGTTTTTATGTAGTGTATTATTGCTTTAGTTAAAACCATTAACTTTATTGATCTCTTTTGAGTTTATGAGTATTCTTCTAGCTGTATTTGTTAAAATAGCTTAGGATTTAAGCATTTGATTTGACTCACTTAGTTAATTTTATAGTGGTTCCTCTGATTCAGATTTATTTTCTTCTACATCACTTTCCACCCGCCTAATGTTAAAATCATCTTCCTTCATATACCTTGCAAATTTAGAAACTTTTTAAGGTTTTTTTGCTTGATTTATTTAGGATAGCTTCTTAACTTTCGTCCTTTAAAAGAAATCATTAGTAAACTAAGGGGATATTGAACTTATCATACTAACTGCAGCGCGAGAGATTTCTGCTTCGTCATTTAAATTATCCCCTTGAACATTCTCTTCACTATAACTAATCGATAAATCCTAAGAGTCCATATCTTTTTATTAAATAAGATTTGCAAAAAAATATTACCAAAGTAAAATAAACAAATACCAGATAATTCTTCCTATAGATCTTATGCTTTTGCATACTTTGATGCTAAAAATATTTACTTGACTACAGAATCGTACACTTGCTTTTAGCTTTTTAGGGCATTTTATTTTCTTCTTTATCTCTATCTTATGAAAATTGTTCTTTTTTAATCTTGATACTTAGTGAAGGAATTTAAAACCTTTTACTTATTTCTCACATAATTAACATATTAACAATTCTTCAATGTATGAGTGAAGCTGTTACAGCTTACACATTTATGATCTAACCCCTCTATATTTTGGTACAAGTTTATGTTATCCTTCATGAAGCAAAATTATTCCTTAGTAATATAAGTAAGTATGTGTTTTATTTTCATATATTTTGAAAAAAAATAAAAAATTACATAGTCTTTAGGAAAACGCATAATCACATCCAAAAAATCTTTTTTTTTGAGAACTGCTAAAGATGTAACATTAGCAGTAACAGCTGTGTACTCTGATTCACAATCTCCAAAAAATTGAATTTCTCCAAATAAATCTCCTTTTGTGAAAGTTTTTAGAACTTCGAGATTTCTCTGTTTCATTTATACTTTTCATATAAATTAAAAAAATTGTAAACGAGTGATTTATTCATTTTAAATATTTTAAGTTCTAGGAAAATTCTGTTTAATGTTTACAATTAATAATATCTACCTTTCCCTTTCATAACAAAAAATAAAGAATCTGATCGCTCTTTCTCTTTAAAGAGAACTTCTTCAGGACCAAGTCTTCTTTCTCTGATAACAAGCGAAAGTTCCTTTAGAAACTATGGAGAAAAATGTAAATTAAAAATTTTTTTTTAGTTCAAAACTCGCCCATAAACATCTGAGTATACTTCCTCTTTTAATGATTAAGGTAGATTTTAAATGAGCTAACTACTTTACTCGTTATCTTCCATAGACTCTTTATTCAAGTATTCAAAGTATTTTCTAACTTTTACTTGAGTTAACTAGTTTAAACCTCTTTTCCTCATGTAAGTATCAATTAAGCTCATCTATTACTTAAATAGCTGTTACTTTTTGCCCATTTCTTTTAAAATCTCACCAATCGAATTCATGGTGTAAGCAAATAATATACAGCTAATTTATGTTATCAGTATAACAAACAGCTTTTCTTCTAATTAAATAATTAAATTTTTATTAATAAAATTCATGGTAAATAAATTAAGAAATTTTTTTTCTTCTTAATTTTGTTTGGTAAATTTATGAAAAATTTTCGAATCTTATCTATTACATTAATTTTTAGGAACAATATCTCCATATCCTAAAGTAATCATTGTAACAACCGCCCAGTAAAGACTTGTTATATAGTAATCTGCAACTGTTGCTGGTTAAATATCTATTGCAGTCATCCATGTAACTTTCTCACCCTCCTGTTTGCCAAGTACGCCTATTTTATGCCAAACGCAAGCAATATAATGTGCAAATATGATGATAAAAAATATAAGCTTGAATAACTCCATACAACTAGCAATTTTCCCACGAAATTAAAATCTTTCGTCTATTTCTCGTAGTATTTAAAATATATCATAAGTTCTTAACAATATTACTAGATCAGTATAATGATTCGTATGCAATCCAATCAGATAAAGAATGACAAATAGAATATCTTTTCTTTATATTAATTTTAAATTAAAAATACTTATTAAATCTAAATGCTGTATATTTACATCAACTTCCCTTTTGTATAATCAACAAAAATTATTCTTTTTTTAGTGATAATAAGACCTTTTCTATAAATTGCTATTTGAAAATTATAGAAAATATTATAATCTAAGAGAACTATATTTAATATAAATGTAACCTGTAAAAAAAGTCAAAAATATTTCTGAGATAAAAGCTATCTAAGGCAAGAAGTAAACAAACCATATTAAATTTGATGTTTCATAAATATCAAATGAATATTTAAAAGGCACATATACTAAATTTATTGTAATTATTGATAGGAGAAAGCTAATCCAAATGAGTCTTATTAACGAATTCTTTGTATAATTTAATAATTCATTCAAAATAATTTCATAAAGTGTAATTAACTTACAGGATATATCAGTAAGGTCAAATGATTTAACTTTAATGTACCTATTAATTTGTTACACCTTTTCCATAATTGAGAATCTATTTTATATTTTTAAAACCAGTATTTAACAATAAAATTAACTATAATAGATACTTACTTGTTAGTTTGTGGAAAAATTTATCTATGATAGATGGAGCCTATAAATTAGTTAAAATTATAAATATTTATTTTTGTAAATAATTATTAATTGTAAATAAAGAAATAGTATTTACATCTCCAGAAAACATTTCTTTTATAAAATAGTATTTGTAATCAGTTGATTTGTCTTTTATAATTTTGAATTGGGAATACCCCATTTCTTTAAATCTCATCAAAGAGCTCATCGCTTTGATTCTCCGAATAAATTTGGCAACATATAGAGTAGAAAACGTTAAAACAGTCTTTTCATCTTTTATTATGCACTCCTTCCTCAAAAGAGATGATCTTTTAAGAGATAAATTATTTAAAATTTTTTTTCTTTCTGAATCAGTTTATTTAAGATCTTCAATTTATTCATTATCATTCAGTATTAATGACTTCGTATTTATTTAATGCTAAATTTGCAAATTTATCACATTTACATTTGATGTTACGCTGTCTTATCTTATATTATTGTTATGTTTGATTATACTAGTTTCAAGGGGATTCATATTTTATGATTACAACACTTCGTTGATAGAATTTGTGCTTTATTTAAAAGTTTTTTATCTAGTTAATTCCACATCCATTTAACTTATCTATTTTTTATGTTTTACTCAAATTTTATGTATTAATAATAACTATTTTCAAAAAAAAAAATTAATATATCTAGTTATTTCAAGCTTAATAATTATCCAAGTAAAATTAAACTGAAAAAAAAAAGAAGCTTAAATGGTTGTGAAATCAAATCATATTTTGAATATCGACAAGTAAGATCCCATGAAAAAATAGTTGAAGTAAATAAATATGAAATATGAATTTAGCATTCATTCTTTCTTGAGTAATCCCTGTTTAAAATTCTATAATTTTTATCTTTTAATATTTTCATTTTATCAACCAACTCATCCTTATCTAATTATCCTACTAAAAAAAATAGTGTATACTAATTAATACTGTGATATAATTTAGAAAATATTAATTATCACTAAAAAATATATTTTTATCTAATAAATTAAAATCCATGTATTGTAAAATTTAATTTAATCAAAATCCTTTTAAATTAATTATGTATTTATATAAAACTTTTTGATAGTAAAATTATAATATTCTTTCTTTATTTGTTAGGTTTATTAGTTAAAAATTTACATTAAATTATTCAAAAAATCATTAAATTTCACTTATTAATTTTTATCTTTTAAATAATACATTTATTGAAGAAATTTAACAAAAATAGAAACATTTTCTATTTTTACTGGTTTTTTTAATTCAAAATGTTGATGTTTTACAATAAAAAATAAACTATGTAGGAATAGAAAGAAAATACTTCTGATCACAATATAGATTTTTTTTAACAATTTTTAAGTAGAAAAGAAAGAAGATTAAGATAAAATATAAATAATTAAAAAAAAAAATAAATCAATACAATTTTTTTAAAATTTATGAAGAAACTAATAACATTTTTATTAATAGCATTCTCTTTAGTAGCTGCTACTGATATTCATAGGCCAATATATATAATTGAGGAATCTGTTTAACCTAGCTAAATAATCAAGTAAGATGAAATATACGCTATAGATTTCGGTACTATATTCCAGTGCCAAGATGAGATCTCTAATAACAATAAATAATTGTCATAAGAAGTTATTGAATAAAGTTTAAAAGAATGCGATATGCTACACTCAATTAGTGAAAATAAAGAGTAAAGAAATATTGCTTAAGGTAAAATGAAAGTATGTTTTAAAAAATTATTTTAAGACTAACAAACTAAAGAGTATGTCGCTCTTAACTAGTATGTAGATTGCCTAGTAAATGATACAGTTAAAAAATATAACATTGATAGGATTGCAAATAACGCTGAAAGTTCAAGTGATGGAAAGAAAAATTAAAAGAAGGGATACTAGCAAATCCAAGATGAGTGCTCAAGCGAACTACTCAGTTTTGATAATGAAAAAGTTATTGGATTTTTTGAAGAGCTTGATAAAAACTGTCTAATCTAAAAAAAGGAAGTTTATATAAGAATGAGAGTATTAGAAGAGGCATCAAAAGAATTTGATATATTATTGGATTGTATAGATTAAATTTAATCTAAGAATACTGAAGGAAAACAATTAATTAGAGAATACATTACTTGCTAATAAGAAAGTTACGTTCCAAATACAAAAAGAATATCTACTCAGTACTTTATTTGAAAGCAAAATTCTTGCTTTCTTTTTTAAGATATTAATTAGTTTTGATATTTTCATTTTAACTAATTAAATAGTTAATAAAATTCTTGTAGGTCTAAACACTCAGGTAATTAGTGTTAATATTGAATAAATTAAAAATTATATTATAACTTTATCAGTAAAATTTTTATATTTCTTCAATGTAGGAGTATATTCAATGATAAATTAATATCCAATTTGTTAAGAAAATATTTTATTTTAAATATTAATTTAATATTTTGCAGAAAAGTATGTTTGGGCTTTTGAGAGCAAATAATAGTTTAATTTTTTTACATCAAATAAGCTATTGTTTTTATATTGATTTCATAGTATCTTAAACGTACCGTTTTTAGTAAAGATTTTTGTTATAATTTAATTAGATTAGTTAACCAAACAAATTGGTTCAAAAAAATTAATTCTATAAAGTTTTTTGATTTAGAAAAATGAGGCAAATTCTTCTAGTTTTAATTCTGTTAATAATAAATGTCTGTTGTATTAAAATAAGTAAAAAAATAAAGTTAAATGATGATGTTACTGTACCTAATGATGAACCATATGACATTGACAATAACACAGCAGAATACTGCTCCAAAAAATCAAAAGAGAATTCTAGTGATTCATTTGATGATAAAATTTATAAAAGTGGATAAGAAAACTGCATTGAGGGATTAAAAATTCCACATGGCATTGAAGATAGAGGTAGCGTTTTTGATGAATTGACAGGATGTTTAACTTAATTCTAAAATTATTCAGAAGAATTTGAAGCACTAATAAAATTTTCTAATTGCGTATTTGAAACAACAATAAAGCACAAAGGTGGTAATTCTAAAGACACTTAGATTTATGATTCATAAACGTAAAAATAAGATAAAAGCGAAAAGTAAAAATAGTAATGAAACACTATGTTATTAACAATTTTCAATAAAAAATAATCTGTAGGCTAATAAATTTTAAAAACATTTTCTATATATTTAAGTAGTTTTAAAAAATATTGATAGATTAAACTAAAAATTTCTTTAAAATATATAAAAAAATATAAGTTTTATTTCCATAAAATAATTCAAAAAACAAAATTATTTTAAAATATTGTTTTATGAAATTATTGTTTTTATAGGCTGTTGTGATAATAAATTTTTAATTTTATCAATAATTTGGTAAGTAAGGAGTTATTATTTATTTTACTTAATTATCTCATAATATACTCAAAGCCATAATTAATCACTTTTAATAATCTTAAATTCTAAGAAAAACCCTTAAATAAAATAAATAATATTTACATAAAACTTTAAAATTTTAAAGTATATTTTTATTAATAACAAATAATAAATTCTAAAGTTTATTAGCTAAAAAATTAGCAAATAGAGTAATCTATTAAAAATATTTATTATTTTGAGAAAAGTAATATTTTTAAATGAATTATAAATAGATAGTATAATAAATTAATTAATTTAATGAATTTTATTATATGCTTACTTTTTTTTCAATCAAGATTAAATAATAAATATACTTAAAGCCAATATTAAGTTATAAAATGATTATGAAATAATAATTTATAATAAGTAATAAATGAGTAATCTTTACTTTATATTGAAAAGGTACTATTAACAAAAATTTATTTTCTAAAAAGTCAATTAAACTCTTTATAATTTAATAGATATGAACATTTCATTAAATATTGAAAATTGTTTAAATTTTGTAATTTTTTTGATATTATTAATTTAAAATAGTGGACATAACAAATTTTTGAAAATTCAAATTATTATTTATTGATTTGCTTATTGAAATAAGATGGATTTATTGTCAGAAGAAGAAAAATAACTTATCAAATTTTTTGAGAAAAAAGTATAAAATGAAAGCAATATTAATCAAAGTGATAGTAGATAGCGATTAGGTTAAACAAATGATGATTAGTTGATTAGAGAAAATGAAAGCAGAAATTAGAACTCATTTTAAAGATATTCTTAAATGTTTGGAAACATTTAAAATGAAAATTAAGAGAACTTAGAATAAAATTCTAAGAATAGAAATCAATATGTAAATCTTTATGAAAACTAAGAAAATGATGCAAAAAATGAGTAGAGATTCTAGATTTATTACAAATAACCTTAGAAAAATCTAAATGCAGTCATATTTAATGGTATATTAGCTATTTTAATATAACTTCAAAAGTAAATTTATTTTTATTTTAGGTGATGATAATAGCAGTAACCACGCTGAAAATAATTCTAATAATACAAGAACTAATTCTTCATTTAACTCTTCTCAGCATAATAAGCAGTATTATAATAATCATAGGCAAGGACCAGCTTAAAAATAGTAGTTAGCATAATAGTATTTAAATTAGCCTTCTAATGATCAAATATTCTACAGCCATTATTTGTAAAACAATACAAGTCTTCAAAATAGCAAAAATGTTTTAGAGAATTATAAATCATAATAGGGAGACTTAAATACTTTTACATTTAAACCACCTACATCTATAAAATCTAAAGATAAATAAAAAAAAGTAAATTAAGATATAATTGTTAAAAATGAAGATAAGAAGTTTAAAAATAGCTCTAAAAAAGATTTTTCAGTTAAAAAAAATAAATAATTAGGAGATTAGCAGACATCATAAAAGAAAGTAAATAACAATTCTGATAAAAAGTAAATGTAGAAAATAAATACTTCTCGTCCTCAAAGCTCTAGAAATTAATAAAAATCAATTAAAAATAATTCATTTGTTAATCAATAAGAACATTAAATTTCAAGCAATAAAGTCAACAAAACTCCTTCATAAATGTAAAAAAATAAATCTTTGATACTTGGCTAAGAATAAAACTCTAAAATGAATGCTAAAAAAGATGAAATACTCATTAAAAATAACTCACTTTACAAATAATCTTCAAATAAAAAATCAGATTCAAAATTAAAGAAAGCACGTTCAACTTCCCTATTTGTTTCTAATTTAGTGAACTAGAGTAATTTAATATAGAAAGATTGCAGTAAGGATAAATTAGAAAGTGTTAGAAAGAGATCAAACAGCAAATCTAAAAAAAAATTATCAATAGTAAATACTTAATCAAATAAATAGTTAAAATCTGAAAGAAGCAGAATATCGTCTTATTCATATACAAAAGGAATTCCTAATTAAAATGATGTTGATTAAATAGAAAATAAACCGATGTCAAATTAGTAAAATTATTTATTTAGCAATTTCCAAATTTAATGTTTAAAAAATAAAATAGAGAGGTTTATAGGTAATTCTTAGATGTATTAGAGTAAAATCATGAAGAAAGTGAAAGAATTATGTTAAAAGTAATAGAAAATCACATTAATGATTGCAAAGAATTTAAATAGAAAATTGTAAATATTATAAGAGAATAAATAAATTACAACAGATATAAAAGTTAAAATAGTTAATCCAATAGAGGAAACGATTAAATATGAAAATGAAGGATATAATCCTTATTAATTTATTTGATGAATAGATCAATTTAAGATTAAAAGAATTAAACTTAGAATTCAACTTTACAAAGATAACTAACTCACTAATTAATTAATTAACTATATAAATTTAGCCTAAATTAATTTAATTCAAGTATTTTATTTAATAAGTAAGTAAGAAAGTAAGTAAGAATTAAATATTTAAATAGAAAAAGATTAGATCACTTATTGATATTGTTAACATTATTTTAAGTCTATAGACAATTAATTATTGATTAGCATTGTTAATCAATCAATCATTATAGATAATTTATATATTTATTTTTGAAATATCCTACTCGCCATTAAAAGTATTAGCAACAGGCAAACTTTATCTAAATTTAGTTTAAAGATTCAATTCTCATCTCATCTCATTGTGAATCTATCATTATTTATTCTTTCACTCATCTTAAGCCTTAGGGACATAAACGACATCTTATTTTTTTGCTATACATAAAAAGTATAATTAATTAATTAAATAAATAAAATTTTAAAATTAATATGATAAATTATATTATAATATTTGTAAAAATAATTATGTAATTAAATAAAAAATGCCTAACTAAAAAGGTAAGTAATATGAAATAATTAAACTAATTTTTTACGTCTATTGTTTCTTTAGTCTTAATATTGCTTTTAGGAATTACCATTTTCATCGTTAGTGTTTGATTCGTTATTGAATCTTTAATTTCCTTTGTAATTATTATTGTGATTATAGTTCTTGTTATAAGGCTTTTTATTTTAATAGCTTCCGGAGTTGTTTTCATCCCTATTGAAGTTTCTGTTACTGTTTTAATGTTATCCTTTTTCTTCATTAAATTGTTAATTTCTCTCTCTATAGTTTTGGCGCTATTCTGGGTTTTAATTGACTTTCTCTTCACCTTCGTTATGTTAATTACTTAAATTTCCCTAACGTTCTTTGTTTTAATAGTTATAATTGCCTCCTTATTATCTATTTTTGTTAAAGTTTTCGCCATTGTTTCTGTATCCATTGTTATTTCTATAATTATTATTTCTGTAAGGTCTTTCTTAAGTTTACTACTCATTTTGTTCTCTATCTTCGTTATCTTCTTCAATTTATCTATTTTTATTAACTTTGTAGAGGGCCTTTTCTTCTTATTATTGATTTTCTACTTTATCTTATTACTGATTCTTTTAAACATCAGTTCTTTGATTTTATTCGTCATTTTGTCTAATATGCATTTGATTCTTTTCAATATTTTGATCGTGGCTGCTTTTTTAGTTTTCTTAATCGGTTGTTTCATTTTTTCTATCATTGTATTTATTGTTAAACCTGTGTCCTTCATGCTTAAAAGGACGTTCATTATCATTATTATTGTAATTATTCTTGAAATTACCCTATTGTCTGTTCCTATTGTAATTTTATTTGTTGTTTTCATCCCTATTGTTAAATTTATTGCCTTCTTCTTTGTTTTAGCTGCCATTGCTATTGAATCTATCTTGTTTGTTGTTAAATTTGTCATTCTTGTTATAAAATTTATCTTCTTTGTTATTAAATCTGTGATTCTCATCTCTATCATGCTAATACCTTCCGTTATTATTTTATCTATAATTATCCTAGTTTTAATAGTTGCCACCATACTTGTTGTTATTGTAGTTTTTATGTCTTTACTCTTATTATGAATATTACTAGCGATCTCTCTCATTGGTTTATCTTTTATCTTAGTTTGGACTTTATATTCAATAAAAATTAGGTAAGTAATTATTATTTTTCAAGTTAGCTATTTTAAAAATTGAATTACCTCTCATCATCAACTTTTTCTCTTTTAGGTTCAGTTGCCTTTCTATTTTTTTCTAAAAAAAAAATAGGTTAATCTAAAAAATAAAATGATTTTTATTTACTTTCTTCTTCTATTCTTGCTATCTCATTTAAGTTAGGAGCCTCATCATCAGAAGAAGGCTCATAAACGTCATTTTCTTTTTCGATGTTTTTCATTCTACCAGTATTCACAGTAAAATTAGTTATGCCGCCAATTGTTTCCTCTGGTTTAGGAGGTTCAACAACTTTTGTAGGTTGTACTATAATAATTTAAAATAAAACCAACTTACTTATATGATGATTTAAAAATTTTAAATTTATAATGCTTTTCTTAATAATATATATTTGTGTTATATAGTTTACCTGCATGAGAGTCCCAATCTTCCCAGCAATTTACTTATGTTTCTGTCTTAATTTGATTGTTTGAGTTAATTTAGTTGAGAGTTTCTTTGGTTGGCAACATAATACAATCATCTTCGTCATCTTATCTATTATTACTTCTAATATTAGTCATAGGCTTTGGTTTAAAATTGTCATTTCTCTCCTTCCTTTTATCATTGTAGGAGCTAATGTATGGCTTGTAATTTGGGTTAGCACCTGATTTCTACTAAGTTTGCTAAGTGTTTACTCCTTTTTAAAATAAAAGCTAAGTTAAATAATAAGGAAATATAGTTGACTAAAATTCTACTTTGACCATCTCCTTATTTGTAGTTGTTAGAGTGGAACTTTTTTTCCCCTTGGTAGGTTTTGCCTTTATTGTTATTCATTTATTTTCTTTTTTTGTATTAAATAAGTGTTAATTAATTTATTTATTTCTTGATTTTATTGGAATATTGTGCTTTTTAAACAAAATTTGTATTTTTAAGAGTTTTGAATTATTATCTAATATTAATTAATATACAAAAATTTCTCAAAAAAACTCCCTTAACTATCCATCTATTTGATCATTTACTTAAAGTCAATCAATCAATCCTAACAAATTTTTGAATTTCGCTTATGCAAATCACATATAACTAATAATTCCTCTTTGATTCTTTTAACTTTTTAAAAACCTAAACTATATTTAGCATCCAAAAATCAATGCTATAGATATTTTATATTACACGTTTTGTCTCTTAATCTATTCACTTTCTTATAAATATTCTTCTCAAAATAATATTGTCTTGTTCTTTACATGTCATCATTATATTATATAAATTTTACACAATCTACCTTCTTGTTGATTCAAACATTAAATATCCACTTCTACTTTATTTAAATTGATATCTATTTTTCAATCAATATTTTAATAAAACAAAACAAAAAAAAAGATAATTTTAATAAATTTTAAGAAAAGAAATATTTCAGCTAATTTAAATACTCCAATATTCTTGAAAATAAGTTTGAGCGAGTTTTCTTGCAAACAAACTTACGTATTAAAAATTTTAATAATCAAAAAATTAATTAAATATCAAAAAAATATAAAATACATATTTGTGCTTCTCTCTCTAATAAAAAATAATTCTTTTTTAGCTTGTTTACTAATTTTTAAATATTATCCTAAAATATTTAGATTAAAAAAATTCTTTTTATTATTTTTCTATTTTTTAAATTTTATTACAGAATATTTTTTTTAAGCTGGTGCTTTAAAAAGTTAATTTTTCAAAAAAAAAAACCAGTATAAGTTAATTTTTAAAATGTATCACCTTAATATAAAGTTAGATTTAATTTAGAAGATAAACGTAATATGAATATTTTAATATAATTCAAATAATAAATAAATATTTTTATGTAAAATTTGCTAGTTTTTGATATATTTTTAGTTAATCAAAACTTATTAAACTAAACAACTAAATTTAGAAAGACAATAATTCTATTTTAACATTTAATATAGGTTAGAATAATATATATCACAATACATGAATATGGTGAATTTGTTATATTACTTCAAATATTAATTTATTTTTCAATATTTTATGAGTTAAAAAAAATGGAAGAAAAACATAAATATAACTTTTTCAATTTTAGTTGTTTTTCAAAATAGCAAAACTAATTATTGTTGATTTGAAAAATGAAGTTAAATATAATTATTTATTTATTTTATTTTTACTATTTAAACTCATTTAAGAGCTATTTTAGATAAATAAATAAATATTTTTATGTAAAATACTCTTTTTATCATATTTCTGTTTTAAAAAATTATTAAAGTATACAATTATTTTTAATTACCAACAATTCTATTCTATAATAAGTAAAATGAATTATAATTATATAAATTTAAACAAAAGTAATTATTATAAAAACAGATATGGTGAATTTTAGAAATTATACAATTAAAATTTCAATAATTTTTTTCTCATAAATTACGAAATACATGAAGAAAAAGATATTACTTTAATTTTTTAAATAATTTTAGTAATCTTTCAAAATATTAGTTTATTACTTAATTATTGATGATATATAAAAATGAAATTAATGATAATTTTTATTATCGCTTTTAACTATCAAAGCACTACTAAGACTAGTTATCCTTATAAATAATATTCTTACATAAAATGTGATAAATATCGTTATTGTTTTTAATTTGCATAAAATTGAATAAAGTATATAATTAATTGTTAAACACAAACAATTATAATAAACTCTAAAATTTTAATAATTATTTTTATTTAAATTTACATAGTATTCTAATTGCAAAATTAAAATAGTTATTTTCATTTCATAAAGTATTAAAAATAATTGAACAATAATATAAATTGAAGTTATTAAAGAATTATAGTCATCTTTGAAAACATTAGTTAATAACTTAATTATTTTTGATATATAATATGAAGTTAAGGATAATTATTTATAATTTTAATTTATACTATTTATGGTTTGTTTGCAGTTTATTAGATTAAAACAAACCTCTCATTTAAGAGCATTTAATCTATTTTCAAAGTCATCTTCAACTTAATTATTTAGATTTTATTATGGAATAATATTTTTCTATTTTATAAAAATATTTTTTAAGCTTATTTATTTATATTTCTTAAATATATTTACTTATCCGCCGCTTCCGCCTCCGACATTCTTTTCCATTTAATCGATAAGTTAATCGCAAGCTTCATCTCCCATATCATCTTCATCTTGAGCCATGATATCTTAAATTTATTCTATATTTACAAAATATATTTTATTAGTGCATAGTTTTTTCAAAAATAAAGCCAATTAAAGTGATAGTTAATTTATTATTACCTTGCATAATATTTTATTTTTCGCATTCCTAATTGAAGGTTTCGATAGCCATTTAAACATTCTTAACATCAATAGCATCGTTACCTGCTTTCATTACTTATCCCATACCTTTCATTATTGATACTAATGTTTCAGTAGTAGCGGCAGTATTTAATCTAATTAAAAAGTAATAAATAGTTAATATAAGTTGCCTAAATGAAATTATTTTTAATGCTTATTTATTACTGGAATTATACATCACCTAACTAAGCATCTAATCTCTTATATTTAGTAATCATTCCTTGTGTTTTAATTAATTGTTGAGCCAAGATTCTAACTGTTGCCTTTTGTTAAAGTAAGTAAAATGTTATTTGCTATTCATCGCACTTGAAAATAAAATAAAAGAATATAATTATGTACTCTAGGTTCTTTCTTTTTAATTAAATTTTCCATATCTTGCTTAATTTTTCTTTGGTTTGCTTCAAGCTTCATAATTTCTCTTGAGAAATCTCTTCTAAGTCTATTGATTGAACGAGTAAATTCCTTGACCATTTCTAATTTAGATAAAAGAATAAATATTATTAACAATTCCTTCATGCGATTGATGTATTTTAAGCTCACCTTTGACGGTTTTAGGTGGAGGGGGAGGAGGTTGAGGAACACTTTTCTTTTATCCCATTTTTACTTATTAGAATTTTTTTATTTATTTATTTCTTTGCTTTGGCTAAATTTTTTTAGATAAATTATTATAAGATATTTCTTTAAATTGATTTTGCACTTATTAAGTTTTTCTGAGAGTTAAGAAGCTATTATTATTTTTATTCATAAATAGCTATTCTTGATAAGGCAATAAATCTAATAAATTTATTAATTATAAAGACTTATGACAAAAAATAATTCATATTAAAAGCTCTGTAATTAACTATTTTCTGATCAGTTCACGCAAATTTTAAATTTTTATAAAATAGACAATTTCAAAATTTATTCTATTTTTATATTCTTCATAATTTTTTTAATTTCAAATATATTCAATACATAATTTAAAATGCATTTATTCATTTATTTGTTTATGTGAAAAATCAACCAATTATTTATTATTCAGCAAAATTTAACAATAAATTATTTCTTAATAGCAAAAAAATTTTATTTTTTGAGCTTAAATTTTTCAAAAAATAAAGAAAAATTACAATAAAAATAACTGAAAAATTTTTATATCTAAAATCAATAAATAAGTTTATCACCTATTAAACTCAAATACTAGTAAAAAAATTTTTAGAATTTCTTGATTATAATCTCTAATATAATATTCTAAAAAACTAATTAAATTTTCTAAAAAACTCAGATTAAAGTAGAAATCTATAAAAAGAAAAACTTTTTGGTGCAAATTAAATTAGTTAACCCAGTAATTATTAATTTCTACAAATTATTTTAAATTGAAATATTTATATTACTTGTAATTTAATATTTGCTAAATTATAAGTTATTACATATAGCTAGTTTTTTAAAGTAATAAATTCGATAATTCTTTTAAATAAAATCAATTAGTTGGCGGCATCTTTCTTAAATATTTAACAATAAATAAAAAACTTGAATATAAATTTAATTTTAATATCTAATTGAAAACTAAATAAAAATATTTTAAAACTTTTTAAATAGTGAAATTAAAATTTAGAAATTATAAATCAAAATTAAAAAGCAAGTAATAAAATCTCTTTAAAAGTAACAATTTTTGCTAAATTAAATCTCTTTGTAATTAGATTGATATCAAATTAAATAAAAATGTTATCTTATTTTTATTAAAATTAATTTATTTAATTTATTATTAATTTTAGAAAATGTGAATTAGAATTTCTCTATGAAATTTATTTATAATTAAACATTTGTGTTGTTAATTTATTAAATAAAGAAGTTGAATAATTACTCATAAAAGTGATGTTTGTGAAGTTCTCTTGTTTTAAAGAAGTGTTAAAGCAGAATCTTATTTAAAAATGATTGCTTGCTTGCTTGATTGATAGTGAAATAAATAAATATCTGAAAATAAGAGAAGATTTGATAGTAGTAACAAAGAAATGAATGAATAAATAATTAAAAAGAATAAAAAATAATAATCAAAGATTAATAATAAAAGACTAAATACAATTAATAAAAAATTATTTGATTAATCTAAAAAATAATAAGAAAAGATAGGAAAAAAAATCAAAATCATTAATTAGATAGATTAAGAAATAAAAAGGAAATGATGAAGGTTTTACAAAAGTACGGCAAACAATTTTATGGTCTGACCCACATTTAAAAAAAATGTAATGATTGAATTAAGATCTAAGTATATTGTATCGAGGCACACATATTAAAATATCTTGAATTTATAATAATAGAATTCAGATCCACTTAAGTTTTGAATAAATAGATTGAAATCTTTATTGATGGAAAGCCTGCTAAAGTAATACAATTTGTTTATTTTGCACTTTGATTTATATGGAAAACAGACTAATATTTGTTGCTTTAGAAATAAAATCATTTTTTTATTTTTGTTTAAATACTAAAATATGTTTGATTAACTCTAAATCTGTTTTTAATTGCTATTTAGGTTGATGATTCCTATACTATTTTCTAAGCTTGCTACGAAAACGGAGTTATTGTACCTCGTTTCTGCTATCATGAAAGATGTATGTTATTTTTAATTTAAATATTTTATTTATATTAGTTAGTTACTAGCTTTAGTAGTTCATAGCAAACCTCTTAAGCGTAAATAGGCTTTGTTTGATTATATAATCAATCAAATCGTTTTAAAACATTTACACAAGAAGTTCGATTTTGAAGATTTGCTATCCACTTTTAATTAGTTTTTTTAACTTCAAATTAATTATCCATTATTTTTATAAAGTATCCGTCGCCGGTAACTGCAGAATGTGTTTAGTAGAAGTCGAAAACGTCCCCAAGCCAGTTGCAGCTTGCGCATCTTAAGTTGTCCCTGGTATGAAGATTAAAACTAAGAGTGAAAAAACTAGAATTCACAGAGGAAACGTTATGGAATTTTTATTGGCTAACCATCCTTTAGATTGCCCCATTTGCGATTAAGGTGGTGAATGTGATTTATAAGATATTTCTTCAGTATATGGTTATGGTATCAGTCGTTACAACGAATACAAGCGTGCCGTTGAAGATAAGAATTACGGTCCTCTTGTCGCTACATCTATGAACAGATGCATTCACTGCACTCGTTGTGTTAGATTCGCTACTTAAGTAAAACTCATTACTTAAATATATTGCATATCTTACAAATATATAAATAAAGAAAGAAAGAAACAAGCAATTCAATAATTTATTTTCCTTCTAAATCTTGATAGATAGTATTAACTAGTTTAAAAAATAAACAAATAAAATTGTAGTTTGACTAAATAAGTAAAATCAATAGTAGAATATTTCCTAGTTAGATTTAAAATAATATTAAAATTTGTGAGGATAAATATAGATTTAAATAAATAAATAATGATAATTATTATTGAATCAATCAATCAATACTTAATTTTTGTTATCAGGCACAAATAAATTAATTAATACATTAACAAATAAAATAAAATAAAAAATTCAATATTTATTATAAATTATTGATTAGAGTAACAGCAAGATAATGATTTTAAAGCAAATAGCGATTGAACTTTTAGGTTTGGGAAATAGCATAATGAATAATACATATACATTCCATATAATTATTTACAGGATTAAATAAACTTAGTTAATTAGTTTTTCATAAAAGAAAAAAATTATTTTTGATATTGGTTTTTAAAATTGAGAATTAAATAATGAAAATTAAATCAAGTGAGGAAGGAAGGAATAATAATTTATTGAATAATTCATTCTTTATCAAAAAATTAAATATTTTTATGAATATATAAGATTGCTGGTGTTGAAGATTTAGGTAAAACTGGTAGAGGTAAAGCTGCTGAAATTGGTACTTATGTTGAAAAGACTTTCAACACCGAATTATCAGGTAATGTCGTTGATGTTTGCCCTGTCGGTGCTCTTACTAATGCTGTAAATATTTTGAATATAAATATCTCAATATTAAGAAATATAATTAATTATATTTAAAAAGCCTTACGCCTTTACTTCAAGACCTTGGGAACTCAAGTCTTTCTACACTAGTGATGTTTTCGATACTTTGGGAAGTGCTATCCAAGTTGATACCAGAGGTCCTGAAATCATGAGAGTCTTACCTCGTATCCATGAAGAAATTAACGAAGAATGGATTTCTGATAAGACAAGACACGCCTTCGATGGTTTAAAGAGATAAAGAATCAACAGCCCCATGAAGAGAAGTAAAGATGGTAATTACGAAGACATTTTCTGGGAAGAAGCCATCTAAACTATTTCTAAGAAGTGCCTAAACACTCCTAGTGATTAAATCGGTGCCATTATTGGTGAATTCGCTGATATTGAATCAATTACTGCTCTTAAAGACTTCCTCAATCGTCTTGATGTTGATAACTTTGAAGTCCGTCAACATGTAATTAATTATTAATCATAAAAAACAATTTTCACTTTTATTTTTATTAAAAATTGTTAAATGAAATTGTATCAAAATTTAACATTTAATTAAATCAGGGTAACTTAAAGGTCTCTCCTGACTTCAGAGCTAACTATTTAATGAACAGCAAAATTACTGGTGTCGAAGATGCTGACGTTTTACTTTTAGTTGGCTGCAACCCCAGATACGAAGCTCCTGTTCTTAATGCTCGTATCCTTAAATCTACTCGTAAAAATCTTAAAGTGTTTAACATTGGTACAAACTAAGATTTGAACTACAAGAATGTTCATTTGGGTAACTCCACTAAGGTTTTGAAAGAAATTGCTGATGGTACTCATCCTTTTGCTGAAAGACTTAAAAAGGCTAAGCTTCCTATGATTATGGTTGGTGCTAGTGCCTTAGAAAGAGAAGACGGTGCTGAATTATACAACACCCTCAAGGTTATTTCCAATAAGACTGGTGTTATTTCTGAAGAAAAGAGCTGGAACGGTTTCAATATTCTTCACAAGGAAATGGGTAGAATTAATGCTTTAGAATTAGGTATTAACCCTACTTCAGTCAACAAGAATGCTAAGTTAGTTTTCATTTTGGGAGCTGATAACAACTTGAGACCTGAAGACATCCCTGCTGATGCTTTTGTAGTTTATTTCGGTACTCATGGTGACGAAGGTGCTTACTATGCTGATATCATCCTTCCCACTGCTGCCTATACTGAAAAGAATGCCACTTGGGTCAACACTGAAGGTAGAGTTTAATAAGGTAGACTCGTTGTCATGCCTCCTGGTGATGCCAGAGAAGACTGGTAAATTATTAGAGCTTTGTCTGAAGAAGCTGGTGTTCCTCTTCCTTATGACAGTCTCGAAGAAGTAAATAAACAAATATTTATTTAAAAAAATAATTTTTGAGTAAACTTTAAAATAATTAAATAGTTAAGATACAGAGTCGCTGAATTGGCTCCTCATTTATTAAAATATGATTATATTGAACCTACTATTTTTGGTAAGGTTGCTCTCTCTGCTTAATAAGGAGTTAAGACTACTCTTTCACCTACCCCTATTACTGATTATATTGATGTAATTAACATTTAATTGTGCATTTTTTATTGATATATTTATGAATTAATTAATAAAACTAGAACTTCTATATGACTGATGCTATCTCAAGAGCCTCAGTTACTATGGCAAAGTGCTCAACCGCTTTCAACCATGAAAAATTCAGCAACTTCAAAAATCTCGCTAAATGATTATGAAACTTAACTAACACCAAATAAATACACAAAAATTCTTGATCGTTCCACATGAAGATGCATGACTAAAATATATAAATTAAAAAGTGCTTTCGCGCATATAAACTTACTTATAATCTAAAATATTTTAGTTGTCATTGTAATGTGTTCAGCTGTCAAGACATTATCATTTTCAAAAATCTTAGTTTGATTTTACAAATTAATTTAATTTATGTTGATTTTTCATATAACTTTGTTTGTGATTAGATAAAGTTATTAAATTACAACTGATTGACTGACTGACTGCTAATTAACTATTAAACATTTCTAAAAAATTCATAAAAATTATTTTTTTATATTTATTAATATTTTAGTTGAAATTCAATTTTTTATAAAAAAATTAAATATAACTTTTTGTTCAAAAAAAATTGAACACACCAAATTATTTTTTAGAAAATTAAATTAAATCTTCAATAATTGATTGTGTTTGAGAAATAGAGATAGATTTATTGATAATTAAATAATTATTTGAAGATAAATTTAGAGAAAATATTAATTTAAATTAAGATTATATGAAACAATAAACAATACTTCACAATATATATTATAAGTATTAAATACAAAGAAAAAATAAATTCTTGAATCAAAATGCAGTATTAAAAACAAAACATTTTCATCATCGGAAATAGCAAATATAACACAGAGAGTTATTTATTATCTTTTATCTGGATAGTTGATTTTTTTATTATATATTATATTAAATCATATTGATTGTTAAATATCTTAAAAGATTATTTTGGCTAACTTATTAGGAGAGTACTAAATATACTCAATAGCTTGATTGCAATAAATCCTAAGATTTTATTTTGTTAATGTACTGTTTAAAGTGGTTTTTCACATAATATTATTCATTTTATTTTATGATAGATTATTTTTTAATATTTGCATTTGACTGCATGTTTTTGTTTAAATATAATCACTTGTTCTTTCGTTCTTCATTAAAAGGTTTCACTTTCCCAATAAGTACCATCGAATCTGTAGCATCTAATAATACCTTCTTCACCAGCACTAACAAAACCTCTACCATCAGGTTAGAAGACGAGATGGTTAATAGGACCGAAACAACCAGAAATAGTACCTAAATCTTCACCATACATAATATTGCATAAATGGATAACGTAACCACCAGCCTATTTTAAAATTAATAATTATTTATTTGCTTTTAATAACAGTATATAATTTAATTTTGAAGCTCAAAACGATTAATCAAATTTATTATCAATTATAATTAATTTGTAAATCAAATACCTTTAATTTTAAATTAAAAATTAAAGGTTATTTTAATATTTTATAAATATAAAGTAAGAGAGTAACGATAAATTACTTTGCTTCCAGCAGATTCTCTAGCAGGTAAACCACCACCCATGATACAGTGATATTTAACATCTTCAGTTTCACCAGTGATCAAAGGACTAATAGCAACAGAGTTCATTTAAACTTATTATTTAATAAATCTGATACATTTGAGAGTGGAAGGATCCCAGAATTTGGCACCATCATTACCAGAAGTAGCTATTAAAGAGTAATCTTTAGAGTAGCTAATAGATAAAGTTTCACCCTAGTGAGCGTCTATCTCTAAGATAACTTTACCTGTTTATTTGTATTTTTAAGAATGAATAAGTTATTTCATAATAGATAGTATCATTTAAAAATAATATTAGAGAATAATATATCTAGTTTTTCTAAAACTGCTAAATTTTTATGTGATTCCATTTTAAAAAATGTTTTTAAATTTAGTCTTTTATGCTCGCAAGATAAAATTAAGTTAATTCTAAAAGATATATATATGTATTGATTTATTTATATAAAAGTCTTTCTGTCTATTTATTTGTCATTTTTAAAACACTCAGTTTACATTAAATTTTCAAAATTGGAATACAAAGAAATTTTATTTACCTTCAGGATCTAACTTTATCAATTTGCCATTTGTTGTACCAACGTAGAGACATTTATTTAAATAACCGTATCTAATTTTGTTAGTAGTGTAATTAAGGTTGAAAGTTTTATACATAGGGATAGAATCATCAGGAATTTTTTTTTAATTAGCATTTTTCAAAGCTTGAAGGAAATCTTTGAACTTGTATATACCTACCAAGTTATTAGCTTAGCTGTCGTAACTTTCAAAAAGCTATTTTTATTTCAAAAATGTTTTAATATCTTAATTTTTTTGATTTCAAGCAATCAAATAAATATATTTGAAATGGCAATCTATCTATTAAGCTAAAGAAAGTCACTAAAATGTTGAAATGCAGAACTAAATTATTACCACAAGGAGGTATTCGTTTCCTTAACTAAGTTCAAGATACTTACATTTATACTTTGTCTTGTAAAAACCTATGGATTAACCGCCATCTACTAAGAAAACTTGTAAAGTACCTTCGAGGGAACCTGTTATGAGATATTAAGAATCATCGGTAACATCAAGAGCCTTAACGGCAGATTAAGTCTTATATGAACCAATTCTTTCAAAAGTGTGATTACGCCATACATTTACTCTTTTTTCAGCTGCACCAGAGAAGAGCAAATCTCCATCCTAATTAAACTTAACAAAGTTAACAGGCTTTTCGTGACCTCTTAATTCAATTAATTTCATTGCTTTGCTTTTTATATATTTTAATATTAACTAAATAAGTATATCCTCTATTTTTGTTTATTTTTATTTTTTATATCAAAATAAATAGTTTGTTTATATTTTTGTAATATGGCTTCTTATATATTCAAGCAAAAACTACTTCTCTTTATATGATATTTGCAAACAAACAAGCATAAAGTATCTTTTCTATTAATTTTTCTTTTTTATCTAATATGGCCATTTCTATTTATTATTAATCCTATTACCATAATGACAGACAGGCAGGAGTACTAATAATTTAAATTCATTTTTATCTTTTTAACTAAATTTATTTGCTATTGCTTTTAAAAATTATTTTAATCTTTAATAATAAATATTTCAAAGGCATAAAGCATTTAATTTAAAAATTATTTTTTTTTCAAAAATATTTAATTAAAATATCATTATTTAATAAAAAAATTGTAACACTATTGTTTAAAAACTATAGTATTGTAAAAATGATCAATTGATTGATGCTTTAGGATATCAATTTTATGATTTTTTATTTTTAATACGAATGCATAAATCAAAAATATTTAAAAAAAATAAACTTTCTAATAAATCTAAAAAAATTTGTGGTTAATTAAAATTAAATTTTTTTGTAAACTTAAATCATAAAAACTACCATATCATAAAATTATATTTTTATAATTTTAAAAAATATTTTTTAGATTCTTTTATAGAAATCTTTCTTTAATTTTTTTAATATGTTATTAATAACTAAATTTCATTTTTGAGAAAAATCATTGAGAATAAATCATAAATTTTCTTATTCCTATTAATCACAAAGTTATATTAAATAACTACTTATTTTAATTTTGAAAAATATAAAAAATTATATCCTGATTTAAATTCAATAAATTATTTAAATTTATAACAAAACTAAGGAATAAGATATTGTTTTTACTTATTAGAGCATTTTATAAACAAATAGAATTAAAATTTTAGAATAATAGATTCAGGAAATCCTTTTAATTTAATCCAAACAATTAGCACCTCTATATTAAATTTTTAATGCAAAAATTTATATAATATTAAAATATTTTTTGTTGGATGTTTATATAGAAATAATTATAGATAGTAACCATTTGGAATATATTCTAAAACATTCTATACAAAAAATGATAATTAATATTAAAAATATTATAATATAATCTAATATTCCCATTCAAATTAGAAATATTTTGTGATATCTTGTTTAATATATATTTTTTTATAATCTCTAAATTTTTGGAATAATTTATTTTTAAATCGATATTGATCATTACAAATGTAAAAAGATTCAAAAAAATGCTATTTCAATAAGCTAATTATGTTTTTATTTATTTTATTAAATATTTACTTATGTTCTTTATGTCAATTAAAATTATTTTATAGTTGAAATAGAACTAAAAAGTAAATAAAATTTAATTAATTTAAATTAAATATATGATAACTAAAAACTAACATTTTATTTTAATTAGTGATAAATTAGTTTATTTATTTTTTAAGCATTTAAATTATTTACATAAAATTCTTTATATTATTAAATATTCAAAATAATGTAATGCTTACTTATATTTCAAAAAAATTTGCTAATCAAAATCATTTAAATTTCAATATCAACTAAACAGTCTACTAAAATAAAAGTCACTTTAAGTTGATCTTATTTTAAGATTTTATAGGAAAAGCTAATTTAAGGGCGCTAGCTCCGGTGAGCAGTAATAATTCCTCCTTAATATTTAATAGGTTCAACTCCTATAGTGCCCCCCATTTTTTTAATAAAAAAAATACTAAATGAACTAATTCATATTAAAAATAGAGAAAAAAATATTTCTAAAAATACTGAAAATCATATACTTCATATGAGGTAATAAATATTAATAGGATTTTCAAAATAATTTAGTATCATAAATTATGCAAATGCTTATATGACATATTTATTATGAAGTAATTTAGTCTCAAATTTTATTTTGTTAAAGCCAAATATTTAAAACTTTTAATTGTTTATTTTGTTATTATATTTAGAAAAATAATTTTTATTGGTATTAATTAATTCAAAATATCTAATAAAATTATTAACGTGTCTTCTAGTTTTGTAGTTGCTTTAATATAATCTTATATTAGGATTTGATAGGAAATGCTAATTTAAGGGCGCTAGCTCCGGTGAGCAGTAATAATTCCTCCTTAATATTTAATAGGTTCAACTCCTATAGTGCCCCCCATTTTTATTTTTATGCTATTCGTAGCTTTGATAATAAAATAAATATAAAAATTAACTCAAATGTAAACTAATTTTTTTTAATTTTTGACAAAATAAAGTAAAAATTAAAAATATGAAACTATTTTTGAAACATTTATTTCTTATTAAGTCTAATTTTGACAACCTGATTTATTTATAAAATAAAACTATATCTTGACGAATTCTTTTTTTAAAATAAAAAATATTTCTCTGATTCCTAAAATTAATAAAAAATATATGATAAAGCAAGAAAATACATTTTTTAGAAAGCCATAAATTATTTTGAATATTAATTAAATGATTGAAATATTTATATTTAATTAACATTGTCTACCAAAATAAAATCCACTTTAAGTTAATCTTATTTTAAGATTTTACAGGAAAAGCTAATTTAAGGGCGCTAGCTCCGGTGAGCAGTAATAATTCCTCCTTAATATTTAATAGGTTCAACTCCTATAGTGCCCCCCATTTTTAAAAAATTTTTAATTTAAACTTAAAAGACTAAAATGATTGATTTTTTGAGCTTCCTAGGTATTCGGTCGGGGCAAGTTATGAGATAATACGGTATACAAGCATATCTACAAAATTAGATTAAATTATAAGAAAAATAAGCTTTAAATATTTAAAAAAATAAATTTAAATTTGTATTTTAATTTAATTAATTAAAATCAATCATAAGTGTCTACTAAAATCAAAGTCACAATATTTTGATCTTATATTAAGATTTTATTGGAAATTCTAATTTAAGGGCGCTAGCTCCGGTGAGCAATAATAATTCCTCCTTAATGTTTAATAGGTTCAACTCCTATAGCGCCCCCCATTTTTTAAATTTGTAATTCAAACATAAAAAAATCTTTAATTAAACAATCAAAATAAGTAAGTAAATGTTTTAAAAGGAATTCAAATATATTTATTTTTTCATTTTCTTAATGGTAACTAAAAAAAAATAAGTATTATCACATTTTATACCACTTAAATCATATTTATCTTGCTAAAATTTAAACTGATTATTAAAATAAATTTATATCCAAACTTTTTTTATTATTTTTATCAATATAGATTAAATATTTTTAATTAATTTAGAGTGTCTAATATAATAAAAGCCACTATAAGTTGATCTTATGTTAAGATTTTATAGGAAATGTTAATTTAAGGGCGCTAGCTCCGGTGAGCAGTAATAATTCCTCCTTAATATTTAATAGGTTCAACTCCTATAGTGCCCCCCATTTTTTGATTACATAATTAAATTAAAAATAAAAATAAATTTAAAAGTTTACAGTAATAAATTGTATTAAAATATTTAAACATATTTACTTTACAAATAAATCAAGTAACTTTAAGATTTTCATCATTAAATTATAGTAACAAAATAAATAAATAAGAGTAGGTATATTAAAAAATTGAAAAAAAATTTTATATTCAGAATTTGTAGTTAAATAACAAATATATTATTTTAAAATTAATAGTTTTGAGATTAACTGTTTTTTTCATATAAGTGTCTATTAACATAAAAGCCACTTTAAGTTGATCTTATTTTAGGATTTGATAGGAAATGTTAATTTAAGGGCGCTAGCTCCGGTGAGCAGTAATAATTCCTCCTTAATATTTAATAGGTTCAACTCCTATAGTGCCCCCCATTTTTTAAATTTTATAATTCTAATAATAATTAATCTACAGTAATTTTATTACTATAATTGTTATTATTTTTAGTAAAAAAAACATATTCATTTTTTAAATATATTTTTTTATTGAATTTAACATTTATATTAGAAAACTTATTAAAAAATCATCAATTAAAAAACAAAATATATTTACTAATTTTAAACTATTATTTTTATTATGATTTAATTTGTTTTTCTTCATAGTGTCTATAAAAATAAAAGTCACTATATGTTGATCTTATTTTAAGATTTGATAGGAAATGCTAATTTAAGGGCGCTAGCTCCGGTGAGCAGTAATAATTCCTCCTTAATATTTAATAGGTTCAACTCCTATAGTGCCCCCCATTTTTTGAAATTTATAATTCTAATAATAATTAATCTACAGTAATTGTTTTACTATAATTGTTATTATTTTTAGTAAAAAAAACATAATTCATTTTTTAAATATATTTTTTTATTGAATTTAATATTTATATCAGAAAACTTTTTAAAAAATCATCAATTAAAAAACAAATTATATTTCTTAATTTTAATTTTTAATATTATCATTTTATTTATAAACTATTATTTTAATTATGGTTTAATGTGTTTTTCTTATAAGTGTCTATTAAAATAAAAGCCACTATATGTTGATCTTATTTTAAGATTTGATAGGAAATGCTAATTTAAGGGCGCTAGCTCCGGTGAGCAGTAATAATTCCTCCTTAATATTTAATAGGTTCAACTCCTATAGTGCCCCCCATTTTTTTAAAATTTATATTTTGAATAATATTTAATATACAGTAACTGTATTACTATAATTATTATTTTTTTTAGTAATTAAAACATAAAATGAAAAAATGATTAAGTGACTTGATTCGATAACATAAATACTTTTATTGAATTTAATATTTATATTAGATAACTTTTAAAAAATAAATAATAAGTATAATCCTCAATTTAAAAAACAAAATATATTTTTAAATTCTAATTTTTAACATTTTAAATTAATTTACAAACTATTATTTTGATTATTAGTTAAAAAGTGTTCTTCTGATAAGTGTCTATAAAAAGAAAAGCCACTTTAAGTTGATCTTATTTTAAGATTTGATAGGAAATGCTAATTTAAGGGCGCTAGCTCCGGTGAGCAGTAATAATTCCTCCTTAATATTTAATAGGTTCAACTCCTATAGTGCCCCCCATTTTTTAAATTTTATAATTCTAATAATAATTAATCTACAGTAATTGTATTACAATAAGTGTTATTATTTTTAGTAAAAAAAACATCATTCATTTATAAAATTTATTTATTTTTTGTATTTAATCTTTAAAAAAGAAAACATTTTAAAAAAATAATAAATTAAGAAACAAAATATATTTTTTAATATTATCATTTTACTATTATTTTGATTAAGATTTAATGTGTTTTTCTTATAAGTGTCTATAAAAATAAAAGTCACTATAAGTTGATCTTATTTTAAGATTTAATAGGAAATGCTAATTTAAGGGCGCTAGCTCCGGTGAGCAGTAATAATTCCTCCTTAATATTTAATAGGTTCAACTCCTATAGTGCCCCCCATTTTTTAAAAATTTATATTTTGAATGATAATTAATCTGTAGTAATTATATTAAAATAATTAATAAAATTAAAAATTAAAACTTAAAATGATAAAACAACATGTTTTATTTTTTAAATAAATATTTATTTTTATTTCAATTTAACATTTATATTTGAAAAATATTAAAATAAAAGTATAATCCTCAATCTAAAAAACAAAATATATTTTTAATATTATCAATTTATTTAAAAAATATTATTTTGATTATTATAAAAAAGTATTTTTCTAATAAGTGTCTACTAATATAAAAGTCACTTTAAGTTGATCTTATTTTAAGATTTAATAGGAAATGCTAATTTAAGGGCGCTAGCTCCGGTGAGCAGTAATAATTCCTCCTTAATATTTAATAGGTTCAACTCCTATAGTGCCCCCCATTTTTTGAAAAAATATAATAATTAATATACAGTAATTGTATTACTATAATGACTATTGTTATAAATTAAACCATAAAATGATAAATAGATTTAATTCTTTTATTTCTATATGAAAACTTTTAAAAAATAATAAGTATAATCCTCAATCTAAAAAAAAAATATATTTTTAATTTTTAATATTATCATTTTACTATTATTTTGATTATGATTTATTGTGGTTTTCTTATAAGTGTCTATAAAAATAAAAGTCACTATAAGTTGATCTTATTTTAAGATTTAATAGGAAATTCTAATTTAAGGGCGCTAGCTCCGGTGAGCAGTAATAATTCCTCCTTAATATTTAATAGGTTCAACTCCTATAGTGCCCCCCATTTTTTAATTATTATTTAGTATTTAATTACATGGTAGATTTATGATATACCTTATTTGATTCATAAAATAAAATATTTAATTTGAAAACTAATTTTTTTAGATTTAAAATGCAAAATTGTTTTTTCTATGCATTCCAAATCATTTAATCAAATTTCTATTGTAAAATTACTTTTTAAAAACATTTTTTAATTTGTCTTAATATATTTTTGAGATATTAATTTAATTTAAATAATATTTTTGAATTTTCTTATTTACTCTTTATAATATTTTAAAAAAAATAATTTTAAATAAAAAACTTTCTTAAGCTTTCTTTTTATTTCTAAAAATTTAAAAACTTCCAAAAAATTATAGTGATTATATTTTAGAGTTGTTAAATTAATTATTTAAACTTTTTAGTTTAATCTATTTCACTTTTAATAAGAAATATTTTATATTTTATCTTTTTTTTTAGAATACATAAATTAATTTTTTAAATGTATTTTAAATTTTTAAAAATATAAATAGGGCTTAATAAATAATAGAATACAGTTAAAATTATCATTTTTAAAAATGTCTTTTTGTCTTTTACTAAACTTTATTTTCATTTTTTAAATTTTTAGATAAAAAATTGAATTATAATTCTTCTAATCCTCTTTAATAACAATCAGCTACTTCTAGATATTAATCTTTAGGTAATTGATTCTCAGTTTATATATCATTTATGCATTATTTTAGTTTTGTTACTTTTTAGCTTAATTCAGCAGAAGCTATTTTTGTTTAAATAACTTCGTCTAACTCATCACTACAATTTAATTCTACTAACTCATTAAATTACTCATGAACTTCATCAAAAGAATTGTAATGCATTTGATAGCATGTTGGATAAATATCATTATGCTGATCACTACGATTTTTTATGCAATTATAAACTGAAATACCTTATTATTATTCAGCTGAGTCTAAACCTGAGATAGAGAAAACACACTACTCTATACTGGAATATTTAGTGCTTCCTTCACACATCTCTTGTATTTACTCTATAAAAGCTAAATGCATTTAATCATACTCCATTTAATACTTTTCAAAACAAGTTTTAACAACTGGAGAGATTTCTTATGATTCATATTCTTACAACTTAAGATAATCATACTAAAAGCAGAAAGTTAATCTCATAAAATCTTCTTTTATTAAATTGTCATCATATTATATTTAGTTAATACAAATTCTAGCATTGTTAAACTACTTTTTGTTTTGATCTTAATCTTCTACTTAAAAGTCTATTTATTTCAAACAAAAATCTGCTTTTATAATAATATCATCAAACTTGCCCTATTCTTCATAATTTTTATTTTCATTACACCAATTCTATATTTTTTCTTTTAATATATCATCTTAATTTTCACTTTCATCATCCTCATTTTCTTCTATATCTTTAATATCATGATCTGTTTAATCTTTTTCATCATTATCATTATCATTATCTTTTTCATCTTCTTCTTCTGAATTCTTTTTACTATCTTATTCTGCATTTTCAGCTTCATCATCTTCTTTTTATTCTTATTCTAATTCTTTATCTTCATTTTCATTTTCATCATCTTCTTCTTCTTCATCACTTTCTTCATCTTCATCATCATCATTATCTTCTTCTTCATCATAGTCATTTTCTTCTTCTTCTTCATCATCATCATTTTCTTCTTCTTCATCATCATTTTCTTCTTCTTCATCTTCATTTTTTTCTTCTTCTTCTTCATCCTCTTCATCATCTTCATTTTCTTCTTCTTCTTCCTCTTCTTATTCGTCTTCTTATTCTTCATTTTAATTATCATCATTATCATTTTCATCCTTCTCTTGTTCCTCTTCTTCTTTTACATCTTCATCTTCTTTTTCAGCAGAATCCTCTTTACTACTTTAATCTGCTTCACCATCATCATCACCACCATCTTTTTCTTATTCTTGTAAATTTTAAGATATTTTTAATTGAATTTTTAATGAAATAATCAATTTAATAATAATTAAATTATAATACCATTTTCTTCGCTGCTATCACTGTCAGAATTACTGCTTTAATCTTCATCAGTTTCTTCATCTAGCATTTGTATAGCTGACTAACTCTGATTTTTTGTAATTTTTCTACATTAGTGGATAGAGCGAGTTAATAAAATACAAATAAGTAACAAATAAAGTAAAGATTTGATTGATTTCATATTTTTTTACATAGTAATAATTGTCTCAAAAAATAATTAAAAAATTAAGATTAAATATTTTTAATTAATTAATTAAGGAGTTTTTAAAATCAGTAATTTAAAACGGGTATAATTACTGAATAAACACTCACTTTAGTTGAAACTAAAAATAAAACAATTAAAATAATTTTAAAGTGCTTTTTTAAATGAAAATTAAGACTAATTTGATTTATTATGTAGAATTAATATTTATAAATAACTAAATTAAGAAAAATTATTTAATTTTATTTTTATTATAAATTGAATTTTAAAATTATATTTAATGCACAAATCACTCAATTAGCACCATTATCTTCATCTTAGTCAATACTGTTGATTATTTCCCATTCTCCTCTATCATTTTCCTATTAATTTGTCACAAATTGTTAAATAAATTAAATATTCAAATGATAAAAATAATTTTTACTTGATATACAACAACTTAATTATCGTTATTTTAAGTAGCTGCAGATACTGCTAACATATTTCCTGTAAGAGACCAGCTTAATCTCCATACAGGTCCTTCAAAATTACCTTTTAAAATTGTTGGTTCAACTCTATCATAACCATCTTCAGTTTAGTTAGGATACAATTTCCAAAGTACAACCTTAGAATCCTATTTAAATTAATTAAAACTCAGATTAACTTGAAAATAGTTTTTTTATTACTTCTGAGCAACTTGCAATTAAATCATAAGAATTTCCGATAGCTGGGCACCAAGCAACGTCTCTAATCCAATCTTAATGGATATCCTTCAACTCAATTATTTTTTTGTAGTTTAATTTATCATTTTCAATTGAAATACTCCAGACTTTTAATGTTTTATCACAGCTACCAGTTACTATTTTTGGGAAAACGACCAAGCTTTTATCAATTTAATCAACCTTTTTTTAAGAATAATATATGTACCTTGTTATAATAAAAAATTTGCTAAAATATACAGTCATTTCTTCACTAAGTTGGTATGGTTACCATGATAAACTATTAACACCTAAATCATGAGCTTACCAGTCAGAAGAGGAGAAAGTGTTGTCTTTTTATCTTTAGCTTATAATACATACTTTGCCACCTTTTCATTTAATTATTTATATATATTTTTTACATTTAAATTGAATAAACGTGTTTGCATATAAGCTTTATTTATTTTTAATATATTTGTTTACTTGAAGATGCAGCAGCGAGGTGAAGACCACATTCCCAAGGACTAAATTAAAGATAATTCATAGATCCATCAAATTATTTTTTCCAAACATTAGTCCAACTTCCTTATTAACTTTATGAAAGCATATCTCTATGAATAGCGACCTGTTAAATATTTTAAATTCTTGTTATCCTTTAATTAAATAATAGTTTTACGCTTTTATCAAATGAGCAAGATGCTAAAAGTGTTCCGAAACGAGGGTGAGCCCAAGCTATTTTCCAAATGGGACCACTATGGCTATTTTTTAATTTTAACTTTAATAATAAAATTAAAATGGATTTTTTATTACGGATTTTCGTGTTTTTCAGTAGTGATAGTAACTTTATTTCCATCATTTCTACCAGAAGTATCAAAAATATGAATTTTTCCATCATTAGAGCAGGTAGCTAATCTCTTTCCGTAGTAATCGTATTAAGCATCGTGCTTTTTTATAAATTTTACATATATTTATTTTTACTGGAAAATATACTTATCAATTAAAAGCAAATTTCATATTTGATTAATGGCATTTGCTACATTTTTATGATTTGAAATATAATAAATATATTACTATCATTCCTTCATGATTTGCATGCAAATTTAGAGTTTTCATTGGCATCATGGCTTATTATCCTGACTTTATATTATTAAATTTTATAAAATAAGATTCTACTTATATAATTTGAATGCAAAATGATTACCATTTTATCTTATTTGAAATTTTAAAATTTAGAATCTATAATTTATTTTAATGATTTGCTAAGTTTATTTATTTATATTAAATTGATAGCTAAAAGATATTTTTAAGCTTTTATAATTTATTATTTTTTTATAAAAGTTCTTTTAACCAATATATTGCATTTTGCATAATATTTATATTCATTAAAAGAGCATATTGTAGTAGAAACAGCTTTAATTGTTTTATTATCATTTCTGGTATTAAAATAATCAAAATTTATATACACATTAAATTATTTCATTATGCATATATACGTACAAACTAACAATTACCTATATTTTACAAACGTGTAAAAAATTGCATGAGTATTAAATCTACAAATGATGAAGTCTATTTCAGTTGAAAAAAAATAAAAGTTTTATTGAATTACAAGTGGTTTAAATATAAATTTTAAGCATTCAAAATATTCAAAAAGCTATCAATACTTTAAAACAGATAAGTTATTATAAAAAATATAGAGATTAACCAAGCTACAAAAAAATTTTATTTTAAAGAATTAACTTTAATTTAAAAAAATTAAAATTAAGAAATAAAATATAGTCTCGGTAATTGTTAAAGCTTATAACCTATTCCAATTTATTTTTTTTTAAATTTAATTTTCTATGCTGAGTGATTGGTGGGAAGGAGCTAAAAAAATATTGCTTTAAAACAAAAATACACAATAAATATTTAAATTAAAAATGTTAATTTAAAATTTTATAAATAAAGAAACAAAATAATAAAAATTTTAGGGTTTTACTTAATTTAAAAATAAATTTAAATGTAATAAATTACCAAAATTTGCTTAATAACCTAAATTAATTTTAAATTATTATTATTATTTTTGAATATAATTTATATTATTGTGTAAGATAATTAAGAATTTAATTCATAATTTGATCATAATATAAGAGATTAAATCTTTTTAAGCTATGGTTAATTAAGAAAAGCAATAAATGTATTTTAGTTATGATAGATAATAAAGAAAGAATAATATATTTTAGATAATAATTGATATGCTATTTCAAATTATTTATAATCACTTAAATTATGAATTTATTTTTAAATTATTTTGAATTTATATTAATCAACTGGAAAGATTTTGATTAACAAAAATCAAATTATAACTATGTAATTTTATTTGTGTGCTTATTATCAATTTATTAATCAATCATTTAATCAATTATTTAATAAATTTCAAATATAAAAACAATTAAAATTGCAAATTTAAAAATCACTACAAATGATAAACAATTATAAGAAGAGCGGAAACATATTAAACACTTAGAAGTTTTTAAAAACAAAGAATGTTAGGTAATTAGACGAAGAAACCCTAAATGAACTTAGGGAAGCATTTAACTTATTTGATACCTAACATTCAGGAGAAATAGATTCGAGAGAGTTGAAAGCCATAATGAGAGCATTTGGATTAGATGTTAAGAAAGATTAAATTACTCTGATATATAAGGAATTAAATAAAGATATAAATGAAGGCATTAATTTTTAAGAATTCACAAATATAATGGCACCAAAACTTGTAAATAAACCTATCATTTAAAATTAGAGAAATATTAAATGTAACTTAAATTCAAAAATAATTAGGGTTCAAAAGATACAAAAGAAGAAATTGAAAGAATATTTTAATTGTTTGACGAAGAAAGATAGGGTAGAATTTCATTTTAAAATCTTAAAAAAATAGCTTCTGAAATAGGTAAATATAAAAGTTATTTGACTAGTATTTTCTAATAAATTTATTTACAATAGGAGAGGAAATTAGTGATGAAGAATTATATGAAATGATTGAAGAAGCAGATAGAGATGGAGATGGGTGTTTAAATTTTAATGAGTTTTATAGAATAATGAAAAAGAGAGAAGATCCTTTGGATGATTATGATAGTGATCTTGAGTGAAAATAACTTTATTTATTAACTTATTTTTATATGATTTAAATGCAATGTAATTAATTTTGTTTTCTAAATCTTATAAAATATTAATAAAATTAGTTATTAAAACTTTTTATTTGAATTTCTAAAATAAGATACATTATACATATATATATATATCTTAAAAATTTATAATTTAGAGATTAGAAAAATATTTATTTGCATATAAGGTTATGATTTTATTAAACAAAGTCTCAAATCAAATGTTTTTTACTGGAAAATCTTCTATTCTACAAATCTAGCTTGGAAAATAATAGTTTTAAATTACAATTCAATTTTATTATTGTTTGCAATTATTTAAAGTTATAAAAGATACAACTATTTCAAACTTAATATTTTAATGATCCAACTTTTTTTTGTAATTAAGCCTAAAATTAAAAGCATTCTTTGATAAAAATTAAATATCTTTTTAAATAATAGCTTTACAAGCATATAAAATTATATGTTAACTTTATATTTATTAAAAAGTTAAATAAATTTAAAAAAAGAAAAGAAACCTATTCCTGAGATGTCAAATAATAATTTTAAGCTTAAACAAATGCAAGAGTTAGGCAGTATATCATTTACACGACTATTAAAATAAAAAGATAAATAGTTTTAAAATATGGTAAAATAAAATATTCTAATTAATTTTATAATATAATAATTAAGCCAATTAAAAAAAAGCAGTATGAAAATAAATAGTTAAAAATAAATAAAATATTCTAATTAGTTTTTATATATTTATCTGATTTATGATATTACAAAAACTTTTGAATGAAAAAAAAATTTAATCAGTTACTAATTATTAGAATTATAAATAAAAAAATAATGTTTTTTTTGAATTGTATCTGTATAAAACAAAAAACTAATTTAAGCTAGTATATCTTTTTTTATTTAATTGAAATAAAATTGTATTTATTTTATGGTCCTTTATATAAAAATAAAATATTAACAAATTTAAGATTATTAATTATTTACATTGTAAGTATAAATAATATATAATATATTTATATAAGAGTGCTGAATTATTCTAAATAAAGAATTTTTATATTTTTGATAAATTTTAATATAATTTTATAAATAATTATAGTATCTTTTTTGAAATGCATGTATGTATGTGTTAATTAGTATCTTTCGCTTTTCAATCATCACATTAGTGTGATTGATTAATCACATTTAGTTTTTTATGTTGTTAAAAAGTATTTCATTTGAATCTTATTTAAGCATATTTTTAAGCAGAGGAATCATAGAAACGATGAACATAACTAAAACAACTCTTATGGCAGTACTTACTAATCTCATTCTCATTTTTACATTATTGTTTGAGTTTCCCATAAACAGGAATTTTCCTTTTTACTGAACAAATTCTACAACCTTTTCATATACTTTCTTGAACATTCTTTTCATAAATTAAAAGAAGTCTATTCCCCATCCTTTCATTCTAAGTCCAAGATTAAACATTGATTAAAATAGATGAACTAATCCTTATGCATTCATTTCAACTGTACGTGCTATTTCTCCCATAGCTTAGATTACAAAACCAAAAGAATTCAAGAACATCATACTGTTTTGCATAAAACCTTATTAATTAGGGTCCATTCCCATACCCATTCCCATGCCATATCTACCATAGCCTCCTCCGTACATACTACTTCCTAATCCTCCATACATACTGCTGCCGTAGCCACCATACATACTACTTCCGTATCCACCGCCATACATAGAGCTTCCATAACCTCCATAGCTACTTCCCATTCCTCCGTAGCTACTTCCCATGCCATATCCACCCATAGTTCCCATACTTGAAGTACCTAAACTTGAGTTTAATCCATTAGTTGCAGAAGTTGTTGCTAATTGACTTGAGTCAGTTCCAAGAGTATTATTTGTTGGTACTAATGCAGATGTAGTATCAGTGGCTAGCTAATCTGCAGCAGGTACAGGAGGTAAATTAGTAGCGTTTGATTGGATAGCAGCTGTTAAATTGGAATCTACTTATCCTAAATTAACAAAAATATTTAAATAAATCGCAGTGATAAAAATAATTAATAAATATTTCTAGCAAACTTCTACAAGTAAGTCAAACAAGCTTACATAATTCATGAATAAATATATTGATTTGCTTAGAAGCTTTATAAATAAATAATGAATTAATTACTTCTCTTTTCCCAAGGCTTGGAAATCATTTCAAAGATGAATTATAAAATAAGTTAAAAATGGTTTTTAGAATAAATTAGGAATTGATGAATCCTTATTTAATTTGTTAGTTTATAATATTTTTTATATTATTATTCTTTATACGGATTTTTGTGGGAATGAAATGAATATAGATTTATAGTTTTGATTAAAGAAAAAAATAAATAGGAATATATTGTTATTTATTTATTTGTTTGTTTGTTTTTAATTAATTATGATGATTGATGATGAGTTTTGAAATTATATTAAATAAAAATGAAAAGAATATTAGAAAGTTAATTAATAATAAATAGGTATATATTAGTACAATTAAAAATTTAAGTGTTTGTAAACTTAAAAACTAAAAGATAAAATAGAGAGTCATGATGCGTAATATCTATTTATGATATCACATTTCGACAACTCAATTATAGTTCTTCTTTCTAAATTTTCTTTCACCTAAATTTGATTAATTTTTTATATTAATTATATTTTTTGGTTTTAAAGAGATAGAGAAAGTGTGCTCATTTTTAACTTCATTTAACAAGTGTTGATTTTCAATTTAATTTTAATAGTAAACATGAATATCATATAGCATGTCCTGGCATTTTTATTAATTTTATTTTTTTTACAACTTTTTTTAGCTTAGTTATTGTTGTTATTCTATTTTAATTTTCTAAACCATAAAGATAATGTATGCATTTGCGTTACTTATTAATTATCATTTAAATATTCTTGATAGATTTTTAGCATATTACTCCTCTAGCTATTGTTAGCTTATTTTCTTTTGCTCTTCTTTCTACTTTTTATCCTCTATTTCTTGCATAGATTTTAATTAGTTATTTATTTACTTTTAATATACAACGTTAACAGCTGTTGAATGTGGATTCATGTTATAGCCTGCCTTATCTCCTTTTGGCAGTAAATCAGGTTTGTATTTTTTATTTAGAGATTCAAATCTATTTTATTAAGAATACCTACTTGCTATAGGTTCAACAAACCGGTTTTAATTTTATCCATTAGCAAATTTACCATTTTATAATTTTTTAGCATCCGTGTAAACTGTGGAATTATTAGTAGTGGGTTAACTTTCAAAATTTTAAGTTTCTTGACTAGGCATTAATGGCATATTTATCATATAATTTTAAGGTAATTTTTCATTAATAGGAACAAATACAGGCATTATTGGCGCTATAAGTTTCAATTAAGGCTCTTCAATTTTAGGAATAGAGGGTGGATCATATTGCTAGGCAGCAAGAGGTACAGATTTGTAATTTCCACCATTCCTTCTCTAAAAAAAGGATGGTTCACTTGAAATGAGCTCTTTATAATCTTCATATTATTTTTTGATGGAATTAACAACTTAAGGAAAATCATTATTGTAAATATTGTAATTAATATAATTTTCATTCTCACTAGCTGTTACTTTATATTAATGTAAGCTTGATACTTGTAAATTTTTTAAAGGACTACTAGATTCTTTAGAAGCATAATAATTAGGAATATTATTCATGAATTAAATTTAACTTTTAGGAGTGTCATGTTAACTTTTATACGATTGCTGAATTAATTATTGTTTTCCTATTTTTGAATCTCCATTAAAATAATCTTTATAAAATCTTATTGGTTTTTCATACTATTTCATTTGAAATGAAGATACTTTCTCATGTTCTCGCTTGTACTTTAAAATTGTATCAAGCGATTTCATTTTCATATTCTATTTATACCTTTCTTTCTAATAAGGAGGAGTGTGATTCCTGTATGGCATTAATTCTGGTAATTTTAAATCTTCGTATCTTAATTGTGTTTTATCTCCATCATTTTATGGTTATAAAATGCCTAATTCCTCTAACTAATCACATCTTTGCTAAAATTTCCATAGATCATAAGGAAGACTTCCTTTTTTGTAATAAAATTCAAATGGATTTGATATTTTATTGAAACCAATGTTTTATTTATTGCTATCAATAACATCAACTGTGTTCTTTTAATTAAATCCAATCATTTATAAAATAAATATCAGAAATAAACAAATATATATTTGTTACTCACTGTATTTTTTGAATAAAAAGACAATTTATTTCATGTATGATTCTAAAATAGATATAATCTTATTAAAATTACAATTAAAAACAAAATCAATTTTATTTTTTTATCTATTTAAAACAGTGATCTCTCATAATATATTCCAAAATATTCTATCAAAGTAAGGAATGTAAAATCTATAGATTATTTAAATATTTACTAATTTCTCATTCAAGTTTAAAAAATTCTGCAATAGCTGATTTAAAGATAGTAAAAAATATGAAAAAACAAAATTTTTTAATATTTACTTTCATAAGTAGATGTTTTAATTATTTTTTATTTTATTTCAAAATTATTCTTTACAGTGTTTCTCTTAAACCTGGTAGAATTATTCTGATTTGTAAAATTAATTGGATAGCTTTTTTAACAATTTATTGCTTTAAATTAATTTTAAATATTTTATTTGAATTTTGATAAATATTTAAGATTAAAAATAATGATTTTCTTAAATAAAAATATTAGTGATGTTATTTGCATGATAAAAAATAAATTCCTTATAGTAATTTTATTGCTTAATTTGGAATATTAGTGATGTTATTTTTCTGAAGAGAGATTCAGATTTATTCTTTAGAATAATTTTCTTTAATACTAATTGGGAAATACATATAAATACTTAATTAAAATAATGTTAGTATATTTATAAAGTAATTTTTTATTTATTTATTTATTAATTCGATTTTAGGATATTTAAGATTATCTTACTTAATTTTTAGTTTTTATTCCATCAATGTTTCAATTTGAAATTAGTAATAAGTTATTTGTGTTTAGTGTTTTGTTTTATCAAAATAGGAACTCATCTTAAGCATTTTAATTTTAAATATCTTCTGCGGCAAAATAATCATCACCTACATTTTCTTCATTTGCATCTTCATCATCTGGAATCTTTTCGTCTGTTATTTTTAACAACTTGCAAAGCTTAACACTATTTAAAAATATATTTAATATAAAAATCTTGATTATTCAATTATTACAAATAGCGAGGAGTCTTCATGATGTTAGCACCAGTACTAAGTGGTAACTTAGGATAGACATCATAGAAGAAATAATATACATGTCCAACGACTATTCCTGCTAAATCACTAACAACACTTTGGTTCAAAAATAACTGCATGAGAATAAAAAACCTATTAATTAACAATTACGTGTTGAATAACTAGCTAAAATTTTTGATTAAATTTTTTGATTGAAAAGTTAGCAAATATTTATAATAAATAGATACCAAGCTAAATAAGGAGCTTATATTGGTATCAAACCAAAAACGTGAAACATTGCATTTTTATTTCTTCTGCACCATAAATACAAAATCATTGTTTCAAAAGAGCCAGATAAATTAAATAATCCAAATAATGAAGCTATAACCTTAATATTTAAGAATTTAAATATTTTATATTCTAGTAGAAATATTTTAAGGATAAATTTACTGTTAATTGTAGTACTCCAATCAATAAAAAGTAACAATAATTTGCTGTATTTCCCCTAAATGTCTGATCTTCTAATTTGCTTGAAAATCTGCAACTATTTAAATTTAAAAGGTCATTGTAAATTTATAGCTATTGCAAGATTCTTAAATTTTTAAGATTATCTTGCTTGAATATATTTTTATAATTTGTGTAATTTTATTTACAATAAAGTAATCTTAAAGAGTGTAATGAGCTTCATTTCTCCGAAGTAAAATAAGTCAGTCAATAATCTCCATCCCTATTTTATATTTTTATTTTTAGTTTAGCTATTATTTCCAGAGTTGCTTATTTTAAAAACTAAAAAAATACTTGAAACTTAAAAACTATCAGCTTTAAATTAAAGTATAGATTGTATGGTTAAACTATTTCTGTATATGTCATGACTGATAGTAGAAGTATCATGCCACACATAGTCCTAGTTATTGGCGGAATTCCGCTTAAAATATCCTCTAACATTTTACTATTCAAAATAAATACTATTTGAAATTTTTAGAATATAAAAAATTTGTATAATATTTGATTAATTTTTTCCTTTAATTACTAACCTTATTCTTTTCTAAATTCTGTAAAAAGAAAGAAAAAATAATTAATCAGATAAAACAATAGTAAACTTGAATTATGACAGAATAATACAAATATTCTCTAAAAAATAAAAAATTTTTAACTATTTATAATTAATTAATTGGTAAAAAAAAATAAATTAATATATGCAAATTAGACACAAATAGAAATCAATCAAATTGATTCCCATATATTCTATTGAGTTAAACAAAATCAAAATAAATAAATGAAGTAGAAATTTAAAGAGTTCTAATTAATGAATTTAATTTATTTAAAATTAGAATATTTCAATCTAAATAATTTTAAATTCACAAAAATTAATACTATTTTTCAATTCATTTTAATCTTTCTTGCAGAATTTTTAATTTTTGCTTTCTATAGGATAAGCTTATGAATTTATAAACTGTTTTATTCATAAAATATGCTTAAATGTAAAATATTTGTTCCTAAATATAAATCAAGCATTCAATAAAATTTGTCTATTTTTAATTTTTTTAATTATTTTCTATTTTATTATCAAAATAAATTGTGAATTTTTTCTAAAAATTTAAAAATTTAACAACAAAAGGATTTTTTTTCCTTAATCAATTGATAATCGAAATTTATCATTTAAATATTAATACTTTTTTTTATAATTAAGAATAAATGAGTTAAACAGAATAAAATCTAATCTTGGTAAGAACAAAAATGATTAAATTCAGATCAAGGCAGGAATAAGTACTTGTTAACTTTTCTTTTTTATCAAAAATGCTTTAAAATATTTATTATTTTAGCATTAAAAATTTTTTTTAATATTAGTTTTAAAAATAAAATTTATTTTTAATTAAATATAAAAATTAGAAATTCACATATATGAAGCAATTATTTTTAAGTAGTAGTAAAATAATTAAGTTAATTTAATTACAATTGTATATAAATTATTAATTTTTAAAAATTTATAATTGTGTTTGTTTTATCAAAAGAGTTTTTAAATTTTTCATTTATTTTTTTTCTTTTCGATTTTTTTAGAGGAAATCTTTTCTACTTTAGATGTGACATCCTTTAATCCTGATTTTAGTTTCTCAAATTTATTTTCAATTTATGATTCCTAATTTTAATCCTCTGATTTACTTAGTGATAAAGCCTTTAGTAATGGGAACCATGTTGTTTATTACTTATTAAGCTATTTAATAAAAATATATATTTAATAAAATTGTCAATAATCATTAAATAATATTACTAAGTCTTATATGTAAGACTCAACACCATTATATTCAGTGCTATCTTTACATTTTAGGTGATAAATATAGTATACATAATACCAGAGTTAATGCTACTTCTCAATATGTATAGTAAATCCTCCAGGTACTTTGTCAAACTTTTATTTATAAAATATTGTTTATAATTTGGAACTTTTTTTAGAAATTTACTTCGTTTCTTGATAAGCCACATATAAAGCAAACGTTATTTTTGTCTTCCTCCTTTTTTTGCTTTTCATCTCTTAATTCTATCAAAATTTATAATAGATGCTTAAAATGATTATTTTTAACATAAATAAAAGTATTACATGCAAAAGTGTCTATGATGATACCAAAGATGAAGTTTAAGAACATAATATTAATAATCATGAAGAAACTTAAGTCAAAGAAATATCTAAATATAAATGTGCTTGGATCTTCGTAACTAGGCTTAGCAATAGCTTCACCAATACCTGCTGCATGAAGAAGACCCTATTTTAATTAAAAGAGCATTTACTTTCTAAAACTAACTAAGAATTCATTAAATTTACCTAGTTTAATGTATACAAATAGCACTAGAAGAGCGTCGTGCAAGTATTTTAATCACCCTTTTCACCATCTAATCCATAGACTTCTGTAGTTTTGTAGGTTTGATCAGAGAAGTAAAAAGCAAAAATAGAATAAATATAAATAAGCACAGCTCCCAATAGAGTTGTTAAACCTATTTGTCTAATATTAGTTGTAACTGCCTTAACAACATTTTGAAGAGTAGGGAATCTAGCTATAATATCTAACAATAATAAACAATAGGTTATGTCAGATACAAATAAACCCATAGCAGAAACAATAACATAGAATAATAAATATATAAAACTTCCTTAGCGCATCATAGTTTAGAAGTTTCTCCAGTAATAAAAAAATGCAACAAAAAAGTGGCCAAAATCTCTTTTACCACTTTTCCAAAACTCCTCTGCATTTGGACCTTTTGTCATTAAGACACTAACAGCATCTCTTAGACTTAGGTATTTAGCTTCAATAATTCTTTCTTCCTCTTAAGGTTTCTTAAATTTCTATTTTTTTAAAGATTTTATTTAAATAAAATTCTAAGTTTAATAACATTTTACTTCGTTTTCTTCTTATATTGCATGCCAAGAGCGTTTAATAATTAATGGACCATGAATAATGATATAGAAAAGAATGATGATTAGTACAGTTATAAATTGAATTATTCCAAAAACTACAGTAGTTGTTAAAGCTCCAGGATTAATGTAGTTCTTAGCTTTCTAAAACTCTTCGAAAGTTAGTTTATATGTAAATAATATTGTTAAATTAATAGCAAGAGCAAAAGTGTAAGATATAAGCATAAGTGCTTGTAACCTGTTACTTGAAAAGTTAAAAATCTATTTCTTCAAGAAAGCAAGATGTTCCATTTCATCAAATAAGTCAATTGTTGCCTCAACTAAACCTTCTATTTTTTCACTAGTTGTGCTACGAGGAATTTCTTCCATTAAAGTTGCACGACTATTTTTGCTCAAAAGCCTACAGATAGGCTGAATTGGGAAATAAACTCTAATCAAATTATTCTTAAAAACAACTTCTATTGAAGCTGTGTTATATTTAAAGAACTTCAAGGCTGATACGTATTCATCTGGAGGATTTTCAAGCAATTGCTTTACATTCTCGTCTTTATCTGAAAGTGTTGAAATTAATAGGTAAATGTCAAACACTCCTTCTAGACTCTTTTAAATTTGAAAAAATAAATTTATTATTAAATTATTTTGAGCTTAAAATTTACCTCATCAAAATGGCTATCCAATCTATCTACGATCTTTCTGATTTTTTCATCTGAAAAATTTAATGTTTAGACAAATGAAATATTCAATTGCTACAAAATCTTCTTAAATTTATCATCTAAGATTTGGAATAAGTGATTGAAATCCAAAGTTTAGCACATTTATTGAAGTATGTCTTTGGAGGGATCACCTTCAATCAAAGAGTAAAGTAATTTAAATGACTTGCTTATCAAACTCTCTAACTCTTCCTTATTTTCTTCTGTGTCAAAACCGAGAATGTAATATTATTTATTTTATTCTTGATTACCTTGGAATTTTTAAAGGAGGTCTTTGCAAGTTTCATTTATTTTACCTCTGCACATTGTTATTTAATTTTCTACACAAGGCCCTTATATGGATTCTATTAAGAAATCCAATATCTAATCAATAAGATCTATGCAGTGAATATTCAAATATTTAACTGCACTTGAAAATAAGATAGTTGTGTTCATAATAAAATCGATGGATTTTCCTGATTCTTGTTAATCGATGATCTACTATCTCAAGTGATTCTAGAATTGATTATTGTGGCCTTCACAGAAAAGCTAGAGTAATCTATAAACTCTTCTGATTCTCCTTATTTCTTGAATTACCTTAATGTTTTATTTAATAAATTAAAATATTATATTAATTAATAAGCATTCTACATTCTAAGGAATTTATGATTCTTCGTCATCATCTTAGCTATCCATCACATCTGCTGCCTCGTCGTCAGATAATTTATCATCAAAATCTTCATCATTTAAATTAATTTGTTAATCAAGAGCTTGCTTTTATTCTTCAATAAGCTTAAATTCAACTTATTTATTGAGCTTTGACATATTTTTTTTAATTAGAAGCAAACCTCTAGTAATCATATCGTAGAGAACTCCTAAAAATTAATTATTTGAATCGCTAGACAAAGCTTTAAGAAATTCATCCTGAGTTTTAGCATTTCCACCAATCAATAAAGCTATACCTAGTAATATAGCTTCTTCTTTTATATCACTTGAAGCCTGGGGATCTTTAATAATCTAATAAAATAAATGTATTTAGTATATTAACAAAAAGAGGTAAGTAAAATTACTTCAACTATCATTTCAGCCACTCCTTATTGAATTAGTTAATTTTATCTTTTTATAATTTCTTCTTCAAAGCCTTCAAGTGAGTCCCATAAATCAATAGAATCATTACTTTCTGGGTTTTCAAGCTCTATAATTTACCTAAGAACTTGAAGTCTCTTTTTCTCTAATTCATTTTATGTGTTGTCGTAGTCATTAACGAATCTATTTTGAACCATTAACTTAATCATAGCTGTAGTTAGTTCTGAAAACTCTATGGTACATAATCCCTGGAACGCCTTTAAACTAATGTATTTGATATCTAAATAATTATTTTAGCATTAATTTAAAAATAAAAAATAAATATTTTATATTTACCTGTGAAATAATCAACAAAATTCTTGAATTCTTTTCTTATTTCTTCTTGTAAAATTTCTGATTTTTTCAATTTCTTAATAACATCTAATAAAGTGGCTTGCTTTTATGAAAGTTAAACAGTGCTTTCATGAGATATTTAGATCGTAGTAGAAAAATAATCTTGTAAATTTTTTTATGTTTAACGAACCTCTAGTAGATTTGGAATTATTTAGCTATTGATACTATTTGATAATAAAACAATATCGCCTTTTTTTACATATTATGTTAAAAATTTACTTATGCTATTTGAGTTTCTAAATTGATGTAAATCCTCTTACAACTAACTAAATGAGGATTCCTTTTAATTTTCTTTTATGAGTTTGCTTGAGCACAGAAAGCTAAGAAACTTTAATAATTGACTCAAGCAATTGAGTTAAAAATTATTTTTCTGAGCTTGTATCAAGTAGCTTTTTACATAAAATAGTGTCGACACATAGGAATAGAGATTCAAATATATATTCCAATTTTATTTTCTAAAGAGATATTTTTCCTTTATAGTTTCTAATATAAAATTATAAAAATTAATATTTCGAAGTAAAGAAATAAATTACAATAATTAAATATCTTGGACATCCAAGTTATTGGTAATTAAAATTAGATCATCTTCAATAGATTAGATGATAAACTTTTTAATTTCGAGAAGTTAATCAGACATTTCTTTTTCAGTGTCAAGATATACGTGGAAAAAGAAGAAATATAAACTTCTCTTAACGTAGAAGCAATTTTTGAATTTAATGAGGAGTTCCTTTAATTAGTATAGGGAAATGTAACTTTGTGCTTTACTTTCAGTGGCATTATTTTTTGAATCACATACAGCAGCCATTAAACTGAGCAAGCTATCAAAGTAATCTAATTCTTATGGTACATCAATAATCTTTTAAAGAGTAAAATAAATAGAAAAATTATTTTTAAAATGTAAATTGAAATTACTTCTTCTTAGCCTGAATCGACAAAGTTTTAAAATTATTAACTAGAATGTATAAGTTATTTGTATGAAGGATCATCAAAATTAATAAAAGAGAGAAGATTCTAATTCTCTTTACTAGTTAGAAGATCCATAATAATTGTTTAGTTTTCTTTTACAATTATATCGTTAACATAAGGAATTTTCTTCAATATATCTAGATAGCAAGAAACTAAATTCAATATGTTATGTGATTTCAAAATATTGATGCAATTAAAGATTTCCTTTACGAACTTACGACAAATTTCTTCGTGCATAATAAGGAGAGAATTCTGTTCTATTAAGGGATCTAAAAGAAGATGGGGATATGATTATGGTAAATACTTCATGTGCTTAAAAATAAAATCAGTTACTTAATCAGTAAGCAAAATTTGATTTTATTTGTTTCCAATAACCAATCTTCCCAAAATTTTATAGCATAAGCGTAAAATACGAATAAAAACAGAGGTATCATTAAAATTAAGCTTATTTATTCCCTCTTCTTAACGCTTACGAGTGAAGGTATTCGCATCATAGTTAAGCAAATCTATTATCTATTGATATAAGTAGCTGTTTCTAATCAGTTCCTATGAGTACTAATTTTTTACCTCATCTTCTTCAAATAGCTATTCTATAAAATTAATTGCTTCTTATCTTATTCCTTAATTGTAATCTTATTTTTAATTCAATAAACGACCTGTATCTTCGCCCTACTCTATTCCAATCACAGGTAAGGGTAAACCCTGCAACTTCTAGGCTTAAATTTGAACAATCTACTAAAGATTGATCTCTACCTTCACAGCTTCTTTTATGTTTGCTTCTTCATATTTGAAAAGCCAATTTTCGCTTTTTTCAACTTATTCAGACAAATTATCTTAAATTTACTTCATGCTGAAGTAGCTCTGAATTTATTCGTGGTCTTCTAGTAGTTATAGATTTTACAGCAAATTCAAAATTTCTTATCTTTCTGTGAATAGCATGTTAAGAATCTCAAAAGAATTATTAACTAAATCTGAATTTTAATAAAGAGTTAAATCTTAAAATATAGCAACTACATCTACTTTTAAGCATCCTCTTAATTTAATTGTGTTCTGAAAGAATATCTTATTTTATTAAAAATAATTTTTTAAAACTTAAACAAATGTAGCTAAAATTGTTATCATTTTATTAAAATTAATTAATTAATTACTTCATCTAACATCTCCTAAGATCTTTTAGCTAGTGCTTAACTTATTTACCTCCTTTCTTATTCAGAAACATCCTATATTCCTTCTTCAATTTTCAATTAATTAGAAAATACTTCATTAATCAATGGACTTTTATCTCCTTGTATATGGCTTTAGTTTACAGAATTAGGAGTATCAGATGGATTCCTTTTTCTTTAAAATTGTTATATAGGATTTTCTATTTCTAAAGGTTTCATAGACGGTTTTTTTTTAGAATTTTTATTCATTGGCTTAAAAGTAGTAATCAAGTCAAATTCATTCTTAAACTTCTTCATAAATTAAGTGATTCTCATATCATTTCTGATTAGAATTACTTTTTTTAAGATTTCACAACAGATTGTTTTGCATTCGTGCACAATTAGATTATCTTCAGTGTGCTCGTATCTCCCTGTAAACCTAAAATAAAAATTTAAAAATAGCTAAAATTTTTTATAATCCTAAATAATTACCTTGAAATTTAAATATGATTTAACTTTTTTAAGGCTTAAGGAATATTTCCTTTACTAATTGTAGTGCGGCAAGATAATAATTTCACTACTTCTTCTGCAGCTTCTTCTTCATTTTAATTTCCAACATCTAATGAAGAATCCAAAATTTTAATAATATTCTTCACCAAACTCTCGAGTTCGTCACTGTTATCGAAGAAACCAAAATCAACTAGATCTTAAATCATTTAAAGAATGCTGTAAGTCAAAAGATTTTCTGGTTCCTTCAATGAGCTCATGTATTTTGATTTTGCGATACCAATAATATACTCTATAGAGAATACTTTCAAATGGTTTGAAGCATAAAGTAATGGTGATACAAAACTATTTAACCCCATAACCTTTTCTAAGTTTTGTTATTGATCATAGACACTTACTATTGATTTAGCTTTTTCAATTTCAGTCCAAACTCTTATATTGTTAGGTAATGAAAACTTTTTGAAATCTGAAATATCCAAATACATTGTGTGTATAAGCATGACGAAGCTTCTTCTTAAGTAGGGATCAAAGAGACTATTTTAAACTATTTCGAAGCACACTCTTCTTTTATAAACATGGACCAACTAATTGATAGCTGTATAATTTCTAGATTTACATAGGTCACTTAACATTCCTATCATCTCTGAAAAATATTCAAATTTATCTAAATTTTCTTGAGACTCTGTAGACATTTCCTTTTTATAAATAAAACCCATTAAAAATGATGTTTATCTTTATTATTAACTACTTAAAATTTTGAAAGCAGCATAAATTTTCCATAGTTTTCTTTAAAAGGGCTCTAAACCCAAACTTCTCCATTAATATACTTCACTGCTTAAATGATCAAAGGTTTGTTTATATCCACTTAACGCTATAGAACTTAGCTAACTTTATTTTAACTTACTTGTCCTGTTTCATCTTCATCGTTAGATATAGCGTCCATCCCACTAAGCAAATAATTTGAAATTAACTCTTAATTATGAACAGGTTGACCATTGCAGAGTATTAGTGCCCTTATGAGTTTAACATATTTCTTGTTTTAGTTCTCCATTAACATTTACAAGAATTTATTCACAGTCACCTCATCGATGGTTTCTAAAATTTTTTTATTGTTATCAATTAGCTCAGTTAGAGTTTCCTAATATTTTAAGATAAATTAAAAAAAATTAAACAATCATAAATATCTACCAATATAATATAGATATATAAAAAAATACCTCTGATCCAATATCACAATAGCCTTCTGTCATTTCAGATTAGAAAATGAGTAAATTGATCCATTAAGAAGCATAAATTTCATTAGGTCTATATTCCTTTATAGAATTATTAATCAAAACATTGCATAACTTAAAGATTTTGACTGTATCAGGATCTATCTAATCAAGCTCTTTCATTTTATAAACCTCTGTTTTGAATGGATAATAAAGCAAATCAACTAGTAATTCAATGAATTTATAATCTTTCATTATTTTTTGGCGTTTTGGAATGGGTATACCTTCACATTCCAAAGGATTTTTGCTCTCTGTTTTGACAACAAATAAAACTAAATCAGAAAGTATTTATCCAACTTTTTTAATATATTCCTAATAGTCATAATGATAAATATGATTTACTTTTGTTTTTATTTATTTCAATTTAAAAATTTACTTTTTTAGGTAAGGGTTCTCTGTAAGGAACGTTTCTTAACTTCTATAAAAACTTATGGAGTATATTCAATGAGGAGTTTACATATAAAATATTTTGCTTCTCTTCTTCTGTTAACTTTATTACTTAAAATGCATTTTCTTCAGTGCTTCCCTTATCAACACAAGTTAGCCCATTTCTATAAACTTCAAATTCACTATCATCAATAGGCTTGTAAATCATATTTTCAGTTACATCTTTAAAATCAGTAACATTTAACTTGTTCTCAGAATTTTTTTCATGCTTTTAAACAGTATATTGGATGGATGAATTGGCCTAAATAAATTAATCATTGATTTTTATAAGATAGCAGTGATTATCCTCCATTATTCTAATTAATTAATAAATAATTTAAAATGCTTTTAATTTTTTTTAGCTTTTTACTCATTTTCATCATTTTAAGTAGATACAAACTAGATTTTACTAGAATTTTCTAGCGTAGTTAAGTCATCTTTAGCCAAGCAGGGAATGTATTATCCTTGATTTACTTGCTGTATGCTTAAAACCTTACCAGTTAAAAAATGTCTAATTTTAAAAGATTAGGTACTCTTCTTATCTTGGTTACTAAGACTGCTCACAGGTATATTGCTACCTCTATCAAAGCAGGAGTCTTTTTCAATTTCCCAAATAGAAGCTACTGAATACTTTTCTAATTCATATTCTCCCTAATACTTTCTAATATATGCTTCTGAATATCCTTTTTTCTAAAAATATTTATGTAAAATACAATAAATGTTATTTTATTAAATAAAAATTTACATTATCATAAGAAATATCTGCAGTGAGTGCACCTTGCAATTCAGTATGATATAAATAAATTAAATCTCCTCCTTTAATACTGGTCTCCTGATTTTGAATATAGTCACTATGAATATGAATTTGCCAAAAGGCTTCTTTTACTTTTGTCAAAAATACTTCTACTCTATTAATTATTAATTAAAGTTCGATAAAAATCAGCAAACCTCTTTCTATTAAAGCGAAGTTTAATTTAAAAAATTTTTTTCTAGAGAAAAGAATTGAATAAAGTTTAAGCTAAAACATAAATTAACGATTTATAAATGTAATTATCATGAGAAACTTAGATACAAATAAGTATGTCTTTACCTTTAACGATTTTAGTATTTTTAAAAGTCTATACTTTAGTAGTAGTTTGTAGGAGTAGGACCTTAGATGATCTTATCTTACTAAGTTATATTTGATGGCACAAAGTTAGCCCAACATTATTATTTCACATTAAAAATTGATATTTAATCTTTATATTATATAATTTCTCCTTCCTTACGTAGCTTATATTTAGGTTGAAATTTAAAAACCATCCCTCTCTAAAAAAATTTAGTAACTTGCAGCATAAAAGCTGATTTTTCACTGACTGAAGCCTGCAAAAGACCATTTAAAAAAGACTATGAATCTGCATGCATTAAAAATATTTCCTAACCATAGCAAACAAAATTTCCTTTAACTGATTCCAATTATTTCAGATTATTTGCCTTTTCAGATTCTTTTGCAATTTTCGCAATCTTAATCTTTTCTCTTACTTCACTATTTTAAAAAAAATGTTAAAATTATTCATATACTTCATTCAAATTTGTTTAATTATTAGATTTGAAAACAAATATGTTTGTTTTAAATTAAACAAGTTTGATTTTATTTTGCAAATTTTTACTTCAAATACTCCTTCATTCTTTCTTAGTCTTCTTCGCTAATGTCTATATTATCCTTGCTGCTCTTTAACTTTTTTTATATTTGGTTTTTTTCTTCCAAAAGCTTGCTATACTTTTTATGGGCATCGTAATCGAGCTTGGGCCATATTTAAAAAACATATTCTCTATAATTCTTGATTGAGAAGACATTATCTTCTGGCTTTTGGCTGATTTGCTGATCTTAATTACTGGTATTGGCAAATATGGATTTTGATTATTTTTCTAAGTAGATTTCGTTATTTGTAAACCCCGTTGTACACATATAGCCATAGTGAGCTCCATTAGTATTATTTTTATCCAAGAGGGTGCCCTAAATTGTAATATAGTCTCCAAATTTAACTTAGCTCATACGAAAAATCTATGTTTTAAACTATACTCGTATGTAGTTTCTAGTTAGATATAATAAACAGTATTGATAATTGAAATAGGATTTAGCACTTAAATTTATTTTGATAATTTATTTAACAACTCCTTCTTTGTAATATTTTGTATTTTTTAATCAGATTCTTATATTTTTTACAATAATAAAGTAATCAAATATTTTATGGACTATTTGAATGATAATTATAGACTTAAAGTTAATGTAAAAATTTTTGATATCCACCACAAATAATTTAATTTTTGATAATACCAAATAATATTGGCAAATAAATACTACAAATTAGTATCACACTTTAATATGTGTAACATATTCTTATTAAACAAAAATATTTGAGACAAATTATTTTAACGTTTATCAATATGTTCTTTCAAAATTTTAATATTTTTAAAAATAAATTTAAAGCATTTTACTCTATTAAGCTAGACAATTAACAAATAAATAAACCATTTTAATTAAGGATTTATGTTTTTATAAAGTAATATAATGGTATTTTTGTTATAAATAAGTATTTTGTAACTTCTTTTCTATCAAAAAAAGATATATTTCATATTTATTTATTATTATTATATTTGTGATTAAATTCGAATTATCTTTTTTATAATTGAAAATTGAAACTAATTTTTACGACTTCATCAATCAATTTAATTAATTTTTATAATTTTTCAATTGATTTTCTCATGTTTTATAAAATAGAAAGATTTGTAACAAAGTTCGGATTAATTAAAGAAATTATATGATTCCTATTAATTTTAAGTAGTAAAAATTATAGAAAGGTTTTTTATTTATAATTAAAGACCATTCGAATTTAAATTATTTTTTCAAGTAAAAAATTTACTAGCTCTTTATTTTTTATCTCTATTGTAAGGAATTAAAATAAATATTATTATTCAAGACTATATAAATAAGTAGAAATAAAATAATAATAAATTTTAATTTAAACAATTTCTACTAATTGTGTGCTTAATACAATAAATATTTCAAAGCGAATTAAATACAAATAATTTTTGTTGGTTGATTTTGAATTTATATTATAAATCATGATAAAAATGAATTCTATAAATAAGTTATATGCATGTATGCGAAATTCATATTTATAATAATATTAAGTTAAATCTAAAAACTAATCCAATTGCCTTAGTTAATGTATTATAAATTATATAGAATTTGTCTCTCATTAATTTAATTTATTCACTCACTCACTCTGCACATGGCTTGATCTTAGCCTTGAAATTTTTTAATTAAGTCTTTCTCATATTTAGCTCATTTTCATTTTTTATTTCCTTAAAACCCAATACTTACTTTAAAATAATATTTTAGAAAAAAAATTGATTTTTAAATCAAAGTCAAAAATATACATACCATTTATTTTAAAGCTTAAAATCTAGAAAGATCTCTCACACGAATATACTCGTTATCAAACAAAAATTCATCTACTAGTCTTCCTTCTTCTTATTTTGGATCATCTTAGTATTTTAAAGCTAAATTTATTGTACTTCCTTTAATAGAATAATTCAATTTTTAAATAAAGTCTCTATATTCTTCAAATTCCTTCATATCATTTATAAAACATTATTTTTTTTTCTTTGCAAACATTCATCAAAATTTACATCAAATTCTTTTGGTAAAGGAGCGTCATATACTGGAAAACTTATGTGAATAGGATGTATTCTTGATATCTATTTTATATTTAGTATTTAAAATAATTTAAAAAAAACAAATTTATGCGATTTTCTTGTTAAATAGAACTAAATATTCTACAATATTGGGAGTTTTCATATTTATATTTCCGAATTTAAAGTAATTCTGATCAAAGTAGCTAAATGTCAAAATTATAAAAATTGTCTTTGCTCCTATTCTCCCAAATGAAGCTAATTATTTTATATCTCTTTGAAGTAGATACAAATTTTCTTCATAATAGGTTCTCATAAATCTAGGAAAGTATGGAAGCAATCTTTTATAGTCAAACTGCATGTTTAAAATAATAACTTAGAATGTAAAAAAGGAGAACAAATGATTGAAATTGTATAAAAATTAAATTTTTAGTTGTTTTTTGATTACATCACATTAATTATTTAATTTTATCAAAAAATAAGTAAATTTTCTAATTATTTTTAATATAATTCTCAAATAAAATGAAAAATTAAGTATAATGTTAAGAAAATCTCTAAAGATATATATATCTGACAGATTTATATAAATATAAATAAAACTTTGTTGCAATCAACAATAAAAGTTTTTATGAACTTTTTTATAAAAAATTGACATTCATTATATTTTTAGTGAAAATAATTAGTTTGTATTTTATTTATTCAAATACATTTTTAAAAGCTCAAAAAATTTTATTATTTTAAAAGATGTTTCAAAACTCTTCATAAAGTTCTTGTTGAAATTAATTTGATTTATCCTATAATTTTTTATCTTGTTTAGAATATTTTTAATTGTAGTCTTTAATAATACTTGAAAGGTTCACAGGTTTAGGTGATATTATTCTAGAGTAAATGTTATTTACTTTTTCTTCGTTCATTAGAGAAAGTTGCTGCTTTTCAAATGTATTTAAAAGCTAAATTTGATTCTTATTATTGCATTGTAGCATATCACAAGACTTGGAATTATGAACTCCATTATCCTATATCACAGGTGACTTAGATTTTGATGAAGATACATTTCTTTGTGATTAAAATGAAATATTTGTTAGAGATTCTTATGTTTTCAAAGCATCAGAAATCAAATTTTAGTAGTTTGTATATTTTTAAATTTCATTAATAGAGTAAAGTTAAAATACCCATCCGACAAGTAGGATGATCCCTAAAAATAATCCAGGCATCAAAATTAAATATAAAAAATTATTTATTTTATTAGAAAGCAAATTGTAGCAGCTCTCATTTTACAAAATATTTTATTCATCTACCTTTATTTTAAACAATAATTTTATGCTTACAGAAAAAGTAATTAATTTAAATTAAGTTGAATTTTTCAGAAAATTTATATTTTAATTAACAAAAAAATTAATACCTTGCGAAATAAATAGAAATTTGAAGAGGAGCAAATGTTTGAGCATTCCCAGTTGTTTTCTAAGAATTGAATTGTTTATATTGATTGCGAATTGACCTATTTTATTGCATAATCACATTAAAGAAGACTTTTAAATCCCTAAGAACTAATTACTGCGAAAGGATATTATTTTTAAAATGAATCTACATTTTCTAATTAAATTTAACATGGGCACTACGAACTGCAAAATAAAGTAGAGGCTAGATTATAATCTTTTAAAAGATCTTAACTCCAAAATAAACTAAAATTATTTTCACACTTTAGCGTTTAATCTAGCTTGGAAGAAGACTTATTGACAGAAATAATACTCTCAAATACTCCTGCAGATACTGAAGATAATACGATCAAGCATACAATTACTATTAATGAGATTGTATGAAAAAGCATAAGTGGTATTTTATCAAGTTTTCTTATTTAAAATGTACTTATTAATATAATTAAAGATGACAAAAAAATCTAAATGTGAAATTGATTTTCAATAAAATTAGGGAGATGCCCTCTCCAGCCTCTTCCACCATATTCTAGTATGTATATCGAAATTATAATTACTAATAATGAAAAAATCATGCTCAGATATTAAACTACTTTTATAATTTTTATGCCATATTAAATAGTAAATGTGTCTTCATTTTTCTAAAAAAAAATATCGTATTCATCTATTTGTTTTTATTATTCTTTTGCAACTATTGCTTGTTGCTACTTTTAGTCTTCTAAATTAGGATATTCGATGTTCATCTCTGCTTTTGTCTAATTTTGAAAAATCTACTACGATTTTACTTTCTTTAACTCTTTAATTAATTACTGTATTAATTTATTCTTATTATAAAAAATACCATATAGATTGATAGATAGCTAATATTAAAAAATATTCTTGTAACCAACTAGAACTTTTATAATAAGAATATATTCTGCAATTTATATATTAATTAAATTCATGTTAAATTAATTCAAAAAAAATAAACTGAAGATTAGGTTTACAATCAAGATAATAAAAAAACGCATTATTTATTTTTATTCGTGACTCGGATTATAATATTCAACGAATTGAGTGAAAGTTAATTTGTATTATCATATAATAAAAAATTTAATGAGGGATATTTAAAAAATTAGCATTAAATAATCATTAACTTTTTATAAAAAATAATATTTGTTAATAATTAAAAAATTCAAAAATTTTTTATATTTTCACAAAATATTTTTGTGATTATTTAAATAATAAAATGGATGGATATATTTCATATAATTTCTTTTATGAGGTTAGAAATATTTGTTTTATAAAATTTAATTTTTAATCAAATTTATTATTAAATATTAAGAAAAATTAAATTGGAAAAATATTTTGAAAGTAAAATATTATTTTCTATTAAGTTATCAGGAAAAATATGGGCTACAGATCAGAAAAGTATTGTTTGAACAGCTTTCTTCTATCATTCTTATAAATATATGATTATATATTTTGAGAATAATTAATTAGTTGCTTAGAGACTCTTTTTAATACTTGATGAAAATAAAAGATATTCTTGAAGAATTTAAGAGCTTAATAATCAATTAATTGCTTCAAATTTTATTTAGATAAATCAAAAAAAAACATAATAAATCCTCGTTAAAATGGACATTGAAAGATTAGGTAACTATTAAAAAATGCAAAAAATTAAAGGCTAAATATTTTTTATCTCAACTAGGTATTGATAAAATTAAAACCAAGCAAACCAAAGTTAACCGTCTCTAAAAGATGGAAGAAGAGTTAGAGTTCAATGAAAAAATTGGTAAAAATAACTATATACAATAATTTAATAGCAACTAAAAGCAAATTTGTTTTTTATGAATTTTAGATAACTTGCAATCATTAAATTTAGTTTTAGAAAGATACTCTGAATATATCAAGAAATCCTCTAAGTACAATACAAATAGTAAAATTATTTTCATATGATTTTTCTCTTTATTTTTCATATTTTTTTCAAATAAAATAGTTAATCGTGCCATAAATGATGATTTCGATGATTCTTTAATATGAAAAATTTAGAAAAAATGAAATATTCTTAATAAATCTTGTAAATATTTTCTATATTTTACCTATGCGTAATTCATTTAAGTCATTGATTCATTGTTTTTTTACTTTCACTCCTAAATAAATTATTTATTTATTCACTCATTTCTATTTTGTTAAACTTCTTTATCCTTTGATAGATCATATAAAAAATAAATCTTCTGATTTTTACCGATATTTACGAATGCTTTCCAAATTGCACTAAAAAGAAATATAATTCATAATGGAAAAAAACATTAGATTAATTAATCATATCATAATTATGGAATAATCAATCAACTAAAAAATAAAAAATTATTAAAAATGGTTTTACATTAATTAATCTAAGATTATAATAGATTTAAAAATTTTAAAGAAATTTTAATTATTGTTTTCTATCTATTTAAAAAGTTAATAATTTAATATCAATCTTTTTATGTTAATGCTATTAAGAAATTACTTTGTAAATATAATTCCAACCAAAGCGATACTTTTTGATTTAATAAATTGATAATTATTAAATTATTGATTAATTAAGTATTAAAGAATTTAGTTTATTTTTTAAATAATCATTTCAAAACAAATTATTTTATATTTTAATAGTAAGAATTTTTGTAATTAATTACTTAATTTTAAGCTTTAAATAATTTTTTATTTCGTTCATTTTTATTTTTGTTTTCAGTTTTTAAAAACTATTTTCTTTTTTAATTTGATCTTATATTTAATAATAGTTTCTTGACTAATATCTCCAAAGTAAATAATTTTATTTTGAATAGAGTTTGCTTTTTTTTTTAGTTTGATTAAAATTATATATTTTTTAAATATATTTCGAGGTTGACTAACTAGTTAAAATTAATTCTATATAGATTTGACTATCATACATACAGAAGTAATATACAAGTTAAGTTTATAAGTACACAGTTTTGTATTTTAAAATATTAATTAGCTGTATTTATATTTATGAGTTAATTAATTTTGTTGTTTCAAAAATTTATTATTTTATTTTGTTTCTTTATTGTGAATAACAAAAGTTTCAGAAAAATTTTTTTCATTTTCTGCTTGGCACTTTCTTTAGAGTGCTATTTCCCTATCCAGCAGCTTGGAATTTGTTTAGAGAACCAGATCTTTTACTTTCTTCAAGTTCTCCTATTCTTCTGTTAAGTCTTTGCACTTGAACATCGAATTGCTCTTTAGCGAATTTTAATTCCTATAAGAAAAATAATTGCTTAATAAATTAAATGATAATTAATTATTAATGATTACTTTATTATCTCTTTCAATGTTATATAATTAATCGATGAGATTTTATTCTTCTCTTCTCTATTTATCTAACTTGTCTTTTAAGTCTTTAATTAAAAGATCTTTTTCTAGTATAATGTTTTGCTTTAAGTCATCTGGATGAATCTTAGTTTGAGAAAGGGAATCAATTTGATTATTTAATTTTAAGTTATGGATCTTAAGCTCCTTTAATTATTCTTCTAACTTAGTCTTTTCTTCTTTGACTTTCTTTAATTCTAATTCTTTAGTTCTTAAATGTTGATTTAGAGTATTCTTTTCATCTTCAAGTTCGAATATCATATCTTTAAGCTCACTCACGGCTTCTGCCTATTTTTTATAAAAAAGCATTCAATTTATAAAATTTTTTAATAAAAAAACAAATAAAAAATTACTTATTGACTTTGATTCTGTCCAGAACTTTGTCTGTGTAAAGGAGTCATTTCTAAACCTGTTTTATTCATTTACTTCTTAAGTTATGTTTCAAGAGACTTGCATTGTTCAGACTTTAGATTCAATTATTTCTAAATCTTATCTTTTTCATCCTTGATATTGCTTAATTAAGCTTTAAGCATATCATTTCTCTTCTAAAGATCTTCTTAAATTTTATTAGAGGCTTGTATAGTAGAAGCTGGTCCGAACTTCTCTTTAGTAGCTTATGGCTTGAATCCATCGCTTCTGTCAATATTAGGAATATCTCCCTTTCCTATAAATATAAAAATAATTTAATTAATAAAAAGTTGAATAATTTAGATAATTTTTTTTTACCTTTAACGTCAACATCTATTTGCTACTCTGATTAGATCTCAGTTGAATTGACATTGTTAATTAAATAAAACAATTTAATTATATTCAGAGGCTACTAGTCTCCACTTAGAGTTGACTTCATTCCTTGGGAGGTTGTTGCTTAAACAGGCTTTGTCAATAAATTATAATCTTCTTGTCTTATCTTTAAATCATATTTATCGAATAGCTTTTTTAAATTTCCAACTGTAATATTTCCACTTTATTTTTCTTAGCTATTCTTTAATTCTTAGATTAAATTAAATGATGGATTTTCCTTTACAAATCTTCTTATTTGGAAGGCAACATCTTCTGCATTTTAGAAATCAGATTTTTTATATGGCTTAAGGAAGTTTTCTTCATCAAATAAGTCATCAGATTTTAATCCCTGCTTTTTGATAAATTCAATCTTTTCTAAGAGTTCTTTCTTTTCAACTTCTAACTTTTTAAGAGTTTCAAGTACTTTTTCTTTTTCAGCCTTCTCTTTATTTAAAAGCTTTTTCATATCTATCACAGCAATATTTTAACTCTCTGATTCTACCCTTCCTCCTAATTTAATTTTTTCTTTTTAAGATTCCTTGATTGACTTAGATTCTTATATCTGGAGTTAATCGACATCGCTTCTTGTAGATGATAGCTATTGCTTTAATTGTCTGATTGTTTTTATAGCTTCTTTCATTTCCAATTCAAGTTTCTCATTATCTTTCTTTTATTGGTCTACTTTATTGCTTAACTCTTTATTGTCTTTTTTAACTTACAAAACTTTGTCTCTATATTAATCTTCCTTTTCCAAATTTTGTTCTATTGCCTTCTTATAGTCATTTGCTAAATCAGTTTGTTATCTCTTGATCTCCAAAATATCTTTATCTCTCTTCTTCAAGAGTTTGTCTAAGCTTGCTACTTTAGCCTCAAGTTCTTGTGTTTGATTGTTTCTTCTTTCTAAAATGAGCTCATCTTCTAATTATCTAATCTTTTACTCAAGCTTAAAGAAATTTTAATAAAATATTCTGTATTGTAAATAGATAATTTTACTTCAACTATTTTAGCTTCTAATGTTTTTTGCTTTACTTCAAGGTTGTCCTTCATATTATTCAACTATTCTATTTGTCTATCTTTTTGGTCTAAAGTATTTCCAACATCATCCCAATATTAATTATTATTGAAATGGGAGCTGCTTTAAACAACCATACTTGGATTTTGTGCTGAAATAGAATTAGGTGCAAGATTAATTTAAGCAATCAAACGGCGAATTTCTTAAGAATCTTTTTCTTTTTCGATACGATAGTCTCTCTTCATCTTTTCAATAAGTAAATCTTTTCTTTCTATTTCATGATTTTTATCATCTATTATACTTTGTAGAGTGCTTATAGTCTTTTAAGCAGCCTAAGCTAATTTTTCTCCTTCTTCATTGAAAATTTAAGCTTATTAGACACGTGATGGTTGATATTCGTTATTAGATCTAAATTATATTTTTTAAATAAATTATTAACAAATTTTATAACTATTTTAAATTACCTCTTAATCTAATAATTAAGCTCTTTAAGCTATTTGCTTAACCTATCGTTTTCATCTTTTAACTTCATTTCAATATCCTTAGCTAATTGCAATTATTGTTTTAATTCTGAAATAACCTCTGTTTCCTCTCCACTTTCAATCTTTTGACCTGGTGTCTTTGGTTATGGTGTGTCCTTGTTCATTCTAACGACACCAACCAGTTTATTTGTTTTGCCTGCATCTCTTCTCAATTTTAGTAAGGTTTCCTCCTCTTTGTCTTTAGCCACTTTGTCATTCATAACCATTTCCATAGCTTCTTAATGTTTTTAACGCCAGAACTATTCTCTGTCATTGAATTTTTTGTTGACTTATTCAAGTTCGTTTTCTAATTACTTAACATGCTCTAAATGTTACCTAGTTATTCTTGAGAAATATTCTTCCTTTTCTTTAGCTAATTCTTAGTCTCTCTTAGCCCTATTAAATTATTGTATTAAAATCAAATTAAAATTAACGTTTTTAAAGTAACTTACTTCATTTCTAGAAGTCTCTATTCAGAAACCTGCATAGATAATTCTATAATTCTTTAGTGGAGTTCATCAGGATATTCATTTTAAAGATCTCTTTTGAGTGTGTCGAATTGTTATTCAAGAGCTTCGAAATAATCACACTTAACTGAAATAAAAGTGAAAAGATAAATAAAGATAGATTATGGAAAAAATAAATTATTACTAGCTAATTCATGATTTTCATCTCTAAGTTTCTTATTTTATATTTCTAAATTCATTTTCATTGATGATAATTCATTAATACGAGAGTACATTTCATCTATTTTACTCATGTTGATAGTTGGAAGTATTCTAGATCTTAAATCTGTAATTAAGTCCTCATACTCAGTAATCTTTTAACGTAAAATTTCACGAGTTTCAATGGCATCATCTTTGCTTTCAGCTAATTCATGTTCCAATATTTGCACTTCATATTATTACTTTTCATAGTCATGGATAAGATTATCGTATTTAATATTGGTTTAAGCCTAATTAAACCTTGAAACCATAAGAGAGTGTTAAAGTTTACCAACAACAGCCTTCTCGTCAGATAAAGATTGAAGATCTTTAATTGTTTCATGTAGATGCTCGGTTTCGAATTTCTTTCTCTCTAAGGTAATCAATAAATCCTTGACTTAGTTACTTGAGAACTCATGCAAATCTTTAAGAATTCTATTTTAGCTTCTCAATTCAACATTTTCCTTGAGAACTCTCTTATTTAAATTATGAATTTATTTAGCTCTAAATTTGGTTTCACTTCCTTAAATGATATTTAAATATTTATAATTCAATCTTTGAGCTTCATTGTATTTTTTCATAATACTGAGAATTTCACCTTCTCTCTCATTTAATCTTTTAATACAATATTTATTTAATTATTCAATTTTTATTAAAAATTTTATTTACTGAAGTTGAATTCTTGCATTTTCTTTCTTTGACAAGTTGAGAGAATACATCAAAGTGTCGCATCTATTAAGAAGGTTCTTTTCTTTGATTTCCATTAAACTTATCTTCATTTCCAGACGAGCCTCTTTAGGTAGTGCTTGTATATCTTAGTTTTCAACATTATCATAGCTTGTATGCTACTTTTGCATTTCTTTAATTTTATCACTGATTTTCTTCATTTTTTATATTTTATTTTTCTCAACTGTTGCTTATTTAATGTAGTTCAAAAGCTCATTGTATTCAATGTAGCCATTGCTATCATTATCTATATCACGGAACAATTACTTAATTTATTCATCACTTATATCAACTTTGAGGTTTTCAAATAAGCCTTATTAAAATAAAACATGAAATTCAAATTTAAAACAAGCAAATAAATTCTTATTTTACCTTTAAATTCTTTTAAAGATATTTTTTCATCTCCACTGTTATCAATGTAATTGTATAAATCTTTAATATATTAGCCTTGCTAATGTATAGCTTCATCAATTTTTAAAACTAATTGCTTTTACCAGCTCAACTCCTCTACATTCATTAATATTTATTATCTATTTTTATATTAAATGGTTATAAATTAATTCTTCAAATATCATTAATTTATTTATTTACCTCATGACATCTTATATTATATTTTCAAAGAGTGCGTGGAATTCACTATATGTGATTTTTCCGTCTCCAGAAGTATCAGCAATCTTAAAAACATAATCTACTGTATCAGCTTCTATGTCTTTAATAAGAGATTGCAGAGTAACTAGCATTTCATCCTTAGTAACTTCACCGCTGCGATCTTTATCAAAAGCTTAGAAAGCATCACTAATGCTTAAACCTGCTTGCTACATTTTTTCCCACAAAGTGAAAATTACTTATTCCTATGATTTTCTTATTGTTAGTCCTTATCTCCTCATTTTTCTTGAAAATTCTTTTAAATCAATTTTGTTGTTACCATCGAAGTCCATAAATCTATTATTATAAAAGGAAGATCAATAATTTTCATTTATTAAAATTAATAATATCTCATACCTAAACAGAATTTCTATCTCTTGATTGCTGAAATCTACCTTAAGTTTTCTCATAGCTAGCTAAAATTCTGATGGATTGAGTTCACCATCTCTATTATCATCAATTTAAGCAAATACTTGCATAGGAGAAATATTTTTTTGTTACATTTTCTAAACTAATTTTTGCATTGCTTACTGATATCTCCTAAAGCTTTAGTCTGACATTTCAAGCATTTTCTTGATTAATTCAGTTTCTAGTTGTAACTCAACCATTTCATCTTCCATAATTCTTATCTTAGTGTTTCTCTCATCTAATTCTCTTTCATAATCTAAAATAATTAATTAATAAATACAAAATTAATACGTTTTTGATTGATTAATCTTACTTTTTAATTTTTATATTTAGGAGAGAAGAGCAGTATTCTTTTCCTTTATATTGGCAAGATCATCTTATGATTTTTCAAACTTATTTCTTAAAATGTTGTGCTTAGACTTAGAGACGGAGTTTTAACATTCTTAAAGCAGTACCTTAAGGTAATGGGAAGCCTTCTTCTTCCAGTCTAATAAACTATGAATTTTTTATATAAGCTGTTCTTCTTTATTTCTAAAGTCAACATTCATATTTTTATATGACTCACTGAGCTCGTTGTATTCGTCCTACAAACATGAATACTTTCTTGATATCCTATCAATTTAAAAATTTAAATAAGAATTTTTAATAACGAAAATAATAAATTACTTAATTAAAGTCACGTCTAATTTTGAAATTTTATGTGTTAATTCTGCTATTTTTTATAGTTACAAATTTTTATCATTTTTCATATGAAGTTCATTCATTTTTTTATATTCATTCAGTTCTTCTTTTAATTTTTAAACTTCCGCAGTTTTATCTCCTAATTACGAGTCATAAATTTTAATATTTTCTTTTAACTTTGTTGTTTCTTCATAGTATTTTTCATATAAATTATCTTAAACACGCAGACAATTTTATAGTTGTCTTTTCATTTCTTCAACCTCCATTTCCATATTTTTATATTCTTCTTCCTTTACTTTAAGCATTTTCATACTTTCTAAATTCATAACTTAAAGTTATGCAATTTAATATTTAGCCAAAACTGTATCGAAACCTACTCCAGAGTACAACTCAAAGATATCAGCAGGTATCATTTGTTTGAATTTGAAGCTCTTAACTTGTGAAATATCTTCCCAATCACCAAAAGATCCAGGCATAGGTTAAGGTGGTCTGGCTAAGTTAGACTAGTTTCCTTATAATCTAGCAATTTATTCAGGATTTCCTTGTTACTACTTATCAGCAGGATATCTTCCTCCATTCTTTTTTATTTCTTCGAGTAGTTCGTTAACTTTAGCTAGCATCTATTTGAGCTACTCATTCTAAAATGTAAGATTCTTAATATCATCAGCATTCTTTTAAAAATGCAAAAAAAAAAAAAATTAACCATAAAAAATCAAACAAAATTAAAATATTAATATAACAACTTCTTTCTATCAATAATATTTAATTAGAATTATTTTACAAATAACATAAAAAGTATTGAATTAAATATGATAAATAATCATAATTCATTTCTTTTTTATAAGTCCATTTAATTAACGCAATTAATTTACATAGTGAGAAGCTGGAATATGAGAAGCCATGTATGTACTATCATTTCTAAAGTTGGAATCCCTTTCGTATTATTTTAGTCTTTCTTGTAAGTCCTTAATAATCATATCCTTTTCGTGCATCTTAGAAGAATCTCCATGCATTTTTGTATTAGGAAGCTAATTAATAATATGATCTGCTACATACTGATCTAACTTCTCCCTATAATTTTGATTTAATTTTGTTGTTGAATTTGCTAAATAATTTCATTTTGGATTTCAAAAATATAATCTATGAAAATCTTTTTAAATTTAAAAAATAAATAAAAGCCAAATCTTATAATTACAATTATTCCTTGGTGAGATTTTTATAACGTTCACCTTTAGGACGTTGATCATAGAGGTTAGAGAGAGTTCTCAATCTATTTCTCAATTGAAGACGCTCCGCTTCAAGCTCCTCATTAAGTTTTTCTAAGGTTCTATTTTAAGCCTTATAATCTTCGATTTGATGCATTTCAGCGATTTTAATTTCTTCCAAGTTAAAACCATAATTCTCAGGGACTTGTGCAAGTCTTCTCAAAACTCTATTTTCAGCCAAGATGTTATCCATCTTTTCACTGAGTTGTGAGAACTTTTGTCTCTCAGCTTCTAATTTCTTTTTGTATGAATTCTCAGTTTCATTTTATTCCTTTTAATCTTATTCCCATTTATTTTCATTAAACTCAGGGCCTTCCTATCTCCTCTTCAAATTTTTCAATTCTCTTCTTAAATTTAAAATTTGCTAGTCCTTGCTATTAATTTCTTCCAAATAAGCTTTTATTTGGTTGTTGTAATTAACGTTTTGGTTTTTTAGTATATTAAGCTCTTGGATTGTTTGATCATATTTTGCCTTTTCAAATTCACTGACTTTTTTTTCAGCTTCTTCTATAAGGGCTTTTGTTTTCTATTTTATTCTCTCACCTTAAAGTGCAGCCTCTTAGAATTCATCGCACTCCTGTAAATAGCATTCAATTTAAATTAAATAAAAGAGGATTTATCATTTTTTTAATTTTATGTGTAATATTAAAGTGAAAATTATGAGAGATAATATATTTGAATTAAATTACTTTGCTAAGCTTGATATTTGCATCTTCGAGAGCAATATTTTACTATTTGATTTCCTCATACTTTTCCTTCATAAGCTCAAGCTCTTTCCTGAGCCTGAATACTTCATTGTTACTCATAATCTCAACTGAACAGATTCAAATAATAAATATTATTTAATACTTCTGTTTTATATTTTTTTCTATATAGTTTGATGAGATAGAATTCAATAAGTTAAATAATAAATATTCCTATTTAGAAAAAATTAAATGAATTATTTTTGAAATTTATAAATCCTCTTCATATTTATTCATTGATTCATCCATCTATTTGATCAATATTTATAAAATAATGCAAAAAGAGAATATTTAAATTAAAATGAATGAAGTTTTAATTTGTTAAACATAAGAAATTTTTAAATGTAAATATATATCGATTGACCAAATCAATCAATTTAACCAGCCAGCCAAACATTCAATATCTTTTAAATATTTAATCTGTTAATTATTTTTCATTTTTATTTTTAAAATAAACTAGATTTTTAGCTAAAAATAATTTAAAGTAAAATAATACTTGAAATAAAAAATAGAATTTGCTATTAAATAATATATTTATTAAATCATTAAATAAATTTTTCGTTTTTATTAAAATATTTTCATTTAAAATTTTAAAAAATCTATTTTTTAATATATAAATTTGATTTATTTTAACTTTATTATCATTCTAAAATTAGAATTTATTTTAAAAATGAATATTATTTCATACTATAATTCCTCGATTCATTCAAATGTAACATGCAATTGTAATTAATTAGTTTTAATAATAAAAAAAATTTGTATTCCTTTTTATTCAATTGAGTAAATATTACTGTGGAAATTGAGGAAATAAGGTTTTATTTATTAAAATAGTATTTAAAAATATATTAACTAACTGTAGCTCCTTATCATTCTAATAATAAAACAAAATACATTTTGTTTATTTTATAAAAATGAGAAATCTAACCCAATTAAAATAAAAAAATGTTGTAATGTAAAGTTAAATTTCTTAGTATTAATTAAATTGAAAGCACACTTTTGTTTTATACTTAATTAATACTTAACAAATATTAAAAAAATTTATTTTTCATAGAAGTAAAACTAAACTAAAATGAAATTTTATTATTTTGAATAGACAGCATAATAGATCATATTTTATTGGAAGCTAAATTTAATTTTAATAACTATCCTACAAAGTTTTTTTTTAGAATCTAAATATTTTATTAGTATACCGAATTTGTTAGTTTAAAATAATAATTATTATATTTTTATTTGACATCTGCTTATTTGATTTTATTAAAAACCATAATACATACTTACTTGTATTACTAAATATAAATTGTAATATTATTATCATAATAAATTCTGCATTCTTTCGAGAAACTAAAATTTAAACTGATACTACTACTACTACTGATTATAAAAATTTTTTATAAATTAATTTATTTTTTAGTTTATAAAAGATTTAATTTTTATTGAAATTATTTTTTTTTGGAAAGACACTTCTAAGACAATATATTTTATAATCTCTTTATTTTTATTTTAAGATTTTAATTTGTAAAGCATTTTTTCTTACAACTATAACTATAACCTATTTAATGATTACTTTTATTTACACAAAATAACAAATTAACATTCTAAAAATCAATTCTATTTTTATCTCTTTAGAGTGTAAAATCATTTGTAATTAAAGTTCTAGCTTTTTTCTAAATATTTATTAGAATAAATTTAATAAACATACATAGTAATTTCAATAATTAATTGCTTTTTAAAAATACTATGGAATCATATAGCATTTGTGATGGTAATGTGAATAAATTTCTATTGGTTTACTACTTAATATTGAAAATGACGAAGGAAAAGAATAAATTATAATCTACGCTTTTTCTACTAATGAATAGTGCATAATCACTAAACCTAATCTGATAACTGTATAACGCAATTAAATAAAACTAATTAACTTTTTTAAACTTGAAATAAAAATAAATAGAAACAAATAAATTATAATAAAATAAATAAATCAAAAATTTACAAAAAACAAAAAAGATAACTCAAAAAAAAATATAATATAATATAATTCTAATTACTAATTTAAAATGATCATTAGCAGATTCTTATAGAAGACATTAAATTTTAAAGCTTAAAAAATATTGTATCCAAAGATTTTTAATTACAAATAAAATTAGCAGGTGTGCTTATTTTAGGTGAATAAATTTAGAATTTCTGAAGAAATTCATGATAAATTGGATTTTTTAGAGTGTATTTAAAACTATAAAGATATTCTATAGCATGACGAAAGAGATTTAACTACTTTAAATAACTTAGCAACTCTTTATTTTAACCATTAATGCTACACAGAGGCTCATACACTTTTTGAAAAATGTATTGAAGTAGATCCTACCTTTTCTTCTGCTTATACACATTTAGCTAGGATTTATATAGAGTAGAATTAAATTGATTTAGCAGTAGAACTACTCAATAAAAATATTTCTTACAATAAATAAAGTATTGAAACTATTTTCTTATTGGGATTAATTGATTTAAAACAATAAAAATATGACTTTGGAATTAAGAAGTTATACGAATGCATAAATCTTAATCCTGATCATACAGAAAGCTACCTTCAACTAGGGATAGGTTATCGTAAAATTAAAAATTACTCAAAATCAATCTAATACCTGAATTAGTATTTGAATTTAACATCCGACAAATCTGAAGCTCATTACCAGCTGGCCCTTACTTATGAAGATCAAAACGAATTAAGAGATGCTATCAAATGTTACAAAAAAGCTTTAGAATATAATCCTAATAATTATAAAGCATATAAAAATATTACAATGGCTTACATAGAGCTGAAAAAATTTGATAAAGCAAACAAATATTTAAGTAAAGTACCTAAATAGCTATAAGATGATTTCGATTTTTTATCAGCAACTGGTTATATGCTTGAATAAGATGGTAAGTATGAAGAAGCAGCTGCTTATTATGAATAATTTGGTGAAAAATTTTAAAAAGATTACAAATTTTATTTAAGTTTGGGAAATTGCTATTTAAAAATGGGCTAGTTTGATTTGGCAGAGAATATGTATAGCGAAGGACTGATGCTATCACCTGAATATTTTTATATTGGTCTAGCAGAAGTTTGTGTAGTTAAAAAAAAATATTAATAGGCTATTTAATACTTAGAAAACGCAAGCGATATAGATCCTGATAATAGAGATATTTATTTAAAAATAAGTAAAATTTATGAGGCTTAAGGCCAAATATTTGAAGCAATATAGTATTCTTACTAAGTCATGGAAATTACACCTAATGACTTAGATATTATAATCAGATTATCTTAATTACATCACTAAGATGGTAATGCTGAATTAGCTGCTTAGTTCATGAAAAAAGCCATAGAGTTAGAACCTTCAAATCCTGATTTGTATTATGAATATGGAATATTAATACAAGAATTAGGATTTGACGAAGAAGCAGAGGAATATTTCAAAAAAACTCTTAGTATTAATAACCACTACCCATAGCTATTTAAATTTAGCTAAGAATTAGCTAGAAGAGAGGCTGGTTTAGAATAACCTAATTGATATATCAATATTTTTTTAGTAGAATTTAAATGTTAGTCTTTAGAAAAATAATTCTAATTAAAAGTTTATTTTTAATAGATTTTATTTATTTAGTACTTTATTAGATTAATTAAAGGAATCAATTATAGTTTTTATTTATATAAAATATTTTTATCTATTTTGTTTTTATCAGCTTTAAAGATTAAAAAAAATATATTAAAATTTCTTTTTTAAATAAATATAAAAAACAAAAAACATTTTATAAATTAGAATTTTAATTAAAATAGTTTTTATTCTATTTAAAATTTAGGTTCCATAGTAGTTAAGAGGAACTGCTTACATCAAATTATATCAATTCTAAGCCTTCTTATAGATATTTTTATTTAATGGTAAATTTTAGTTTAGCTAAACTGAACTACTTGCTAATAGTCACTCATTTTCGGAATAAATTCATATGTATTTTGTTTTGTAAGTAAAATTAAAATTAAATTCAAGAGAAATACTGTAATTTTTTTTCTGCATAAAATTTATAAGTGTGTATATGAGTGAGAGTGAATGAGTATTCATTAAATTAATCAAAATATAATAAAGTATTGATTGGAATAGTTAATTTTTATACAAAAACTAAAACTTTCAAAAAACTTTACAATAAATAAAAATAAACAATTACCATTAATTTATTTTATAGTATTTGATTTTTAGAGATAGATATAGAAAATAATGAGGACACATATCATTAGCAACCAGATACTCGTACTCTAATTATTTTATCTATTTTTTAATATATCTATCTATATTTGTTTATCAAAAGTCTGATCGATAGGTACCTTCTCAGTAGCTGAGACCATAAAGTGCTAAGATATATGGCTAACGAGCAATACCATATAACCCATAATAATAAATTTCTTAAGGGTATTCTTCTAATTATGAAGTAGAAGATCCTGAAACTCAATCAAGTAGGGTGTTTAAGCCAAGTCCAAAAATTGCATACACGTATATAAAAAGATTATTGGAACATACTTTTATTAACAGATTATATTTTTTATTATATTCATAGTAATAGAAGCGGATCTGCAAATAGATCAGTACCAAAAAAGCCGATTATGAATAATTATAAGTAAAGCTATTTAACAAAAAAGTATATAAAATAATAATTTGCAAAATATTCTTAGTGTCAACAACAATAGCTCATTTAATAACGGAAATGAATTAGGTTATACTGAATATAATAAGCATTTGCCTAAATAGATATTTTATGATAAAGAAAAACTTTATCAAGAAACCCTTTAGCTCAAAAGCAAAATAAATGATGTTTCATAAGAGAACTTGAAATTAAAAACAAGATTAAATGCTTTAGAAGTAAGCTTTTTTGCATATTTTTCTTAAATAAATGTTTTATCTAAAGAAAGAAACAGCAAAAATGGAAAGGTTAATTGAGGAAATGGAGTTAAATGGTACCTATAAAAATCATTTCTCAAAAAATTCAAATGATGTATTTTTTTAGATATATCACTTAAATGTTAATTAATGCATTTTTTTTATTTTTAGCAAGCTTATCTTATAGCCAATTTAAAGAAAAACTTAAAATAAAACAAAATGGAGTTAGAATTTAAGTAAGAAGAAATAAATAAATTAAAAAAGAGTGTTAAATTTACTAGAATATAAGAGCTTGAAGCTGAAAAAAAAGCATTCTCCGATGAGACAATAAGATTAAAACACCTTTTAGATTAGGCTTTATATCAAAGAATGAATTTAAACATGTAATAACTAATTCAATAAATATATATTTTAAAATATCAACAAAATAATATTTTTTAGTCCAGATGGAGAAATAAAAGCTGTAGAAGAAAAATATTATTAGTAAAATAATCTCATAACACAGCTAAGAAAAGAAAATGCAGAATTAGCTTAAGCTATTAAAAATCTTGAAGATTAAAATTATCATCTTTAAGTACATTTTTTCTCTTCTTCTGAAAGCAATAAATTCATTTTTCAAAATATAATTATACATAAAGCAATCTTACTAGGATGTAGAAAGAAAAAACTAAAAAGAAGTCTAAATGCTTAAAAAAATTTTGAAAGAAAAAGAGAAAGAGCTTAATGAATAAAGAGGAGACATTGATAAATATTAGTCAAGTCCAAACTAAAAGAATTTTTCTAAAAATATTTCATAGAAAAGAGAAGAAAATAGGTATTTATTTATTGTTATCAATATTAAGTTTATTTATTTCAAAATTAAATTCTATTTTTTAAATTATTTTTTATTCTTCAGAAATAATTTTCAAGAGAAGGAAGCTCTTTTTTATATTTTTTTTTATATAATTTAACCATTAATTAATTAAATTTAATAAGCAAAATGAATTAGGAAAATAAGAATTTAAGGGATTAAATCAATCAAAAGCAAAGAACTATTGGAGATTTAGAAAAAAAAATGTAAGAAACCTAATTACAGTACAGAGATTTACTAGACAAAGAGAAAGATGAGAATAATGTGTTGAAATAAGAATTAGAAAAAGAATTAAAATTAAACTAAAATTTGAGAGAAAGACTTAAAGCTTCTGAAAAGAATAAAAAGTAACAAATTTTAACTTACTAACTCATAATATTTTATAAAAGCTATTATTTTAGTTCTTATTAAATTTTGTAAAAATTATCAATCACATAATACATATATTAATTTTATATTTAGATAATTAATTAAATTTTAACTCAAATTATTTCTATTTTAATGTAATAAATTATTGTTTAAATTTAAAAATTGTATTTTATAAAAAGTGAGTCTTATTTGCTATAAGATAATCCTGTTGATTTTACTTCTAAAAAGCTTTAAGAGAGAACCCTTCCTTCTCATATTAAAGCTAAACATGTAGAGAAGGAACAAAATTAAGAAAAAAAAGAATCTAAAAAAAGGGTAGAAATCGTTACTCTTGAGGTAATTAAAGAAACAGGAGAGGAACTAAACTATCGTTTTAGATCTTAAGGTTTAGATTGGGATGAAATTATCTCAATTATATTCCCTAACATAGACGAAGAAAGTGATATACCTACTTTGAAGAAAATAGTTCAAGAGTAATTAAATTTAAATAATGTTAATTAATTGACATTTGTTTTGAAATATAAAAAGAGAACCCTTTAATATTAAAGATGAAAAAATGAGTGAATTTATTTCTAGATATTGTATAGAAAATAATACCTTTGGAAATTGGATGTTTTTAGATTTAAGCAAAAAATGCAGCAATCACATCATTAAAAGTATTTTAAGGTAGATAGTAGGTCCTTATAGATTGCTAACTTAAGAAGAATCATAAAAAATGTTTGACCATATCACTGATGTAAGTTAATTAAAAAATATTGTGAATAATTAAAAACTATTTCAAAAGGTTATAACAGCTAAGAAAGCTCCTTTAAATGGATTTATGAAGGAGAAAGGATACAAGAGAGGCTATCTCAAAAAGGAAGAAATTATTGAGGTTTTCACTATGTGTGAGGCTGACTTAAATAAAGATCAAATAGATTACATAATTACAAGCATAATAGTTCATTCAGAAGATCTCCAGAAGCTTTAATATTAAAAAATATTTGATATATTTTAGCCTAATTAAGAGCCACCTCAATACTGCATATACAATAAATAAAACATGGATAATCTCTATAAATTAAAAAACAAAGGAAATATAAAAAATTAACAAGACGATGAAGAGAGTGACGACGATTTTAAGGACCTGACTGAAGCTGAAAGAGACGCTATGCGTAGACACGATGAATTAGTTGCAAATTAAAATAACACAGATGAATAGGCAGGTATATAAAATAAACATGATCATAATTAGGATTTCTAACAAAAGTCTCATTAATTTGAGCACACTGAAACTAATAGTTAGAAGCTATAACAAAAATCAGAATTTTTGGATTAGCCGTCTAAGCATAAAAATGATAATTATAATTAAGCTTCTAGCTCTAAGATGTCATAAAATCACAATGATTTGAAAGAAAATAGCTAACATTTATAAAAAATAGATAATAACAATTAATTTTAGTCTAATTAATCTTCAAAGCAAAGTAAATTTAATAGGTTTTAATTAATTAATTATAAAATTTTATTTTATTTTTATTAGATGGAAGTGATCCTCTTCTAGAATCAAAGGGATATTAAGACGGAGATAATAATTACTATGAAGACGAGGAGCAAGATGACTATGAAGAATTAGTAATTAATTAATATCTTTATTTGATATTTAAAAAAATTTTTTATTTGTTTTTTTAGAATTAGCACAATGAAATAAAGTAAGAAGACATATCTGATGCACATATTGAAATATGAAAAGAGTAAAGCTATCCAAATAGCATTTAATTAAGAAATAATAAATAATAGTCTTTTATAAATGCTAATATATAAAAGAGAGTATGCTGTACAAATCCAGTTACACTATGTTACAATATCAACTATATTAAAATAGTAACAAGCTTGTTGCTAATGTATATAATATATGTCCATAAATCCCAAATTCTTTAGTGTTTATAAATAAATAAAGAAAAAATATTAATATTTTTTACAAATTAATTAAAACCTGATAATTAAAAGCAGATCTATTCATTTTCTTTTATTTTATAAATATTAGCTTTAATTTTACTTATTGATTTTAGAAAATTTATAAGCATCTTTAAGGATTTTTGTTCACTTTAAAAAAAAAAATTAAATTATATCAAAAAAAGATTTGCGTTGCTACTAAAAATCTAAAGCTGAAATGGATCTTAAAAATAAAAACCCAATTAAAACTACATCTTTTACAATTTAAAGCTCAAAGGTAGAAAAAGCATCAAAAGATGACTCTTAAAAAGTAGAGTCTTTTGAAATTCCTGAAACTTAAGTATGCATTAGTATTTTTTCAAACGTAGTGAATGTCACAATCACCTAAACAAACAAAATAGGAAATATAGTAAAAGCAAATATTTTAAGTTTATTTTAAAGCTAATATATTTATTGTTTTAAAGATTGAAGCTTACTCAGAAAATATTGATGATATGACAAATGATGATAAAATTTATGAAGTTAAAACACTCTTTGGTTAAAGAGACATAGAACTTTACGAGTTGATAGCTAGAAGTATAATAGACTTATTTTATAACAAACAAAGAATATTTGAGTTTATGGTAAAATAACTTCAACTAGAAAGACCTGATCCTTATACTTTTGTTTCACCATTTTACGGAAAGCAATTAATATTAAACATTTCATTGCTAAATATTAAAAATGAGCAAATTCATTAAGATATTTATAATCATATAATGAAAAATTTTCAATTTAACTTTATGGAATTTATGCTTTGAGCCTTATATATCTATCTATATTAAGTAAGTATCTTTAAATGTAAATTTTTACTGTCTACTAAATGATTTATGTATAATTTATTTATCAAAAATAATTTAATTAAAATATTTTTTAATCATAAAATATTCACTAATTTTTTATAAAAATGCATTTTTGTATTCAAAAAATAAATATTTCTCATTATTAAATTTATTATTTTATTTTCTAATTTTAGAAAAAAATAAATAAAATTAAGACAAAATTAAAAAATATGTATTTAAAAATTAAAAAAAATAAATTAAAAATCATTTATCTTTTTTTTATATCTTGAAAATAATTTATTTTACAATAGTTATTTTATGAAAATATATTGCATAAAATATTTTTGCTATTTTATTTCTTTCATTTATATTAAAAACCATTAATATTTATCTATTAACAAGTTAATTTCGTAAATTTTTATTAAAAAAAAATAGTAAAATAATATAAAATGAATAAAAAACATATTTTCAGTTTATGAAATTTTATTAATATTTTTTTAATAAATCTTTTATTTTTTTAAATAAATAAAATAGACTTTTAAAATTGTTAAAGTAGAATATGTTGGATTTATTTTTAGAATAAAACTGAGTTATAATAGATACATTTGCTTAGATTAAAAGGTTGTCAATTTAACGAAATTCTGGTTATCAACTTCTATTTTATTTTTGATTTGTTTTGAAATTTAATTTTAAAAATCAACGAATAAAAAATCTTTAAAGTTAAGAAAAAGAAAAAGAAGGTTTTTTATCTCTCTAATTAGATTTGTTTTTGAAAACAAAAAATATTAAAAAATTAGAAAAAAAACACTCTTAAAAAAGTATAATAGAGATTATCGGGAGTCAGGATTTTCTTTCTCATTTTATCCACCATTTTCAAATATATTTTAAACAGCTTGCTCAAATTTATAAAACTCTTATACAAGATAAATTATGGATTTTTAAGACTTCTATGCTAACTATTTGCGCTAATAGCAAATATAGAAAGCATGTGACAATATGAAATAAGATGAAGTTGATTACGATATGTCTCAGGCTAATACCTTATCAAACTATACTAGTAGGACAACAATAAATTCTAATTTTAATTAAAACTAGTATCCAATGCAGGATGAATCATCTACATAAACCCTGTTGTTGAATGGATCTAACTAAAATCAAAAAGGAATAGTAGGTTTCACTAATAATAACTTAAAGAATTAACAAAAGCTTCTTGATGTAAATAACTAAAGAGTCTTTGGAAGAGAACTCATAAATATTGATCAAGAAAGGACCTTTGCATAAAATAACATATAAGTAAAATAAATTTCACATTTATACATTATTTTAAATTGAGTAAGTATTTAATCATTTTATTAATACAATTTTATTTTACAGAATAATAGCAAGAATCAATAGAGCTAGAATTATTCTAAGCCTACTGGATATTCATAAATTGAGAAATAAAATTACGCCTAAACATGCAACAACAATAACAAATAATTGAGTGATTAAAATAATTTACAATAATAAAATAATCTTAATCAAATAAAATGTAACATGTCTGTAGAATGTGATGGTCAAAATTTAAAAGGAGAAAATTAATAAAAATTAATTGATGTTAATAATTAAAGAGTCTTTGGTAGAGATATTGCGAACGTCGATCAAGAAAGAACATTTTCATAAAATAATATGCAAGTAAAATTTCATTAAAAATCATAAGCCAAATCATTTACTAATCAAATTTATTTTGTTTTACAGAATAGTTGCAAAATTCAGTAAAGTCAGAATTATGCAAAACCTATGGGGTACACAAAGATAGAAAAGCAGAATTATATGTAAGTTCAAAATAAAGATGAAAATTAAATCTACGCTAATCATACTAAGAACAATATGTATGTTGAATATGATGGTTAAAATCAATAAAAACTTGCTAATCCCAACAGTTAGCGCGTTTATGCCAAAGAAACAACAATTTCTGACCAAGAAAGACTGCAACAATAAAATAATATTCAAGTAAAATTAATTCATTTTAATTCAAAAAATATTTTTTTTTACAAATTTAAATAATTTATTTATTTATTTAAAGAATAATTTCAAGTCTCAACAAAACTAGAACTTTGCAAAGCCACTTGGATATACTAAATTAGATAAGTAAAACGTTTAAAACAATAACCAATTAGAATAAAATAGCTAACAATAAAGTAACTGCTTCAATTAACTAAAACGTCACATGTCTCTTGAATGCATCAATGGTGATGACAACCAAAATATAAAATGTGAGAGCAACTTCTATTCTCGTAATAGTATGGCAAGCTAATAAATGTAAGATGAAAATTATCATGCGGCTTCAAATGGATTTTCCAACAACAACAACACCTATAAAGCTAATACTTGCAAAGCTTCTTACGATAAAGAGAATTTCAATCAAATATCAACTGGATTTAGTGGATTAACTTAGTCAGTTCAATAAAATATAACTTTTAGATAAAAAAATGTGATGGATGTCGAAAACTCTCAACAATCTCATGCAACCACTTACAGGTCTTTGGAAAGAAAATAAGTAGTTGAATACACCTTCCCTAAAGACACACTTCAAAAAGATCCTATTTACTAATACGCAAGGACAATTTTTGATTATCTACGTAGCAACGAAGTAATAAATTATTTCTTTAAAACTATTTTATTCAAAAGTTTGTTTATTTTAGAATGAATTTTTATATATTTTTGGTTTATTTATCAAAAGGAAGCGTATTGCGCTAAAGGGACTATGAACAAAGTGTAAGATGAAATAACTGCTAGAATGAGAGCTATTATGGTAGACTGGATAGTTGATGTGCATCTCAAATTTAAGCTCTTACCTGACACACTATATTTGACTATTAATTTGATCGACAGATATATTGAAAGAAAGTAAATTTCCAAAGATAGATTACAACTTCTAGGTGCTACTTCAATGTTCATAGCTTGTAAATTTGAAGAAATTTATCCACCTGAGATTAATGACTTTGTGTTTATATGTGATAGTCTCTATACAAAGGAATAAATATTATAAATGGAGGGTGAATTAATCACAGCAATTAATTTTGATTTAACTTACACCAGTCCTTTACGTTTTCTTAACAGATATAGTTACCTGAATGAATCCACTGAAGTATAATACTATTGTGCACAATATCTTTTAGAGCTCTCTCTAATTGAGTATAAAATGACTGAGTATTCTTCATCAAACTAAGCTGCAAGTGCACTATATTTAGTAAATAAAATATTTGACTAACCATGGAGTGAAGAGCTTCGCAACCAATCCCACTATGATTAGTCTTCTCTTAAAAAATGCGCTAAAGATATGTACGCTCTTCTTTAAAAGGCAAATGAGTTCTAATACAAGTATCAGATTTAGGTTGCAGAGTATGAAAATTAAAAATAACTACAGATGGCTTAATTAAAACAATGGTATAACCTTGAAAAGTCTAGACTAGAATAAGAATAGAATTTTGTCTAAGATCATCACGAATAATTAGAAATAGACTACGACCAAAAGAGAAAAGAAATAGAAGCTAAATTCAAAGAAATCAAAGGCTAATTACTATGCAATAATAAAAACTTAGTAGCAATTATCCGTAAATTTTCTCTTGCTGAATTCAAAGAGCCTGCTAAATTTCTGTTTTGCCTAGAGTATCCTTTGCCCTGAACATAAATAATAAAATAATTAATAACAATAAAACAAACTAATCATTAATAAAAAATATTTTAAAATTGAAAGTTTAAATAAAACAAATAAATAAATAAATATTAAAAAATGAAGCTTTTAATTATAAAATGACAGAATTAATTAATTAATTAACCAATAATATAAAAAAATAAAAATAATTATAATGATAACCTATATTATCACTAATAATTTTATATTAAAATACTATAATAAATAAATACATTTTGATCTTTTGAATTATTTTTAAAGTAGATTATTTTTTATATAATATCTTAATTGTAAGTATCCTATCTATCTCATTCATTTTATGTTTTAATCAATCGATTCATTATATTTATTACATAAATCACTCAATTACCCTCAATAAGTTTCAATTCTTAAATCAATTTATTTTCGCTTTTCAATATTAAAATTAATTTTCAGAAAGATAAATTAAAATTTGAAGTTTTACAAACTTGTTAAAAATTTTAGGAAAAAAACATAAATTTGAATTTGATTTTTAATAAATTTTTGATTTATATGAAAAATAAATCTTTCAAAAGTAATTAAGAAACTAACTAATCATGAAAAAAATTAAATTAATCACAGATTTTTAAAAAAGCTACAAAAAATTTTAAATTAATTTAAATTTTTGTAAAAATGTAAAACCTCGCTCGATTCGTTCTATTTTATTTTTTTAAATTGTTAAATTTTCTCCTTTCATTTCTGATAAAATTAATAAATAAAATCATGAATTTATGAATTATTTTAAAAAGAAAAATCAAATAATTTAATAAATTTTTAAAGTAACGTTTGTAAATATAAATACATAGCTGCTGTGTGTTTGTTTTATTTTTCAGTAATATATAGAATTAATTATATTTTATAATAATATTAGTATAATTTCATCTAAATGGTATTACAAAATTTATTTCTTCTTTATTTTATTATTGCTACTAATTATTTTGTTTCTCTACTTCCTATGTTTCATCTTAATTATCATACTACTAATTCTTTAAAGGCTCATATTTATAGTTTGGAAGTAACACAACATTCTCATCATCTTTGTTCTTTTTTTATATCGCTCCTCCATAAGGAACGAAGTTATTGCCTGAAGAGCCAAAGAACGAGCTTGAAGATATAAATGAACTTTGTGCAATCAATGGTTTATTATTATTGTTGTTGTTATTATTATTATAATTAGTACTTACTGGATCGCTTATGGCGTTTGTTGTATTATTTTTGGCATTAGCAGTATCAAAGCTATTGTTTGCAGGAGTAAATAAGCTTTAATTACTAATTATGCTTTATTTTTAAGATAAGTTTTATTAATTTTATATTTAATTTTATGTAGCTTATAAATTAGAGTTGTTTATTATGCTATTACTTTAAGATGGTACGTTATTTGTATTTTAATCAACTTAAGAATTATTTGTGAATACGTTAGAAGTGGTAAAGAAGCTAGAGTTATTTATGAATGATTTGTTTTGAAGTTTATTCTATTAATCATTAATAATATTGGATTAAGTACTCTCTTATTTTGTAGAATTATTATTGTTTATCTATTCTTGTTGATTAGGATTAAAGGTGTTATTTGAAGGTTAATAATAAGGATTTGTATTAGTACCTAAAATATCTTCTTCACTTATAGGACCATCATCATCACTGTTATTATCATCTAAAATATTGAAGTTGTCTTCATCACAATTTTCAAAAGTAAATGCATCTTGGTTGCTACCAATTTGTTCTTCTCTATTATCATTTTATATAATATCAAAGCTATTATTTTTTGGGATATTGTCAGAATCGCCTCCTTGGTTCTATTTTACCTAAGTTTCTTATTACTAATTAGCTTATTTAGGTTATTCTTATTATGTTTATAATTATTAAGTAGTTTGATTGTTTTATAATTAAGGTTATTTGTCTTAAGTTGATTCTAAGCTTTTTTTGATTGAAAAATTACTTTAACCAGCAGCATTTTCGGAAGTTTTTTATTGCAATGAGCTTGATCTTTACATTGGATCAGGGCTCTTTAATCTGTTTTAAGGTGAAATAGTGCTACTTCCTAATACTCCACCTACACGAGAACTTATATCACTGAAAATACTTTTTCCTCGTAAAGAAGTTTATAACTTAGGAGGGTTAGAATTAGCTAGGTTGTTATTTGAATTACTACCTTATGTAGTTATAGGTGACACAAGACTGGTTGAACCGATAGACAATTTATTTGAAGGGGTAGTTGATGTTAGAAGGCTAGAATTATTAATCATACTTGTAGATCCTGCTTACTAGTTAGCTGGATTTAGTTGTGGAGAACTAATTGGAGGTACTTTATTTTAAGAATTTAGAATGCTAGTTGAGTTTATAAGACTTGTAGAGCTAATTCCAGATTTTTTAGAATCATCTGAAAGTTACGAATTTAAAGAAGTATTTAATTAAATTTAACTACTATCTGAAGATAAACTATTATTTAAACTGCTGTTTGTTGCAATTTCGCCTTTATCTTCTGAAGATGTTTAGGAAGGACTGACAGGATGTATAGCAAAATTTCCCTACTAGCTTTAGTTTTACTCCATATTTTTATCTTCGTACTCATCTCTCATGTCTGTGGGTTTGCTTGCTTGGGCCAAAATTAAACCGAATATATTATTAAAATTAGAGCTATCCTCTTAGCGTTTTTGATCTTCTATCTCCTTTTAGTTTTTAATAAGTCTTTTAATGTAATTTTCATCATTTTCATCAGATAGACTTTCTTCTTCACATGCAATCCTTTCAATTAATCTCTTGTTTCTTTATCTCTCAATTAGTTTGTCTTAATTAGGTGGTTCTTAGTTTTTGTTAATCTCTTCTTCTGCTTTTTCAAGAATCTTATTAACATTTTCACATCTTTGATCATTCAAAGATCCAATTTAGAGTATATCTCTCAAAAATTCATTCTGCAATTCATACTATCTAAGCTCATTCTAATTTTAAAGTTTATTAATTATTTAATTTACACTATATTTATGTATTTATTTACTTGAAGAGATAAAAATTCTTCACTGTCTTTGATGTACTAATCATAAACTACACTCCTTAGTTTCAAAATTTTTCTTTTAATATTGATATTAACTTCTTTTAAGTTTTTATTTAAGCTCTTTTTATAATTATAAATAGATTAAATATGAATATTTAAACTAATTTTTAATTTTACTTATTCTTTTATCAGAGATTTTTAGTAAAAAGTTATTTAAGCCTTCACACCCTTTTAATCTGTGTGCTTTTGCACTTGTTTAAATTTTTAAACAGTCTTTTAAAAAGCGAATTTGTAATCCTCTAACTCTTCTTTTGTTGACCTTAATTCATCTTACAATTTCTAAACCAAATCTTAGCTCTCTTACAGTTACTTTTTCAGTTGTGTTATTTTTTCTTCTTCTTGCTGATCGTAAGCTTATCTTGTAGGAGTAGGCGCTGTTTATATTTAAAAAAATATTTTAAACTTCATCAAAAAAATATTTTTAAATGATTATAAATTACATTTTCTAGGACCTTAGCTTTTGGATGGAGTTTTCCTAGCAGATATGATACTACTGTCAAGGTTCTGTCTAGAATATTTGGACACCCTGTGTGAGTTTTACTTTTAGCTTGCCATCTGATCTTATATAGATCCTCCTCCTACTGAGTGATATTAGGGCTAAAGCTAAATACCTTAAGAATATTATGAAAAAGTTTATTAAAATGGAATATTTTAATTCGCCAATTAGCTTGAAACACTATGATTAGAGCTTCTATCTCTTTATAACTTGCTACGAATAAAATTGTTATTGCTTTATTGTATCTACTAAATTTGTGGATTTGTATTTCCTAAGTTTAAAAACGATTAATCTCTGCTTGGAAAATAGTTTAGTTGGTTGCTGTTTTATGGTAGAATTGGTGAAGGTTGATTTGTTATATTTGAGAGGAAATCCTCTTCGGTGTCATCTTAATCTGGAGATTAAAGTAGTTGGTACTGATTCTAAAAGTTTTGTATATTTTTTTTTAACTTGTTTGGCTAACTTTGAAAGTTTTGAATTGAACTGTTCTTATTGTTTGAAGTTGCTCTTGGTGGAGCGAATTTGCTATCAGAGTCTTAATTATTAGGAGTTATCCTTATCCTTGAGTTATCTCTAGCACTCACACTTTGTTGTTAGCGAGACTGATTTTAGAGTTAAGGGTAATCTTCTTCTGATTTTCCTTGATCAAAATAATATTAATTCATATTACTTTAAGGAATGACATTAGATATTTAATTTGGCATAATCTAACTGTTACCCATCTACTAATTAAATGGAAATGGGTTTTCAGAAGTATAAGGAACTTTAGACATTTTAGGAGTGTTGAATGAATTCAAGCTTTAGTAATCGTGATGATGATTAGAGCGAACTGAAGGGTTATTCTTGACAGTTTTTATATATTGCTAAAATTATGATTAGTTGTTTTAAGGAGTTCTAAGGATTTCAGCAGGTTAGTTTTGTTGCTATTATTGAAGATAATATTAGTACTAAAGTTTTTTATTATTTTTCATGTCTTAATTTTTTGAGGTGTAGCTGCTACTTAACTGATTCTATTACGAATTTGTTAAGAAATCACTATACATATTTTCTTATTCCTCTATTTCATCTTCTTAATTATATCCTTGGTCTTCGAATGTATCTTATTCTTATTAGTAGTCGTTTTCTTCATTAGTAGCTAGTATCCCATCACTCAAATAATGCTAGTTACTTATTAAATTAGGATCGATCATATCAAAATTGTACTGTTCTTGGTACTATTTTAAACTCATTTGGTTTTATCTTTAATTTTAAAGTTACTATTAAAATTACTGTTGTTGTTACAAAAAAGGCATTTATCTCATTTGCTGATTATTTATTTGGGATTATTGTGGAATCTATTACTTTTTTTATTGTGTTTTAGCTTAGTTTTAATTTATTTACTATTATTATTAATTTATATTTTAGACCATGTTAGCTTGGTTAAACATTTTAGCTCTTTATTATGAGGGTTACGATTAATATTATTATAAAGGCTGCTGCTACTATTATTATTATTATTACTACTACTAAATTTGCATCTTTAAATTTTGTTATAACTGCATCTAGTTGTGTTATTTAAACTGTTACTATTGTTAAACATGTGGACTAATTTGTTAAGATTAGGATTGATGCAGATTCAAAAAATTATTTTACTGAAGGTTAACTTAGTCGTTCATTAGCGGAAGTCTCCTTGAAGCATTTATTGGAGAATAAGAATGAGGAGTTAAACTAGAAATAATTGATGAATCATTTTAGTTGTTAAATTCTATTCTTTTTGCAAGCTTATCCTTAGAGTTTGAATTTAAAATTTATTTTTATAACTAAGTGTTTCCTTATTGCTGCATTTATCTTTTATTATTGTATGGAGTAGTCACTTGTTGTTAGTTCGGAGTGTAATGTATTGATTAGCTAGGTTGCCTATTCGTTGTACTAATAGAGCTAGGTGATTTAGAGTGAAATGCAGAATTGTTAGGTGATTTTTATGGGATATTACTATTATAAAGCTATTAAGACCATATTTATTAGAAATTTTATTGTTAATTTTATAAATTTAAATTTCCTGATTATTAAGGAGTAAGTGAGGGTGTTTCCATTTCACTGTTTGATCCATAATTATTATTACTTTTTACTTTTGCTCTTTCTATGTTATTAGAAAAAAAGTTACTATTATTCAGAGTACCCATTAGAGAAAATTGATCAGCATTATTTTCATTGCTCTCCATATTACTAAGTTATCTAATTTGCTTTGTTTTTTAGATCTTTGAATTCTCAACCGATTGCTAATATATTTTAATTTATAAAAATGTTATTTAGTAGATTGATAAGCATATTATGCATAAATTAATTTGTGGTTAATTAAGCAAATGTAAAAATTATGCTAGCAAAATTTAGAAAGAAGAATGAATATTCCAATTGTAAGAAAAGTAATTTATTACATTTAAGGTTGATGCCTGCTACTTTATTTACTAAATTTAATTAAATAAGTTATCAATATCACGCTCTTCCATTTCTTATTATGTATGCTTATGTAGTAATAATTAGATTTTGCTTATTAATAATGTATGAATGATTGATTGATTGATATATTTATATAAATGATATAATTAATTATCCCAATTATATTACTGTTAATTAATTAATCAATAAGCAAATATTTTTTCTATTTCTTTTAATTGATTTTTAAAAATCAGAATTGAATTAATTTAACAAACATATAAGGTATTATTTTAAATCTTTTTAAGTTTTTTCTTGCTATTTTTGAATATTTTTTTTAATTTCTGCAATAAACATAATCTATTCATAATCTACTAACAACCATATTATAAATAATTTTTATCTATTTATCTATCTTAATATGTTGTTTTTACCAAAATTATAAAATATAAAGATAAGAATTGAAATTTGCATATTGCTTTTAAACGGATATTAAAAAAAAAGACTTTTAAAATGATAAAATCTTTATTAAAATGATCTACTTATTCTTTAAATTAATTTTTATAAATAGTATAATCAATTTTATGAACTTTCCTTAGAAATATTTAGTATTATAAGATAGATAGATATAAATAAATAAATTTTAAATCGAATGAATAATCAGTTTTAACGATTTTGATAAAAGAACTATATCAATGAAATTAAATTTTTAAAAATTGAAATTGCCAAAAATAAATCAAAGGTTTTATTAAGATTTAACATAAATTGAAATACATAAAACAAGATAAATTATTTTAATATTATATAGGTAAGATTGAAGACAAAGAAAGATGGTTTTTACATTTTATTATTTATTTCGTTATTGATTTATTTATTCATTTATTATTTTATTTTTGTTAACTTTAAGTAAATTATTGTGTTATTTTATTCAAATTTTTAAACGATTAGCAATATTATTTGAGATATTTGTATTGCTAGATACTTTAATTTAAGATTAATTCTGTATTATGGAGTTAGTATTTTTTTAGTTTTAATTTTAATTTGTATTCCCTATATATGGTTAAGGCTAATTTATTGAAAATAATTCTGAAATTGGAATGTTGCTTTTTTATGGGATAGAAAGCTGTTCTTGTATCTAAAATATCAAACTTTAACGAGACTTATAAGGACGTAATATATTTTAAGGTAGATTTTGGTGATATCTTGCTTCTAAAATTGGTAAAGGTATAAAAAATTAATGTTTAATTGTTAAAATAAATATGAATGAATGCTTACAATACTGCTGAACGCAATAACTTGCTTAAAGAGATACTATCTTTACTAAAGTATCTAAGAATTACTCATGAATAACTGATTTATCTATCCAAGGAAAGAAGAAATCTCCTAACTATTTTTAATTTGTTTAGTAAAAATTATTTATTATTGGTTAGTTTCATTCAAAAAGCAAATTACTTTATCCTTTCTTATAAGATTAATTCTATAGTAATTATTAGTCAAAGGGTGTATTACTATATATGCTGTAGTCAGCTAACTTGGTATGATGTATTACCTATATAAATGTTTAATTTGATTGAATTATAAAAATTTATAAATTATTTTTACTAGTATTTTCTGATATTTTCACACCAGATGATATTTACAAAATCGTTTCCAATATGTCTTTTCTTAGATACAAATTGCTTATCTTCTTTATTTTTTATTGGCATCATAGTGACTACATGGTAAACTACCTCACAGTTATAAAAATGATTATATATTGTGTATTCACCGTCTCTATCTGGACTTAATCCTCCTAAAAAGCCCTAATGCTCACTCAATTTCACTTTTTCACCTAGATTTTCTAAGAATCTCTCATATCTTTAGCTACCACATTAAGCTTATAATATTTATTATTCATTATCTTAGTCCTTACCCATGAATAAGACCCCAATTTTAACCTTGTCGCTTGCTAATTTTTTAGATTTAAAATGTAAAATTGTTAAGTATTTTAAAAAATATTTACTTGAATATTAATCAATCTAGCTTATTATGTTTAAATAAGAATCCTATTGATGATCTATAAAATTGCATTTATTATTATCTTTTATCATGAAAGGAACTTCTTAAATGAAAGACTTTAAACTTCTTGTTACAGTTTCTTGATAAACTGGGTCATGTTTATTTGCTAAAGTAAATTATTTACTGAAAAAAAAAATTTCAAACTAATTAATAAAATACAAATTTTCTAATTTACTTAAAGTTTCCATTCTTTTAAGGGCTTCTAGGCATATTTTCTTCTTCTTACTCTTGATCATCATCATCACCAAATTAGCTCTAATTATATTGTTGAAAATGTTATAATAATATGAACCAATGAGCAATTTTAATCAATTTAATTATTTAATTTGATAGAAAGGTTTTTTAACAAAATTTTTATTGAATTTTTGGAATGTTTATCAAATAAAAAAATAAATTACTTCATTTTCAGTTTAAACAATTTGTTCGTGAATAAAGTAGATTATTTATTCAATTATTTTTGATAATTAATCATTTTTAGTTTGTTTAGGAATTTCTTTACTTACTTTACGTTTTTCTTCACAATTAATAGGTGGATTTTTAATCATATGTATCAAACTTCCTTCTGACTTGTGAGTTTCTTATAAATATTAAGTCAAGTTTTAATTATTTGGTTAGGGCTTTTTATCTTTAATTTCTGATTTACTTTACTTTTAGGCTAATTCATTATGATTGTTTAAATTTATTTATTGTGTAAAATGATTTTATTATTGATTTAGATTTATTTAATTATCATCTAACTTATCGTTTGATCTCAAAGCTTTTTAAAGAGGAGATTCAACTAATTTTTCTCTTACTTTCCAAATAAATTTTCCATTAAGGTCCCTGATAATTGCATATATTTAGGATTTGCTATCAAGTAAAAAAGAAACAAGTTTCTCACTATCTAAACAAAAGCTTAAATACTTGTTTTCTATAAATTCAGGTATATATTCGCTGATATCTTAAAATTAATGGTTACTGTTCTTTTTTATGTATTTTTTAATTTATGATACAACTCCTTGATTTTGTTAACTCTTTTTTAAAACGCTTGAGTTATTTAATTGGCTCTATGCACTGCAGTCAAAAGAAGTTGCTTAATGCGTTTTTTACTTGAGAACATCTTTTTCTATTTTAGAAATTTCAAAAATTATTTTTTGCTATTGCTTCATTGATTCATGGCAGCTAATAGTATGATAAACAGATTCGCGACTCTTTAGGCTAAGCAAATCACTTTAAGGCTCAACTAAATCTTCAAGTTAAAAGCTAAACATATCATCTTACCTTTAATCAAGGTAATTTTTCATCAACTATGACAAAAAGAATTATACATCATACTATAAGTCACTAATTTAAGATATATTATGTAAAGCCTTAATTAAATTTTCTAAAAACCTTTTTGCATCTTTAAAATGTTTTCTGCAGTTAATTTCAAAATATCTAAAATTGAAAATCCAGTTCTTTTAATTAAATAAATTTACTATAATTGTAATCTTATATTTAATAAATTTACCTGCAAACAATGAAGAAGCTATCTAGAAACTAATACATCCTTTTACACTTTTTCTTATAAAATTTGTGTTATAGTTCTCATAATCCTGTTTATGGTAGTTTTTTGTATTAATGACATTTAATCAGCAAGAGCGAACGAGTTTATAAATTATATGGAGTGGTATTAGATTTATTTACATGAATTGTATTAAGAATTAATATTTTTTAAGATGAAATCCCATATAAGCAGCTGTTTTAAAATAATTCAAAAAATTAGTTTTAAAATAATTAATAAAAAATTTTATACTTTTATTTCTTGATTTTGGAGCTAATCTAAAAGAACTGTAAAAAAGAGAGATTATAAATGAAATATCACATCGATTGTAAAGAGAGTTTCAATATTGATATTAGGTTAAAATAGCGAAATAAAGTGGTTTACTAGAGTAGTGATGAAATAATTAATAAGTGGAAATGATGTTTTCTTTATCTCTTAAATTTAATACAAATTTTTTAACAAGATAATTATTGACCTAATAACTATTGATCGACTTTATTTACTGAATTCATCATTAATTGCAGAATGGTTCCAAATAGTTGTTGATTCCAACAAATAATTTTAAAGAAGTATTTAACTATGTTAATTTGAAGAGGAAGGAAATATAGAAGAAAGAGACGAAATGATAAATGAAGAAGAATGGCAAGCAGTATTAAAATCTTAACCAGCTAGAAATATAGCTAGCATATAACTAAAATCTTCAGGTGCTGAAACAGGGTCTATCAAATATCCTAAAATTTACTTTGATTTCTCTAAAAATTTATGAATCAAGCTGTGATGTTTCATTAATTCAGGATAAGTTGAAAAAATATCTTTATTCACTACAATTGCTGCCACGCTAAACTGTTTTTAAATAATATAAATTATTAATTATATTTTTATATTTAATTGGATAATTTACGATTGGATCTGTGTCTTCGTTAAGACAATAATTAAAGAGTTATTCCCATTGATTAACTATCTCTCCTAAGGTTTCGTTTTGTTAAGAATGAGCTTTGTTGTATATTTGAAAAAAGGATTTCATAATAAAAGCTGTATTTGTGATTGTAGCAAATTTTTATATTTTTGATTGCTTGTTACCTAAATCTTACAAGATCTAATAAGTTTCTAACTTACTTTGTATATTTAAATAACTGTAAAATATAAAAAATAAAGTATTTATTGATGGAGGATATCTTATTATTTATGATTGTTTTTATTTATTTTAGATATTAAAAGAACTAGAAGCTTGACTTTAACTAGTATTTAAGAAATTAGAATGCTTTTAGCTCTAGTGAGGAGTCAAGAAGCAATAGATTATTTACTGAGTATATTTACATGATAAGTTCTGATTTTATAAATCTACGAAATTTGAGTTATTACAAATTATATCTATTTTATACATCAAATTATTGAATTAAATAACAAGATACTCTAATTTATTTTGTTATTCATCTTTTAAATACAAAGATGATCTTCGATTTTTCAAATCATTTATTTTAGAAGTTTATCCTTTTTCTTTTGAATTCTATGATTTGTTTTTCTTTGGAGAAGAATTTAGTGACTCTTCTTTCGAACAGCTTAAAGCACCCTCCAATATATCGTTAGATTCCTCTGCTTCACTTTTTTTTGAATGAATGAACCTTGATATATTTCTATCAATTTCTTATTTTGTCAAGAATTAGCTGCCTAAGCGAAAAAAATCGCTCCCTTCATTACTATCAGAGTTATTTCCTTCTTACTACAAAACATTATTGATTTATTCACTAAATTAAATATTCTTTTTTTAGGCAAATAAAGTTTCACTGTTTTCATTGCTTGCATTCACAAATACGAAGCTGCTGTTAGAATTTTATTCGCTTTGTTCAACCTCTGAAAAATCCGATTTTGGAAGGTTTTGTTAATTTGAATTATCTCGTTTCCTATTAAAGGACAAGTTTTATTGGTTATTATTCCTAGGATTTGTGCCTTCCTGTTTATTTTCTGTATTTGTCTCACTGTAATTACCTATATACTCATCAAGTAGAATAACATCTTCCATATTAAGTAATTTTCCCATGTTTAGATAATTTTTTAAAACTCCTTACAGTATTTTTTAATCTTGCTTTTCTTTGTATTGAGGCTCTATATTTGAATAATTAATTTTTTATAGAGGATTAGAATTATTTTCTGATTCTATTGAAGCAGAACTTTTTTGAGATTAAGATAAATTTCTCTCCTTCACAACCATTGTATGTAAATTTATTTAATTGTTGACACTTTCACTTTATCTTTACTCTTTCTAAAGTTTTTGCCTTATTTTAATTACATCTAAAATCATTTGTAAAGTATTTTCTAACTAATATGGCTAATTTTCCTTTTTCAAAACATTTCCTAAATAAACAACTTCTCCTTAAAATATATCTAAATTCTCTTAAGAATAGAGTGTATCAATAAATTTAAAAGCAATATTTTTAACATAGTCACTTAAATTTTTTAAAACGTTGTATCTGTTTAATAATTCAATTGACATTTGATGCATTTTCTCTCTCAAGAGAATGATATCTTCGCTGTTTAGCTTATTCTCTTCCAACAGCTTATGAGAATCTTCTTTTCTGAATGATTTTTCAAGCTATGCTAAAAAGATTCTTTCCTAATAACTCATCAAGAGGAAAAACAAGTCAATCAGCACTTTAGAGTTTTATTCTTAGTCCTAGTCTTTATTTTACATCCATTCATTTAATCTATTTATTATAAAGTTAAAATTTTTAATCCCATTTAAATTAAAATAAATTTTACAAGTCCTCTCCTATTTTAATAACTTTTGTGCAGAATGTTTTGAAGTAAGGAGTAGAGCGTATTTGATCATGATTTAACTTTTATAAACAGTTTATGTAAATTTCTGCTCTTTTTGGAGTAATCTTAGTATGACTTTAAAGATGGGATTCTTAATAATTTTCCTTTTTAAAATTTTATTTCTTTTTCTAATGATTTTGTCTGATAGTCATCTCATGTATTATACTCTCTTCGATTTTCATTAGAATAGAAGATATTAAGACAATGTTGTCATTTTCATAATAAACAGGAAAAAGATCTCCAAAATTGGCCATTTGATCAGAAAAAGTACTTATTATATCATTTGCTATTTTATAATATTCTTCTTTGTCAAAATAGCTGTGTAGGAGATCTATATAGTGCATATACTCTTTTTCACTAAGTAATTTGTGTCTTAAATCTGCAATAACTGCTGTGCTTCTTCTTTCTTTTTACTTTTCCTTCTTATTAGTGCCTAATTTTTACAAAATAAATTTTTTAATTTCGTAACAGAAAAATGCTAATAATTACTAAGAATAACAAAGAAAAAGTTGATTTATTTAAGAAAGCTTGATGTTAAATTTATTTTAGTATTTTAGTCTAGTAAAATTTAATCAGTAGATAAACCATAGATCATTTAATATTGCTTGGTAACAGTATCTTATCTCTTAAAATATTCTTCGGACCATTTAAGGTAACTTTTATCAAAACAAAGTTAAAACCATGTCTAAGAAAATATAAGCAACCACTTTCTCACATTTTTAACATCCAATTGCATGTATTTCCATATTTCCTAATTAAAAGTAAATTTTTAAATGAATGAATAAATAAATATTTAATTTTTTAGTAAATTAAAACAAAAATATTAAATTTTTATCTTAGTTTTTTATATATTTTAATTTCATATTGTATTGCTTATTGAGATTTCATAAAATTTAGATTTTGATTTCGGTATCGTTAACATAATTTATTATTGATTCAACTTAATACTACTATATCATAAAATTAGTGGTATTTTTTGAGAGCCAATAAATTACAATAATATAGCAAATCATTAAAAAAACTATTGCGTAATTACAAATTTGAGATAAAAATATCATAGTTTTGGAAATAAATTTTATGTGTTTTCCTATTTAAAGTGTAAATTAACATTTCAATATCCATTATTCATCTAAAATAATTTTTTTTCCTAATTTTTGATAATGCTTAGCATGATAAATATCTTAATATTTGTTTAATTGCTTGTTCAATATTGATAGATAATTTGAAACTAAAACTAATGAATCAACATAATTACATCTAGATATTGCTTTTCTGATTTTTCGTGGCTTACATCTTTAATATAATTTGTCCAAACAGGCATTCCATTGCTCGGACTGTTAAAAACGCAGACATCTTTAATAGAGTTTTAAGAGTATGGTTTGCTAAATGACTAAAAATCTATTATATAATTGAATAGCGTAAGAACGGATAGTTCTTGTAGCCTAAATAGCTGATTGAAATCATAGCTAGAAATAATCTTAAAAAGGAGAATAAAACCTAAAATTCTTGCTTCTTCTTTATTTTAATAATCGAGACAGCAGTAAATGGTTTGAATGATTTGCAAGCGAAAGACTCCTTTCAATAATTCTTGAATATTTACATTTTCTAAACTGTCAAAGAAAAAATATAGTAACTTTAATGTTTAAAGGATATCTCTACATTAATTATTCTGATTAATTAGCTTTTAAAAAAAGCCTGGATTAATTTTATTAAGATGATCTTAAATCAGTTCATAAACGACCCTGTAATTTTGATTCAAGGACTAGTGCCATATATGATTGAGTTTGATATTCTTTATTATTCTATGCTGCAATTTCATCATAGATATTCCGTTAATATTAAGCACTCCTGATGAGTTATTAGCTGACTAATTCAACTATGACTAATTAACTGGCTGGTTGCTTGAGTGTTGATTTTACTAATTCTGACTATCTGCTTATTCATCCTTGCTAGTATTTTATTGCTCTCCTTCATCCCTGATTTGTTTATAAACATCCACTAACTACTAAAATCTATGCTTTGTTTTTTTATCTTTATCTAAAATAAATTCTATGCTTGCATTAAAAGCCTTTATTATAGCAGTCTCCTAATCATCTGTATTGCTCATTCGTATAAGAACAATCAATTAATCAACTATCTATCCAATTAGATTTCTATCTTACTACTTAATATTATTGATCGTAATAATTTAATTATTTTCTTATTTCCTTCCTTCTAATATTATAAACTTATTTATTTTCTTAAATTTCTTTATTATGAAATTTCATTTTACATCTGTGTATGGCTTAATATCAAATATTTCATGCATTTTTAGTTTTTGGCATTACTTATTCTCAATATTTTACAAGCTTAAATTATAATTTAATTGCTCTTACTCCACTACTATGTAGAGTTAGCTATCTTAGATTATGCAGTTGAAACATTTTCAAATTGAAAAGATACACATATAGACTTTTTTAAATCCATTATATAAGTTACTTAACAAGAAGCTTAAAGCCTAATCTTTATTAAAATATAATTATAAAATTTTAGAGTTGATTCATTAGAAATATCAGATAAATACTAATTAAATCTTTAATTTTAAAAAAAAGCAAATGAATTTGAGTAAATAATGATAAAAAATTTACAACTCATATTACATTTCAATTTATGAACTTTTATCAGATTTATAAAGAATTTATATTTTTTTTTATAAATTTATTTTTAACATTAAAACAAAATAAAATAAATAGAATATCTTTATTAATTAAATTACTCTAAAACCTCAATCATGTTCCATACACTATCAATATCCCCTATTTCCAAAGTCATATCATTAAAAATTATTTTTATTTTAAAAATTATATATTTGTTGTTTGATGACTGGATGATTATTTACATTGTATAAATTGTAATGATATTTTTATAAAATAAAATCTTAAAAAAATAAATAAAAAATTATATATAATTTGAATTTTTGTTTATTGAATGCTCAAAAACTTTTAGAATTTAATGACCAATAATTAGTTATTTTAATCTTTTTAAAGAATATTTGCTTTTTAATCAATAGCCATTTATTTCATTTATGTATTAAAAAAACTTTAATTTAGAAAGTGCAAAAAAAGAAAAAGATTTATCACTTTTGAAATTGTAGATTTATAAAATTTAAAGTCAAATATAAACATAAAAAATAGATTAACTAATGAATTAATAAATGAATACAAATTTGCCATACGTACTTAATGATTAAAAATATCATTTCCTTTAATATGTATTATAAATAGATCGGAAGCTCAAGGAACATACCAATTTAAGGCTAACACAATATCATCAATTTGCAAGATGATAAACTGAATCAAAATAGTGTAAATAACAGACGAAAGCTTGTAAATTTAGTTTAATTTTAGTCTTTATAAATTTATTAAATTTGATTTTTTTAAGTATGTTTAAAAATACCCTAAAAATTTGGACAGTAAACTAATGACAGACATTTTAGGAGGTCCTTTGATTGAAGAAATTCCAAAAGATCCACCTATACGTAGACCCAGAAGTTAAAGCAAAAAGCACTTAAATGATAGGACAAATAATTTATCTTTGGACCAAAACAGCATAATGGGAGACAACGATAGAATGAATAAAAATTCTATGAGTTTTCATGTACCTTAATCCAAAGATAATAATAGTTTATTAGAAAAAGCCATGCTTGAAAATGATATGTATAATTTAGTTTATTGAGCTTAAAGAAATAGTTTTTTTTAAGAATTAAATTTAAAATTCCTTTGTAACTTAAATTATAAATACAAATTTTTGATGCAATTATGAAACAAGTAACTTGGAATAATTTATATAGACAAGAACTTAGGGAGAAGCTTTATAGATAAGAAAGGAACATGGGCACAATGAATGATTTAGTGAAAAGTTTGGAAATCAAATTGTAAACAAGATAACAATTACAAGATTCTGATATTCAATAAATTTTAACTGCCAATAAATCTTAAGTAAAAATTTAAAATAAGATGTCGATTTAATTTATTTTATTTACTGTTTATATAATTAAATAAAGTTAAATACTTACGAGCAAAAAATAAGGGATCTTGAGCTAAAAATTTAATCTGATTAGAGACAATATGATGATATAAAAAAGAACTTGTAACAAAATGATCAAAATCAAAAAGAAATATTAAATTTTATAAGAAATATGCAAAAAGAGGTATTTTTATAATTTAGCTGCTTATAAAATTATTTTTGTTGTACAAAAATATAAAGGAATCTAACTAAATAATGAATATGAAAGGATTAATACAAGACAAGTTAACAGAGGAAAATAATAATCTTTCCAAAGAAAAAGCAAAAACAAAAGCATTATTTATGGAAGTTGTGAGGTTAGGTGAAAATTAAGAAAGATAGTCAAACAGTTTCAAGTAAACTCAGCAAGATCTGGAAGAAAAGATCAGGTTTTTGGAATCTAAAATAATGAATGGGGAAAAAGCAGTGTCTCATCTTGCAGAAAAGGGCGATAAAAACATAAATCAAATGGGTGAATGGGGAGAAGTCACAGCATAAAGGTGATAATTATCTATCCATCAAGATTCAATTTTATAGTAAATTATTTTCTTAAAATTAGAATTAGAGATTTTGAAAACGGCTTGCAAAACCTTTAAAGAGAGCTAGTTAAAGAAAAATAAAATATAAGAAATATCGAAGAAAGTAATAGCAGAACAGACTAAGAGATAAGAAATTAGCTAAAGTTAATGAAATCTGATATTACTGATATGAATGAGAATTACTTTAGCTAAATATCTTAAAAATTATACTAAGAAAGAGAGGAAAGAAACAAAATTCTAGATGAAATTCAAATGTCAATTGACTAAAAATAAAGGATTATGGCTGATAAAGTTAATTATGATAAACAAGAATTAAAAGAAAAGGTAGCATATGTTGAGCAACTACTTAAGTAGGAATCAATTAAAAACTCTGAAGGTCTCTTATAAATTTAAGGGCAATAAGACTAGCAGCTTAAGTACTTGCAGGAGCAACTCAAAGCGTTTGAAAACAACTAAATAAATTCAGAAAATAAACTCAAATAAGACATTATTAAAATTCAAGAATAGTTTAACAGAGTAAAATATTTGTTTTTACATTTATAATTGAGATTATATTTTATTTTTATTTAAGGACTATTTGCAATTTAAAAACTATCAAAATGGACTAACTGAAAAAATAACAGAGATGATGCAACAAGAAATAAAAACTAGAATAAATTCAGATATGTAACGAAATTCAAAGTTTGTTTTTTATTTTTTGGTTAATATGCATTTTTTTTAAATTTAGAGACTTAAAAAATTTAACAAGCGACATTGCTCAAGATATAGTTTCTGATATTAATAAACTAAAAGATGGAATAGAATAATAGTTCAAGGAAGTATATGATGAAATTAAAAACATGAATTCTGAATGTGCTCAGAGGTGCTCCAAATTGAGTATCTTTACTGAACAAGAATGCTCTAATTTAGGTACTGAATTTATCAAAAAGTTTGATAAATTGAAGGATATGTTTACTAAATTAGCAGAATAGTTTAAGTCACACTTGATTCACTACGATACAAACAGAAATTCCATATTGCAAAAAATAGATTTCGTTGATTCTAAATATAGTAACTTAGGGTCTGATTTACTTTTGGCATTGTAAGACTAATAAAAAAATTTCTAGGAAAAAGTTGAATCTGAGATAAAGTTAATGGATGAAGAGATAAATGGAGTCAAAATACAAACTTAAGATAGATGCATCAAAATCGAATAAGAATAATTGAAAGATATAGAATTAATTAAAGAAGCTATACAAGATTTAACCGGAACTTTGAATGATAAAATCGATAAAACATAAAAGTAAAATGATTTGATTCTGTAGAATAATGATGATAAACTTTAGGAAGTGCTTATTAACACATAAAAAATAAAAGACTAAATTCAAATTTTTGATGAAAGAATAAATTAAATGCAAGAATAGAATGTCACTGGTGCAAGCTATTCTATTAGTCAATTATAATCTGAGATAAATTTAATAGTTTAAAACTAAAATAGTATAAATACTTAATTTTAGGTTGATCTAGATCAACTAACTCAAAATATAAATACAGCTGATTAAAATAGATAAAATTAAATGTAAGAGCTGGTCGAATACAATAGCAATTTCGAAGGTTTCTTTCTTTTTTTCTACTTCTTAATCAAATTATTAAATTTTAAATATTTTAATATAAAATGATTAATTTATTCAAACTTGCTTAAAAAAGGAGAAATGGTGGTAAAAATTCAATCATTGGAAGAGTCAATTTTAAATAACTTAAAAATAATAAATCAGACGATTCAAACAATTGAAGTAAGTTTTTGCACACTTTAAAATTTTTTGAATTTGTAAATATTAATGCTAATTTTATAGTCACTCTAGTCTACTTTCGATGAGAATATTATAAGTTTATAGGCAGAAATGACTTTAGAAAAAACAATGAATAAGACAGAATTCAAAAATCTTAAATAAGATATTAATGATCTTTTAAATATATTTGAAAAAGTCAATTCAAAATAAGATAAGGAAAATCATCAAAATAATAATTAAAAGAAAGAAGAAGAAATAAATTAATTAAGAAATGAAATGCAAGAAAAGTATGAAAGAAAACTTCAGTAAGTATTAGAAAATATAAAAAGAGAAAACTAAGAATTGTGGAAGCAAAGCTTAGAATAAATAAACTCAAATTACAGTGGATTAATAGACAAAGAAGATTTTAATAGTAAAAATAAAAGTAATTAAATTCCTAATAAAAGTGATATAACTTTCTAGACAAGGTTAAATGAAATATTACTCACTCAAGATACATACAATAAACCTTACTTAAAATAAAAGAAATGATATTTAATATTTGCTTGTCTTTTTTTCTTTTATAATTATATTTGATAAGTAAAGACAAAAATCATTTTAAATAAAATATTTAAAATAATATGTAACTAATGTTTGTTATTATAGATCTTCTGTTTTATAATAGATTAAGAGTATTATTTGAGGAAAGAAAATTTGTGATATTTATAATTTATTTTATGAAACTACAAATTCAAATTAATTAAAAAAATAGAAACTTAACAAAAATATTTTAATTTAAAAAGAAATTTCACTTTATTTGAAGAAAATTTATTACTAAAATTAAGCTCTTTTTTAACAAAATAGCACTATTATAAATAATTTTAACTGGGAGAGCCAGCCAATCACCAAAAACTAAAATCCAAGATTTTAAAATAAAAATGATATGATAAAAATAAGAAGCTATTTGCGTAGAAATTATAAAAGCAAGTAATCTGCGTTTAATGATATTTATATTGATGAATTCTAAAAGATGATAAAGGGAAAAAAGTAATAAAAAGAAAGAAGTAGAAGAGTTGACTGATTTATTTATTTATATGGTATCTGTTATTGATATGATAAAAATCCTTAAGAACAATAATTTGCTGTAAAAAATTAAAAGAATACAATAACTTATTTCTTTAAATTAGAAAGTAAATTAATCGATCAATCAATTTTGTAGAAAAAAACTTTAAAATTTACCAAAAATTTACTATTTTTTGATAAGATTTACAAAATATCATAAAACACCAAGTTTGTAATATTATGATAAATCCAGGTATTCCTTTCAAAATGGTAGCTCCCGCTCCCAATAATCCCTTCATTTAGATGCCAAGTAATTTTTCGCTTATTTATTTAAATGTTTTGAATTTGTAAATGAAGTAACTTTTTACAACTAGCAAATGAATTAACTAACTTTCATGTATTGGTAATACACAATTCAAAAAAGGAGAATACAAAAATTCAAATAAAAAAATTATTTATCTTAAAAAGCAATTGATTTTTGAAATAGTCAATTTTGTTATAAATATATAATAGTATTATAATAGCAATAGCAGTTTATGATAGACCCAAGTGGATAACAGTAAATGTTTGCTATCCATTAAAATTAATAGCATCAGTAGCAATAATAATTACAGTAGTAGATCAACAATTTGGTGTCTGCATCAGCATTGGATGATTGCGATTCAGGAAGTAATTCAGATGGAGAATCTTAAGTTTTAAGTAATTTAAATATTTATGTTTTTGCAATCTAATATTTTAAAATAGCTATTAATTAGCTGCAAAAGATTGCTTAAATAAGTTCATAACTCAACATATGAACATATAAACAAATTATAAAAGTCATCTATTGATAATGCGATTTTATTTTTATAAATTAGCTAATAACCCAGAAACTGCTAAATAATACTTTGACGATTTCCTGAAATTAACATAGCAAGTTGATCCCTCAAATATCCAACTTAGTACTGTGATAGAATAGTATAATATCAGTTTCAAAAGTATGCCAAATGATGAAGAAATGAAAGCTGAATTCAATAGAATGCTATAAAAATACAAGTATTATTTTTGGTTTTTACCTAAACAAATTAAATTAAAAATTATTCTAAAAGCTCAAGCTCGTAAAAAGGATAAAAAAAAAATTGGAATGATAACGAAACAAAGATATTATGTTGGATAGTGATTAAAGCATGTGTTCTATAAAATTTAGATTGCAGACATATAGTAAAACTATTATTTATTTTAACTTTTAATATTTAATTTATATGTATCTTCTGTAATCAAATTAAACCAAACATTCTCATCAAAAGATTATTAGTAAATTTGAGGGTTAATCAAATTTTTACATATAATAGGAGGATAAAATTTGGGATGATATTGCTAAAATGATGATAGGTAGAACATCAGAAAGTTGTAAATTTAAGTGGCTTTCTTTATCAAAGTTAAACTTATAATAAATTCCTTGGAGCGCTGAAGAAGATGCTTTACTGCTTTCTATTATAAAGTAAGAATATAAAGAATTTAATTTAACATGATTAATATGAATAAATATATTAAATTGTATTTTATATAGAGATTATAATGCAAGCAACAAGGGTAATAAATGGAGTGAAATCAGTAAAGAGCTTAACTCTAGGTCTAAAAAAAATGTATTTAGGTAGGGTAAATAGTGCAGAGAGAGATGGAATAATCACTTAGACCCAAATATCAATAGGTATAATAATTGTGCCTATTTTTTATATAAAAAAATTTTTATTAAAATAAAGAGGACCTTGGCACGATAAAGAAGATTTGTAGCTACTAAAGCTAATTTTAGAGAAAGGTAAAAAGTGGTCTGACGTTTCTAAAGAATTGAAAAGCAATAGAACTGAGAATAATGTAAAAAATAGATTTAACAGTATCATTAAAAAAGAAAAGCAAAATTTAGAAGAAACTAAAGGAAAAGCTGAATCAAATATGCCAGAAAACGATTTAATTCACATCTTAATAAAAAAATATACGACAAGGATTTCTCAAGGATTCACTTTAAATTGTAAGGAAGAAGAATAATCTAAAGTAAAATCTTTTAGCAATTTCAAAAAAATATGTTTTCAAATTAATTTTAATTAAATAGGATTAGTAGACTTAAGATAATAATTAAAAAAGCGAATCTCCTTTAGGTAAAATTGAAAAGCAAAAAAATAAGCTTAAAGATTTAGTTTAAAAAGAAATAAAAACAAAAGAAAATTAAACATAAATAGCTGGATAATAAATAAATAGTATGATTTTGGAAGATTAAAATCAGCTTAATTAATAAAAAATATCCTAAAATTAAATAGGAAGCTTTTTTTAATTTAATGATGGAGGACAAAATTCTTCTGAAGTGGTTGCTAACTAGTAATAATAACAATTATAACAACAGCAACAATAGTAATAATACTAATAATAATATTAACAATATATTAACTAATAACTGACAAATCAGGTTGTAAATCCAGAACATTACTCTCCAAATACTTTGAACAAAGCTTTCTTGGCACGTAAGAATTTATTTATTTATTTTGATTATTAACTTTAGAAAGTTATTTTAATAAATTTATAAATTTAAAAACAGAAGCTGAACAAATCAGCTAATGCTCTATGAGTCCAGGTAATTCCTAATAAAATACACCTCTTTAATAGCACCATAATTAAGGCCTACTTCAGCTATTTTCTGCTAATGGAGGATATATTGCAGCTAATCCTGCAAATGTATAAACTTAAATAATGCAGCCATATTTAAATTAACCTCAATAGCAGGGGTAATAACAATCTTATCAATAATAACAACCCTAATAATCTCAATTTTTCTCTTAGTCTTAATAACAAAAATAATTAACAGAAAGCCCTTCAAGCTACAAAATTAGAAATGCTATGGACTTAATTAATTAAAACGATGCAGTATCCAACATGAGCTTAGCCTTTTTTAATCCTCAAACTTAAGAACTTGTAGAAATAGACCATTAGCTGCTTGAAGAGTATACCAAAAATTAAGTCAGAATACAATTGTAATAATATGCATAAAACATTAAGAGCTCAACATCTTAGCTATAGACACCAGTTCAAACTCCTTAACAAACTCCATAACCTACTTTTTAAATTATGTTTCATTAATTATAAAATTAGATGGTAGGCTAAGCTGGAAGCAATTCACCTCAGTAGTATTAGCTGTACAACAAAGGAAATAGTCCTACTTTAAATGCTGGAATAATCAACAGTCAGACAGGTACTACCCTTTCTTAGCAACAGCAGCAATAACTTATGGGCATAATTGGTACTCCTATATCGCCTTAAACAAATCTGTTTAATATTATGCAAAATATGTCTCCAGCTGCCTCAGGTTATAACACACCAAACAATAGTAATAATAACAATAATTAAACAGACATTAGAAGCATAAATTAAATGCAGTAATACTCAAACTTCTTTATGAATAACGCAAATAGTATGGTGTAGCAGCCTTAATAATTCCCTATTTAAGCAGTGTAGGGATAAATATATATGCAAGCAAATTCAAATAATAACACTAACTTTACTAAAGATTAAATTAACTATTCTCCATCTAAACAGAATTTTGCTAATTAATATAATTAAATTAACTAGCACTGACTAAAAATTCTAAATTACTTTAATACTTAACAAAAAAAACAAATAAATAAATAAATAAATAAAATATCATAATTCATCCAACCATCCACCTATCCCTATCCATCCATCCATCCATCCATCACTCTTTATCATTTAAACTTTTTTAATAATGTAATCTAATAATAAGAAAACTACTTTTATGTTTTAAATATTTTTATCAAGTAGATAAATTATTAAACATACTTACTTTCCTCTCTATAATAAAATAATTTTCTTTTAATAAACTTTTAAGAATTTTTTTTATCTCATATTTTATGTGTATAAGATGCTATATTTGACTACCTATAGAAATCTAAAGATAAGTAAGCTTTTATCATACTTCTTTCACTAAATTAGCAATTAAAAACATAATATAAATAATATAAAACTTTATTTCGTTATAAATGTTTCCATTATTTTTACTCAATTCCTACATAGTGAATAATAGTAACAAAACTAAAATAAATATTTTATAAACAAGATTAAATAACTTAAGCAATTAAATGATAAATCATTTTGAAAACTTTTGTTGAATTGTATTATACAGTTAATTCTTATTATTAAATTATTCACATATATAAGTACATATTGTATTTTATAATCAAAATTCAGAAACCAACTCTTTCATTTTTTTAATGTTGATGTTGAAGCAGATGTTCCACCAGATTTTGTTAAGGTTTTACTTGAAGCGGTATTCGTTAATGTCTTTGATGTAGAACTACTACTTTATTTATTTTAAATAGTATTACCGCTTGAGATAGTTTTAGAAGAAGTTGTTGATTTTGTTGAAGAAGGAATTGTTGAATTTTTATTAAGGGCTGAAGATGATGCAGTGCTAATTGTTTTGCTAGAAGTTGACTTATTTAAAGAATTTTATTTAATTTCAGTTTTAGTAATCTAGGCTTTATTTTCGACTACTTTTTTAGGTACTGAAAGAGAAACATTAGTAGAGGCTGCACTAAAATTACTTTTATTATGCTCATCGTCAAATTAGTCATCTTCTTCTTCATCACTGGTATCATCACTATCATAGTCTACTCCATTCTCCAATTCTTCTTCTCTTTTTTCTAATTTTTCTTATTCTTCCTCTTCTTCCATTTCCTTTACTAAAAAATAATTCATATTATCATAAATTAAAAAGAAAATTTACATTCTTTGCTGTTTTCCTTCAAAAATTCAATAAATTATTTTATTTTCTCATTATTTGGTTCTTTTTTAATAACTAAATTGCTCTTAATATAAAATGTTTACTCTTTTTAAGAAATATTTTACTTTATTAAGCTATTTATAAAGCTTTTTCATAATTTTTTAACCTAATTTCTGATAAAAACTAAAAATAATTTTAGATTAGAAAATCTTAACATAACTTAAATTACTAAAATGTGAAGTGCTTTTTCATCTAAAGCCTTTTCAACTTGCTGGGCTATAGTGGGTTATTCTTAATTTTCAGTTTATTTGTTCATTTTTTAATTTAATCTAAATTATCTACAACTTTCTTTTAACAATTTAATAAAAATATCAAAAAAACATAATATATGATTGTGGTTAGATATAAATTTTTTAAACTATTCAAATCTATTTAATTATTTAATAAAAGCTTGTTAGATTCTATAAATAAATATTCAATTCTGATTTTTTTTCTACATTAATTTTAAATAATTTAAAAGAAAAAAAATTATTTTGCAATCAAGTAAATAATTTTTAAATACTTTTAAAAATAAAACATGAGAAATTATTATAAAAAATCAATTTTTATATGTTAATCAAGAAAAACTTAATAGTTTTAATTCATTATTTTATAAAATAATAATAATAAAATGAATTAATTGAGTGCTAAATATTTTAATTTAATATTCTAGTGTATAAATCCTTTAAATTAAATTTAAATACACTCAAAATTTGAAATAAATTAAACGATTAGTATCCAATAAATATTTAATGTTTATTTTGTTTTGTTTTGAACTTTGCAATTAACAATATCAAATTATACAAACGTAATAATTGATAATAGATACTGCTTAAATTCAAAAATAAATTATAACCTTTTAATATCATCTAGCATTTTTTTATAGTTATCTTTTAAAAATAAATTTAAACAATTCAAAACATTTTAAATAAATGAGACGGTAAAATAACCAATAACCATAACAATAGATGCAAAGAAATATGAACCAATAAATAAAAGGTTAATAGAATTAGTATGACTATGAATATGAATAAGAAGATGATGATGATATGGATGATTAGGAAGGATATGGTGAAGATGAGGAAGGCGAATATGTATTCGAAAATGAAGAAGAATATTTGAGATATTAGGCTATGAGAGAATATGAATTAGCTCAATAAGGAATTCATTTAGTTGAATAGGGCCCTGATTATGAACCTACAGAAGAAGGTATTCAATAAAAATTAATCTTTTATAAAAATTGCTGGTTCATTTAATTTTACAATCAAACTAAAATAACTCATTTTTTAATGAGATTCATCACAACTTTTTTAAACAAAAGAAATACATGCGTACGCTGAATTTTTAGGAATGAATTTAGAAGAAGATTAAGAATTTTTTGATATAGCAAGAGAGGGATTGATAGCACCTTTACCAGAAGGTTGGTGTTTTGCATAAGTTGATGGAGAAGATGCAACTTATTTTTATTGCAGATAAACAGAAGAACTTTTTGAAGAAAATCCTAATGATGAATTATTTAAATAGAAGTTTTAAGATGCAAAGAGATTAAAGGAAATTAAAAAGTAAAGAGAAAACCCACCAGCAGCTGCTTCAAAAAAGCGCTCTAAACTTTAAAACTTAATCGATCAATACTCAAATAACGATGAGGAGGGTAAAACAGATGCTGGAAAATAAAATATGAAATCATAATAAATTACAAATGTGAATATAAGTAACTTGGATTCTTCTGCCATAACAAGTAATAAAAATAGCGTGATTGGACAAACAGGAAAAACTAAGAATGAATTAAATTCATTAAATAACATAGTAGGATAGTAAACGTCTAAGAACCTGTAGTCAAAGCAAAATAGTGCTTTAGAAATAAGCTAATCTTAAAGCAATAACCTTGAAAGTTTGACGAATGCTAAAACTGTGAATACTAAAAACAAATTAACACCACTTGAACCCTTAAATGAAAAACTTTCAAAAGAAATGTCTTAGAGTAGACCTTCTTCTAATATTAATTTAGGAAAGAAAGAAAGTGAGTATGATTTTGATGAAGATGAGCATGCTTTTTTATAGTCTGACGATGATGAATAAGAAGAAGAAGATAAAAAAAGTAAGCAGTCATCAAATCTACCTAATGAAAAGGTTTCTATACTTGATACTAAAAGCCAAAATAGCAGACCACCTTCAGCTTAATAAGATAAAAGCAAACAAGTCAGTAAAGCAGCCAGTTAAGTTGTAACAGAAAAACCACAGTCTAAAATATTAAATAGTGATAAAACTTTAACCAAGAAAGAAAGTTCATCTAAAATTCTTTAAAATAATATTGTTGAAGAACTAGAAGAGGTTAATCTTGAAGAAATTTAGAAGCAGGATATTTCTAAAAACTTGAATGCATAAAAATTAAATCCATTATCTGATAAGAAACCTCCTTCTCTTATTAAACCTTTAGAGAAAAAACCATCAAAAGAAATAGTCACATCTTAAAAAGAAAGTACATCTAAAAAAAATACATTAAAAGACATACCAAGCATTTTAGAGGTATCTGACTAAAAAATATTGGAATCAAGCTAAAAATTAGAAGGAAAGAATTTTAATATGATAGAAAATCAATGTATTTATTTTTTATTTTAGTTCTTGTTGAATTTATTTATTTTTATTAGAAAAATCTAAGGAAATAAAAAATGAAGTCAAAAAAGAAATATAAGAAATTGATAATTAAAATATTTAAAAAAGTTAATCTAAAAATATAGAACATAAAGAAAAAGAGGATTTTGATAAAAACTACTTTTCTTCTAGTCAGAAATACCAGTCAGTAGAATCATAAAAAAAGACAGATAATTCAAAAAGCAACGAATACAATTTAACCAAAGAATTTGAAGATGCTGAAAATAATACTTACACTTATAGTAAAGAGGAAAGCTTAAGTTAGGATGACATTGACAACAAAAATATTCGAAATTAAGAATTTAGCCCAAACATAAATTATATTCCCTCATAGAGTGCTTCTAAAGATAAGAATTCTTAGAATAAAAAATTGATAAAGATAGAAGAAAACCTAAATGAAAATGAATCTGATTTGTTCTAAGACAAATAACAGGTAAAAAGAGATTTTAATATCGAGGCGTAAGATTTCTAAGATTTTTAAGAAGAAGAAAATGAGAATGAAACAGTGGAAATAGACATATAAAGCTTATAGTTTGAAGAGTAATTAAATATCTAAGCATACATAGAAGAAAAAGAAAATGAGCTAAACAAAAAGCTAGCTTTTTATGAAAGAGATTATAGAGAAAAATAGATCAGTTTTAATAATTTAATTTAGTAGTAAAGATTTTCTAATTTTGATAGTGTTGATGTTGCTAGAAAAAGAGTTGACTATCTTCAACAAAAAGAAAAAACAAGAATTAGAGAGAAGATTTTAAACGAAATGCAAGCTAAAGAAGATGAAGAACTTAGAAAAATGTAATCTAAGCTAGATGAAGCTGGAAAAATATGGAAAGAAGAAGAAAATTTCAAAGTAGAGTTGAAAGTGAGTGAATTCAACAATATTTTTAAAGATAAATATTTTAAAAAACTTGAGTAACATGAAAGAATTATTAAAAATCTAAAAGGAATAATTTCTAAAAATGAGATTATTTACTCACAGTAGAGAAATTAATTAAAAGAGAAATTTGATTCTGCATATAGAGCTGCTCTTTTTTAATAAGCTTCAGCAAAGCATTAATAAGAATTAGCTTTGCTTGAAAAAGATTTTGAAACAGATAAATAAGATGCTGTAAACTATTTTGAAAATGAATTTGAGAGGACAAAACAAGTAATTTTTTAACAAAAAAAGCTAATTAAACTTTAAATATTGATAATTTTATAAACAGCTTGAAGCGGATGAATTATAGAAACAAAAAATAAACATAACAGTAAAGCAAATAGACATAAAGGAGATATTCATAAAAAAATACTACCTTGAAAGATCAGAAAGAGAGCTAGACATGAAAAAGTAACTAGATAATATGTTCTTAAAGGAAAAGGAGAATTTAGATTAGATTTACTTGGATAAATTTTAGCAGGAATTAAATTAACATCTGTTCAAAAAGTAAAAAATAAATGAGCAAGAAATTGAATTTCTAAGCCAGATGAATTAATAAAAACTTTATGATTTTGAAAAACTTACTATGAAAGAATGTGATCATAAGATAAAAGTAATATACTAAAAATGAATATTTATTTTTGAATTAATTTGATTTTTATTAAAATTTCTCATTTTTCAGGAAAAATATTTTAGAAATCTATTAATTATGTTAATCATATTTAAAATAAAAATAAAGCTATTAGAAATTGAGCATTCTAGAAGACTAAACTAATTAGAGGAGTAGTTGAGATAATAAAAAGGATTAAAAAATAATTATAGATATATTACTGAGAGATAAAATCTAACTGAGTAAGATACATAATTATAGATAGCAGAAATAAATAATATAATTCATCTCAAAAAACAAGAACTTATCATTTTAAAATAAGAAAACAAAAAATTCCAAAAGGATTAAGATGAATTGAATTTTGTGTTAAATATTCACAAAAATTAATCAAATTTGTATTAATATCTTTAATAATTACTTGATAACAAAAATAATTCTATCAATCATTTAAAGGAAAGATAAAAATAGAAAGAGAAGGATTTCAAATCAATTAAAAAACAAAAATAACCAGCTTAGTAATAAAATCTAACTAATGGATTATTAGATCAAAGTTTAACTGATATCTAAAATATCCTAATTAATTTTCCCTTAACTAACGAAAAGCTCTACTAAAATAAAAAGAGGAGGTAATTAATTTTATTTGTTTTTTTTTTTTTTGGGAAAATAATTTTGATTAAATAAATATAATCTATTAAATCAAACAGTAAATTGTGGACAGAGTGTATAAAACGTGAAAACTAAATAATAGAATAAGCAAAACAAAAGCTTAAATACTAGAAGATATATTTGAAAACTGTATATGTAGACATTTAAAGAGAAAAGGAGAAATAAAAATAAGAAATAGAAAAGATAAAGAAATTATCAGACATAAAAGAAGCTGAAAAAGAATTCCAAATTAAGAGTTTGCAAACTCAAAGTTAAAACCTTGTGTAAAAATTTAATGAAGATGTTAAAACAGTTCGTAGAAATGAAGAACTTATGAGAAAAAGAGATGAATAAATGCTTTAAGTTGAAAAGGCATTTAATAAAGCCATGAATTTAGGGTTGGATGAAGATAGTTTGATTGAATAATATGTTAAGCTTAAGTAATTAAATAACCAATAATTAAGAGAATTAAAGTTAGTTCCTAATAATGTAAATTTTTAATTTTAATTTTATTAGTTTAAATTATAATCAAAATAAAATTTAGGAACTTGATATTAAGACTAAGATTAATAATTATCAAGATGTATCAAGCTATCTTGATGTAACAGGAGACGATTAACAAAATGATCATCAATATACTCCTTAACTCTATGATAAATTCTAATTTGTAGACACAGAAATCAACAAACCTCCTCATTAACTAAAAGAATTATATGAAGGATTAAATACTCCTTTCGTAAAAGGTTTGATGCAACAGAGATAAGAACAAAACTAGTATGATGTTAATCGTGTAGAAACTTTATTAAAAGATGCAAAGTACTCCTAGCAAATTATGTCTGTTAAGCTAAATGGATTTTTACAAAGAAGAGAATATGCTAAAATGACAGAAAATGTAGAGCGTTTTAAATCTGAAGTTTCATCACACAAACAATGGTTCAAGGATGTTAAATAATATGTAAAACAAAATAAAATATAACATTTTAAATTTAAATAAAAAAAATTGAAGCTCATAGTTTTTTTAATAAATTAAAATAGATAAATTAGACACTTATTGATAGAAATTAAACTCGCTCACATTTAAACACAATAATTTGATTATAATGTAATAAATTTGTATTTTAAATGTAAAATTACTGTTCATTTGCTTAATTTTCATGATAAAAACTAAAATCTTAGCAGAAATTAAAGAGTCAGTTTGATTCTTAATTAATATATAAAATTTACTTAATTCATACTACATAACCATATGCTATTTAATTTAATTTGTTTGTTTTTTTAAATTAAAATATTTAATTTTATATATTCAACCTTAAGTGATAATACCTACAAAAATAGATTTTTAGCAATGGTTTTTTGATGCTAAGCTGATCAAACTTAAATACTCAAATTAATAAGCATTTTTTATAAAATTTTAAAAATATTGAAATAAAAGTAATTTTTATTTATATTGCTTTAACTTTTAAATAAGCAAATTCATTAAAAAATTTAATTTTAAAATAAATTTTATGTTTGAAATAAAATAAAATAATTATTGAAAAAATTGATAGGATAAAAAAAATAATTTATTTTGGTTTATTTTTTGTTAATATTAAAATATTTAAGCAGATGAATGAATGTATTCAAACTTGTTAATACTTGACTTGTAACTCAAACAAAAAATGCCTTTATGTGAAATCAGATTATTTTTCTTCTTTTATATTAAATAGATATGCATGCAGCAAATAAAATTGAAAATTAATAGTAAATAATTAATAAATAGTGTTATTGTTTATTTGAGGAAGAAAGATAAGAAGAGATTGATTGTCTTTTTATTATTGATTTTATATTAAAATAAGAAATTTAGGATAAAAAAGCAGCAAAATCAATAGTTAAGAAATGGTATGTTTCATATTTTTAGATTAAGATACAATCATTTGCAGATTTCTCTTAAAAAATAAAATCATTTTAATGCGATGTCTAATAAAAATAATTCCTGCATCTACGGGTCATCGATGAAATTATATAATTTATAAAAAATATGACAATTTTTTAGTTTTAAATTAGAAAAAACAAATGCATTAGTAATAAAGATCTAACACTAAGAAATAAGAATTTACTTTTATGATATTATAAAAATCATTTTAGCTCTGATAATATCAAATAACTTGTAGAAATATAAACTAATTAAATATTTTGATCTTGTATTAAAAACTGAAGACAAGGAATTAAATTCAGCATATTTATTTTGTTTAAGTAGAAAGAGAAATTAATGCAAATTGATAATTGATATAAAATCTAATCTAATGCAATTCTATTTTCATATAGGGTTTGTGGTCTTGGACAATTAACCAAATGTTAACCCCTAAGTTCTGGGTACATTTAAGAAGAGAAGGTTTTATAAAAACATGGACTAGAGGTCACAAGGCTTCTAGACATGCTCACTACGTTGGTGGTAACAGAACTGATGGATATACAAAGCAAGTTGGAGAAGATGAATTTGGCAATAGATATTATGAAGATTTTGATGTTGATCGTAAGATAAATTAGATAAAATTTTTACATAAAATTAGTTTCTCCTAGCATTTTTGAATTAATGATGGATGAATAAAATATTTATTAAAATTGAAAATATAAAATACATTTTGAAAATAATTTACAATATAATAAAAATCTAAATAGCCTACAAAATCTTTAATTATTTATTTTTGTATATCTTATAATATTTATTGAGAGAACAATAATAGTATAGATGGCATAAATTTATATACTCTTATGCAAAAAAGATAATTAAAACATTTTATCTTAATAAAATAGACAAGAACCAAAGAAGATGGGTTGAATTCAGTGATTATTTCATGTAAATGTGGTCTAATGGTGATAAAGTTCCCGTCGGATGGCACGGTTGGTTGTCTCACCAATACGATGATTTCCCTACCCGTACAGGAAACTCCGCATTCGTGAAACACCATTACCTTAAATAACACACTGCAAATCTTTCCAACACTCCTCTTAATCACGTTCCTTAGGGTGCTCCTCAAAATCTTAATAGAATGAGATTTATGTAATTTCAATATAGAGTTGGTATTATAATTTTAAAAAATATTAACCCTTTTAAAACATAGAACTGCATAAAGAGATAGAAGTAGAGCTCCCTGGTAATCTCCTAAAGGTGAAGGAGTCTTTTAAGGTAAGAAACTCATAGTTGCTTCTAACAGTCCTTTTATCGATGACATGTCTATCAGAGACTGAAAGGCTTAAAAGTCAAATTTAGTTTTAAAAATGAGATCCAATCTTTGAGGAAGGAAGATCTGAAAAACATGAAATAAATAAAAAAAGATAAATAAATTTTATATTTTGAATGAATATAAACTAAAATACTTCAATATTAAATTTACTGTAGATCTATGAATTAAATGTATTTTATATACTTCCTTTTAAAATCCAGGATCTTTAAAAAAATAAAAACTGACTGACAAAAAATTTTTTTCTTCTAAAATATTTATTTAACATTTTTGTGTTTAATATTTTTAAATTGTTGTTGTTTTTTAACAATTGATAATTTATTTATATATAATATTCAATAAGAATAGGTAAAATAAATTAAAATTAAAATATTTATTCCTAATGTATTCAATACGATCAGCTAGATCATAAGCAGTATCATGAATCTTATTAAATTAGAATTTTTTTAGATAAAAGACAAAAATTTTATTTTTACAAATTTATTTTCCAATTTAAGTTTGGAAATTTTTGTTTTTTTTTATTATTATAAAATTAATTTATTTTTTTTGAGATAAAAGAAATAATATAAAGCTAAGATTAGTATTATTGCAAAAATAATAGTTTGTATTAACTTATTTATACATTTAGCTAAGCTTATTAAAAATAAATATCTTTTTGCTACTTGAGTTTACGATGGTAATTATAATAAGTAGCTAATAGATACCTATAAAATTATAAATTATAAAAATTAAAAATTTAGCTCAATTATTAGCAATTTTAAAAGATTAGTAGAAACAAATTTATTAGAAATGGAAGAAGAAAAAAGTCAACAAACTAGCACTCCTTAGACTGAGTAGACCTAGAAAGTACCAGGAGGATTAAATATTAACACTGAGAGAGTTTCTTTATTAACAATAGGTATGGCAGGAAGTGGAAAAACAACATTCGTTAGAGTAAAATTTTTATAAAATAAATTTTAGAATTATAGTTTAAAAAGAGTAGAATTTGAAAAGCTAGCTTATTTACTTTATAAATAATTAAATAGTCTTTAGTATAGTATTTATTATTCTCTCAATAAGACCCTGCCTACGTTTTAAATTTAGATCCAGCTGTTTAATTTTTACCATATACTCCAAATGGTGACATTAGACAAACAATAGATTATAAAAAATTAATGAAAGAACATTAACTTGGTCCAAACGGTGCAATTATGACAGCATTAAATCTCTTTTGTGCATAAATTGATGAAACTATTAACAATATAGAGGCTACTAGTCATACTTCTAAGCATGTAGTAGTTGATACTCCAGGATAAATCGAAGTTTTTACCTGGAGCGCATCAGGTTCTATAATTACTCAAACTCTCCTTACATCTATGCCTACTGTAATATATATAAAAAATGAATTTGTTTATTAACACCATTTTAAAGAGGGAATATTATAGATAGAGTGGCATTTAAATTTTATTATTTACTAGCATAAGTATTTATTTATCTAAAAAATTTTAATATTTTATAAAATTATAGGTTCTTTTATATGTTCTTGATTTAGCTAGATGTTAAAATCCAAACAGTTTTATGAGCAATATGATGTTCTGCTGTAGTATATTTTATAAAATGAAGCTTCCAATGATCATAGTCTTAAATAAAGAAGACGCTGCTGATAAAGAAAAAGTTTTGGGTTGGATTAGAGATTACTAAAAACTTCTTGTAATTCACAATTTAAAAATAAATTTAGAAGTATATATTTATTAAATAAATAGGAAGAATTTTAAAATTATGATTCATATCTTTCTACCTTTAGCAAATCTATGGTCTTAAGTTTGGATGAATTTTATAACTAATTGAGAGTAAGTATTAGACTTTTATTAAAATTCATTAATTATTTGCTTTTATTTGAAAGGTTGTCGCAGTAAGCTCCCTTAAAATGACAGGATTTGATTAGTTAAAAGAAGCAATAGCTAGTGCAAAATAAGAATTTATGGAGTAAATTTAATTAATATTAAAGAGTGAAATTAAAAAAAAATATTTACAGTGTTTAATACAAAGATCTCGTTAAAAACTACAATAGAAGGATGGCTGAAGAATAAGAAAAGTAATAAAAAGAATTAAAGAAGTTTATGAAAGATTATAAGAAAACTGAAGAGTAAAATAAAAAGAAAAAACCAGAAGCTCCTTTAAATGTTTAAGTTAGCCATGTTGGACCAACTAAATCTAAAAAAGATGATGAAGAGAAAGGTAATAAAATAAAATAAAACCAAAAAACAAAAATATAAAATTTATTATGATAAAAAATAGAAATCAAAAAAGCTGAAGAAAAGATTTAAAAAATGAATATCGAATGATTTTAAAGATGAAAAAAGTTAATTAATAAATAAATAAATAAATTATTTTGAATAAAAAATAACAATTAAATATTTATTTCTTGTGTATGTATATTTTTTTAGTTAAAAATTTTGAAAAAAAACGATTAATTTGTTTAGAATTTTAAAGTGTAAATTAAAATTACTTTTGTTTATGTTTTTATATTTTAAAAAATTAAAACAAATACTCCAAATTGAATCTTTCAATTGATATGATAAGTCTTAAAATTAAAAAATTTCATCTTAAGCATAAAATTAAAAGCAAAAAAATCATAATAAATTTTAGAAAGGAAATTAACGAATAAAAAATTGTAAGGCAAATTTTTAATTTTTAATCATTTTTAAAAATTAACTAAAGTTATTTATATTCAATTTATAATAAGCATAATAAAAAACAAATATTAAATAATAATAATATTTTTTAATTGAAAGAAAGTAAAAAAAATACTTTAGAAATAATTTTAATTTTATTTTATTTAAAGAAGTTTTTAAAATTTGAATTTTATTATTTAATTAATTTATTTTTTATTTTAATTTAAGAATGAAATTAACATTTAGACTTTCAAATAATTACTTTATTATTTTAGTAAAATATTTTAAAACTTAGGTTTAAATTATACTTAAAGCTTAAGGTGCTTTGCAAAAGTGTAAGTTTAAAAAATTAATTAACTTTTTTTTTCTCTCTTATTCTTTGTGCATAGTTTTGAAATTTTAAAAAAAATATATTTGTTGAGAAATTTATTTGCTTTACTTTTCTAATTAAATGATTTGAAATGTGAATAAATTATATTATAATAATTGATTGGTTGAGTACTCAACAACAAAAAAAATAAATCACTATATTAAATAAATATAATAGAGATTAAATAGATTTTGTGCAATATTTTAAAATTTGTCTGGATTATACTATAACAGTAAGTAGATAAAACGCAAATTTATTTGTTTTTTTGTTTGTATATAATTAGTTTATAATAATAAAATATTTAATTAATAATGTTTCACTATTTAGCTTCTTCTTACTTTTTAGCTTCTACTCCTAATGTTTTAAGATTATAGCCGTGAACGTCTTTAAAAATATCACTTAAAACATTATTAACCATTTAGTGCTACTCAACTCTAGATTTTTCATTAAAGAGAGGTGATTATACTACCATTTTATACATTTAGCCACCTTTTGATTAAAATGAAATTTTTTAATTTAAAGTATAGAATGTTGAAATGTGAATTGATTAAATAAAATATCTGAAACAACATAGCTTAAATTATTTAAATATTCATAAAAGTTATAAATTAAAGCTAATTACAAGCACTTCCACCAACAGATGTATCTTCAACTTTAACATAAGTTGCACTCAATTCTTGCTTAAGAAGATCTGCTATTTAATTTTCTTTTTATCTCTTAGCTTCTTCTACGGAATTTGACATTCTCATCTTGAGGATTTAGTTAAGGCCTCTTTGTTCGTATTAAGCAAATAATCCTATTTTTTTGAAGGCGTTTCTGAAAGCTAACATTTTTGTGAGAGTAAAAATTAATTTTTAAGACTTATGATTTATTTAGTTTGATATAATTTAATTTTTTTTATTATTTTGATTTTTGCTTATCCTTGATTAATATTTATATACATACAAAAAAAAAGTAAAGACTATGACTACTAATAATTATTTATCAAATAGATTTTCTCTATGTATGTATGGAGAATAATTGACCATCAGGAATATCTCGATTTTATATATTCAAAGAATATCTACAGTTTATCTCATCTAGCACTCACAGAAAGTTCTTAATGAAATAGAAGTGATAATCATAGAAATTTCTGAAACACATATCATCATTTCATAATTTGATAGATCAAATTTAAACAAATAATTATAATAATAACTTTTTATCAAGAAATTTTCATATTTTGTTAATTTTACTTTAATTATCTCTCTTACCTTAAATTTGTCTATGCTAAATATTTTATATTAGCCATCTGTTTATGTTTGCGATGAAAATTAACAAATTAATGTTTTTATCGAAGTATTTTATTAGTTTTAATATTTGCGAAAAAGAAGTTTTTACCCATACAATAATAATAAATGTGTAATATTTTTAATCTGATAACTATAACAAAAATTTGTTTGTTTACTTGCTTTACTTTTACTATGAAAAAATTTATTTTTAAAATTAGTTTTACTGCTATTAAATTATAAAAACATAAAATTACATATCTTATCTTATTTATTTTTGCTAAATTTAATTAAGATTGAAATATTTCTTTGCATGCATGCGCCATTTATTCATCAGAAATCCAGTAAATCAATAGCATTAGCTTGTTTATTACTATTTTATGTAAATTAGTTAGATTGTGCTACATTTGGCTACTAGAATTATTGTTATGCGGGTTGAGTTGCAGTGAAATTCTATTAAAATTAGTTAAATTATTAAAATTGCTATGCTTATTAAGAGTAAGCTGCCTATTATTGCTAATAGTTTTATCCAAATTAATTATTGTAAAATCCTTACTATTAGTATTGTTAGTTTTAAGTATTAATTTGTTATTGAGGCTATTATTAGAAATTATTGTTAAATCCATTAAATTACTAAGGTTATTGCTGCTAGATATTTTATTAATATAAGTTGCTTGTCTTAAATTTTAGATAAAAATAAATAAATAAATATATTATTTTTTATAATTTAAAATATTTACTTAATTCTAAGGGAGCATTGAAGTCTATGGTTAGGATATATTTTAATTTTAAGGCTAAGCAAAGAAGTCAAAGTTAGTTTTTTATTCTACTTAGTTTGTTACATTAGTAGAATTGGTAGTTGGTTCATCATCATCCATGTCAAGTAAATTTAATTATTTAGCTATTTTTAGTTATTTATAAAAATAATTAATTGTCTATCCTTAAATAAAAAAGTATACCTTATTAAGTTTAAACCTAAGTAGAGGAAGGCTATTAAATCTAACCTTATGATTTAGGAGGAGAGATTTCTATTTTTTTTTAAGAAGCTGAAGTGATGTTTGTTTGAGAAGGGAAAAAGTTAAATTCATTTGAGCTATTCTAATTATTTTAAGAATTTTTTTCATTTTAATTTGACTAATTTGAATAGAAATCAAAGCCTTTTTAATCATTTTAATTTGTAGCATTAATTTTCTTTTAAGATCCTCCAAAATTGCTAAAGCCCTCATCAAAATTGATATTTGAATTGCTTGTATTTTTTTGAGGTAAAGTTCCAAATGCTCCAAAAGAATTGTTGTTATTGTTATTACTATTGTTATTGCTATTGTTTGTTGATTTATTTCCGAAATCGCTAAAGGAGAATTTGCTAAAATCATTATTTGCACTACTGTTATTACTTGTATTTTTAGTGTTCAAGTTGCTGTTATTATTGCCCTTTAATTAAAAATGAAATTAATTTTGATAATTTTAGAAAAGTAATTACGCTGGACTTTCCCAAATTCAAATTCATTTTAACTTTTTGTTGTTGAAGTTAGCTATTTCGTTTTCATAAATTAAAATATTTTATTAAATGATATTATCGAATAAATAATTCTACTTATTTTGGAATTCATTCTTATCGACATTATCTATTCTAAACTCTTCAAATTCACTAAAATTAAATTATAAATTAAATATTATCAAAAAATTTCTTTTCTTTTTATGATTTTAAAGTCAAATTTACTCTTTGTTATCCCACTTAAACTAACTTTTCTACTTCTCTAAAAATAAAAATAAAAATGCTTAATTTAACATCTTTCTAAAAATAATTGAGTAATTCTTACATGTGTTGTATTCATGAGAAAAAACTTTGTTGTTTATTCTAAATTCATATGTATTTCCTTGTTGTATGATGTTGCAATCATTTTATTCTAAAAAGAACTAATGCTAAAATATTGATGAATTTGCACTTTTAGTTATAATAGTAAGTTAGAAAAATAAATTTCTACTCAAATTATTTATTACTTATCATCTTCGTATTTCAAAAAGCCATCAACCATTATTCTTCTTTTTGAAGAAAAATTTGAGTACTCTAATATGACTAAATGCCTTCTCCCGTTTATTTCGAAATCCCATAAATACTTTAACTTAGAGCTATAAAATTAACAAAATAATAAACTAAAATACGAACTATACTAATTTTTTGTATGACATACTTTTTTATGTATTTTCCAACTTCATCAACTTCATATCTATATATCTTAAGGCTCATGTTTCTAATTGTTATTCTTCTAGTTTACAAATAATTAATATCCTTCTATTTTGATTTTAATTAAAAAATTTTTAAAAGATTTTTAATTTTTTTACAAAAATTTATAACATTATCACAAACAATATCATTTCAATTAAAAGTGTGGTAAATATTCTCAAAAGAAAACAACATATGTTTGAATCAGAAAAGATCAATTTTTACAAAATTTTTTCATAATATATCTTTGCTGCTTAAAAATGTAAATATAAGATGTAAAAAATTGTTTATAAATTAAGAAAGCTCATTCGAAATAGATATTTACAAAAAAGCCTCCCAAATCATTTATTAATTTCTATAGTAGAAAAAACAAGAGTATAATCATTACCTAAACATAAAAGCCTTTAGAATTAAAAGTTATTGATTTATGTGAAATTAATATCACAAACATAACATTATTATATTAATTGCTAATAATTTAAAGATGTAAAAAATCATATTTATGATAAAAAGATTTATTAAATTTTTAAAATATGAAATTTAAATACAAAAATAAAGAATTTTAAAAGGAAATGCAAAACAATTTTCATATTTAAAATTTAAATAAGGAAAAAATTTAATTTTGTTTCTCATTTTTAAAAAGTTTGATAAATGCTGAGCTTTTAAAATAAAAAAATAAATACAATTACATACATTCAATAGAAATATTTTTAAATAATAATACAATAGATAATTAGTAATAATACAATTGATAAAATTTTAATTCAAAGCTTTTTCTAGCCTCTCAAATCTTAAGAGGTGTACTAAGACCACCTCTTGATCTGATTTGGTTAACATATTCTAAACTTTCTTGTAAGCTAATATCACTTTCTTGAATCTTATTTGAGAACTATTTTTATATAATAAATTAATAAAAATAATAATAATTATTTTATTATTTATTACTTCAGTAGCATCAGTGGCCTTTTCATGAACGAGAAGGGAAGCAAATTTATCAACTGGTACTTAGTTAATTTTTTCCTAATTAAAAATATTAAGCAAATAAATAAATAAAATTTTAAGATCCTAAAATAAAAATTTTACTTGGAATTTAGAGAAAGATTCCTTGAATTGATCTTGATTTTTCTTATCAAGCTATTCAAACTCAGGAGGATAAATATACTACTTAGTCTAGATAGATAAAATATTATCAATAGTAAGTTGAGGATTTTTGGGAGATGCTTAGTATTTTTCTCTGATGGCTTAAGTGTCCACACCCAAATCTTTAAGTTGTTTCTCCTTTAATTAAGCTGAGTGCATTCTAGCTTCTAAAAGAGTTAATTCTTCTGTGGTTTCTAACTTTTAACTATTTCCATCAATAACATAATCTTTAGACTATTCTGCACGCTTAGCACTAATATTAAAATACAAAGAGTTTTAATTTTATTAAATTTGTTAATTAATTTTTACTCAAAGTTATCATTTAAATTTTCGAATTCCTTAGTAACGTTTCTGTATTCATTAACCTAATAATAATAATATTAAAAAACACTTAATATTTTAATAGAAAATAGCATATAAAAATAAATTAATAGTTAATTTTTACAGAACCCTTAATGTAGATATGACCAGTTTCAATATTAATAGCAGTTCTAACGGTGTTTTCAACATCTTCTTACAAAGTGGTTAAACTCTTTTTATCTGAAGGCTTGATGTAACCTCTAAAAGGCATCAAAACTTTTTAATTAGAACAATTAATCAGCAAATTTTTTTATATTAATTTTCTTTTTCTTACGCATTTCTCTGCTGAGTCTGATTGTACGAGCAATCTTCTTTTATTAAGGTCTTGTCAATCTGTTTTATATCTTATTCTTAATGCAACCAGAATTATTGACGAATTGAGTAATCAATTCAGTATTTCTCCAATGGATATCAAAGTAGTTGATTTTTCTGATGCTTTACTTTCTTGTTTATGCCTTTGTTAAGGGGATTTCGTGATTCTTTCTATCAGGTCCTTTAATAGTTAGGTTGAGAATTGTTAACTAAATAAATAACATACTTTATATTACTAACTAATTCTTTGATATAATGTTCAGAAGTTGAAGAGGTAGCTCCTAAGTAAGATGTGTTGTCAAAAGCATTAGGATTCTTTCTTGAGCTAGGTAAACCCATCTTGGAAGCATGATAAACTTTTTAGTTTTTAAGTTTAGCTGCAGATTATGAAGGGTCAGCACCTATGTCTTATCTAAGAGCTAAGTCAATAATTTTTTATACAGTGTATTCTTCACCAGGTTTCAGGAGGACTTCTCTAGCAGTATAGTTATTTTTAATATATTAGAAGAAAGGATCTTAATTGAGAGGAAGACCAGTGTGCTATTATGAATTAAAATGATTAAATTTATTTTTTAAAAATCCTATTTCTAATTTAAAAATAAATATATCTTACAGTTGGATTATCATAAAGAATTTCTTCTCTAGTAAGGCCAGTAGCTTCAAGCTCTTCAAGCTTTTAATCTATCAAGAAATTGATCTATTTAATACAAATAATTTTAAAATAAACATAAATATTAACTGCTACTTTTAGTCAAATATTAAAAAAAGATTTTATTTATTTCAATTGATCTCAAATCAGATAATTCATTGTTATATATTTCTTTCCATTTTATTTTTCACTAAGATTCTTCATTGTATTAAATTTAATTTTGACTTTCTGAATTGCATCAAATTCATCAACCAGTGCTATAAATTGATTGAATTACCTTTTACTTTTCTTCATGATCCATATATTTAAGAGGTCCACTAGGTGATCTGAAACCTTCAACAAATTGCTTAAACTATTTTTTTATTCAAATAAAAGGTATATAGGTAACGATCTAAAAATAAGGAGACATAATGGTAGTAATAATAAATCATGATAGATATTTAATTAAATATTTTAATTATCAAAATTACGTTTTGATGTTCAGCCTCTTCTAAAGAAATATTTTTATTAATACGCTCCTTAAGTCCCAAGGATCTAATAAAATCTAATTCTTCTTGCTTTTTGACAACAGTAGTTTCAGGCTTCTTTCCCTTATATTCTGGGAAAGCTCTATCAAAAAGTGGGTTATTCTTTAACTCATGCTTCAAAGCATTTAAGTTTTTAATTCTGAGTTGTTCAGAAGTAGAAAAGGAATGGGCTCTTAATTTAAAGAGACGGCTTACTTATTGTAAGTTGAGATTTTTATTAATAAAAACTTGCATGCTAATAATACTTTATTTCTACTATAATAATTTTTTCAGAAAGGAGACCTTACTTATTTATTTACAAACTTAATTCTCACTCTTTAACTTTATATTAAAGATTCTCTTTTCTTTTTCTTTAATTAAAATCTATAGACTCTTATTTATCTTGTATTTTAGATTTTTAGTATTATGTTTGTTAGCTTTACCAAATGAATGAACGATGGATGAATCAAATTATTAATTACTTTCTTTTTAAATGCTTTAGCCAATATGATATCATGTTTTTCTTTATTTTTCTTTTAATTTCTCTCTTCACTTAAAATATAATCAAGCTATCTTAGTTGCTTAATTAAAATATAAAAATATATTTGATTAATATCAATATCCTTTATATATTTATTTTAAGATATATTTACCAATTTGAATGCATTAATTTCCGTAAATTAAATTTTAATAAAATTCAAATAAATTAGAATATTCTAAATTTTAATTTAAACATAAAAATGATTTCAGGAAATTTTCTCTCAAATATCTTTATTTCTCTCAAAAGTTTTTTATCTAAAATATTTATTTAGTTTTTATGATTACTGATTTTCTAAAAATTCTATAAATTTTCTAAAATAATGAAAAATAAATAGGCTTCAAATCAAGCTCTCTAAAAAAATAAATATTATTAAATTAATAATTTTATTTTATATAAAAATAATCTTATTATTTTTGACGATTCGAAGACAGCACTTAAGCGTTTCCAACTGTGATTAATATTGCTGAGTTAAAAAAGCAAATAATTAATATCCAAAAAAATATCATTCTCATATAAATTAAGTTTTTTTTTTTCATATAACTGAAAATAAATTTTTTAATCAAAAGAATATTAATTTTAAGTATATACAATGTATTATTTGTTTAATATTTTTATAATAAATTTTAAAAAAAGAAAGAAAAAACTGATTAAATTCCAGTAAAAAATAAATATTAAAATGTGTCAAAAAAAATTGGCTTTTTTTAGCTTGTTGATATATTATTTAAATAGTCTACTTAGCACGTATGTTTCTATACTAATAATTTTATAAGATAACAAAAGTAAGAGTGCGCTTGCTTATTCTATTGTATATTTGATTATCTTTGGTATAGATAAGCTCGTTTGTTTAATTAGACTAATATCTAGTAACAATTAGAGAATCTAGTGGATTTTAGACATATTTTCAGTTGGTTTTTTATATTATCCATTTAAAATGCCTAATTATGATTACTTGGGGAAGTTTTATATATGTAGAGTGTTACCTTAGTTATTAATAGAGCTTATTTTCTTCTTTTATATAGGTATTATTAGAGATAATTAAATAAGCTAATATTTGAAAATATGTATGATGGTCAGCTACATGTTCTTTGCGTTGAATATTATTACTATAATCTTAACTTTAGCATTTTTAGAAATAAAAAAGAAACCTTCATTATCTTTCTATATATTCAATAATCTGTTTCCTTACTACATAAGCATCGCAACTTTAACCTACTATGTGGATCCTTTGGGATCAAATCTAGCTATATATTAGATATTCATTGTCATGCTAATATTCATGGGTCTTTTAATTATTAAACATCCAAAATTGAAGTGCAAACACTTCTTTTAAATTATTGGTCTTGTTTTAATAAATAACTTTTTAATAGTGAGGGAAGTTATATCAAAAAAGAAAATTTACCTTGAAATATCAACCTATTTTAGTTAACTTATTAGATGTATAATATTAATAAGCTTTGGCTATGAAGAAATATTTGGCCATCAAAAATATTCTTCAAGCTAAGTAAAATTAACATTAACGTATTTAACTATTATTTTAACTATATTACAATTAGTTCTTGATTTTAAAAAAATATACCAACTTTCATTTAAAACAAAAATTATCAAAATAAAAAAAGAAGAGCAAATTCAATTAGTTAATAATATACTAACTTAGGAAAGCAAAGTGTAGCTTGCTATTTATTTAAAACTTCAAAATTCAAATATATAAAATTAGAAAGAGGAACAAAAATTTAATAAATTGAATCTTAAAAATGAAATATTGACTCTTTTAAGATACGTTGATCAGTTTGAAAATAGTTAAAAAATCTTTTTCTATAATAAAATCAAATTTTATGAATATTTAGAATTATTTTACGAAGAAATTGCAATAGATTTTAAAAATATTCAGACTGAATTATTGGTAAAAATATCTGAATCTAATCAAATTAAAGAAAAATTATTATAGATAATATTGGACAGAGAATAAAAAGGATTTTTTTTAAATGCCTCAACTCAAAAGTTAATACAAAAGATGGAACCTTCAGGATTAAAAGATAAGTTATATTAAAAAATATCCTCAAGCCTTTAAATAATAAGCTTTTACAAACATCTATCAAATGAAATGAAATACAACCCAAACTTAATAATTTATGATTTATATGATATGTATTGAAAAGTTGTTAATGCCTACTATATATATTGTTTGAATTAATATTCATTATCGCTTTAAGTAATTTTTCTATAAAATTAAATTGCATTTAAGTTTTTTCATACAGAATATTTATAAATTTGCGTTTTTAAATTTAGAAAACATTATTTTCAATATTTTGTGCAATACAGCACATTAGCAAATTTAGGAATTATGTAATTTTTATATAAATGAAGAAAAACCATAAATCCTCATTAATTTTCTTCCCAGTTAATTTTCACCATTTTATTGAAATTTTTGATAAAATCAATAAGAAATCTTTTTTAATGACTAAATTAATTTATTTTATATATATAATTATTACATTAAATATCTAAATGAATTTAAAATTATATTTATTTTTATTTTTGAAAGTAAGTATTTGAACATATTAGAATTTCAATTTTATATGAGTAAAAAAAGATAAAATTAAAAATAAGACAAATATTCAAAGTATTTTAGAATAATAAAAAATATGTTTCAATTAGTCATTGAATTAATAATATTTCTATATTTTTCAGTTTTCATAACTAACTCCCAGAAGTTGAGATATTTAGTATTGGATTCATCTTCAGCTATAGATTTGAGAGTTAAGCAACAGATTAAACCAGTTCTAACCATATCAGCTGCACGATCACCATCAGCCTTGGAAGCATAAGGTTTCAAAACATTAAGGAATACTTCTGAAATTTAATCAAGGAAGGGAGTAACTTTGAGAGGAACCTTATGAGCAAACTTTGTGCAAATTTAGAAACGAAGAATTTTAATGTCTTCAGATGATTCATTTGCTATTTATTTAAAAATTTATAAATACTTATGTTTTTTCTTTTACAAATTATTTTACCAAATTCATAGAGAACTTCTTCAAGAATTTCTCTTTCGAAATTTTCGACACCTCTGTAGTGGAGATGATCGATAGCAGTGTCAAGAAGAGTGAATGCAGCATTACGTACAGGTTCACCATCATCATTCTTTTACTTGAAAGGACCGAAATCTATTTCTCTTATCTAGGTGAATCTGAGAGCTTCTCTTACTGGTAAGAAGAATTCATTTTTATTAATGTGTTAAATTATAGCATTTGGAAGATTGTATGATATCATATTTAAGGATTTAAGAATAGCAGTACGAGTGCGGATATCTTTTTCATTGATATTATTCATAAGAGCGTAAACTAACTCACGTAAATCGTTATCAATTTTCAAAGTCTTCAAGCAGAAATACTTAAATGAACTAGCAGTAGTGTACTTAGTATTTTAGTTCTTGGAGGATAAATTTTATAAGATTAGAGGTTTCATTTCCTTTAAGTTTAAGTGAGTAACCTTACCTGTTTAAAGTTATCAAAAAAGATATTTAGTATATATTGATAATATTATAAATTAATTAATTTTATTTACCAATGATGTAGGAAATAATGTTGCAGAGAGATTCATCACCGTTTTCAGTTGCTTTGAAGAGGTTAGGAATGATTTAGATGATGCTCTATGAAAGTTGTTGAGAATGCTCAATGATTTACTTCAAAGAGTTAAGCATAAGGTATTGGCCTTCAGAACCTGAGTTGATTGTTTAGATAACTTGAGGAAGAACCATATTTAAGTTTCCAATAGCAATACCACCCAAAGAAATAGAGGCAGCAGTTCTTATTTCTTCGTTATTTTATTTATTGTTTAAGATCTTTTAAACTTCTTGGAGGATATTTCCTGAGCACAAGTTTACATGTCTTCCGATTTCACCAAGTGTGACCAAGCATATTTGTCTCTTCAAAACAACTTCTTTATCAGAAGAGGCCTATTTATTTTTAATTTGATATTAATTTTGATTACAAAAATTTAAAAAAAAAAATTACAGTTGAAAAGATTTAATTAATGAAAGTTTGTTGTTCTCCAGCAGGAAGCTCAATGATAATAGAAGAAATAGCACGAGAAACTGAATTGATGCTATCTTTACTACCAGTAGCTATCAAATTTTAAATCATTTAGCTTCTGTTAGAGAGATTAAGCTTGGATAAGGTAGCGAAAACTTCATAAAGAGAGCTAAAGTGAGCACTGGAAACAATAGAAGAATTTGAGAACTTGGTAATGGATTCAATAATTTTTGTATAATATTGAGGACTTTGAGGAGCATTTTCAATGGATTTCTTGAGAACCGATAAATAGAGTTAAGCAACCCAAGTATCTTTATCGTTTAAGAAATCATAAGCTAAAGCGATGAAGTTATCTCTGGCTTTAGCACTTAGAGGAGACTTCTTTTCGCTTAAAAGAACTAAAGTCTTGTCTAAAGCTTCAAGACTAGCAACACGAAGTGAACGATCTTGCTTAGCAAGCAAATCACAAATACTTTCAGCTGATGAATTCAAGAGTTTAATGCTATCAGCAGTTATATGGGGATGAACTGAAAGAGGGATTTTCTTTAAAAGTTTAAGAACAGGAATCTTCTTGGTTTCAGATTTAATTTTTTCAGAAATAGCATTAATGATATCTTTAATTTGTTAGGCTTAAATGGTTTGAGGGAGACTAACGAGTAATGAAGTTGTGCAGCTGAGAACTGATTGCTTAATTTCTTAATCGATATCGGAGCTATTTAACTTAACGCTAATCTAAGGGAATATTTATTAGATACTAGCGCTGAATGTAGGTATAGCAGAGTTAAATTATTTGTTGATCATGTTGAACAAGCTATTTAAGCAACGGAAGGATTCTGCAACAATCTTAAAGTAATCTTAAACAAGACCTACACTGGCAAGTTTAAAAATGTTGGGAATATCATTTTAAAGATGAGCAATTTCACTGCTTTCATGGTAGTTCTTCAAAAGCTTACGTAAACTTGAAAAAGCAGTAACCTTCAATTCATTGGGAGAGGCCTTGTTTTCAATAGTTCTTTTAATCAAATCAAAAGCCAAACGCCAAATGCTAGGATCGCTAACTACCTATCTGCTTAAATTTCTTGAAATGCTTTCAATTAACTTGTATGCACCTGTTAAGATAGCTTATGTAACTTTTTTTTCCTATTTTTTAATTTATTTTTTTATGTTTTTGCAATTAACCTTTAAAGTAACTAAATAAATAAGCAATATTAATTTGTTTACCTTTTCAAGAATGAAAGTGAGAGTGTTGAATATTTCACTAATAATTTCAGAAATGTTAAATTCTTTGACAGCAGATTTAACACGAACTAATTGGGGACCAGAGTTCAATTCTTAATCGAAATCATCATCTCCCTTATCATGTGATACATCTGAAATGACTATAGCACGGATGATAGTCTAAAGGCAAGAGAAAGTAGCAAAACGGATGTTTTCATTTCTTTCTCCTAATCTATAGACGATGGTGCTTTATTCACTTTGAGAAGAAACACACTTTTCAAAAATAGGACGAATCATTTCGCTATCACTCTTAACAAGAGTTTCAATAATATTTAAGGCAGCTCTTCTAACTCTCCATGAAGAATCATCGCCATCTTGATCATCTGAAAGATAATCGTATTCATCTTCTTCACCTCCATCTATATTTTAATTAATAAATTTTAATTTAGATATTAGTAATGCAAATGTAATTAATTAATTAAAACAACAAATCATGCTTTTTATATTTAGTTCTTAATTTTATTTTTCATCTTTAATTCTTGAAAAATTTAGTAATATTTATGGATATAATAAACTATGATAAGGTGGCTTTAAAATAGAGAATAATTTAATGATACTTTATCAATTTCATCAAAAAAATAAATTATTAAATAAAGTTTTAAATAGAATACCTTCTATTTCCATTTCGCCTCCGTTGCTGATACGAGCTTGACCATTAGGATCATAGTTAATCAATTATGAAGAAAGGTCAACTATTTGAGGGAAATATTCCTTGATTTCATCAGGACATCCCTTAATGAGACTTTCCAAAATACTTAAGTATGATTCGAACATTTCAGAGATTGTGATGATTAAATCGTAGTCATCAACTTCTTCAACATACTAGTTAATATCTTTGAGTATGATGTTAATTAAATCCTTCAAATTTGAGCCGAGTTTTTTAGCAACAGTTTTGGATATGGCACTTAAAGCATAGACAACATAAATCTGCTTTTCTCTTAAATGCTATTGCTATTTTTATAAGAAATATATGAATAAATTTTTATTATCCTTTGTATCAGTATTTGTTTTTTTACAATTTGCTTTTGGTTATCAGGTTTTTTAATATTTTACAAGAGTTCCTTGACAACTCTTCCGATGTCATCCTTGTGTAAAATAAGACCTAAACTTCCTAAGCAGCTGCAAGATTTCTTCTTAAGAGAATTTCTTTCACCCTTTGAAATGTTGCCTTTATTTAATAAAACGGATTTTTTTATGACTTATTCTACATAAAATGTATTTACTCATTAATATATTTGTCAAATTCTTAACATTAGCATTAGTTGTGCTTAAAGACTAACCCCATTTCTTAAAGAGATTGTTGAGAATATCACATAGTTCTTCTTAAACATCGAATTCCTTATTATTGAGCTTTTGTTCCATACCTTTTCAATTTTTTAAGTATATAAATATTATTTTATTGTTTTTAATGATTCAAAATCTGAAAGAAATATCTCCTATTTGCCAGACAAAGATCAAATAATTAACTAATTTAATAAACAAATATTTTGTCAAAACTATTACCTTAAATTGCATGTAAAAGGATAGGTTAGACAGCCTTAGCATAGTTAGAAGGCACACCATTAATCAAAGTTTTCAAGCAAGTAGCATAAACATCTCTATATTCTCCTTTATCTTCAATAACCTTAACTATCATAGTCTTAGAAACATTTTCGACTTAAGTTTCTTAGAGCTTATTAATGATCTTAGAGAGACATCTAATTGAGTTACCTGTTAGAAATTAATAGCATATATTTAGTAATTTTTAATAAATTAATCATTTATATGAATCAATCAATGTAAGTCATTTTATAAGCTTTGTAAAATAAGAAATATTATGTTTTTAAGAAATTAGTATTATTTTTATTTGATGGAATCAAATATAAATAGATTTATTTTCATGAAAAGTGTACCTTGAACTTCATTAGAGTCATCATTAAGCTAATTAAGAAGAATTTTGACAACAGTGTCGTAATCTGTATCCTTCAATTAGCCATTGGATAGAGCATTGGATAAATCATTAGCAGCCATGAACTTTTTATCAGGATCGAAATCCTTGGCATCTTAAACTAGTTCATCAAATCTCTTTTAATCTAAAAGTTGTTGTTGTTATTATTGAGCGGATTGCATTTAATCTGTCTAGTGTACTGTTTCTCTTTTTTAACTATACTTTTTATATTTTCTTCTTGATGAAAATTATTATTTTTTTATTTGTTTATTGATATTTTATTGTTTGATTCTTATTTATATAAGCAAAAAAAATACAATCAAAATTTGCAAGTATGCATACTTGCAGCTTTAATTAAACAAATGATTTTAGAAACCTTATATAATCTTTTAATCAAAGAAAGAATATCTTCTATTAATCATTCTCAGATTAAATCAAAGTGGCAACCAAAATAATAGCGTTAAGACATATCCTTTGATAATTATTAGCGGATTCTTTCCTTTTTTCCTTTCTATCCATTTATATCAGATCATTTCCGATCCTATCCGATCTCAAAAAAAAAAATAAAGATATATTTGAATTTTTATTTTTAATAGAATCATTATGATTAATCTTGGCTATTTTCCTAGCATCTACAAATTCTAACCAAACTTCTAAGCTGCTGTTTTAATATTTATAAAAATTCTTACTAATTTGAGCATTTAAAAAAAAGAGTCTACTAAATCCAAATTAAAAATTAAATTAATTTTAAAGTTAAATTTAAAATAGTATAGATATAATTTTTTTCTGTAAATTAATAATTCTAATAAATTGAAAGTTACAAAACGCTTAATTAAATTTTAGACTAAAATATATCTCATAAAAAATGTTGATTTTCTATAAGAAAAAGAAAATTTAAACAAAATTTTGTGAGTAAAATAAAAATTATTGGATTAAATATTTGAAATACTCATATTATGTAATTAAATAAAAATAATAGAATGATTCTACTAAATAATTGACTAACTAACATTAACTATTTATTTTTATAATAATAATTAATTGATTTAGCAAAGAAAAATAGAAATCTTTCTTACAAAACCAAAAAATATTTATTAATTAAAATAACAATTAATTTTTTCTTAGGTAAAATTCTTAGCAATAAATAAATATTTTAGAATTTAGAAAAATATCTATCAATATTCATAAAATGAGCTAAATGCTTATTGTTAGCAATTTGCCATATTCTACAAACTAAGAAGAAATCAAAGAGCGGTTTAGAGATTATAAAGGATTTTTAACTTCAAGAGTTTTTTATAATGAAAAGCATAGGTAAAACATTAATTTGAATGTTTTAAAATTTATGTTTTGAGAAACATTTGAATTCATTAAAACTTAATTTTTTAAATTAAAATATTTGATTTATTTATTTTCTATTATAAATATATTAGCTTAGTTGCCGAATATGAATTTAATAATTATGAATCTGCAGAAATAGCTAAAAACTCATTTAATAGTTATTTAATCACCAATCCATCTCTAAGAATTAGTATGAATATTTAGATAATCTAAATATTTACAAAGCTTTTAAAATATAGGTATAGAATATAAAGAACATTCATATCAAAATCAGTATCATGGTGAATACCATTAATATTCTAATCAATTAGTCACTTCAAATTAACAAATAAATGTATTAATCTTTTTAATTCTTCTATTTTGCAATTTAAATTTTAGCAAAATCTTAATTTTCAAACTCGATTTATTTTAACACTTAAAAAAATAAAAGATGGGAATGTCTTATTTATCTTAGCCTTCTTAATAATAACAGTCGCAGCAGCTTCCAATTTCTCATTAGAATTAACAATATTCAGCTGCTGATTACCAACATCACCAGTAATAATACCAAAGTAATTTACTCTTTATTTAACTTTATTATTACAATATTAAAAATATCTATCTGCTTACAATTTTAATTAAACCTTAAAAATTAGATCCTCTCGTGAATTAATAGCATTCACAAGTCCAGTAATATTAGCAGTACACACAAAGTTAACTTTAGAATCAGTAACAACCTCAACAACAAACTCCTCATAGTGGTGCTATCTTATAGCAATAATAATAGCAATAACCACTTACTCCTAATCACTACCAATAGTATCAATACTTACTTTTGAAATGCTTAATTTTATTTTAATTCTTAAATTTCCAAAATAGAAATTCAGTTTTCTCTAACTAGAATCACCTAGGCCATTAACACCCATCTTAGGCAGTATAGCCATAACAGGCTTAGCCTCCTGCTCATTAACACATTTTAGATTAATAACCCCATCATTCTGGAATTGTTATAAATAATTCTTCTATGTATTTTTAACTTTTCTTGTAAATCTATCTTCATTTATCTAAATAATTTATGATAAATAAAAAAGGTATAATTAACAGCAACAGCCACAACATTAAAATCAGCATTTAATAAATCAACAAGGATATCAATAATAGTAGTAATAACCCCAATAATAGTAATAACAATAGCAACCACATATTCCATAGTCATAGCCACCTCCTCCTCCATCCTAAAATATGCTTCTGTCTCCTAATATCAATCCTATTTAGAATCCTCATCTATAACAATAGACTCCACTAAGTGCAGCTCGTTCTATTTAAACTCCTTAATAAATATACTAACAGCCTCCTTAGCTCCCATAAATGTAATAACTGAATAGCAATTAGAGCAACAGTGGTATTCTTTACTAATAAAATTACAACTAATAATCGCATCACATTCAGGTTCCACAAACTTAACCTCCACCACCTCCTTAAACTCAGTAGCATACTTAATATACGAATCAATCTTTCAGCAGCATGAATAATAACTATGTAGCAAACTAGTTAATTAATGTTTTAAACTAAGTAAATTAGTTAGAACTCAATACTTGCAATAAAGTTGTAGAAGCAACAAATTCACTATATGTGGATGGTAATTTCTTAATTTTTAAATAATTCATTTTATTTAACTTTTAATATTAAATTAAATTAGGAGTACCTATAGATTCAAACGAAAGGGAAGTTTCACGTACATTCAAATTATATCATAGTTACACTTTATTTATTTTATTTTTAAAATTAGACATTTTTAGGCCTTTCCCTGGATTCTAAGCTGTAAGATTAATAAGAAAGCGCACATAAGCAGGAAGAGAATTTTATTTTTGTTTTGTCGACTTTGAAAGTGCTCTTTAATCAACAATAGCATTAAGAACTTTACAAGTAATTAATAGGATTTGTTTAAACTTATTGAAATATGATTAAAAATTATAAAAAGGGATACAGATTTGATAAAAAAGACACACAAGGACTGAAAATTTCATACGCAAACGAGCCTCACTAACCAAAAAAACAAGAATAGTTTGGAGTAAATAATAATTAACTGAATTTAAACTAGTCTTACTCTTAAACTAGTATTCAGCTCGGCAGCACAGAAAATAATAGTATAAATAATAGCTATCAAATGAATTAATAAAATTATAATAATTAAAACATTCACTAAAAAGTTAATAATAATACTAATTCTTCTAATAAGCAAAAAAACAACTTCAACAAACAAAGATAAAAAAAGTGATTTTGAAATAATAGAAGAAATATCTTTTAAATCCTAAAAATTTAACCATTATATCACTAAATTATAATGAAATAAATACAAATAAACAAATAACAGAACAAGCTAAAGAACTATTCCTCATTTTTTCCCCCTCTTCCTTTTCCATTTCAACCTATTTCTCCAAAAATAATCAAGTAAATAAACAATAAAAACTCCGAATATTATCTATGAAATTTATTTTTAATGGTCTAAGCATGAAAAATAAATTTTTGAAGAATAAAGATAACTCCTTTTAATTTTCCAAATTTAATTAAAAACTGAACCACTAATTTTAAGTCATCAAGTATCATAAGACACTAAACAAAAGTCATAAATCAGTTATCTTGAGAACATTTGGCAATCCGAAACTTGGTGATATTGGTTAGTTGGTTAGTTAAATATTTCATTATAGTTAGTTAATCAATAAGTAGTTAGGTCAATCAAACAGAATAACGTTACAACTCCTCTCCTTAATATTTTCGTTGTTTTGGAGATGCTTTCAATCTATCTTTCTCATTTCTTTTAGTTGTCAACTTTAGATACTACAAAAAAAAACCTGATTTTTCTTGTGATTAGTTGGTTAGTTAGTGGTTGGTTGGTTGGTTGATGGGTGTTTCTTTCAGGTTTTTTGCGTTTTCTCCTTTAGATTTCATCAATAAAGTAATCAATACCGTTTGTTACTTAACTTAAAAGTTTGATGTAAAGTATTAAATCTGAAAAAGCAACTCCTTATTGATTGATGTCATTGCCTTATTGATGAAATAAAGTCCTTCCTTTTTAAATCGATAATAGTCTAAGTTCTTCCCTAAAACCTACTTACTTACATACTTACATACATAAAACTAACAAAAAATTGAGATTGAAGAACGTTTGAAGATATTTTTAAATTAAATTAAATATTAGAATCATTTCCTATCATAAATATGAAGCGAGTTTAAATTTTTTAAACAAACTGACTGGTCTTTGATTCATTTCATGCATGTTCTATTGTTTATAAGTTTTAAAAATCTTTTGTTAATTTGTATAAAAAGTAATATTTATTTTTAAATTATTCATAATAAACAAATAAAATTCAATAAAATCAGAATTAATAAGCAAATTCTTTTTAAAAATTTAATGGTTTCCTATTAATGAAAAATAAAAACTTGGATATAAAAAAATTGGCAGAAGTATTTTTTTGATTTATCAAAATGCATCATTAGATAAAATCATATTTCTATTCTAAGAAAATTCTAATTACTATAACCTACACTACTCATTCATTTATTATTTCTACTTATTATGAGAAATTACTCAATAATAAAAATTAAACTGTGTGTAAGTATACAGTTTAAATCTTTTAAAATTTGTTTATCAGATTTTTTGTAAATAATTATTGATAGTTTGACGTCATATTTGATGCTCAAAGTCTTTATGCATATTTAATGATTATGTAATCCTAATAAATATAAATAAAGATTAATAAAACAAAAGATTATATAATACAAGTTTTTTGATCATACCATTTAACACATTAGAGATTTTTATTACAAATGGAAGCGTAGTAAATAATAAAAACCCTAAGTTATTTAATATATGGGGGATAGCAATAGCTCGAAAAACATCTTTAGCTAAAAGAAATAATTGATTTAATACCTGAATTACATGATTAGCCTGAATATTATTCAATGACAATTGAAGATAAAATTAAATATCAAACTTAACAACTATTGTAAGTCGTAAAATTAATCAAGCAGGGAATCATTAAGGCAGAAGATATTCACCTTCTTTATGATTTATTACCTGAAAGCACATAGCCATTAGAAATTCATACCAACGTCTTTCTGCCTTACTTTAAATATTTAATTATGAAAAATGATAAAAAACCATAATAGGCATAAGCTCTTAAATTAGTTAAAGAATTTGTTTCTTATTCATAGATTGGGAGTGTTTTGATGGGCGAATTTCATACTCAAAGCTACTTTAAAGCCACCCATGTGAAAGTAAATACTTTCAATTTCAAAGATTATTAATTGATCATTTTAATATAAAAATGAAAGGATATTACTACTGAACTTACTTATGATAGGAGAAGTTGTTCATATATTTTAAATACGTAAATATTAAGCTTATTTAATATAAAATAAAGATTTTTAAATAGAAACAGACATTTATATTAATAATAAATATTATTTAAATAGTAAAGAAAATGTAGTAAAATATTGTGCTAATTTTAGTTACGTTTCAAATTATGCTATAGTACTTGCAAAATTTTCTAAAGAAAATGGTATAACAGTTGTGGTGCCAGTTCTTGTTTAGATTAGAGATAAAAATCTTAAACCAGTATAAGGAGTCAACATTAAATACCTAGGAAGATCTGTTCATGACAGCTATAAGGTTGGAGTGGCTTTCTAAAATTACTAAATACCTGAAGATTAAATTGTAAATGATTTAATTTTAAAAAGTATCTAAATATTTTAATTTGATTATTTTTATTAGATTTCAACTATCCATCTAGAGAGCTAAGAATACATAGCATTGTTTAACTTTCTTCTAAAAGGAGAAATAGCCTAATTATCTCATAGCTGTAAAGATTTGTTAAAGGCTGTTTATTTAAGTATTAAATACACTTAAATGAGAACTTAGTTTAAAGACACAAAAGACTAAAAGTACATAATTTACTGACTTTAACTTAAAATATTTAATAGCTATTAATAAAATAGAGAAGAAAAGCCTATTATAGATTTCCAAGTTGTTAATCAGAGAATTACAAATGCACTTAGTATTGGCATTATTTACTCAGTTGTTTTAAATAGATACTTATCCTCTTATTTAATGCTTAGAGACAATATTGTATTTTAAATTTTAATTGATTTAATTTGTAAATATTATTATATAAAAATATAGAAAGATAGAAAGCTTGCTATGTCAATTGTATTCTTTAAGGGTTTTAGGGGAAGAGCTGAAGAAAAAATTTTGGAATAAATTGAGACTATTCGTGAGTGCTGTGGAGGTTTTGGATTTTAAAGATTCTCAGGATTTCCAAATCTCTATGAAAGAGTAACTACTCGTATTACTTGTAATAATAATTATAAAAAAGACATAATTGAAATGGCTTTAACTTATCTTGGCAAATAAACAATTAGCTTCCTCGATGAGCAACACATGCTTTTGGAATTAGATGTAATCAAAAATTAAATTTATTATTATTATTTATTTATAAATTTTCTCAAAAATAGACAGAAAAATATAGAGTTCACTATTTCAATATCGCCATGAATGAGCCCACACTAAAAAAAAGACTTTAAGAATACCAAAATTTTTCAGAGAAGCAAATAAGCGACGATATCGCCCTCCTAAAAGTAACTCAGTGCTCGTAAATAATAGTCTTATTTATTAAACTTAACGTATATTTAAACTATCAAAAGCATCATTTAAAAAAAATTGTTATGTGAAAAAATATTCCTTGAAAATGAAAGAAACGTTATTAAATCATAAAGATAATTATTGGAACTCGGATATGAGTTGGCTGATTGTTTTTGCTTATCTAAATTTTACGAAGTTCACTTTTTCAAGCTCTACAGACTTGCTTCAAAAGCAATGAATTTGGTTTATGTAAGATTCTACATGGAAAAACTAATGGTAAAGATTAATTAAATTTCTTTAGATGAATATCACAAATTTTATTAAAAAATATAGGACAATTTTTAGATTATGAACGAACTTAATTCTTAATTATCAAGGAGCTAATTATATAATTTATTCTTGAAGAAAAAGAATTCATGCGAAGAAGAAATAAAATAATTATATCCCACTTATTTACAATCATTTTAATTTGATGGGATATTTAAAAATGTTATTGTAGGCAGAGAAGATTAGGAAGATTTTTACTTGTAATTTAAATTTAAAAATATATTAATAAATTTATTTTGTTTTTTAAAATAGGTAATTAAAAGATTGGAGTAAAAACAGAAACAATAGAAATAACCCAGAGCTAGTAGCTGAGATTTAAAATGAGATTTTACCTCTTCTTACTGCAAAGCCAAATTTATGATTATTTATAAAATCAATAAATATAATATTTATCAAATCAATATTTTAGATATTAATAATTGCTATAAAATCATATTTTATTATAAATTTATGACTATTAATTGATTACTTAGAAAATTCAGTATATTTTAAAAATTTTAATCTTTACCAGTGAAGTTGGATTTCAATTTATAATTATAATTTTATATAAAGGACGGACTATTATTTTTTATAAATATTTAGATTGTTTTTTTTAAATTATATATATAAGTCAATTCTAAAAAATCTATTTAATAATTTATAAATTATAAAATTTTTCAACAATCTTCACATATATCTCTGCCCATATAATAACAGTGGTCTTTCATGGTGAAAGAATGTAATTTATCACTACACTTATTGTTGTCTTTTTCAAAATCACACACTTCATAGCTAGTATTTGGTTCATCATACCAAACTTCAGTTCCTTCGTGATAAAATCCCATAACTCTTAAGGGAACATGAGGGATCAAATCTCTGTTATGAATTAATCTATAAATATTTCCTATTCTTTCATTGAAATACTTAGCAAATTTTTTGTTACCAACTCTTGGCTATCCAAAAGTGTACAAGTAATCTACATGCTTAACATCATTGTTAATATCGATTGATGCCAAAACAGCGAGAGCACCACCAAGAGAATGACCAAATACACCAACCTTAGCGTTTGGGTATGTATTAGCAAGTTCACTTATTGATGTTAAAACTATTATTTAAATATGAATTTATTAATATTTTCTTTTTTCTATGAATATAAATTTTAATTAAATGTAACATAGAAAAAAAGTCCCAAAATTACACTTTTTAAAAATTAAACAAATCAATATAAGCAACAATATTTTTAAATAATTTTAATAGCTTTAAAAGATAAAAATAAATTCTAAATAAATTATTTCACCTTAATTTTAAAGATCTTTCCAAGCAAGAAGGAAACCTCTATGAACTTCGCAACCGTTACAAGAAGCATACTTAATTTAAAAGTAGTCTAAATCAATTAAGGTGTTTAAATCGGTGACTGTTGGTCTGAAAGCAGCTATAATCATATTTTTATTCTAGTCATAAGCAGTATATCCTTAGATTTGATGAGTTGAGTTGTAAAAGGCTTTAATGTCAGTTACACCTGGATTTATTTAGCAAGCTGTTCCACAGCTCCAGTTTTATATATTTTGTAATGAGCATCTAGATGCTTGGGCATATCCAGAGGCTTCGTAAGCAAATTCCTCATCATATTAGTCTACATTTAAAAAAGTTATACAATATAAGCTTGCTCCTAAAAACAACAATGAAGCCAGAATAATTGTTGAAGATACTTTAATATTCATTTTTAAATGAAATTTGGCAATCTTTTTTATTTATAATAGTAAAAAAGATTATTTGGTGAAATATTAATTTAAAAGAAGATTTTCACGTGAAGATCAAAATGATCAAATAAATAAATAATTTGCATCATTTAATTTCTTGCAAAAAAAAATAATAAATTTTTCCAAAAATTAAACGAATTACCACTCATTCTTTATTGTATTTAACTTCTATGAAATTTATTTAATCAAACACTTCTTTAAAAATCATAATAATAGCACTTAACTTTATTTCGACTAACAATTATCTCAATTAAAAATCTTTTATTAAACTTTCTAATCTATCAAAATACATTTTTTATTCCAAATTTTAAATGAAAATGAAAAAAGCTTATTATAAAGATTTGTTTTTTTTTGTTAAAATTTCTTATAAAATGAAAGTAACTAAAAAATAGACAATAGAATTTATTATAAATATAATTTGATTTATGTGGATTTTATTAAATTTATATTATATATTCGTAGTTAATAAGTAAATCATAGCCAATACATATTTAACTCAGTTACAGTCTGCGCTAATATCTCTTCCTAAATATAAATCGTGGTCGTCCATAGTGTATGACTTAAGCCTATCACTGCAAGATTTATCTTCTAAGTATTTTTCGCAAACAGTATAACTTGTAGAATTTTGATTATACCAAACTTCTGTTCCTTGATGATAAAAACCTTACTTTTGAAGAGGTAAGTGAGGTACAAGATCTCTATCATGTATTAATCTATAAGAGTTTCCTATATTGAGATCAAAGAAAGCAGCGAATTCTTTATTTCCGACTCTTGGCTAACCAAAAGTGTAAACGAAATCAACTGCTTTGACACTTAAATGAATATCAATTGCACCAAGGATAGCAAGAGCTCCTCCTAGAGAGTGGCCAATCACAGAAAGTGTTGCATTAGGGTATTTCTAAACCAAATCACTTGTGGATTTCAAAACTTAGTTTTTAAATGAATGATATTAATTAAAGTGAGTGATTGAAAAAAGTTAACTTAAATTTCTAAATTAAGGAAATCTTTTATTCAAAATGTAAGATAAAAGAAAATACAAATTGTTAAATGAATTTTTTGATTGAGAATATGTAATTGCTATTATCAAAATAAAATTTCTTTGATTAACTAATATATTGATTTTAATAACAGAAAAACAAGTGATTACCAGAGTTTTAAAGATCTCTCCAGGCTATTAAAAAACCTCTATGAACTTAACATCCTACACATGTTGGGTATTTGATTTTAAAGAAATCAAAATCCAACAACCAGTTTAAGTTAGTAGTTGTTGCTCTAAAGGCAACGATTATATTATTTTCCATGGAGTCATAGGCCGTATAACCTTGAATCTGATGAGTTGAGTTATAGAAAGCTTTTACATCTTATACACCTTTGTTTATTTCACAAGGCTAACCACAAGTCCAACTCTATAAGCCATCGATAGAGCATCTAGTTGCCCAAGCAAATATAGATGCTCTTTGTGAAAATTCTACTTCATACTATTCGTCTACTACTCTTTTATATACTAGTAAGCTTCCGCTAACTAAAAAAAGAGTAACAATAGCTATTCCTAATAGCAGATATTTTGTTTTCATATTTATTAAGATAATTTGCTAATAGCTTAATTATTTTTGTTTAATTTTATTCCAAAAAATATAAGTGCTTGTAATAGGAATTTGTTTATCATATTCAATAAATCTTTTATAAATTAGGTAGTATCTTTTCTTATTTTTTAATGTAAGCTTTAAGCTAATGCTCTCAAAATAATTTTTGAGAAGTCATAGACTGTTTAAAGATTTTAAAAATTTATTTTACAAAATAATTATGAAGTGATTTTTTAATTAAGTTATTTCTGACTTGTTGAATAAACTTTTTAATTTATTAATTAAATTGTAATATTTTTAAAGTTAAAATTATTATTTTTACTCAATTTTAATGGACAAAAATATCTTCCGATTAAATGTTTATTAAATTTAATTTAAGGTTTTTAATAAATATTTCTTTTTTTTTTTAATTTACAAAAATATGGGGAGTCGGAATATTAATTTTTTACAAAAAATAGCTAAGATATTCTTTTAAGGATTAAAATAAAAAATCTTTAAATTTATTTTTACTTACTATTTATTGTTTTAATAATTTTTTGAGTAGAAGAAGATATCCTTAAATTAAATACATTTATATTATATTATAATTTTAATAAACAGGTGATTTATATTTTAATAAATATATTTTATTATTAAAATATTTAGGGATTTTTAAAGAATTATTTATTAATAATCTATCTTAAAAATATATAATAAAATGTTAATATTATCACTAAAACAAACAAACAAGAATATGAGTGAATTTTAGAAAGTTAATATTATTAAATTTATTTTTTTATTACTTTTTTAATTAGAGGAAGATATTTTTAAATTATGTATATTTATGTCTTAAATTAATTATCTTGCTGATAAAATTTAATTTCTGATAAAAAATAAGAGATACTACTTTAGAATTTAGTAATGATTATTTTTATTTATCCTAAATATAAAGAGTAGAAATATAAATTTTATATTTAAATCTAGTTACTATTATAATATTTTTAAATTTATTTTTTTAATCATTTTTTGAGCAGGAAATGATAGACTTTAATTATCAATATTAATATCATAAATTTACTCTATAGCTTTATAAAATTTATTGAAATTGTATATTTAGCTTAGTGATAAAAAAAATTAGAGATATTTATAATGAAATTAGTGATTGCTATTGATCAATTTTCTTGTATAAATCAAACATTTAAATAGTACTTAGAAAATTTTTATAATTAGAATTTAAATTATAATATTTTTAAATTTATTTTTAATAATATTTTTGAGAAGAAAATATACGCTATTATCAATATTTATATCATAAATTAACTCTCCATATATTAAAATTTAATAAATATTCTAAATGAAGTTTGTAATTACTTATAATTAATTTTTTTTAAAATATTCATATTACAAATCATATTTTATTAACAAAATTAGCTGAATATTGATAATAAGAATTTTAGTTGTAAAATTTTTTAATTTAATTTTTTTACTAATTTTTATAGAGTAAATACCCACAAATCATATCATATCCTTTTATTTGTCAAATTTACATTGAAACTTATTATAAGCTATTAATTTTTAATTTTCTGTAATAAATAAAAGAAAACCTCTTTAATAATTTAGTAATATATTCGTTTACAATAAATTAAAAAATACATAATACAATTATATGTTATTTAACTCAAATTCACATATAAATAATTTTAATCTGCCAATTTTTGAAAATTTTTAAATCTTATTTAGTTAACGATATCAGGATTTAAATATTATTTTCCATTTGTCATTATTTAAAAAAAGCTATCATGATTAAATTTTTCAAAATATTTTAATAATATACAGTAAATCTGAGCTAAATTTGATGATTTAATATCTCTCTTAATAAATTATGATATATTTTTCAATAAATTTGTAACCAAATTTATCAATGAATAAAAAAATACATAACACATTTTTTTTATTTACTCAATAGACCCTAATAAAAATAACATTAAAATATTAATGAGGATGAATATTTTAACCTTATTTGCATTATTAATAAACGGTACAGATATTATTTTGAATTGAAAGTATCAAAATCAATAATTTAGCAATTTATCATTTTCATCTTAAACCATTATTTTTCTTGTTTACGCAAATACCTTTTTTAAAAAAATTGAATGGTAATTTAAAAACACTTTTAAACCTTAGTCTGATCAAAATTGTAATATTTTATGGCTATTTATTGAGGAAAATGTGTTTATTTATAATTAATTTCCAAACGTTAGACTTATTGGAAAAAAAATAAATGATATAATGATTACTTACTTTCAAAGTATGTTAATCAATAATTAATTCAGGTAAAATTTTTTAATAGCGGGGTTTTTAATTTATCAAAAAATTTTTATTACTCTAAATAATAATAATTTATCCTATTTAATTCTCAGGCAAACAGGAGATTTGACTCATTATTGAATCATTACAAAAAAAGTCTTTCCATTACTGAATAGATAATTTATAATAAAAAAAACAATAAAAAATTGATTAAACATCAAATCTCTGAAAAAAAAAATAAATTGAAATATGAATTTTTAAACACATAATATTTTTTTCATAACTCTAATATGGGCAATTTTTAGGATAATACAAGTCTAGTCGAGTAATTATTTTAAATTTTAGGCTAGCTTTAAGTTATTTGTTAAATATTTTTATTAGAAAACTTGCTATTTGTTAGAGAATTTTTAAATAGCGGTGATACAGTGACAGGTTGGACATATAACAATAAAGTTTAATGTCAAGGTTAACTTATTGAAGCAAACAAGTTAGTATATATGCTTAATAGTGGATAAAAACAGTCCTCAAAAACATACACTAATCTTCCAAATCACTATAGATATGAAGTTAGAATCGATTTTTTAGTAGTTGACAACCCTAGTGGCCCTGTTTCCTTTTTTGTTGATTCATAAAATTTAGCAACTTATTAATTTAATTCACATGGAAAAGATATGTCTATTTGCGGTGATCCATTAGTCAAAGATAAATTTGAAAGAGGTTATTTATCAAATATTTATTTAATTTGAAAATTTTTTGTGTTATTTGTTTAGTAAATGACGAAAATAATTTTTTTTTTTCTTCCTTAGTATAATATAAAAAACCCCACACTTCTTCTACTTTAACAATGACTATTTAACATGATCTCGGTTGGAACAGTATGCTTGGGATAACAGATTTATAAATATTCTTAGATACTTGTCACCCTTTTTGCAAATCTTGTAATGGACCTGATTCAAATAATTGTACAGGCTGTGGTCCTGGATAAACATTATCTGCAGGAACTTGCACATGCCCTAACCCATAACTAATGTAAAATGGAAGTTGTGTATCAAGCTGTGCTGCACCTTAAATGGCTAGTGGAAGCATATGTATAGATGATCCCTGTTAAATAAATTGTACTACTTGTAGTTCGAGTGGGCCAAGATTATGTACAAAATGTTCAGGAAGCTATAGATTATTTAATGGAAATTGCATTGTTTAGTGTCCCTCATATACAAGCAATATAAATGGGGTATGCATTGATATGATTACATAATACTGGAGTAAATTATTTATTTTATTACTTAAATTTAGTATAAAATATTATTTTTATTTAAAGATGGATACTACTTATTCAAAGGATTCTTTGAAGATGATTTTTCATCAATTTCATTTGAAAATTATGGTTTTTAAGGCAATTATTTTGATCCCTATGGAGATATACCTAACTCTGATATGGCTACATACTCTGATTGCTATGGAGTAAGACTATACTCAGGTTTTGGTATTTATGGTTAATTTGTTTAAATATCGAATTAGTGGAATATCCCATGGAAACATAGTTCAGTTTTAGTTAAAATGAAATATGTTTAAGTAGAGAATTACGAAACAAATTACGATACTAATTAATTAGAGAGACTAAGTATAAATTTAAATGGCTAAGAGTAAGCTTTTCTTCTCAGTGGTGGTACTGATTTAGGTTGTGGTAGGTTAGATTAAGGTGAAACTTTGGGATGGCTAACGGCTAATACAACTAAAACTGTTTAAGATGGATAGTTGACTATTACAATTACAAATAATTTTTATAACCCTACTTGGTATGAAGGAATTGCGTTTAGAGAACTTGTGATTATAGTATCAAAAGTAATTAATTAATTAATCTATATTAAATTAAAAATAAATTTTTAAAATTCTTACTGCCTAATTCTAATTTTAGGTGATTCTTTAAATTGAAAAATTGTTTATTTCATTTATACAAATGAAAAAATTTACCTATTTGAATTTATTTTTTATGATCATTTATCTTGATATTATCATAATTTATATAAATTTAATTGATCCATTTTTTAAATTCTTTTGATATTCTTTTTCAGAATATTATTCATTCTCAAATTAAATTATTTTTGATTTTGATTTCAAAATTCATTAATTTTAAATTTTGAAAAATTAAAAAATATTTATCCCATTTAAAGTGGTTTGAGTTTTTAAACTTAATTTTAAGTTTTAAAACTAGCAACTTTTTCAAAATTTAATAACTTAGCTCTATTATTCATTATTTAAAAATTTTATTAATATTTTTTCTATTAATTTTCTTTAAAAACACATTCTAATCAATAATTATAAACTTAAGTATACTTTAAAATATAATATTATAAATATATTAATGATAAAAAAATTTATTTCAATATCAATAAAATATTTATTTAAAAAATAAATTTAGTGTGTAGATAATTGCACTTAATGTACTGATTACGACGGTTGTGTTTAATGCGATCCTAATTATTACCTGTACAGAGCATAGTGCTATTTAAATAAGTGCCCTGATGGTTCCTATTAAGATAAAACAAAATTACCTTTACTTGTTTGTACTGATTGTGATAATACATGTTTGACATGCAGTGATGCAGGACCTCAGAAATGTGTTACTTGTTCAACTCCTCCACGTTTATTTAAATAAAATCAATGTGTAGTAAATTGTGGGGACTAATTTTATCCAGGGACAACCACATGTCTTCCATGTGATCAAACTTGTTTTGATTGCTCTGGACCTAATAGTAATTAGTGCACTAGTTGTTCAACAGGTAGATTTTATTTGGTTTCTATACATCAATGTCTTTTGAATTGTCCTCCTGGATTTTATAATGATGCCTCTAAAAATGTTTGTACTCCTTGTAATCCTTAATGCTACACTTGCTCAGGCCCAAGTGCTACTGAATGTCTCACTTGTGAACCTCCTAAAATGTTTTTAACTGGTCATTCTTGTGGCCCAGGATGTGCAGTAACTTAATTTATTTTGTATTTACAACTAATATTTTTTAATTTACTTAGGCAGGATATTTTGGAAATACTGCAAATTAAGTTTGCACACCTTGTTAATCACCATGTTAAACATGTGTAAGTACTGCAACAAACTGTGTAACCTGTGTTACAAATTACTATCTTCAAAACGGTAATTAATGTTTGACTACCTGTAATAACAGATTCTTCCCTAACTCAATAACAAATACATGTGATCCATGCAATATACTCTGTGTTAATTGTAATGGACCAAACTCAAATTAATGCACATCATGTGACGCAAATACTGGATTTTTGTAAAATTCAACATGTGTTAGCTAATGTGCTATTGGTACTTATGGAGATACAAATACTTATACTTGCAAGCAATGTGATACATCTTGTTATGCTTGCTAAGCTCCTGGTGATAGTACAAGCTGCACAAAGTGCTTTGCACCTAATTTTTTAAATAATCTTGGTTAGTGTAAGCCTACTTGCCCTAATTAATTTTATGGTGATAAATCTAATTTGGTATGTAAGCCTTGCCATCCAACTTGTCTATAATGTACTGATGGTAACAGTACTTCTTGCACTAAATGTGCTGTTGGAAGATATTTAAGTAGTGGGTAGTGCCTATTAAAATGTCCTGATGGAACTTATCCAGATGATGTAAATTAAATTTGTAATAATTGTTATTACACTTGTGCCCAGTGCACTGATAGTGTATCAACAGCATGTGTGACATGCTAAAATGGTAAATTAAAATTGAAATTAAATTTTGCAAATTAAAAATAAATTTTTTAAATAGGTAGGTTTTTTTATGGTGGTTCTTGCTTTTTGAAGTGTCCAGATGGATTTTATAATGAAATTACAAGTTTAAGCTGTAAAAAATGTGATGCATCATGTAAAACATGTGCCGGTCCAGGAAACAACATGTGTTTATCTTGTGGAACTGGAAAATATTTAAACAACAATTTATGTGTACCAACATGTCTTGATGGATACTATATGGATAATAACTCAAATTAATGCGAAGTTTGTTAAGCAACATGTAAAACATGTTATGGACCTATGCCAGATAACTGTAAAACTTGTGCAGGAAATAGGTAAATATTAAAAGATTTGAGGCAGTTTAATGATTTATTTGTTTGCTTTTTGAAATATTTTTACTTTAAGCTTTATTAATGTTAATTAAAATTTTGATTAACCTAATAAAGTTTGATTATAAAGTTTTTAAAACTTTTAATAAATAATTAATGAATGATTGAAAATTTTATTCCATTTAATAACTCATTGATACTTAAAAAATTAAATTAAAATAGATTTTTAGACCCCATAAATTTAACATGTGTATCTTATTGTCCTTCATCTTTTTTTGCAGACTTAGCAAATCATAAATGTATTTAGTGTGACCAAACTTGCCTTAATTGCAGTGGGACATAACCTAATTAGTGTACAGAATGTCCTAATGGCACATATTTATTAGATGGATAGTGTATAGCTGTATGTAAGGCTGGTTATTTCCCTGTAACTTAACCTAATATATGCAGTCCTTGTCACAGATCTTGTGGTACATGTACAGGTGCACTAGAAAATTAATGTTTTTCATGTAATAGTGGTAGATATCAGCTTGGTTACGTTTGTCTTGAGCAATGCCCTGATAATTATTATGGTGATACTACTTCTAATTTATGTAAGTAGTGTGATTCTAGCTGCTTTCTTTGTGATGGGGGGACAAGTAGTAGCTGCACAAAATGTGTTATTGGTATGTATTTATATAATGGTACTTGTGTTAAAATTTGTCCTACGGGTTATTTTGGATCAGATTTAAAAGGAAAATGCATGTAATGCTATTCAACTTGTGCTACATGCGATAAGACAAACCCTAACGTCTGTTTTTCTTGCATCAATAATTACTATTTATATCAAGGTAAATGCCTTTCGTAGTGTCCTACAGGAACATTTGAAAGCACAGCAGTTTCATAGACATAAGATCCTTCATCTTCTTAACAAGTTATAAATATTTGTAAAAATTGTTATTATGGATGCAAACTTTGCAATGGTAATTCATTTTCATAATTTTCTTTTAATAATTTTCTAAATTTTTAACTGATATTATTGTAGGAGAAACTGATAAGAGTTGTTTAGCTTGGGATACAGTTGAAGTTTATTATTAAGAATCTAAAATAATTTATTGGATTTTTGTAGGATAAAGCATTTATTCAACATTTGCTTTCTTTTTTGGGTTCTATAGAGACTATAAGTGTAAGTAATTAGAAGATATATTAGCAGAAGCAACTGATGATAAAGAAGATGCTAAGCCATTAAATGAAACTCAATCTCATGAAATGAAGAATAATAGTGATAATCATACTAATACAATTTTTTCAAACAATTCCCATATGCCTTTGAAAAACAACTTCTAAAGATAGTAAACTAGAAGAAAAAGACCTAATACTATAGTTTTGTAAGAATTAATACCATAAGATAACAATTCGCCTTAAATTACTCTTCAAAGTACTCCCTATAAATAAGATGATAATAAGCACACTCAATCAGATGATAAAACTTCTATCCATACACTATAAATTTAAAATTCTCCTCGTTCTATGAAAGATTCTAAATTATTAAAAAGTAATACTTTAGGGACTAATTAATTTGTTAGCTTCTATTAAAGTAACACTAATATATCTTCTATCAAAAAATTGAAAAAATAATCTACCATTGGAGGTACCATTCAAACTGGAATGGTGATTCCTTAAACTAATAAAGAAAAAAAGGGTTTTGATTTTAGTGGCAATAAAAATCTATTCTTTTTCTATTTGGTAAATTATTTTAATTTTCTAATTATTTTCTAATTTTATTTTTTTAAATATAGAATTTCTTTTAGATATTCAATATATTAATCAGATATGATAAATATCTGATAAGACCTTTAAGAGCATTAATTTACTATGCTAAAACAATGCTCATCCTTTGGTTTACATCAAGACTATTACCAGTAATAAAAAGATAAAATAAAATTTATAAAAATAATTAAAATTACTTTTTAAAAAATAAATAGAATGAATTTTATGTTACTTTTAGTTTAGTGACTCTGCTCTAGATAGTTTCATGTATATTATTAAATACATCTAGATTTGTTTCTAAAAATTTACCAAGAGCAGCTGCAATAGTTTTTACATTAGTGGTGATTTTAATATTGTATAAGCTATTTTGGTTTTTCCTTCCAGAATTATCAATAATTAACTACTCACAAGATAGACATTGGTCATTCCTTTACTTATTTGCTGTTTGCTTTGATATTGGGCTATTTTAATTGATATTTAATGGAATTTAGTATTTTTATACTAGAGATATTATCTAAAGGCCTCCAGTTACTTGGTCTAAATCTAAAAAAGCTGCTTCAAAAATATTTTATAATGATTCTATTGCTTCATGGTTAAAGTAATTTGTTTGATAATATTTTAAAAGTAGTTTTAATTGAAAATTTTATAAATAAAGGGAAAAATGATGAAGCACCTAAATATAATATAAATTTAAAAAATGTAAAATTGATTTTGATAAAAAGATAAAAGAGCTAATAATTTCTATATTTTTCAAAACTAAATTATGTAAACTCAATTATTAAAATTTAAATTTGTTAATAGTATTTTTTATAAAACTAAAAATATTTTAAAAATAAATAAATAAAAATAAAATTTATATTTAATTTATTGCTTTTATTTATAATTTATTTTACAATAACTCTTGCTTTTGGTATTGTAATAAAAATGATAAAAGACTTTTGTAGATTTTTAATAAGATATAAGCAGTTTAAATTTTAAGAAAGATAATATACTCTAATTTCTAAAATAAACACCAACTTATATTAAGACTAATTTTAGTAGAGAGTACTTTTATAATAAATCATTTTTTTATTTTTTTGCTTTTATCAAAAATTAAATAAAATTATTTAAGGTATTTTGAGGAAAGCTAAGTAAATAAATACATTAAGTTTTAAAATAGGATTAAATGGAATTTTAATTGATAAGAAAAGAAGAATAATTTGATAATTGAAGTGAAATCAAAAAGTATAAGAATTTTGTATAATGTAAATTCTAATGGTATTTCAAAGACTCTTTTGAAGGTAAATCTTATTTTAAATAAGGGAAATTGTGGTTATTTATTGAGCAAATCTAAATGATGTAATAAATTTCGAAATATTAAGAGACTTTATAAAAATTTAATATATTATACTTAACGCTTTTTAAAAAACTTAATATATAATGAATATATGGCTGCAATCAAAACTTTTAAAAAGTATTGATATCTCAATTTCAAACTTCTAAATTAAATTACTAGTTATAAATAATAATTGATTTTATAATATAAGAAATATTGTAAAGTATTTATAATAACTAAAAAAAATTAGTGTAGATTACTGATTAATAACTTCATAATAATAACAAACAAACAAACAAAGTAGAAAATTTAATAAATCACAAAATAGCGAATATCTAAAAAGGCAATTGAAATAATATCAAGTAAAGGTTAAAAATGAAATACTTTTTTCATCTAACTCTTATTTGGATCCTGTAATAGTTCATATATGTTTATTCAAGTAATTATTTTAAATTTAAATAAAATAATAATAACCTTTTAAATATTATTTTATCAGAAAATCTACTAATTGCTAGAGAATTTTTGAATAGTGGAGATCCTGTAGTTGGCTGGACATATACAAATAAAGAACAATGCCAAGGATAACTTATAGAAGCAAATAAAATGGTATATATGCTAAGTAGTAGTTAGAAATCTTCGTCAAAGACATACACTAATCTTCCAAATCATTATAGATTTGAAATTAGAATTGATTTTTTAGTAGTTGATAGTCCTTATGGACCTGTATCTTTCTAAGTTGATGGACAAACCTTAGCGTCATATAATTTTTATTCTCCTGGGTCAGCTTTGACTATTTGTGGAAATTAATCAACCAAAGATACATATGAAAGAGGTTATACATTAATAAATTTTTTATTTGCTTGCCATATTTTAACATACGTATTTATTAATAAGATAGTAGGTGATATTAATAATTAAGCAAGCTTAATTTAGATAGAAATTAAACAAATTTGATTTATAAAAATTTTTAAATTTCTATTTATTAAATATTGGATAAGTAAATTAACTTTTCTTTTTTATTTAGTTTAATATAAAAGACTTCATTCTTCTTCCTCCTTAACAGTTACTATAAATCATAACCTCGGTTCTGGTAGTAAGCTTGGTATTACAGATTTATAATTATACTTAGATACTTGTCATCCTTTTTGCAAGTCATGTAATGGACCAGATTAAAACAATTGCACTGGCTGTGCATCTGGCCAAACATTATCTGCTGGAACTTGCACATGTCCTGGATCATAGCTAATGTAAAATGGAAGTTGCGTATCAAGTTGTGCTCCACCTTAAATGGCTAGTGGAAATACATGTGTTGACGATCCTTGTTAAATAAATTGCTCTGCTTGTAGCGCAAGTGGACCTAGATAATGCACTAAATGCTCAGGTAGCAATAGATTATTTAATGGGAATTGCATCGCTTAGTGCCCTTCATTTACTGACAACATAAATGGTGTATGTATTGATATGCTTTAAAATTATTGGAGTAAATAATTATTTTTATTTATTTATTTAATTTTAGTTAAAAATGATATTTTATTTAAAAGATGGATACTATTTGTTCAAAGGTTTCTTTGAACCAGACTTCTCATCCATTTCATTTGAAAATTATGGATTTACTGCTAACTATTTTGATCCAAGTGGAATTGTACCTGATTCAGAAATGGCATTATACACTGATTGTTATGGGATTAGAGTTTATGCAGGATTTGGAATTTATGGAAAGAATGTGTAAATAAGTAACTAATGGCCTATACCATGGAAACATAGTTCTGTTTTAGTAAAAATGAAATACGTTTAAGTCGAGAATTATGAATTTAATGGAGGTGTACCAGAAAAATTGAGTATTAACTTAAATGATTAAGAGGAAGCTTTTTTAATAAATGGAGGTACAGATTTAGGTTGTGGTAGATTAGATTAAGGTGAAAGTATGGGATGGTTGACCGCTAATACCACTTAAACTGTATAAGATGGATTTTTGAAACTAACAATAACCAATAATTTTGGAGACCCTGCTTGGTATGAAGGGTATGCATTTAGAGAGCTAACTATTATAGTAGCAAAGGTATTATTTATTATATTAAATACAAGATATAATTTTTCCTGCATTTGAAATATCACCAACATTAATAATATCATGATTTGTGATATTTCAAATAATTAGAATATTAATTATAAATTTTTTTTCTTCTAAATCTTAATTATTTTCTTTCTTTATATTTAATTTTAAAATGTTTAAAAAAATTAATCAAAATACAGAAAACTTTTTTCAAATTTTAAGTGTAAAAAAATTCTTTTAGTAATTTTTTTATCTAAAATTTTGTAATTTTCTCGTTAGGGTAAATCTTTGATTTAATGAAAGTAAAATAGCCGATTAATAATTTATCATAATAATTTTTCTCTTTATTATTTAAAATATTTATTTTAGCTTTAATTTATCATAACTTCTATTATATTTGAAAAAAATTATTCACAATAATTAAACATAAATAAAATATTTTATCAATTTTTATTTTAAACTTATTCTAGTGTGTTGACAACTGTACAAAATGCACTGATTATGATGGCTGTATTTAATGTGATCCTGGATTTTACTTATACAGAGCTTAATGCTATGCAAATAAATGTCCAGATGGTTCATATTAAGACAAAACCAAATTACCTTTACTAGTTTGTGCTGATTGTGATAATACATGTTTGACATGTAGTGACTCTGGGCCTCTGAAATGTGTTACTTGTTCAACTCCTCCTCGTTTATTTAAATCAAATTAATGTGTTGTAGATTGTGGAAACTAATTTTATCCTGGAACAACTAAGTGTTTACCATGTGATTCCACTTGCTTTAATTGTTCTGGACCTTCAAGTAGTCAATGCACAAGTTGTTCATCTGGTAGATTTTATTTAGTTTCAACGCATTAGTGCCTTTTGAATTGTCCACCTGGATTTTACAATGATGCCTCTAAGAATGTTTGCTCTCCTTGTAATGCTTAATGCTATACCTGTCAAGGTCCTAGTGCTAATGAATGCCTTACTTGTGAACCTCCAAAAATGTTTCTTACTGTAAATTCTTGTGGCCCTGGATGTGCAGTAAATTTATTTTATAAAAATTTTATTTAATAAATATTTGAAATTTATTTTAGGCAGGATATTTTGGAAATACTGCAAATTAAGTTTGCACTCCCTGCTAGTCACCTTGTTAAACATGTGTAAATACTGCAACAAACTGTGTAACTTGTGTTACAAATTATTATCTTTAAAACGGTAATAAATGTTTAACTACCTGTAATAACAGATTCTTCCCTAACTCAGTAACAAATACATGTGATCCATGCAATGTTCTTTGTGTGAATTGCAATGGTCCTAATTCTAATTAATGCACATCTTGTGATGCAAATACTGGATTTTTATAAAATTCAACATGTGTTAGCTAATGTGCTATTGGTACTTATGGTGATACAAATACTTATACTTGCAAGCAATGTGATACATCTTGCTATGCTTGCTAAGCTCCTGGTGACAGTACAAGCTGCACAAAATGCTTTGCACCTAATTTTTTAAATAATCTTGGTTAGTGTAAGCCTACTTGCCCTAATTAGTTTTATGGTGATAAATCTAATTTGGTTTGTAAACCTTGTCACCCAACTTGCCTATAATGCACTGATGGTAACAGTACATCTTGCACTAAATGTGATGTTGGAAGATATTTAAGCAGTGGGCAGTGTTTGCTAAAGTGCCCTGATGGAACATACCCAGATAATGTAAATTAAATTTGTAACAATTGTTATTACACTTGTGCACAATGCACAGATAGCGTATCTACAGCTTGTGTGACGTGTTAAAATGGTAAATTAAAATTGGAGTTACATTTAGCAATTAATTGATAAATTTATTAAATAGGTAGGTTTTTTTATGGTGGTTCTTGTTTTTTGAAGTGTCCAGATGGATATTATAATGATATAATGAGTTTAAGCTGCAAAGTTTGTGATTCTACATGTAAAACTTGTGCTGGTCCTGGTAATAATATGTGTTTATCATGCAAATCAGGAAAATATTTAAATAATAATTTTTGTGTTCCTACTTGTCTTGATGGATACTACATGGATAATAATTCAAATTAATGCGAAATTTGCTATGCAACATGCAAAACTTGTTATGGTCCCCTTCCTGATAATTGTTAAACATGTGCAGGAAATAGGTAAATTTTATAGATAATAAGAGAATTTCTTTCACAAATAATTTTTTTAATTAAACTTTGTAAAAATTTACACTTTTTTTTTCAAACTATTAAATAAACATAATATTAATAACTTCTTTCATATAGATATTTAGATCCTATAAATTTAACATGTGTTTCATATTGTCCTTAATCTTTTTTTGCAGATTTGACGAATCACAAATGCATTTCTTGTGACCCATCTTGCCTCAATTGCTATGGAACTTTATCTGATTAATGCTCAGAATGCCCTAATGGTACATATTTATTAGATGGAAAATGCTATACTGTATGTAAGGCTGGTTATTTCCCTGTAACTCAACCTAATATATGTAGTCCATGCCATAAATCTTGTGGAACTTGTACAGGTGCTCTTGAAAATTAATGCTTTTCATGCAACAGTGGAAGATACCAACTCGGATATGTATGTCTAGAACAGTGTCCTGATAACTATTATGGTGAATCCACTTCTAATTAGTGTAAGTAATGTCACTCAAGTTGCTTCCTTTGCAACGGAGGAACAAATAGTAGCTGCACAAAATGTGTTATTGGTATGTATTTGTACAATGGAACTTGTGTTAAAATTTGCCCAACTGGTTATTTTGGATCAGACTTAAAAGGAAAGTGCTTGTAATGTGATCCAACTTGTGCTACTTGTGACAAGACAAATCCTAGCACATGCTTTTCGTGTATAAATAATTTTTACTTGTATTAAAGCAAATGTCTCTAGCAATGCCCAACAGGAACATTTGAAAGTACAGCAGTTGCATAATCATAAGATCCTTCATCTTCTTAATAAATAATAAACATTTGCAAGAATTGCTACTATGGATGTAAAACTTGCAATGGTATTTAGTTTTTTAAAATTGATTTTAAGTTACATTTTTTATTTTTAATCTATAAAATTTTAGGAGAACTTGATAAAAGCTGTTTAGTTTGGGACACAGTTGAAGTTTATTATTAAGAGTCCAAAATAATTTATTGGATTTTTGTTGGACAAAGCATTTATTCAACTTTTGCTTTCTTTTTTGGATTTTACAGAGATTACAAATGTAAATAATAGGAAGATATATTAGAATAAGCATATGAAGATAGAGAAGATGCTTAACCATTTAATGAAATTTCTTCTCCTGATAATAGATAGAGGGATAACTTAAATATAACAACAAATAATTCTCATATTCCAATGAAAAATAACTTCTAAAGAACATAAAGAAGAAAAAGACCTAACACAATAATATTGCAAGAACTAAACCCTTAAGAAAATAATTCACCTTAAATTACGTAGCAAAATACTCCATATAATAATGACGAAAACAAACATACTTTATATGATGATAAATCTTCAATTCATACAATATAACTTTAAAGCTAATCTTTTAGTAAAAATGACTCTAAATTAGTGAAAAATGGTACTTTAGGAACTAATTAGTTTGTTAGTTTTTACCAGAGTAATACAAATATACCTTCAATCAGAAAATTGTAGAGATAACCTACCATAGGAGGAACTGTTAAAACTGCAATGATTATCCCTTAAAATAAAAAGGAAAAAGAAGGTTTTGAAATAAGTGGCAATAAAAATTTGTTCTTTTTCTATTTAGTAAATAAAATTTAATTGTTTAAAATAATTTAATTTAATAATGTTTCATAAAATAAAGAATTTCTTTTAGATACTCAATATTCTAATCAGATATGATAAATATTTGATCAGACCTCTTAGAGCATTAATTTTCTATGCAAAAACAATGCTTATACTTTGGTTTACATCAAGACTAATGCCAGTAAAAACAAAAAAATATTTCATATTCAGTTAATTAATAATTTTTATAATTTAAATAGAATCAGCTTTATGTAGTTTTTAGTTTAGTTACTCTTCTTTAGATAATTTAATGTATATTATCTAGCTTTTCCAGATTTATTTCTAAAAACTTGCCTAGAGCAGCAGCAATACTTTTTACTTTGGTTGTCATTGTAATTATGTATAAGTTATTTTGGTTTTTCCTTCCTGAGCTATCAATAATTAACTACTCACAGGATAGAAATTGGTCTTTCCTTTACTTATATGCAATTAGTTTTGATTTAGGGTTATTTTAACTAATATTTAATGGAATTTAATATTTCTATACAAGGGATATAATTAAAAGACCTCCAATTACTTGGTCAAAATCCAAAAAGGCTGCATCAAAAATATTTTACAATGACTCAGTAGCTCAATGGTTGAAGTAATTATTATGTTTTTTTAATTTAAAATTCATTCTAAAAATATTTATAATTAAAAAAGGGAAAAATGAAAGAAAAAAGATGACAATGATTTGAGATAAATTTTATAATTATTCTTAATAGATACTCATATAAATTAGTTTTTCTTTGCTTGTATTAAAAATAACATTATATTTAATCGTAAAAATATTTTAAAATCTTTATTTTAATTTGTTAAAAATATTATTAAATAATTAAAAATTTAATTAAATTTTTATGTATCTTGATTAATTTGTTATTCTTCATAATAATTTAAATTGTAAAATATATGATAAATTTTACTTTATGATTAATTTTGAAATAATATGAAATAAATTATTTAGTGTTATTAAAAATTTAAATATTGAACTTCCTATATTTTATGTGGAAATGTAAGAAATATTATAAAAAAATTCATTTTTTTAAAACGGTAGAGTATAATTTTCACTCTTTATTTTGTTTAGTTTAATATTTTATATATTATTTAGCGCTCTAGTAATTTATCAGGTTTAATTTAAATTAGTGAATAAATAAATGTAGATTGAGTTTTCGTCTTTTTAATTAATTTTTATTTCTATATTTTTTTATATTGTGTTTTGTTATTTATCAGATTTATTTAATTAATTAGAAATATATTTCCTTTTACTTATATAGATAAATCAACTTTGAGCTAAATAAAATTATTATAAGATATTAAATATTTCAATAGTAGAAAAATATAAACTTAGTTTGAATATTCACTAATCAATAAATAAATTATAAATATATAGACACTAATTCTTTTTAAAGTTTATTTTATATTTTAGAAACAATTAAAAAAAATATATTTAATTCTCCATATAAATTGATTGATTTCATTAACCAATAAAATTTAGTATTGTTAAATAAAATTTGCTTTTCCCTCTCAAATTTTATTAGTTTCTCAAAATTAAATTTCAAAATGTAAGTAAAAATTTTTTTAGCTATCTTGAATGCAAGAATTTTGAATTTGGTATTCATTTTCTATTGATTCGAGTATTTACATATAAAAATTGAAATTATTTTGTTTTTATAAACTGTTTCAAGCAGGATTTAGCAATAATTTTTAATTATTTTATTTGTATTTACATCATTTTTATTTTTAGCTCCTTATTTTTTATCAGTTTTAATTTAAATTTGAAAAAGATATTTTCTTTTATTGATATTATAAATTATATAAATACAGAACTAAAAAATTTATTAAATTCTTCATATATATAGATAGATTGGATTCTAGCACAGTGTGACTGTGTAATGATTAAAATTTTATTCCAAAAATATTTTTAAAGATTTAAGTATTTAATTATTTGAATTTTTTAGATCAATACTAATTTTTGGTACCTATTATATTTACAAGTATAGAATTTGATTTACTACCAAAATTAAATAATAAATATTACAATTATCTAACCATTTTATTTTATCTTTTTCATGAAAGCAAATTTTTAATTGATATTTTATCAATAGAATTTATTAGCTCTTTTCATCCTAATAAACTTTAGTTAAAATTAAATAAATTTCTTATTATATTTATAATTAATTAAATTTGCATAAATAAATAAATATTCAATTTTCTTGAAAAAAAAAAGATAAATGATACAATTTAAATAATATTTCGACAATTTAGAAAATGTGATAATTTATTTTATTACGAATATTATATCATTTTTATTATTTAAAAAAGTTAATAAACTCTTCTCTTTAATCTCATACAGCTCTCCATATTAATCTTCGGTAAATTAATCTTTTTTTGTTTACCATTATTTATCTAATTTTTTAAAATATTGTTTTATAAATAAATGTTTTCATCTATCCTCAATTTTACTTAGAATAATTTACATTTTAATTATTTTAACTATTTTTTAATTTCAACTTTTGGTTATTTCTTATAACTTCATATTTTTTCTTTTTTTATATCTTACTCTCTAATTATATTTTCTTTAATTTTTAAAAGTTCAAGTAGTATTAATGATGAAGATGTGTTAAGATTAGGTTCTACTTTAACAAAATGCACTAATCTCTCAAATTTGACACTTAATCTCAAGTAAAAACAGTTTATTTGTTTTGGTTGTGATATTTTTTTCAAAATATAAATTTAAAACAATAAAAATATTTTAATTTATTTATTAGCTTTTTATTTGAATTTTTTTATATTCTGATATTATTTTTTAATTTTCAACTTTTATAATTATGAATTAGTTTTTTTTTATATTTTATTTTCATAGAAAATTATATATAATATGCGTACAAATGCGGTGGATTAAATTTTGTAAACAGCGCACATGTTAATTTTTGAAAAATTTGTAATAATTTTATAATTTTTTTAAATGGAATTCTTAAAAAAATCCTATAAATTAATAACTTTTTTAACTTTTAAAAATGGCTAAATATAACTTAACCTTAATATTTAAAGAATGATTGTAGATGGCTCCAACTGCAACTAATTTATGCACAATTTTAAGTGGCCAAGTTTGCGCTACTCATAATATATCTAATGTTTTTTTTGAATTATTTTCTATTTTATGATGATTATATTTTTTTACCCCTAAATATAACTCATTTTTTAATTTTCAATTTTCACTTTGATTACATTTATTTTTTATATTTTTATTTTTCTTAATTTTACCTTTAAATTTATTATTTTTTCTTCTATTTTTAAATAGTAACTGTTAAATTGGTACAATTGATGCTTCAGGCTTAGGTTCTGCTTTAGCAAAGTGTGTTAATCTCTCAAATTTGGATCTTGATCTTTTGTAAAACAGTTTATTTGTTTTGGATTATGATATTTTTTAATATAAAAATGAGTTAAAAATAATAAAATTCTTTTATATTATTTATTTAATTTTATTGTGTTTATACTTTTCTCTCTTAATTTAACTCAATTTTTAATTTTGAACTTATGTTTTATTATTTATTTATTGATTAATTGCATTTCATTTCATTTTTTTCACCATTTTTTCTTTCTAACTAAGCAACTATTTTAATTTCTTCAATATTTAAAAAGCTGGAATCGAATTGATAATGAAGGAGTATTAGGCTTATGTTCTAATTTGGCAAAGTGTACTAATCTCACAAATTTAACACTTAATCTAGGGTAAAAATAGTTAATTAGTCTTACTTGGATTCTGATTTTTGAAAAATGAATTTAAAATAATAAAAATCTTTTTATTTAGATCTTAATCTCATTTGTTTGCTTTTTTATTCTGACAATGCTTTTTTTTTTCTTCATTAATTTAACTCATTTTTTTAATTTTCAGCTTTTGATTAGATAAAAAACTATTCTTATTATTTCATATTTTTCTTAATTGTTACATAATTGTATTTTTTTCTGTGCTTAAAAAGTAAAAATGAAATTGATGATTATGGTGTACCAGGTTTAGGCTCTGCTTTAGCAAAGATAACTAATCTCTCAAATTTATCACTTCACCTTTGGTAAAAATAATTTATTTATTTTGTATTCTGATACTTTTTTATTGTGATTATACTTTTTTATTTTCTTACTCATTTTTTAATATTCAACTTTTATTTTGATTATTAATAATATTTTATCATTACACTGTTTTTCTTCATTTTTAGTTTTTAAAAACTTATTTTATTTTCATCAAATATAAAAAGTATGAATAAAATTGGTACCACTGGTGCCTCGTGCTTAGGTTCTAATTTAGCAAAGTGTACTAATCTCTTAAATTTGACACTTAATCTAGGGTAAAAAGAATTTATTTTATAAGCTATTTTTTTTAAAATGTGAGTTAAAAACAATGTTTTTTTTTTTCTTTTACTTATTTTTCTCTTAATTTTATTTGACTTAAAGTTTAAACTTTGATTTTACTTATTTGTTAATTTCATCATATTTCTTCATTTAATCCCTCAAAATAACTAATTATATTTACTTTATCTTTAAAAGTTGGAATAAAATCGATAATGTAGGTGTTTTAGGCTTAGGTTCTACTTTGGATTGCACAAATCTCTTAAATTTGACACTTATTCTTGAGTAAAAATCTTAAATTTATTTATTTAAAAAATTTTTAAATTAATTTTTTTTTCCCTTAATTTAAATAATTTTTTAATTTTCAACTTTTGCTTTTACTATTAATTTACTTCTTAAGATTTCATATTTTTTTCTTCATTTTTACCTTGCCACTAATTATATTTTCTAAATATTTAAATAGTTACAATAATATTGGCCCAAATGGATTATCAAGCTTAAGTTCTACTTTAGCAAACTTCAGTAATCTCTAAAATTTTACACTTATCCTTGAGTAAAAATAGTTTATGCTTTTAATTGAAATATGTATTTAATATAAAAATGAATTTAAAATATTATAAAAATCTTTTAATTAATTTATCATCTTTTTATTTATTTATTATTCTGATTTTTATTTTTCCCCTTATATTTAACTGTTTTTTTCTTTATAACTATTATTTTATATTTTTTATAATCTTTTCTTAACAGCTAACTAATTATATTTTTTTCTAATTTAATAAAGTAACAATTAAATTGGTGATGCTGGTGCATTAGCCTTACATTCTGCTTTAGCATACTCCACTAATCTTTAAAATTTGGCACTTAATCTTGAGTAAATACACTTTATTTGTTTTGGATTAATTTATTTTTTAATATAAAAGTGAATTTAAAACGATAAAATTCTTTTAATTTTATTTATTAGCCTATTATTTGATTTATTTACTTTTATATTTTGGTTGTTTTTTTCTCTCTCTTAATTTAACTCAATTTTTTATTTTTAGCTTTAATTTAAAAATTGATTAATTTCTTATAATTTAATTTTTTCCTTCTAACAAACTAATATTTTTTTTTAATTAAATAGTCAAAATGAAATTGGTTCAATAGGTGCATAGGCCTTATGTTCTGCTTTAGCAAAATGCGTTAATATCTCAAATTTGAAGCTTGGCCTTAAGTAAAAACAGTTTACTTGTTAAGGATTGTGAAATTATTTAATATAAAAATGAATTTAAAATAATTAACTTCTTTTTATTTTTTTACTTGATTTATTTGCATTTTTTCTTCAATTTTTCCTTGTAAATAACAAATTAAATTACATTATTTTCAACATTTAAAAAGGTATAATTAAATTGGTGCAATAGGTTAAAGTTTAGGTTATGCTTTAGAATAGTGCTCTAATCTCTCATATTTGACACTTAATATTGGGTAAAAAGAGTTTATATGTTTTTGATTATGATATTTTTTAGTATAAAAATGAATTTAAAACAATAAAACTCTTATTGTATTTTATTCTTTTTACAAATGTAAAAAATATAAATATTTATATTTTAAACATACTTTTTTTTACATTTCGGATTTAGGAAATCCGAATATCCGAAATCGGAGATAACTAGATTTTACAGTATATTATTACATATTCTCAAAGTATTTGAAAAAGTTGTATAAGAAATAATCAACTTTACAGACTATATATCATAATTTTCTTCATTATTTTTTTCTAAATAATTAATTATATTTTCTTCAAATTTTTAAAAGTGGTGATCAAATTGATGATAAAACTGTATTATGTTTAGGTTCTGCTTTAACAAAGTGTTATAATCTCACAAGTTTGTAACTTTTTCTTGAGTAAGCACAGCTTATTTGTTTTGGATTGTGATTTTTAATAATATAAAATGAACTTAAAACAATCAAAGCTTTTTTGTTGATTAATTTACTTTTTTTTTCTAATTTTACTTTTTTCTTTTAATTTAACTCATTTTTTATTTGTTTCTTATTATTTCATAATTTTGTTCATTTTTTTCTTCTATATAATTAATTTTATTTTTTTTAATATTTAAAAAGCTACAATAAAATTGGTGATGAATCAGTATCTGGCTTAGGTTCTTATTTAGCAAAGTGCACTAACCTATCAAGTTTGACACTTAATCTTGAGTAAAAACAGTTTAATATAAAAATGAATTTAAAATAATAAAACACTTTTAATTTATTTATTTATTAGCTTTTTATTTTTATTCTGATTATTCTTAACTCTTCACTAAATTTAAATCACTTTTTAATTTAAAACTTTTATTTATATTATTAATTAATTAATTTATTATAATTTCATATAATTTATAGATTATTAATAAAATAATTATGATTTAATAATATTTCTTCACTTTTTCCTTCAAAATAATTATATTTTCTTAAATTTTTAAAAAGTTATAATGAAATTAGTCATAATGGTGTATCATGCTTAAGTTATTCTTTAACAAAGTGTATCCGTCTCTAACATTTAGCACTTCATCTCAAGTAAAAGCAATTTTTTTTGGATTGAGATATTTTTTAATATAAAAATGAATTTAAAACAATAAAACTCTTTTAACTTTTTTATTCATTTATTAGCTTTTTATTTGATTTATTAACTTTTGTACTATGATAATTAATACCTTTTTATTCTCTAATGATTTTTTGTTTTTAACTATTTCTTTACATATTAATTAATTCCTAATTATTTCATATTTTCTTCTTTTTTACTTTTTATTAACTTATTATACTTTCTTAAATATTTAAAAAGTGGATATTCCATTGGTGAAAAAAGTGTATTAGACTTAGCTTCTACTTTAGTAAACTGCACTAAAATCCTAAGTTTGACACTTGATATTTGGTAAAAATAGTTTATTAGTTTTGAATTGGGATATTTTTAAATGTAAAAATGAATAAAAAAACAATAATAATCTTTTAATTTGTTATTTAATTAATTATTTATTTTCAGTATTCTTACTTTGATTTTAGGTTTTTTTTCTTAATTTAAAATATTATTTTTAATTTAAACTCTTTTAAAAAAATTATTTTAATTTTAATTTTGCACAAATTTATATAAATAGTCAAAATTAAACCAATCAATAACAATAATTGAAAATAAAGAACAGTTTTCTTAAATCTAAAAGTTTAATTGTCTTTGTCTTTTAAATGAATTAATGATAATAAATAAATGATGAAGATATGGAGAATAAATAATAAAAATATTTTAATAAAAGTATATTATATTATGTTTTATTTGATATTTTTTTTTATAAAATTTTGTGAATGAATAATTTAATCTATATTATTGTTAGCTCTATGATTATCTTTATCTAAAACAATATCATAATTTTGGCAAGTTTATTGATAATAAAATAAATAAAATGTTTAAAGTATCTTATTATCTTGAATTAATATTTCTTAACACTTCTTTAATTTATTTTTATGTAAACTTAAAAAAATCACCTAAAGCATCTATTACAATAATTTTGAAAATTAAATTATTTATGAGTCATTTTTTTAATATCTTTATTTTTTATAAATAGAATAAAAGACTTAAATAAAAATTACTTTTAATTAAATAATTGAAAAAAGTAAAGCATCATAAGTTATATTATTTGTTTGAAAAGATTTATGAAGTAGCTTATTGATTTAAATTGGATAAATGGCAGCTCCTTTAGCTTATTAATTTAGTATTAGCTTTCTAAAAAGATTTATGGTTCTCAAATTAAAAATAATACATTTTGGTAGTGGTAGAAATATAGTAAATTATTCCCATATATATTACCTAAATTATATTTGTGTGGGGTATTTTTAAAATATTAATTATAATATATTTTCCTATCAAGAATTATATGAAATATTAATTTCTTTTATTGGTTTTTAATTAGAAGGTAAAAAGTTTTGAAGAATAGAAGAAATAAAATTTAAAATGTATTTGGATTGAATAATAAAAGAAAATAAAATATTATACTAAAAATTTTAATAAATACACTCAAATCACAGAAATTGAGTTATTAAATAATAAAAGAAAATAAATTTCAATAAAAAACTCACGAAGAGGTTTTAATATAAAAGAAAAGACCTTTTAAGGAATAGCTGAAAGAATTAGATTAACAGAGGCAGCATAAAAAGAAATTGACGAAATAAAATTAATTTCTCACTCGAATCAATACACTTTAGAGTAGTTAAAAGAGTGGAGATTGTTAAAGAAAGAAGAGGAATTTTTCTGTGATGTAGAGATGTGTAGAGCTTACTATAAACCAATGAGTTGGTAATAAGATAATTAACCCCTTAAGTTGGGGATCCAAACTTTTAAGGGATGTTATCATATATTAGTCAAAAATATTATACATACATAATTTTTTTCCTGCTCTATAAATTCATATATTCGATGGTTCATAATTCCCTTTAATTAATAAGATTTCACTTATTTATTATTAGCAAAATTAAACGAGTTTTTTAGAAAATAATTCTATATTTTATCAAATATTTATATAAAAAAGATGAAGAAATAAAGATACTACTTGAAAGAGAATGATAGCAGCGATGAAGATAGATCTTATTCCGGATCAATTAATAACAGAATCAAATGATTCTAATTCTCATTTATCAGAAAATAGCCAATCTTCTCAGTCTGAAGATGATTTAGGAGAAGATAATGATTTCTCATGGTCTAAATATAACAGATAGAATAAATTAGGAATAATACACCATAAATTCAAGTAGACTAGTGGAGTTGATAAAAAAATGAACAAAATTAAAGAACCTACTGGTTCATTTTCTTTATTTATTGTGATGAATAGTATTATAATAGTTTTTGTGAAGAAACTCATAATTACTATTTGTAAAAAAAATAGAATCATAAGTAGATATTTTCTAACTGTGGCTCAAATGAAATTGGTCAAATAGTAAGAACAAAGAAATTATAACAATTTAAGTAAGTTGATTGCCCTTAAAGTATAATTCATTATTAAAAATATGCCAAAGGTGTGGACGGGACTTGATGGATTAAATAATTTCATATAACATATAACATATAAAATAGAAGGTCAAAAAATTGAAATTTAAAATATTACATAATTTACTTTTCATAAAAATATTTTATAGCTATATTATTTATATAGAAAAAACTAAAGAGAGGATAATATTACTAGAATATAATTAAAGGCTTATTTTCTCACTAATTGAGGAGTTATAAAATAATCAAAAATAATAAGAACTATTACCAATCGAATAAAGTTTATCTAAAGCACAAAGTAGAGAGATTGGTGAAGAATATTCATTATAAAAAGGATCTTTAAAAAAATGTTTTGTTTGTTATACAAAAAATTAAAGTAAAAAATCTAGTTTTTATTGTTAAAAGCATGAAATTAATGTATGCATTATTCCATGTTATAATTTACAAAGAAAAAGTGTATTTTTTTGAATAATTTTAAATATTCATTCTCTAATCTTTCCAAATCTAAAGATTTTTGACTCTATAATATTTTCCCTGCTTTTAATTATATGGAAAATGTACTTTTTGACAATAAATAGTTAATATTAGATCAAATAAAAAATATATCACCACACTGTTTCTCTAATTTTAAAAAAAATAAGATCCGAAATAAATTGTATATCTAATAACTATATAATAAAAGAGACTCCAGATTTAAAACTATAGGTACTCAAAGAAAAGAATAGATCATTCATTAGTTCTTTAGAGTAAATATAGAAACAAATCCTGGATATAAAAGCTTGAAAATTCATGTATACACAGATGGTCATAGTTTATATCCTAAAAAATCTACTCTTGGATATGATCATATAGTTTTTTTTGCATGATTACGGTTTGTTTTGGAAGGAAGGTTAAACAACCAATCATATTTCAGAATTTATCTCATTTTTATATTTTAAAATAAATAAAAAATTCTTAAAGCAACTACTTTACTTTTGATAATTAGCTGTTATCATGTATTAATATTATTTTTATATGAATTTATTATTTAAATAGAATTCATAATAATATTTTTTATTGATAAAGCTCTGTTTTAAAGGTAATATATTTTTTATAAAACTAAGTTTTGAATTTTTACTAAACTAAAGGGTTAAAAAATAGCTCTAAATCTATGGGTAAATACCATATAAGGCCTAACGAGGTTAAACCATATCTATATATAGAAAAGAACTCTCACTATTCTAGAATATTTATTTTGCCAATATGAAATATATTTTTACAAGAATAATGTATTTTTTTATAAACTAAAAGAAAATTTAAAAGTCATAAAAAAAAGTTTTGAAAAAGTTTATTATCAATGAAGTATTAATTTAGTTTACTGAATAATAAACTTGATTATTATATTTTATATTTTTATAAGAAAATCTAGTATCTAGTATTTAATGCTCAGTTTTAAAGCAATTTTTAATAATATTAATCCAAATTTTTAGCTTGAATTAAGGTGTAAATAATTTAATCTAGTTAAAGAGGTACTAATTTTTGAAAAATTATTTATATAACTGACTGTAAATTTAAAAAATAATTTGATACAATTTGATTTAATACATTTCTACAGTATCTATCCATCCATCTATCTATCTATCTATCTATCTATCTATCTATCTATCTATCTATCTATCTATCTATCTATCTATCTATCTATCTATCTATCTTTCTATCTATCTATCTATCTATCTATCTATCTATTGATCGATAGATCGATCGATCTATATTTTTTAATATTTTGAGCTTAGAAAATATTATTTTTAATTTCTAGCTTAAACCTTTAAATTAAATTTTAGGATCTTATATTAAAAAAAGGGTCTTAAATTAGTAACTGGTTAGTGAGCTTATAAAGATATTTTACATTATTATTCTTTTAAAACAAAACTAAATATTAGAATAAAAAAGATTTTAAGTTTCTGATTTTACTATTATCAAATTATATTAAAAATGGATATAAAATTATATCTTCTAAGTGAAAAGCTGATTAAAATGTAGGAACAGTAATTTATAATATATAATGGATATATTTTAACTATTTTTAGATGGTTTTTATTATTAATTTAACAAAATTAATATTTAAAATTAATTTATTTTTTTAAATAAAAATATGAAATAAAAGTTATATTATGATAATGACAACAATTTTTCCATATGTTATGAATTATTAACTTGATATTCATATAAATACATTAAATGTTTTAAATTAAACTATTTATAATTTATTGATTTTATTTAATTTGATTTATTGAAAACAAATTTTTTTGAATAAATATCTTTCCTTGTTGCAAAAATATAAATTTGTGGAAAAACCAAAATTTTTAATGATTAATAAATTATGTTTCTCAATATTAATCATATATCATCATAATCAATTATTTGTAGTTTAAAATTGAGTGAATTTATGTTGTGTAATACTTTTGAAGAATTTGATAGAACAAATTGTAAAATTTAAGAGATTTTATTATCTCAATTTTTATGTAATTTTAGGCCAATAAATAGATTGTGACAAACATTTTGAATTGTATTTTAACCACAATTTAATATAATATTTATTAATATGGGTAATTAAGCAAAAATTAATAGGGAGGAAAAAAATTTTGGTTAAAAAGAAGAAATAATTAATACAAAATAAGCTTATGCTTTACTGAGCAAATATTTTAAAGTAAAAAAAAAGTAAAAAAATTGATTATTAAAAGAAAATAAGTATTTTTTTAAAAGTAAATTAAAATTTTTAAAGAACAACTGAAAGATGAAATAATTATTTTATTTACCTTTGATACTTGTTCTCTAATAGATAGTATAAGTCTATTCTAGTAATAATTCTACTTAATTAGCTAAATTTTCGAATTCTTACAATATTTTTTATCAGAAAACATGCTATTTGCAAGAGAGTTTTTGAATAGTGGTGACACAGTAACTGGTTGGACCTATACTAATAAAGTACAATGTCAAGGATAACTGATTGAAGCAAATAAAATGGTATATATGCTAAGTAGTAGTTAGAAAACATCTTCAAAGACCTATACAAATCTTCCAAGCCATTATAGATTTGAAATTAGAATAGATTTTTTAGTCGTTGACAACCCTAATGGATCTGTTACCTTCTAAGCTGATGGATCAAATTTAGCATCATATAATTTTAACTCACCTGGATCGGATTTAGCAATATGTGGTGATGCATCAACTTAAGATATATTCGAAAGAGGTATAAAAGTTTACATTTAAAAATTTATATAAAAAAAAGCCAAGGTTAGTAAGTAAGTAAATAGATATTAATAAAATTTAATTAAATATCTGTAAATAAAAAATAGATAAAATATGTTTATTTTTTTTTTATGAATAAATTATTTAATAAATTTATGGTATTACTATTTATGTTTATTCATTTTTTAATCATTTCTTATATTTTAATAAATTTGCACATATATAAAGTTTAATATAAACGGACTCATACTTCTTCTACTTTAACGGTAACTCTTAAAAATAACCTTGGTTCTGGCAGCATGCTTGGTATTACAGATTTATAAATATTCTTAGATACTTGTCATCCTTTTTGCCAAACATGCAATGGACCAGATTCAAATAATTGTACTGGTTGCGCTTCTGGTCAAACATTATCTGCTGGAACTTGCACATGTCCTGCATCTTAACTAATGTAAAATGGAAGCTGCGTATCAAGTTGTGCCCCACCTTAAATGGCTAATGGAAGTATATGTGTTGATGATCCTTGCTAAATAAATTGTTCTGTTTGCAGCTCAAATACACCGAGATAATGTACTAAATGTACAGGGAGTAATAGATTATTTAATGGTAATTGCATCGCTTAATGTCCTTCATTCACTGATAATATTAATGGTGTGTGTGTTGACATGATTTCAAATTATTGGAGTAAATTGTGTTTTTTTATTATTTAGAATAAAAAATTTAATATTTACTTTTTTTAATAGATGGATACTATCTATTCAAAGGATTTTTCGAATCTGATTTCTCTTCTATATCATTTGAAAATTATGGATTTACTGCTAACTATTTTGATCCATATAGTTTAGTACCTTAATCAGATATGGCTTAGTATTCCGATTGTTACGGGATTCGAGTTTATGCAGGGTTTGGAATTTATGGTAAAAGTGTAGTAATCAGCAACTAATGGCCAATACCATGGAAGCATAGTTCTGTTTTGGTAAAAATGAAATATGTTTAAGTAGAAAATTATGAAATGAATGGAGGAGTGCCAGAAAAGTTGAGTATTAACTTAAATAATTAAGAACAGGCGTTTTTAGTAAATGGAGGTACAGATTTAGGTTGTGGAAGATTAGATTAAGGTGAAAGTATTGGATGGTTGTCTGCCAATACAACTAAAACTGTGTAAGATGGATTTTTAAAATTAACAATAACAAACAATTTTGGAGATCCTGCTTGGTATGAAGGATATGCGTTTAGAGAACTAATGATTTTAGTATCAAAAGTAAAATTTTTTAATTATTTACATAAATTAATTTAAAAATTTTTTGTTTTTTTATTTTATATTTTTTATATAAAATTTTAGTGTGTAGATAATTGCACTAAATGTACTGATTATGATGGCTGTATTTAATGTGATCCTAATTATTACTTGTACAGAGCATAGTGCTATTTAAATAAATGTCCAGATGGTTCATATTAAGACAAAACTAAATTACCTTTACTTGTTTGTGCTGATTGTGATAATACGTGTTTGACGTGTAGTGATGCTGGTCCTCTGAAATGTGTTACTTGTTCAACTCCTCCTCGTTTATTTAAATAAAATTAATGTGTTGTAGATTGTGGGGACTAATTTTATCCTGGAACAACTAGCTGTCTTCCATGCGATACTACCTGCTTTGATTGTTCGGGACCTTCAAGTAGCCAATGCACAAGCTGCTCATCTGGTAGATTTTATTTAGTTTCAACACATTAGTGCCTTTTAAATTGCCCACCTGGATTTTATAATGATGCCTCTAAGAATGTGTGCTCTCCTTGTAATGCTTAATGCTATACCTGTCAAGGCCCTAGTGCTAATGAATGCCTTACTTGTGAACCTCCTAAAATGTTTCTTACTGTAAATTCTTGTGGCCCAGGATGTGCAGTAAATTTATATTATAAAAATTTTATTTAATAAAAATTTGTAATTTATTTTAGGCAGGATATTTTGGAAATACTGCAAATTAAGTTTGCACACCCTGCTAATCACCCTGTTAAACATGTGTTAACACAGCAACAAATTGTGTTACTTGTGTAACAAATTACTATCTTTAAAATGGTAATTAATGCTTGACTACTTGTAGCAACAGATTTTTCCCAAATTCAATAACAAATACATGTGATCCATGCAATATGCTCTGTGTAAATTGCAATGGTCCTAATTCTAATTAATGCACATCTTGTGATGCAAATACTGGATTTTTATAAAATTCAACATGTGTTAGCTAATGTGCTATTGGTACTTATGGTGATACAAATACTTATACTTGCAAGCAATGTGATACATCTTGTTATGCTTGCTAAGCTCCTGGCGACAGTACAAGCTGCACAAAATGCTTTGCACCTAATTTTTTAAATAATCTTGGTTAATGTAAGCCTACTTGCCCTAATTAGTTTTATGGTGATAAATCTAATTTAGTTTGTAAACCTTGTCACCCAACTTGCCTATAATGCACTGATGGTAACAGTACATCTTGCATTAAATGTGATGTAGGAAGATATTTAAGTAGTGGGCAGTGTTTGTTAAAGTGTCCTGATGGAACATATCCAGATAATGTAAATTAAATTTGTAACAATTGTTATTACACTTGTGCCTAATGCTCTGATAGTGTATCTACAGCTTGTGTGACATGTTAAAATGGTAAGTTAAAGAAAGAAAATTAATTAAATTATTGAAATATATTTGTAAAAATAATAGGTAGGTTTTTTTATGGTGGTTCTTGCTTTTTAAAGTGCCCAGATGGATATTATAATGATATATTAAGTTTAAGCTGTAAACCTTGTGACTCAACATGCAAAACATGTGCAGGTCCAGGTAATAATATGTGTCTATCATGTGGATCTGGAAAATACTTGAACAATAATTTATGTGTTCCTACTTGTCTTGATGGATACTATATGGATAATAACTCCAATTAATGTGAAATTTGCTAAGCAACATGTAAAACATGTTATGGACCTATGCCAGATAATTGTTAAACTTGCGCAGGAAACAGGTAAATTCTTTTTTATTTAGGTAGAGTAATTTCTAAAAAAATTTAAATAATTTTTCAAAATAAATTTTTGGTTAGAATTAATCATTTTTTTAGGCAACATAGCCGAATTTTGATTTATTTCCCCCTTTAATTTAATTTATAATTAATATTTAAATATAGATATTTAGATCCCATAGATTTGACATGCGTTTCATACTGCCCTCAATCATTTTATGCAGATTTAACTAATCACAAATGCATTGCTTGCGACTCATCTTGTCTCAATTGTTATGGGACATTACCTAATTAATGTACAGATTGTCCGAATGGTACGTATTTATTAAATGGTTAATGCTATTCTACTTGCAAGGCTGGTTATTTCCCCGTAACTTAACCTAATATATGTAGCCCTTGTCATAAATCTTGTGGAACTTGCACTGGTGCACTCGAGAATTAGTGCTTCTCTTGTAGCAATGGGAGATATTAACTAGGATATATTTGTCTAGAAATATGTCCTGATAATTATTATGGTGATCCTACTTCTAATTAATGTAAATAATGTGACCCAAATTGCTTCCTTTGCAACGGAGGAACAAACAGTAGTTGCACAAAATGTGTTATTGGTATGTATTTATACAATGGTACATGTGTTAAAATTTGTCCAACTGGATATTTTGGATCAGATTTAAAAGGATAATGTTTATAATGTGACCCAACTTGTGCTACATGTGACAAGACAAATCCTAGTACATGCTTTTCTTGTATAAATAATTTTTATTTATATCAAGGAACATGTCTGAAGCAGTGTCCCGACGGAACATTTGAAAGCACAGCAATTGCATAATCATAAGATTCTTCGTCTTCTTAACAGGTCATAAAAATTTGTAAAAACTGTTACTATGGATGTAAACTTTGCAATGGTAATTATAATTATTTTATTATTAAATAAAATTAATTATTAATTAAATTTTTTGAAGGTGAAACTGATATAAGCTGCTAAGTTTGGGATTCAGTTGAAGTTTATCATCAAGAATCAAAAATAATTTATTGGATTTTTGTAGGATAAAGCATTTATTCAACGATAGCTTTCTTTTTTGGATTCTATAGAGATTATAAACGCAAGCAATTAGAAGATATATTAACAGAAGCATAAGAAGATAAAGAAGATGAGAGACATTTGAATGAAACTCCATCTCCTGAAAATATTCATAGAGAGAATAATATTACAACAAATAATTCCCATATGCCAATGAAAAATAGCTTTTAAAAATCATAAATAAGAAGAAAAAGACCAAATACAATAATCATGCAAGAAATATCTCCTAAAGATAATAATTCACCTTAAAATACACATCAAAACACTTAAATTCATAAAGATGATAACAAGCACACTTAATATGACGATAAATCTTCAATTCATACACTACAAATTTAGAACTCACCTCGCTCTAGAAAGGATTCTAATTTGATTAGAAATAGTACTTTAGGACAAAATTAGTTAGTTAGTTTCTACTAAAGTAATACAAATATACCTTCAATTAGAAAATTAAAAAAGAAATCCACAATTGCAGGAACTATTCAAACTGCTATGATAATTCCTACTGCTAAGAAAGATAATGAGGGTTTTGAATTTAGTGGCAATAAAAATTTATTCTTTTTCTACTTGGTAAATAAATTTAAATGATTTAAAATAAATTAAATTAATAATATATTTAAAGAATTTCTTCCAGATACTCAATATCATAATCAGATATGATAGATATTTGATTAGGCCACTTAGAGCATTAATTTTCTATGCAAAGACGATGCTTATTTTATGGTTTACATCAAGACTCATGCCTGTAAAATTTTTGTTAGTAAAATTTAATTTAAAAAATTTTTCAATATTTAATAGAATCAGCTTTATGTAGTTTTTAGCTTAGTTACTCTCTTGTAAATAGTTTCATGTGTACTATCTAGTGCTTCAAGATATATCTCTAAATATTTACCAAGAGCAGCAGCAATAGTTTTTACTTTGGTTGTCATTTTAATTATGTATAAGTTATTTTGGTTTTTCCTACCTGAGTTATCAGCAATAAACTATTCACAAGATAGGAATTGGTCGTTCCTTTACTTATATGCTATTTGCTTTGACATAGGGTTATTTTAATTAATATTTAATGGTATTTAGTATTTCTATACAAGAGATATAATCTAAAGACCTCCAGTTACTTGGTCAAAATCCAAAAAAGCTGCATCAAAAATATTTTACAATGACTCAGTAGCTTCATGGTTAAAGTAAATTAATACATTCTTTTATTTAAATATATTTTTTCTAAAAAAAATATTTAAAAAAGGGAAAAATGAAACAAGGACAAAATCAAGAATATTTTAGATTAAATGAATAAATAAATAAATAAATGAATGAATAAGACTATAAAATATATCGAATAACTTGTTTGTTTTACATATTGATAATTATTTTATATTGTTCAGAAATGGAATTTAAAAAAATAAAAATTTAATTAATTTTTTAGATTTAAAAATGAAAATATAAATTAAAATAATAAAATTAGCATGTATGAATAATTAAAAAATTAACATAAATTAATTAAAAATTTGAACAATCCAAGATAACTCTTTTATTTTCAACAAAAAATAAATTATCATGAAATAGAATTAAAAATAAATTAGAATAATAAGTAACAAACAATTAGAGTTAAAAGTGTAAATTAAATATTAAGAAATCTAAATTGTGAACTACATTATATATTTCATATAGGTATAAGAATAAGTAATTTTATTATTTTTTATGAATAAATTCAATTTTTTATATATCAAGCTTGCTTTGATAAATATTAGAACCACTTGTGGAGATTAGGATAAGATACATTATCAATGTGAGAGCTCTTAAGGCTTTCATAAACTTCTTTATCTCTAGCACCTAAAGCAAAACCATCTCCTTCTAAGAACATCTTGGTCTTTAATTCTTCTTCAAGAGCAGCATGTTAAGGATTACCCTATATTTTATTTTTATTTAAATATAAATATGATGGAGATTTTAATTACATTAATGTGTTGGATTCTTTCCATAAGCTTGACTTCAGCTGAAGATTTGTGGGGTTCTTAGGATTAGAAGAGAGCAAAGAGTTAGTGAATAGTGAATTTACCCTAAAATAAACAAAAAAATATTTTTAAATATTAAATTAAAATGGGAAAAAGAAATAAATTACCATTCTTTCTTGATCCTTGGTGGTATCTCTGGCTCTTAAATCAACATAGCCTCCTCTCTTTTCTTCTTCACCAACAACAGCAATGTAGTTATATTGTTCTAATTGAGCGTTTCTAACCTTCTTTTGGATGGTGCTTTCAGAAAGGTCGACAGCAACCTTGTAACCTTCAACTTTCAAACGATCAGCAACATCTTGGGCGAAATCGTTAACCTTAGCAGTAATAGGGCAGATAATTAATTGCTTGGGAGATAACCAGAAAGGCCACTTACCAGCAGTTTATTCACACAAAATAGCCAAGAATCTTTCGAAAGAACCGATGACAGCTCTGTGCAAGATAACAGGTCTTTAGAAACCAAGCTTCAAGTGATGAGGAGCAACAACGTATTTCTTTTCTATAAAATTGGTTAAATTTAGTTTGTTAAAATTTTGTTAACTATAAATTTTAAATACCAGAAGCTTAGGATTAAGCTGAGGAGTCAGTGGATTTCTTTGACTTCTTGTGAGAAAGAGAGTCAGCAGATTCACCTTCAGAAATTTGTTATTCTAATTTTTTCTTTTCTTCTTATGAAAGAGGAACGCTTTCTTCAGTAGATTCTTGTTTCTTTCTTTACTTTTCAATGTCATCCTTGTTTTCAGGGGCTCTGTATTAGAGGTTAAATCTGATAGGTAAGTTGAAATCTAATTGAATGGTTCCGCATTAGTGACCTCTGTCAAAGGCATCATATAATTAGATATCAATTTTAGGACCATAGAAAGCACCATCCTTGGCCTTAATAGCCCAGGGTTTTCCAAAAGCTTCAAGACCTTTCTTAAGAGCATTTTCAGCTTAATCCCACATTTCGATTTCACCAATATAGTTATCAGGTCTGGTGGAGAGAGCAAGGCTGTACTTGAAACCAAATAAGCTGTACATGTAATCGATAAAATCTAAAGCATTCTTGATTTCTTCCTAAAATTTTTGATAAAAAAAAATATTTTTTATTTTTTGTTTTATCAAGTAAGTTTAATTCAATATTTACCATAATTTGATCCATAGTACAGAAGATGTGAGCATCATCTTGTTAGAAACGTCTAACTCTGGTGAGACCAGAGAGGGCACCGTGGACTTCGTTTCTGTGAAGGACACCAAAGTCAGCATATCTCAAGGGAAGATCTCTGTAAGATCTTTGAATAGAATCGAACATAAGACAGTGAGCAGGACAGTTCATAGGCTTGAATCCGTGTTCTTCATTATCATTCTTGAGAAGGAACATATTTTCTTTATACTTGTCCCAATGACCAGAGATTTTCCAAAGTTAGGCATCGAAGAGGTTAGGAGTAATAACCTCAGAGTATCCTCTAATTTTGTATTATTTACGTAAGACTTCCATCAACTTGTTGTAGATGTGAGCACCATTAGGATAGAAGAAAGCACAACCAGGAGAGAATTGGTGGAAAGTGAACAATTCTTATTGCTTACCGATATTTCTGTGATCTCTCTTAGCAAGTTCTTCTTGTCTTAAGACGTGAGCATCGAGTTCTTTCTTTGAAGGGAAAGCAATACCATAAACTCTTTGTAAACCATCGTTAGTGTTCTTACCGAGCCAGTAAGCAGCAGAGTTCTTTTCAACCTTAAAGGCCTTAACATAACCAGTGTGGGGTAAGTGAGGACCAGTACATAAATCGATCAACTTACCACACTTGTAAGCAGTGGTGATAGCGTTATCAGGAATCTTGTTGGTGATCAATTAAACCTTGAAGGGGTTATGCTTGAATAATTCTAAAGCTTACTTCTTGGTTAAAATAACTCTTTAGAAGGGTTGCTTTTCAGAAGCTACCTTAGCGAAGGTCTTTTCGATTTCAGCAAAGTTATCTTGGGAAATCTTTTCGTTACCCATGTAAGAATCATAGAAGAAACCATTAGCCAAAGGAGGTCCAATACATAAGTGAACACCGTAATTTAATTCTAAAGCTTGACCTAACATGTGAGCAGAGCTGTGCCAGAAAACCTTTCAAATAATTAAAAGAAAATTTAAAAAGAAGAAAAGGAGAATTTTTAGAAAATAAGATGTAAAAATCTATAATAAGTATTAAGTGAGTGACGTAGCATCTGTTAAAAATTAAAGAGTGATGCAAAATTTAGGTTAAAGATGCAAAAAAATTAAAAGATATTTTCAAAGAAAGAAAGCTTTGAAGTTATTAAAACGCCCTTTTCACTAATTTGAATTAAAATATTTTACTTGGGATTTACGAAAATATATTTTGTTTACATTATTTTTTGTTAAATTCAAAGAAACAAACCCATTTAGATTAAAATTATTAAAAGAGAATAAAAGTCAAATTAATAAGCATCTTTTGAAATCATTTAAGGATTGTATTAATTATTAATTTTTGGTTTATTTTTTTAAATTAATAACATTCTGTTGTAGATGTTTGTTTGTTTGTTTATTTATCTGAGTTAAATAAATTTTTTTTTTGTCTAAACTAAAATTATTTTTTTTATTGAACTAAACTGGTTCAACTAGGAAAGGCCAGCTTTCGGGCATATTTATAAATGCTATTATTAAATAATTTCTTATATTTTTGTTTATTTTATTTGCTTTTTGTGTCTTTCAAAAATACTAATTTAGAATGGAGAAAAAGTGTCTAAATTGTTTTCAAAAATAATGTTTGTTTGTATTACTTCTCTTCCTTCTTGGCATTCGAAGTCGATGAGCTCAAGAGTACAGTCACCTTCGAGAGGTCTTTCAAGATCGTAAACTTCAAACTTTTATTCGCCGTGGCCACCGCAGCAATCTCCACCTTCTTCAGCTACTTCTTCAGCTTCAGCATCAACGTATTCACCAATCTTGGTCAATTCACTTTCGTATTTCTTGCTGTAGACAATCTTTGCACCTACAAACTTTTCAGGGACCTTCTTGAAGATTGACTTTGCAATATGGGAAGGAGTAGTTTCAAAAGCCTTACCAGGAATAGTCTTGCCATCCTTAAGAGTGACGGTAATTTCAGGCTTTTCGGCCTTGGCAAGAATTTATTGCTATTCAGCATAGATGGCATCGAAGTACTTAAGTCTTTCGTCAAGGAAGGCAGGGTTTTATTGCTTAACGAATTCGCCACCAATCTTACCTTGGTTAGGCTCTTAAATGCTACCTTCAGTGAATTTGGTTTTAGTTCCTAAGTCAGTCATGATTCTATTTGCTACTTAATGACAATGTTCTATTTTTTCTTCTAAGAAGTTATTTTCTAAATTATTTTGCTGATGAAAAAAGTTCTATGAATTAAACGATAATTTAGCTAGTTTTCTGGTACTCGTAAAATATCTTGCGGATTAAGGTCTCCTTAAGTAATAGTTTGCAATTTATTTAATTAACATTATTTAAATATGTATTTGATAGCGTATCTTCTTCCCCAGATATAAATGTGTAGTCTATATTACTATTCTTATTACGCAGCTTATATTTTAATTAGAAATATATAAAAAAAGATGAGATTGATTACAATTGTAAAGTAGCTTTTGACGGATTTCATCATTCTAAAATAAAGATAAAACTAATGGTTATCTACTAATTACTCTATTCTATTTGGGATATTTCGTATTTTGAATGGGAGTTATCTACTAAGATATTATATTTATTTTAATTACAATCGCACTATTTAGTTAGTAGACATTATAACGACTAACTCTTTTAATATATAATTATATTTATTTATTTTATAGCTAGTTAGTTATTTGTTAGATTGATTGATTTATTGTTTTCCCACCTCAATCTATTAACTTGCTTATGTATTAAAAAATTTCAATACTGATAACATTAATAACTTTGAATTAGTTTATTATTTCTTCACAATCAAAAAATTACATCCCAAAAAATCTTTTATTCCTCACACGATTTTTGAAAATTTAAAATAGAAAATTTGGCATAATACAGTTAAGACCACATTTAAAAGCCTTGAAATGCGCTAATAAAAATTATAAAATTTCTGAAGAATTCTTATACCCTGCTAATCTTCTTCAAGTTTTTAAAGAAAATACTGATAGGTTCAATTTATTAAATCTTTCTTCTTTACTTTTTTCCTTTGTTTTAAATATAATTTGCTTAGAAATATTAATTAATTTTCTTATTTGTGGTTGTCTAATATATTTAATTTTTGTTAGCAATTGTTTATGATTTAATCATGCAAGAAATTTCTAGATTGAATTTAGAGGGAAATGAATAAATGTACGATGTTATCTAACTAAATAGAACATTACTATTACAAAAAATACAATTATAGTCAATATTATTTTATATTTTAAAATATATATTAAAATTAAATTTTATCATTTAGAGTTTCTAATTCTCTTGGAGAGCATTTGCATTTTAATGATTTTAATTATCAAAATCAAAACAAGATATCATTTGAAATAATCCATCAAACCTCAAACTTATAATTCTTCTACCCCAATTTTCAATTCCAATATTCTTACTTTTTGCCAAAAAGCTGCTTTATCATGTAAAAATCTGTAAAAAAAATGACTGTTTAAAATATTTGATATTTTTAACAAAGCTATTAAATAATTTAAACTTGATATTATTTAAGATAATTGCAATATAATAATTTATTTTTGAATATTTTAAATTTTAAGCAAATCAAATTTCTAAAATATGATTTGAGCTGGAAAATAATTAAAATTGTAGATTTAAGTTAAAACAAAACTAAAAATTTTGGAAAAATAAAAAAAAATTAATTTGATTAAAGGAAAAATAAAATAATTTTAAAACATATTTTAAAAACAATTTGAAAAAATTATTTTGCTATTTATATTTAATTGTTTGGCTTTTATTTAAGTCAGTTGAATATTTGATTTCATAAAGTTAGTTAAAATTTTTGTATTGAATTATTTATTTATTTCTTTTCAGTTTTTTTTAAGAAATAATTAATGGCCACCTACATTTGATTTGTTTGAGTTATAAATTGAGAGTGAGCAAAAAAATCAAAGCAAAAAATAATTAATTTTTTATTAATTCAATGTTTCCCTTTTGAAAAATCAAGATTTAATTTAAGATTTCAATAATTTAAAAAAAAAAACATTACAATTGAAAAATCTCTAAAAAGCTATTTATTTATTTACTTGTTTATTGATTGTCTTTATTCAGAAAATTTAATTTAATATTATATTATCAAAAGAAGTAGTTTTGAATTTAGTATACAATCAATAAACAATATCTCAATTATAATCATAAAATAAGGGCAAGTACAAAATTTGAATCTAAACAAGAAAGAAGTTTAAAAAGTAATTTCTTTTGTTATCTAGGTATTCATTAGTTAAAGAAGGCATTTTATTTATAAATATTTATGAAACATGTATGAAGTTGATTATTAACTTATAATTTTTGTTATTAACTAAAGGATAGCAGCTCGAGTTGATCATTTGAAAATAAGGAAAAATGGAATACAACAAGCAATTGTAAATATTTGCTTTATAATTTATAAATGCTTTATCATGAAAAAAAAGATAGTTATGGTTTTTATGCATAGATTTAGCATTATAAATAATTTAAATCTTGAAAAGTATAAATTGATTTTTTATATGAATGTAGGATAAATATTAAAAATGAAGACAACAATAACTTATTGTCTTAAATGGATTAATAACAAATGTCCAATAATAGCAGTTAGAACTAACAGTACTACAATTAAGAATCAAGTCCGAATTAATAGGTGGATTAAGCTAATTTTTATCAGCTGAGTCTTTAAAATGATATTCCTTAAGTAATTTAATTTAGTTTAATCAAGCTTTGATAATTTGATTAACATTCGTCATAGAGTAATATCTTATCTGTTTTTAATGAAGTTAAAGGATTAGCTGAATTAGTTAGAGTAGCAGATGAGAGAGCAGGAAGAAAATCACAGGTAAATTATTCCAATTTAATGAAAATGATATTAAAAAATAATATTTAAAATATAAAGACAATAAATTATGCATCTTGAGACAATAGGAATGATGACCAAGTATCAGTTGGTGTTTATAAAATTAGAATCTTCATTAAATAAACTCGCTAATTTAGTAAATATGAGGTATTAAATATAATTATTATACTATTATTTATTTAAATTTAAATGTTTTTAAAAGATAAACTACTTTTAAGACTCTCGCATTTAGATAGCTTCAAATAGCCTTATAAAATAAAAAAGTGAACAATAATCACCAAGCAAAATTAATATATTTTGTAATGGAAAAAAGAACAACGAGACTGAACAATATATTATAAAAAGTAGTTACTCAAAATATGTTTAATAGTTTTTAGAAAATAATGCTAGTATCTAGGCTTAAAAATTATGATAACAAATTGAAAATTGAGCATGAAAAGATTAAAAAAGAATTTGCTAATATACTATAATAAAAAGAGGATGAAATTTAAAATTTAGTTAACTAAAAAGAAGAGTAAAACTCTAATATAAATCTTCTTAAGTCAAAGGAAACAGATAACTTAATTATGATTAAATAAAAAGACTAATTAATTTCTTCTTTGGAATAAGAACTTGAAGTCAAGAGACAGAAAAAGCTTAATCCTTAGGATTTGGCTTTATCAACAAAGATCTTAGAAAAGAAGGTAAATCGTTTGAAATTATTCATAAAAAATATAAATAAATAACTTTTAATTAACAAAATATTCATTTTTTTATCTGTTTTAAACTAAAAAGCTTAAAGATTTAGAGATTGAAAACAATGAAATGAGAGAAAAATCCTAAAATACAGAAGGAAGTGTAAGCTTGTTTATTAAGGAAATGAATGAGCTACTTGACTAGCATGAAATAAGTACAAATATTGGGTCTGATGATAATTTTTCTCTCAACAATAGTAACAGCAATTATTAGCACAATTAAATATAAAATGCTATTTACAATAGCACAATTAATCCAAACAACTTTAATGAATTTGAAGATGCCATTGACACATAGCAATTTAATAAAAAAAATTTAGTTTAAAATCCATCATAAAATAAATAAAATCCTAATAAAGTGAAGCTTTAATCAAATTAAGTTCCAGCTAGAAATTTACTTCTATCTAGTTAAGGGACTAGATAAGCATAAAACAAAAATTGAGTGAATTTATGGCATTGAAAAGCCCTAACTTTTTTAAATTAGATATGATATTGGATGGAACATCCTAATTATTTTCCTACAAATACCTTAATATAATAATAGAGTAATTAATAATTTAATTAAATTTTCCTAATTAAAAGATAAATTTGCTCATCATCTACACCTATCTATTATATGGATTTATGTTAACTTTCTATAATCATCAATCTATCTATCTATATATCTATTGTCTTAATTTTAAACATCTCCTGTTATATTTTTAATTATAAAAGTAGTTTGTTTTTCATTTAAATGTTTTACAAAATGTATTTTAATCTATATTATTACTTTTGTTTTCTTGATAAAAATTGCTTATATAATTACTATTTTTGATGAAATAGGTATTTAAAGCTGTTACTTAATGAGTAAATTTGATTATTATTTAATTGCTTATTTGTTATTTGCTTTTTTTAATTAATTTGCATAAATAGGATTTAATTTAAATCAATCCTTATTATAATTATAATTGTAAAATAAGCTAAATTTTTCATTACAATTTTCATGATGAATTAGAAATTAAAAGTAGGACCTTAAACAGCTACAGATTACAAAAGGTCTATAATACCTGAATTCGCTGTTCATGGATCTTAAAAAAGTGTTAGAGTGAAAGATTCGTAATATTTTAGCGGTCTTTCAAAAAACCTTTGGGATGATTATGGGAAGTTAATTGAAAAAAATAAAACGTTTCTTTCTAAAGAGAGGAATGAATAAATAGAAAAACATGCAAAAGATTTAGAATAATAAGATAGGAAAGAAAGGGAATAGTTAAAATAATCTAAAATAATTATAAATAAGCAAGAGTGCTAGCAAAGGATGAGTAAAAAATTGTTAGAAATAGCTCTTTTGTAGTAGTAAAGTCATTAAATTGTCGATGAAAGATAATCAAATATATTGCTTAATAATCCTCTAAGTCCCTTTGAAATAAACAAATCTAAAGTTAAATCATAAGGGAGATAATATTTAAATGGATAAGCTGAAAATAAATGGAACGATCTAACTTAATAGTGCTCAAAAAGTTAAAAAATTATATTTACACCAAAAGTTATTCAATTTGAGAACTAGGCTATTGAAAACATCAAAAAGAAGCTTGAATCAATTGATGAAAATAAGGAAATGATAAAAAGTTGTTATGTGCAGCAAGGAGAAATTTTGAGAAGTACCTTCAAGGAAAAACATTAAAAAAATTTAGAATTTGAAAAAGATTTAAGGATTGGCATATTTGGTAAGAACGGCTATGATAAAACAAAGACAAAGATTATTAGAATAGCATAAACACCTGCTACTTATAATGGAGCATTTCCAACTAAATATAAGATGGATCCTTACATTTAAAAGCTTAAAGAAAAACCTCTCTCTGAGAAAGATAAATAATTATGTGAAAAACTAGCTACTCCAAAGAAAGTAATTTCAAAGATATTTATTTATTTTATTTATTATCTTAAATAAATATATAAAAGGAATACTAACCTCAAAATGTATTTGATTACCCTGAGTTTAAGGGTATGCTTATACCTACAATTGATAAACTAATGTGCTCTAAGTAAGAAAATATAGTTAAAAAGTTCAAGGAGAACCCTTCTGTTAAAGAATTAACAAAAAATATAAATAGCCCCGAAAGAGTTAACTAGTTAATTATAAGACCTAAAACAGCTAATTCTTAAAGAGGGTTTATAATGGAACCTTTATCTTCTTTTGATGATATATAAATATAAAGATCTAAGAATTTTATAGAGCACAACTAAACAGAAAAAGTAAGCGTTTTTATATCAACAAATAAATAATTATTTATTTATTATTAATTTCAAATAAAAGGAAATAGTTTAAGAACTTGATAAATTTTCATCTAATCTCAAAAACTAAGCTTTATAAAGACCATAATCTGGATTTTGTAGAGTTACACAAAAAGAGAATAAACTGCTTAAAGATGTAGAAGGGTTTAAAAAAGTAAGAGAATATAAAAAAGATCCTGTTTACCCTCATAATGTAATAAAAGGGTTAGATCATTCTCTATGATAAAATTTTGTTTATATTTTTAGTTATTTATATTAATTTTAAAATAAAAGTCAATTATGTTTTAAGATTTAAATGAAATCCTCGTCATAGAATATGTCCAAATTTATAATAGAAATATAGCATAATTCGAATTCAATAAATTTTGAAGTTTCTATAATTTTATTTAGCATCCAAAAATATTTAAACGAGTTTAATTATGTAAAATATAAAAATTAATAAACATTTTTAAAATAAACTTTTTTATTTTACAAAAATAGTTGAATAATAAAAAAGAATGTATTTTATTACAAACAATTTATTATAATTTTATTATTAACATTTATGAGGTTATTATATATTAAAGACAAATTAATATATGAATTTATTGAGTTAAATCATAAGTTTATTTCTACAGACCAAAGCTTAATTTGTCTATCATCACTTACAGTAACCAATATATCCTTACTTGGATGGAAAGCAACACAATTTATATCTGCAAAATGGCAATTTACCTATTTTTTGAAATTATTAAGTACAAATTTAAATTATAATATGAATTTTACTTTCTTTTCTAGTAATTCGTATAAATTGTTGTCTTAACCTTCAAATGTTGTTACATACATATTTTTTTAATAAACATTTAATGTATTATCAGCACCTACCTATTAAATTCAAAATAAAAAATTATATATATATTCTTTATTAAAATAAATATTTATATACAGAAGCAAGGAAAGTTGCATCTTCGCTAAAAGATAAACTATAAATAGTTCTTGCATGGGCATTTTTAATAGTAGTTTCAACAATATAAGGGGAGGAAAAAGCTCCATTTTCATTTTTTTTGTAAACTTTAATTTATTTATCGTCACCACAGGAGGCCATATATTATCCGGTTTTGGAAAATTCTACACACCATACAGTAGCAGAATGATTTGAATAGGTTGCAGAGCACTTCCAATCATCATCTTCCTACTCCCATAATTTTAACTTATCATCAAACGAAGTACTTGCTAAATTATTAGTACCTGGAATCCATTTCACGTGCTTAACATCTTAAGTATGTGCATCTATAACAGAGTAACATGAAAAATCAAAGCCATTTTCGTAATCCCAAACCCAAACGGTCTTATCTCTCGAACAAGATGCTAAAAACTTACCTTCAGAATCCCAAGCTACACATTTAACCTTTTTGTAGATTAAATATATTGAGAAAGTATTAGTAGGATTTTTAAAAAAGATTCTAATCGTAAATTTTATTACTTCGTGTTCGTGTCCTTCTAATTTTGACACAAATTCGAATGAACCATTATTGAGAGCATAAATAGATATAGTGCTATCGAAGCTTCCACATGCAAGCATCATTCCATCAGGAGAAAAAGCTAATGTTCTAATTGTTCTCTCATGAGTATCAGAGATAGTTTACTATATTTAATTTAATAAATTTAATAAAAGTTTTTCAAAACAAATAAATCATTTTATTAAAAATTTGCATCAATTTCTCTTAGTAGAAAGCTAAATTTAGCATTCATAAATGAAAATTTAAGAATATCTCTTTGAGTTTATCTAATTTTTTGATATTTTTACGAGGCTTCATTTTTGAATCAAAAATTTATTTAGATCTAAAAAATATGTAGATTTTATTATCCAGCAAATATTTTCAATAATTATATTGCTTTTGTTAACATAATAATAAAAGACCAATTTTTTACCTTCAGTTCATACTAATTTTCACTATTTTCTTTTAATCCCCATATTTTAATGGTCTTATCGCTACTGCAAGTTGCAAATATATCTAAAGTAGGATGCCTAAAAATATTATATTAAATTTTGAATTTAGTTATTTTTAAGCTATTTTTCTATTACCATGAAACTGACCATATCTTATCAGTATGACCATTCAATTGCCCAATACATTTAACAAATTCTTTTTATTCTTCCATTTTTTCTTCAATCATTTATATGCTTTAAATTTAAAATTTCAATAATTTTACTAAGTTTTTTTTTTGCAAAAATAAGCTAAATTAATCAAAAATTTTTATCGATAGAATTATTAATATTATAGATTCTGACTGAGACCAACTTTTCTTTTTTAATTAAAGGATATTATGAATTAAATATCCTAGAATTTTTCTTTAGAATAGAAAATCAGTAATTTTTTGAATATCCTTTTTCACATAAAATACATTTTAACTATTTGAATAAAACAATTTACCTGAAAATTTACTAATATAAAAAAATTAATTGTAGTTCAATACTTGTAAATTAATTTAAATTCAACCAAAGCATAGAGTATGAGAAAGTTTTGATATGATTATAAAACTAATTTTACGAATTTAAAGAATCTGAATATTTTTATCATAGTCTAGTATATAATTTAGCTGTTTATGGCTGACTTATGAGAGAACATATTGTAAAATCATTTAAGTTATTATAGGTCTGCTTTGATACATGCAATATTGAAAAACCAAATAAATAATAAAATCAAAAGGTTTTAATATTAAGTTTAAAGAAATATCTTGAAATAAAAGAAAAATGCAATCCAATTTACCATTTAACTCTTTAAAGATTTTAAGTAAGGGTAAAAAATTATCTTTTGAAAGAAAGGAAGAGTATTTGTAAAATACAAAAAAAGAAAAAGAAATTAAAGAGAAAGGAAAATTAAAATAAAAATACATATATATTCACAATCTATAAATTAGAAAAGAAGAAAAAGGATGAGCAACGTTTCAGACGGTATGTAGAATTTTGAAGAATTTATAAAATTAAAATTAGTCAAAGAATCAATTCTCAATTGAAAAATTTTCATATTAATAGCCCAAATTCAAGAATGGATCAAAAGAGGTGAAGATCCCAAGGAATTTTTACTCAAGGAATGCGCTCCTTAATGCACTGCTTGGAAAGAAAAGCTCGGTAGATGCGAAGCTAAATTAAAATCTCTCGTCAATGCTGACCCTGAAATGTCTTGCATGTATCCTCTCAGAGATTGGGTTACTTGCATCGAAGCTTGCGTAAACAAATATTAAATTTATAAAAAAGTTATTATTTTAAAAGCATTATCAAAGCACGCACGTTTATTTAATTTAGGTCATGAAATGATTATTGATATTAGCTTAAAAAAAATAATAGATAAATTAAATCACTTATCTGTAGAGTTTTAAAATATATTATATAAAAATAGGTTCAACCTGCTATTACTAGAAACCTTTTCGGAAGCAAGTACATGTGAGAATGATAATAAAGATAAATTAATTGGGAGTAAAGTTAGAAACTGATTTCAATCTAATTTAATTGTAATAAGCCTGCTTTATATCTCTTAATAACAACAACTCATTGTAGCAAGTTAGGTATAGAAAAGGAAGTTAAAAGCATCATTAAATTTAATAAAAATAGAGTAAAAATGTTAATAAATGTTTGTTTTTATATTCTACCTTTATGAGTATCTAATTAAGCTATGATTTCATTAAAAAGAAGAATCCAATTTTTTCTAATCAATTGTTTGTTTATTCATTAATTATTCATATCAATCAAATATATCTATCTATATTCAAATAAGTATAAAAATCAATGAGCTATTTATTGATGATTTAATTCAATAAATAAATTGAAAATAAATAAATTAATATCTATTAGATAATACTAACAATTTTTGTAATTTTTTAGCCAAAATTTTAATTTTATTTTATTTTATGTAATCATTTTAAGTACATCGAAGTTTAAATATTTTAAAATTGATTTAATTCATTAATGAGCCTAAATAAGAGTAACATTTATTGCAAATTATTTATTTTATGAAATCTTGTTGCTAAATATTGAGTCTGAATTAAAATAGATAGAAAATAAGAAAGAAATAGAAATAATTAATTCTACTCCTAATTATTTTATTCTTGCAAACTTAAATTTAAAAATTTCTTATTATTTAGAAGGTTTAAAATTGGATTAAATATTTGAAATATTTTTTTATAAAGATTTTAATGAACAAATAAATAAATACTTACTTTATTTGTTTGAATATTTCTATCAATTAATGGATCTATCTATTTATCTATCGTTTTAATTTTTGTATTTAAAATAGCTTAACTGAGAGAAGATTTATTTTAGTAAATTTTATAATAAACCATTTAATATTAATGTTAATTGATAATAATTCAAATTAGAATCTTGAAAGTTGTTTGCCATCATGTAAAAAATAAAAAGATAATTCCTAATTAAATAATTTATTATAATTTCATTTAAAGATATTAAAATAATCAGTGATTTTAAATATAAATAGGAAAGCTTTTATAATATATATTAGTTAGTGTTGATATATGAACTCTAATTATCGCTAAAACAGTATCAAATATTATTCAAAATTAATAATAAATTAAAGCATTTTCTTGAAAATAGATTTTATAGACCAAGCATAAGGCTTTGCCAGAAACAATTAGGCTTAAAATGATCAATCCTTTAAATAAGCACCTATATTTTAGTCTCCTACTTCAAATCCATATTTAATTGGAAATCCAAACATACCAAATATATAATTAAATCTAAATTAGAATTAATAGAATTATCCTATTTAGCGTAATTCACATTAATCAAATAATTCTGGTAATGCTAGCGTAGGTAATATTTTACTCAAAAACTTTATTTACTCACAAATATATTTTTTTTGTTGGATAATTAGTTTCATAAGACTAATAAATGATGTAAATGTTTAATAATATGATGAATTTTTTTGTCGAGAAAGGCATGGTAGATCCTAAATAATTAAATTAAATGACACCTCGTACTAAAAACAATATAGAATAAATGTATAGACAAGAGCAATAAAATTATTTTATGCAATAGATGCAGTCTATTAACAATTTCTATTAGCAGTTGAATACTTAAAACACCTATGATCCACAAGATTATCAGTAACAAGCATCAAGAAAAGATGTAAATCAATAACAGAGATATCCTCATTTATATTAACCGCATTAGCATAGTGGATAAAAACAATAGCAATTTCAAGGTAATGAAATGAATTATTATTTAAAGAATATTCAGTCACCTTCTTCAAATAAGAACTAAAACTACTACCAGTAAATACAGCAAATGTACGGGTAGAATTTAGCTAATTAAAGTTTAGATAACGTAAGCTCTATAAGTGGAGGTGAATAAAGTAATAACTTTATTCCAAATCCAATGAATTATAATATAAATGGGAGTAATGTTTACCAGAATCCACATTATATCAATTTAAATAATTCTTTGGAATAGCAATTATAGTATTAAAATTACATGAAAAATGGTTCACCAACAAGCAACAATTAAATATATAACTACAATTATAATTAAGGCAAAGTACTTAATATTGATAAAAACGAAAGAAGTCAAGATTATATCAATAGTAATGGATAAAGATTAAATACTGTTGAGGAAGGAGATGCAGAGAAAAATATATACAAGTAATAAGAATAGTAAAGATATCAATAATATCTCATTTAGTAAATGCAAGAATAATAACAGCAGAATTAGAAATAGAGAAGATTGCTAGATTATGATGAAATTTTTAATCTTAGCTCTAATTAGGGAGACAGTTTAGCCAATACTTAAAACATGGCAAATACATAAAATATGGCAACAAATTACGACAATATGCAAATAAATACAAAGTATCATCAAGATAATTTAAAAGCAAACTAAAATCCTCTTTAAGTTGAATAAGGACAAAGCTTAAGAGATTTCGATGATCAACCTATACATTCTATGGGTGCAACAAAAAATTTTGAAGAGCTGATCGAAGAAGAAATGAAAAAAAATAATCTTAAATATGAAGACAGGTTTTTGAATACAGAATAAGATAAACCCCCCAAAAAAAGAGGAGATACTCCTTAGTTTAGAGAAGGATCAGTGGGTAATACATCAAAAAGAAATAAAACTGAATCTCCCTAAAGGTTTTTAAAGTAAGGAGAAGGTAAAGGAGGTAGAACTACAAGTGTTTCTATCAAAGACAAGAATAATAAAAAGTCAGGTTCAAAGAAAAGAAAATAAGATTCAATTGATGAAAGCCTTTAATTCTAAAAATTTGAGGAGATTTTATAGGAGATTTCTGAAAAGAAAACAGACATTTCTACTGACGATATTTTAAAGATTTAGTAAGAGGAGTAAAATATTATTGAAATAAGGGGAGAGAAGGTGAGATTAGACAATATAGAAATAAGTGAATAACTAGAAAAAGTTCTAATTACTAAATATGTCAATAACAAAATAGATGATTTAAATTTTTACATATAAAAGTTTTAAGCCAATTACCAAAAAGCTAGAGTTTTTAAGTAAAACTATGAGGAAAATATCAAAAAGTTTGATTTAATGAAATAGAATTATGAGGAAAAGATGAAAAAAGAAAGATCTGAGTTTGAGGATTACAAAGCTGAATAAAAAAAGTTAATAGAAGCTGAATATCGCTTGCTTAAAAAGCTTTAATAAGAAAAATTAACTTAAGCTAGTGCTAATTAAAAACCTAAAGATTAATCTGCAGACAGGGATGAAGAAGGCACAATGAAATCGCTACTTAGGTATAAAGAAGAAGTGAAAAGCTTAAGAGATAAATTAGGTAGGCTTTAATTCGATTCTAAAAAGAAAATCGAAGAATTGCACCTATCATTAAATAACACAATCAAAGATAACAGAAAACTTAGAAAAGAATTAAATGTTTTAAAAAAGCAGCTTGAGTAATGTGAAGATCTTAAATACATTGTTAGTCCAGCTTAAACTATCAAAGAAGACCCCTCTGAAGACCAAGATAAATCTTCAAATGTAAATTTTCATACATTAAAATTTTTTTAACTTAAATTCATTCAAAATAGGAAAGAGAAAAGAGTTAAGAAAGGAAAAGTACAAGTTAAGATTAAAACAAAATACAAGAAATTAATGGAATAAAAGAGCAAACCCATCAGAATGGAAAAGTAGAGAAAAAAAATTTGAAAAATCGTTAACCATCACCTAAAAGCAGTATCATCAATATTCCCGCTTAAAAAAAGTAATCTGAAAAAATAAATGAGAGTGTAGAAAGGCTGTCTAATTAAGCAAAAAAAGAAGTAGAAAAGTAAACAACAACTGATTTAAAATAAACACAAAATGGTAAACAAAGTGAAATATCAGCTAAAAAAGGCTAAAAATTATCAGAAAATTTAAAAGAGCAAACTAGTAAACTTAAAAGTTTGATAAATCCAAAAAGCAATAGCTATAAAACGCCTAAATTAAATGAAGAGTAAAAATAATAAAATCTCCCTTAAGAATAAAATGATGTAAAAGAGCAAAAAAAGAATATTCCTAGATAGTAGCCATCGTCTGGAAGTAAAAATGAAGTGAAATCATCCGCAAATGGTTTGCAAACCCTATAAAATGCTTAATAAGAAAAAAACAATAGTACTACTGTCAACACTAAACCTAGCTAAATAAAGAAAATTCCCTTATCTCGTTATTAATCTCTGAAATAATTCACAATTGAAGAGATTGGAAAAAACATTGATATTTCAGAATTTAAATACTCAACCAATAAATATTATATTAAATATTAACAGTTTTAAGATTAAACCAAGAAAGCTTAGCATGTAGAAAGTAACAAAGATGGATCTGTAAATTAATTAATTAATTAATTCATGATATGTTTATATTTATTAATTTCTTTTAAATTTTTATTATTTTTAATATAAAAGGTTGTAAGCACTTATGAAAAAGGTATTAAAGAGATCATTTATAAAAATAAAACAAAATAAGTAAGTTTTATTGATGGCTACTAAATTGTAATTTTTCCAACTGGAGATATAAAATAAGTAAATAAATAATAAATTTAAATATATTCTTTATTTGATATTTATATTTATAATAATTATTATAAAAAAGGTATTTCCAAATAACATAGAGTAGTATTTCTTCAGCAGTAATGAGGCTACATAGACTACACTTTTAGAAGGATAAACAGTAAAAAAAATTATTGAAATTGCTAATTTAATAATGAATATATTTTATTTTTAACAGATTGTGTTATTTTCTAATAATTAAATTGAACTTACACTATAGAATGGATAAAAACAGATTAGGTATTTTTTTTTTGCTCTAATAATTCATATTTTTTATTATTATTAATTTTATTAATAAAGGTATCCTGAAGGTATTATGAAAATTAATGAATAAAATGGTGATGAAAAATTAATTTATCCAAATGGAATAGTTGAGACAATTAATGCTAATAAAATAAAGACAATTAAATACCCTGACGGAACATCAGTAAATATTTAGATTAAAATATTTTATGAATTAATTTAAACTTATAAATAAGAAAACAGTTTATCCTGATAATACAGTGGTTTAAGGAGATGATTTAGCCTAAAACTGATAACATATTAGATTAAAATATTTATAAATTTTTAATAAAATTTTAATGGAGTATATATATAATATTAAATTTTAAATATTAATAAAATATATTAGTAATTATATTAGAATATATTTAATTTTTATATTTACATTTGTTTATAGCGTATAGTATAATATCATTTTAACTCTTCACAAGATATATCAAAAAATGGCAATTAAATAATTGAGATATTAACAAATAATCTAGCAAACAAATAAAGAAAGGAACAATAATTCTATTAAAAGTGAAAGGACTTGTTAAAAATTAATTAATTTCAATAATAAAGATAAAATTACTTAGATCTTTCTAATTTATTAAATATATTCAAACAATCAAATTCAATATTCATAAATTAGTTTAGAATATAAAGCATGATTTCAACAAATATTTCTAAATTCTTTTTTAGCAGATAAGGTAATTAATAAGATTGAAGCGTTAAAATAGCTTTTTGAATGTATTTTTTAATCATATATAGCTACTGTTAAGCATTTGACTAAATATGAAGCTATTCCTCACTATATGAAATAAACTTTGAGAGATCCTCATGAATATAAATTAAGATCTATGTAGCAAATTAAAGATGATTTAAAAGATACTGATGGAAAATTTGTTGCCAGAATTGACATTTTTTATAAGGATTATAACGATGCCAAATTCCATGAATCAGCAATGAATAAAAAAGTATAAATTATTATTTTTCCTAAAAGAATTGTGAAAAAACTCCCTTCCTTATTCATTGAAAAAAAGAAAATTTATTATTAAGAAAAGAAAATTCTTTTTTTATAAAAGCGCTTTGCTAAATAGCTGCTAAGAATTATTTTAAATAAAGATTTTAATCATTTAATAAAAAATAATTACAGGTTAAAATGAATGTTCATTTGAAAAATTGGAAGCTCACTCATTCTCAAAAAGATAGACTTTCTCTTTTACTTGGAAACAGGTAATAGGAATAATTATATATTATTATGCATAAAAAATAAATTAAAAAGATTCACTGTTTTAAATAAAGATCTACTTTGGGTGTAATTAAATTATTTTATTAAAAATAGATTTATGTGTAATGACTATTTTACTCTCATTTGCGATTAATACACTGAACCAGAACTTAACTTCGAAAAGCTTGTCTAATAAGTTTAAGAATTGTATCTTGAATGTAAGAGAGCTCCATGATTAATATAATTTGGATATAAAAATTTAGAATCTATTCACTAATTTTTTTAGTATTGAATTGATTCTAATATATAAAACGAAATGGGAATGAATAGCCAGTAGTTGTAAATAAAACTATTTAAATAATATTTTGTTCAACATGCATAGAAATGTTATAGTTTATGAATTTCTCTAAAAATTTTTTAATATTAACAGTTATATTCAAACATAAAATAAATTTTAAAATATATTTGAAAATTATTGATATTATCAATTAAAGAAATATGTTAATTCGGCTACAATTTAAATTATAATTTAAGAAAGCTATATATAAATTAATCTTCAAATAGGTTAACATTAGAAAAATGTATGTAATATGATTTATTATTAAAAATAAATATAATAATCCAACTTTTATTTTCTTTTATTAGAAATAACTTCAAAAAAATATTATTTAACAATAAAGAATAATTAAAGTTGATTTTTTTATTTAATAACTTTAAATTTGTTTTAATTATTTTTAATGAGAATATTAATTTTATTAGAAAATTAATTTAAAAATGTTATTATAAAAAATACATAAAAAATAAAAATTTAATTTAAATCATAATTGGAAATGTTTAAAACAATTCATAAAAAATAAAAAAACTTATTTTATACTTTTTATTCTATGAATACCTATCTAATCATTTTTTTATTTTGAGATAATATAACTTAGGAATTTTTTTTTTTGTAAACCATTCCATTTCATGCAAAACGTCTTTTTCTCTTTCTTTTATTAATTAACACCATTCATTGTTGGAATCACTTAGAATTATTTCTTATATATCATTGTAGTTAACATTAATTTAGTAACACACTTAAGAAATTTAAATTAAATCTGTTTCCTATATTTATTTATATTCATTACTATTTTTAAGTTTAATTATCCAAATATTTTATTATCCTAATATTGGTTGAGATACATATAAATTTCCATTAAAACAAAATAACAAGTTAATCATTTTCATTTATTTATCAATATATTATTTATTTAGTTCATAAAAAGGATATTAATCTGTATATTCATTAGCTAAATTCTCAAGAGAATAATATTTTTAGAAAATTAAACTATTTAAGTTTATAAAACCTTCAACAGGTTAGCCTATTAGAGTATAAATATTATTTTTAAATTCTTCAATAATCTTAACCTATAAATTTTCAGATAAAAATTTAAAAGATTTTGATAAAATTATTCCAGCTATAAAGTTATTGTTCTAAGTGCTTTCTGATTTAAGCTTTTCTGTTTAAGAGTTTTTTTTATCAAATAACTCTTAAATAAAAACAGAGTAGTTTTCTCTATTGGAATTTGTGTCAGTTTTATAGACAAAATCATAATTCAAATTCCCAGATGAATTAGTTTCTTTAAGTGTTGAAGTAAATCGATATGCGCAGTTCATTATTAAAAATAAATCTGATTTTTTATATTTTAATTGCTCACAATTTTTTTTTTCTTTAATCAATAATTATTCTGCTTGCTTATTCTTTTGTAAATATTTATTAAAAAATTGTGTTTGATATTTAATTAAAATTTGAGTAAATATTAAAGAAAGATATTTGAATATTATAGAAATAATTCAAAAATATTTTAGCAATATTAACAAAATTAGATAAAATAAAATTTAAATTCCTTTTAAAAAATTAAAATATTAAAAATAAAAAATTTTTTTTTAGCTTAAATATTATTTATATTAAAAATAAATCTATTTGATAATCACTTATTAGTGGCTTAAAAAATTTTTTTTTTAATTGATTAAAACAAAAACAATTTTTGTGAATATTTATTATCTTGTTCTTTCTATCTTCTGAATGTAAAGAGAACTTATTAAAAATTATAAAATTAAGATAAAACTTAATCCAATCATTAAGAAGCAATAAATTAATAAAATATAATTTTTATCTTAGCATTAAATATTGATAAATGAATTCTACTAAGATAAAAAAACTAGAAAGTATTTTAAATTTCTCTTTTTTTTCTCATAAATCTAATTTATTAAAAATTATTAATAGAATGGAGAGAAGAATATCTATAGATAAGAAGATAGATATTTTGCTTTGATGAAGATGAAGATGTTTTTAGCTTATTCAAGCTTAATTCGAAGGACTTAAAGTACAAAGGAATAATTAGGAGGTTGTAGATAGAATTTAATGAAGATAATTTTAATAGGGACTTAGAAAAAAATGAAATGCTGACTTAGATATAAGTGATTAAAAGAGAATAGGGTAGAATATTAAGAAAAATGGATGAAAATTGGTAAAACCCAAAGATGATGAATTACTTAAGGGGAGAATCAGCCAAATTAATTGAAAAGTAGAATGATTTCAAAAACTTTCATGGATAAAATTTTAATTTCATTGAAGAAGAAAAAGAAGCATTAATTAATGAATTAAACTAGTTTAATATAGATGCTTATGGTGATATAAATTACTAGCAACCTCAAAGCAGATAAAGTCAAAATTAATCTGCCTCTCCATAATAAATTGATGATAGAAAGAAACTAGAAAGCGATTATATTAAGAAAAGCAAAAATAAAAGCAAGAGAAAAAGAAAAGAATTCAAATCATAGGAAGGATTAAGTGACATGATGTTAGGTTAGGATACATCCAAAAAATCAAGTTCAGATAATGAAGAAGACGATACTTTATTATAAAAGAGTATGTCACCTAATTAAAGGAAAAAAAAACATAGATAATTAAGTATTGAACAAGATCAAAATTTTGATGATCAAGAAGAAGATGAAGATTTAGATAAAAATAATGATGATAGACCTACTTAAGCAGATATTTTTGTTACATAGGATAAATTAAAAAAAGAAAATCCTAATTAATACCTTAGTAAGGTCTCTGAATTACCAGAAGAAGAGAGTAAGTAAATGACTTAAAAGCTAAATTCTAATATTTTGGCTTCAAATCACTCGAAAGGGAAATCAAATTTTGTTTCCCCAAGAAGCGAAAAAAATAATAAAGCAGCAATTGATAGCATATTAAATCATGCTAATAGTGAATTTGTAGATGCTGAAGAAGTACAATAACTTTAAGATTCACAAGATGAAATGGAACATAAATATTAAAATCAATAAAAGAATAATTATTTCTACTCTCCTCAGAAAAACAAAAATAAATAGCTAACTCATCAGCAATATCTAAATTAATACAACACACCTAAACCTACAAGGAAGCACAGTAATTCTCCAAATAAAATAAGCGAAGAGAGCTCAATAGAAAACTATAGATAAAATCACTAGAGAATAAACTTGAATTCTTAACAATAGAATAATCAAGCAAGTAGAAGCTATAGTCCTCAAGGGTAGAATAGCAAATAAAATATCTCTCTACTTGATAAATCTCTTAATAACATAAGTAACATAGAAGAAGATCAAAAAGATATGCAGTAAATTAAAGATTTTGTTAAGAGAATAGATGGTTTGATAGAAGATTTGGGAGGTTCTAATTGCGGCTGGAGTGAATAGGACCATAGGAGCTTCCTATACCTTATGAAAAAGTATGGTAATAATGGTTTAAGAACAAAAGAGGCTCTCTGTGATGCTAATATTTCTGTTTTACAATTCTATACTGATAAATAATTGCTTGATCACATAAATTCATACAATTAGTACAAGCTTCTTATGGAATAAAAGTAAAAATATATTGAAGAATATAAAGAAATCACTTAGAGGATTGAAAAACGCAAGCAAATGGAATTATAAATACTCAAGAATGCAAGAAAAGAAAGAGAATTTAGTTAATTGAAATAACGAATCCACTCTACTGTTTAGAGAACTGAATTTTATGTAAAACAATTTGAAGAAATAAAAAAGAAATATAAAGATGTAGAAGCCAAATCCTCTCATGAATACTAAATAAGATAGAAATAAAGAGAAAAAGAGGTATATGATATGGTTCAAAGAAGATAAAAATAAAAAGAAATGCTCTAAGCGATTAGCTCTAAAAAAAGCTAGTAAGAAATTAAAAAAGTGAATATGCTCAAAGAATAAAGCTAAAAAGAAAAAATATAAAGCCTAATACCACAAAACCAGAGCCTCATTTCATCTCCATAAAATTAAATACATCAAGAAAAAATAGCAAACATATAAAAAGATTTAATGATGAAAATGCAATAGCTTGAAGAACTTAGAATGCAGAGCAAATCAAAAAAAATAAATCAATATATTTATTTTACTCCTCAAATTAATAAGAAGTATTTTTCTCCAAACAGAGTTAAAATAGATTAAATATATTGAGTTTTCCTAAATTATCAATCAAATTATATTATATTTTAAATATGTTCATAACAATATATATTTTGTGATAAAAATTTATAATACAAAGAGTAGTTATCAATTAATTAGCTATTTATTTCTCAAATTAATTTATTCTCAAAAAATAAAAAATTCCATATTAAAGCTAAAATTTTTTAAAAGTTTTAAAAGAGTGGAAACAAACTATTTTAATATATTTTAATTAAATCATATTCAAAAACCTCTTTATATTTCATTCATTTCGACTTCAAAAAAATACTCTCTAAAAAAGCTATGATATCTTAATTATTTAATAAATTAGTAATAAAATATTATAGATTTGAATAAAACATTAAATTAAAATCATACAATTTATAAAAATACAAAAGTAAATATTAGTAATATATAACTAAATTAATATCAAAAAATTATTGTTAAATAGTAGAATTGAATTATTTTATTTTAATCATTCACATTCTTCATCTGATGAGTAATTTCCAGGATCTCCTCCATAATTAGGCTCTGGGTCTAGTGCGATTGGGTCTTCTGCGTTCATAGAATCGCAATCTGTATTTATTGCTATAAGTAATTGAGTCTTCAAAGCTTATTTTGTAGTATATGCTGGAAGTTCTAAGTTGAAGAAACATGTGTCAGCCTTTGGAAGAGCTTTATCTGGTTAATAAGTTTAGTAGGTAGCAGGTTTTATCATAAATCTTATCTAATTTCTCTCAAATTCTTCATCATTTGCAGGTAGACGCTCTTATCCCCAACAGAATTTGACAAATCTCAAAGACTCAGTATGAGATAGTTCGTGCAAAACCTCCCACAAGTATTTAATGTGTGGAGTATTTTCATTTATTGATGGACTATAAATTGTGTGACGCTTAAGTAGATCAAAGTCAACCTTTTTACGCCCACAAACCCACATTTCTAAATCTGCTGAGCGAACTGTATTAAGTAATGATTAAGGAATAATTTGTGTAAGACCATTTTTAATGGCTTGTATTTACAGTGAACTTTCTCTAATCTTTGCTTCAACAACCCTAGCTATATAATCTTGGCGATCCTCATATGTCACATTTATTTTAGAACCATTTTTCTTTAATTCTACAGTACTTAAATCACTTAAAGTTGTAGTATATGTTTCAAAGAATGACTCTTAAAACACTGTCTTTTCGCAAGAATCTATAAATTTAATCATATCAAAGACTGGACGATCTACTTCTTCAAGGTCTTCAAGAGTAATTTCTTCTCCAACCAATTGTTTCCATAAAATTTAAGGTAAATCAAGAGTTAAATGAGTTCCTGTGCGTACGCATGTACCCATCAAAACACCCAAAAACTCAAATAATTGCAATTGATATGAGCTCTTAGCTGATGGATTAACGACATACTTATCTCTGGCGTCTCCTAGCTTAGAAAGGTTATTAGTTGATGGTAATAATAAATTAAGCTATCTTTGATGTGCTGAAAGAACATTTGGTTGTAACTCGGATGAAATATCTGCGAAAAATTATCTATAAGGACCAGATTCACCCATAACTAATTCTCCCTTAAAAATAGTTTCGAAGGCAATAAATGGATCTGTTCCTGTAGGTTTTACAGGTCTATTTATTTTTTAAAAGTAAATTTAAATCTTTTCATTTTAATTATTCAAATAAAATTTACCTTAAAAGGGTAACAGAGAAATCTTTAATTTAATCAAATGCCTTTGTAAACAAGAAATCTTCTTTGTGATGACTCGAAACAATATTTTTGAAGTTTTGAGTCTTTGTGCTATGGTGAGAAAATATGTCATTCATTTAGTTCTATCCTTAAGAAGATGCAGCTTGGGCAGCAGCATCTGAAGCTCTTTATAACTTAAGTCTTTCTACTTATACTTTTGGCACAGAATCTCTCTTGATAGATGTCATATTTAATACCTTTTAGGATAAATCAATTTTAATTGGACTCAACCAAAATGATCTATTCTCAGATAGCTAATCAGAAACAGACAAATCAAGTTTTCCACCATTTTTGTATTTTTGAGATTGAGTATGTGAATCTAATGGTTCTTCCTTTGAACTCATGTTCAGCAGAGACACATTCTTTTGCAAAAACTTGTTAATTAACTTCAAGAGTGCCCATGAAAATCTTTAAAATAAAATTAATAAATTAAAACAAATTAAAAGCTGCTGAATTTAATAAACAAAAGTATTATTTACCTTAAATCAGCAAGAGGCTGTTCTGTTAACTTCTTGTATGGGAGTACACTAGATTCAGATGAGTAGCCAATAGGATTTTCATGTTCAGAAATATTATAAGAGGATAAATGGAAACGAATATTAGTAGAGTTATATTTAAGAACCATTTTAGTTTCCTTGCAAACTTCGATTTCTACAAATTAAACAAGCTATGATAAAAGTTAGGCAGGTAATACTAATTTTTGATCTGCCTTAGTGTGGGCAACATAATCTAGGTGAATATCAAGACCTAACTTACTTAGTATCTTTATAGCTTCCAAGGCCTTACCATCTAAAATCAAAGAAACAAATTTATTTTGAATATTTTTATGATTTCTATACTCACTAATGTTCATTTAGCTTGCTAGTTCTTCAAGGAATTTACTTGAAAGATTTTGGCATCTTTAATCAAATTTATTTAGGACGCATTATTTTACCTTAACTTGAGATTCATCAAGGAATCTAAGGCATAAGAATCTCTCTAATAATTATGTATATGAGTTTAGGATAACTGAATTTTATCCTTAGAAAGTTAAGCAACTATCTTATAACTGCTCAATTTCTTAAATTTCTGAGTCAAATTGTTGTTTCTTCTAATCAATCTCTTAAGTTTTAGAGGTGTATTTTGTTTCCTCATTTTTCAGTTATTCTTCTAACTATTAAAGTGTAATTTAATCTTGCAAATTACTATTTGCAGCACTATTAGATGCTATAGTTGTATTGCTGACAGAAGAATCCTTTGATTGCTTTTTAGAGCTGCTTTTCCTCTTATCTTCCTTACGTTTCTTAGACTCTTCTAATAATTTTAATTTTTCTTATTTCTTTTAGTCCTTCAAAGATTTTTTTTTTATCTCTTACTCTAATTATTCTTTTTCTTTGTTGAATGTCTCTTCAAGCTCCTTTTTTTGATTAATTAACTCAGTGATTTAATTACTTAGGGTTTATTTCTTAGTCTTATAATAATCATTAACAAAAGACTTCATATTTTCAAGGAATTTGTTAACTTTTTCTATTTCTTCCTTCCTCTCATTTTCTAATATTTCATCAAGAGGTATTTCGTTTGCTTCTTAATCTTGTTGATTTTCATTTTCTTTTTTCTCATCGCCACCTTTATCATCATTTTCAAGGGGAATATTTTCTGGTTTAGGTGATTCGCAAGCATCACATATTTAAGACTCCCATGCATTTTATAAAGTACAGGTGTCGCATGACCAGAATTCAGGATGTGCTGGTGCTTAAGGTTGTTGAGCTTAATTACCTTCTGCTTCTTTGTCTGTACCATTTTATTATGCTTCAAGCTTTTCCTTTTCTTCTTACTCTCTTTTCTTTTCTTGAGCTACTTCTTCTAAGTCTAACACTGCTGACCCATCTGTTAAAACTATACACAATTTCTAAGATTTGTTTTAAGTCTATTGTTGGCTTTGAGGAACTTCTAGTTCATCAGATTATTTTTACTTTGATTATAAATGCTTGTATTAATCTTCAGAGAGAACAAATATGTCTGAACTAGGATTTAGTACTCTCAATTTGCTTTTTTCTAAAACAAATAAGATATGAGAGCGTGTCTCCTCAATAGTCCATTCAGAAGGTAAGTTTTTAATCATAATAATACCTTCTTATTACAAATTCTCGAACTCCATTTAAATATTTTAAAATTTATTATAAATTTCATTTGATAAGAGTCCTTAATCTTCAAAAAAGTTCATTAAAATTTGTAAATTAGCACCAACTTCTAACCATTTAGGTAAACTTTAGCTATCTTAGTTCTCAGACAATAGCTATTTAGGGTTTATGGTGAAGAGATCTTCTTTTAAATGAATAATTGGGACAGTTAAAGTTTAAAGCATTTCAATATAATCTTGTGTGAAAGATGAATAAAGATTGGTTTCTTAACTAAACCTTGATTTGATTTCATTGGCTTTAGTAATATTATTCTTAACAAATTCTTGTTTTACTCCAAGTATTTACCAATGTTATTTGATCTATTCATTTGAATTCGGAATGAGAACTCCACTATAGATCTAGCTTCTTACTAAGAATCTAAGCTTTCTAGCAGTTCTTATAATAAGTTTAGCAAGTAGCTATTTAACTATGCAAGGACCTTTAAGATAATCGAAGCTTTCTGTTAAGAGAGTCATTATTTTTCCTAACTTCTCAAGAGATTCTTTATCATCTTTGTTTTTCATCAAAGAGCTTGAAACAGAATCTATTAACCAGCATACCATATTCCAGTCTTTTGGAATTCCATAAATTACGCAGGGAAGTGTGCTTTAATTTGAATCTTGTTCCAAAGGAGATAACTAGTGTTTATTGAAATAGTAACTACAGTATACATCACGACCCTTGAACATCATAGGTTCTATACTTTTTTTAGATTGCTTTCCTGCATTTAACTATGAAATTTTATTGATTCCCAGCTCATCTTCAAAGAATTTAAGGCCTTTATATAATTTAAATAATTAGTAGAATGAAAATAACAAATTTAAAATTTACCTGAATAAACCCCAAGGAAAGCATCTTTACGGAATGAAAGAATTATTGCACCAATTTGTTCTGAGTCAGGTCCTTCAAATTAGCAAAGACGGAAAGGTTTTGAATTTGATGAATTCTATACTTGTCCATCTGGAGAGTTTGATTAAGCTAAGTTAACTATATTTATATCTTACACATATCTATTGATTAAAGTTATTTGTGGTTTGAAGCTTTGCATGATAAAATCAAATAATAAATTGATAGTGGTTTTATTTTCTAAGCCAGCCCAGTCTATGAAGTGTTGAATCTAACGTAATTTTTTAAATGGATATAAGTGGGCCTAATGGTCATGGTGAGCTGAAGTATCATGTTTTATATGACTTCTAAGCTAAGCGAACTAGTCATTTTCTTACTTAGGAACAAACGAGATATGTGAATGTTACTATTTAATTTGTTTATAAAGATCGCTCTATAGATAAAGAATTGATCCATTAGTCTTTATCCACCCAAATAATGGGTCATCTACTATTTCTTCAATAATGGAGGATCTAATTATTTCCAAAAATGATAATCTTAAATCATTTAATAGATTGTTTTCCTTTACAAGAACGTCAACTGTAGGCAATTAAGTAAGCGCGTTAGTTCCTAAAGAAAAGAACTAAAGCAGAACTTATCTTGATAGAACTGTGATACTTCTAATCATAGATTAAAGGAAAGACTCGCTTATATAATTTAATGAATAGCTAGAGGCAGGAGGGCGAATAGGCTATTCAGGATTTTTTAGGCAAGTTACAGGAATCCAAACAGAGATGAGATGAGAACGATCATGGTCTTGGTAGAGACAGAGTACAGCTGAATTACGAGCATCTATTCCTATAGCCAAAACTGGGATATTAGTATTACCTCCAGCAAGTAATTTTTCGCGAGAAAAGAAAGGAGTAAGTAAAGAATTAGTTTTTTTATTAATAATAGATGCTAAGAGCCACTATCCAACACGCACATCTTCAATTGAAATAGTTGACCAGTCATGATTTGCATCAGGAAGAACTACACCTGAAGGTAGGTTCTTTTCACAAATAATATAAGCAACGTTCATAGCTCTAGTTTGGTCTCCTTTACGTAGAGGATAACGAATTTGCTCGAAGAAATCTTCAAGCTCATAAGGCTTTAATGTTGATTTAACAAAATCATAAATTTTAGGAATAACGAATTTTTCCCAATATTTAAGTAATTTATTTTCACTTATTTCAGGTTAATCTTATGGAAGTTACTCAATATAAGGTGATGGAGAAAAGATGAAGTCTCTGAGATCTCCTGTTTCATCAGCGGCTTAAGATGATGTTAATTTTTTCAAAGAGGGGAAGTTTTCAGAAGAATCTTTCAAGAAAGTGTATTTCTTCTTAGAACGGTTGAACATTTTAGGGAATTTAATCCATTCGAGAGCAGATTAGTTTTTATCAATGTATTGTTCCCATGAGCTAATAAATTCCTCTTCACAAGCTATAGAATTCATTTTCTCCTAAGATAATCCTTGCTTGCACATAGAATCAATGATTTCTAGAAGTTTTAGACCTTGTTCCTTGGTTAATAAATTTTTCTCAACTGCTCTATTCCATTCTAGCTTGTTTGCAATTTAAAGTAAAAATCTCATCAATAATCCTACTCTAATTCTCCATTAATATTATTATTGTATATTTTTTTCCTCTTCTTCTGTTGCTATTTGTGATTCACTTTCTTACTTTGAAGTCTCTGTGGCTGCAGTTTATTAATTTTAAGCTGGCTCTTTAGAATCAGGTATTTCTTATTCTTATTTTTCCCCTTCACTACCAGATTTAGGTTTTTCAGATTCTTCTGATGGTTTTTGATCCTTTTACTCATCTGCTTTTTGATCCTTTTACTCATCCGCTTTTTTAGGCTCTGGTGTTTTTTGTTTTATGGGTTACCCAATATTAGCTCCATTCATTAAAGTGGCACACTTTTGAATTGCCTAAAACAATTCAGAAAAACAATCAAATTTATCTATAGCCCATTCTTCTTCATACATAGGAGTTATATTTCTAAGTTAAACGGTTTAGACAGCGACTGTTGGGCTGCATGTAGAAATAATATTACATTTCTTCTATCCACTTCCTATACCTCCTGACAAGACACATTCAGTATCTTATTCGTAATCTACATTATTCAAAATACACTTAGCTGTTTATCTGACAGATTGTGGCCATCCACCAACAACATTAAGGATACCTGTTATCACACTTCTATCTAATGGGGAGAATTCCGATTCCCAGTTCTTTGTTATAATCGATTCTAGACTCAACTTAAGGTTAGTCTGCTATAAATTAAACTAGTTCTCATCGTTTACACAAAGATATCTGAAAAATTCAATTAAATCACTAACTATATTATTTGTTGATTATCCTCCCTTACAGTGAGTTTGAATTATACTTTATGCATTTGCTTCAGTGAAAAATGATTCCTTAAATTAACAAAAATATTTAAATAAGTTAAGTTTAAACTGATTAATTTACTTTGGAAGAAAGAGAAGTAATTATATCTATGCCTATTTCATACTGAGGGAAGATAGATCCGCTACAAATTTAAACTACCATCTGTGACTATTTTTCAGGTTCTGGATCTTTTGATACTACTGATTTCTTTTCAGCGCGGGGAAGGCAAATATCATTAGGGTCAATTATTTTTTTATATTATTCCTTAATTCCATCAAGAGGTATAGGCTTTAATTAATTTTTTATACCAAAATTAACAAGTGATGCTAATTCTTAAGCCTTATCCTAAGGAAGGAAATCAAACATAGGTCCATATCCAAAAATGTTAAATAGAGAGGCAATAGTCTAAATATCTTTGAGATGAGCTTGTATGCGATGGATAAAATTCTTAGCCTTGATTATTTCCATTTTTGTTTCAATTGTATCAGTTTCTTCAAATTCTTTAATATCCTTGTCAGCTTGATCCATTTTTTTCATCAAAGTAGCTATACCAAGATTTTACCAAACTTATTTAACTTTCTTTTTGATTTTTCCTCTTTTTGTATCACTTTAAAATACAGTAAGATCACTGAATAACCCAATATAGTTAAACTACCATCCAACTGGTAATTCTTCTTCTTTTTCAGAAATACCATTAATTTCAGGGAGGGCAATAAATATTTTATCCATTAATTTATGAAGTCTTTGAGAATGAGAACTGTTTGCATCAGCATCAACCTTCTCAGTTTGACTCTAACTAGCTGCAGTAGTCTTTAGAGATAATTGATAATAATTAAATATGTAAAATTAAAAAATAAAAAAATAAAACCTTTTAAAGGGTCTCCTTTTTTTGATCAAGAATCTTTTTCTGTTCTAGATAGGATTCAACTGTTTTTGGAAGAGATAATGAAGTAGAGGTTGGATAGAGTTCTTCCCAATAATAAAGAACTTTAAGCAAGAATGTTAAATCTTCTTCTTCACTAAGCTATCCAAGAACAATATAAGTATTAGAAGAATTATCACTCTTTTCAACAACAGAAGCATTTTTATCTCTTTTTTTATTTTATTCTGAGTTAAAAGTCAAATAAAGGGAGCTGTTTCTATTCTTAAATTAATTAGAAATTTGAACTTTTGTCAAAAGTTTGGTTAGAGATTATCTTAAAGTAGGCTCACTTTATTCACCCTTTTCATTCAGAATATAATTTCCGATTTTTTCAAACAGCAAATTAATATAATGGAGTGGGAAAATTTTGCTTGATGGCTTATTGAATTCAAGATAGGTCTTTTTTAAAACAGGCTTAGGAATTGTTTGGAGGATTTGCATGTAATTTTAAGTTAATTCCTTTGAACAGTGAACACTTATCTCTTAAAGGTTTTAAACTTCGTAAAAGAAATATTTAGGATTAAATGGTGATGATAATATATTATTATTTTTAGCTTAGTCATCATTAATAATAAACAAATGAGAAAGTTTCTTTAAACACCTTAATACTAGTCTTACTTAAACAGGTGTTTCACTTTGGTAAGCATAGAAAAGTAAGCTTTGAGTGAGCTCATAAAAAACTGGCAAGTCACTTGTGACATTCTTCTTTGCTTGTTTCTATTTTTCTCTCATTGGTGAATATCTCTTTGAAAGACAATAATCTAGAGTCTAAAGTAAAAATGAAAGTCTTAACTGCCCTACTGGGTCAAATATTCTTAAGAAAACACGAGCATTTATTTCATAGTTTTCTTTTTTATTTTCTTCTGCACCTGCTATCTTTTATAAGCCATACTCTTTCATAATATGGTTGTGAATAACTTCTATCAATACTTCTACATATCTGTAAGGTGCAGACTGAATTACTTTATTTAAAATATTTTCAACTAGATGGTTCATATAATTTACTAATAACACTATGTCTTCAAATTTATTATACATTTATGAAAAAGATGTAGAAATTAATCCAACACTGAGTAAATTTGAGAAGAATGTATTCAAGCCTGCCCAGTATTAGTCATTATTCTAAGTATTGTTTGATGCTGATGAAGATTGAGAGTTTCCTTATGAAGTTAATCTACGAATTTTCCAAAGCAAATCGCTGGTTCCGCTGACCATTGTCAAAATATCTGCCAATGCTAAGTTGATTGTTTTCAGCTATTCCTAGAGAATTCCATTTAAACCAATATTCATTTTATTCTCAAATTTCACTTTTTAGACTTGGATTATCATATCTTGTAGACGAATTTTCATCATCTTCTCAACTTTTTTGTTTATAACCTCAATTGACTTTGTAAAACTGGTTTTTAGCTCTTCTACGTAAAGTTCTTTTAGATTTCTACCTGCACAAGTGACATCTTAGTGTAAATCGCAGCCAAGTAAATCGTTTACAATGCCTATCACATACCTTTTGAAATAAAAATAAAATTTATACAATACTTTTATAATTTTTAAAGTTAGCTATTTACCTTTCGAAGCAGGTGTTTGAGGTAAGAGAGTAAACAGAATTTAACAAAGAAATTGATGCAATTCTTCTTGAGCAACGATAGTCTTAGTGATCTAGTATTGTTTTGATATCATCACACTTGACATTAGAACAAAGGAAAAACGCTATTGATTTTAGTGGGTTATAGTTATGGATAGAATAAAGTTCATTGTACTCTTCTGTTTATTCGAAAATTTCAGGTATTTCATCTTACTTTCTGTATTGCTTCCATTTTTAGTAAGAATCAACCCAAGCTCTAAAACTTCTAAGTTTATCTTTATCAATAGTTTTTTCATTTATAGGCTAAGATATAGATCTATTAACTCCAACTGGCTTTATGTCCAAATCAGAGAAAGTTGAATCTCCTCTTGACAATCCTCCAGCTAAATCAGGTAAATCATCCATCATATCTGTTACACTACCATCAATCGATTGATTTGTTTGGCTTGATGTACTTTAAGCATAAGCTTGCTTATAGTTAAGAGACAATAAAAAGAGACACTTTTATGCTATTTAAACTCCAATAATTTCATACGCAGATCTCTATTCTAAAATTTGCAATTAAAATGAAGATTCACCTTACTTTTTGCTTGCATCCTTTTAACTTTTTACTAATTTAATTAAGGTTTATTTGCAAATATTGTAAATTCTTTTTGTTGTAGTTAATATATCATCTTCATCATAAGAAATGTTTCGAGATTCACAAAGTTATTTCAGAGCATCATTATTACCACCTCCATATCTTTTTTAGAATTTTTCCCATAAGAATGATTCAAGTTCTGGTTAAAATTAAAACTCTTCTTCTTTCTAACTCATTTACTTATTAAGAACTTTGCGTGAAGCAGTTCTTCTGAGCTAACGATTAAAGTCGATATCCTCTTAGATTTCTTCATCGCTTTCTATTTATTCCTTCTCTTCTTCGTTTTCATCCTCAATCCTTTCCACTCTTCTTGGTACTCTTTTTTCTCCATTTTGTAGCTTTTAAGATTCTTTTTCATTATTTTTTTCAGTGTTTGATGCAGATGTTTAATTAGTTTACTAATTACCTACTTCTTTTTAAGGCTATGAAGATTTTGGTTTATTTGAACTTGATATTGGAGCTCCCTACCTGATAAATTTAATTTTTTTACCTTATTTTACTATTTTCTCAGTAGGTTTGCTTTAGATAGCTGGTTTTTGAGCAGCCTCTTCTTATTATTTTTTCTTTAGCTACTCTTCTTTTTCTATTTATTCTAACTAAGCCTTCTTTTCCTAGAGTATTTTATTTTATTCATCATCAAATTCTACTTTAGCCTCATAGAGACTCTCAATGGTGTGTTAAAATTCTTTCTCTTACTAGACTAGATTAAGCATTTTAGCAATAATTTCATTACGAGTAGTTTACAAACCTTGCAAATGGTCTATGATATATTCTTTACTTTATGAAAGGCCTATCTAAATCAGACCGCAGTGATACAAACATGCCAAAAACAGTAAGGCTTCACACTAGAACCAAAGCTCTTTGAACTCCTTTTTAAAAGTAGGTCTATTTGTATTTAAATTAAAAGTGTTTATTTAATAAATATATAGATAAATAAGTAAATTGATAAAGTGTCAAACCTAATCTTTTCATGAGTGTATTATGTAGGATCTTTTAATTTAGAGCTGACCTCTTAATAAAAATTATAGAATTCTCCTTGCTTTTCCTGAATTTATTTGATGTAGCTAGATAAAATTGAGTTAGTAACTTAAACATTCCAGTTAATAGAAGCAATAGTAGGTTCTGTATCTTGATTTTATTCTTATTTTTCTTTGCAGAAGTTATATTTAAAACATCTTTCAACATAGTCATCACTTAATTACTAAAATATTAAATTAATAATTCAAAGATAAAATTAATTGAAAATTAATTTACTCTATAGAGTTTAAAGTACAAATCTTATTTTAAAGAAGAATGTGTGTTTTCATGTGTAGTAGGTACTTAAAACTTTTAGAAAATAGCTAGGGCTTGTTCAAATCCTTAAGTTGCTACTACATTTGAGATATCCCATAAACCTTGAGCTGGATTAGTTGAGAAATCTTCAAATCTTACAAGATAATCTTCTCTGTTCTTAGAGCTATAGCCATTTTTTAAAATAGCTAACTTCAAAAAGTTATTCAAATTTTTTTCTTTTGCTGAAACAATTGAATTCTAACTAATATTTTTAATTGCTTCAGATATAGAAATAATGCATAATTTCATAGTATTAAGCCATTCTGTTAGTAAATCTTCATTGCCAAATCTGTCAATAATTTTTTTAAACTCTTCAGATGCTTCTTCCTCAGACCACATTTTTTTATTCATACCATAAATAGGTCTTGCACTTATTTTGTATCCCCATCTTTTTTATCATTTTTTTATTAATTAAATAAATAAATAAATCAAAAAAAAATACCTGCTGAGAGATTTTTCGTCTTTTGCATGACCAGAGGAATGGAACTCCACTTGAATAGTATTTCCTAGAAGAATGAGCTACCTTTTAGGAACAGCTTTACCTGAAAGTTTGAATGTCTTTCCTAATCCTTCTCTACTTTAAATATTGTATCCTGTTTGTGTGCCTTTTTAGTAGTCATACCATCCACTAATTTGTAGGAAATCATTGCTAGCATCGGATTAACACCTCTTATCAAAGTGGATAGCTATTGCAATAGCGCCAGGGAACATATTTTGCTCAAACTAAATTACTTTGCCTCTCTCGTAAGGATGATTTGTTTCAAATACTTTTTCAATAGTTTAATCAAGACCTTCAGAGTGATTAGCGTAAATCTGTTCAGCGAAACATAATTCGGATGGTAAATTGTCATTTTAATCTGAATTAGTTGTGCCTTCATTTTGCTAAACAGATCCTTTTTCTACCATCAAAATTTTTTTCATATGAGCAAATATCTTTTTGAGTGTGTAAAAAATATCAATGCTCTTAGGATAAACAGAAATAGAAGAAGCAAAGCTCAATTGTAAGTACAAAGCAAGACATCCATTAATTTCCTATATAAGTTATCTGAGATAGTCTTTTGATGCAGCAGTTTAGATATTTTTTATATTTTGAGCTAGACATTCTAATGCACTTTCAATTAAATTGATGAACCTTTTGCTAATTTTGTATCTTTATTCCCATTCAATTTAGCCATTCTTTATTTTTAAGAGCTATATTTAGAACTCTTCCAAAAGATATCTTACTAATTTCCATAATAATAAGCCACTCTTAAAATTTTATTATAAAGTAATATCGCTTATTTAGCATGAGCTTATTGCCTCATCTTCTATCATCTTCCAAAAAGTCTAACTGTATTCCTTGTGCTTTTCAATTTAACTTTAAGATATGTAGATGTCTTCCTCATCTTCTTCAATTTCCTTCTTTTTAGCATCTAACTAAGAGTTTTCTAATGTTTTAGGAGATTTTTCAGGATATACAAAAAGCTGATCATATAAATCTTCAAAGCTGCTATGATAAATCAAAATTTCTTTGCAATAAGTGATATCATCGAAAAGGAGACGGGCAATAGGTTCGCAAAAAGTTTTTTGAGTGACCTTTAAATATCTGTTTCTTCTATAAATATTATTAATATTAGTGTTCTAGTCAACTTCATCAACTACATCTGATTCTTTTATTTATTCAACCATGTATTCTTTTAAAGGGAAGTCTTTTAAAATTGATTAGCATACATCAACTTAATTCTTATACAATATTTCAATCCAATTAAGGTTATCAGATAAATTTGTATCCTATTAAATTTAAATAATTTAAAATTCATTTTTTTGTTAAATCTAATAACTTACTTTTATGCTGCTTTGAATATTTTTTATTTGATTTAAAATATTTATTTAGTTTTAATGATTTTTAGTTAAAAAACTCCAGCTTTCCTAGATAATCGTAATCATTAATTGCTTTATATCTACAGAAACTTATTAATCTTATAATAAGTTAAAGAATTTTTAAATTAAGAGAGAAAATTTTTCATCCATTTATTACTCTCTGATGGTTAAGAGCTAGCAATGCTTTAGCCAGTAAAGCAGAGAAGTAAGTAATAAAATAGCTTTTCTTTAGGCTAAATTTGAAGATTTATCAAAAGAATCTAAAAAGCTAACTATTTTTTAATAAATATAATTAAATGTTTCAACAGACCCATTAATACAAAAGGCATAAATTTTTTGAATTTCTCTTAAAGCCTTCTACTAGCTTTTTAATTATTCTCTCTCTTTTTATATCAGAGGTTTTTAGTATTCAAGTTGTTTATTTAAGCGCTATAATAGCTTTGTTTTTTGTCTGCTTAATAATTTCTTTTCTTCTGCTGCAATAACGCTTGAACTGGCAGTTGAATTAGATTTTTTAGAATTTAATTCGCTTAAAGAATAACCGTATGTATAATCCCATCTATTTAATTTCCATGGAAATTCTAAGCGATACCTCTATAAAATTAAAAGTTTTTTCATAAAATGAATAGAGAATTCTTCAAAAATATGAGAGTTTGAAGTTTAATTTTCACTTTAGCTTGCTATATTTGAAGAAAAGTTATTTAAGGTGTCAACTTTATCAATATAAGAGTGTAATTTTTGATCTATGTACTTATTTTGATCAAACACTAATGTAATTAAAGAAGGGAATACATTAGTATAAGGATTAAGTAACCAATTTAATACATAATAGACTCCATTTTTAATATCATAACAAACATGATAACTTGGATTATTTTGATGAATCTTTTTGTTACTATCTAATTTTGTTATAAGAGTTGTTTTCATTAATCTTTTTCCAGAACTGCTCTAAGCTTTTTTGTCAGTAGCAGTAGCCACTAAAGGCTATGTTCCACTATCTTTTCTTATCGATTCTTCTTTCTTCATGCTTAACCTAATAATAATTATTTAATAAAAGTTGATTATTAATTTAAATGATTTACTTTTTGCCTTCAATTTATAAAGAAGCTTAGCCATTAAGCTACTACATCTACTAAATATTTTGTTAAAAGGACTTTTATATTTCCTAATACATAGTAGCTGATTTATCTTTAGATGTAAAGCGAATAGTATGATTGAATTTAGCTAAAAAGTCATTGCTTTCCTTTAAACTGTTTAATGACTACTCATCTCCTTAAAATATTTTATTAAGAAACTAATTATTTGCTTCAGATAAATTCTCGTTATTTTTAATACTGTTCATGAACTTAAAATATGCTTAAGGATCTATTTCATGAATATCTTTTGGGTTTTTAGAAAATATTTTAATACCCTGTTCACTATAAAGAGTAATTTAATCCTTATTCATTGTCCACAAAGAACATGAAACATTTAAAGGAAGTATTATAGAATGTTCTTTGACAACAATATCAGATGTATTTTTGATATTTTTTTATGTCTCTTGTGCTATTTCTGATTGTGCTAATAAAGTCTTTTAAATTATTCCAAATTTTGTTTTTTTCTACTCTTTTTTTACATCTTATTTAGAGCTTGGAGTCTAAGGAATTGTAGTTTTGCTACCATCTTTCTTTTATTCCTCTTGTATTTTATTTACATCAATTTTCTTACTTTCTTTCTCAAGTAATTAAATACTGCTTTACTTTTATTGCTCTTCCTCATTTTTCTAATCTGGCTACTACTAATTCTTTTCTTACTCAGGTTGTTATTTTTCCTAATTTAAATCTTAAGGCTGTTATTGTGGTTGCTATTACTAAACCTAAGATGGTTGCTTATTTAATTCAGGTTGGTACTACTCTTAAATTCCAAGAAGTTAGTATTCATCAATTTAAATAAATTCTTCTTCTACTTTTTCTTTCTTTTTCTCTATCATAGGAGACTCTATGTCATACTTGTAAAGATAGAATTCTATCATGCGAATTTATTCATTATCTTCTGGAGGCTGAGTTTAAGTAACTGCTGAAGTACTACTTTTTGTTGCCTTTGCTTTAATTTTTTTTACTAATTTTTAGGATGCCTATTCTTCAGCTTAAGGCTATTCTGGTGCTTTAATCTTCTCCTTCTTCTTATCCTCATTTATTTAAGTCAAATTGGGAGGTGGTGGAACTGGTATTAAATCTTTGGCTTCTGGTGCTTTAGTATCTTTCAAGTTTTAAACAACTATCTTCTTTCCAATTATATAAAGATAATCCCCATCACTTAATAAAGGGAAGTTCTTATTGAGCTACTGCTACTAAGCTCCTTCAAATATATCTTCATTTTTTAGCTAAATTGTATCTACTTATTCTAATGTATCACAATTATATATATCTATTAGTCCAGACTGCTATTATTAATTAATAGGTGGCATTTAGGAACAATATTTTAAAAATAAATTAATGAGTGCATTACCTCCTTAGTTGAAGTTCTTAAATATAAGCTTCCTTTTAAATATGTCCAGCATATTTCTTCTTGTTTGCTGACTTACTAGCTTGCATATACTTTTCCTGGAATAGTATTATTGTTTCCCGTACCTACTTTGTAAATGCCACCATCGGCTGAGCTTATGTAAATATACAAATAAGTTCCATCTGTTGTCATTGAAGTTGTAAAGAAGGATTATTTATAGAATTATTGAAAACTAGATACTTTAAACCCTCCCTAATCACATAGATTTCTCATATAATGTAATTTACTTCCCATTTTTATTTGTTTCTCAATTTTATCAAAACATGGATTTACAACTGCACTAAATCTTTAAATAAAAATATCCTATTCAGCTTCATTTAATAGCTGTTTACTCTCCTCAATAATATCTAAAATTTAAATCTATTTTTATATCAAATTTTAATTAAAATTAAGTAGTTAAAAATTAAAAAGTGAAGTTAATAGTTATTAATTAATTTCAGCTTTTAAAGTATCTCAGAAGTAGACAATTTAATTTTATTGAAAATATGTGCTTAAAGATATTATCTGACGATTTTAATTTTTATATTTTGCCTTTTCTGTTCTAATCTGCTTTCATTTTTAAGAAAAATTAGAATCTAAACATAAAAAATGAGAAAAATCGACAAAATGAACAAAAAAGTTATCATAATAAGCCTTCTATAACCTAATCAGCTAAAAATGTATGTAAAATTTATTTGGTATTTCATTTTTATTTAGTTTTATGCAATTTGACATAAAATCAGGAAAATTTTAATTTTATTGATCAGAAGAAGGATTTGAACAGCAGATTTTTCTTGATTAAAGTACACTTCAGTAATACTTAAAAAAAAAGTAATAAAAGCTTACCAAATCTTCAAAGCTACCTCTATTGAAATTAACGTAGAAAATAGCAATAGTTGAATCTATAATTAAATCTAAAGCAGACTTTCTATTTTTTTGTTCTACCTAGCTTTATTGCAATACAGCTAAATTTTACTTTATTACCTATTTCACCTTATTTATAAATTCTTGGTTGAAAAACTCTGGCTCATTAAACTATGATAGCAATGGTTGTTTTTTAATGTCTTTAATAAAATCACTTAAATCAAAGGGCCATTTGCTAGGATTGTTTCCTTTTAACTTATTAAAATTCCACTAATCTAGTGCACAGTCTTTGATTTTTTGTATTTCACTGTCAAAATCTTTTATTTTATTAAAACAAATATTGAATTCCACTTTTAATACACACTTTTAAGTAATTTCGAAGATCAATTGCACAGCTTTATTCAATGAAAAAATGTTTCCATTTTTCATTTAAATATTTTACATAAAATGTTAAACTAAATGAATTATTGAATGAAAACTTACCTTCAACTAATCCAAAAGAATTTTAGCTTTTATTCTTAAGATTTTAGTTAATTTATATGGAATTTCTGAAATGGTATTCTGAAATTTAATTCTTTAAGCTTTTAGTGAATATATTTGTTTACTAATCTATTTATTTGATGCTTTTCTCTCTCAACTTTTCCAAAGCACTCTCTGAAAACTCTACTGTTTGGTTTAAAGATTCGAATGGAGTGCTCAAATTTAATTCTTTAACGTCATGCTAAATAGACTTCTCACATACTCCGATTGTTTCTTTTAATGAGGAGAAGTATAAGAAATCAGGATCACTACCATAATTTTATAAATTTAAGAAATTGTCGTCTCCTAATTATATATGATTTGGCAAACTCATCTTATAATCTATATTTTAGCTTGCTCTAATACTATTTTATCAAATTGGGTCCTTGATTGCTTTACTAATTTATTAGCTTCTTAATTTAGTTTTGTTATTATTTTTTCTTCCTGTCCTACTCTTTTTCTATCTGATCTCTGATTGCTTGTATATTGAAAAAGATACTTCTTGTTGATGATTGTATTTATTATAAATTATATTTATTATTATTTTTCTTTTTTATAAAATTTCTTTCTATGAACAATATCTTAAATCCTCAAAATAAATACGATAAATTATAAACATTAATTCTTTGTGATCTTAATAGCAATAAACTCATTAAAAAATGCGCAACTTAAATATCGTTCATAAAATTTTTTTCGTTTCTAAATTCTGTTTTTCAATTTTTAATTTTAAAAATTATTTTCTATATTTTTTTTTTTATAAAAATATTTTTATTTTAAAATATTTGATTTTCAATTTTAATATTTGCTTGAATAAATAAAAAAAAAAATTAAAATTGATTAATTTTTACTCAAATGACACATTTAACAAATAGCTGTAAAAAAAGCTCTAAATATTTTTTGATAAACTATCAGCAATAAATTTCTTATAGTTAATTTTATTTACTTTATTTCAAAAAGTAAATCATGAGATTTTGCTATATATATAGATTGAAAGGTATTAAAGCTACAATTAATTATATAATTTTGTAACTTTAAAAAAAAGTGTAATATTTAAAATTTATTTAACAACCTATAGATCCTCTCAAAAACATAAATTTTGAATTTCTGTTATAATTAAATTATTCTGATTACATCAAATATATTTTATTTAATATTTTAATACCTAATAAAAAAGAATTTTTAATGAGTTAGATAATTAATATTTAAAATATTAGAAATTTAACAAAAATTTTGATTTGAATTTTATTGGATAATTTTATTTACAAAATTTAATATCATTAAAATTTTATTTTTATTTATTACTAAAAATTAATTTTTGTTTCCTTATAATAACTCAAATATTTTAAAATAAAGAATTTTAAAAATCAGTAAATTTGGTTATAAGCAAAAAAACATTCTAGAGACAAAAGTAATTGAGAAAAAATAAGAATTAATATTTTTTTTACTTTTTATTGATGGCAAGTATCAAAGTATTAGGATAGCTTCCCTTAATTTTTAAGAGATAAAGTTGTTTTTGTTTGATTTTTTATTAGGTTGTTGATGATTATTTTTAAACTATTGTGCTACTTCATAAGATATAATTGTCAATGTTTGAATGTTATTTACACAAAAGGCTTTTGCAAATTGCATTTTTATTTCAAAGTTTATTAATTAATTTTTAATTTATTATTTGATTTTATAAAAAGTAACAATAGATATATAATTTTTATGTTAACAAAGTTAATTTTTTATTAATTTTATTTAAGTTATTTCATTATTTTTTAAAATTTAAAGTAATATCTTTATAATATACCTAAAGTACTTTAACTTAAAATAAAAGTTGGTGAAATATTTATATATTGGGGAAATATAGATGAGTGTATTTATAAAAAAAAGTCCACTAAAGTGTTTATATGATTAATTTTAATCATAATTAAAATTTTTAAATTGATTTTTCTTATTGTTTTGTCAAAATCTTTATCAATCCAATACAAATTTTTAAGCTTATCTTTTTCTAAATGTATAAATGTTAAAATATTCAAATTTATTCTTTTCTGAATAGAAAATGTAAAAAAAGCTGATAAAAATAAAAAAGAGATACTAAATACGAGAACAATTGCTTGAATTAATTCTATTTATTTTGTTTTAAATATGATTCTGTCAACTTAATTAATTTACCTTACTGTAATTTAAACATAGTTATTGATGCAATTTAGTGAATTAAAGCATTTATTTATCATAAATAAAAATAATATAAGTATTAGATTTAAATTTGTTTAGTTTCTTACTTTTAGAACAAATTTTTAAGAAAGTATAACAAAGTATTTTGAATTTTAGCGTTTTTATAATTATATCAATAAATGGAAAAGAAGATGAATGCATCAATAAGTATATTATTTAAAAAAATCTAAAATAGGAACTTAATTCTATTTGAGAAACAAAATACCTTAAATTTTTATAAGTTAAGGCTTATATTAAAATTTTGTGTTTTTATTTATTAGATTTTTAAGGGTAATTTGATAAATATTATTAAAATAAAAGAAATCTTAATTTAGCAAGAATTGCAAAACTGATAAAAAAATGATATTAATTAATCTAGTTTAATCTTTATTTTTTTAATTGATGCTATAAACAGTAAAAAAATTTTCTAAAATAAACTTGAATAAAATGTTTCTTTAATTAGATAAAAAATTTTACAACAAGTTTAAATATTTCATAAATAATTTAAAACAATAATCGGATTTGCTTAATAATCTAATTAAAATCAATATTATTAACTGATCTGCAAAAAAAAACTAAAATTAGAAATAATAGCAAAATTTTATAAAATTATCAATAACTATTTTTTTTAAATATCTTTTTATTTTTAAAAATTTAATTATTTTGATTTTAATGAAATTAGATATTCAAATTATATTTAATTTAACAAATATCTTTTCAATCTACCATTTTAATATCTATGAATTATTTTTTATTAAGATAATTTTACTTTTTAACAAAAATCTATTCACTAAACTATTTTATTACTATTCTTTATTATTAATTTTTTTTACTTCTCTTACAATTAGGTAAATAAATTGTATTAGTCAAATAATGTGGTGATGAATATTATTTGGTTTTAAATATTTAAAATTATGATAGAATATTCCTTTGAAAAGTGTTTATAATGTTATTTTTATTTTTTAAAACAATATAAAATAATTTGAAATTTAATTTTAAAATAGCTTTTATAATTGAAAAAAATAATATGTAATTTATATTTGATAAAGTATGATATTAATTTATTGATTTTTACTTTTGCATTAAAGTTAAATATATGAGCATTTAATCTTATAAACCAAACAAGAATGATGCAATTTACTTTCAAAAGATTTTTTTTTTCAAGCTTAATCTTTTCTTTATACAAGTTGTCAGAAATTAATATACTTTTCATGTGATTTTACATTTCTTATGATAAATTACAAACATTACATCAAATCTTATCGCTTGTGGCTATTAAAATAGAGATTAAGATAGCTATCTCCCAGATAAAAAATAAGTTAATAAATATACTTAAAGTATTAAAGTAGAGAAAAAAAAGATATTTTAGGAGATGGAGATCCTTTAAGATTTGCCTAACAAGCTTTTGAATGGATTTAAGGCCGTTTTAGATATGAAATGTGAAGACTATGTGGATCTTTACCATACAAGCAAGGCTCATATATATAACATGATCCACCCTTTTGTCCATTAATACGAAACAAAATATTAAAATTTAGTTAATTAGTATCATCTTGATACTTTTGACCAAGTTGTCTTGAGTCTCTTCGCAGTATTAGTTCTTTACAAAATCGTTAAATCTATCTAAAGATTTGTAGAGTTCATATTTTCAGGTATTTAATCATATTAAAAGAATTGATTTAGTTATTCTTTTTGGTTTTCATTTTCGATTATTTTTTAAAGATAAAAAATGTCAATTAAAAGTCTTAAATTATTAAACCAAAAACATTTACTAAGACCTAATCATTTCAATGAATTATTAAATCTTTATTAATTTAAATAAAGATAAAGAAAGATCCTTTAAGGCTTACATTTTCTACCTTCTTGTTACTTATCTTCCTTTTGCCAAAAAGAAACTTGAAGCTGATTTGGCTAAGGTTGAAACCTAATTTTATGAAGCATGCTGCAAGAATACTGAAAAAAGATGCCCAAAATTACCAGCAAAGGGTATGAAGTCTTCAACTTTGCAAAAGCGTATTTAAGAATGGGTTTAAAGAGATGAATAAATTTCAGGAACTGGTAAGATATCAGGATCTCGTTACTGCGATGATACAGAATACGAAAATGAAATCAAGAACTTCACAAGTAATAATATATAAATAAATTGTAAATATAAATGAATTTAAAAAACAAAATATTATAAAATAGAGGATTTCTTATATCACAACCCTTTGCATTACGAAATCTTCCCTGCTACTAGACAAATGGAAGCAGAAATTATTAAAATGACTTGTAATATGTTCGGTTCAGACGATGGTTATGGCTACACTACTTCTGGAGGTACTGAAAGTATTTTAATGGCTGTTTTAGCTCACAGAAATTATGCCGCTAAGTTCAGAAATGTCACAGAACCCAATTTGTAATTTCAATTTTAAGTTTGAATTTTAAATAATATAATAAATTTTGATCATTAATATAGAGTTATGTCTAGAACTGCTCACCCTGCATTCAATAAAGCTTGCAAATACTTCAAAATTAAGTGTATTAGAGTTGGTACCAATGATAAGGCCGAAGTTGACCTCAAGTAACTTGAAAGTAGAATTGACTCAAACACTATTATGGTAATAATAAATTAAATATTTAAGTAGCGAACTTTGATCATTTTCTTTAATTTTATTAGATTGTTGGTTCAGTTCCAAGCTATCCCTATGGAGTAATTGATGATATTCCCGCTTTAGCTAAGATTGCAAAAGCCCACAAAATTGGACTTCACGTTGATTGCTGTCTTGGTGGTTTTGTTGTAGCCTTTGCCAAAGATTATGGTCTTTAAATTAAGCCTTTCGACTTTACAGTTGATGGTATATTAAATATATTTTGTAAAAAATTGAAATGGTTAAATTTTTTAATTAATAAAAAAAGGAGTTACATCTATCAGTTGTGATCACCATAAATATGCCTTAGCACCAAAGGGAATTTCAGTGGTTATGTTCAAAACTAAGGAATTGAGACATCAAACATACACCTCTGTAAGTGACTGGCCTGGTGGTTTCTATGCCACTCCTTCTGTTTGTGGTTCAAAGCCTGGTGCTCCTATTGCAGGTGCTTGGTATGCTATGATGTATCATGGACGTGAAGGGTAGATATTTTAATTTATTTTAATTCTTTCAATCTATCCATATATACCTTAATTAATCTATTTTTACTTTAATCTATAGTTATGTCGAAAAATCCAAAGCTATTTCTACTGCTACTTAAGCTATCGTTAAAGCTATAAGAGAATTACCTGAATTATAAGAGTTGGATGTTATTGGTAATCCTTGTACCTGCTCTCTTGCTATTATTTACAAGAAAGAAACTAAGCGTAATATTTATCACCTTGAAGGAGCTTTATCAAAGTTAGGATGGAAATTCTCTGGTATTTAACTTCCTCCTGCTATATAAATTTCCATGAACCACGGTATTGCTAATCGTACAAAGGAATTAATCAAGGATTTGAAGAACTGCGTCAAAGACGTAAAAAAACATCTTTTTTATCACAAATATAAATAAAAATTTATATAATAAAATAAATAGGTTGCAGAAAATCCAGAAAAGTATAAGGATAGCTCAAGTGCATCTATGTATGGTGCATCCGTTAAGGTGCCTGATATTAAAACTCTTGACAGAGTTCTTGACGCTGTTGTTGACAGCTTCTTAAAGCTTTGAAAATATGTATATAAAATTACAAGATAAGCAGATATTTTATTGTATAAAATGAATTGAATCTATATATATATATATATTTGTATTCTTTTAACTTTAAATAGTCACTTTTAATTTCATCAAAGATATTTTTGATTTGAGAATCTTCCTTTAATTAGTTGGTTTCTTGAATTTTTTATTTAATAATATTATCTGTTTGTCTGTGTATATGCAGTGAAATGAGAAATTTGCAAAGAGAAAGAGTAAAACTAAACAGAATCTCAACAAATATTGTAAATAATCTTTAAATTTCGTAATCATATGTGACTTGCTATAAAATCAAACTATTTTTATAATGAAAATAGCATGTCTTAGCTGGTATTTAAAATTCGTTTGATGGTAAAAAGTTTGTTGTTACTCAAAAAAATTAGAAACGATGGTATTTTTTTGTTTTTTAATTTGGAAAACACTAGATTCAATTTTACTTTTACTAATTAATCAAAATAATTCACAAATTTCTGTGTAATTAAAAAATTTATTTCTAAATGAGTAGTAATTCTGATTAATTTTTTTCCTAATTTTTTGTATTACTTAAACAAGTACTTATCATTTCAAAATTAATCAGTATAATTATCAATGACATCATTTTATTTGAATGACACTTAACTTACTTTATATTCAAAAATTATTATCATTTCTTTTCAAAAAAATGAAATTATAATTTTAAAACAATTATTTTCATTTAATCAATTAATTACTTATTTGTATAAAAATTTTGCAATCATATACCATAAATTATATTTTAGCAATATTTTACCCAGAATTTATATAAGTAGTTTCAGTAAAAAATTATTATTTAATTAGTTTTTTTTTATTCTAAGTTAATTTATGAATAAATTTAAAATATTTTAACTTTGAATGTATATGAAATAATTTAAATTTAAATTGATTTTTATGAACTAATAGCTTTAAAAATACTATAATTTTCATATGCATACACAACACAGAAGAAAATAATATAAAATTAAAGCTTAAGAAATATTCATACTTTAAATATATTAAAGGTAGCATTGCATAAAAATCTTATTATTATAAATATCATCACCAAGATTCATTCTTAAATAATTGATTTTTTAAAATGTTAGAAATATTTCATATCTAAAATATTTTTTAATTCAGAAATATTTTTTTGTGAATGGTAAATAATTTATTTGTATCAATTTAAATTCTATTTGTTATTTAGCATGTCAAATATTTTCATTGATATTCAACTTATTCTTAAACATTTAATAAAAAATATAATAAATTTTAAATGTAGATTTTTTATTTTTTTTTTGAAATTAACATTTTTTTGATAAAAAATTATTTGGCACATCAAAATAATCAAAATTAAAATATTTTAAATTTATTTGAAATAGTTGAAAGAGGGTAATTTTAAATAAGTTGATTATAAATTATTTTTATTTATTTATTCACTGAATGATAATAATTATAAGAAATAGCTTATTAAATATCATTCAGATTTTTGAATTTGATTTTGTCAGCAAAAAAAATTAATGACTAAAAGATCAAACGTTATCATTATTTGAAAAAGAGTCTTTAATTAAAATAAAAAATATATCCAATTAGAATTGATAGATATTATTTTTAAATTATCAAATCATTCATTTATTTAGAGTAAATCTTTCTTATAAACTAACAAATGAAGATTAGCTAACAACAGAAATTATCTTTAGTAAATAGAACAGGCAAGCTTGAGGCAAAAAAAGAATCAGGTATATAATTTACTTTTAAAATAGCTTAATGGCTTTGCTTTTTTTTCAAATTGCAAAATAGATATAATAATATAAATTAAAAAGGCTAGTAGTTTTCAATATTTTTTTCAAATTTTAAAGGTTAAGATGGGCTTTGTGATGTGATTAATTTCAAAACTTTAAAGAAAGGAAATTGGCATTCATTTAAATTACAGTTTGATTCTAAAGGTATGAAAACTATTAAGTTGAGATTAAGAGAGATAGTGATTTAAATTCAAATTTGTTTAAAAAAAAGGAGCAACATATGGATGCTTAGATTAAGCAGGTAATGTTACATTGTTTTATCTGGATAAAAACAGATACACTAATGTTGACGTTTAAGTAGATTCTTCTAATTTGACATTCATAGGTAATTAATTATTAGCTTAGAATATCGCTTTATAAATAAATATTATTTTTATAAGAAAAACCAACTGGATACTTAGCTGTTTCAAATGCAGATTGTTCAATTTCGATTTACAGCATTCTTAGTAATTTAAACAAAAATTTAATCTGTTTTAATTTATTTTGTTTAATTATTTTAGGTGGAAAGCTCATCTAGCAATTAAAATGGCACACATTTAAGATTAAAAGTAATTAAACTCTATTTACTTTATTATTTATAAATTTTAAGATATTTTTTGATATTAACCTTTGTCTTTTATTTAAAAGAGCTACAAGTTAATCATATGAGCGGATATCTACTTTCTGTAAGCTCTGATAACTGTACTATATGGAATATAAATACATATGAAAGAAGAAAATCATTTTTTGTTAAAAACACAAGATACGCTCAAGGTTGTCTTACTCCTGCAGGTGAACACCTTATTACATTGTCTTAAGTAAATTCGAATTCTAAGTAGGCTAAACTCATTGATTATTTTATTAAATATAGAATGGATTAGTTGAGTGTCATAATACAGACACTTTGAAAATAGAAAAAAAAGAAGAAATTGGTCTGAAATTAAAGTAAGCTCACTTAGATATTTCAGCTGAAGGAGTATATATTGCTATTTGTGGAGATTCGAATTATTGCTTAATTGGAAGATTGGACTGCTAATAAGGATTTGATTTTGAACTCTATGAGTTACCAAATAATATTTAATCTGTTAAAAAAATAAAATTTATAAGGAATAGCTTGCTAACACTCTTGGGAAGCGATGAAAAAATATATGTTCTCTCAGCTGAAAATAATATGGAAATTGTATTATGCTTTGAGTTGCCTAGTCGTAAAGTAAACAAATTATTAAACAATTAACAAATATTTAAAAATCATAATTCAATATTAAAATAGGGAATAGTTGACTATGATTTAAATATTGATGCTAAATATTTAGTTGTAATCAGCACTTTAGGAGAAAAGTATGTCTATGATTTTCATTAGTTGATAGCTAATTAAAAGAAGTAAGCCAATTAATTTATAAATCCTGTTAAAAGAATAATGAATTTTTTTAAATTAATAGGCATCAATAAGATGTCACGATGAAGAAAGGATCATTTAGCAGATAGACTCTAACAAGAATGGATTTAGATGAACTCAAATAAACTCTCTTTTACTAAACTAAAGAGAATTAAATGAAATATGCAAATTCTAAAAAATAAAAGCATGAAGGAAAAATTAATGGAGAGACAAATATGATTATGCTTGATAGAGTAGGCGGAGCTACTCCCGAAGTAGAGATCTTTGTAAATGGAAAACGCTAGGATTAGTATGATATTCAAAATTAAAAATCTTCTTTCTTGGATAGAGAAAAATTGAGAGAATTTTTGAGCAGATTTGGGTACTTTCCTGAAAAGCATAGAGTTGTTGTATGGAATTACTTGTTAAAGCTGCCTTCTAACTATGAAGCTTTTGATAACTTAGCACGTAAGGGTTTGCATCCAAACTACTTAAATTTGAAAAGTACTTTCCCAATACAATCTGACAAATTATACTATAGGACACAAAGAATTTTATCTTGCCTTGCACACTATTGTCCTGTCTTTGCTTAATTAGATTACATGCCAGCTTTTGTTTTTCCTTTTGTTAAACTATTAGGAACAAATGAAGCATTTTGTTTTGAAGTTATCCTGAGCTTTTTAGTTCAGTGGGGATAATTTTTCTTTGAATTCGCTCCAAATCCTCCTGTTAGCTATCTTAAAGCATTTATGGAACTGCTGGAGTATCATGAACCTCAACTTCACGCTCAGCTTAATCAAAATATACCTCACACTTAGCTCTTCAATACTATTTGGAGCTCATTACAAGTTGTTTTAACTGACGTCCTAAAGCGTGAAGACTGGCTTTGCTTTATTGATTTCTTAGTAGCTCACAGTGAAAAACCTGATTTATTATTACATATACTAGTAGCATACTTTACATATTTTAAAAGACATATCATTTCTTTCACAACAGGATCATAACTGCTTCGTTTCTTTTAGCAAGATCATTAAATTAGAATTTAAAATTTACTTTAAGATGCTCTTGAATACCGCAATAGAACCCCACCAAGAATTCCTTAAGCAGTTGTTCTTTAGGATAATCTTCCTTTAACTAGTGAACAATACCCTATTTTTAACTTTTACCCAAAGTTTTCACTTGACTAACATAAAGAAATAAGAGAATAAATTATACAAGAAGAATTAAAGGCAACAGAAAAGAAGAGAACTTTGAAAGAACTTAATACACTTTAGTAATAATTAAATGATCTTGAAAAGCTGTATGAAGAAAAATAAGATGCATTAATGAGGCATGAAAGAGAAAGAAGAGAAATTATAACATATGAATAAGAAATGAGATACTCAAAACTAGTTGATGCAGAAAGACAAGTAAGAGAAGAAAGATTGCAATAAATGAAAAAACTAGAAGAAGAATCAAGAAAAGCAATATAAATAGCTGAGAATTCAAGAAAAGCTGATCTAGATTTTATAGATTAAGAATTGTAAAAGAAGAGAGCAAACGACAATAAGTTTATAGCTTCCAAAATGGAGGAAGAAGCTATTTTGAACTTAGAGTTAAAAACAGCAGGAAGAATCAATGAAGTTTTAAACACAAAAACCAAAGACTAAAATATTTAATCAATAACTCTGCAAGCAGAGATAGCTCAAAAAAGATTAGATATGAAATACAAATAAATGGAACAATAAATTGATTAGTAAATCGAGGAAGAGAACATCAGATAAGACCACATTCTTTAAAGAAAAGCTGTAAAATTTTACATTATCAAATTTTATCTAAAAATGTTTAAAAAATAAATAAATTTTTAAAAAAATCAAAAGCTTTTAAAAGCTTGAAAATAAATTTTTCAATTGCTTAAATAAAAATGCTAAAAGCTGATTTTAACGCATATTTTCTCTTTAGATTTAAAATAAAAAAATAAATTATTCTGTGAAAAAATTTATGAAAATTTCATTTAATTAAAATATTTAATAATAATTTTTGCTTAAAAAAATAAAATCTAAATTGTTAAAATTTTAAAAATAAATAGCTTTAAAGGGAAATTGAGGATGACGTTTCAAAATAAAGAGAGATAAAGGGACAACTTTTAGCTGAAGAGTTTGAAAGAGAATTAAAATTAGCTGAAATTGAAAGAGACAGACGCATCTAAAGAATTGAGGATAATGAAAAAATTAAATAATAAGAATTCTTGCAACTTTATAAATTGCAGGATGATGTTTTAAATTAACAATAAAATTAACTAGTTAAAACTCTTTAAGACAAAGACCTAGATGCTAACAAAGCTAGATAAGAAGAAAGGTTAAGAATCATAGAATAAGAAAATAGATAAAAGCTATATGAGCTTGAGGAACACAGAAGTAAAATTAAGGATATTACTTCTCATTTAAAGAGAGCAGAAGCAGAGGATTAAATCTAGGTGTTTAGAAATACTATGTTGCAAAACTAATTAGATGAAGAGAAGAAATTATAAAAAGAAATAGAGCAAATATAAAAAGATAGAAAAGCTTAAAGAGAACTTTAGCAAGATTTAGAGTTTAAATAATAAGAATTCGCTTAATCTGAGCAATACAAAAGAATATTGAAGTAAAATGAAGAATTTATTAGAAGAACTGAAGAAGAGAAATACAGAGACTTTTAAAATAAGCTTAACTAATAATTTGAGTAGTAATAACAAGAAGAAGAAATGAAAAACCAAAAGTATCAATACTCTCCATCTTAATAAAATACTTACAGTCCTTATTATCAAGATACCTATGGTAACTATAATTAGAGTAATAATTACAATAATGGATTTAATCAAAGCAATAATTATCAATACAATAAAAGCATACCAAATAATGGCCAGTATTATAACAACACTTATAACAATAGCAACTATAATAATCCTAACTTATAAAATAATAACAATAACTCATATCCCAATCAAAATGAGTATTCATAAAATTATCTTCAAGACTCCATAAACTAGCATTCTTCAATGGAGGCATGAATGAAGATTCAATAATATGGCATAATAGTATAGTGTTTTATATTTTTTTGAGTAAATTGTAATTTATATGCTTTTTAAGTTTTTGTTTTAAAAGATATATTAAAATAAAATATTAAAAAATTTACAACTTACAAGTTATTTTTATCAATTAAAAATTTTTCAAATTTACTTTTTAAAATTAATTAATCATTATTAATCTTTTTGGGAAGTTTTATATTATTATTTAAATAGTTAAAAATTACATCTATTAGGTCTTAAATAAGAATTTACACAATAATATAACTATCTAAAATTATTTGCTTAAAAATACATTAACTAAATTTTATTTGATAAAAAAAAACCACATGCGACTATTTTTTACATATGAAGCCATTATAAAAGAAGATTTAATTAATAAAATTAAAATATTACTTTATGAAGCTATTTGTTAAGTATATTAATTACTTGATACATTAAATATTGAAATATAAAATTTTCGTATGAAATTAAATTTTTTTTGTGGCTACTTTTTAATTATACATGAAATATTAATATAAAGAATCATAATATTTTTTATGAAACTATAAAGCAATTTTTAATTATAAAATAATATCAGAAACAAGCGATATTTTAATCTTATGTTTAAATAAAGTTGCCATAAATATTCTATGTGATAGTCTTACTTTATTGGTTGGAGCCTATTGGATGAAAGAATCACTTTTCATATTTTTGTTATAGTTAGAAGTTAACATAAATTAATATTTTATTGAAAGGTATATTTCATTATATAAATAGTTTGAATCAATTAGCTAACTAAAATTTTAATTTATAAAATTTAAAAAATAGATGTAAAAAGAAGTAGTTTTTTTATATGATTTAATAATTTTTAAAGAGGACTTAATAGTTTTTAATTATCATCAAAATTCGAAAATAATAAAGATACTAGATATTTTTAATAAGAATATGGCGTTTATTATTGATTAGTAAATCATTAATAAGCTTAATTAAGTTCAAGAATAAAAATAATTCAAATTTTTATGAGGAATTTTTATCAACCTTAAAATATTTACCATCAATAATTTTAATATTCAATTAAAAAGCCTGCTACATACTTTTTAAAGCTAATAGTAACATTTATAATTTCTTATAAACTTTTTAGGTTTTTATATTATAAAGCAATTTTGAGAAACATTATTTCAATTTATATATATCTATATTTCTCAAAGCAAGAGTTATTTTTTAAAAGTATTTGCAACTAAAGAATAGGTTAATAACATGTAGAGAAAGAGAAGAAACATTAAAGTTTACACTATTTAATCTTTAACTGGCCTAGGTAATTATATTGATTAAAATATCCTATTTAGTTCTGGCCTGAAATAACTCATTCATCTTAAAATTTCGTAATAGATAAGTAAGATAGAACAAGTAGAAATCCTCTATTTTAGCCAAAAAATAAGAGTACTTGCGAATTTAGCATCCAGAATACTCTTAATGTTTCCCTGAATTAGAAAGCAGTTGATATTATAGAGTAGCTACAAAAAGAGTTGATTACAAATTATCATGAAGACATTGTAAAATTAACTATTTTGAATCATAGAATACTAAATTAAATTCCATTTTAATTTATTTTTTTATTGAATCTATAAATAGGCTAAATAAATAGGGACTTGGATAAATAGTTATAAAAAGTAAAAAAATAAATAATTTAGCATATCATTTAGCCCTCATACTTTACATTTAATTGTAATCACTAAGCTTCTAACCCGTAAAGTATATATAATATATCTTTTCATTAATAAATAATAGGATACTCCGCAAGATGAGTAGAGAATTCCAAGGGTTATAGAATCTACTAAAAAGCTTATTTTATTAGCAGAGTCTCTAAGCTGCTAACCAGATGAATTGGTAATTATGATTACTTTTAATACTGTTTGATTAACTATTCGCTTTACCAATATAAACTAGGAGTCAAAAGTTTTAGAGCTAATTGAAAAATAGTTTTTATAGATTTATACAAAAATTGAAAATGCATTTGATGAAGAAGCAACTGTTGATAATTCATCTTAAAATACATACATTCATTTAAAAGGAAGAAGAGCATTCAATCTTTTATAGGAATTTTGCAATACTTTCACTGAAAATGAGCCTATTTATAAAATACTAGCTTTATCAAAAAGTGAAAGTTTTTAAACTCTTTAAAAGTTAAATAAATATACAAAGGTCTTTATTCTAAAAGAAGAAGATAATGATAATGCACATAAAATCTTATCAGATTTAAATATGGAAAAGATTAACATTTTCTTAACTTTGATAGATAGAATTACAAGCAACTTAGAAACAATAACTAAGAATTTTAAGAACCAATCTTCAGCTTTAGAAAGTGTGCTAAAAAATATACATAGTAGTCAAATGATTTAGCCATTTTACGATGCTAAAATTGACTATAATGCAGCTCCTGAAGAAGCTACTTCTTCAATTAGTATGTCTAAAAATACATTTATGTTTTCAGATAGAAATGGAAAAAAAATTCCAATAGTTTAAGGAAATTTTAATAATAATGATGAGAATAAAGAAGGCTAATCAATGGTTATAGAAGAAAGTGACGAAGACTGTGATGACGAAGAAGACTATGAACACTACAATAATGAAAATAATCTAGGATAAAATTTAAATAGATTGAGTCGCCATAACAAAATGTAGTTTTAGTAAGCGAGTAAAAAAAATGAAAAATAAAATGAAGATTCAAACTAAGATCAATTTTCCTTTTAGATTGAATACCTTAAACCAGGTAAATATAACATCTTATAATTATAATTAGGCTTTATTTGCTACCTAAAACATTAATTGATAATTTTATATAAAAATATAATTAAATTAATTTATAAATAATTATTAAAAATTAATCATCTGCTTTAATTTTTACTGGATTAAAAAAAAAATAACAAATCAACACCAATAATTTTTAATTAAAATTACTTAATTAAATTTTTAGGTAACATTCCATGGGATTTGCAAACTATTAGATCAGAAGGTAAAATTGGAAGTGGAGGTTAGGGCACTGTGTTTAGAGCTTTCGATCCGAAAAAAGAAAGATAAATTGCTTTGAAATTCACAAATCTTCCCTTCAATTGGGAAAAATTTAAAGATAGATATTTAGAAGAAATTAGGATTTAATCTTATATGACTTCTAAAAAGATGTCTCATATTTTAGAGGTAGACAATAAAATTTACATTTATTAAGATAAATATGGGCAATAGTAAAAATATTTGATCAGTTTGATGGAGTTAGGTGTAGGATCTTTGGAGGATTTTATCAAAATATGTGCTTAAGAAAATAAAATTATTTCAGATAGACATATTTTTCATATATTTTTCGATATTTTGTAAGGATTATAGCAAATGCATACACTGAATTATGCCCACAAAGATATAAAACCGTAAAATATTATTTATTCAATTAAAGATAAATGCTGGAAAATTGCTGATTTTGGGTGCATATAAGTCATTTAAAATGGTACAGGAGGAGAAAAGAACGGAGAAATTTCATCTGAGCATTCTTCTAACTTAAAAAAAAATAACAGTTAAAATAGCTCAGATCCCGGTTCCCCAAAAAATAATATTCAAAATTATACTAATCGCTTTGCTTAAGAATGCTATGTGACAGGTACTCCTACTTATATGAGTCCAGAACTTTATTCATTATATTAATAGAGATAAGAGGTAGGTTTGGTTAATCTAGTTGCTAACGATTTCTACAGCTTGGGTATCACAATTTTAAAATTGAGAGAACTGGAAAAAATTGAAAGAACTAAACTAAATGAAAAAATTATGATAAATAGGCTTAGTAGTGATAAACTTAGTAATTTGATAACAATGTTGCTGAATGAAGATTAAGTGTTTCGTAGCTCTTTATCATTTAACTCGTTTACTGAGATGTTTTTTAATGAATATTAAGATTATATTAAAACATAAAAGGATGAGGAGTTTAACTATCTAGAAACTGTTTTCAAATATGATGAAAATGCTCAAGATAATCTTAACCTTGCTTAAAAGTTAGAGTGTGCTAAAACGTACTAAAATATTAATTTAAGAGAGAAGTGCCTAAGATACTTCGAAGAGATAGTGAGTGATCCTGAATTTGAAAAATTAGATATCTTTGAAAAGAGAAATATTTTAGTGGAGTAGGTACAAGCCCTCTCTTATTTTGGAGATTATGAGAGAGCATATGAATAAGGTATGAAATGTTTAAATATAAGCTCTGAATAACTGAAGGGGTTCCACAGCAATGAATTTGTTATATCTGATCTTAAAAATATTGGATAAATATTATTCAATTAAGGTTAGTATGATCTTGCATTGCAGAAATACCTTTTAGTTTTAGATATCATTGCAGAAGACCAAGAAAAGAAATAATAACTAGATTTAGAATTTCGAAATTCATAAAATTTGTATTTGAAAAAATAATCAGAACAAATAAATTAAATCAAGAGGACTCCATCAGCAAAAAGAGCAACACAGTCTGGAAATATAGAGAGAAAAAGTACTTTTCATAAGAGTAAAATAATTCAAAAAGAAAATTAATCAGAAATACTGAATCACGTAGAATTTTGTGAATCTGATAAAGATGGTAATTAAGAAAAAGAATTGAGTAACAGCGATAAGGTTTTAGAAAATTTGAATACGAATCATAATGAAGAAATTATGAATCTTGCTAATGCAGAACATCATGATTAAAAGGATATAAATTAAGATAATAAATAGAATAATTTTAGCGACATTGTTAGTTCTAATAATTAGTCTTTCTAAATAGATTAAAATGGAAGTAAAATTCCTCAAAATAATAAAATTTAAATTCTTATTTCAAGTAATTCATTAGCTGAGTTTTAAAATGACTCGGTTTTGACAAATAGCAATGGGAAAAATTCACAGAATGAAATTCAAAGGAGCTCTTAGTTTGATAATAGTATAGATTAAAATAGATAAGCTTCTTTCTCTGAGTTTAACAGCAAAAACAAGTAGCATGCGGATAATTTATTAAGTAGTAATAGCCAAAATAGCAAGTTAAATTCTGATTATTGCATTGACAAAGATGAAGATATTAAAGCTGATTAGAAGAATCATGTTTCTTTACTTGGCCATAAGGAAATTTAAAACACTATTCTTGATACAATATAAGAAAGCTCATATAATAACTCTATTTAAAATACTTTTAAACCTGAAACACCCTCTCAAACTACTTCAGGTTAAACAAGAGATTTTACAAGCTTTACTACCTCAACTACTAATAACTTAAAATTTGAAAGTAATTTTCACTCTAAAAATGTTATTAAGTAAGCCATGGAATATGACAATTCTTTAGGAAAATTCAACCAAGAGCATGTGTCGTAAGAAATATAAAACGATTTAGCATAAATTTAAACTCTCATAGGTTAAGCATTAAATAAGTTAGGTCATTATGACAAAGCACTTAAATATTACGAAGAAGCATTAAAAACTACAGAGAAAAATTTAGGGAAAAATGATATACAAGTTGCTATTATTTTGGATTCTATGGGTGAATCCTTAGTCAATAATGGGCGCTATAAGGAATCTTTTAGAATATTTAAAAGATCTTATAAGATAAAAAGAAATGAGTATGGAAGAAATAGCATTCATTTAGCTGAAACTATCGCTTAAATGGGTAAGGTACTTGAAAAACTAACTCTATACGAAAAGTCTGCCTAACACTATTCTAAAGCACTTCAAATATTTGAATAGCATTACGGATAAAATCACATTAAGGTAATTTTGATTTTTTGTTTGTAAATAACTATTTTATTAAATGATAACAATATTTTTTTTGGTGAAGACCGCCGAAATATTAAATCACTTAGGAAATGTTAAAAGAGCTGAAGGTAACTATAAATAAGCTTATCAACTTTATTTAGAAGTGCTTACTATCATGAAAAATCATTATCCTTCGGACCACATAGAGATAGGTAAAATCTACCATGATATAGGAAACGTTTTAAGAAATTAAGAAAATCATGAACTTAGCTTGGATTATTTCTTAAAGGCTGAGGAAATAAAGATAAAATATTATGGTACTGACCATGTAGAAGTATCTAATACTAGATAGTATATAGGTATTATTTACAGAAAGATGGAAAAGTTAGATTTAGCTTAGAAATATTTTGAGCTAGCATTAGCTCCTATGGAGAATCATTTTGGAAAAGAACACATAGAAGTAGTTAAGCTGGTCTAAGAAATAGCTGTGTTATTGTAATTGTAAGGTCACCTTTAGCTTGCTAAAGAAAAATTAGAATTCGTTTTAAATAATCGTATTAAAGAATTTGGCAATTTTCATATTAAAACAGCTAATACAATGCAGAATGTAGCTACAATCGAAATGGAGCTTTGCAATTACTTAAAATCACTTGAATATACATAAACAGTCCTTACTGTAAGAAAACAAACATTTGGTGAAAATCATATTAAAGTAGCTAACTCAATTACTAGTATTGCTTAGCTTTAAGATTTAATTGGTGATTATCAAAATGCTTAATCCTCTCTTGATAATGCAATTTAAATATATAACCTTGATCTTGTCACAAATAAAGGCAAAATACTTTAAGCAAACATAATAAGAGCAACTATTTTATACAACACTCTTCAACTTAAAGAAGCTTAAAACCTACTAGAAAAAGAGCTTATACCAAATATTAAGCCTAGTTCAGTAAACTACTAGCAAGCTTACACTCTGCTTGGATATATTTACTAATAGTAGTATCTGATATTTGAAGATAGTAATAATGATACTCAGTGGCTGCTTAGACACTTTAGAGATTAAATTTCAGATGGAAGTCCTAGAGATTATATAACCATTTTTAGTAATTTAAGTTAAATCATATAAAATATTTTGATAGAGTCTGAAAAAACATATGGCAAAGACCATATTTCTTACGCTAACGTTCTAGAATAGAATGGTCTGTTCAATTTAAATGTAGAGCAAGTAGAGGCTGCTATTTAAATTAAATTGAAAAGATATGAAGCTTCTCATAAAGAAATTTTGAATTCTAAGTAATTGATATGTCAAATAGAATATCTAAAATCAAGACAAGAAAACAATCCCTTTGAGCAAGATCCAGATAAATGTAAAAGGATTGTTGAAAATCTTAAGGAGATTCTGGAATAAAAATAATAATTTTATTAAGATAATCCTAACCACACTCAACTTTTCAATTCACTTTTGCTTTTATATAAAATCACTAAAGAAAATAATTATAGAGAAAGAATACTGTCTTTAATAAATTAAAATTAAATCTAAATCAATCAAAAGCCTGATAATTCCTAATAATCTATAGTTATATGACATTAATCAACCTTCAAACAAACAAATAAACATATAAACACTCATTCACTCACTCAATCAATCAATCAATCAATTAATAAATTATTTAATTAAAAAAATAAATATCAAATAAATCATTATTAATTACTTAGCTAAATTTATTTAATTTAATTATTCTTATATATAAATAAATTAATTAAATTCACTTATATAAATCATAATTACATACATACATGCAAACAAAAATGGATGAGATGATATTTATTTATTTTTCTTAACAGATAATTATATTACATTAATAATTCTATTAAATTTGATATTAATTTTTAAATTAAAATATTTATTTTGCATTTAAATTAAAAGTTTCAAAAATTTTCTTTTTTGATAAAATTAAAAAATAAATTTTAAAAAACATAATTACCTTATTTATCAATTTAAAATTTCTAAAATACAATAATTTTAATTTTTGGTTAATTTAAAATACTATTTTTTCGAACTTTTATTTTCTAAATATAAAATTCCTTCATTTGGAATTAATTTATTTAGCATTAAATATTGTAAAATAACTGTTAAGTTTAAAAAAAAATTCTAATTTTTCATATACAGACTAAGATTTTCCAATTTGCTATCATTACAATCTCAAAAATTTTATAATTTAGAGATATTATGGTAAGATTTTCCTATAAAATTATTTTTAAATTATTAATGACTTAATAAATATTTAAATCCTAATTTTATTTAATATTTTTATATTTTATAGCGTTTATTTTTTATTTTTAAAATAAATTTTAGGTTTAATGGTTTATGAATTTAAGATTTTTAACAGATAAAAATAAATTTATTTTACTGAATTAAGATAAACAAATAGCAAATATAAAAAATGAATTAATTCTCTTTATAATATAAATAAAAAGTTATTTCATGTGAATGAAAAGCTAAAAATTAACTAACTAGCTTAAATTTGGCTTTTATAAATTACAATAATTAAATTTTTATTGAACTATATATACAAAATAAATACAATAGATATTTATCCATCAATGAATAAACTAATTTACTTGATCTTTTTAAGTATTATTTAATTTTAAAGAGTTTTTGTTTGACTTAAGTGTTATTTACATTAGAACAATTAGATATAATCCTTGATACTAAACCTTTAAAATGTATTTATAACTAACTATTTTAAAAAACTTGGTCTGTGAACGGTATTTATTTAACTATCCACATAAATTATATTTTGCATAAGATATGTTCAATCAAAAGGATTGCTTTTCTATTAACTCGCTTCTACGGTCAAAGAAGAATTCTTTATTTGGGTTATCTTAAACAGTGTTTATGTAGCTTCTATTTTTCCAATAGAAGACAAAGAAAATGGACCAAGGACCAAGGAAATAACAGATTGCTTTTACGAAAACAAAAATAATAAGTGTAAAAAAGTTGGATGAAAAGTAGAATTCGTTGCAATCAATCAGCTTTTCAGCATGAGTATGGGAGATGTAATCCCAAATGAACAATAGAAAAGAGGGCAATAATACACCTATCAATAGACCAGGAAGTTATACCTTTCTGTTTTCACAATCATCTTTTGAGTAGTTTTAAATTCCTTCTTCAGTATATCCAACGTCAGGCTTAGATTAATTTTAGATAAATTAAATAATATTCACAGTAGCATATGCTTAAATGCAGCTTAAGATAAAATTTGAACCAGAAATGAGCATCCAATCCATACGCATGCAATTATAAGGAGCTTCAGGAGTATTTTTATGAAGGAATCCACAGAAAAACCATAGTCCAAAGAGATATCCAAAGGTAATCTTTATCATTTTATCTATATTAGCTTTCATAGAATCTGATAATTCTTATATTAAGAAGACTATTTAGCAAATCAAAATCGAATTACCGAAGATTAAAGTTCTGATACTAAAATGCCAAATTTAACTATTATAAAATCCAAAGAATACTGCAGCCATCACTACCTAAAAAAATGCAATATACATAGTTACTTTATCCCAGAAATCTAAAATTTAATTTCTATCTTTCATAATATTTCTTAAAGCCATAAATCCGTAAGCAACAGAAACAAGAGCAACAGCTAATAAAATCAGATTCTCCATGCATCCAAATAAATTATCTATAGTGCATTAGGCTAGAGTGCTTACTAGTACATAACTGCCTTCAGTTTAACTAGTATCTTATTATGTTGTTGATGATGATTGCGATGAATGTGACATATTTAATTTACTTAATTATTTATTTTTAAAAGCTTTGGAAATCTATTTTAAATTAGAGCTTAAAGAGCTTTAGATTATATCTAAAATTTTATGACAATAGAAACTAAACTATAATGCTGTTGTTATAAATTTGCTTGATGGCCTTTTCTAATTTGAAGTCTTTCTTTCCTGTTTATAATTTCCTTTTCCTTTTTAGAATTACTTATTTATGATAAAATTTATTATTATTATTTTCTTTTCTATCTAATAAGAGGTAATTTAAAATACTTATTTGAAAATCTGCATATTCACAGTCAAAAAACAATTAAATGAGTAATTAAGCTATTAAATTATCAAATTGAATCTTAGTTTGATTCTAGCTAAAAATTTGGTAGTAAATAAATAAAGAAATTACTTTTTTTATGTTGAATAAGTAGTATCTTTGTTAAATTTTAAACTTTGAAAAATAAGTAAAATAAATACCACCTTTTCTATTTTAAAAATATCTAAAATAAAAAATAAATTATAATAGATAAAATAATTATATCTTGAATACAAATCAAATAAAATAGAAAGTATCCAAAAAAAAGATAATAGATTAATAAGTTTTGATTGATCATTATTGAAATTCTGAATAAATTGATTTCAATTGATACCTCATAATTCATGAATATAATTTAATTCAAAAAAAATTTAATTATGACAACCTTATACTATTCGATTTAAAATAAATATATTTTTCATAATAATTTTATAAATCTAAATTATAAATAAAGATCTATGTAATTATAGCTTTGAATTGGGAATAAATAATATAAAGAAATATAATATTAATTACCTTTTTATATAAGTTATAATATCTTCAAAAATAATGCTAGTTTCACTCTAGAATAAAATATAGTCTATTTTTTATTAAATCAATGCATCCTTTTTAAACAAAATATTAAAAATAAAATTTAAATAAATTTATGTTTGTATTATATTAAGTTTTTTAATTATTTATTTCTTCTTATAAAATAAATTTATACTTTTTTCAGTTTTTAAATATATAGTTATAGATAAGAGATATTTTTTAAGAAGATTTAATCATTCGTGTGAAATAAACTTATTATTTTGTAGATAATAAAATTAATAAATTTCTTTTATCTTCAAAAATTACTTAAAAATAAATTATTTTATTTATTTGTTAATTTTCAATTTTTTATTTTCAATAAATTAATACGATAATAATTCAAAATTAAAATAATGCCTGAGAATTTTCAAAAACCGGTTAAATAAATAAATAAATAAAGAATTGGTTTGAAAATATATTAAATGATAAAAATTACAATTTTTAATTTAAACATTTTTTTATTTGAAAAAAGTGATTGTTTGTTTTTAAGAGATAGATTAGTTTATATTTGAAAAATTAATATTTTTTGTTTGTATTTAGTATAATATTTTAAGATCAGCTTATTGATTATATATATATACACACATATACTTATTTACTTACTTTACTTAGATTTATAATTGAATAATATATATATTATTTAAATGAATGAATAATCACAATACTTTTATTTCTTCATTCTTAATTTAGCAAAAATCTTTTAATTTATTTATTCAGATTCTTTTTTCGTTTGGTTGCTTAATTTACTGTTCTTCTTCATGTTTTCTAATTTATTTTTCTAAATTATCTGAAATGTTTGAAAGCAGCTTAAAGTAACGATTCTCTTCATTAAGAGATTGCTTAGTTGATTCATTTAGATCAGAGGCAAATCCAAATTCTCTCTAGTCTTGAATATGAACTATTTTCATACGGAAACTTTCGTAGTGCTTATGGAATTCATAAACGAGAGCTGTTACATTATTGAAATATTTGAATAACTATTCAACAATAACGAATATGAATGCTAATTCTTCTTCATCATTTCTCTTTTAAATTTCTACTTAAAGCATTTGCTCTACTTCATCAATTTGACGTTAAAGTTTCTCTAGCTTAAGTTAGAATTTTTCTTGAGCTTTAATAATAAATGGTTGAGGCAATATAAGACGAGGGAACTAGTGGTTTTCTAAGTAATTTGTAAAGGTATAGAAGAAATTAGTGATGTATTATTTTTGATCTTATTGCTCTGTAATCAATTCGTTAACTGTTTCTTAAATATCTTTTACTTACTATGCAGTTTATTTTAAAGAAAGACTTGATTGCTAAATAACTTTTCTTGTTTCTTATATTTAATTAAATAGCTCTCTCTAAGAATCGACGAGTTTGGCTACATCTTGCTCAGTTTTTTAAATATCTTTGTTAATATTTGTCAGTTCATCAAAGAATTCTTTAGGCAAAATGTTTACTGGTTTATGAGCATAAATATTATTGTTATCACTAACATTTACATCTCTTTCTATTGAAATTTATTCTTTTTTTACATTTTAAAGCTATTAATACAATTATTTAGCTTCTTTCCATGTTTATGACTAAACAGTATGTTAAATTTGCTATTAATTGTTAGTTTATGTTTAATTTTGGACTATTGGTTTTTAGTTAGCAAAAATACCACCTTAACCTTAAGCTGGAGCTTACTATCCTATAGGATTATTAAAAATGGTTCCTCCTGCTGCAGGTTATTAATTTCCTCCAAAGACAGGTAGTCCACCTGTTTAGTTTCCGCCTAATTATAAAGAAGGCTAATTATTAAATAAACCACCTCCTTGCTATCCTGTAGTGGTGGTTTAAAAAAGACCACCTGGCTTTTACCCGCCAATTTAGACTCCTTAATTCTAATTAAAAAGTGACATTTTGATACTTATTTTATTTTATTATTTTAATTTTGAGCTTGTTTAATAATTAATAAAGATTTAATTAAATGAAATTAAATATTCTTATTCACTTTATGATTTTTATATTTGGCATATATATCTATTTATCTTATGATATATATGTATCCTTAATCCTTTATCTTATTATTTTAAAATTAATGTTTTCTTTATATGCAATCAAACTAAGCGCCTATTTTGAATTTTAAGCGTCTATTATATATTTCTATTATTATTTACTCTAATGACATTTTTCAAATATATTTTTATTTAATTTAAAATTATTTTGTTTAAGATTTAAATTTTATTCTGAAAATAATTTCAAAATTTGTTCAAAACAAATGAAAATAGTAAATAATTTCATCTATCTTGAGTATGAATAAATTATTAAAAACAAAAAAATAAGCTTAAATTTACTTTAAAATTTTAACTTATATTAACTATTTTTAATTTAAATATCTTTTAAATTGAATTAGGTAATTGTTTTTTTTATCTTAAAACATATTAAAAAGTAAATAAAATAAAATTCTATTAATATATAGCTTAAAAAATAAATTTTGATAATTTGTGTTAAAACAAAGTAAAAAAAAATCTATTTTTAACAATCAACAACTTTAAATAATTTTTAGTTAATTTTTGAAAAGTAATACTTCATTCATCATCTTCATTAAACTATTTAAGAATTAAATTAATCTATTTACCTAATTCTTCAAAAAATTACTTAAGTATACCAAAGTATAAGAGTGCATCAATGCTTGTATGAAATAATATATTTTCAATAAAGAGTATTCATTCAACAATGAAAGGTAGTCAGTCATCTCAATTTTATTTTGTTTTTCTTCATTTAGAAAAATATTTATTTTTTAAGATACTTAAAATTTAAATTTTTTGATTTTCTGCAAGAAATGCTTTTTAAATTTCTAGATAATAAAAGTAAATATACAGATGTGATGATAGATAGATAAATAAATAGTTGAAAATACAATAGATATTTAAAAGGTAAAGAGGCAATAATTATTTAATTTATTTTTCAGTTCTGAAAACTTAGTTATTTAATATAATATTTTATATAGTGCTTTTTTAATATTTGATTCATTTTTATTAATTTATTTTATTTATCATAAAAGTTAAACTTTATTAAATTATTCAATAATTTATTCCAAATTTTCATCTCTATCATATTCTTAGATTGCTTTCATCAAAATTCCAAAACGCTTATTTGTGTTGTAAGCATGCTAAATATTTAAATTTTCTTCAAATTCTTTAGCTTTTTACTTTGCAATTTCAATCAAATTATCGCTTATACCAACAACCTGTTTTATTAATTTATTTAATAGAATTAATAATTTAGAAGTGAAATAAAATTATTAAATTACCTTTGCAACATTTATACCAAAACTAGATGAACATTCTCCTGCTTTTAATCTATATAAAAATATGACTTTACTTCTCTTCTCATCAACATGACATGCCATGTGATAATATGCTATTTATGGATAATGTCTAAATTCATCAAGTAATACATGATAATGAGTAGCAAATAAACAACGACTTTGTAAATTTTCTACCAAGTATCTTACTATAGAGTATGCAATGGCAACTCCATCAAAAGTGGAAGTACCTCTTCCTAATTCATCCATAATAATCAAAGAATGCTTTGAACCTTACTTGACTGCATTTGATGTTTCTTCCATTTCAATGAAGAAAGTACTTTTTCCATCCATCAATTTATCACTTGCACCAATACGAGTGAATATACGATCTACCAATGTCATTCTCAAAGATTTAGCAGGTACATAACATCCAATTTAAGCTAAAATTGCCATTACACAAGCCATTCTCAAAGTTGTAGATTTACCACCCATGTTAGGACCTGTTAAAAGAATCAAGTTCTTATTGTCTTCAAACTGTCCTGTCTATTTTATGTCACCAAGATAAATATCGTTAGGGATAAAGTTAACTCCCATCGAAGCTAAGCATGGATGTCTTCCAGAGGTTAACTCAATGAATGGTACATATTTTTCAGAAGCAGGATATAATTCAGGTCTGCTCATAACTCCATCAGCAAGCAAGAAACTTACTCTGCTTAAGCTTATTAAGCAATCTAATTCTGCAAGAATATTAATTAAGGTATCCCATGTTTTATAGCTTTCATAGAACTCTTTGAAAATGAATCTGCAAAATTCTTTGAGTTCTTTTTTTTGAACATCTTCAGCTTCATCGAGCTCAGCTAATTTAAAAATTGTTTTAAAATTTACTTAATAAAAATTAAATTTTTTATTTACCTATGAGTTCACGCAATTCTTTTGTTTAGAATCTTTGATATTTGCCTGCTTTACTTGTGAAATCAAAGTTTTTAGGTTTTTTATTTCCTTTAACTAAATCTTCATTTATTTCTAATTCATATCTCAAGCCATATTTAATAGTTTTGTCTTTCATTTGCTATTAGATTTAAACTAAGTAATTTTAAAGTTTTTTCTCGACATTCTAAACAGCTTCTGTGGCTAAATCATATGAATTAACTAACCCTTTTTTAGGTAAAGGTTTTTCCTAGCCCTTAGGACCTTACCAGACAATATAATTTTAGAATTCTTATATATATTTAGAAGCAGGTGGAAGTAAACCAGAACTTTTAGATTTTTTACTTTGTTTATTTTCTATTTCCATCTTTTCTGCTTTTGCTGCATGCTAGTTTATATTTTCTTCAACCTCATCTTCTTCATCTGAATAGCCATGGTAAATCATAGCAGGTAATTCATACTCTTCTTCATCTTCGTGGTCAATGGTGTTTGGGGTTACCAATTTTCTCAGTCTTTTACTCTTAAACTAGTCAGCAAAAGGAGTAAGATGGGTTTTAATGAGCTTTTCTGATTCTGCCAATTTAGTTGTTAAATCTTTAAACTCTTTTAAACGAGAATATGAGAAATCTTCAAAATAAACTACATTTTAATTTTATTGTCTGATGGAATACTTGTATATTCTACCACACATTTTTTCAAGATCTGGAAGCTTTTCAATACCTCTGAGGAAGGTATCTCTCTCAGAATTAAACTTTTAAAGATCTTCAATAGCATCATACCTATCATAAATTTTGTTAATATCCATTAAAGGAGCACAAATCCAATTCTTAAGCATTCTATAACCAAATGGAGTTTTTGTTTTGTTTATATAACCAAGTAGTGATCCATCATCGAAATGTAGCTTATAATTTTCTTTCTAAGTGCTTACTGGCCCGCTTGAAGAGTCTAATATTTCTAAGTGCTATAGAGACTAGCTGTCTAAAATCATACAGCTTCTAACACCCTTCTCAATATCATAAATTTGATATCTGGCAACTGAAATAACTTAATCTAAAATTAAAATAGATTTTAAATAATTAAAAAGTCCTGCCATAGATTCAAATATAAGATCTCTCTTCGTTTCTTCAGTATTGTACAAATTATTTAGCAATTTAGGCCACTTTTAATTTAATTTAGTTTAATATCAATAACTTAATGTCAATAAATGATTTATTAAATTTACCTTGCCTTCTAGAACATCACCGTGTGTTTTATCTAGATGATTATAAGCCATTCCTTTATTCCAGTTATCATTTTTATTTTAAAGGGGAGATAATTAAGGAGCTAAATAGCCTGATTAAATGATTTTTTTAATATCATGAGTCATATTGTCTGGATCATAAACAATTTCTTAAGGTTTAACCTGACAAAGTAATGTTTTAAATTGTGTAAAATGTATGTCATCATTTAAGTAAGCGACAGTTATAACGTTTGTTGAACTTTCAACTATAATTATACCAAATTTTGTTTAGAAATTTCTTAATGACATTAAATATCTTGGCTGGTAGTCAGTTTCGTTATTTTAATCATAAGTACCTTTTGTCATAACCTATACTAATTCTCTCGAAACACACTTAGGTCCACTTTTTTCCCTCATTAAACGCTATTTCATCTGCTCAGGAGTTTCTGTTTGTTCAGCTACGGCTACTTTATATCCTAAACTAATTAGCTTAGAAGCCATTTTATCCAAAGCTTTTTCAGGAAAACCTGTATGCATTTTTTTACCCATCCAATTAAGATCTAACTCTTTATGGGTAATTAAGGCATCTTCGTAAAAGAGTTCATAGAATTTACCTATTTTGATTTTAAAAATAACATATCACTTACTTACTAACTCAAAATATTTTATATCTTTTTCTTTACCTAGCTTAAAAAAAAGAATTTTATCAAAATTAGTAGACTTAATTTCCCAGTATTATCTCATAACAGGTGTGAATTACTTTAACGACTCTGGAGGTACGTAAAGAGTAGTAGGATCATAATTAGGATCCGTCCTCTTTCTTTTCTTTGAATCCATAGCATTTTCTGGTAGCGCAAAATAGGGAGTAGTGTCATCTAATTAATCTACAGCAGCTCTTGCTAAATCATTTTCTTAATCACAATTTATAAACTCATCTTCTGCTTTTTTAGCTGTACTTTATTTAGTTGCTGATTTTTTAGCACTTTCTTATCCAAATTTGGGAGTACTCTTTGTTGCTCCTGCTTTTTAATTATAAAAATTAAATTATTGGCTTGCTAAATCATTTTCTTTATCATTAATATTTTATATTAAGTATTTCAAATTTATGATAATTGTTACCTTTTGAAGCTGAACCAGTTTTCTTGACAGGTGTTTTTTACTAACTTTGTTTTTGTTTGCGTTTAGGCTTAACTTCTTCATCACTATCTTCAATAAAATCATCATCATCTTCTTCATCTTCAATGTCTTCTATATCATCTTCCTTAAAAGATTCATCATCATTATCTTCATCAATCATATCATTTTTTTAAAACCTTATTCCTTTTTTCTAGCTATTTTTCTAAGGGCTAGTATGAGAAAATTATTTTAAATCTTCTGGATTAAAAACATCATCTTCATCAGAATCTATTGCCAATTTAGGACGTTTTAAATTACTTTTTCTGGTACCCTAAACGCTTGAATTTGCTACTTCTGTATCATCACAAGTAGAAATTTCCTTAACTTCTTTATTGCTCTTTTATGTAGATAAAGAAATTTGAGTGGATTCAGCAATTTTATTATCGTTTTAGGCCTATTCCTTCTCCATCTCTTCTCTTTTCCTTCTCTACACATTTCCAAAAAAGCTTAATAGTGAACTTTGCTTCATTTTCAAATTATTATTGTACTAATCAATATATATGCAAATTTTTTTAATTTCTTTTAAAATCCGCTGAAAATAACTAAAATTTTATGTTTAATAACAATAATAAATAATTAAATTTGCTTATTTACTATTTTTTTGCGCGTTTTAGTAGCGGTAAATATCATAAATCTAAAAATATTTAGTGATATTCAGAGAGCGCAAAAATTTTATAAATTAAAAATTCAAAAAGAATTAATTTTTTTTAAAGAAAGGTTATTAATAAAGCAAATGAACAAAAATATTATATTTGCATTGTTTTTAATTGTTTTAGGCTTAACTGTAGTATTCACTATCAAAAAAGGTTTTACTTTATAATTTGACAAAATATAATTTTGAAAAAAAAAATATTCTTTTAAACTAGAATAAAACTTGAATAAGCCATCAAAGCTATTTTTTGAAGGCATGTATGAAGGATTCAACTTTACTCCTAATTTTGAAACAATAAATAAAGTTAATCGTTTTAATGTAAATTTAACAAAGCTTGATGAAAGCTTTGCAACTCTTGGAAAAAGTTTAATTTATCCTGAAAAACAAAGACTTGCAATTGAATAAATCTATAACTTTTTCTTAGAAGTATAAAAATCAGTTGATCCATAGGATGCAGAGGGGCAGTATATCATTAACTAGCATCTTATTATCTTTTAAAACTTAGAAATATTTTAGGCTAAAGCATTAAGATCTTTCACTGAAAATTAAATAAGTCCAGTGTTATTCTATTGGGATGCCTAAGATTTATTTCCTTATGGATTATATAAAGAATATGGCATTAACTTGATTTACACACTAAAGCTTATGATATTCGATGATTGATAGTACTAAATAAAAATATCCATTATAAATAACAGTTCCTAGTAAAAATCTGTTTGTACTTGATAAAGATTAATCTGAAAATAATTGATGAAATATCTTTATAATTGAAAGTTTTACTCTTTTAATTCTTTTATAACTAAAATATAAATTTATATTTACCAAATAATTTAATATTAATTAACAAAGTATACTTTTATTTCTAAATTCAATAAGTGAAATTATTTTATAAATAAGGTATTCTTCATTTGTAAAGTTAGTTTATCTAAGTAAAAATAATTTGAGTACATAAACTGTAAAATTTTTGACTAAAAAAATATATTATGAGTTTAAAAATTGAAAAATTGAAATAATTTAAAACTATATAATCCAAAAAATAATGAAAATATAATTTAAGACAATAAACAAGTATTATATTTTCTAATAATTTTAAATTGATAATAAATAATTATTTAAATTAATTGATTTTATTTATAAAAATTTTCTCCAAATATTAAATAATATTTATTATTTTTAACATAATTTTAATTTTTAAAATTAATTAAGATTTGTAAAATTCAATAAAGCTTTGAAAGATAAAGAACTTGATAAATAAAAATAAATATCTTTAATAAAATAATAAATATTTAAACAAAAGTTTGAAGATAAATAACTAATAATATATATTCTAACTTTTGGATTAAAAAACAAAAACTTTTAAATAAATATAAATTTTTAAATAATAATAATTGAATATTATTCAAATAAAAACACTTTGAAAATAAAATATAATTTAATTTATAAATCAATATGGTGCATATTAGTTGTAAAATGGATATTATTGCTATTAGATTGGGTGGATAACCCAAGCATCTTATATATCCATTATTTTTCCTGGTAAATAAAATAATCTTTTGAGGATTAGACAAGGTTTTTTTTATGATTCTTTAATCTCTCTTTAATTTTTACAAGAATGGCAAACATACATAGTATGCATAATTGTATATGAACAAGCCATTGCAGTCTATTGTTTTTTTTTAATAAATAGTTTTTGTGTATATTTTTTAAAAAATTAATTAATAATTTACCTTAATTTTATTATAATGAAAAGATGACCTTGCTACATTATTTTAATAATTTTAAGGGTCCATAATGTGTATCTTTTAATCATTCTAAATTAATATAATTCAAAATAATATTTAATGTTAGATTTTTTAATCAACTATTTGTTTACTGTAAAATTAGAGAAAGCGTAGTTATTCATATTTGGTATATTTGGTGGCTATGACATATCCATTTCTCCTTTTGAATCAACCTTCTTAGGAGCTATGTATTTGGATTTTTATTCATCAAATCCATAAAATAATAAAAATTGTATAAGCAATTCAGCCTCATTGTCAGGTAAATCATCAGTATTTTGCTTTTACTATTAATTTTTTAGAAAGAAGTTAAACTAGCAAACTATATTTATAAAAAGTTATTTACTTGAATAAAATATACAAGCATCAAAATTAAAGAATAAGAACTTAGACCTCCTTTATATGTATCATTCATTTCTAAGCTATGTAGAAACTATTTTAAAACTAGCACTAGAGGCTTAAGATGCTAATAGGCATTAATGTAATTATTTACCAAATCAACACACTTAATACCATTGTGCTTTCCTTCTAAAATAGTTATATCTAGTTTTTTATAGTCATATTTTTGAGTGCAAGTTACTTTGAGCACAGGCACACTAGTATTTGAAACATTAAATATTTCTTACACAAGGTCAGAGTGAGCCTTTGTTTTAAGAAATCAATTAATACTTTAAAATGATTTTTTAAAATGGATTTACTAGAAGGAGAGACTCTATAGTTTTCAAGAATGATTAATTAGCACTATCATTGACTCCAGAGGCATCTACTACTATGTCAATATCTGACCAAGGCAAGCATAGCTTTGTAGCATATGAACCATATTTATTTAGTTTGATATTTGGGTATTGTTATTTTATTATATCTTCAACCTTTTTAATAAGTTCATCGAAAGTAGGCTCCATTCTTTTATTATATTCATTGACTTCTCTTTCGAATTCTCTTATTTCCTCATTAAGATGAGGAATAAGCTCTTTTTTGCTCAGCATTTAAGTACTTTTGAAATAATTTACGTTTGGATCTCCATGCTTTCTAAACATTAAGTCTTAATCCCAGTCTAGGATATCGTTAGCACAGTTAAATGGATCTTTATTATTGCCTTATATATGTAAATTAGTTGTCTATTATGGATCTATTTAATTAGGAATTTCGCTTTCGTAATTTTTAGAATTTGTTAATCTTAGCAAATCCTATTGAATTAATTAAATTTATATGAGAATTATAGGTAGTTTTGTATAAGACAAACAAATATCTATTATGTATTTACCTCATATTTTTGTTTGAGACTTTAGTTTTCTTATTCTAATTACTAATTTTTGATTTTATACTCTTTATTTTCATTTTTCTAAATAAAATGATTTTGATTAAAATATATTTCACTATTTAGCTTAAAAATTTACTAATTAATTCATCATCTTGTCTATATTGGTGAAGTAAGAAATAAACTAAATAATTTAAATATAAAAATAATTTTTAAAAAATGTACCAATTAATCAAAATTTTTTATAATACTTGTGCCTTTTGATTTAAGTCATTTCTTTTTGAATCATCTGAAATATCTATTGAAATTTTATTAGGATTTATTTTGGTTATTATAGAAGTTTTCATTAAATCATAAAGTTTAACAGATTCTGGCCAAAAAGGATATTCTTCAGTAACGTTAGAAGGAGATGGTGTTTATTACAATTACTGGTTATTTTATACTTAATTTTAAGGAATAGGAGTTTAAACTTGATTTTTTTAGAGTATTTACTGGTGATTACCATTTAAACCAGGCATTATATTCTAGTTTGGAATACCCACTTAGCTTATGGGACTCTTTTACTATGGGTAGTTAAAGTTAGATGCACCTCTATTTAAAGTTGCTGTAATTTAGCCTTATTATAATTGTTGATTTGGTAAGTTTTTACTTCTGTCTAAATGCTGCTACCCAGAATAATTTTAGTATTAGGATCCATACTATGGATTCTTGTTTATATTGTTTTAGCTGTTAATACTGCTATTTAAATTACTATTATTAGCTTTTATGTTTTGCATAGAATTAAATGATTAAGTTGGGGAAGAAAAATTAGTTTATTAATTTTAATTTATTAAATTGTTTGAGGCATTGTTTTATTAAGAAGAAGATGATGATAGTGATTGGTTTGCTTACTATGAATTTAATTAAAACTCTGTGCTAGCTTAATTTAATTACTTTTTACTTTATAAACTACTATTTGTGTTTTAATTAACTTATCCTTGTTATTGCTATTGAAAACCGTTTATATTACCATTCTCTAAGCCTGATTCTTTTTAGTCTTTAGATTATTGGCTATTATTTTTGCTTTTACCCTCATCTTCACTTTTCTAGCTTGCCTGTTACTAAATCTATGAAGTCTAATTCTGTTATGTATTCTAAATTATTTATTTGCTTTTTTATTCACTTTCTTAGACAATTTCATAGTTTATTTTAGACTCTGTAGCAGTCGTATTGAATAGCTCATCTTAAACTTATTCAATCTAATTTTAAATTACTTACTTTTCCTCAAAATTATTACTTTGTTCATCTTATTTAACATCTTTTATTTACTATTCTGCTTATTTATTTTAGTCTTATTTTTTACTTTCCAATTATTGTTACCTTAGCTTTTCCTCCTACTCCTATTTTTATAGAAAAAGTTAAAGATATTTGCAACCATAGTAGGTAGATAAACAAAAATAAAGTTATTTTAAATATAAAACTTATTTATTTTACATGAATTTTAGATTAAATTAACTTTTTCTTGTCTTCCTGGGCAACATCTAATGCAGTTTGATGGTTATTGTTTTAAATTTTTAAATCAGGATTGCAAGTTAGAAGACTCTCTAGTATTTCTGGTCTTTTTTACCTTCTAGCTGCAACGTGAGTTGCTGTATCACCTTTTTATTTAAAATTAAGTCTTAATTTCTATTTCAACAAATTTATTTTTAAATTTTACCTTATTTATCAATTTAATTAATATCGATTTTATATTTTATTAGTAAATTAACTGTATCTGCCCATTAATTAATAACGCAGGCATGCAAGAGAGGCATTTCTCCTTTACTATCATCAATATACTTTGTATTTGGATCAGCTCCATGTTCTAATAGGAGTTCTATCACTAATAAATGGTCTTTCATAGATGGTTTTTAGCATCTTACAGAATGAATTAATGCAGTTTCTCCTTTTCTGTCAGTTTAATTAACTTATATGTCATTTTTTTACAAAAGTAACTTAACCACTTAAACCATATACTTTTCAGCTGCTTTCATCAACAATGTTACTCCGTCATCTTTTTTATTTAATTATTTAATTTCAATATTAGCATTTAATAAATTTAATAGTATTATTTGTAAACTTCAAAGTATATTTCAAAGTGATTCAAGAAAGATAATTGGCATTTTTTGCTCAGATTATTTTATCAAAATAATAACATTTGTTATCAATTAAGAAAAATGAATTAAAAGTAATCCATATTAAGATAGATAGAGATTTGCAAATTTAAATAAATTAATTACCTTCATCAAGAGGATGATAGTTTGGATTAATATCTACCCTATTTTTTTAGATTTTATTTTAATATTAAATATAACTAAATCTTAGGCCTAGTTTATAATATTTATTATTTTGCTTTGAAAGTAAATGAAAAAATATTGCTCATTAATTAGCTGTCAAAAATATCTTTCTTTAAATGATGCTTTGCTTTTTCTCAATTTATGAGATCTTTTTAGAATCTTTAGAAAGCAAACAAACACTATTGCGATAGTGAAATGATTTATTCTGAATGATTTCTAAATAAATAACTTTACTTATTTATCAAATAGACTGCACATTGTTAGTGATCCTTGTTTTCGTAATAATTATCTATAAGCTTCAATAAAATTTAACTCATTTCCGATTTATCAGGTTTCTCATTTTTGGATTCTATATGATTTTTAAAATACTCTTCAAACTTTTCTAATTTTCCATCTTTAATAATTTAATTCAAATTTAGATTATCTGAGCAATTCTAAATTTAAGCTTTTAAAGAAGTTTATGCTGCTCCAACTTATGGTTGCTACCCAAATAACTACCTAACTTCTTCTATATCATTGTTCGCTTATTTTTTGTTATCCATTTAAAGAGGCTCGCTTATCAATCCTTGAATTATATCTTATTTTTGTTTTTAAGGTATTATATGATTTATGTTTGTTTATTGATAAAGAGTATTATTTCTTTCCTTATCGCCTATTAAAAAGTAATTAAACTCTTACTAAAGCTTTTTAAGTATAATCTTTATTTCTAATTGCAAGAAATGTTATTATTAATTAATTACTAAGATTTGAAGTTTATAATAAATAAATTCCTTTTATCAAATTCAATGAATATTTTGATAAAAAATCCTTCTTTATTGTATTGGTTTGTTTTTCTTTTATTATTAAATTTCAAAATTTTTCGAAAATATAAATTAAAAAGGAGTTTATAATCAGAAATGGAAAATATCGAATCTTGTTTGTTTGATATACAACAAGTAGACTATGTAATTAATAGTAATTGTCTTTCTCGCTTTATTGAGAAAAAATCATGAAAATAAAATCAAAATTGTTTTTATAATTTTTCATTATATTAAAAAATGTTATTCTTAAATTCTTATAATAGAGAAGATGAATTTTTATATGAGGATTAGGTTTTAAAAATAATACGTTGATTTATAAAACGGTTAAGTAAAAATATATTTTAAATTCTTTTAATCTAAATTAAGAAA